ACAACGGGAGCTCACCCTGTCACAGGGATTCAAACCGCCGACCTTCTGATCGGCAAGTCCTAGGCTCTGTGGTTTAATGCACAGTGCCACCCGCGTCCCTGATGAAGAGTCTAGTGGTGCCCAAAAGACAAACAGTTTTTATGAAGGCATGAGATTTCGTGTATAGAATCCGTAACACGGCTTCCCCCCCCCCCAAAAAAAAATATTGTTGAAGGTACCCCCCCCATCACACACTTTTTATTCCTCTCTTCCTTAACCTGTCACTTTCTTCAAAGGTAGCACGGTTCAGCATTCCTCAGAAGGATTTTCTGAGAAATGTGCTGATCACCTTCTTCCCTTGGAGGGCAGGATGTTCAGTGTGAAATGCACACACACACACACACACACACACACACACACACCGTTCAGCCACCCATAAACAAGGCAGAGAATCTGGGCAGGCCGTTTTCGCCTAGCCGGGTTGCACTCTGCACATACTCAGCAAACCTCCGTTACCGCACACTTTTGTTAAGAGTGCTCCCCAGCAATCACTCTTCGTCCCATGTGTTGCCTTCAAAATACAACAAGCACTTGGCTATCCTGCTCCAGTCTCTGCTTAGGAGCGCATGGGTGGTGCAGGAGTTGTGGCTTTGGCCAAAAGAGCAAAGGCATCTGTAGGGTGGGGGCTGCCATGTGGATGCACCCTAATAAACGCTCCGTAGCAGGCTAACGGCGGAGGACACAAGGACTGCTCTGTGCAACTGAGTGCAGAACAAAGAATAGGTTTGTGCGACCGTCACACCCCAAAGCACATGACCGATACCTGTGATACTGAGACAGGTGCAAGATACTTGGCCCATTGCCACCCTCTCTGTGCATGCCGCTTCAGTTTAACCCTTTCCTGGGCCCAGCAAGTCTTTCTAGGGAGAGCTAGGTGGTGCTGGCTGAGGGTTAGGCGATAGTGCAGGCTACAATGCGAGGAGGAGAAAGACATCCAGCCCCCATTCTGCCCTGCCTCACCGGATAAATACGGCACTGCCTTCTTTCCATAACCCAAAACACAACATGCTGTGGCTTACCCTGCCAGGTTGTTATTAAGAACAGAAGAAGAGTCCTGCTGGCCCATCAAGTCTAGCATCCACCAGATGCCTCATCTGGATCCGAGCATAAGAACACTCTCCCACAGTGGTTTCCAGCAACTGGTATTCAGAAGCACACAATGAAGGTGGAACACAGCCATTGTGGTTATTCTCTGTGCTGTGGATGATTTCCCTGGTTTTGCAGTGAGTCAGATAGAAAAGGGGGGGGGGGAGAACAGGGGGAAATTTAGCCAGTTACCACCAGCACAGCTTGTCACTGGTTATACAGTCCTCCTGTGCGTAAAGTTGACAGTGTGATGCAATGCCCACAAGCTGTATCTCAGCTTGACCTACCTCCCACTGTTGTAAAGATAGGGTGTGGGACATGTATGGTCCCTGAGCTCCTTGGATGAAACATGGGATAAATATATAAGAAATTACATGTGGCAGGCATTACGCAGTGGTTTGGGACAGGCGCCTGGTGCATGCTCAGAGGTAAACTCATTGCTCTTCACATGCCACAATGTTTGTCATAGCTGAGTCTTGGCACAAATTAAGTCCTGGGAAGGGGAATGGCAGAGTTTTGCTCTGAGTTCATAGTTGGATGGGACCAAATGGCAATTCAATCAGTCCACCAATGCTCCACCCAATCCAAAGGCAAGACAGTCATAACCAGCCCACACAGATCCATGTGGTCCCAACCACCAGTGTACAAGAAGTTGTTGCACCACAACATAGCTCCAGGTGACTTAAGGAAGCGAGCCAAGCAACGTTGTGAATGGGAAGATAAAAACATCCCTGACGGATCAGGCCCCAGAGGTCTCTCTGGTCCAGCAGCAGCCAAATACCTCCTGGGAGCTCACAAGCGATAAAAATGCCCATTGATTGCTCCTGTCGTCTGCCCTGCACATGCAGGCTGCATTTTGCTTTTCCATCAGCTTCGGCTCATGGCCTAGCTGTGCCCCTATCTGGACAGGGATAGCCTAACTTCCATCGTGTGTGCTCTGGCAATTTATAGGTTAGATTACTAGAATGTGTTATATGTGGGGCTGCCTCTGAAGGTGGTTTGGAAACTTCAGCTGGATGGTTTCCAAACAGCCAGGTTGCTCTCCAGGGTAAAAGGCTTTGAGCATATACAGTCATACCTCATGTTACGTTTGCTTCATGTTACATTCTTTCAGGTTACGTCCCGTGGTGACCCGGAAGTACCGGAAAGGGTTACTTCTGGGTTTCGCTGCTCGCGCATGCGCAGAAGCGCAAAATGATGTCACACGCATGCACAGAAGTGGTGAATCGCAACCTGCGTGTGTGCAGATGCGCTGCTGCAGGTTGCATTCTTTTCATGTTGCGAATGGGCCTCCGGAACGGATCCCTTTCACAACTAGAGGTACCACTGTAGTGCCAATCCTGGCCTGGCTGCACTGGCTGCCAATTACTTTCCAAGCCCAATTCAAAATGAAGGTTTTGACCAATGAAACCTTAAATGGTTCAGGACAGCAATATGTCAAGGACTGCCTTTCCCCCTAAGGACCAACCCAGACCCTGTGATCATCATCTGAGGCCCTTCTTTGTGTGCCTCCTTTGTGGCAACATGAGACTGGGCCTTTTCTGCATGGGTCTTTTTAACAGGAACACAGGAAGCTGCCTCATATTGAGTCAGGCCATTGGTCCATTTAGCTCAGCATTACCTACGCACTGACTGGCAGCAGCTTTCCGGGATTTGAGGCAGGGAGTGTTTCCCAGACCTAGCAAGCGATGCTGTTGAGGACTGAACTTGCGACCTTCTGCCTATAAAGCAGATGCTCTATAGGTAAGCTACAATCTCACTGTCATCAATTTAGCTTGGTATTGTCTATACTGGCTGACAGCAGCTCTTTAGGGTTTCAGGCAAGGGGACATTCCCAGTACTACTTGGAGATGCTGGGGACTAAACCTCCTTCTGCTTGAAAAGCAGATGCTCTACCACTCTGGTAGCACTCTGACTTTCCTCCCTGAGAAGCCAAAGCTGGTCTTTCTTTCCACAAGTGTGGCTGTGTTGACACTTCTTCTGAGCTTACAGGAGGTTCAGAAGAGGAAGTACTTTCTGTTCTACTTTTTTTCTTATTTGGCTACCATCTACAAAATAAAACAAAACAGAGAAAAGCTGAGTGGCGGCACGTCCATCTTGCTTGGAAATTGCTTCATTCCATCAGACAGTTTTGGGAAATGATTTACAACGAGCTTAAGAAAATGTTCATGTTAAGTTGTGGGTAGACATAGCAGACGACGCAGCGATTTCTCCAAAGCAGCTCTTTATTTGTAAGCTGGAACAGAACTGAACAGCAAACAGCTCAGCCGGCCTGCTTTTATAGGCAGCCGGCTGTCAACATTGTAGGAACAACCCAGGGTTTCACGCCTAAAGTAACTGACGTGGACCTGAGTGAAAACTACATACACGATACACCTTTTGGCCAGGGTGAGCACTTCAATACATAACAGTTCAAATGCTCTTTCCCTAAACAGCCTGAAGCCTTCCTGCTAAGAATTATGGGTAACGAAATTCCAAAAGAGTTCAGGAAAGTCTTTATGTATGTTACAGTTGCTGCCAGAATTGTAATGGCAAAAGGCTGGAAGGGAGAGAATATCCCATCTAAATTAGACTGGCAACATAAATTAAGAGAGTACGCTGACCTGGCGAGACTATCAGCAAGGTTACAAGACGTTACAGATGAAAAATTTATCAGAGAGTGGGACGCATACAGAGTTTATCTAAAAGAACATTGTCAAAATATCAATCCGTTGGCAGGTTTTGATTGAACTTCGGTGTGTAAATAGGATAATTTTATAAAATTTAAAGTAAGTTGAACAACATGGAGAAAATAAAGTTAAGTGCGTATTCAAGGAATCTAATTTGGGAACATAATGGGAAGATCGGAGGTCATATCAAATTAATTACAAAATCATGTACAAAGCAAGTACCAATTACGGAATGAATGTTTATTTTTTATTTTGTCTTTAACATCTATTGATCATTTTTGTTATACAGTTTACAATCAATAAAGCATTTGAAAACTTTTTTTTTAAAAAGGAAAATACTTCATTCCACACAAACCCACTCTCTACACACCCAGATCTGTGGGTTGCTGCTTCTCAGTACTGTCTGAGCAGCACTTTGTACATGCTTGGTTGCACTGCTTGTGATAACACCCTAGGTTTGGTCCTGTACGTGGAGGAAAAGTGGAGACTGAAAGCGATTGAAAGAGAGAGATTGAAATAGGGGTAATAGGATGGCAAAGACCCTGGTATCCAGATCTGATATTTTTCTACACTCCTGCAAATCCTCTGGAGAGCTCTTTTGTTCTTTCCTTTGGAAAGGAAGAGCATAAACTGCTTTAAATATGAAATTTCCTTGCCATTTCATTCACTACATACTGTGTGTGTGTGTAGATGTATGCACGTATATATATTAGGACCCACCCTATTTTTGTAATTTTGTTTTAATCTGCTTTTAATATTGTGCAATATTGTGTTTTAATATTAATTTGTTTTAATTGTTGGAACTTGTCTTGGCGTTGGAGTCTTAGGGTACAACAACAACAACGCATATATATAATGCGCTCTGCAAGCTTTTGAATTGTACAGCACTTTTCACGCATATATGTATAGATAAATGCCAGCTTCTGAATGACGCAACATTCTTCTATTTTAAATAGAAGAGGGGCGCTGCTCGATTCTGAAAACTGCAGATTACGGAGTCGCCAAACTGTATTAGTTGCCCTCGCGCTGCTCTCTGGCTCCCCCTGGCGGCGCATGCCCGCATCCCTTCTCGAAGCGACACTAGGGAGTCGAGCCTCCACACAAAGCTAGAAGAGGCGGGACTGCTGCCTGCCACTCTTCTCTGTAACCGTGGCGACAGGCCGGAAGTGATTCCGTGGCCCCGCCCCCCCCGCTTATTCGCCGCTGCCCTGTCTCCTTGGTGACCGCTAAACCCGCCCAAGGATGCTCCGCGCTCTCTCCTTCCCGAGTTTCCCGCCCCGCTGGTCCCGGCTCCATCCTTTTCGCCGCCGCCGCACAGGCCCGGCCCGGGAAAGGAAGGGCCTCGCCAGCCACGCCGTGACGTAAGCGCTCCGGGAGGGGGAGGTGAGGGCTGAAGGACGCGGCGAGGGGGGGAGAGAGCGGCTTTACGTTTCCCGAAATCCTCCGCGGGGGGCCTAGCCGCTGCTCGAAGCCTGCATTTGCCCGGATGTTGGGACCATAGAGTTGAAAAGCCTAGGTGGGCGCTGCGTGTCTCGTTGGCGCTCAGCTGTGGGCTGTAGGTTCCCGGATGGAGCCACCATTAGAGATGCGTGCACTCCATATTTTTTTTCTGGATAGTCTCTATACAAGGAACTGAAGGACATCGCCCCCTCTTGGGCCGATGGAGGCAAGACACCCGTTTTTCGTGCTTGAGCGCGAACGCACTCAGGGATAGGTATTAAAGGCTTATGCCAGGCATCCCCAAACTCGGCCCTCCAGATGTTTTGGGACTACAACTCCCATCATCCCTAGCTAACAGGACCAGTGGTCACGGATGATAGGAAATGTAGTCCCGAAACATCTGGAGGGCCGAGTTTGGGGATGTCTGGCTTAGGAAATGGTGTGTTGCATAGAGAAAGCGGGTGCAGAAGACAGAAGCCCACTTTGCTTAAAATTTGCTTAAAACTACTCCACACTGCCTTCCATGGCAGCGAGTTCCATAGGTTATACGTGCTGCATGAATAAGTCCTTCATTTTTTCTTTCCTGAATCTTCCAGCATTTTGCTTCATTGGATGTCCACGAGTTCTAATGTAATGAGAGAGGGAGAAGAACTCTTTATCCATTTCCTCTATGCCATGCATAACTGTATAAACTTCTATCATGTCACCTCTTACTCACATTTTCTCCAAAATAATAAGTCCCAAATGCTGCAACCTTTTCTCATAGGGGAGTCGCTTCACCCCTTTGATAATCTTGGTTGCCCTTTTCTGAACTAGAAGACATCAGAATAACCTGCCACAAGTTCAGACAAATTGAAAACATGATTGAGGAGCATCTGTGGCCCTTCCAGCTGTTGCTGGGCGGCAGCTCCCAGCAGCCCTGGCAGCCAGTATGGCCAGTGGTCAGGCTTCATGAGAGATGGGGTCCAGCAACATCCGAAGAGCCACAAGGTTAGTCTAGGATGACTAAATTTGCTCTTATCTAAGCAGAGCTCTTTTTAGAGTCCTATACAGTGGTACCTCGGGTTAAGTACTTAATTCCTTCCTGAGGTCCGTACTTAACCTGAAACTGTTCTTAACCTGAAGCACCACTTTAGCTAATGGGGCCTCCCGCTGTTGCTGCGCCGCCGGAGCCCGATTTCTGTTCTCATCCTGAAGCAAAGTTCTTAACCTGAAGCACTATTTCTGGATTAGCAGAGTCTGTAACCTGAAGCGAATGTAACCTGAGGTACTACTGTACCAATGGTGGAGTTTTTCACCCTGTAGCTGTTTGCTGACACTTGTAGCAAAGTCCAGACATCCCTTTCTTGGAAGGAAGGCCTTGAGGCTTTTTCCTTCACATGATCTCTCTTTCACCTCTGTTTGCAGCCCAGTGCCCGTATCGTATGCAGTGTTTGATGGACCCTCTCCCGAGCCCCCGCTCGTTTTCCTACATGGGCTGTTTGGAAGCAAGACTAACTTTGCATCCCTGGCCAAGAAACTGGTGCTCCAAACTGGCCGCAAGGTGAGTGAGAATTGGTTTTGGGCTACATTGGGGAGGTGATTGCTGCTGGTTTGCACTTTGGTTTGCCTGCAGAAGGCTCTAGGTTCAACCCCTGGCATCACCAGGTAGGGCTGAGAAGGACTCCTGCCTGAAACCCTGGAGACAGTGTTAGAAACAAATATATAAGTTAGGTGCCAAATGGCACCTTAAACCTAAGTTATGGTCTGCACAACAGAATGTCTTGTTCACTAGGGGGTTGAACTAAATGACTCTCGTGGTCCCTTCCAAAACTACAATTCTATGATCCCAACTGCATTGCTTGACTATAGCTTGCTCTTACAACAATTCACTTGTCCTGGTATACAAGAAGGAGAAACACACACCATGGAAATGGTATTAGCTATGAACTAAGGCAGAGATTTTTAAACTGGCCACAAACCTGGCACCCAGAAATCTCCTTGTAGTCGCGTTTGGACCCATGCCGGTAGCAAAACGTGCCTGGTGCCTGGAGGATTTTGAACACTGCTTGGAGAACTGCTACCAGTTGATGTGGAATAATACTGAGCTAGAGGAACCATTGCCCTGACTTAGTAGCATCTTTTTGCCACTGGACCGGGCCTGTTTGGGGGTCATTTTTATGTAGCCGGGTAGAAATCCTGGGTGCTCAGAATCCTCGGGGCCCCCTCAAGATTTCGTATTGCATCATCCAGAGCCTATGCAAAGCCAACCTTGTGCCAACCCACTGCTGTCCCTCTTCTCCTGCCCAGTTAGGTGCTGACGGTGGACGCCCGTAACCATGGCGACAGCCCCCACAGCCCGCTCATGACGTATGAAGCCATGAGTGCCGACATCCACCTCCTCCTCCGCCAGCTGAACCTCAGCAGGTGTGTCTTGATCGGGCACAGCATGGGCGGCAAGACAGCCATGGTGATGGCGCTGCAGTGGGTAGGTGGAGTCTCTTGGTGGCCCTTCCTGTGTTCTGCTGCCGGATTCCTGCCGTGGGAGTGGGGCGGACAGTGGCTTAAGGAGCAAGCGCATCTCCTGGGCTAACTGGGAACTGGTGGTGGGGATGGTGGGGACCGGTAGCTCAGAGGTGGGGAAGGTGTGGTCCACAGGCCTCCCTGCTTGTACCTGCACCTGACACTTTCTCTGACCCCTTGGCTCCTTTGTCTTTCCTCTGCACCCCAGCCAGAGTTGGTGGAGCGCCTGGTGTGTGTCGACATCAGTCCTAGCGAGACGACGGCCATTTCAGGCTTTCAGAACTTCATTGCTGCCATGAAGGCGGTGGACATCCCCCGAGGCATCCCTCGTTCCACCGCACGCCGGCTGGCAGAAGAGCAACTGCGCCCAGCCATTCAGGTAATGCCCCACCACCACAACCTCGGAGGTCCAACATCACATGGGCCAGACCCCAAGCCTCGTCGTTCTGACGACTTGGACAGAGAAAGGCAGAAAGCGAGGGCCACCAACCTAGATGAGTTTAAAAGAGGTTTGGACAAATTCATGGAGGAGAGGTGTATCGGCTACATGATGGCTGTACTCTGCCTCCACAGTTGGAACAGGGTGGGGTGGCCTTTATGCGATTCTTTGGGGGTTACAGTTTAATTTTGGTGGTGCTTTATTTTTTCAATTACATTTTTACATTTGGTTGTTAGACCTTATTATAAATTACAAGGCAGGTGTTTAGCTTTATTTAACCTTTCTTAACAAGAAGTTTTCATTAACTTACTGATTATTTACATTTTGTAAAATTTCCTAACCCGTTAATCTCAACAAGTCTGCTCTTAGCAAGGCTTAGTTGGGCACAGCTCCAGCTAACTGCAGTATATGAACCGTAACTTGAAAGAAAGGGACGTGGGTGGCGCTGCGATCTAAACCACAGATCCTAGGGCTTGCCGATCAGAAGGTCAGCAGTTCGAATCCCTGCAACAGGGTGAGCTCCCATTGTTCGGTCCCAGCTCCTGCCCACCTATCAGTTTGAAAGCACGTCAAAGTGCAAGTAGATATATAGGTACCACTCCAGCGGGAAGGTAAACGGCGTTTCCGTGCGCTGCTCTGGTTCGCCAGAAGTGGCTTAGTCATGCCGGCCACATGACCCGGAAGCTGTCTGCGGACAAACGCCGGCTCCCCCGGCCTATAGAGCAAGATGAGTGCACAACCCTAGAGTCGTCTGTGACTGGACCTAACGGTCAGGGGTACCTTTAACTTGAAAGATACTGCGCTTGAGCTTGCTTTCCCCTCCTCCCTCCCCTTCCTTTATCCATGTGCGCTGTGTCTTTTTTCAGTTATGAGCCCGGGGACAAGAACTGTCTTAGTAATATATTTTGTTAGTAGCTCTGAGAGTTCTTTTTAACAGAATGCCATAGATAAAAAATAGTTCAGTGATGTCTACAGTGATGGACAGCAACGCTCAAGGGTTTCAGGCAGGAACATACCCAGTCCTACTGGTAGATGCTGGGGATTGAACCTGGGGCCTTCTGTGTGCAAGGCAGTCACTCTACCACTGAGCTACGACCATTCCTCTGGCATACCTCGGGGGTTGGGGCAGGGGTTTCTGGGGCACAGTCGAAAGGGGACTTGCAAATCCTGACCCCAGATTCCATGCTTACAAGGTATGTTTGCACACAGTGCCTGTTGCTGGGTCCTGTATTTCCCCACGAGCCCCTTCCATCTTCTTTGCTCAGGAGCCAACCATCTGCCAGTTTCTGCTCACCAACCTGGTGTACGCCGAGGACCGGTTTGTGTGGCGCGTGAACTTGGATGCTATTTCCCAGCATCTGGGCGAACTGATGGGCTTCCCTCCTTTCCAGGTGGACTACCCAGGGCTTACTCTCTTTCTCGGGGGCTCCAAGTCCGGCTATATCAGGTGAGCTGTCGCCAGCAGAGGGGTCTGCACCATCTCCTGCGCAAACCCTTTGGAGAGTCGAAGGGTCCCTGCTGTGTCCCCTTCTCAGTGTAACATGAAGCAAAATCTGATACCCAAACTGCCTTGTTTCCTTTCCCCATCCCTCTGGCTGAGCTTTGCTTTCCCTCCCCTTCTCTGCAGCTCTGACGACTACCCTGAGATCGACCGGCTTTTCCCGGAGGCAGAGATCCAGTACGTCCCTGACGCTGGACACTGGGTTCACGCGGATCAGCCCCAAGAGTTCATTGCTGCCATTTGCAACTTCCTTCGCTTTCTTCCGCTGTAGAGTTTCCAGCTGGCCTCCCAGAACAGGAAAGACAAGCAGGTCCCTCTCCTGACACTAGTCAGGATACCCCTCCTTTTTTGCCAACTTTTCTCCTGTGAACGGCTCCCGTTCTCCAGAACTGGCTTCCCCAACTCAAGACTGGCACGTGCTCTTTGTTAAGAGCCCTCCTTCCCTCTCCACGGAGGCCTGCATAGCTGCCATGTGGAAATCCTGCGAATATGACCCCACTGGTGGCTGGGATGCCACTTAACTCCATGGGGCTCCTTCACTGTACAGTATTTAATATTAAATAAAACGGTGTTTCATTTTAAATGGGTGATCTTTGGCCTTCCAGAGAGCCAGGAGAGAAAGAAACAGCCAACAAGGCATCTGATCCAGAGAGGAGAGGGAGCCTGGTGAGTTCTAGTGTAGGGCGATAATATTGGTTTATTGTCCCAAACTGGTTTGAGGTCCAGATTATGATAACAGTTTTGTAATTTCTGGCCTGGCAATATATGGCAAACCGTGTGTGTGTGTGTACTATGCAAAAATCACAATGTAGGGAAAAAACCATGAAGCCAGCGAATGCCTCTACATAGCTCCATCCTTATTTCAGACATTGTGATATATTGGTATGTTGCTTTTTCCTTGCTTTAATGTGTCCTTGGTGATGCCTCTTGTTTGCTTGGACGGAGGAGGGAAAGGGGTCTGAGTGTGCAGAAGTCTCTTGACTTCTGCATGGCTGGATTGCATCCTGTTCTACAAAGGTAGACTCCACACCTATTGTTCCACCCAGTACTGGCATGCGCTCTGCCCCCTGCCAGATGGTTGCCCACAAAAGAATGTGGCCCCCATCAAGATGAACGAGCTTGTAATAGAAATAGGAGAGAGAAGTGGGGGTTGCACATAGGCATTTATTTCTGTTCCATGGACTTTGGCCGAGTTACAGGAGGAGATGGGCACCCACCCAGCAGAAAAGGCAGCTGGTTTTTTCAAAGGAAAAGGGGTGGCGTGACTGTGGAGGGGTTCAAAGGCGAGGTAAAGCGAAGCTGCCTCCAGACTGCTGCTGAACATGATCCCGTTCACAGCGGCAGCCAGGGCCAACGATCGCCACAGAGGACGCTGGCAGAAGAGAGAAAAGGAAAAGGAATTTAGAAATGCCTCTCTTACCTGCCACAGTCTCTTCCCCACATTAATACTGAAGGCGCAACATCTTACTCAAGTGACTTTGAGGGTTCTACAACCCTGTATGGCACTGGCAGCTGTGGAGAGCCTCTGCCCCTCCAGATGTTGCTGCAGGCAACCCCTGTCAACCTGGGCCATTGGCCCAGCTTGCTGGGGCTGGTGGGAGTTTTCGTTCAGCAACATCTGGAGGGCCAAAGGTCCTGCATAGCTGCTGTTACGAAGACAACAAACCTGTATACCCCATGTTGGGTGCCTTTCTGGTAGAGGAGAAATTGGAACAGAAGGCTTCCAGATTTGTCACTCTGAAAACTTAAAAGTCTTATTACCAGCAGATGGTATTGAAAGGTTTCCTACCTCTGGGAATGGAGGGATGCCCGTCCCTTTTCCATCCCCTTTTTATTGTTTTAAAAACTTTTTTCAAGCTCATAAAGCTGAATGTGCACAAGTTAAATGTGTGAAAGTTGTGGGCTTACTGTATTCCAAAAGGATCAAGACATTCCTCGCATCCATGCTCTTGTTTCTGCACAGGATGGACTGGATACACAGAATATGCCTTTGGTAGCTGGTTCACTTTTAGTGTCCACTTTCCTGTAAAAATGCCCAGTTGCAGCCAGAGTCTGAAGTAACAGGAAAAGAGTCTTTAGCAAGGTGTGCTGGGAAGTGGGAGAGATGCCTTGGACTCCAGGGCTGCACTGCTGTGGGGGACAAGCCCCACCTGCAATGACCATGCTGCAAGATCTGGACTCCCTCCATGCAGACTGAAGATGTAAATAAGTGAATAAACCATACACACACCCACTGGGTTTAGCTAGAAAAACTCTGCTCATTCTCCCTGGCTGGCTGTATGATTCTATGACAGACTCACCCTTTGAAAGGATAGTTTATGGAGACATTAGATGGGTTTAGCTGGAAATGGGTAGATTCTTTGCTATCACATTGCACAATGTTTTATGTGAGTGCGGATTTGGCAGAGAGGAATTCCCTCTTGCACAATCTACCTTTCCTGGCAAAATGCTTTCCACATAAATGAAGCAAGAATGAACCTTTGGGGTTCATAACTATTAAGGCATAACATGGGCAAGACTCCCTTGCTGGTTCTGAGGAACTTGGAGAAGATAATGTGCTACAATTTTCTTACTGCTTAAGGAAGAGTGTGTAAAACAACAAATAACTTAAATCCCAAGATACCGCTATTAGTTTTTTTGCAAGACCTTAGTGAGGGTACTGTACACCGTTGCCGGTGCTTGTGCCCCACAACTCTTCTGTTTCAGAGACCCAAATCCCATATTGATGGCAGTTTCCCATTTGCTTCATGGTTGTGACAAATGGAATGTTGCACATGGCTCTTTCCTGCCAAGAGTCCCTCTCATATTCTAACCCTTCGAAGCTTAAAGATCCACTGGAGTCAGTAAGAGCTGAACCTTCTCGTTTCATATCTACGAAGCACCACCTGAGCTCCCATGAACCTGATCAGCAATCCGCTTCCTGAAGTAAGTTTCTCAAGGCACAAGAGGACAATCCCACCCTTGGAATCACTTGCACACGGCATGCTATATTATGGCCCTCTTTCCTTAATGCTGTTTGCAGGTCCCACAATCCAAGCACAATGTGTTCCTGAGAAATGGTTTGTTAGGCAAGCATTCATATAATGAGGTTATGTTTTCCATTTATTCCAGTAGGGAAAACCACAATGCGTTCCTGACCAAGAAGAAATGACAACATCAATAATAAATCCATGGCTCTCGGGTCTCGCTGCTTGCCCCTTTCCCCAATTGCTTCCTTTAAAGTTGCCATTTTCGCTGAGATCAGTGTTCCTTACTGGGCTTCTTTCCACAGTTGCAGCTCCATTTGGCTGCTGACCATTCTGCCCTCGTTGCTTCTTGGGTGCTCAATCTCTTTTTCAAGAGCCACATTGGTTGAGGCTCCATCAGGTAGGAAAAGCAGCAGAAAATCTCCCTGCCAGTTTTTCCCTTCTCTGCATCTGTTGGAATTAGCACCTTGGACTCACTTTTCAGTGCCCTAAAAGCCAAGCATTTGGATTTTTTCCCATCTCTCTATAATCTGTCCAGCTTTTCTTTGGTTTTAACAGGAAGCAAAATATCACTCTGTGTGTGTATGAAGTCTTGCATATTTGCCCATGTGTGTGCAAGATCTCTCTCTCTCTCTCTCTCACGCACACACACACACACGGGCAGATATTTTGCAAGATCACATGCACACACATGGTGATATTTAATGGAAGTAATTATTCTCTGTTCAGATTTTTCTCATGTTTTTCTATAACTACGTGTAGGTGTTTATGGTACCCTTAATCTTCTTACCTGACTTACCCCTTATTGAGTGACATACAGGGTGACATACCCGTTATGCCATGGAACATTTGTGGCCTGGGAGTTGCTATCAAGGAGACAGGAGGCAGCACCCCATCATCATTTGCCTTCAGGAGACACACCACACTGACAGTGTGGTCTGCCTTCTGAAACACAAGCCACAATATACTCTGCCTCTATGGTCAGATGCAGTAAATACTTCCGAATACCAGTTGCAGGAAACTGCAGGAGGGGAGAGTGCTCTTGTGGTTGGGTCCTGTTTGCAGGTTTCCCAGAAGAGGCCACTGTAAGAACAGGATGCTGGGCTATATGGGCCACTGACCTGGTACAGCAAGAGCTCTTCTCATGTCCTTATATATACAGTGGCACCTCGGTTTAAGAACAGTCCTGTTTACGAACAATTATGTTTATGAACTCCGCAAAACTGGAAGTAGTGTCCTGGTTTGCGAACTTTACCTTGGCCTAAGAACGGAATCCGAACAGTGGAAGGGCACTGGCGGCAGGAGGCCTCATTAGGGAAAGCGCGCCTCGGCTTAAGAACGGTTTTGGCTTAAGAACGGACTTCCGGAACACATTAAGTTCGTAAACGGAGGTACCACTGTAGCTGTATCTGGAAAAACTCCCTCGACGTTTAAAGGTTTTGCAAGGAGCTGTTAAACTACTGAACCGTGCTGCCACCTGGTGGACTTTTGTAACGCATGGTGAACAAATAACACCTGAAACTACTACTTCCTGGTAAAAATCACTATAGTGGGCAATATTAACAATTTTCAACTTCTCATCCTTTCCATTATTGAGTTCCCGAGATACTCCCTTCCTAATGTATTGCCTTCTGCTTTATCGTCCATGCTTATCTCCTTTCTCCTTGCCGCTCCCTCTGTGCTGACGGCATGTTTCAAATCTAAACACATTTTAAAAATGTAAAAAGGGAGAGAGACGCACATCACCTGCTTCTTCCTTCCGGAACGTACGGCGGGCACAACTATTTGCGCGGCAAGCATCCCAAGTCCCACGACTGGGCAAGCAAAGGGCTTGTTTGGGTCATGCTGATGCGGATGTGCTTTTGAAGATCGAGTGTTCAGAGCCGGCTTGGCATCGGACTTAAGGCTCGTCAATGCGTCATGTGATCGATTATGTGGAGTGGGGCTTACCTCCCCCCTCCCCGCCCAATATCTTATTCAAGTTGGTACTTCTGCCACCAGCTGCGTCTTGTGCTTTGGCAGCCCGGGAAACTGCCTGGCCCCTGGGCTAGAGAGAAAGGCCGGACCACGAAGAGACCTCCCTGCGGGTCTGCTTTAGCCCGGGGGTGCCAACTTGAATAAAATATCGGGGGGGGGGGGAGCTAAGCCCCGCTCCACAAAATCAATCACATGATGCGGCACAAGCATGACATTTGAATGGCAATGCCCTTCAACTTGGGGCGTGTCAAATATTTTAGGGGGGGCGAAGGGACCTCAGTCCCAGGAGCTGGTTCCTATGCTTCAGTCACCGGCTTTCCCGGCTTCTCCTCCACCAGGAGGCAGCCGCTCGTCTGGGCCAGTCCCTTCCCCGCCCCTTGCTAGCAGGACTTTGTTTTACTTTCACAACCGCGGTCAGAAAGAGGTGAAGTTCCTTCTCGCAGAGGCGCTGCCCCACGTGTTGGCTGAGCTTTGAGGGGCCATGGCGGGTAAGATCGCGCAAACTTTCCCCCTCTTTCCTTCTGCTAAAAGGGGCGATCGGTCACTATGGAGGAAGGCAGCGTGGGGACCAAGCTGACTCCGCTTTGTCTTCCCCTCCCTCCCTCCCTCCCTCGGCATCCTCCAAAAGATGCTCACAGCAGGAAGGAATCTTGATCCGCTTGATCCCTTCCTTTCCATTTCTGGCGAACGGCGGCGTTGCTCTCAGCCTGGACTGACAGCGCTCCCTCCCTCCCTCCTTCCCTCCCTCCCTCATTCTCTGTCTCTCTTTGTGTGTGTTAACGTTAACCTCCTCTTGCTTGTGCACCTTGCCCCGTGTTCCTGAAACACGTTGAGGGCGATGCTCTGCTAGGAAGGGACAGGAGCGTCACACGTGTCATTTTTTTCACTTTCTCATTTCTCCAAGTCTTGGCTCACCCCATTTCCACATACATTTTGCAAGTCAAAGCAAAAACGGAAAAAGCCTCTGCATGAAAGTGCATTTCAGTGCATGTTTCCCCCTAATATTTTCTGGGGTGTTGCAGCTGGTCAGGGTGGGCAGTACTGAACTGGCTGGACCAGCAATCTGATTCAGTATAATGCAGCCTACTTTTAAAATCAGCCGTTGATGTAGAGTCATGAGCAGGGGCATAGTGGGAGGGGGCAGGCCGGCTGTAGCAAACCAGCGCCACCCCCAGTAGGGATTCCACCCTGCCTGCTGCCAGGGGTCTCAGGGCCCTGGAGCCTGGCCTGGCCTTGCCACTGCATCCTGGGCCCCCTCACTGAATGCCCACCCAACCAGCGTTGGTGGTGGTGGGGATACACCCACCAAGGGCTGCGTCAGCCAGCCGGGCTAGACCATACGCAGGCGGGCAGGCAGCGCAACATGGCCCCATGAACCTTCTGTGCCCCAAGCCTGCCCAGTGGCTGTGAGAGTTAGCCTGGCATGGTGGTTTTTTTACCCTGGGGAGCTGCTGCCGGTCAATGTAGACAGTACTGAGCTAGAGGGCCCTATGGGTCTCGCTTTGTACAAGACAACTTCCTACGTTCCTGCACCTCAGGCCAATTTTGGTGACCCGATTTTCCTTGCAGATGAGAAGCTGAAGGAAATCCGCGCAGAGTTTGTGACCTGTGCTAACAAGTCTCTCATCAGCCAGCTCCTAGATAGGCTTCTCCAGGAAAGAGTCCTGAACGAGGAGGAGGTGGATGAGGTGAAGGAGAACACGAAGAAGCAGGACCAGGCAAGGATCTTGATTGACCACGTGAGGAGGAAGGGGCCCAAAGCCAGCCAGATCTTCATCCAGGCCCTCCGGTGCCAAGACAGCTTCTTGGCTGAAGAACTGAGGCTTCAAGTCCCTCTGCCAGGTGCTTATTTAAATAACCAGTTTAGCAGTTCATAGAATTGTAGAGTTGGAATTGTAGCGGGTCATCTAGTCCAACCCCCTGCAATGGAGGAATCTTTTTGCCCACAGACATCCCTGGGTGGGCTTGAACCACCAACCTTCTGGTTAACAACCAGACGCGTGAACCAACTGTGCCACGGATTTCTCTCCTTGGATTGTTTATGCAGATGTTTAAATTTTAAGAACTACAGTCCAGCTAAATTCAATTTAAATGCATTGTTTAAACCAGTGGTTCCCAAACTGGGTGGCGGCGCCCCCTGGAGGGAGAGAGGATTACCCGGGGGGCAATAAGAGACAAGGGGGCAGCAGGGGGGAGACTAACAGACTTTGAAAAGGATCAACCGGGTCAAGTTTACCCATTTTGTTGAATTAATTAAATAGCTTTAATTGGATTTTGAATAAATGCGCAATTGGTGGTTACTGTTTGGCATTTTATTGCATTATTATCTAGTGGGTCATGTAAACTGATGTCCTGCATAATGCTTTTCATAGGGTAGGAGGCATTGGGGATGAGTGTATGGAACTAAGGGGGTGGTGGTCCAAAAACATTTGGGAGTCACTGTTTAAATAATAAATAAAGTGTGACCTGATTTATTGATTTGATGATGACATTTATACCTGACCCTTGAAGTCCAAAAGGCTCTTGGAGTCGCTTCCAAGGTCCCAATTGAAAAAGGCATGATGCATGAGGAAAACGAGAGGAGGAGGGAGGAGGGGAAGAGCAACCTCACGCACAAGTTCATAAACCTGCAGTTCATGCAGCTGGTGCCACTGGCAGTTCTGGTTCTCTTGCCTTGGATAAAGGCCAGACATTCCCCCTTACAGCCACCCTCAAGTCCCTTCTCTGCCCCAATTTTCTTAATGAGTCTGGCCAGTTTTGGGGTGGGGGAAACCAATGATCAATGTGGAAAGGAAACCTCAGCACAAGTGACATTTCCTTGTGGTCTTTTCTGTATAGCTACTCGCTCTTAGGAATGCACCTCTACCTGTTGAACTATCCAGTCCCAGTCACACGAAATGCAGCCGTCTTCCCTATTTCAGTTGCTTGTGACACATCGTCTCATCCTATGGGTACTCCCTTTTATTCCCCCCCCCACAGATGGGAGGCAGGAAGCAGCTCTGCATTCCCCCCCCCAAAAAAAAACTCTCTAGTCTCACTGACAGGAAGAGGTCTTTGGTAGAAAATAAACCTTGGGAAATCAGCCTGGTGTTTAAGAGTGGGGGTGGTGGTACTCAGACTGGACGTAAAAAAGCTTGCTATCTTTCTCCGTGCATGCACGCGCACCCGCGCACGCACACACACACACGTTTGGAACCAAAAACCAGGTAATGTCACACCAAAAATCGTGTTGTGGTCCACCATCTTGATCCAAACGTTTACAAAAACCACCTAGCTCCCACCTCAGGAGCTCTGATGTAGAGTTTGATGGCAATATCTTGAGAGGGGGCCAAATCCATAGAGAACAGATGGCCAAATAGACAAGCCACTTAAAAATGTATATAGTAGATTATTATTATTATCACTATTACTATAATCTATATTATTATAACTATTATTGCATTCTGTTCTCCTTCCAAAAGGAGCCAAATGATGTAACCAAATTCAGAATATTTACAGATACTTTCTGTGATCCTCAACAGCATCCAAAGGTTTAACCCGGTACCCAAATTTCTCTTGTCCCCAGAGCAACAGGCTCATTTGCCACACCAGGAAGTCGGCCCAAGGGCTGCCGCCTCAGCAAAAGCAGCCCAGCTGCAGGAGACCAGCGATGGGCTCACGCTTTGCCCCCTGGAACGCTTTCAGAAAATACAAGCTGAGGAAAAGGATGAGGTGAGGAAGGACCAAGTGCGCAGTCACAATGAGGTGTGGGCAGACCTGGCTAAATCCAGGTGCCATTTCACTCCCTGCGCTCTTGCTGAAGGTGAGGGTTGTGGGTTGGGGGACTCAGGCCAGAGAGCTGAATGCGGCCCTCGAGGCCTCAGACTCTCCCCAGGCCCCTCCTCTCACCAGCCCTGCTCTGTGCCCCTCTTGAGTGCTTTGGCCTAGCTAGAAGTGTGATCAGGCTCCTTAACCCAGATTTCAGTGAGCCTGACTTTTCTTCCCTGGCAGATCTACCCGATCAAGGACAAAGAGACACGCACCCGACTGGCCTTGGTCATCTGCAACATTGATTTTGAGCACTGTAGCAAAAGGGAAGGAGCCGAGGTGGATCTGGCCCAGATGAAGCTTCTCCTGGAAGGACTGGGATACAGAGTGGAAACCGAGACCAACTTATGCTCACAAGTAGGTGGTTGTGGTGGTGGGGAGTTTTCCAAGGCGCTTTCAGTTTCCAAGGCGCTTTCAGGTTTCATTTCCCTTTAGCCATCAAACTTCCTTCCTGGAAACTCCCTGACATTCCTGCTCAAAACAGCCTCCAAAACAGAACCCAAACATTTTGTAACAACCAAATAGCACAGCAGTTTCGTTCCTACACACACAGAGACACAAACCCTGAGGCCCGACGGAGTCAGAAACCTTGTGGTGATACGCAGAGCAGCCAGAACTGAGATGCAGAAAAAGCTTTGTAATACAGTGGAACCTTGGTTTTCAAGCGTTTCGGAACCCGAATGCCGAAAACCCGGAAGTGATTCCTTCTGTTTTCGAATGTGCCTCAGAAGTCGAATGGCTTCCGAGGTGTGTTTCTCCATTGTTTCAATGGATTTTGCTGACCGCCCATTGATCCTCGGTTTTCGAACATTTCAGAAGTTGAACAGTCTTCCGGAATGGATTACGATCGAAAACCAAGGTTCCACTGTATATATTCTATTAATATATTCTAGTATGTCACAGAGCTGGAAAGTACCTTAGATACCACTCAGTCCAACCCCCTGTTCAATGCAGGATAAACATAGTAGAATAAGCACATTAGGTTCCCTGTGCTTAAATCCTGGCAGTGTGGTGTAGTGGTTAGAGTGTTGGACCTGGGGGAGAACCAGGGTTCAAATCCCCATTTGGCCTTGTAGCTCACTGGGTGACCTTAGGGGTCAGTCACTGCTCCTCAGCCTAATCTGCCTCGCAGGGTTGTTGTGAGGATAAAATGGGGGCATGTGTGCCGCTTTGAACTCTTTGGAGGAAAGGGGGGGGGAGAGATATAGAAAACATACAAATAAAGGAATAAATTTTCAATCCCACCTTTACTTCAGACATAAGGCAGGGATGATCAGTGTGGTGCATTAAAGATATTATCTCACTCCCAACTGCTGAGAGTTGGAGCCAAGCAAATCTGCAAGGCAGCCTTGGTCACTTCCCTGGACATGGGGGGGGGGTTCAGGGAGTAGAAGCTGCCCCTCTTCTTCCCTTTTAGCTAAGAAAGCTGCCCTTTTGCTGCCGACCCAACACCCCCTTCTCTCTGCTTGCAGGACATGGCCGAGCGCTTAAAGAGCTTCGCAGCCCAGGAGGAACACAAGACCTCCGACAGCACCTTTCTGGTGCTTATGTCTCACGGCCTCCGGGAAGGCCTGTGTGGGGTGAAGAATGAGGACTCGTGCCCAGATATCCTCTCCGTGGACACTGTCTTCTCCACCTTCAACAACAAGAACTGCCCGGCTCTGAGGGGGAAGCCCAAGGTCATCGTCATCCAGGCCTGCCGTGGCGGTACGTGGTGGGTGTTGAACCCGGGATTCCCTCCGCCTGCCTGGGATGTGGTGCAAGGTACCTCTGTGGTTAAGCAGGAAGTAGTGGTGGTCTTTGGGACTGGTTGGGTGGAAGGTAGGGAGCCCAACAGTAGGGGGAGCCAGAGGCAATAATGAGCAGAGCCAATCCCTGATTGGTGGCCAGGAGGAAGGTGGTTGGCTGAGGGCAGCCTGGGGTTGATGGGACAGCAGCATGTTTTCTCTAGCAGACCAATTCTGTTGGGGGGCACTGGCTGTTTTATTGGGTCCTGGTCAACAGGATCAAAAGAATTGCCCCTGAAGTAGTCAGTTTCTGTTTCCACATGCAGTAATGTGGGGAGTGGGGGCCTGTATTAACTGGATTTAATTAATTTCTAGAATAAATAGCACCATTTCAGGAAAATTAATGTAAGGAAGCCATTCTGAATCTCCCCTCCCCTCCTGTAATAGGGAAGAGTAGATGGATTCCGGGGCAATTCCTCACATGTCTCTCTGGTCTCACTGAATGGTTGCCAATAAAAGGCGCAAAACCAGCAAGCAGGCAGCTTTTTATTAAAGGCACAGCAGCCCTTCAGGACCTTAGCAGTGCTCCATGCTGCACAAGCCAACCCCGCAATTGCATTCTGTCACAAATAAACTGCTCACAGGCCCGGTCTGCCCATGAGGCGAGATGAAATGGCTGCCTTGGGTGGCAGGATCCACAGGGACAGCTGATCTGGCCTCCAGGGAATGTATCGTCCACTGCTGCTGTTGCAGTGCGCCAAGGACAGTTGCAGCCGGCTCCTTGGAGAGTGGGTCTGCCCCCTTCCTTGGCAGCACCCCCATGCCACCTCCACAGCAGCCTTTTGGTAAATAGGAGGCACTGCTGTTCTCCTCCCGCTCTCTGTTCCTGACGTAGATCTTCACTCCCCCCCTTTTTTTCCTGGTGGGGAGAGCACCGTTTTGTGGTTCGCCTCAGAGCACCAGGTCTGGAAAGAAGTTGGGGTTTGGTCAGATCATGGAAAACACTGGGAGATGACCTCAGGATTCCCTATGAAATTTGAGCAACAGGTGATGGTGATTCCAGAAAAGAGGAGTACTGTAGAGTCCTGACAGAGGCTCTTTCCTTTTGTTTCCTCAGTGAATAAAGGATTTGCATATGTGAGCGACTCAGCAACACCTTCGGCCGCCCCCCTCAGCCCTGTCCAGTGGCAGGAAGAAGACTTTGAGAGCGATGCCATTCACAAAGTACACGTGGAAAGCGACTTCATCTGCCTCTATTCCACAACCCCAGGCAAGCGGCTCTTGTGGTCTTGTTTTTTAGTTTCATAAATACACTGTTTGATTGAAAAACACCATCACCTCTCACAGAGGTTTGCAAAGAATACAAAACAATACAATTACCAAGAAGAAAAATTAAGAACAATAACTTAAATGCTTTTGAAGAGTTAAAATAACAAATAGACTAAAAACAGCTGAAGCCCCGCATCAGCTTACTAAACACCTGGGTAGATTTGTCTAAACAAAAATGTTTTTACCGGGTGCTGAAAAGAGTACAGTGATTATCAAGAGGCAGGGAGTTCCAAAGTGGAGGTGCTGCCATACTAAAATATCAACTTTTTACAAAGGGAAAACAAGTATTATGTAGCACTTCTCTAACAGTGCCAGTTCCATCGATCAAAGCAGTGGAGTGGGCAGATAATGGGGTAAGGTGATTTTGTAGGTAAACTGGTCGCAAGTTATCATCTGGCCCTGTTCATTGGCAACTGGATAAGCTGCCCTGGTCAGCCTCAGATGCTGTGTTAGCATTGGCCGCCCAGAGTTGCCGGCTGACAACTCTTAGAAAAATGAGGAACTAAGATAAACCAACAGTTCAGAAATTCATTTAGCCCTAAGCGTCATATGTTCATGTTTCCTCAACAGATAATGTATCCTGGAGAAGCCCCCAAACTGGATCTCTCTTCATCACGCAGCTGATCAAAGATATCAAGAAACATGCCTGGAACTGCAACCTGGAAGAGATCTTCAGAAAGGTACGCCCTCCCTCCTAAGGCCGTGTCCTGCTCTGACCCCAGGCGAGGCAAAGCTCCCTTCTGCAGGGCTCAAGCCGGAGAGCAAAGCTCTGATGTTGCTTCCGCCTTTCTTAATTCTTATTTTTCAGCCAGCCTTAATTAATTCTTATTTAAGGTAAAGGTAAAGGTACCCCTGCCCGTACGGGCTAGTCGTGTCCGACTCTGGGGTTGCGCGCCCATCTCGCTTAAGAGGCCAGGGGCCAGCGCTGTCTGAAGACACTTCCAGGTCACGTGGCCAGCGTGACAAGCTGCATCTGGCGAGCCAGCGCTGCACACGGAAACGCCGTTTACCTTCCCGCTAGTAAGCGGTCCCTATTTATCTACTTGCACCCGGGGGTGCTTTCGAACTGCTAGGTTGGCAGGCGCTGGGACCGAGCAACGGGAGCGCACCCCGCCGCAGGGATTCGAACCGCCGACCTGACGATCGGCAAGTCCTAGGCGCTGAGGTTTTACCCACAGCGCCACCCGCGTCCCCAATTCTTATTTAATGTAAAATAAATAAACTAGTCTTTTTGCAAGAGTGCATGGAAGTTCTAGGAGCTAGTCCTTTCTCCAGCTGGACAGGGATACTATTTTTTCCCCCTTTTCATTTAAAAAAAATTTTTTTTTGAGGAATGACCTGCTGTGAACTCTTTCTTCCTCTTCATTGCAGGTCATGCAGTCCTTTGAAAAAAACCCATGCCAGATGCCCTCCAAGGATCGAACCACCCTGACCAAAAAGCTCTACCTTTTCCCGGGGCACTAAAACTTGAGTAAGTGCCTCTGCTCTCCCTCTTCCTAACTGGATTTGCCAGGGGTGTGTGTGTGTGTTGGGGAACAGTGTGAGGGACAGGCAAGTCTGGAGGCTTATTAGCCAGTATGGTGTAGTGGTTAGAGTGTTTGTTCTGGACCTGGGAGATCCGGGTTCAAATCCCCACTCCACCAAGAAGCTCACTGGGTGACCTTGGGACAGTTGCTGTCTCTTACTTAGCCTAACCTACCTCTCAGGGTTGTTGTGGGACTAAAATGGGGAGAACTTTGTATGCCTTGGAGGAATGGTGGGGTATAAATGTAGAACTGAATAAAACCAAGTAAGAAACATTTCTGTAGTGTAGCGAAGAGGCAAAGGCTGTCTTCCTGACCCTATTTACCTAGGAGCAAGACTCACTGTATTCAAAAGGATTAACATCTGAGTGGGCCTGGTTAGGATTGTGCAGTGCGCTACATAGCAGGGGGTCCCCAGTTCCAGTCTCTGCCCTGACATCATTTGGTATATTTAGCCAAGCCCCCCTATCTCAGTCTCAGGAGTCCCCATGGGAGGATATAACACTGGCCTACTTTGCAGGGCTGTTGCAACCACACAGGGCTGCTGAGCACCTGGAATCACCTGACAAATGTTGAGCCTTCTGTATTATTGTGGAGAATGGCTGCAGAACATCAGGAGGCGTTCCTCAATTTCCTTTTCTTCTCTCTCCTGCAGGCGAAGGGGTAGCATTCTGAACTGAGTCCCTCCCAGCTGCTGTGGACAATCATATACAGTGGAACCTCGGTTTTCAAACGTAATCCGTTCCGGAAATCCGTTTGACTTCTGAAATGTTCAAAAACCAAGGATCAAAGGGCTGCCAGCAAGTTCAGTGGGGAAAATTGAAAAATGCGTCTCAGAAGCTGTTTGACTTCTGAGGAGCATTTGAAAATGGAAGTGTTAGAGGTATCGGGTGGTTGCTCGAGAGCAATCAAGCAATATGCCTCAATAGTCTGTTCTAAAGCTTTCTTATTTGTAGTAAAAACCTTTACAATGCAGAGTGCCTCTCTTCCACGTCTTGCTCATTCACTAGCAGCATCTGAGAGTGGGCGGTCCTTAAATCTTCCCCAGCAGAGTAGTCTCTTGACCCCCAGTCTGCACCTCCCCTCTCTGCGCGAAAGCCTTCTGCGCAAGGAAGGCCTGGGTAAAGGGGGACCTCCCTCCTCCCCGCTTTGCTCAGGCAAGGTGTCCTGGCACCGCCTTGCATCCTCCGAGCCCTGCATCTCCTCCCCACTAGAGGCGTGGCTTCCTTCCTCCGCTGAGGAAGTGCTGCTTCCCACGATCTTTGGGGGCTCTCTGTAATCCATCCGCCTTTTCCCCTCTTGCTCCTGAGCCGATGGCAATTCCCTGACATGAAGCATTCACTTATGAGTTTTCGACGTTCAGCTTCTAAAGCGTTTGGCAGCCAAGACGTCCGAAAACCGAGGTTTGACTGTATTTGCAAGTTCTGACTGCAGCATTGCTTAACCTCATCTTCGAACACCTTCCTTCCACCTCCCAACTCTCTTATTGCGGCACATCCTTGATCATGATCATGATCTCTCTCTGCACTTGAGAGATGCCACCTCTTCTCATCCCTCCTCACAGATTGAAGAAGAGCCATGCAGCTGAATCAGACCAAAGGGACTAGCCCAGCACCCACAACCAACCAGCTGTCTCTTCTGGGAAGCCCCAAAGCTGGAGATAACTGCAGCAGCCACACTCTTCTCACTTGTGATTCCCAGCAACTGGTATTATTCAGAGACATACTACCTCTGACAGAATTGCTTCGCAAATATATTTTTTTAAAGAATATTGTAACACGATGATCAGTGAACCTGCTTTTCCTGTGCCAGAATCTCCTTCTTCCCATGCACATGATCCAAAATAAATGCATATTCTTCCCCCTTTCCCTCTTATCCTTCCATTGCCACCTCTTTCCAGAGTTGTTGCAGGGTAAGAGACTTGTCCTCTAGTGGAAAGCACCTTAGATAATTGTGGTGGAGCCACTGCGATCCTATTCTCAAAGTTGGTAGGGCTGCAACAAGAGAGTGACCCTCAAACATTCATTGTGGGAGTGTGAAACACTTACTGGGTTTTGAGAAAGCATTTTTGATGTGGTTCCTAATGTTACAAGTCCATCATAGAACCCAGATCCGGCTCTGGGCCTTCTGTCACGTGACACAGATCTAGACTGTCCCCTTATATCCATAAGGACCTCCTTGCCTTGCTGCCTGTTTTAGAAATCGCCTCACAAGTTAATTGTGATCCTTTTGACCAGGTCGGGTTCCCATATCTCAGCTATGGAGACAGAAGCGATGTCAATATCAGGCTGACTTACGGAGAAGCTATGTCATGGCTAGTTGGTGATTCTTTCAGTGGTGGTGTCCCTGCTCAGATTTTCTTTTTGCTTGTGTCAGGAGCCAGAGATAGGTCAGCCCAGTGACAGTGAAGTTAACTCTTTATTCAAAGAAACCAAAACAGTGCAGGCCTAGTGATCACAGCAACCTTTCCCAGTAGGTCTTGCTGCATTGAGGCAGTTGCGGGCACTTCCCCGCACTCTCTTAAGTCTCCTCCCTAGGTCCTTCCCCAGCAACCTGAGGCTCCTCCATCCTGCCTATCTTTGCTCTGCTCTTTTCATTCCTCTCCATGTTCTGGGAGACCAGCGGGGAGGGGAGCTGGTTGCAACAGGAGAGGGAGACTCCCTAGATTCTTCAGCTACCTCTTTACCTCTCTCCTCTCCAGCCTCTGCTTCATCCTCAGGGTCTGAACTGCTCTCTGCCACAGCCTCTTCCTGCTCACTAAACCGTTGCCTCTTCAGCTTCAGGAGGAAGGTCCCAACTCCAAACTCCCGGCTTTGCTTTCCACAGAAATGGGCAATTCCATTCCCTATGTCCTTGTTTCAGACAGACTCACAAAATGTTCCCCAAATCCCATCCCTGGCCCTCCCACCCACCTCACCGTGAGGGTGAGGGTAACTTACACAACTTTGCACTCACTAGAATTGCCTTGGCAGCCAGTTATTCTGAGCTTTCTATGCTCCGGACGCCCCTCTGAACAGCTGCTTGACAGTTCCTGATTATCCAGACCAAGAAAAGCCATGGCAGAAGTCAGACTGACAGTTCATAGTGAGGTGAGGGCTTCTCCGCATCAGAGATTGCAGAATTGGGGGCAAAGACCACGGGCAGTGGGTCTGAGGGATCCAATCCCTACTCTTTTGTTTTCCCCAGTACTGACCTCAGGCTCCGGAAAAGCCTTGAAGAGCTGTGGCACAACTGCAACAAGAGAAGGACATGTGGACAAGTTAGTTCATCCCTTAGCAGCTTCCAAGATTATTCCAAGAGACTTCTCCTTAATTTCCCTGCTTCTACTCTTGTTAAGTAGACACCTCTAGACACACAATGGACACCTGTAGTTAGTGGCTTTTAAGGGAGAAGTGAGAGATGTCACAATGGAGGGCAAATCATTGTTACCACGGCAACCCACCCACTTTGACCCTGGGCCAATCTTGTTTATTCAGAACTTTGAGGCACCTGCTGTTCCGTCTGCAGGTTTGCTGAATTGTCTCTCTTCAGGGTTCATTTCATATCATTTTTCATTCAGCCACATATCTAAAGGGAGACAATCCCAACACCCCTTTAAATGCAGTAGAAGACTCCCAAGTCTAGGGATGTCCATAGCACAGGATTAGACAATCTGCTTGAGCTGTGATTTCCTGTGTTGCGGGGGGCTGGATGATGACCCTTAGGAGTAAATTTCTGTGATTCTACCTACCATTTTAACCAGGAAAAATGATTTTAAAATGTATTTTTTGTGTATGGAACTATTTCAGAAGGCCTCTCAAAAGTATGGGAATAAATCGAGCATGCTTTGCTAATTATTTTACCCAGGAGCAAAATGAACTGGAGGCGTTCTAACAACATAAGGCATATCCCACCAATTTCTTCATGTTCCTGGCCAGGCTGTTGCCATATAATTATCACTGCCAAACTAACAGTGCTGAAACTTTGCTGCAAAGAAACTGCAGTTTCATGAAATGAGGACGCATTATTATAACAATTCGGGGATTTGCTAAGTCTTCATTACATTGATAACCAGTTATTAAATGTCTTTAAGAAGCTTCAGTTTTTCACGAAAGATTCCAATACTTTGAAAAAAATTGTTTCTGAGAACTCGCATCACTTAGAAACCTGTGGTGGACGATGGATTTCTGAACAGGAGGCAACGTGGAACTGAAGAGGAATTCAAAATGTGGAATGGGAATGAGGAAGGTGAAACTTAACATTTTCAGTTTCTGAAATAAGAAAGGCAGGTGCTTAGCCGGCAATGGAATGTATGTTTTATTTTAGAAAATGTCTGTTCCACATTTCAATTCAAAAAAAGCCCCCCTCTCGTAGGTGGTTTCTAGAATCCTCCCCTACAAAAATACAGTTAGAATAAGATAAAAGTGATTAAGAATGTATAAAAACAGCTGCAAGAGGGGCATGAAACAATTGGGTCTGTTTATGAATACAGCGGGGACACAGGTGGCGCTGTGGGTTAATCCAGAGCCTAGGACTTGCCGATCAGAAGGTCGGTGGTTCGAATCCCCGCGACGGGGTGAGCGCTTGTTGCTCGGTCCCTGCTCCTGCCAACCTAGCAGTTCAAAAGCACGCCAATAAGTGCAAGTAGATAAATAGGTACCGCTCCGGCAGGAAGGTAAACGGCATTTCCGTGCACTGCTCTGGTTTGCCAGAAGCAGCTTAGTCATGCTGGCCACATGACCTGGAAGCTGTCTGCGGACAAATGCCGGCTCCCTCAGCCAATAAAGCGAGCTGAGCGCCGCAACCCCAGAGTCAGTCACGACTGGACCTAATGGTCAGGGGTCCCTTTACCTTTACCTTATGAATACAGCAGCCTTGACAGATTTAAGGCACTGCAGAATAAAAAATTTATATGTCAACCCCCCAAAAATCAAGAGAGAGATGATAGCCCTCTTTCAGAAACTGCCTGGGTGATGCTACCAATAATACCCCACTTTCTGTGTTCTCATCAAGCTCATCTCCAAAGCTGGTGTAACAGAGGAGAGCTTCAGATTGTTATGAATTTGGAGGGTCAGTCTGGATCACAGAATCATAGAACTGCAGAGCTGGAAGGGACCCAAGAGTCATCCAGTCCAATCCCCTACAATGCAGGAATCTCAACTAAAGCATCTAGGACAGATGGCCCTCCAACCTCTGCTTAAAAACTTCCAATGAAGTATACTGTCCACCATCTTCCGAGGGAATCCATTCTTCTTGCTGTCAGAAAGTTTTTTCTGATGTTTAGTGAGAATTTCCTTTCTCCAAACTTGAAGCCATGAGTTTGGGTCCTATTCTGGAGAAGGAGAAAATAAGCTTGCTCCACCTTCCTTGTGGCAGCCCTTTAGATAGTTGAAGATGGCTATCATATCTCCTCTCAGTCTCCTCTTATCCAGGCTAAACATATGCAGATTTTTCATCGTTCCTCTTAAGACTTGGTTTCCAGACCCTTCATAATCTTGGTCACCCTCCTCTGCACATTTCCCAGCTTGTCAATATTCTTTGCACTTTGTGGTGCCCAGAACTGGACACAGGACTCCAGGTGTGGTCTGACCATGGCAGAATAGAGTGATACAATTTTACTTCTCTTGCTATACTTCTGTTGATGCCCTGAATTTCTTCCAGTTCTTGGGATCCTGTATCTGGTGTAGTAGAATGTAGGAGAGCAAGCCTGCCAGACCAGTCCCTATGTCTAGGTAAGGGTTTTGGCTGACTAGTTAAGCATCACAATTAGCATCTGCAGAAAGTTACTCTGTGCCACAAAACAAATGGGTGGGCCTTCTCCCGGCCACACACTGCCTCACCTAGCTGCTAAGTAGAACAATAGCCAGTGTGGGGTGTGTGAGCTAAGCTGGAAGCAGGCTGGAAGCTGAAGACACAGAGACATGCTTGCTTTGTCCTGGATCCAAAGCTTTAACTAATGGATCTGTTGGGGGTGTTAATGCTGTTAGCCGCTCCATGCTCTGGTTGTATATATGTGTAAATAAAACCATATATCCTCAAAATAGTCTCTACCAACCATCATCACAAGGAAATTGAACTCTGGTCCAGCACCTGGAACTCCTGAACACTCACTGCTCAGAGATTGGGGTCGCATGCAACACCATGTTGAATGCAGTGGGATAAGCACTAGTATGTATACAGGGGCACCTAGGAGGTCTGAGGGCTCTCCCCCTAAAAAAGTGCAGGTTTTGCTCCACCATCTTGATTCAAAATGGCACCCAAATGTATCCAAAAATTGACAACATTCTGCTCCTTGAGCTCAGGAACCATCATGCAAAATTTGGTTATGTTGCCTTAATTCAAATGCATAGACCCAGATCCTGCCCCAAATCTAGATGGAGGTCAGCCCTAATTTTTAGAATTCAGAAAAGTGCAGATTTCAAAGGCTGGTCATATTTCGGTTGATGTATTTCTTGGAAACTGTGACTTAGGTTGGTTTGCCTTTTAATTCACACTGAATTGAAATTATCCCCACTTAGAGTAGAGCCACTGAAATTAATGGATCAAAATTAGCCATGTATGTTAATTTCAGTGGATCTACTCTGTGTCTGACTAACAAGAGATACAACCTGAAGATTGCCTTTGTTTTGTCAATAAATATATAGTGCTTTTTTTCTTAAAAAATGTTTAGGGGTACTCTCATTTACCTACTCATATTGAAATACTGCCCCTCAATGAGGCCAAACTTATATTCACAAAATGTTTAGGGGTGTGTGTACCCCTGTGTACCCCAAGGAAAAAGCACTGAATATATATGTTATGGGGGGAAAAGGCAAAACTGTCCTGATGAATTTGGGAGCATCTGCATGCAAAGTGCTAAATCATCAAGCACCCATCCCTTGCTAAGCTAATATTCATGAAATATTAGCTTATTAAGTTCCTCAGTCATTATCATTATCATCATAATCATTTCAATTACGTACATGATTTCTCTAGGGATTTTTAAAAAAATGTATGTGTTAATACTATAATACTGTAAATTTATGTTTAAATTATATTGAAAGTTGCTTGGAATAATAAGAACAGTAATAATATAATAATAGAATCACAGAAGTGTAGCGTTGGAAGGATCCTCAGGGGTCATCTAGTTCAGCCCCCTGCAAGAATAATAATAACAAATAATTAGCATTATTACAATTGTTGAATACCCGCTGTTATTGCTGCAGCTATTGCGTTATCTGAACTCACACCAGAGTTCATGCCTCCTATTAATATGCAAATGAACGAGGGCACGAGCCCCACCCACGGAGGAGCCCCACCTGGAGGGCAGAGGTGACAAAGGAGAAAGGGAGAGCCACTCTCACGCTTCCACGTGCTCCGATTGGTCCAGGCAGAGCAGCGCCCCGCCTCGTCTTTTGATTGGACTGAAATGGAGGCGTCGCAGGGGCGTGGCGAGGAGGGCGAGCGGGCGTGGCCAATGCTCGGAGGCGCTAAAATAGTTGCGGAAGCGCCTGCCCGCCAAGAGCCTCCCAGGCGCGCCTCCCCGTTTCAGCCAATCAGCCGGCGCCTCATTTTCCTCCTCCTCCTCCTCCTCCTCCTCCTCCTCCCTTTCTTTTGACAGCGCCGAGCAGAAAACGGACGTGGGCGCGCCTTTTTCTCTTTTTCCCTGCTCCCCATTGGACAGCAGGAAGGACGCGCTGTGATTTCTCATTGGCCGCCGCGGCCCGCCCTTTCCCATTCCTGCGCGTCCCTCCCCCTCTCTTATGCCAGGCAAGCAGGCAGGGAGGGCGGAGAGCTGCGCAAGGGTCGATCGACGGGAGGGGCGGGCCAATCGGGGCCTTGCGCGCCGCGAAGCGCCCGCCCCCTCCCTCAAGGCGGGGCGAGCGCGTGCCTCGGGATTGGCCCTTCACGGCGTTCGCTGATTGGCTGCGTGGCGGGAGGGGGCGCTGCGAGGCCGGTGGGCGGGAGCGGCGCGCGGCGGCAGCTGAGGTGGGAGCAGCGCCGTCGGGAGGGAGGAGCGCAGGTGAGGAGACCCCCGCCGTCGCGCCCCCGCCCCGGCCCCGCCCTGAACCGCCCGCCCCGGCCCCTCAGTCGCAGCTGGCCCACGGGGTAGGCGGGCCGGGTGCAAAGATCGCAGCAGGCCCGCAGCAGGCCGCGCCTCAGGCGTAGGAGGAGGCCCAGCCCCAGCGCCGCCTGCCGCCAGTGGGCACGGAGGGAGGGAGGGGCCTCCACACACACACACACACACACCTCCACACCCGCGCCAGGCCACGCCTCTCCCTGGGAGCCCCCTCTTAAGCCCCGCCCACTTCTGCCCTCTGCACATGCTCAAGGGGCGTGCGTGTGTGCGGAAGTGCTGGTCGGCACAGTAGGCTTCGTCCTCCTGCGAAACGGGTTACATTTCCCCTCCCTTAGAGCATGGGCAGAGTGATTTCTCCACCCACCAACGTTTGCACTGGCAGTTTCTTAAGATGCATCTGCAGCCCCCTCACTCTGACCATGTGCCGAGTGATTTCTCTCCCTCTTACCCCTCAACAGGCCCACTTCCTGTTTCTAGGAAGGCTCTGTAGTCCTTACTCTGAGCATGTACTCTGAGCATTTCTCCCAGCACCCCCAGCATGTGCAGAACGATTTCTCATTTTCTCTCTCTCATCCTCCTACTAAACTGGTTATATCCCTTTCCTCTAAGCACATGCAGAGTACTCCCCCCAGCCAACTCTTCTCTTGTCAGTTTGTAAGGAGCAACTGTAGCTATCCTTTTCCAAGGGAGGTTTCTGGACTCCCGACCCTCTGCAGCCAGCATAGGGCAGTGATTAAGGGTGATGGGAGCTGCAGCCCAAGAACATCAGAAGAGCCTGTGTCTGGATCAGGCCAAAGGGTGTCGCTTTAATCCAGCATCCTGTTTTCCACAGCAGCCAACCAGATACCCCAAATGGGAAGCCTGGAGGGTCACAGATGGTCCCTGTCCCTGTCCATTCAGTGATCAGCTAAAAGGAAAACTGATTCTCATATGACTCAGCCTTATGGCAGCCTGATGTGCCCTCCAGATGTTTTGGACTCCAACTTCCATCAGCCTCAGCCTGAGCGGCCTTGCTCCCATCAGCCCCATCATCACATGGCTGTGTTGGCTGAGGCTGATGGGAGTTGTAGTAAAAAAAAAAGTATTGAGAACACTAGGTTGGCAAAGGCTGATATACATACAGAGACATTTGCCTGTTGGTTCTAGAATGCCACCAATGCCAGGCCCCAAATCTCCAAGTGTCCCAGCTCCAGGGACTCTGCCTGTCCTGGGCACTATTCCAACATCATGGGAGAAAGTAGAAGGGGCAGAAAGCAGAAAGCCCAGCATCTTGGGGAGAGATGTTGCCCCATGTTCTTTGGAAATGTCTGGCTATACTTTGCTTTTAATGGCCCATAACCATAGCTGTCAACTTTTCCCTTTTCTTGCGAGGAATCCTATTCGAAATAAGGGAATTTCCCTTTAAAAATGGGAAACGTTGACAGCTATGTCCATAACCCCTGCCACTCTTGCCCCAAATACCACTTGGAGTGGGTGCTTGGGTGCAGAGGGTGAAAGCAAATTTAGCAGATGGATTCACAGTCTGGGATTATTTGGTCTCCAAACTTAGGATTGGTTTGGCTCCCAGCTGAAAGGGGTGCAAACATTCAAAAAAATAACCCATGGGGGTTCTCTGAGTTTGGAGGTAACACTGGGGTGGGGGACATCTGTGGCCCTCCATATCACCCCCAGCCAGCATGGCCAAGAGTGGGGGCTGTTGAGAACTGTAGTCCAGCAGCATCTGGAGGGCCAAAGGCTTCCTACCCCTGCCATAAGGTTATTTCTTAAAGCAAGTAGAGCTCATGTCTCTTTTGGTCCTAGAAGCTACACCATGTCCATGGCACACAGAATTCTGAGTAAGCCCCAAGATGGAGGGAGAAGGTGTTTTGCCAAGCAGGCATGGGTTCCATTGTTTGGTCTTCCCCACCCCCATGCCCCATACATTTAAATATGTTACCTCTCACACTCAGCATGCTCAAGGCAGTTTTGCAATGTAAAATAGTAGCTTTTGGTTAGGACTACAAGTTTTAGGTGATCAGTCTTTAAGCAATCCATTGAGAAAACATTCAATTGAGTCCCAGTTAACTAGGCCACACTTTTAAATAGTTAACTTTTTAAAATAATTTTCCTTAATGTTTGTGTGAAGCTTGCTGATGTCTTTTTCAGAAAGAAACATTTTTCCCTCAGAGAAGCGAAGGCCTGTTGTGATATGATTATTTGCACTCCACTGTTTAAAAACAATGGGGGTTTGTTGTTGTTCTAAACCGTTATTTTATTTGTATGCAAATTTAGGCAGATTTAATTGAACAGAAAACATTTAAATGGCAGTTCTAAGGATGTTTACTCAGAAGGCAGCCCCACTGTGTTTAGTGCTGCTGCTTACAGCTGAAAAGATGAAAAAGAAAGCTAGCGTGTCAGGGTAAATGCCTCCTTTTTCCAGGGGATGATGTTAGTTTGTGCATGAAGGAGTAGTTGGCAATGTGAGCTCCCCACATTTGCTGTCTGAAGTGATGGGGTACCAGAAAACAATATTTTGTCATTCTCCTCCTCTCCTGTTTGTGAGAACTAGACCATGGCTAACTGACTGAAAAATACATGTTTGTATATTTCATATCACCACCATAATCGCTCCTATTACTGATAATATTACTACACACACACACCCACACACACCCACACCCACACACCTTTCATTTCAAGAAGAAATGCTTCATGGTGCAAGTACAAACAGGAGTATAAGGAACAACCAATATCTACATACTGCATGCACCCAGAGACTTCTTTTCACTTGTTGTAGGGTTGAGCTGATGCTGTAATGTTACAGGAAGCTAGCTGATACCAGAGCAGCGCTCTGTCTCACCCGATAGTGTCTGCTGCTGTTGTCTGGCAGTTTTGGACTCCTCCCTGATACCTTCTAACTGGAAATCTTGGGGGATGAATCTGGGACCTTCTACTTCCAACACTCAGCAGTACCCCCTACCCTTGTACCCTTGTGCAGGTAAACTGTGACACACACTCACCCTTACTGGTGCAAATTATCTGTGGCTTAATGAAGGCCCTGTGGTGTGATGAGGGTGCACTGGGTGCTCACTTTCCAAAAGGAGAGGACTTGAAAGCACTCCCTCCCCCTTTCCTTCCTCAATCCTAGATGCAGCTGTGTGGGAGGGATACACTGTACACACTGTGAGGTGCTTCCACTTTCACTCTGCCATTTAATACACTCTTGGATTGAGCTACAACATTAAAGGGAGAGGCCAAGGCCTTCAGAGTATGTGTCTGTGAGTATGAGTTTAATTTCTAAAATCAGTGGTAGCTGGTCGGGCCACATGCCCGCGGTCCCCCAGGCATGAGGGACGTGGGGTTTGTATGGTTGCCTGCTCAGTGATGATTCAGGGAAATTGCTTCATATTCTTAGGGGTGCTTTTGCTATCACTCTGGCAGCTTTTACTTCGTGCGTTCCAGGTCTGATTCCATAGCGTTCAAAACAGATTCTAGGGTGGGGTCTGACTCTGTGTGGGTGTATGCAGAACTCTGTGCTTATTTTCTAAAATGTGAAGTGCTTGGAAACGACACAGTGGAATCCTTGCCTCTAAACACAGATATGTGCCTGGGGCTAGCTGTATTTCTTGCGTTTATGAGGGAAAGGGTTCTTATTATCGTTCAGGGATGACCTTTTATTATGAGAATTATAGAACTGGTAGACTGGAAGGTCCTGAGTAGGCAATTCACATGCATCTGATGAAGTCTGCTCTATTCCAGTAACATTTTTGCCACAAAAGATCTGTTTTGTGTTTTTGCTGTAACATACTCTCTCACACACCGTAATGTATTCTACATTTAAAGACTTTGTTTCAGTTTCCAGTTTCTTAGCAAAACCTTCTGAATAATCCTGATCTTGCCTTACCAGATCCTTCACTGCCGCCTGACTTCCTTATCCCAACATCACTATTTATTGCCACCGTCCACCCTGTCTTGTCTAGCTGTCAGGCTGTGCTGTTTGTTTATTATTTATTTATTTATTTATTTACTTGCACCATTTATCCCACCCAGATAATTTATCTGGATGGTGAACAATACATTCTACAAGTCATGGTGGTTTGTGTGTGGGGACGGGGGCAGCGGGGGGGGGGGGACTTCACAAGCAAACAAATAATCAAAATTAAAAATGGAATTAAAGCCACGAGTAACAAACTTTATAAAGAGTATTAGAATGCACTAAAATATCAGTTTAAAATGCCCAGAAAAATAAAAAGGACTTAACCTGGTGCAAAAAAGGATCATAGCATGGGTGCCAGGAGAGCATTCCTGGGAGGACATTGTGGAATGTGGCACCACCACTGAAAAGACCCTTTCTCCAGTAGCCACCCATCACACTTCCTCATCTAGTGGGGTGCTCAGAGAAAAAGTATGGGTGGATAGATGTGGGAGGAGACAATCTTTCAGGTAACTTGTTCCCAAACTGTTGGGGCTTTAAAGGTTAAATCCAGCAGATTGAAATGAGCTGGGCACCAGAACATCTGGAGAGGATGTTTGTCTCTTGGTATGCTTCTGTGCAGCTCTTGTCCTAATCCCCGATGGATGTGTGTGCATGATTGTGATTATTAATTGGTAAGTGGAAAGCCTGTGCTTGCATGGCGCTCCTTCTTACTTCACATGTTCTGTTATTGAATCTGGATGTTCAACCAAGATCCAGGGTTGTACACGAAATGAGTCTTGTGTGCAATCTTTTTTTACATTATTTTAAACACTTGAAAGTTTGAAATTCCCTCTCAAATAAAATTCATCTTCTACGCTTTGATAAATTAGGCTGTTTTTCCAGCTCACATGAATTGCCCCAAGCAGCTTACAATTCATATGTTAAAAGCAATCAAACACAATTAGAAGATAAGATATACGCAACACAAACATTCCAGGAGGAAAAGAGAAAGAGAAGGACATGTCTATTTTATCTATTGTAGTTTTCATATCCACCCTTAGTGATTGTGTCTTCATGGAATCTTCTTGAAGGAAACATAGCCAATCTTCCTTCATATTACAAATGGTTCACTAATATTCTTTAAGTGGCCGAGCAAATGACCCTGCGAAAGCTACTTGCCCAGCTGCCCACCAACCACTGGAAATCATTCATAGCATATTGAAAACTTGAAAGGAAAAAAGGGGCATGTCTCTTCCAGTTTGTAAGTCTTAAGTTTTCACTTCCTGGTCATCTGGAGCCAATTCCTGATTGATACAGGTGACTCTTGTGGACATGCTTCAGCTTGAGAATAGCTTTTTGGTGAATCAGATGTTCAGTGGGGCCTCTAAATTTCTTTTTACTGTGCCATTGCCTGTTGATATGATGAGTATGCCTGTTTCTCTACAGCAGCTAAAGTTGGCCCAGTATTCCATTTTTAATTAATAGGTTTTTGTATCATGCCGTCTGCTTATAAGTTCACTTACCTGGAAGTGCCTTACGTATCAAGGCAGTGCATTTAGTATTGAGCTGAAAGTAGTGTTGACACCTCAATCGCACATGTTTCAAATGAGCCAGCCACCACAGGTAACAGCTTGTCTCTTATAACAAGGATTTAACAGTCAAGGTATTTGAAAGGGTTTTTGTCATCCACACTGATCTGGACACATTGGGAGAGCATAATTAATCTTTGCAATTGAAGATAAGCAGTGCTGTGGCACCTTAAAAGCTATGTGGCTTCTTGTGGTGTGGCCTTTCTTAGGTTGGAGTTGGTTCCACCAGATGCATCAATTTAGATTTGCAATCTGGATTTTCTTTCTGCACCTTTTAATCTTCTGCTGTATCAGGAGACGAAGCAGCCATCCAGGTTTCTCCTGCATGGTTTCCCACCCCCAGGCCCCAGTCCTGTTACACTTGCCCCCTCCCACATAGCTGTATGGCATACAGAAAGTCTTGCTCCATATGGCAGGCTGAACAACACAGCCGGGGGGGGGGGGATGGAAAGAGATAACAGGGCTGTCTGCCTCATTTCCTTATTCAGTGGTAGATTTTAAAGGTGCACAGGGAATCTCTAGGCTGCAGCCTGACAACCCTCCCTGGTGAGCCACATTAAAAATAAAAAGATACTGTGAAGCTGGTAAAGCTGCAGAAAGCCACAACCAAAATGCTCATGGGGGTGTAGGCTGAAGGAGGAAGAGAGGTCGATATGGCAGAAATGGGGTGCAGTATTTTCAACCCCAGGGCCTCATTCCCTTCAGGACAACCTTCTGAGGTCTGCATGCCAGTGATGGGCAGGGCCAGAGGCAAAAGTGAGCAGAGCAATGAATGCAGATTTTACCTTTGTGCAGTAGGCTAGTTTCTGCACACACTCCCACACCCTTCTCTGCTTTCCGTTCAGGTAAGCATGATTGGAGTTCAAGGAAACGTTCCAGCCAGGTAAAAACACTCAAAGAAGGATGCAAAGCAGGGGTTCAACCTGGGTTCTGTTCTGAGGACCAAACACAGGGGGTCAGAGGACTGCATTTGGCCTCAGGCCTAAAGCTCCCCACCCCTGGCTTATGGCAATTAGCCATAGTGGTTGTATGGAACCTCCATGTTTAGAGGGAGTCTTTTACTGTATGTTAGTTCTTGGGGAGCAACAGCAGGAAAGGGCTGTCGCCCTCATGCCCTGCTTCCGGACTTCCTGGAAGCATCTGACTGGTCACAGAGAAACAAAATATACACCTAGGCTGAACCTTGGTCTGAGTCTGTTCTTACGGAATTGGGAAGCTTTGCATATTGCACTCACACACTGATTATGGTATACTGGGGGGAAAATAACGCAATGAGAGCTCAGTAAAATGGGACTTTTATCAAACAGGCAAATCACATCCTGACAGAGGAAGCTGTAGGTGTGAAATCTTTATTTGGCCTTAATGTTTGCTGGAGCATCAAGGCATGGCCATAAAAAGTTGATGTAGCTTCAAATGAACAGCAGCTCTTTTGTGATGCAGAGGGAAGGAACCTCAATTATAATCTCGTCTGACCCACTATTTCATGAGAAGTAATGTCAGATTTCTTATTCTTGGTTCTGCAGTTTCTTATTTAAACTTCCTTTATTTTTCTTTTTCTTTTTGGTTAACTTTGGTAAAGTTATGGACAGATTGGCTTGAATGTTTGTGGTAACTGAATTGCTTGGGGAGAGATTTGTTTGTGCTGATGCATCAACCAGGAATTTAAGAAGCTGCTTTATAGTGAGCGAGACCATTGGCCCATCCGGGTATAGGGTGGTATATAAATTCAATAAATAATAATAATCTAGCTCAGCACAGGGCAGCTTTACGGCATCCAGTTTGCTGGACTCTTCTTTTCTCAAACCAGCTGGAGTGTTTCAACAGTGAAGGGAGTTGGTGTGGCATGATTTATTAGGGAGATGCAAGGATAAAGCTGTTGTTGTCCTTTGGTATTCTTCCCCACTCCCTTGATTTCCATTCACTTTTCTCCCCTCAGGAAAATGTCTATTTCCAGTACAATCGGACACCTGCGAACCGAGGAAGACTGAGACTTTGCAAGGTACTTTTAATGGCTAATGTTTTCAGTTCTGCGTTTCATTTCTGCATTTGCTGAACAAAGACCCAGGTATAATTTCTCCTAGCATGTTGTAAATTAGCTCCATTTCCCTCAAGCTAGGCATTAAGTGGTAAGCAATTATTGGGTCATCTTTTGGGGTAATATTTGAACTTCATCATTGGTAAGGGTAGAAGAAATATCCTGCTGGGAAATCCACTTAGTTCAGAGTAATCCCATTCAATGTACTGTTCTATCAGGCTGAGATAGATGTGGAACTTCAAGGCCTCTCCACAGGCTTTGCTTAAACACCTGCTGCATCAGGCCTCTTCCTCATCTGTGGCTAAGGAGGTGGGAGTAATCTTCCAAACTCAAATTCCAAAGTGGATTCGTCTGATTAAACCTGGGAGAATCATGACCTGGATTGCATTGTGGGTCCTGTGGATTCCTTAATATGACAGTCCAGTGCTGCCTCTGTTCCTCAAAGATAATATTTTTCCTTTACAAATAATATTAAAATCTGTCATCCACCCTGGAGCGGCTAGTGTGCAAGGTTCTTTCCACCATGTATTTTGCATGCAAATACAGCAAGTCCTCCTGAGAGTGCCTTGCATTCCATTACCATTAGGGGGAATTGCACAGAAAAAGCATGCCTGTCCCAATGTCTATATGGGTGTCTGTCAGATTGTTAGCCCAAGATCAGGGATTGTGTCTTCACTGATATTTATAAACTGCTGTGAGAGGTTTTTTTGGCTGAAAAGCGGGATAAAAATGCTAATGCCCATAATAATATGACTACACTGCCAGTTTTTTATTCATTACATTTACATCTGATTTTCCCCCGCAATGGATCTTGAGATGTTAGAAAGCAGTTTCCCAGGCAGTCTCCCATCCAGGCAACAACCAGACCTGGATCTGCTTAGCTTTTCACAAGGTGGCTGCATCATGTGCCTTCAAGCCACATGCTGCCTTGTTGGAGTAATTTTGTGATTCCTGCACAACCACTTGAGAGTTCATATAGCACAGTTGAAAGTGCCTGAGTCCCTGTTTACATTTATAACCTAAATGTAGGCCAGAACTATGTCAAATTTGATTTGGCCTGTTGCCGTGTGCTGTTGTTAGCAGGACCAGTGGTCAGGGATGTTGTAGTCCAACAACAGCTGGGGACCCAAGTTTCAGAAACACTGACTTACGGTAAATTGAATACATCCAGGAACTGGCACAGGCACCATCAGAAGTGCTTTTTTGTGAAATGTATCTTGTTTCCAGAGGCTGCATTTCAAAATGTTTGAAAACTACAGCAACCATAAGAAGTGTCTAATTATTATAAAAAGGGGAGCCAGAACCCAGCTATAAATGAAACAAGAAATCTGCTCATACACTTTCTCTCACATACACACGCACACACACCATTGCATAATAGATAGAGACTGCATATTTGGAGAAGGTGTTGGGTGTGGTTGATATGTCAGATGGGTCCAGTCAGCCTCTCTGTGATTGATTAGGAGGCTGGGAGGCTTCCTCTTTTCCCAGCATGTTAAAAACATGAGAAGAGCCCTGCTGGATAAGGCCAGTCTGTGTTTCATCTGGTCCAGCATCCTGCTTTCAAATAGATGCTTCTATCAAGTCCACAGTCATGAAGGCAAAAGCCCTTCCTCACTGTTCCCTAGCCCCTAGAAACTGGTAGTCAGGCATGCACTTCCTCAGAACATATATCCATATATACACCATGACTAATAGTCTTTGTGGAAATCTCCCCTAATTTGCCTAAAGCCCTTTGAACATAAGAAGAGAGAGAGCCCCGCAGCTGGATGAAACCAAAAGCCCTTCTTGTCCCACAGCAGCCAATAAGATGCCTCCAAGAAACTCATCGGCAGGGTAATCAGACAAGTTGCTCTTGCAGCAACCAGTATTCATAGATAGACTGCCTCTGAATGGGGTTCAGTTTAGTCATTGGCAAGTGATAGCTGTCTCCCTGTCCATGAATTAATCTTATTTTCATACAACCTCACAAGGCAGCCATCTCTGCACATTGTGGTGGCCATGAATTCCATGTTTTGCATCATTTGAAGACATTTTCTTTCACGTTGCTATTTTTCTGTAGCCCAGCCTTTCCTTGGATAAATTTCTGGGTGTTTTTTTAAGGTTGTATCATTATTTTAAAGTACAGTTGTACCTTGGTTTTCGAATAGCCTAGTTCTTGAACGTTTTGGCTCCCGAATGATTGAAACCCAGAAGTGACTGTTCCAGTTTTCGAATGTTCCTTTGGAAGCCAAACATCAGACGGGGCTTCTGCGGCTTCCGATTGGCTGCAGGAGGTTCTGCTTGGAAATTTTAAATATATACAGTGGTACCTTGGGTTACATACGCTTCAGGTTACAGATGCTTCAGGTTACAGACTCCGCTAACCCAGAAATAGTACCTCGGGTTAAGAACTTTGCTTCAGGATGAGAACAGAAATCGTGCTCCGGTGGCGCGGCGGCAGCTGGAGGCCCCATTAGCTAAAGTGGTGCTTCAGGTTAAGAACAGTTTCAGGTTAAGAACGGACCTCCGGAACGAATTAAGTACTTAACCCGAGGTACCACTGTAAAGCAGTTTACAAATGCTTTTAAATCAACCAATAAATATTTTGATACCAAATGTAATAACAATTCAAGATGATTTAAAAAATGGATGTGGAGGTAGAATCCTCCCAGCCCCATACTTGAACTGGTCAAGTATGAAACAATTTCCATGATAGTAAAACAACCCCGCACTGCTACCCTTTCCTAGCTTGGTCTCTTTCAAATGCTTTGGACTGTGACTCACATCAGTCGTGACCAAAAAGCAGATGTCGAGTGCCAAGTATCTTGAAAAGAGAATCAATATTTCTCACAAGGTTACTCCAGGTCTGCACATAACAGACTGTATTTTCCCTGCTAATAGAATTTCCATTCCTGGCTTAATTTGTATAAAAGCCTTGCTTGATGTGGTGTCCACCCGGTGTTTTGCAGTCCAAATCGCCCTCAGCCAACATGCAGTCCAAAACCTCTGGAGGGTCCCAGAATGGGCAGGGCTTCGCTAAGCAGATATGGAAAACTAGGATTGTTCCCCCTTAATAATAATAATAATAAATTTTATTTATATCCCGCCCTCCCCAGCCAAAGCCAGGCTCAGGGTGGCTAACAACAATCAAATAATCAAACAATCAAATAATCCAACATTCTAAAACATTTCATTATAAAAATTAATTAAAATCAAATTAATGGCAACCGTTAAGCAAAGTTCTGTGCAGGTTGCCAGAGGAGGGAGTCAGGCTGGGCCCTGACCAAAGGCCTGGTGGAACAACTCTGTCTTGCAGGCCTTGCGGAAAGATGTCAGGTCCCGCAGGGCCCTAGTCGCTTGTGACAGAGCGTTCCACCAGATTGGAGCTGCAGCCGAGAAAGCCCAGGCTCTAGTTGAGGCCAGCCTAACCTCTCTGAGGCCTGGAACCTTCAGGATGTTTTTATTTGCAGACCGTAGGTTCCTCTGTGGGGCATACCAGGAGAGGCGGTCCCGTAGGTACGAGGGTCCTAGGCCGTATAGGGCTTTAAAGGTTAAAACCAGCACCTTAAACCTGATCCTGTACTCCACCGGGAGCCAGTGCAGCTGGTATAGTACCGGATGAATGTGATCTCGCAGCGAAGACCCCATAAGGAGTCTCGCCGCGGCATTCTGCACCCGCTGGAGTTTCTGGGTCAGTCTCAAAGGCAGCCCCACGTAGAGCGAGTTACAATAATCCAGTCTGGAGGTGACCGTCGCGTGGATCACAGTGGCTAGGTCAGGGCAAGAGAGATAAGGGGCCAACTGCTTAGCTTGGCGGAGATGAAAAAATGCCGCCTTTGTTATAGCTGTAATCTGCGCCTCCATAGAGAGGGAGGTATCGAAGATTACACCCAAACCCTTAACGGACGGTGCTGGCACTAATTGCACCCCCGCAAGAGATGGGACTCCTAGTTGTTAGTAGTCTGGATGCCAAGACTGGCTGAGCAGGCATTGGGCAGGCAAGGGGTAGGGGCAAACTTTTTGCGGCCACTGCTCCCTTGATTTCATAAACCTTAGCACAACCTGCTAAGGAAGAGAATGATGCAATAACATTCAAAACAATTCATTGCACATTTATTGAAAATGCAATTAGAACTATTTTGTTTAATCAATTCAACCAAACTGATGAACCTGATCTAGTGTTACCAGCTTTTCAAAGTCTGATAGTCAAATAAACCTCCAGCGCTGCACCCCCACCTCTTAGCATTTTAGGTAATCCTATTGCCTGCTTTGGAAACCCCTGGGTTAGAGTGAACTGGGAAGCACCTCTCATCACATCAGATTGAGACCAAAGCTTTTACATATACAGAAGGCACACAAAATGCATTCTATAGTGGACAGTGATCTTCCCTTTGCTCCAAGGCACCCTCAAGTTTCCTCTAATGTTGCTTATCTGGACCTGCAATGTCACGTTTCCATACCGGAAGAACCTGCTAGGAAGATAGGCTAATATGTGGACTTTCTTCTACATGGATTGTAAAACGGTGGCGGGGGTGAGGGTTGCAGGATAGACATTCACTCTCCCTGTGTGCTTTCTGAGGAAGCTTTGGTACAGTGCTCCTTGCCAGCCTCTTCGCGTTCACACGGTTTGGCACTTGGTGTTTTTGTGTCAAGGAGCATATGAAGGAGGCCATTGTGACAGCAGGCCCAAGCCACCGTTGCTTCTGGTTGCAGCCAAAACATCCAGTTGCTACACAGGATTCCTTTTCTCAAAAATATAGGTGGATCTTCAGCAGCTCCGGAGAGAGAACCAACATCTGGAGACCGACCATGGTGAGTGGGCTTTCTCTTCTGCCTTGTCTCCATCTTACTCTGCTGTGGATTTGTTTTGAGGTTCGCTCTGGTGGTGGCTGGAGGCTGCCGGTTCTGTGCCTGTATGGCTTCTTGCAATAAGAGCTGAAGGATGCAGAAATGCTGTGCAGAGGGCTAAGGAGAAGCTGATCTGAGATCAAGTGCTGCAGAATGGAGGTGGCTGTAGCATGCTTCTCTTTGGGTAGGAAGGCCTTGCCCAGCTTTCTTGCTGCAGTCATTTATAGAGGGACATGATTCCTCTTTAAAGAGTTTGGGGGGCAGGAAGGGCAGGTCAGCCTCTACCTGGTTTCATGTGGCTGGAGTGCAGAGGGAATGTCTGTGTGGTGGGGAGAAGCTGAACTGAGTGGGGAGAGGAAAGAAAAAGGGGAAAGAAAAGTCCCTTGCAAGTGATCAGTTCACATGTCTTGGGGTGGGGAGGGAGGGAAGAGGGGGGTGGCCCCACCCACTGCCACCTTTGTTCTGCCCACTGCCAGTATTCTTCTCTCCGCATAAAAATGACCCACACCCCTTGCTTGACTGTCTTTTTAAGACAAGATGTAGGGAGAGACCAGGGGCTGGTGAGTAGAGGGCTTGGGAGGGACAGCTCTCTGCCCAAGGCCTTTAGAAGGAGGACCCTAGACTGTCAGCCTGTGGGCAGGACTCATTTTCTATCCTGGTACAGCCCTTCTCTAATTTGTAAGTGCCTAGCCAATAATAATTCTTCTATTCTTAGGCCAGCTAGAAGCAGATGTGCAGGCTTCTTTGCTGCTATTCCCTGACCCGTACAATCGGACCCTGTTTTTATGTGTTTGAATCCCTTGAATTCCTGGTTTTGTTTTTTAAAAAATATACTTTTATATTATTGTTTTATTGGTTTTTACTGTGTGTTTTAGTGATATTGTTGGTTTTTTACATTGTATGCTACTTAGAACATTATCAACTATTAAGTGGTTTATGAATGCTTTTAAATGAAATAAAAAATGCAAATTGTTACTGTCCTGAGATCACAGGCAGGAGGGGAATAGCACAGGTTTTTCAGAGATAAAGTCCCAAGGTAAGGCTCTTGGCATTTTTTTTTAAAATAATATTTATTGAGAATTTTAAGATTACAAAAAAACAAAGAAAAAGAGAAGAAAAGAAAAACAAATAACAATTAAACAATACAAATCGATAAAAATCAAAGTCAAAAAGCAAAAGCAAAACACATAATACATCAAAAGCAAAAAGCAAAAATAAACAAAAAAGTTTAAAAACAGATCCAGTATTCCCAAATCCTTAACTGTTATTACCTTATTTCATCGACCTCCTCACACCTCCCTTTTTTGTATTCTAGTTATTAATTATCTCAGCAAATCCTTTCCATCTTTCATAATATTCTGTCATTAAATTACCTTAATCTATTTTAACCTTATCTTACCATAAAAACCTAAAACTTAAATCTTATTTATACTAATTTCTCATAACCATAACATATTCTTACATAATTCTTTTTAACATTTCTGCTAAAGCCAAATAATTTCATTCCAACATTTTTCCAATACTCATTAATTTTACACAACTTTCCTAAATAATTTTTTTAAAACTTTCTTCCAATCTTCATCCAACGTCTCTTCCTCCTGGTCTTGGGTTTTGTCAGTCTTTTCTGTCCCATCCATCTAGTTCATTAACCTGGTAACCTTATGTCCGAGGCCCTTAAATCTCTTCCATGTCCCTTCCGCAGGTCTTCTTCATATTTATACCTGTACTTTACTTTGTCTTCTGCTCCTTTCACTCGTGGAGACTCCAGCTTGATGATATTTTTGTCCCTTCTCGACAGACCAGCCCCTTTTCCATAGTCAACACTGAACACCATGTGGTATTTAGAAGCATATTTCAAGGTCCCTCCAAAGTTAAGGGCCCCCACAACTCCGAACTCCTCCCGGCCCAAAGCCAGACTTGAAAGGTCAAAACATCCCTGCATAGGGGGGTCTATCCAGCCCCCCATCTCCAAGCCAAGCAAGACTCCATCTCTCCAAATCTGGCTTTTTCCAGGTTCATTCATCAGATCTAACAACTCATGTTCCTGCTGGGCCACAGTTCCCTCCATCTCTGCCTCCCGAGGTCCAGCAACAACCTCCTCCCTCATCTGATCTGTCAGAGCACACTCCTGGATTAATTTCTGAGTGGGTTCTATATAGATACCCACTGCCTGTCCAAAATTTCCGATTGCAACAGTCATCAAATCCGTCTTCTCATGTAACTGTTCCAGTAAAGCACTTGTCTTGCAGAAAGCAAGGACCAGAGCCTCCGAGTACATTCTTGTGCAAGGTCAGAGTCTGGTCCCACAATCTTAATCTATTGCAGCTGCAAAGCTCCCCAGTTCAGATTTAATAACAGTTTCACAAGCTCCCTCTAGGGGAAAAAGCTTCTATTTGTATCCATCTCTCTCTTTTTTTTTTTAAGCAGATCTAACAACAAAGTTTCCTTTTTCAGATATTTTGTCAATATTTTGTTCCTTTTAGATGCGAAGGGGAACAATGGAATCACTATGTTTCTCTTCTTTTAACTATCGGTCAAAAACGTTTGTCTATAGTCAATGAACTTCCCGAGGACGTCTGTCCTGACACCCCGCTCCCAGGTTCAAGACGGTGGAAAATTGCTTTTCTTTACACTCTCTTCTGCAGGTTTAAACAGTCCATAAAAGTCCCCCCTCTTCTCCTGCTTCCAAGGGGGGTTCAGTAATTTTAGATGATGAAAATTGATCCTTTACAGACGACTTTTCTAAACTCTGGCTTGCCGTGTCTTTGCTTTAATCTATCTACAAAAGCGGAAGGTGGACTTCCTGTTTAGACCTTCCCGCTTCAGTGCCAAATTAAGAGAAATTTATTAATCCAATTTTCCATTCTACTCACGGACAGTTATTTAAGATCCAATTGTCCACAGGAAAAAGTCAGCGCTCTCCGGCAACAGCAATGCGGCTTCACTCCGTGAAAGAAGCAGTCGATTCAAAGCACCGTGCCACTCACCCCATGTTGCTCCGGATCCCCGAAACCGGGGTTCCCCGCGAGTAGGGGGGGCGCAAAGGTGCCAGCCGAATCCCACGTCCACAGGCTTCTCCCGCCTGTGGTTTTTGATGGGTCTCCGCCTCGCCGTGGCGGTTCAGACCCTGTTTTCCACGGAGCGGATTCCTCCCGATTGGAGGAAATCCGCCATTGCCAGAGGCGCCAACCCGGCATTTTCAGATCTTCTGTTCCAAGCTACGTATGATGTTAATCCCATGATCTGCCTTTTAGTGGAGGTGTATGCTTTCCAATAAAGTTGGGGTGATTAGGAGTTCTAGATCAGACCCCAGCATGTGGAGGAAGAAAGGGCTTTAACCCTTTGCCTTCTGCTCTCAGTCTTGAAGGGGCTCCTGTGCCTGCTATTTGCAGCTGGGGAGCTCCCATTAGAATAAATGGCAGGTGGGAGGGGAGGGCTTTAATCCCTCCCCACCCCCTATAGAGTCCCAGTCCAGACCCATGCTGGCTGTTTGTGATGAAGGAACCTGCCACTCGAGGGCAAACTACCTGATGGATGCCAGGTATAGTTTGGTGTTCAGGTAGCTATGCTGGGAGCAACCCCTGCCTCAAGGCCTCTGTGAGCCACAGGTGAGTGGAGATGGCTGCAGGTGGTGAGGACAAGTGAACTGATCTCTTCTAGCTGTAGAGGAGCTAGAAGAAGCACACTAGAAGTGCCATCACGCCATGCAAGTCCTTCTATGGATGGGTTTATGAGACGGGGGACTGGCATCTGCACACGTATGTGACGTCCCGCCCCCGCTGCCCCCGGTGACAATGTAGGCTAGCTGTTGTCTAGTGGAGGGTCATATTAGAAGTATGGGTGTGTTTTGATAGAACCTTAATGAAATGGCCTTCATCTGTATTTGGCTGGATATCATTCACGTTCATTGCATTTGAACAACTGCTAGGCACAAGCCCCGGTTACCTCTGACATGAGGGAGCTCTTTTTCTATTGTGCTTTGACTTGTTGTTGCTTTAAATTATGGTGGTATTATGATTCTTTGTAAGGCGGATTACAGCAATCCAGGCACCTCAAGCAGGAAGCCACTGTCTAGGGTTCTTTAGTGAGGTAAAACGTGAATTGAGGTGAAACGACATGTCTACCTTACGTTCCTAAAGTTCCCTGAATGTTTTATAGAAGCCTCACCTTTCCTGGGCCCAGCTGTGATCCCAGGCCAGTGCCACCCCCTTCTCAGTCAGTTTCCTCCTGCACTCTGGCAAGGCTCCAGGACCTGAAATAAAAGCAGTTGGGGGTGGGGTGGGAGTGTTTGCAGAGAGAGCCAGTAGGCTGGTAAGAGTTCGAATGAGACAAATCGGAACCGCTTCAGAAAGAAGGTCACTGGCATGGAAAATAAGTCTGATGGGGGAAAGATTGAAGTGACTGGGAATGTTCAGCCTGGAGGAGGGTAGGCAGAGGAGGGAACTTGAGTATAATTTTCAACCCCCTGAATGGCTGTCCCAGAGAAGAGGACAAGCACTTGTCCTGGTAAGAACAGCTTGAGGAGTGGTGGGCTCTCTCCCTTGTTGGAGGCCTTCAAGGCTGGATAACTAACTCTTGGGGATTTCTGAAGCATCTCCAGCAGATAGGTGCTTCTCCAGTTCTTAGAGGAGATTCCCTTCTCGGTTCTTTGATTCTAAATAACCCATTTCCCCTTCATATATATGCCCCACTCCCACCTTGAAAGAGGCAAGCAGAGAGCTGCGAATAGGACTGTTGCATAACACCTAGATTTGTCCTCTTCACTGGGCTTGCGTTGCCTCGTGCTGGAGCAGGACCCTACTTCCCAAGTAAGCAATGCCTGATCTAGCAGGGGACCTGGAGAGGAAATAACAAGGCAGAACCAACATAGTCCTCTAGTTATGTCAGCGGAGGACTCAGGCTGCTTGGCAACATCTTGATCTTCTGCCCAAGTTCTACTATTATTCAGCATTTAACCGATTGCCGCTAAGGTAGGCTGCAATAGAATCCCTGTCCCCCAGACTGCCCCATGCAGAAGAATTGTGGTGCTTTTCAGTTTGGGCAGAGTTAATCTTTGAATAGGTGGGGTTTTAAAAATGTTATATTTTGCCTGGCTTTTTTTCCTTTATTTGGGCTATTTTTAGATGTTTTGTAGTTATAATCTACTTGATTGCTGACAGTGTGTGTTGAGGGCTCATGGTCCCAATAAATTTAAGAAGAGGATGGTATAGCATGTTGTTCTCCAGAAATGGGAGGGGCATCTACTCCTGAGCATCTGACTGAGGAGCTTAAGGTGGTCTGTCACCCTCTCACAGAATGTGGCTTTGTTAGTTCAGAAATCCCACCCCCTGGCAAGGTTCATAGATTAAGGGAGCAATTATTTGTTTGTTTTATTTATCATTGCATTTTTATCCTGCCATTTTCTCCATGGAGCTCAAGGCGGCTTACTTGATTTCTCCCCTCCCCATTTAATCCCCATAACAACCCTGTGAGGTTGGTTAGGCTGAGTGGCAGGTCACCCCCATTGAGCTTCATGGCTGCATGGGAATTTGAACCCTGATCTCCCAGGTCCTAATCCAACACTCGAACCTCTACACCCCGCTTGCTCTCTCTCTTGTGCTCTCACCCCCACAAAAGCTACCGCTTTCCCCCCTAGCTTGTGACAAAACAAGACTCCCCTTGTGGCCTTGCTTAAGAGGTGGGGCTTGGGCAGCTGTCCCCTCAGCTTCCACCACCTGTCCAGAGAACCCCTCTTCTCATGCAATCAGTGCAGTGATACCTAGGGAATTCCCCCACCCATTTTGAGCTGACTTTGTTGCCCAGCCTCCCTTGGGTGCTGAAGGAGGCAGCTCCTTTGGGGCCAGAGCGAGGTCTAAGCACACTCCCTCCTTGCCTCGCTTTGGCCTGAGTCCCTTGTGTTGTTGTGCCTTATTGCGGGGTGTGCGTCTTCCTGAGATGTCAACCATGTAGTCTTTGGATTCTAGCCAGAGGAGACTGCAGGCGCTGGGTAGCCGTGCAGCAGAGCTGGCAGGCACGGCAGCAGCATGCCCCTGTTCTGCTCTCCTGCTGCTTGGCTATCCTGCATGGACTGGACGTGAGCTCCGAGCGGAATCCTGGCCGGGTCTTTCTCCTGCCGGAACACACAAAGCCAGACTGCCACTGCCGCTGCTTCTATTGTTCCCTGTGCATTCCAGCACATGCCTCTTGGCCCCTTTCCTTTCCGCCCCTGTAGTCCCAGGACAAAGGGGGCGGGCAAGGGTTGCCGAGCCCAGAACCCTGCTGTAAGGGACTCCATTTTCTGTGCTTGGCTGTCAGGGAGTCCCCTGGCATGGCAGAGCCTCCTTTGGCTTCTATCGGAGAGAGGTGGAGTCTCTCTCTCTCCCTCCTCCTCCTCCTCCTCCTTCCTTCCCCTCCCCTCCATTGTCAGCAGCCACTGAAGCAGCCAGCGCACCTGCTCTGGCGGCAGTGGCGGCAGAGATGCTCTAGCCCTTTGCATGTCTTGGCGCGCCTGCCCGCCTGCCTGAGTCGTTAGGGGGGCAGGGGGAAGCGATGCCACTTGCCTGCCCCCGAGCCGGCGACCTCCCCGGGAAGCGACCATGACTCTACCGGGCCGTGTCTCATGCTCCATGCTCAACTGCTTTGTAAGTGGGTCTCTTTCCCTGCCCCCACCCCTTTTATTCTCTGTTCTGTCTGCCTACCTGCAAGGCTGCTTGTCAGTCTGGATTTTTCTCTTCGTGTCTGATATTGGGGGGGGCAGGCGGGAGGGGTAGGAGGTGTCTGGAAATGGAGCATCTTGTGAACTGCTTGTCTGAAGGCGTCTGGCCTTTCCGTACAGCTCTCTCTCAGCCTAGTACTTGGGGAGTGGCTCTGCTATCCCACCTCCAATTCTTCACTCTCACCTTGATCTGGTGGGTTCCCCCCCCCCCCAGCATTTACCTCATCCTCAGCTGGAGGTTAGAGGTCACCGTTCCAACTGGGGTTGCAAAATGGTTGCATAGACACCCCCCTGCCCCCCGCTGAGCAAAGCAATAGGGGGTCAAAGATGCAGGCAGGCAGAAGTTTGATTTCCTGCCTGAGCGGTGCATCCACCCAGCAAGAGTAAATCTCTCTTTCTGGTGGCTGTGGGTCCTCTTGCTTTGTACTTCTCTCTAGGTCATAGCCACATGGTGGCTGTTGAGGGGGCCTGGCTTGCTGAGACACCGGTCTTCCCCTTAGAATCCCCCTCTTCGTGTTGATTGATACCAGGAGAGGCTCACACTGACTGCTGCTTGGTTGCAGAGGGGAAATGAGAAGGCGGCCTGCTTCACGCCCATCTTCTGCTCTCCTCTGAAAGAGATTCCCACTCCCCACCCTTCATGAGCAGCAGCTGGCTGCAGCTCCAAATGCAGTTACTCAGCATGGCGGCACGGTAACCTCCCTCCCGGCTTCCTGAGTGCATCCTCCAGCCTGCTGTCTCTTGAAGGAGCTCTGATGGAAAGTCACTTGGACAGATTGGCCCCGAGAAGAGTAGAATGTGGAGCCAGCCCCAGGGGGGTGGGTGTGTATGGTGGCTCAGAAGCCAGTTATCCCCTTGTAGTATCATGCAGTACAAGTTGTGCAGCTGGGGTGCCAACTTGAGTAAAATATTGTAGGGGCCGAGGCAAGCCCCGCCCTGCGTAATTGATCACATGATCAATTTGAATGGGAATGCCCATCAACTTTGTGGAGGCCCGGCCCCCCTTAAATATTTTATTATTGGGACTGAAGCCCCCAAGGAATTAGCTTCTATGTTGTGCAGTTTTACATGTTGTTGTCCTGACTGAATGATGCTTTGTTATCACACACACGGATGCCTGTACCTTGCAGGTGTGTGTGTGTGTGTGTGTGTGTATGTGGGGCGGGCTGTTAGGTGTGCAAACATGATAACAGGTTAGTCCAGTGGGTCAAGTGCTTGCAGACATGGGGGCCTGTGCAGAATTAGGTGAATCACAATGTGCCTCTTGGCATTATTATGAAAATAGTTGCACACAGAGAAATATGGGGGAGGAAAGAAAGGAGAAGGCATTTCCTTCCCCTGAGAAGCTTGCAGCCTAAATTTACCAGGACATGGTCCATATTGGTGTGGATCAAGGCCTGGATGGGAGACTACCTGGGGTGCCTAGGAGCATAGGAAGCTGTATTATCAGACCATTGGTCCAGCTAGCTCACTGCTGTCTATACTGCCTGACAGCAGCTCTCCAGAGTTTCAGGCAGGAGTCTCTACTAATCCTATCTTCAGATGCTGGGGGTTGAATTTGGGACCTTCTGCATGCAAAGCAGATGCTCTACTGTTGAGCTTCCTTCCTTCCTCTGTGCACTGCCTTGAGTTCTGTGACAGAAGAAAGGCAGGCTCTCAATATAACAGATGATTTTCAGCCTTTGTGCAAGGATAACAGGGACAAAGTGAGCAAAATCAGCTAAGTGTGCTTGGACTTTCCCCAAATTGGTGCCCTCCAGATATACAGGGCTACAGCTCCCATTGGCCTCTGCCAGCACAGTTGTAGGATGCTGGCGCTCACATGAGTTGTATTTCAAAACAACTGGAGGGCACTAGGTTAGTGAAGGCAGTGTTAGGGAGCAGAAGAAGGGTTTGTACCAAAAGCTTCTTGGAAGAGGTGGTGAAGGATGGTATATCCTTGATCCATGTTGTGAGTGTGCGTGTGCACATGTACCTATAGTTGGCAGTCGCCTAGCACTAGCCATCCTGCGGTGGACGTTGGTGTGTGTGTGTGTGCAGACAAGCCGGGATGAGGGTCATCCCAGTGCTAATTCTTAGGAATAGGGGAAGGGCAAGCTGGGGGGAGGGGTGTGCAATTGCATGTATTGCATTATATCCCACTCTTTTCTCCAAGTTGCTCAAGGTGGTGTACATTCTCCCTCCTCATTTAATCCCCAAACAACCCTGTGAGGTAGGTTAGGCTGAGATGCCCAAGAGGCCATTGGACTTTCTTGCCAAGTGGTGATTTGAGCCCTGGTCTCTCCCAAGTCCTAGTTTGATACACTAACCACTATACAGCTCTGGCTGTATGGGTTACGGGAGCAGCCAATATTTGCTGTTCCGTACATTGCACTTTGCACTTAGCACTGGCAAGCAAATGTTGAGGCCACTTTTTTTCAAAGCCATTCAGTGGTTTGTGCCAGTGGATTAATTTTTTATAAGCCTGTCTATAAAGATGTATGTCACAGATTTCATTTTGGATCCCAGAGTCCTTAATTTGTGGGGATAAGCTGAATTCCCATTGATATTACTATCCATGTTCAGATTTTGCTGTTATAGTCAGGGCAAAGCGCTACCCACCACTGAGACCAAGATTGCTTGCCAGGTTCCTATATGGGTGCCTAGACCACATTCCCTCTGCTATCATGGAATGACTTATGCATGAATTTCATAACTGGGCATCCTCTCCAAGTTGTGTGCTGCCCCACTGAACATGACCACAGGTACGTGGTACATGACAACCACCCTCTGTCTTCTTCTGGCTCATGTGTGCACAATGACCATGAATGGCGCCAAGGACTGTTTGACGCTTAATTGTGGAAAAAATTATTCTGACTCAGAAACAATATTTCCTTATTTATTTAGCTAATTTTTAAAGAAGCCGCTGAGGGGTTTACAGCATCTGAAAACCCCCACAAATAAGATAAAATAAAAGTTCCATATTTTAGTGCAGCAGAAAACATGGAGTCGTAGAATTGTAGAGTTGGAAGGGACCCAAAGGTCATCTAGTTTAACCCCCTGAAATGCAGAAATCACAGTTAAAGATAGATAAGTTATCCTTAAATGTCAATATAAACCAAAACAATAAATAGATGGGGGATGTAATAACTACCAGCGGACCTGAAATACAGCAGAGACAACCAGCCCCATCTGCCAAGTACACAAGCTTTTATTTATAGGTAGCAGCAACACTCTCCTCTCTGCTCGCTCCCCACCTTAAGCTGGCACAAGAAGGGGGTGGGGGTGGGAATGATACACTTCTCACCCCACCCTTGGAATTCCCTGCTGTCATCAGGGAGCACCTCTTTGAGCACCAGTGAGGTGCAGTGTTTAGAGTGCTGGACTCTGACCTGGAAGACCAGGATTCGAATTGCCACTTGGCCACGAAGCTCTTGCTGGGTGGCTTTGGCCAGTCACTGCCTATCAGCCCAGCCTACCGCACAGATGTGTTGTAGGGATTATATGAGGAGAGGGAGAACCATGTACACCTTCTCAAGCTCCTTGGAAGGAAAGGTGGGATATACATGTAAGAAATAATTAAGTTCCTACCCTGTTAAAAACTTCGTTCAGAACTTGGGAGAAAGTTCAGAGACTGCCTCCTCAGCCTCAAGACTGAGGAGGTAATAGCTCCATCTTGGCCTATATTTATCATGGGCTACATACACAGCCCTTTCTTTTTTTAGACTAGCAAAAAAAGAAGAAGTCATTTTCCAGGTATCTAATTTGAAGAACAGTATCTCTCTGGGAAGCAGTGAATGCTCAGCCCCTGATTGAAGTTGCCTCTGAAGAAACTGTTAACTAGCTTCCCTAAAATATTTTTCCCCTTGTCCTATTAAACATCTCCCTCCGCCCAATCACCACCACCTTCTCGGGGGAAGATAAAATGTGTGCTTGATAATAGGTGAAACAGCTCATATTGTGAAGTTTGAAAGCAAGCAAAACCTAGTTTGGTATATTTAGAAGAGCCTGGTGAACTTGAATGTCTCAGTGCTGAATTTCCAATGAGGGATGATGTCATTTTTGAAGGGAAGAAATTGTTTTAATGCATCCTAGAAATTCTGGTCTTTGTCAGTGTCTGAAGGCAGACCACAGTCATTTAGTAGATCAAGAATAGGTAAGGCTGTATGTCTAATTGGATCAGATGTTGGGGCATCCAGAATCAATATCTCCTGAGCTTAAAATGGATTTTTGTCATGGGGCCAAAACATTTTTGGGTGGGTGGGAGAAATGCTTCAACTTCACAAGGCTTTCACATCATTAAAAAGCTTCTCCCATTTTAATTAAAACTAGTTTCACTGCAGTCTCCTTGAGTATTACTGTAGGTGGGTGGATTCTAGATTTGACCAATAGTATTGAAATATGTAACATATGATAACTGCCTTTATGTGCCAGACCATCCTGGTATACATCAGGATGAAAATGCTCCCATGAACACAGAAAGCTGCTATATTCAGAGTCAGGTTAGTGGTCCACAATTTCAGCTTCTCCCAACCTGCAGTTTTGGACTACAAATCCCATCTGCTCCAACCAACCTTCATCATGCTAGCTGGGGCTACTGTGAATTGTAGTCTAACAGCTTCTGGAGAGCACCAGGTTGGGGGAACCTGATCTAGGCCAGTATGCCTTTTCTGACTATCAGTGGCTCCCCAAAGTCCCTAGCAGAGGTTCATCCTGGCCCTGCTGCCTTATATCTGTAAAATGGCCATAGAACCTGAGACCTTCCAAATGCAAAGTGAATGCTCTGCCTCTGAGCTCTGGTCCCTTCCCAACATTTTAATAGGTTCAGTGCTAGGTCTGAAAACTCGGTACAGTGTCCATGACCCTCCCAGTCCAAGCTTTGAAACTGTGATGTGTGCATGCGCCAGCCAGACCCAGGTCATGAGATAATATAAGAAAAACCTGGCTTCTGGAATCAGGCCAGAGGGGGTCAGTCTAGTCCAGCATCCTCTTCTCACAGTGGCCAACAAGATGCCCCATTGTGAAGCCCACAAGAAGGACATGTGGGCAGCAGTGCTATCTCCACTCATGTTCCTCAGCCACTAGCATTCAGAAGTCTACCAACTCAGACACTGATGGCAGAACAAAGCCAGCATGGCGAGTAGCCTTGACAGCCTTATCCACCATGGATTTGTGTTATCTCCCTTTTAAAGCCATCAAAGTTGGTGGCTATGACTACGTTATGTGGGAGCAAATTTCATAGCTTAGCTATGTGCAACTATGTAAGATGCCTTGGTTTATTGGTTTCTGGGGAAGAAGTTTGATCACCCTCCTGCTTTCTTCAGATTCTTCTTATGCTTCCAGTTGAGATGGGGGAACAAAACACCATCGGGAAAAGATCAGATGGAAAGGGGGGGGGGAATACCCTCCATTTCTATCTGATGGCCTTTCAGAGTGAAAATTAACTTTTACGACTGGTAATGGCTGGGAATTGTAGCTCTGTGACAATTTTCAGCACCCTTAACAAACCACAGTTCCCAGGCTTCTTTGGCGGGAAGCCATGACTGTTAAAGGGGTGTAAGGGTGCTTTAAGTGTATGGTGTGAATGGGGAGTCATACTGGCACTGACAAGGTCATTTCTAGCTTTAAAAAAAGTAAGCTAACCTCAGGACCGGAAAGCCCACTCCGCCCCGTTTCTTCATTTCTTACAAGAATTTATGCTGGTTCCTAGGAATTTGAAATATTTTCCTCTTCTGGTAGTTCCTGACACTTAAAGACATGGGCATCCTTTGTGTAAAAAAATGGGTTTAAAATAGAAGAGGGGTCCCTTCTCTCAAGAGAGTGTGGAAAAATTATTTATTGTTCAGAAAATGCTTAATTCCCCATTTCTTTTGTGCAGATAATTTATGGGTAGATACCTTGAAAGGGGGGGGCTTAACCACACAGCAAGCTTTATTTCATTTATTTACTTGACAGGATTTATATATTGCTTAATGAATTATTATGATCTCTAAGCTGTTTAATGGTCATTGCTTTGCACTGAGAGCCTGAGGCTGTTGTGTTTCTGTTGATCACAGTGGCTTTGTGGAGCCTCCATGTTCAGAGGCATTCTGCTGCAGGATTCCAGTTGCAGGTGACCCTTGCCTTTGTTCCCTGTTTATGGCCTCCCCCAAAGTGTCTTGCTGACCACTGCATGAGGGGGGGAGAGAATACTGGACTTATTTGACCTGGCATTTTCTTCTTATAACTCGTGATTATTTTCAGACAATTCTCAGCATCTGCACATAACTTCGTCCCAGAGTCCCTGGGCCACTTTCAAACTGATTTAGTGAAGATGGGGCTGGAGAATTTTTAGAGACTGCATGCAGAATATGATTCTAAGAATGCTGGGATACTGAGATGAGCCTGGGAGTTGAACAGAAGCTATCCAGACATCAGAGGGAAATCAGGAGAGGTCTTATTTTTATGAGAGACATCTCCCTGCTTGGTTTTAAAACAGGGGTGTGCTTAGTTTGGGAGGTGGGATCTAGATCCAGTCCATATCTTGGGGAACACACGCTGGCTTGTGATGGAACGCAAGGACAGTGCTTCTATACAAAGGAATTAGGAATGTTTCCTCCTCTACATTTTTGGAATTTTTGTGCTGACCAGCCTATTCCTGGGCAAGGGGGCAAGGGGTCTTACTCTGATTTGTAGTGGTTGCTAACTGGATTGTGAGTGGTTATACTGTCAGCTGTTTGCCCCCAAACTGATTATGTTTTATTCTATACCATATTTTAGAATACATTTTAGAGAATACTAATGGATGTTTTAAAAATCTGGTGCTGCATATATCTACTGAGTAAATAAATAAATAAATAAATTTGAGCTGGGCAGAATTGGGGGCAGCAGAAAGGGTTATTCCCATGTATTCTGAGTCCTGGACTATAGCAGATGGTTCAATATCAGTGTGTCAGTATTATAAGCCTCCCCACAGTATGGACCCTGCCTGTCCTCTTCTTTGGCTCATCCCTGCACAGGAAATTGGTGTCGTTTTGTGTTCTTGCAAAGTTACATGCTGTATGTAGGCAAAAGAAAGATTGTTTTCGGCTTGTTGGGTTTTTTTGCAGGGGAGAGGCAAAGTGTGACAGTGTAGGAGGAGGTGTGCAAGCAGTGTATCTGTGTTGTGTTTGGGATGTGCATCCCGTGGCGTTTTGGCAAATGTCCTGTGCCCCTCTGAGCGTTTGCTCTTGTGTTTGGCATCCAGGGTGAAGAAGGCCCGCCCAGTCTGGAATACATCCAGGCCAAGGACTTGTTCCCTCACAAAGAGCTGATCAAGGAAGAAGAGTCTTTACAGGTAAGCTACCTGGGGGGCTCTGGCAGGCTGGATGGTGCTTGGTGCGATTCCTTATGGCCGGGCAGGAGGGGTGAGGACTGCGGGTGTGTAATAAATCTCCCTCCAGACTCCTGGAAGCGAATGTTTCCTGCAGCCTGAGTGCAAAGCTGTGTCACAGCTGCTGCTGCAAGGACACACTGTTATCACTCTGGAGTCATTCAGACCTCTGTGAGTCCTGGTCCTTTCCCCTGCTCCTCAGAGCTAGTTCTCAGTTCCTTCTAGAGCTGCAAAATATTTCTTCTGCTTTGCAAGGGAGGGACGGGGACAGTCAGATTAGCACACACAATCTGCTGGAATGTGCAATCTCCTGGAGACTTGTGACCACCAAAAGAAAAGAAATAGTGGGAAAGAAACTGAAAATTCAAAATGTCCTTAATGACCCTGAATTTTTGTTTTTTAATGTGCCAGTCTAAGCCACTCCTGGCAATGAACTGGGACAGTGAACAGCCAGAAGCAGAATCTCTTTAAATGTTGCAAATCTGTCTATCAGCTGCTGATAGCCAAGAACACAACTACCTCCCGTACCTAAGCTGTCAGGCTGGGCTGGGCTTTATTATTACATTATAGCTATTGTCACAGTAAAAGTCACATTGGGCTCCCAGAATGAGAAATATGTAGCAACAGAGGTCACAAAGAGTCGGACTCGACTAAACAACAACAAAAGCTTTTACCTTATCAAGGGCTCAATCTTTGGGTTACAGAGATCTTTGTGAGTGTTCAAGGCTGAAGAAAACAGCTACTGGGCTAGACTAGCATTGACCCCAGACATGTTTTGTCACGTCTTAAAATAGTTGTACAGTTTTCTGTATGCCTTTTAAAGGGCCAGCCAAGCCTTGGTTTCCTTTTGTCTGTAAAGGCGTTTGAGAAATTTCTATGTCGACCTGGGATAGTTCAGTTGGTAGATCACGAGACTCTCGCGATCTCAGAGTTGTGGGTTCGAGCACCACATTGGGCAAAATTTTCCTGCATTGCAGGGTGTTGGACTTAATGTTCCTCATGGTCCTTTCCAACTCTACAATTTTATGGTTCTGGGAGACTGTTAATTCACTGTCCAAGTTCCCTATGCATTTATAGACTGTAAGGTGTTGTGCATCTTTGAAAGGGGAACCTCCACAATAGAAGAGGTCTTCTGAGCTGAAGCTAATAAATAGAGAACCTAGTTGCACCTGGATTTCAACATGGGCCATGTAATTGGGCAATGTAACTGGAATGTCATATGAACAAGATCTTGTCTGGTGAACTCAGTGCAGATTTAAGCAAAATCCCCAAAATACCACTTCTGAACACATTTATTATATATTGGATTAAAAGGGATTGGGGGGGATGATAGCTAAATATCCTGTAAAGTGACCTTGGGGAAACAGAGCCCACACAGAGAGGAATTTTCTGTGGCTCCCCTCTGAAGCCGCCTCCTTTCCACCCAAATACTCTGAGGAGGACTGTAATAATTTATTGTTTGGGCCAGCTATTGGCATGGGAGGATTACACTTCCAAATATGAGGCTGAATTTTTAGCATATATTTTTCTTTGCCTTGATTTTTTAATTGTGTGCATTGACACACACACACTCTAGATCTTAGAATATTAAACTCAAACAACCAAGAAAAACAGAGGAATGCTGCATATGGAATTGGGGCTCCCTGTCTTCTGTGTGCTCATACATATATTTTATCATGGTTATGCATGGGGGCAGGGAGAACAAATTACAGGAGGAGGCTTTTGAGAGTATGCCCTGTGATTTGCTTCCTGTGATGTGCCGATGTGCCTTTGAGCCTTGTTCAATTTTGCTGTGTCAGTGTTGCCACAGAGAGTTGTAACGGGGGGCGGGGGGGGGGGGAGAGGCAGCCTGGGCATCCTGCTGCACGATTTCATATTCTCCTTCCCCCAGGGAATAAAATCACATTTCATAAAATCTCAGCGGTGTTTCAAAGACACAGGCAGCCGGCTCTGAACGCTTTCTTGTTCCTTGTTGAAGCCCAGAACTTAAAAGGCCAGAGTGAGGCAGCGAGGTGTCCCTTTTTTATGCTGCCAGCTAAATTGCACTCCAAACCCTCCCCCTCTGATTTCCACAGTCCTGTGAGAATTTCACATCCCCTGCACAATTTCACACCAGCCTTCAGGTGTTAAGCTTCCCAGTTAACCAGCAGAAAGGGAAAAAAGAGGAAAGGAGGAGATCTATATTTAAGCATGGGAAGATACCCCTTGATGTTTTCAGGAGGAAACAAACACAATTTAGCAGTTCGGTTCAAATGCAGTACAGACCAACAGTTCAGAGGATCATCTCTTCCCACACCTTTGATGGGGGGGTGGGGGAAAGCTTTTAAAATGTGGTTGTATGGTATTTGTGCAGTATGTATCTTAACATAGCAGGGAGATACAGTAATTGGGAGGTAACTTTAGTTGGCTGGTCATATTAGGAACAAAGAAGCTGCCTTATATACAGAATCATCTAGTGTAGCAAGTGTAGACTTGTGGGGGTCTCTCCCAGCCTTCCTGAAGAAGCAAGGGTGCCATCTCACCCTCAGGATTGTGGCTGTCTGCTGCCATAACGCAAACATGCAACATCACATGCACACGCCTGCATGTAGTGTGTGTGACATTGCATCACATTTTTGGAGGGGGGCTCCTCCAAAAATGCAACATGATGTTGCATGCTGTGTGTGTGATGTCACATGCACCTCATGCAGGTGTGTGCATGTGATGTCATGCGGCCGGTGGCGGTGGCGTCTCCTCCTCCTCCTCCTCCTCCTCCTCCTCCTCCTCTCTGCAGCCAGTGAGGTTTCTAACTCCTCATGTTCCTAACTCCTTATTTTAAAAGAAGAAGAAATGCGAGGGTGTATTTTGAGGAGATTGAAGCCATTGCTTCCATGCATCTCTTGGGACCTGTTCCCACTGCAGACACCCAGAAGACTGCTGGACTGATGGCGGGAGCTGTAGAGCCAGGAACAGGCTTAGTGACCTTGCTCTTTTTGTATCCCAGTGCAGTGTTCTTCAACCCTTCTTGTCCCCAGATGATTTTGGCCTATAGCTTCCATCATTCCTGACTGTTGACTACGCTAGCTGGGGTGGGGTGAGGTGATGGGAGTTGTAGTCCAACATCTTCAGGGGATTCCAGATTGTAGAGCGCTGCTCCAGTACCTTGAGAACTTTCCAGCTTGTTCCCAAGTGAAAGTCCTCATGGACTGAGACGTCATTATTTCTCTCCCTCTCTCAGTCACCTGTTCAAGTGGTGCTGTGGGTGGTGGCTTCCTTGGAACTTCAGCCATAAGGTTTTAACACTCCTCCTTTTTCCTTCCAGGTTCCATTTTCAGTGCTACAGGGAGAGGGTGTGGAATATTTGGGCCATGCGAGTGACGCCATCATTGCCATTTCCAACTACCGGCTCCATATCAAGTTTAAAGACTCTGTAATCAACGTACGTCTGGGGCTACACGTCTGTCTGTCTGTTTGGGCAGAGTCTGCAATGTCTTTGATTAGGTCGCTCCCCCCTTACCATTGGAAGAGTCCTTTATTCTCCCCTTTCCAACCCTGCTGCCAAAATGGTCCTATTTGGGTGCTCCTTGCTCCCCTGTCCCCCTGCATTCCTGATCAACCCACTCAGTCTGGGCTGTTTGTTCTTCAAGCAGCCCCAGGTGACTCAAGCAAAGGGAGGGAATAACCATACCCTCTGGAGGAAGATACATACACAAACACCCTTAGAAAGATCACTACCAATCTGACATTTGTGGGTGAGGTGTGTGGAATTCCTTCTTGAAGGATTCACTGAAAATTGTAACACAATAAAATGCAAATATATGAAGTAAAAGAAACAATGGAAATATGATTAAAAGTCAATACGAATGCCTTTGGACCACCTGGGTGAAACATGTGGGCAACTGGTGGTATACAGATAACCTTTGTGTTAGAATAATACAGATGTTGTTGTTGTTGTTGTTAATGCTGTGAGGCCTCTTTAATGTGACATCCCTTTGGACCTCCGCATATCTTAATCTGGGGTATTAGAAATGTGGGAAGTTTTGTTAGGTCTCTGCCCGCAGAGACTGGCATTTGCCTGCCTCGTTAGTTAGTTAATTTACTTATTAATTACATTTATATCCCACCTATCCTCCAAGGAGCTCAAGGTGGTGTACATAGTGCTCTCTTCCCCTTTTATCCTCACAGCAACCCTGTGAGGTAGTTTAGACTGTGACTGGCCCAATGTCACCCAGTGAACTTCATGGCTGAGCAGGGATTTGAACCCTGGTCTCCAAGGTTCTTGTCTGACACTCCATAACCACTACACCACACAACCTCACACTGATTCACTCATTCCTTGTCTTTTGTTCTAGGTGCCTTTGAGAATGATGGAAAGTGTGGAGAGTCGGGACATGTTCCAGCTTCACATTGTCTGCAAGGACTCCAAAGTAGTCAGGTAGGTGCTACCTGATGACAGCCTAAGGTTACAGCAGGCGGGTAACTAACATAAATGAGGGGGTGGGGGAAACTCCTTCTGGGTGAAGGGCCGCATTCCCCTTGGAAACCTGTTGAGGTTATATATTCCAGTATTGGATCAGACCAGACCCACACATCTGTATGTTGTGTTGTGACCTGCCTTGAGATCATCTACGAGAAAGGGCAGAATATTAATGTTATTAAATAAACAATGCACACCATCACACAAACCTATTTCCCATGGAAACAGATGCATGTATTTAATTCTTAGCAGTGCCACTCATGTTTCATGTTTTTCTTCGTCAGTCCCCCTTTTTTTTTAATAGCACAGAGATGATAGAAAAAGCTCTTCAACACCCTTTATCTATCCTGGCTTTGAAAAAGGCAAACTCAGTAAATCCCCTTGGAAGAATGCAAATAACTTCAGTGCACACAGTTGAACTACAAACTCTGCCTTACGGTTTTTGTAAACTTCAGAATGCAGCTGCATCTCAGAAATTGCACACATGCAGTTGCAAAATGCATGGACTCCTTTTTGCATATTTGCAAGGGTTGTGAGTCTGCCAAGACATTTCCAACATAGAAAGCCACCTTGCACTAAGCGCAGACCTTTGGTCCATCTAGCTCAGTATTGTCTACATCTGAACTGACTGGCAGAGGCCCTCCAGGGTTTCAGACAGAGAATGTTCTCAGTCCCACCTGATGCTGCCATAATTGAACCTAGGACCATCTACATCCAAAGCAGATGTTCTACCACTGAGCTACGAGCCTTTCCATGCTTTGAACTTGTAATGGGCAGAGCTGCCATTGCACGCTGCATGGCATCAAAACCCTCTTCCTTCCTCAAAGGCACAGTTGAAATCTGGCTTTGAGCTGAATGCAGGGGATTCCCCACCACTCCTCTAACGTATGGTGTTGGTAGTGTGGTCTGTAAACCAGTCCCCTCACCAGAACATAAGAATTGCCTAGGTGAATTTGGCCAAGGTTAAACTTGTCCAACATTCTCTTTCCAATGGGGAGCAGCCCAGAAGCAGTTCGTGAAGGCAGCAGGGTCGTCCCCCCTTTATTTCCTCCATCACCACCTGGTATTCAGAGGTATACTTCCCCTGCAAATGGAAGTTCAGTTTTCTGCCCTGGCTAACAGCACCTTGCAAGACCTCTCCTCTACAAATTAGTCTTTGGGGCCGCCATCCCTGATGACTTTAAAAGAGGATGAGACAAATTTATGGAGGAGAGGGCTAATGATGGCTGCTAGCCACGATGGCTATGCTCTGCCTCCATAGTCAGAGGCAGTAATGCTTTTGAATACCAGTTGCTGGAAACCACAGGAAGGGAAAGAGCTCTTGTGCTTGGAATCTGTTTGAGGGTTTCCTACAGCCCTCTGGTCGGCCACTATGAGAACATGCTGAACTACATGGGCCTTTGGCCTGATTCAGCAGACTCTTCCTATGTTCTTAAGTGGTTTTTTAAAGTTGTATTTATATGTATGTTTTAAAAAGCAACAACACTAGGAACAAAAGTGGTTAACGGAATGGGGGAGGTAAAGGAAAAAGGGAGTTCAAACCTTGCTGTTCTTAGGTACATGTCACAGGTCCAGTAGATGTATCATCCCATTATACAGAGTTTTTGTTGTTAAATGTTTTTATTGAGTACGTATCTAAGCTAGTGGCCACAGGCAGTAGATATTAAAGAGATTGTGGGTGCTTATGTCTCCTTTCATTCCTGTAGTTCAGTTTGTCTGTCTTGCTTTTCTGAGCGTTACAAAGTGCACCTGTACCCATCTATGTCTTGCAGGTGCCATTTTTCTACTTTTAAGCAATGCCAGGAGTGGCTGAAAAGGCTGAGCCGAGCCATCGCTCGCCCTACCAGGCCGGAAGACCTGTTTGCGTTTGCTTACCACGCCTGGTGCTTGGGGGTTTGTGCTGATGAGGAGGACCAGCATGCCCACCTCTGCCGCCCTGGTAGGTCAAAAGGGACACCTTCTAAGGCAAATCTAAGAGGGGCCTCTAGCTGCCGTTTTTCATGCCTCGCCATGCTGGGCCCCGTTAACCCTCTCATCACCAATTTAAGACAGAGCTGTGCTCTGACAGCCTTTGCTAACCTGGTTTCCCTCTAGAGATTTTGGACAACAGCTCCCATCAGCCCCAGCCAGCACAACTGTGCTCCCATCTTTTGCAGCATCATGTGGGAGTTTTGACAGGGAATGGTGGGAGCTGGAGTCCCAAACTTCTGGATGGCACTTGGTGCTTGAGCTGACTTTTTAAAAACTGCTTATCCGTTTGCAGGAGACCATGTGAAATACCGCTTTGAGATGGAGCTGACTCGGATGGGCTTTGACTTGCAAAATGTGTGGAGGGTTTCTGACATCAATAACAACTACAAGTGAGTCATCGTTTAAGGCTTCACCATCTTCAGAGGCAAAAAGAATCTGCAGCCCCTCACCCGCCTTGTCCAAACTAGGCATTTCATTAGCTAGGCATCTATCCCTTTAGAACAGTGGTTCCCAAAGGGTGAGATTACCTAGGGGGGTGCTGGAGGTGGATATGAGTACTAAACTTGAAAAAGCTGGCATCACTGGATCAAGTTCATCAGCTTTGTTGAATTAATTATTTAATTGGATTTTGAATAAATGTGCAATAGATTGTTACTGCTTTGAATTTTATTGTGTTATTATCTTCCATAGTGGGTCCTCCAAACGGCTATTCTGAATAATGCTTCATTTAGGGTGGGACACTGGGAATGAGTTTATGGAACCCAAGGGGGCAGTGGTCCAAATAAGTTTGGGAACCCCTGCTTTAGAATATAGGAACGTGAAACAAATAATATAGGAACAGAGACAATGCCTCTTGCTGGTCTGGATGGAGAGAGGACGTGTGTACACACACGTGTGTGTGGTGTGTAGAAACCCACAAAAATTCCAGTTTTGTGTGATTGGAATGCATCCTGTTGTACAAAGTTGAGAGTCACATCTTTGACCCACCCACTTTTGCCTCTAGCTCCGCCCATCACTGGCATGCAGCCTTTGGACGTTTCCCCAGGTCCGAAGTGCTGCCCTTGGGCTGAAAAAGGCCCCCTGCTCCCGCCCCACTTGTGACCACCTAAGATTGCCTATCCCTTTTCTTCCCCTTCTATTTCTATTTCCAGTTGAAGAGCCCGTTGTTGTTGTTGTTGTTGTTGTTGTTGTTGTTGTACATTTCAGAAGTTCTTCTTGGTGGTTCTCCAAACATGTACGGCCTTGCAGGTTTTTTTAAAAAAATAAGGTCTGGAATTTGCTCTCATTTCTTTCACTCCTGTCCCATGGTCAGCTCCCTGTATCTTTTCTTTCTTAGGTTGTGCACCAGCTACCCGCAGAAACTCCTGGTTCCTGTTTGGATCACTGACAAGGAGCTGGAGAACGTGGCTTCCTTTCGATCGTGGAAGCGAATTCCAGCAGTTGTGTATAGGTACGAAAAAGAATGCTTAAACTATAGAAGGTTGCAAATCCAGTGGCATCTGAGGGGAATCACAGGGATTCTGTGGGTTGAAGGCTGCAAACCATGGTCCTGCTTACATCTTACCAGCCAAAGATTGATCAAATTGGATTATTCATCTGTTTTTAGATATAGGCTGTCCTCCTTCTGGCCAAGTAGACTAGACGATCTGTAGGCTCATGGTCTGATCTACAATTCTGTGTTAACCCTTACCATCCTTGTTGCTGTCTGGTTTGGTTCTAGAGTCGCTATGGGAATTTATTTGTTATTTAGTTGGTGTTGTACGTACAGAGCCTTTGCAGAAAGAGAGTGAGTTCAGGGCTGTGTACCCTTATCTGCAGCACATAGTCTAGTCTTTGACACATAATTTACCTTCTTGATAATTTTTGCATTTTCATAACTCAACTAACAGGGAGGACCTTTTCCACAAGTTGCTTTGCAGATCTTTCTCTGTCTCTCTGTCCTACAACTCCCAGCATCCCCAGCCAGCATAGGCCATGGACAGGGATCATGGGATTTGTAGTCCGAAACATCTGGAGGGTACGGCATTGTGGAAGGTTGCTGCAAACATAGGAATTGTAGAGTTGGACGGGATTCTGAGGGTCGTCTAGTCCAGCTACTAGATCATACATGCAATATGGAATAAGGCTCCATATTCTTTCATGGGATCCTGGGAAATGCTACTTCTCCCTGACCCCCTGATCAAAAAATATCCTTATTATTTGGCTGAGAAGCTGTGGCTTCTTGAGATGGGTCCATGTACTCTGGGACTAGTGGGCTTCCTTGATTTCTCTTCCAGACATTTGCGCAACGGGGCGGTGATTGCGCGCTGCAGTCAGCCGGAGATCAGCTGGTGGGGCTGGCGCAACGCTGATGACGAGTACCTCGTAACCTCCATCGCCAAAGCCTGTGCCTTGAACCCTGGACAGAGGCTGGCAGGGGGGACCCCGCACTCTGGGCTCAGCGATGGGAACGAGGCCTGTGATGCTGGTTTTGGTAAGTAAGGCAGGCAGGCATGTTCTCATCTCTCAACTTTTGCTGCTTAAATGCTGTATCGCCCTTCGGCAGATGGTCCCTTGACCATGGTAGCATGGGCCTGGCCTTACTTCTAGCGTCTTCTTGAAGAGTGTGATTAAAATTGTAGCCCCAGAATTCTCTTTAGTCCTATCCCTGTTCCACATAGGAATTGTGCAAATAAAGCCACAGGCTGGTTTTCTGCTAGGAAAAGGTTCTAGGAGGGCAGCTACTGCCAGAAGCTGGAAAGAAAGACTCCAAGATTATGATCCCAGTTAGCCATATAAAAAGCAAATCATGAGAGCTGATAAGTCGTCCCCCCCCCAGCTCTGCTTTGAACACACTGCAATTGGGAGTGTTGTGAGAGCACAGAGAGAAGGCCGCAAGCCAACCTCTGATTCCCTATCAAAACAGCTAATGGCCAGTGTAACGCCATTAATGGTTGCGCCTACAGTTTTTGTTTAAAGAGTGTAGTTCATTGTCATCTTTCGTTATGCCTCTGACAGACTTGTGGAGTGCAGTTATACCCTTTCCTCATTACTTTATCCCTGAAAGCTGCTCTCTGTTTGCCACCCCCAATTTCTGCTTGAATTTCTCCTCCTTGAACACTTGTTCACAAGGCCCAAACCAGAAATAGTATTCTAGATATGGCATCATGTAATGCTCCTGAGAATTATGACTGCAAAGAAGGCAAAGGCTGCTTAGTTATCCTTTGTTGGTACTTTTGTTCAAGTTCACTCTGAGGCCGCTTTTTTATTTTTCTTCTGAATTTCATATTGCTGGGCAGATTGTATAGAATTAGGACATGGATCGGGAGATGGGGGACTGAACTGTCCTTTTTGCAGATTCATCTCTGACTGCGTGCTCAAGTGTGGAGAGTTCAGCGACACCTCAGAAGCTGCTGATCCTGGATGCCCGGTCCTACACTGCCGCCGTCGCCAACCGAGCTAAGGGAGGAGGCTGTGAATGTGAAGGTATGAGAGGCATTTGAGCACACAATGGCGGCGCATGAGTCAAAGTCCCTAATAGAAGTGCTGGTGTGGTTTTCTGCTCCCCAGCTCTCCAGCTCTGTGGTTGACTTGTCAGGAGGGGATGGGAGAGGAAAGGAGCATGTGCCCAGGGCAAATCCAACCTGTTTTGCCACAACTGAGTCACAAGGTGTCCTTTCAGAAAAGTCTCTGCTGCTGTTCATTTATTCATTCATTCACACACATGCTATTCTTTGTGAGTGGGTCGGCTGTAAGGCAAGTTGGAGGGTTCATCTGCTGATGTGTGGTCAGATTTTAAGCATTCCTCCCATTATTCATGCCTTGTTGTGGTTGGGTTATATAGGCCCATGTTAAATACTTTGATATATGTAATTGCAACTCTGTAATTTGTTTTTTATACCGAATATGTTCCGTGTATGCTTCTCTTACTGTTTACAGGTTTATTTGTTAGTTTGTCAATAACAAATAGAATAAGATTTTTTTTTGCTGTGAGCTATTTCCTTTGACAGCCAGCATCAGCTTCCAGCTGACCCCCTCCCTTTCTGTGCTGTGTTTCAGAGTATTACCCAAACTGTGAAGTGGTGTTCATGGGGATGGCCAACATCCATTCCATCCGCAACAGCTTCCAGTACCTGCGGGCTGTCTGCAGTCAGATGCCAGACCCTAGCAAGTAAGTTCCAATCGGCATTTTCAGTTGGTTAATGGGACTGATTGCTTTTAACTCCAGTTTGGGGTGAGGTTTCTTCCCAGGGCCTCTTGATCAGGATGGGATAGCACAGGGGCACAGCCCAACACCTCCCCACCTGTGTTCAACCAAAGGCAAACTGTTCCAGAAGCTCTGCAAAACGCCATCTTGGTAGTTAAGATCACCCCATAATTAACTGGTAGTTGTTGTAACGGTGAGCTCATATTCACTTGCTTTGATACAGGTTAATTGCCTTGCTTTGAAGTTCTCCTTATCTGGGCGGTTTGGAGTGCTGGGCTCTGAGCCCAGAAGGAAAACTTACCTGTAAGATTTGGGTATTTGCCACCTATGCCCTCATCTGGTCAGGTGAAGTGATAAGAGGTCCTTTGGCACGGGCAAGGCATCTCCTTGCTGCGGTGCTGTCCCACGTCTGTAAAAGGTTGGGAGACCTGGCAGGTTGATTTGCTGTAAGTCTGCACCTTCTTTAATAAAGCCCTAGAACTGGCCGTTCTGTTGTTTTTTGACATCCTTCTTTGGCTATCCCTGCACCCAGCCACTCCCACAAGTCCTCCTGTGGGCTTGTGGCTCAGAACATCACCCCATTCATCCTTTCAGCAACCATGAGAATTTGAGAGGAGGTGATTGTTCCAGGATCACATGGTGAGCTTCATGGCTGAGCGTGGATTTGAACCCAGGGCTTGGCTGTCTCTCCACTATGTCTCAGTGTCTCTCTGGGTTTTTTGTTGTGTGTGTGTGTGTGTGTGTGTGTTTTTTTGCAGGGCAGGGGGATCTGATCTGGCCACTCTCTTCCTAGCTGCTCCGCTTTCTCTTGCCTCCTTTCCACCCCACAGGGCAGTGACCTCAATATTGATAGCTGCTCTCTCTGCCCCTGCCTTTTCTGCTGTGTCTTTTTAGGCCAGCTTCATCACATCACTCTTCTTTTCCCCTGTTGCCATGGAAATGTTTCCTCCTAGCTTATTGAGGGCCAGCAGTCTGAAGAGCAGGAGGGAGCTTTCTCTGTTTCCTTGTGCTGCTGCTGGTTGCCAGCAGCTGCAGCAAGTGCATGCCATGTCCTTGGTAAGGAGCTTTCTCCTTGGAAAAGGTGGCATCTGCTGTCGATCTCTCTGTGGATCCTCACTTTCCAACCCTTGAAGCAGGGGAGGGAAGATTCAGGTTGGAAGGTGTGCAACCTTCCAAGGGCCATATGCCAATTGGGGGGTGGGGACAAATTGGAAAGTGGGTGGGGCAATGAATATAATTAGTACCTTTGTACAGTAGGGAAGTGTCTAAACACACTTGCACACCTCTCTCCATCCTCCACCCAGAACAGGGAAGGGCAGGAGTGGGCTAGGATATCAGTTCAGGGTGTAGGTTGGGGGGAAGCTAGTTAAAAAAGATCAAGACTGTTGGATCTGATGCAAGGCCATTCCGGCCCTGCATCTGGAAACCCACCCCTGCGGACAACCAACTTTGTGGGCTGTGATGAGGGTGCTACTGATTGAAAGAGTAGAGGAGGCATTTCTGGATGAAGCAGGTCATGGAGACAACTGATAGGACAGGGCTGAGGGGTGGTTGTCAGCTAGAGCGCCACATTCTGGGGGTCACAGCCCAGTGGTGGCTGGGAGCAGAGGCAGAAGTGGGTAGGGCAATGGATATGGCTCTTCCCTTTCTACACTAGCGGCTTCCAGCCATGCAACAGCCAGAAGCAGGATCCCAGTTCAAGGACGTGTTCCATTTGGGCAAAAGCAGCCAAGGAGGGAGAGGAGCTGGGCCAGTGATGGAGGGTGGCTGTGTGAGAGGGAGTGTGGCTGAGAAAGAGAAGGGGGTAGCATGGGGAGAGTGAGGGCTGAATTGAGGGGCCTGGAGAGCAGTTGCTCCCTGCCCCACCCCTGGTCTGAGGTTCCCCACAGCTCCCTTAGATCTGTCAGAAGCTTAATGTTCTCCCATTCCTGTGTCCCTTTCCAGCTGGCTGTCGGCTCTGGAGAGCACCAAGTGGCTGCAGCACCTTTCTGTCATGCTGAAGGCAGCTGTGTTGGTCTCCAATGCTGTCGACCGAGAGGGGCGCCCTGTGCTGGTTCACTGCTCAGACGGCTGGGACAGGACCCCACAGATTGTCACCCTGGCAAAGATCCTTCTGGACCCTTACTACCGGACAATGGAGGTATCATATCTCTTTTGCCTGTTGACATAAGATGAAGGGGCAGTTTTCAGGAGAACCTGACCTGGGCGGGTGGGGCATTCTCTTGCTTTGGCCTCTTTATATAATAGTCCAAAGTGGACAAAGCACAACCTATTCTCAAGCTTCTCCCAAGTCCTCTGCGTCTCTTTTTTCCAACTGATAGGGCAATCTCCCACAGGAGGCAGTGAGCTTTCACCTTGTTATCTCTTCCGGAACAAGCTTGTGCCTTTCTGTGAAATTAAAAAGAGTGTTCCTTTTTCATTTTGGAGTGTTACCCAATCAAGAAAGTAGGACATCATCGGCCATATAAAGTTGGTCGGATAAATGGTTCTTCATATTATTTTTAGATAGGCACACAGCACCTTACAGAATGAGAATACAGTAGTCAGGACCCTGCCCTCAAGGAGCTTACAGTCTAAAACAAACAACATGGAAGACAAAAGGAAGCTGGTGGGGGAAGGGTAGATGAGGACAGCAAGGGGTGAAAGTGGGCAAATACAGCAACATGGAGTTAGACTTCCTACATTTCAGGGAGTTGGACCAGATGGCCCTTGGTGTCGCTCCCAACTCTACAGTTCAATGAATAGGTGAGTTTTTAGTTGGGATCTGATGAGTGAGAGAAGGCACTGCACAATTTGCCTAGGAAAAGTGTTCCAAGCATACAAAGCAGCAAGGAAGAATGGATATTGTTGTATATGGAATCAAGGGATTTTTCTGGTGGCCAAGCTGGGACTAAAGATCACAGGAAGCGATCTAATGGAAAGGAGAGCAGAAGAATGGGGTAGAGCAAGGCTGTGGAGACCTTTCAAGGTTGGAAGCTGCCTTATACTAAGTCAGGGCACTAGTCTGTCTACCTCAGTATTGTCTATTGGCAGTGGAGTTTCAAACAGGGAGTCTCATCCAGCCCTGCCTGGGGATTGAACCTGGGATTTACTGTGAGTGCTCTATCGCTGAACTATAGCTGCTGAGCTAAGGCAAGGGGTTGTGCTGGAAACACCAGTGAGGGGACATGAGGAGGAATGTTACAATCTGAGGAATGACTTTGGCAGCCCTAGAAGCTTCCTTCCCCTTCATTGCAGCCTGCCCAGTGGGTCTACGGTGGTGACATTTCTCTCCTTCCTCTTGGCAGGGTTTCCAGGTGCTGGTTGAATCAGACTGGCTGGATTATGGCCACAAGTTTGGGGATCGCTGTGGACACCAGGAGAAGGCGGAGGATCAGAACGAGCAGTGCCCCGTTTTCCTGCAGTGGCTGGATTCTGTCCACCAGTTGCTCAAGCAGTTCCCCTGCCTTTTCGAGTTCAATGAAGCTTTCTTGGTAAGAGAGAGCCTGCAACAGCCTAGGGAGGGGCAAATCACAGTAGACCGATCATTTTATCACAGGCTGGTCTTTCTAATGGGAGAGTCAAGATGGCTCACAAGAGCTTAGTTTGAAGAATAAATCATGCATTCATTCATCATTTTATTTGTACAGCATCCTGCTTTTGTTGGAGAGAGAAGTTTGGAAGAGAGATTCTTACTTTTTCATAGCAGAGTTAGCACAGTGGTGATTGCTCCAAGGATGTTGAAACTTGGTGCCCATATCCACCTTTAAATAAACAATCCCCATGAGAATACTTAGGCTAGAATAAATCAGACACTTGGCTTACAGAGTTTCCAGAAGGCCCTTCTCTAAGTCCCACCACCTTCACAGGCATGCTTGGTGGGAGGGAACTTTCTCAGTGGCAATTCCCAGGCTTTGGAACTCCCTTCCTAGAGAAGCCAGAATGACTCTGTCATTGTCCTTCCCCAGCAGCTGAAGACTGTTCCATTCCAACAGCCCTTTGAGAACTGACTGGTTTTTCAGGAAAGGGCCTTCAACAGTGCTGTGCTCTTTTACTACCTGTATTTTAAGAGATTAAATGTTTATATTCTTTTAATTCTATTAGAGTTTAATTACCTTTTAACTGTAATTTTATATGTTTTTTAGTTGCTTGTATTTTATCTGTGTTCTTTTCAAGAACAGTGTAAGCTGCCTTGAAACCCTATCCAGGGAAAAGACAGGCTAAATAATAATAATCAAAGAATATCAGATATTAATAATAAAAAATAATGTGAGAATGAAGAGTTCAAATTGCGTAAAATAGTACATCACAGTTTTCCCTTTCTTCATGCTACACACTTTCTCTTGCCCTTGACAGTAGGTAGGCTGGTCCAGTCATTAGTTTCAGTTATACTTTAATCATGAGCATCTGAAGTGTGAGCGCACAGGGCCAAGAATACTCCAGGTAGTTTCCAAATATAAGTCTATAAACATTTATTTCTCTTATATATTTATTTCTACTGACCGTGTCCTGAGACCCCTTGCAGAGTATAATATTTTTTTTAATAACACAGAAACATGAAAAGAGTTCTTCCGGAGATGGGCTCATGCAAGCTTTAACCCAAAGCCCTTCCTGTCATCTCCTCCAGGTGAAATTGGTGCAGCACACCTACTCCTGCCTTTATGGGACCTTCCTGGGGAACAGTCCCTGTGAGCGCGAGATCCACAACATCGCCAAGCGCACCTGCTCGGTCTGGTCCCTCTTGAGAGCTGGCAACAAGAACTTCCACAACCTGCTCTACATGCCTGGTAGCGAACAGGTGAGTGGGATTCCCACCCCTGGTGCTGGAGGAGGGGGAAGGGGTCCTGCCCTGACTGAGCTTGCTTTTCTCCACCTTCCATGGCAGGTGCTGCACCCCGTATGCCATGTGCGAGCCCTGCACCTCTGGACGGCTGTGTATCTCCCGGCATCCTCCCCATGTCCCCTTGGAGAAGAGGGCATGGACCTTTACCTGCCTTCTGGATCCCAAAGCCAGGAGTTTAGCAGCAGGTCTCTTGACAGGTAGGATAAAGTGCCCCTCGTCTTGTGAGTTGCACCAGGGTTTCTAAGGATGCCTGCTTGCATTAGCTGTGGTTTCTGCATTGTAAAGGGTGGGACCAGATGACCCTTTGGGTCCCTTCAAACACTACAATTCTATGATTCTAGGTCTAGAGAATAGCTCAAATTTTGCCATATATTTTCCGTTTCCACTATATACAGTGGGTCTTGTCCAAGGGAAGGTTCTGGTGCTTTCAACCTACTTTGTATTCCATCACATTATCCACTTGTATATTCTGACGTTCCCCACTGTCCTAAAAAATCTTGGAAGAGTTGTTAATGTCAGTGCTTATCAGGAACCTGACATTTAAATCTAGCACACCAAAAAAGGATGCTTCTACTTATATGGTGATTTCTTTACTGATTTTGTCAAAGCTTTGGAGAAAGGACCGTATAAGATATATTTTGAAATGCCAAGGTGCATTGTAAGGATTGAATGCCTCTTATCCAAATGGTTGCTGATATTCAGAGGGTCCCCTCAACCTGTTCAGGTTGTATCTCATTCTGAGATACACAGTCTTAATTGCTGTGTACTGAGCATTAACATCTAAGAAAGAGACCATTAGAAACAGTGAGGCCTCTGAAGCCCTTCGGAAAATATCTAGGTTTTTCTCCATTGGCCATAAACACTTGACGTGGGGCCAGAGACTAGTTGGCAGGCCGTCAGGTAGTGGGGACAGGCTCTGGCCACTTGGCTGCTTGCGTCCATGGTGAACCCATATCCTGTTTCAGGCTCTGCAAGGGCCTCCACAGGCAGAGAGAGATCATTCTCTCCGGTGCCTAAGGTTGCCTTTTGTGGTTCCAGATTACCAAAGACCAGATCCATGGACGATCTTCTTTCTGCCTGCGATCCCAGCAGCTTGCTGACCCGCACATCAAGCGATCCAAACCTGAACAACCACTGTCAGGATGTCAGGGTCAGCCTGGAGCCCAGGCATTCTGGTGCTGAGGAGACGGCAGCTGGCAAAGAGAGTGTGGGAGAGGAACCTCCCCAGGTGCCTCCACAGCAGCAGGAAGAAAAAGAAGAAGTGCACCCCTTGCCTGTTGCCAGTGACGGAAACTCTGACAGCAACAGAACTGAGCAGCCACACACATCACAAGACCATAGAGGGTCTCAGCAATTAAACGGTGTATCTCCCAAGGTAGAAACTGTAAGCAGAGCAAGTCCAGAAGCAGTGGAAGGTCCCTGCCCCGCTCAAAACGCTTCTCAGCTGAAGAAGCCTTTGGGGGACGTGACTGGAACAGATGAGCAGCTTGGAAAGTTCCTCTGCAACCATGCAAAAGATGTTGGCCTGGAATCTAACGGCCCCTTGGACCTTGCAGAGCCCTGCTGCCCTGACACCTCCCTCCAGCCTTCAGTGGGTGGCCCCCGTTGGATTCCACCAGCTCCGAGTGTTCCAAGGCAGGATGCTCCTGGATGCCGGAACGAGGAGGAGGATGGCAAGAGTGGCCGCGTCAGGCATGGGGAAGAGGGCAGCCAGACAGGGAAGGCTCAGCCGGAGTTGTGGCGGAAAGGGATCTCTCAGAGCCAGACGAGCGAATTTTCTTTCCTGGGAGCCAGCTGGGACAGCTTTCAGGGAATGGGGACGTCGCTCCCCGGAGGCGACATGGGTCCCCGGCGGCTCCTCTCTTATGGCTGCTGCAACAAGAGGCTGAGCAGCAGGCACTTCTGGGCCTCTGGACTGTGCCTCAGTGGTCAGTGGCCTTTGAAAGAGAGTGCAAAGCCCCCTGGCTGCTCCAGCCACTCTGGCACCCACTGCGCAGGCTATGCTGGGAAGTCCAGCAAGGTGTGGCTCCCTTGCCATCTGAAGCAGGCCCTCGGCTCCAAGCACGCACCACCGAGCAGCCCCTCCCCAGTGCCTCCACTCTACCTAGACGACGACGGGCTCCCCTTCCCAACAGACGTGATCCAGCACAGGCTGCGGCAGATCGAGGCCACCTACAAACAGGAGGTTGAGCAACTACGCAGGCAGGTGCGGGAGCTGCAGCTCAGGCTGGACATTCGCCATTGCTACCCGCCTCCAGCTGAGCCGCAAATGGACTACGAAGACGACTTCGTAAGTGATGGCTTGCGGGTGTGGTTTCTCCAGCAGCCCCTGGGGAAGGCACACAATCATTTAATTGTAGATGGGAGGAGTTGAAAGGCCATCAACAACACACCTGCCTCAGAGGCATCTCTGTCTCCTAGTGCGTTCCAAGCAGAACATAGCTACAATGCTGTGAGGTTCTGGTGGAGCAGATAAGGTGTACGTGCTGCCAGATTCCATTCACATAGTTCTGAGAATCATTTGTTCCTTGCTTGCATCTCCTCTTGTCTCCCCCCCTCTTCCTGTTTTCCAACAGAGGCATTCCAGAATTCCCCAGTCTCCAACTCCACTGTTCTGTTGGTTGAAGAGGGTCTGTAGCTCAGTGGGGGAGCTCATGATTTGCGTGTGGAAGTCCCGTCCTAGGTTCCATTTCTGGAAACTCCAGTTATAAAAAGATCAGGCAGCTGTTGTGGGAAGGACCCTCTGCTTAAGACTCTGGAGAAGTGCTACTGGTTACAGTAGATACTGGGGTAGATGGGACAGTTGGCTTGACCTGATACAAGGCAGCTTCCGATGCCCCTGTGAGCGTAATTATTCCCAACTCACTATTAGAGGATACTGAGGTTTCAGGGGGAGGTGGAAATGTGTGTGATATGCAACAGATTAGCTAATGGCTGTCGTGGCCTTCCTTGCAGACCTGCCTCAAGGAATCGGACGGCAGTGAAAATGAGGACTTCTATTCTGATCACAGTGAAGACTGTCTATCTGAAGCAAGCTGGGAGCCTGTCGATAAAAGGGAAACTGAGGTCTGTTGCATCTCTTTAGTTGGCTAGCATGACATGGGAAGCAGCTGCATGGCTGACATGGGTAGCATGACATGGGAAGCTCAGTATTTCCATTATTTTGTGTGTGTCTGCTATTGCCCCATCCTAGATCTGGTGTTACAAACTCTCTTGCATTTCACTATATCTGGATGTGTTAAGGGTTTAATGAACTGTATGTCTAGAAGTACCCCTTATTGTCTACTCTGGACTTCCTAACTGGATGTCCTTCATATGTTTTGGACTGCAACTCCTATTATCTTTGACCAATGGCTGTGTTTACTGGGGCTGATGGGAGTGCTAGTCCAAAACTTGTGGAGGGCACCAGGTTGGGGAATGCCAGTCTACTCCAAGGAGCAGTTATTCTCTGACATCCTTTCTGATGCTTGAAAACTCAGCATTCTTCCTATTTCTAGAGAAAACACTCATTTTATCGTTTGCTTTTTCCCATCTTAAACTGTCAGTGTGGCCCCTTTCTGAATTGTTTCCTGTGTATCAAACACTTTTCTGAAACTGGAAGTGCTGGAAACACAGAACTCCAAGCAAAGCTTTCAAATGTGCCAAGTAAATGCTGCTCCCTGACTCTGTATACGAATATCCTTCTAACTATCAGATACACACTGTGATTTCTCTGCAGGTCACTCGCTGGGTTCCAGACCACATGGCCTCACACTGCTTTAACTGTGACTGTGAGTTCTGGTTAGCCAAACGCAGGCACCACTGCAGGTAACGCTTAGCAACTGCTATGACTTTTCCTTGTCAGTTGTCTGTTTTATTTTTCTTCTCCTCAGTTCAGTAACTACATCTCAAATGTTCATGGTGAATGGAATTTTGAGAAGGATTGGGCAGCAAATTCCCCACTGGAGAGCAGGAGGAATGGTTTCTTTCCTGGCAAGGATGGGACGGTCGGCCAGTGTAATTGCCAACCATTTGCTTAAATGCTTGGAAGAGTGTAGGGTATTTTGCTCTCAGGAAATTAACAAAGATGTTCACTACATCAGTATTTTTAGATTACATCCTTTATACTTAAAAATTGTATAAACAGTTTGCCTGATGTTATGCTTTTACAAGGAAAATTTAGGATTCTGAGGATGAAAAATTGGATAATGAATATTCCTAGAAAAGCCATTCTTAAAACTCTGTGGGATTACAATCCACTAAGTCCTTTTTTTTTGTTTTTTTGCTGATGACAGCATTTTCCTGAAAGTACTAAATCAGTGCCTTAACAAGTCTGTAGTATTAATAACCAAGATAAAATAATAGGTATATAAGAAGAGAGCCCCGCTGGTTCAGACCTAGGTGTGGAGGGATGTCTGTGTCTGTTTTTCATGTGTTCATTAATAAGACCATTTTGTCCTTCTTTCCAAGCAGTTTTGTCTGCTGCTTTCTAGACATGGGTCCAAGTGGTTTTGCCTTTGCCTCACGGCTTCCCCCTGGAAAACCCACTCCTTTAGTGTTAAGTCAGAACAAATGTTTGTTCTGATTCAGCGATAAACCACAAGTTTCCCTGGGGGAAAGTGGTGGGGCGCACGGACGTGTGGATGAGCCCCTAGCACCAAATGTTGCAGCCTCTTCTTGAAGTGGAGTTGCTCCATCTGCTTGATCAATTTGGTTTCCCTTTTCTGAACCTTTTCCAGCCCTTAAATATCCTTTTTAGGCGTGGCGAACAGAATTGTGCACAAGTATTCCAAGTGTGGCTGCACTGTAGAATTCCATAAAGCATTGACAGTATTGGCAGTTTTATTTTCAGTCCCTTTCCTAAGGACCCCTAACATGGTGTTCACCTTTTTCACAGCTGCCACACACTAGGTTGACGTTTTCATTGAGCTATCTACTACAACGCCAAGATCCTTTTCCTGGTCAGTCACCACTTGCTCAGACCCCATCAGTGTATATAGAATCATAGTATTGTAGGGTTGGAAGGGACCAAAGGATCATCTGGTGCAACCCCCTGACATGTGTAGTTAGGAATTTTTTTGGCCCAATGTATAGAAAGTACAGGTATGTCAGCATACATGAGGAAGTGAAAGGCCTTACAGAAAGGGAAAAAAAGATGGAAAGGGCAAAGATGGAATTCTGTGAGGAGATAGTGGAGTACTGTAAGCAGAGCTGAAATGGAAAGCTTGGAGGACAAAATGAGAGTGGGGATGAAAGGTTTCTGAGCAGGAGTTGTGGGCTAAATCAGCTGTCAGTGCTTTAGCCCAGCTTTATGTGAACATATAAAGCGGAAGGTCTCTCCCAGCCCCACTGAGATGCCAAGGACTGAACTTGGCACTTCCTGCATTCAAACATGTCCTCTGCCGCTGAGCTATGGGCACTCCCTGCAAGCAACTGCTCTTCCATTCCCACTTATAAGCCAAAAAGTAGTGCATATCAGATGTAAGAAGCTCTGGTTAATTCATGCTATATTCCCAGTGCCCCCACAGGAGAGTCTTAGGCCACAGGGGCTACTGAAGAACCACAGTGCAGCAGAATACCTGGGGTTGCTTGGATGACATTGTCTGATTCATTACTGTGCCAAACAAGATAACAGAACCCCCTTCTCTTTAGACAAGATCCTCCCCACACCAGACCACTTTGGCTCCAGGGTCACAGCTGTCCTTGTGTTCTTTTACTCCTTGCCCAGGAATTGTGGGAACGTGTTCTGTGCCAGCTGCTGCCACCTGAAGCTGCCCATTCCTGATCAGCAGCTCTATGACCCGGTCCTCGTCTGCAACACCTGTTACGATCACATCCAGGTATCCCGTGCCAGGGAACTTATGAGCCAGCATCTGAAGAAGCCCATTGCCACCGCTTCTAGCTGAACGCCAGCAGAGGAAAACTTGTCAAGGCCTGGCCTTTTCAACTTGCAGACTGGAAGGAAAGGGTAGGGGCTGCCTCTGCTGCAGCTGAGGAGGTCGGTAGCGCAGCACTTGATCACCAAGCCTTGTATGCACTGTTGGCGATTTTCCCCACTTGGTGCCCCGTGTATTGGAGATGAGGAAATTGGATTAAAGAGTGTGATATGGCCCACCTCATGGTACTGTTTGTGGTCTGAAGACCTGAGGCTAAATCGGAGACCGCGGTGTCTTTACTTCAGAGGGCTGGCGAGGGATGTGGTGCAGATTACAACTGCCTTGTTCCCAAAAGCAATAGGAAGGTATGATCAGAACCAGACCCTCTTCTCCCCCACCTCACAAAGGCAGGCAGGTTGACTTGTGCAAGGAAGAAGAAGACTGCAGCCTCAGAGTTGTACATCTGCAGGAGCTCACTCTGGCTGTGTCTGTCACGTCTCAGTTGTGTTCGGCTTGCCAACCACTTCCCTGAGTGGCTCAAGGCCAGCACTAGTACAAAAAGCAGGAGCTGGGGCGGGGACTTCCATACTAAGCAGAGCATCTCTCTCTGCCCCTTCCCTGTGTCCCTTCAGGGAGTAAGACTCTTTGCCCCGGCAGCTGGGCTGTTGCTTGTGGAAAGCAGTTAAGTTTGGCTTGCTATACACTTCCTGCCCTCTGTGGGTTTTGGGCAGCCAGTTCCCGCCTGGCGTCTTCGCAGGAGACACCTCAAGCCTCCCTCGATCTACACCACAGTGTGTCATTCTCCTCCACTCCTTACTGCTGCACTTGTGTCTATTTCTGGTTGCTCTTTTATCCTGAAAACCTGGTGCCTGGAGGGGGCAGTCTGTGTAGGTTTTCTTTACCTCCTGGAATGTGCTGTTTATAGTGTGCTTGAGGGTTTCAGTCCAAAATGCTGCTAATGTTATTTCTCTCTGCACTTAAAAACTGTAGTCTGGAGAACAAAAGTGGGGGGTGGGAGGGAGGGAGGGAAGAATGCCAATTTCGCAAATGGGAGGCGGCAAACACTTGCCGTCAGGGACTTCCTGTTCCTGTCACTCAAGAAGCTGCAAGGGGTAATATAAAAGGCCATCATCATCATCACCACCTTCACAAAACTGCTCTCCAGCTCATTCTGACATCAATAAACCCCCTTGTTGGAAATGTCTCTCTTGATTTATAGATGCTTCACTTCAGTGACTGTATCAATTACTTTTCCCTAATACTTTCTCTTCCATCCAAACGAGCACTTACATGCTTTACAAAAGGGGAGTGAGATGTGGCCAACATTTCCACAGCTTTTCATGAGTGCAATGTTCATGATCACTTTATCCTGAAGTGTAGTACATCTGCAGGGGGGGTTTGTAGAGTGAACAGGATTGTGAGGGTTTCTTCCAGCTTTCAAGGAGCAAAAAGAACACACCACACACCTCATATTGCTAAAAGGTGGGATCTCCGATTTTGCCATATTCTGAGCTTTGTCCATGTGAAGTGATGGAAGTAGGAGGAAGAGTTCAGGTTTGGTTCCAATTCATTTGCACAGATGTTGAACAAAAATCCGAAAACAAAAGTAGAATAAGACCCTCCCAAGTCATGGTTAATCAAAACTGCTTTCAGCTCTCATGAATTTGTGTCACTGTCTTCAGGCAAAAAACAACTCCAAAATCAGATCAATAGCTTTGTGACAGGCAATGTGCTGTAAGAAATTCAATACAGTTGAATAAAATCTCTATATTAGTGCTGCTTTGTTGGACCGTTTTATTTAATTATGAGTGAATGAATGATCTTCCTTGAGGAGGATATAACCGGGGCTGCTCTGTTTCTCCTAGGTGAAAAAATGGCTTTTCAAAAGAAAAGGTTAGTGGTTAACAGCTTGGAGAGGGCCCTTAATTTATCTGTGTCAAGAGCAGGCTGGGGGCAGTGCCATTATGGACTCCACAGCACTTTGCAGAAAAATAATAATCACAGGACCCTGGCTTGAGAAATTTCCAGCTGAATATTCAACACATGGCAGGCAATGTTTTTATATGGCTTTTCGGGCAAAACAAAGCCATTTAGATAAAATCATTCAAACAGCCTTTGACAACCTGGTGCCCTTCAGATGTTTTCGATAATTGTTCCCATCAGCCCCAGCCAGCTGGTCCAAGGTCTGCATTCCCTCACAGGGCAACTTTCCAGGGGCTGTATGTATGCCAGTGTTGGGCAGGGCCACAGGCAAAAGTGGCTGGAGGAACAGATATGACTCTTCCCTTTGGACAGAAGGGAAGCCATGTAAAAGTCAGAATTTCCACACAGACACATGCTTCCACCCCAGCAAGTAAAGAAGCAGTCACAGTTCAAGGGCATATTCCAGACATGCAAAAGCACTGGGAGGCCATTGCTGCAGCGGCATTTTTACAGGAGAGGTTTCCTAACCCATGCCACCAAGCCTGAGTTGACAAATGACTAAAGCATATTTTGGAAAAGCCATCTCAAAATATTCCCCTTTTTTAAAGTGTGGGGGCTCAGACCTACTTGGGAACCCTGCTGATTGTAAGGCCACCTGCAGGGCCCTGTGCATTTCATTCATATAAAGCACCTAGTATATTTTTGGCACTTACATAAATTGGGGTGACAATTCTAAGAGCATGGGGCAAGGTTTGTTAGTTTATTAGTGGAAAGGGGAAAAGCTCTGTACGTGCACAGAACTACATTTATTACATTTAATTATTTTCAGATTTAGGTGGCAATTACAGTTAAGGGTGGGTACCACTAATGTGATGTTCAGACACTATGGTTTATGTATATGCATTTTTTGCATAAGTTGGGAAAGTGTCCTGAACACATGCAGTTCTCCCTCAATCACCAAGTTTGAGAATGAGGAACATAGGAACCCAGCTGCTGTGTTTGGCCAAAGGGGACCCATCAAGTCCAGCATCTTGTTCTCACCATTGATGGTAACATCCTCTAGGAAAAGCCAGCCAGCCACCCATTCACTGGCTCAGAGCACCCTTTTTAATTTGTAAAAGTTCTGGGACTCAGGCTACGTACACCACATTGAGTTCCTTGGAGGAAAGGGGATATAAAGGTAATAAAAATTGTAGTATCCATGTCAAGTTGTAAGCCAACAGGAATTTTATTCATGTGCTGTGTGTAGTGTATTTTTAGCCTGTTTATGAAGGAGGTGATTCCAAGAGGGCAGAATCTTGTGCTCTTGAGGTGAGGGCAAAGCATCCTTTGTACAGAGGCTCATTTGTTACAACCTATACCAATTTGCTATATGTTAACTATTTCCATGATGCGCATTTGTGTTTATATAGCCAAGGTATATATTAATTGCTTTTGTTTTTTAATGACATTTGCACATGATCTCAGGGAGGGAGTAAAAGGGAACTCTGAAAACTGAGGTGATTATTATTTTAAACGATGCACTTGCTCAGTTTGCAGAAATAGCACGCAAACGAAGCAAAGAACTGCGAGATGCGGATTTGGGGGCGAGGGGAGGAAATGGATGAGAAAATCCGTAAGATTTTCGCAGGTATCATAAGACTCTGCAACGGGAACTTTTTGCAAGTAGCCTATCCCAAAGATAGCCTGGCAACACACGAGGCGCGTGCCGCCGCGCGTGCGATACGTTATCGTTACTATTTACTGTTTTGTCAAATTATTATTGTTGTCGTTGTGTCTATATTTTTATGTGTTTGCCCAATCGCCGTTGTTGTGGGGGTCGGTTGTGCGGTTTTGGCGGGAGACGAGAGCAGCCTCGGCGCGTGCCTCGCCCGCCCGCCTCTGCCTCGACGGCAGCGGCGGCCCCGCGGGTGATTGACGGCGGCGGCCGTTGGGGGAGGAAAAAAAAAGCCGCCGGTCCCTCGCGCCGTCCGTCCGTCCGTTGGGCCGTCCTGAGGCGGGGGCCATGGGGGCAGGAAACGAGTGAAAGGAAAGGGGAAAGAAGGAGGGGTGTCTCGCTCTGAGGTGCGCGCGAGGCCTCGCCGCCCGTTTCTTCCTCCTCAGAAGCGCCATGGAGGACCCGCTGCTGTCGGCGGCGCCCATCAACCCCAACAACTTCCCGGCCAAGCTGTGGCGGCTGGTGAACAGCCCGCGCTTCCGCTCCATCCGCTGGGACGCCCGCGGCGAAGGGCTCCTCATTGACCAGCCCTTGTTCGAGGCGGAGCTCCTGGGCGCCGGGGGAGGAGGAGCAGGAGGAGGAGGAGCCGGGGGAGGCGCGGCGGTGGCGGCCGTTGGGGGAGGAGGCCCAGGAGGCGATGGAGGCGGCGCCTCGGCCTCGTCGTCGTGCGTCCCCTCAGGGCCGCCAGCCTCCCCGGAGCTATTCAAGACCACCAACTTCACCAGCTTCATCCGCCAGCTCAACCTGTACGGCTTCCGAAAAGTGGTGCTGGGCCCGCCCGGAGGGGGAGGCGGAGGCGGGTCGGCCTCCTCTTCTTCGGCCTCCTCCTCTTCCCCGGCTTCGTCGTCGTCCTCGGCCCCCGGCGGCCCTTTGCACCATTTCCACAGCCCGCACTTCCGCCGCGACCGGCCCGACCTGCTGGTGCACCTCAAGCGCCTGACCAGCGCCAACAAAGCCAAGCTGGCCGCCGGGCTGGAGGTCACCAGCCGCCCGCCCAACCGCTTCCAGCGCCTCCTCAGCACTTCCCTGCACGGCGGGGAGGCCCTCCTGGCGCAGCAGCACCAGCACCACCAGCAGCACAACAGCCCCGCGGGGCAGGCCGCCGCCGCCGTGGCAGCAGCAGCAGCCGCTTCCGCCGCCGGGGCGGCCGCCAAGAGCAGCGACAACAAGCCCGGTGAGAGAGACGGCGCGACGCAGCAGCAGCTCCTGCAAGACCAGAAGGCTCTGGAGCACGTGCAGAGTAACCACAGCCTGTCAAGGGGAAGAGGGGCCGTCGAAAGAGCCTCCAGGGTTCAACCTCACACCCCCACCCACCCACAAAAAAAGCATTTAGTTTATTGAACAAGGGCAGCAAAAAGCTTTGTGGCACCCATTTTATGGATCTCTAGGCAGCAGTCCTAGCTCTATTTACCTAGGAGTGAGCTCTGTGGGATTCAGTAGAGCTTACTTCTGAGTAGACAAATTGCTTACAGACTGCTTCAATAGTTAAAAATCCCAGTGCGCTGTGCAAAAGAATGAAAAGCATTCAATGCATGTTTTAAAAAACACCAATATAAAATAACAGCGTAAAATAAAAGTTATCTGTCACCAGTAATATATAGGCCAGGTAAATAGAAAAGGCTTAGATGGAGCGAAGACATTTTTAGCATATGTAGCTGGCATGTGCCTTAGTTCCAAATATGAATTAGCTAAAGATGAAGCTTAAAATTGAAAAAAGGCATAAACATTCTGCTTCAACAGAATCACCAAGTGTTGCCCACAGTTGACAGTTCTGTCAATGTGTAGATTACACATACGTATATGGTCACACAGGATGGAAGTTCATGTCATAATAAATATACTAGCCTTTAAGGTGCCACAAAACTTGGTCTGCTGCAGAAACAACACACAGTGACACCCCCCCCCCCGGTTCTTAGCAGCTCATGGAGAGCTGCTGCCACTCAAAATACACAGAATTGGACTGTATGTTCATGGCCCCTTACAGCAAAATTCACTTTCATTTTTACATGAAAACTTCTAGTCCCACATAATGGTTGGATGTGTGAATGTGGATGCAGTTACTCAGTGCTGATGTGGAATGCATATGACAGGCATGCACCAGAGTTTAGTTCTAACATTCAGATTTAAGCACCCTATGAACACCTCCCACAAGTTGAAAGCACCTTGGTACCACATGTGGACATAGTTCCATTCATACACATGCCTCTGCCCAATTTCCTAGGGTATGAAAATAGACACTCTTGAAATTCATCTAGCCTCTTTTCAAGTAATCATGCCATTCACTTCAGTTCTAACATTCTCTGAAACAGCCTTTTGGTCCAGATTAAACCTCATCCTCCGGATCTATAATCACAAAAACGCTTGTCTGAATCTCTCACTGCGTCCATATGTACTGACTCAAAGGGCAGGAGGAAAATCCATTTTGTTACCATCTTAAGCTATCCAGCTTCTGAGTACCATAGGGAAGTTCAGATACCTCCACAAGCATCTAGTTTATATTAACTAAAATTAAACACGCAACCTCAGAAAACAAGATCACAGGATATTCACAAAGTCATATTCCAGAAGGTTGCTGGTGGTAGCAGGTGCTCTTATCTCCTCCCCTCTCCCACTCCACGTGTTTCAGCTCTGCAATGCCTTAGCTGAGAAGACTCCTCCCACCACAAACTCCATCTACATTACTGTTGCATTCATTGCAATAGAGATGTGGGGCAGGATTCTCTTCTAGTGCAAATCAGTGCAGAATAACTCCCCGTTCATGATACTATCCTATTGCATAATGCATATACTGTAAATTTCAAGTTTGCTTTCCTCAAAGGACAATGGAAAATAAAGAACCTGTGATCCTAGTCAGGACTACAATTTATTAATTTTTTTTTTAGGAGAGACAGGTGGTTAAGTGGACTGAATTTTGCTGCGTAGATAGGCTCACAAATACATTTTATCTGCTCCCGACATTTAGGGCAAGTTTGCACCAGCTCATTTTGTACACTAGTTGTCGCTATATACTGCAATTAGCTGGTGCAGTTTGCATCTTATATCACTCGGTGTCCCCCCCCCCCAAGAAAAAGTAGAGCACCTTTATAAAGAAGAATTGACTCCTACAATGCCCCATGAGCAAATCAGGTGTTGCTAAACAAATTGGACTATTTCTTATCCTAGCCATTGTCTCACTCTTTCTTTACTACTTTCCTCAGCCCAAGGAATAATGATATTTTTATAGACGCTACAACTAAGCAACTTTCACAAGCCTCTCCTCTTTTGCATACCCAGTAGGTTCAAAAATGACTGCACATTATTTCGAGCCCTAGCCCCAAACCCAAAGAGGAGGTTGTGTAGCTGATGGTCCTACTAGGTTAATGAGACAAAAGGAAAGGAAACAGGAGGCAAAACATTGGGTTGGAGATTGTCCTTCCTCCATTTTTAACACAATATACATTTTTAATTGATAATCTATCCTCCCCCCAGCTCTGCCTGAGGAGGAAATGTATAAACATCACAAATGGGTGAAAGTACTGCTAACCTCTGCAGGGAGATAAAGAAAGGCCCACCCTTTAGAATTGCAGTGCATTTGCCTGAGATATACACCTTATAGACTCTTCACACAACACACAATTCCTACACAAATATCACATCCATACAAGAAAAGCCCACAAATACAATAGAATGTGACAAATAGGAAACAAATTTATTTAAAACATTAATACACTTAGCCTCAGTTTAGCTCAGGGAGGTGAACAACAATGAATTAAAGCAATGTTAACTGTTTTAACAGTGGAAATGCTGAAGCAGCAGGTTGCCATTAAAAATATTTTAACTAGAGATCCTATAGGAATAAAAATAAAAATACAAGGACAACTTCTCAAGGTCAAAAAACTTTCCTGAAGAGGGTTTTATCCATCAGTAGAAGGCCATTAAAAAGCAGGAAAAACTAGCCTTTCAGAGGTAGTTCCAGGGTGTGAGTGCAGCCACTAAAAAACCCCACTCCCTGATCACAGCTAAGCAAACTGGGAACTTTCAGGTGAATACGAGGCTTCTGTAAGCAGGCAGGTTTTTACATGAGAAGGCAGTTGTTCAGAAATCCTGGTCCCAAATCGTGAACAGCTTTAATTGTCATCACCAGCACATTGATTTGGGTCCAGAAATAAATTGGAAGCCAGTGCAATTGTTTCAGTAAAGGATTTATGCCCTCCCAACAGATGCAATCCCCTTGCACCCACCCTGGTTAACAACCTGGCCAGAGACTTATGGTAGTTTCCATGCACTTCTCAAAGGCAGCTCCAATAATCTAGACATGATATAAGTAAGGTATGTGTCACCATGGCCAGCTCTGCAGTCTCAAGGAACAGACGTAGTGTATCAGCTGACAGTAATTGATCTATGGTTTACACTATTATAATGTATTTTGTGTGCAGTTGCCTTTGAAATAAGTTTGGAAACTCTGGTTAGTTTAAAAAAACCAAACAGCTGTCAGTCTGCTAACTGGGAGAGAGTTATAATAAGAGCTCTGCCTCATGAGACTGAAGGCCTATCTAGTCCAGCATTCTGTTCTCTCAGCGGCCTACCAGATGCCTTTAAGAAGCCCACAAGCAGAAGATGAGTGCAACAGCACTTTATTGATTTGTGATTCCCTGGCAGCCAGCAGTTGGTATTCAGGGACATACATAGTCTGAATGGCCTGGTCTGTTTCTAGACCCAGCTCTGCATACTGGTGCTTACCTTTAGAGCCCTTCAGGGTTTGAGACTGTAAATAATAATAATAATATAGCAAGTGGCAACCAGAGAAAGGGATGATAGTGTCCCATTTCCAAGGTATGCCTACTAAAGATGCTCTCCTGGCTTTCCACGCTGATGCTGTTTTAGCGTTAGTTAAAGCTCTTTCTTAGTTATTTTAATTGTGAATATTAATTTCTGGTTAGTTTTTATTTGCTCTTCTGTTTCTTTTAGATTTTATTGGGTTTTCGTTTCTTTATTTTAAAATTTAATAACAATAGTGTGTATATTTGTTATAAACTTCCCAGGGATCTTTTTGGGGTGCAGGACACAAATACCTTAATATATAAATGAAAACTATGCAAGGAGCCCCCATCACACTGCACTCCTCCAGTTTCAATTTGCACATATAATTTAAAAGAGTTTGCAACAATGATGTGGCAGTAAAGTCAGGCTATTGGCATCATAGTCCTGCCTGCTATCTAAATGGCATCTTCTGATTCTGAACTGGAAATTCAGGCTGTGTATCCCTCTAAAGTTTAAACTTTGTAGTGAGATTCTGGACGTACTTTGATGCGAAAAACAGTAAGGGCTCACAGTTAAATCCTGGATCAGGGCTGTACATATGGATAGATAAATATGTCAATTTCAGTTTCTCATTTTTCCAATCTTAAATCCAGTTCACATTTCTGCAGCAATTTTTTTTTTTATAATCCTCAAGAAAATGTGTCAGCTATTATTGTGAATTTCTCACAATAAGCACATTTCTGCATGCAGTTTTGACTATTTTTTTTGCAAGCAGTTTCCCAGATGCAGAATATGTTTTTTGTATGTTATTTTCAGTAATAAATGCATTTTTGTGCACACTTCCCCCAAACTCAGCAAATACAATAGAAATAAAAATCATAAAAATCTTTAAATCAGAAATAATTTAAAATGCTTGCTGAAATAAAAAAAGGTCTTGCTCTTTGTAATATTTTAATTATAGCTAATATTGAGGTAGCTACTGTTTTATGCTTGTTAATAATCCAGTAAATACTTTCTTTCCCTCCCCCTATGCAGCACCGCTGACTTTAGGACAGTTTCACCGGTCTTTTCGGCGAGATAATTTATCTCCATACTCATACCTGTCACCATCATCTCACAACCAAAATACCTTCCCACTGAAAGGTTCAGAACGGACTCCTCTTCCTCCAAGAACATGGCAGAACTCCCTTGGGATGCTCCCAGGGCAGGTGGAGACATCAACTTTTTCTGACAAAGGAGTTCCATTTCCTGTGCTCCAGAGGTTTCCAACTGAGGTAACTTACACTCTGCAGCCCAGCGCTACCTCAGTGCACATTCAGCAAGGACCACAGACGATTGCTGCATCATCCCAGAAATATACCAGTTACGCAGCTTCAGCACCATACTCCCAAGCTTACTACCCAACAGGTAACCTGATCTAGGTATTTCAGAAAACAACAACATACAAGTGTGCTTTAATGCAGGGTGGGCAGAAAGCAAATGGTAGATAACCGGATTATTCAGACTAGATTGGGAAGAGTTTCTGACTCCCAGTTGTTTAACAATAGCAAGAGCAGACCGCCGCTCTCCTCACCTTAAAAAAAAAAAAGCCTGTTAGAAGCTCTGATCTGTAGTAATTCAGATATAGAATGATACTTACGTAGGGTATTCAAGTGTAGGGCTCATGGATTATAGGGTAAACCATTTACTCTGCCCCATGAGCCACTACTTTGAATCTGGCTTCCTTCACAGGCACAATTTTGTACCTTTATCTAGTTGCAGGACATTCATTTGGTGGATTTCTCATCAAAGTAAATTCCACAAGCCTAATGTCTGTCCAGGATGAATATATATTATGTATTGTGGGAAGAAGAAAATGAAAATAAAGTAAATCCATTTTGCTTTTCCGTCTTGGTCCAAACCCTAAACAAATGCTTGAATTTTTTCCAAAAGATACATCCTGTTTGAACAGTGCTTGGCCCTTTATACAAGACTTATATCACTGCATTTGAACACTGGAGAGTTAAGTAGGCTTTCTCTGTATTAAACAGGTTTTTTAGTACTAGACTGGCATTAGTTAAAAGGTACAGGTCATTGTGGATTATTTTTTATCTCATAGTCCCATCCACTGTCCTCATTATATATTTTGGAAGGAAACTTGTGACACTGTTGTAGGGCATTTAGGGTGGAATCATCCTTCCTCATTTTCTATTTTTTTGCAGTCCATCCACACAACATCGTTACCAATCTTCTTATTTTCCTGGAGGCTTTTCTTATGGCTATTTGAAAAATGGTTCATTGTGCTCCTTTTTCATCTTTTCAAAAGTTGTGGTTTAATTGCTTATAGTGGGCAGAGGAATCTATCACCATTTTTCATATCTGCTGCAATTGTTTTCTGGTGTATGGGTTGGGAACGCTGTATTGGTGCTGCTTTCCCAGTAGGGAGACAAACTTCAACTGATCAGTGTTCCTGGATGTATTCAGATCTTACCACAATGGCGCACAACCAGATTCAGAAGAAGGAATATATAAAGTGAAGTGACCTCTGAAATACAGTGGACATTATGTGAATAATGTTGTGCATATACAATATAATATGTTACATATGGGCAGAGAGACAAAAGTATGAACTTAACAAAAATATCACAACAGAAGGACAGAAAAAATTAGATACTCTAAACAAAGTGTATGGCCACTAAGGAACAGGCTTGGCTTATGGCTCTTCCTTTGTTCACCTGAAAATTATGTTGCAATACTTCCCAACTTTGCCCCCCATTGTTTAATTCATTCATTCAATAATGGGGGGAAAGTTTGTATGCACAGATCAGCTCTTGTGGGAACAAAAAAAGGATGCTTCACTTGGAACAGATTCATCTACTAATTGGAAGCATACATGCAGAACAATCTGGCTTACACATCCCTCTGCAGCAGGCTTGTTTGGATGAGTCCCAAGAAGAGCAGCAGGTACGCAGCCGTCTCTTCTTGTGGCTTCCTTGCTAAGATTGGGTTTTAGGTACCACTACTGGAGCCAGGTTGGGACAGATAGATCTGACCTATGGGACACAATTTATTGTAGAAATGTTGTGCAAACCAGCCCTGAGTCTGGTTAATCACCATTCTTGTGCTTGGAAGGTGTTTTTCTGGGTCATATAGAGAAGTAACCCCCATGGGGTCTTTTTTGCCAATATTCAGAGCATGGTGCTTGGGCTATCTACATGAGGTTTTACCTGCAGCAGGCACCTCTAGCCTAGATTCATTACTTGCCTCTTATTTGGAGTGCATTACAGCCTGCCATTCCAGCAGTGAACTGATTTCATTTTAGTTTGGATGAGACAAGCAGTTCTTTAAATTTTAGAGCTTTTGTTTACAACACAATAAGTTTGCAATTGCCACTCATTTGTTGGGAGAGTATGGATCCTGATATATCTTGAGGGTTTTTCCGGTCCTAGTTACAATAGTAGGAAAATGTAATTGCCCCTTGAGCTGGTACCACACTTGTGAACATAAGTTGGTTGCCAAATTACAGCAACTGCCCTGTGGGAAGGGGCCTCTGGTGCCTGCTCCTGCTCCAGTGAGGCTGGTGTGGTTCTTGGGTCACCTCCAAACTGTTCGTTTTCTGAAGGGATTCAAGCACATACCAGAAAATTTGGGTTTGCACAAGTAAAGTGGATTAAAGGGCTCTCTTGCCCCAGTGAGAGAAATCCACTTAAAAAAAAATAAAGCTGACTTTTTGCAGATGGAAAAGTGATGGGAAAATGTGTGGGATGAACACGGGATTAACAGGCAACACCTCACAAGCAGATCAAAATGAGTTTTCAATGTTCTATAGCCTCTCTGCAAAATCAGAACTCGGAACCAATAAAGACTTTATATAGTCTAGCCTCCATGTAAGCTTTGTGCAAGCAAATGTGGAAGAGCTCTGTTGTATTTTATAAGTGCTGTTAGCCACCTTGAGGACACTAGTGAAAAAGCAACTTAAAAAATAATACATGAGTGCAGCGTGGAATTTATTTGTTTAACAAAATTTATGTAAAACCAAAGAAACATCAAAGTAGTTTACAAAAAATTGGAATACGGTTGCATGATTGTTATATACCTTTTAAAGTGTGCTTTGTAAGATCACCGCGAAAAGCAGTACAAATCCATACTCACTCATCCCACTGGCTGATGTCCTAAATAAGTTTTATCATTTATGTTCATGTATGGTGTGAATGTCTTCTAAATTAAGAAAGAAAACTGCAAACAAAATAAGATAGACATTTATTCATACGTCAAAATCTAGACGTTGTTGAGCAGGACCATATACTTTTCAGTAGAGCATGGGATTTTTAAAACGGAAATAGTAGCAAACATCAGCAAAGCTATTCTCTCTTTTGGCAAGAGTACCCTGCTATTTTTGAAACCCTGTGTTTTTGCTTTCTATGTACGTCTTTGCCAAGCTGTGCATTCCTCCTCTTTTAATACCTCTCTGAAACCAGACTGTTCCTTCTCCATTATGTGCAGATAGAATATTGCATTTTTGTGCTAGTTTGGAGCTAGTAGAACAATAGTATGTATTTAAAAATACAATCCAGAGGGGTTTATTAATGGTTGGGAAAGTTTATTATTATTATTTTACCTTTTCTTCCCCTTTCCAGCTGTATTACAGTGTTGCTCTCCACCTACCCACATGGATCCCTTAAGTGGCTGTGCTAGTCCTACTGCCTCAACCTATACACACTGCAGTTATTTTCAGGTGAGTCAAATAAGCAGGTACATTGGCCATGATTTAATGAGCCACTTTAGGCATACCTAATGCAATATTTGACTTTGAAGAGCAGACTCTTTTGATGTGCACATCGCAAACTGTTTTTGAAGTTGTACTCTGCTTCAAAAGTGACTTGCTATATGCCAGAGAGGAGATGCAGATTGAGAAACACAAGACCAAAGCTTCCTTGGTCACACAAAACAAATTGAACATGTCTTTGGATCATAGCCCGTGTATCAAAAGAGTTTCATTCTGGTTCGCTACTTCAGCTACATATCAATGCATAAGAAACGTTGTTTTGCAAAATTGAAAAATAAATGGAAAGAAAACACTTCATATAATCAGAGAGCTGGAAGGGACATTGTAGGTTATCAAGTCAATGTAAGATCTGCAATGAAAGAGACAACTACAGCATCCTTGACAGACGTCCATCCAGTCTCTGCTTAAAATGAAAGAATAGTATGTGAACTCTTTACATTGTTTTGGAGCCAAATGACTGATATAAACAAGTACTCACAAATAACTATTTAAGTTTGAAAGAGAAGTAAAATTACTTTTCCTTTTAAAATCATTTTCTTCTAAAATCGTTTTGCCTTACAAAAACCTTAACTAAAACTGTCTTTTGTTTTAGAAACATTTTGTCTGAGGCCTTGTTATTCACCCCATGTCTCATTGCCATACCACTTTACCCACTATAGGGAGTAGGATGGGTCAGTTAAAGTCCAGAAGGCTAAAGGGCTGTTTAGTGGAGGCAGCCAGAAGATACACACACACACACACACACACACACACACACACACACCACACACACTTACTTGGTGGAGATACACCCCCCCACACACACACACTTGGTGGGCTTGGCTTGGCTTGGCTGTTTACCTCTCTTCTCTCACAGTGCAGGCCACAATCCTTTCCATCTGATGTGTTCATGGTATTGAAATAAAACATTTTTGTTTTTAATGAACATCAAAAATGCAGCAGCTCAGTGGTAGAACACCTCATTGAAAAGTTATCAGGTTCAATCCCCAGCTTCTCCAGCTAAATCTTTGTAAATCAGCAGCAGCCGCATCATCATCATCTCGATGCACCAGGGTATCTGACATAGTATAAGAAGCTTTCCGTGTTCATATGTTCCTAACCCAAAAGGCATTAATAATGCTTCATGCCCCTTGTCTGCTCCATACTTATAAATTACACCTCATTAGACAAGGCGTATTGTTCATTTGGTTGGACAAATGGAAGTGTTTGAAGTATTAAGCCAAACCAGAATGATAATGTTAACATGGTTTTAATGCATGTTTGTATGTGATTTGGTGGCATTTAACATTGTTTGTGGAGGGCCCAGTTGACATTGTTGAAAGAGCATAATGTATATGCCAAAAACAAATAGATAAATGGAATAAATATATTTGTTGCCTTTACCTTGCCAGAACCCACCAATGCAATCTTCATACCCTGTTGAATTTCTACCTTCTAACTGGTCCTGCAACACCTCTGATGAAAACAAGAAGACAGAAGTAAACTTGGAGGCTGTCTTCCAGATTGTAGATGAGATGCATTCATCCCCCAAGTTGGAAATGGTGAAGGTGGAACCAGTGGAGAGCCAGTGTCCTACTTCACAGCCAAACCGAGGCCAGCAGTTACTAGTTAATCCAGGGAACAATGATGCACCTTCTTCAGGCCAAGCTAGCCACCTAGAACCTCTGACACCTGTGGGCTCAGATATTACATCCTTTGTGGTGGAATCAGAGCAAGCTATAGCATGCTCCTTGCCGCAGTCTCCTGAGTTTATTTACACTATCCACACCACTGAACCAGTGGAGAATACTACAGCGCAAATAGTGCAGCAGCCTGCAGCCACGCAGCCAACACCAGCAAAGCTGAAAGAACAGCTGAACCAATCTTCAGCACAATCTTCCATGGTGTTTGTACAGGAGGAACTTCCCTTCAGTCAGCCGCAGGTATGGTGTAATGCAGTGCAAAGGGGTACGACATTCTGCAGTGATAACCTAGCCTGAATATTTTTATGTGACAAACCAATATTTATATTACTACCAGTATAACTTATATTTACAGCATTGTTCATTTTCCAAAGTTATAAACATAAATATTCCATATTGCATGTCACATAGACTATTTAGATCACTGTATAGCTTTTGCTGAGAGACGTAATGCAGAAAGCTAGTGTGGTATAGTGGTTAGTGGGCTAAGACTGGGGAGACTTAAGTTCAAGTCCCCACTCAGCCAGAAAGCTCTCACTGGTTGACCTTGAGACAATCCTTTTCTCTCAGTCCAATCTTGCTCACAAAATTCTGAGTACATATAAGATAGGGTGTAGGGAAAACCCTAGTCACTTTCTTGGTCTCCTTAAAGTAAGGGCAGGATATAAATGTTTCAAATAAATAATATGGTGTAAAGTAACATCTTCAAAGGACTGTTAAAAGGACATTTATGTGAACACTTCATGGGAGATTTTTTGTGCATTTTTTTAAGGAGGATCCCAGTATCAAGTGTCAGACAAATCCATCAGAGACAGTTGTGTCTTCAGAGCAGATAGGATTCCTCCTTTCGGAGGTGGGTCCTCTCAGCAAATGTGCCAAAGATTCAGTTTCCTCCATCCAAACCAAATGCAGAGAAAGAAGGAGCAGTTCACAGAAAGGCAAATCCCCTGGTAAGAATGGCAGGCTTTAAGGATTTGTTGAAATAAATGTATTGCTGTGCACCACCTCAATCTCTGAGCTGTGTGAAATTCCTGGGCTTCCAGGTGCTTACCCAGGAGTTGTGCTTTCTTTTGGAAACGAGGCACAGCAGAGACTGAAGTGTCTTTATGATATATGGTTTATTTACACATATATACAACCAGAGCCTTCAATGGAAGGGTTAACAGTATTAGCACCCCAAGAGGTTTTTGTTTCTCCCATAGCCACAGGCTTGGATTTAAACAGACACCAAACATTGCTTTTGACTCTCTTTCTAGCTTGCTGCTTTTCTTCTAGGTCACACCCCTCCTAAACTCTAAATTCTGGTTTTATCTGTTGAGGGAGGGGCCCCCAACCATTTGTGTCTCCCACGGAGCCCCTAAGCCCCCTTAAGCCTCTTTAACAGCTCATCACACAGGCCATCACCTCACAGGAAGCTAGGTTGGCTTGATTAGATTTTAACATTTGATGGATATAGGGATTAATGGGGTCTGGTACCCATAAACTCAAAGCAGTTTTTATACTGCTTTGGAATGTGTACCAGCCATAAGATTTGACTGTTGCTTTGTATCTCTCAGGACTGAATTAGATTTGTTAAAACTGAGGGTGTTGTGTTCTCCACACTCACTATAATGTCACCTCTAAAAATGGCTATACCTTTCCCCCCGTTTTTATTGAACTGAGTAAAATTTGCAGACATAGCAGATCATCCAGGGGTTTTGTGCAGAGCACCTTTAAACTTTGATTTTTTAAAACAAAGGGAAAGTCTACATTTTCATTTTCTGCCATAATTGAATGCAATTTGCAGGTATGGTCACCCCTTCTGAGGGAATGGAGCCTGCCTAATTTCACAATGATGGCTGTAGTGATTCTCCTGCAAGGACAGAATTTACCATTTTGGGGCGGGTACATAGGGGATGAAGTGGGATGGTGGTGGAAGAAAGAGCATATATCCCTAGGAATGGGGTGGGCATGTATCACACCCCAGCAAGGGCTCAGTGTTAAAGATGGTTAGCGCTAACAAGAGTTTATTCATAATCAAGGTGTGATGCTGGTTAATAATCCTGGTTAGAGAATGCATCATGATTAACCTTGGTTCCAGTGTAACCTTTAACAGTGATCAGAGTGACTGAGGAAGACATTAAACATGAGAGGCAAGCAGGTAGGGGAGGGAGTGTAGGATCTGCTGACCTGCTGCTGATCACTGGACAATGATTAAGGGACAGAGTTAAATCTCTGTTTGCCCTGTCAGTAATACATTTTTAACATGAATCACATTGTAGATGAGTAGGGGAGAACTACATGTTACATTACACTCTTGTGTCATGAAATCCTGATCCTTTGCAGAGCAAACCCTGGAAGGCGTGCACTGCACTAGACAAGGGTTTGGCAAAAAGGAAGAGCTCCATCATTCTCTGGGACTCTGCTCATGCAGAAGTTGTTGTTTAATTTATGAATGACCTTTTGCAAGTGTTTCAAGGCAGTTAATAAATATGCCATAAATACTGCTAAACAAATTTAAACCACACAAAACAACTAAATATAGATTTTAAAATAATACAAACTGGGCAACTGGACTGAGATCTTTTGATTCAGAAACAAAAATATCTTGAAGTTCTTCTAGAATGTACAGACCCTGCGTACCTCTTGTGTGCTGTTCCACAGAACAGGGGCAGCTGCCCTGAAAGCCTTGCTCTAAGTTACTACTGAGTGGGCTGGCTGGATAGCTCAGCTGGTTAGAGTGTAAGCTTCTGTTACTGCTGCCAGTGCTCTGGAACCATTTTAAATTTCCTGACATGGGGCTTGAATCTCCCAAGGATAAAGGCAGGTATTGGTGGGTGAGTTTCATGTGGAAAGTAACTGGCAAGGGAAGGCCTGAGCACGCATTTCTGCCTCTTAAGATGTAGCACGCATTTCCAGTGCCCTCCAAAGCAGATATTGAATTGCCCTTTCCATTCCTCCTAGATCTACATCTGCTAGTGGATGTGGCTTGCAAACAAGAACATTTTCCAAAGGAAGAAGAATTAAGGGAGTGAGAACTTGGTGGAAACTGTGTGCAAATGCTGAGTAGTGGCCAGCTGGGGAAGAGCAGTGCCTTTCACTCCAAAAGGACTTTGGATACTTTTACTTCGTTATTAACAAAGCACTCTCCTTATCTGGTCATTTTTGTTTCACATGTAAATAGTCCCGTCATTGTTTTTATTATACCTCTTTCATAGGTTTAAATATTTTTTCTGGTCAATTTCTCCTGATTTATTTGCCCAAAATCTTTAAAAGTAGAAAACATGGTCTCTTGATAAACAGGAAAACTTAACATCCTCAGGGAGCTGTTCCAGTTGCAGAATGTTCTTTGTTTTGCACTGGAATGTCTACACTGTGTTGTAGCAAACAGCAGCAGCAACTTCTCCCACCCTTAGGACTGTTTAAAATTCATTTGGAGAGCATTTAAAGGTGGAGGGTTTTCCAAAACGAACAGAACTCAAAGGAACTTGAGGTCTCAAAATCTGAGGTCCAAATTGGTCATTAATTCTAGAAAGGCACTCAGAATGATGAGCTCATATTCTAGGTGATTGCACAGGGAGTTTTCTTCTTTTTTGCATCTGTTCCTTTTCAACAGCAAATATTATCTTGTCTAAGAGAACAGCTGCTGCATATTTTATGTTAATGTAGCATTCTTGGGTTTTAATAATTTCCTCATTCTAGAGGCACTTTATAATAATTAGTTAAGGCAATTGTTATTTTACTATATTGCTTAGTTTAAATATATCTTCTCAGGCTATTTTAACTTGTTTAACGTAATTATATTTATTGATAATATATGTTAAAGAGCCATGTCTTTGCACTCCTATTTATTTGTGTTGTAAGTATATTGGTATATATGTGTGTGTGTTTGTGTGTGAATGATGTAGCACGGTGAGAATGTGCTTTAAGCTAGTTCACTCATATTTTCAGTGTCAAATTCTGCAACTGTGAAAAATGCACAAGAAAGTACTTGAAAAAAGCAGAGAGAACAAACAGATCTGCAGCTTATTGCTCTCTTACATTCGTTATCTCCCAGTACCCATGTGAACAGCAGGATGAACCAAGGTCAGATGTACATACTCGGCTGGAGCCTCATATTAGACAGAGATCTTAATGTTATGTCTTTTCCTTCAGAAATGCCATTGCATATCTTACCAGATATTTTGAATACTTTGAGATAGCCCTCAATTAGTCTTCTGCAACCTTGTTTGTCCATCTTGAAATTCAGTATTATTTTAAAACAAGCAGGTCAAATTGAGCTGGGAAATGCTATTGTAATCAGGGACTATCTAGCAGAGTCTCTATGAGATGCTGAAACTGAATGGTAAGAGTTGTAGTAGTCATGTTCCTTGAATCCAAAATAGCTTAGCGATGGGTGTTTGGTGCCAGACTAGTATTGATCCATATTAATGCGGGCAAAGCTGATTTTTTAACACTCCTTCATAGGATTATTCCAAAATATCTCTAGTAGTCATTTATGAGCAATCAGTAAAGTAAGAGCTTTCACATGGGTCTGCAGTTTTAAAGCGGAATTAGGAAATTGTAGTATTTATTATCTTTCTCCTGTCCATGAGCTAATCGAAACAAAGAGGCCAAGGAGCTGGATCTCCTGCCATATTTATAGGCACAATTATTTAATTTTACTGGCTCTTGAGCATTTGTAAGATAGCAAAAGAGAAAGGACATTCACACTGTCTAAAGAAATCTGCTTAGAAATCTGCACAGTATCGCTGAAACTAATAGAACAGGGTTAACTCTCCAGAACAGTCTTCTCAGTGTTTCCACAGTTTTAGCCCTAATGTATGTAGTCAATAAACAATAAAGTGCCCACTCCAAAGAAGTCTACAGTTTCATAGTTTGTTTTAAATTGAGTAGTGAATTACAAAAACATCCCACCCACTAAGTGTGAAAGGAGACTTGCATATCCATTGAGTTGTAACCTTCTACTGTAATGGTACAATTCTGTCTTAAAGATCCAACAGCCAAGAAGCCTTAGGAAGTGATGGAGGTACTGTTCTGCCGCTGAAGACATAGCCACACCAGTGGAATGACTGGTAGACCTCCCCATGTATGTTGGTGGAAGCCTCCGCCAGTGTGGATGATCTGGAGTGGACAGAAACAGGGTGTATTGTGGGCATAAAAGTGTTACTCTGTATTGCTCCTCTTTATTTAAAGCAAGAAGTTAGAAACCATCGTACTTAACACTTTCAACCTAGATAATGACAGATAATTAACTAACAGAGTTCACAGAACTATAGTACTGTATCCATATTCAGCTTGCCACAATTGTAGAAAAGGTGAAGCTGGCTAAATGTTTGGATTTTGGCAGTTTTCCTTCTTTTATTTCAGATGATATAGTTTTTCTCTGTACCTAAACTGATTTTATTGAAAAAATAGATTTTGTCACAAGTTTCTGTACATTGCAGGATACTTGACTTTCTAGTAACCTGAACACTGTAACCAGTATATCACATGTGAAGTTACAACTCCCACTTGCAAACTTACTCACCTCTTAGTGATGTCAGAGGAGAATAATACAGTAGTTGAATTCCAGGTCTCTGACATCAGCATGACCTGAAATCTTCCTTGCAGTGGCTACGGCGGGATGGGGTGGGGTGGCGGCAGTGGTGGAAACATCTCCTAAATCAAAATTAACAAGAGCTGAAGAAAAACTGTGGGATACACAGTTCTCCTGGCTGTGAATTGATTCTTGCTCCTGTGTGGAAGTGACTTACAGATACTAGCCTCTGTGCTATTTAAAGTGCTACAGTGAAGCTGGTTAAGTCTACACTGGCAAATGAAGGAGCCCTAACAAATTTTTTGGACTGAACTCATTTGACTTTTAATTTCCATCTGTGCTCTTGTTGCGTGCAGTTCTTTGGAAGGGAGAAGTGAGCAAATCTGGCTTGCATAGAACAGATGATTCGGTTGTCAGAAGCGAAGTGAAGGCTGTACTTGAATGCAGTTTAGCCGTGGATCAGGAGAGGGAGTCTAGGAGCTCTGAAAACCAGATTTAGGGGGTGGGGTCGTTGCCTTTGGCTGCTCCACCCTCACTTTGTGTCAGCAGGTAGAAAGTGCTTGCAGTCCCAGGGGAGGGAGGCAGAGAGCAGAGAGTACAAGCTACGAGCCACAGGTTTTTTTGGAAGGGTTTTTGCCTCCTAGGAGCTGATCCAGTGGTGCTGTTCTGGAAAGGAAGCTCTCCCACGACCTCTGCAGAGCTGCCCAAGTCCACTCTACCCCACGGGTCCCTGCTACTCCTTTGAAGAACAAGATCACATTCTCCCTTAAAGCAACCTTCCGAAGTTTGTCGCTGGATTTCTGCTGTTTGAAGCAACTTCTTTCCTGCTCCCTGCTCAGACTTGCTTACTGTATCCGCTGAAAGAAGGGGAGGTTGTTCTGCTCAAACTCAAAAGGAGTTTTCAGAAGTGCTCCTGGATTCCTAGCAAGATTTTTTTTAGGTTGCTTTGGAAGCTAGATTGTCGCCACGCCTGGCCCACGAGTCTTCAGCCTGGAGTCAATTTTTCCTTCTTATTCAGACTGGAATTTCACATTTACCTGTATAGAATGTCTCTGCAAGTCTCCTCACTCTCCCCTCACTCCCTGAAATCTGTAAGTAAGATTCAGCACACATTTTGATTGATTACTGAAATATTTTTTTGTCCAGGATTTGTAGTGAACCTTCCAGCTGTTACTTAAACCCATGGATTCTCGGAGGCAAACTACATACCAGGTTTGCATGCCGCTTAAAAAAAATATTTTCCCTCCTTTACTTGACTGAACAAACATTTTCACAGATAAATGTCTATGACTTTGTGCAGTCATGAAGATTTCCGGTGGATATTTTTTTTCTAATGTTTAGGATGCCTTCTTTCATGTTTTCAGTAATGCACATCTAAAAGCGGATATATTAATTCCGAGATTTGTATAGGAATGGAATAAAACGCACAGGTGTCTCTCTCTGTAGTTGTTTTTCCTGTTTGGGGCCTTTTTAAATTTCCGAGATCTGAAAAACATCTGAGCAATGTCTTGTTCCTTTCATGAATTTAGGGAGTTGCAGATTATACCATCTGGATTAAAAATGACAAACGGGTGGAAAATTCCAACCTAGAAGATTGATTTTAATACCCACAACCAGGTGACTGAGGTGTTGGCACCAGAGGCAGGTGGAGAGAAATAGATGAAGACATAGCTGATGACAGTGATCTTAATTTAACATGAAAAAAACTGGTTGACTGTTCTGACTCCTAAATGGAGCCCCTTTCCAGTCACCATTGCCTGTTCATGTGTGGCATGAAAAGGAGAGAGAGACAAGAATAGTTAATGTTCTTGGAGAGGAGTAGATGGGAAAAGTAACTCACTGGTCAGAAGTCAACAAGGGCTGCTAAGGCCATCTGATATCAGGAGATTGGCCCTGTTTGCCATCCTAGGATATAAGAGGCTAAAAGGATTTGGGAAGCAGAGATTGTCTTTCCATGGGGAACTGCCTCTCTCCAACCACCAGTTCTGACACCCTTCCCAGAAGAACCCAAGAGCTCTTTGTACCCTACGCTCCCCGAGCCCCCTTGGTTCTGCTTACAACGTCTGAGTTCATCTGGAGAAGGAGGAGGAGGAGGAGGACCTGACCTGATCCTTGTAATCTTGTGGAGCTTGAGGCCTTCATACACGTGGCACGGAGAAACCCTCCTAGCACGGGGGAAACAAGGAGAACCCGGAGGTAGGGACGGCAGGTAACCCTGCTCTGTTTTCTCCTCTGACCCATTGACTGCCGCTGCCACACGGAGGACTTCTAATCCTCAACAATTTTTGCCTGTTGTTGGAACCTGCTGGCGGGGTGAGGACACATTCCTGAGCAGTATGTGTGGCCGGAGCGCACTGCTGCACCTGGGAGCATGAGTGTTGGCCCCCAGCTACAGCTGGCAGTCCTCTGGCCTTGGCTGCTAATGGCTACGCTGCAGATACGCCTGGGCTACTCAGGACTGGCTCTGGTGGCGGCCATGGAAGCCGAGCGCTCTTTGGCCCAGAAGGCAATCATCCGGGTGATCCCTCTGAAGCTGGAGCCCCTCACACTGGAAGGAGTCTTCGCAAGTGTGGCCGAGGTCACCCCAGCTGAAGGGAAACTGCTGCAGGTAAGAGGACCTTTATTCTGCTTCCCCCCCAGCCCCTCTCCCTGCCCCACATCTGTCCAGTGGTTGGTCTGTTGACTACAGGGGTCTTCCATTCCACCAAGAAACTAAAGCCTCAGAGTTTTCTTTCTTGTGGAGGTGCCCACCTGTCTGGTTTTCAGTGTTGTTTTTTTCAGAGTGATAGATGTGCTTTGAATTACTCCTCTTTCGGCTGCTAGGCAAGCATAAGGTTAGGGACATGTGGCTTCCATGCAAAAGTGTGAATTCTCTTTGTGAATGAAATGTGAAGGCACCAAATACCCGAGGCTCTCTCTCTCTCTCTTGGATGCATCATTTTGGTCTTCCTCCATTGCATCCAGAAACCTTTCCTTCCATTTGGTTTCTTTTGGTGACAAGGTGCTTTTCCAAATAGTCACCTCCAGTGATCTGCTCCCTTCTCCTGTCCCAAAGAGCTGTGTTCTGAAGTGATGGCCATGTATCTTCTGACCATAAGTTTCTACGATGACTCAGAAACTTCAGTCATGGGTCCTCTTGTTTTGGTCATGAGAGGGAGAGATGCACGAAGGGGCTTCTTGCAGATGGGAAAACCCAACGCCCCTCGTTGTGAAGCCCAGTCTATTGTGATGGAGCACAGCTGCTGCTCTGCGTTCGTGTGCCATCTTGCCTCGCAACCTGTGACTCACCTCGCAGGGTCCTCACATGACTTGAGTTCATTGTTCTCAAGGCAAGTAGTACAAAGCCCAGCCGATGCCCTGTAGTTTACAAAATCCAGTTCAGAACCCTTAATGAGTTGGAAGCTGCCGACAGTGGTTGAATTTAGCTGGGCTGAAACCAAAATTGTAAATGAGTTGGAGCAGTTGTGTTGGATTGAACTGGTTTGAGGGGGCTACTTGGGAGACAGAAAAGAAACAAAAAGTGGCAGATTTATTGGGTGGTTTATGAATGCCCATGTGAACAGAAGAAGATAAGAAGAGCCTGCTGGATCAGGACAACGGCCCATCTGGTCCAGCATCCTGTTGTTACAGTGGCTGACCAGATGCCTGTGGGAAATGCACAAACATAAGAGCACTCCTGTGGCTCAATGGATCAAATTGTTGAGGTCCAGGAGTTGAGGGATTAAGAATGCAACTGCCCACTAACATGTGAGAGAACATTAATCTTCTCTTGGGTTCCTGTGTCTTCTCTTGGTGGTGTTGGTAGAGCATCCATCTTGCATGTGGAAGGTCCTTGCTTCTTATATTCCTAGCATCTCCATCTCAAACGATCTGACGTGAGTAGAGCTAAGAGCCCTGTCTGTGACTCAGAGAACCTCTGCCAGTCAAAGTAGAAAATGTCAAGCAAGTTGGACCAATTTTTCAGTGCAGCACCAGGCAGCTTCATATGATTAAAGGAACAGGTACTTGTTTGGGGCAGGCCTATTTAAATGTGGAAGAGCCTTGCTTCATTGCTGACATCACTTATTAAAGGATCTCAGGTAACAGGCTGGGAAAGACCTCTCTCTGCATGAGATCCTGGCTGCCAGTCAGAGTAAGTGATACTGGCTGCAAGGAGCAGCAGCACAAGGCAGCTTCGTACATTGCATTGGATTTATTTACTTTTCAGCAATGTTCACTAGATGTCTGATGCTGACATCAGTCAATTATCACAGCTTAGATGTAGGAGTGATAAAGTTGGCTCTGGATACTTGTTCAGAGAGTTTTGGGCAAATGATTACCTTCTGGAGATGCAGAATCTTATCTCGCAGAGCGGAATGAGATGGTTCTGGAATAGAACATCTCTGATAATTGCAAATGATAATAAGGCTGCCTCCTGCACACTTCCAGAGCAAAAGAATGTCCTGTCAACTTGATCTGACTATCTCAATCTTTTTTAGAATCCTAGAACTGCAGAATTGGAAGGGACCCCACAGGGTCAGTTAGTCCAACCCCCTACAATGCAGGAATTACAGCTAAAGAATCCATGCAAGAGTAATATTAATATTACTCATATTTCTTGTATCCCGCCTTATTTTGTCCAAGGCTCTCGGAGAAACCTATATGGCATACACAGTAATTTAGCTTATTTTATCTTCAGAACAACCCTACGATATACATTATTACTGAGAGATAATAAATGGCCCAAGGTCCCCTATTATTTATTTATTTTCATGTCACCGATATGCTTGGAAGTCCAAAAGGACCAGTCCCTGCCTGATGAAGGAACGTAGAGGAATTTGACAACAGGGGAAGTGGAGGCAGGGAAAGAATGTGCAATTATTCCATTTATTTCTTAGATTTATTTCCTGCAACTTTCTCCAACATGTATGCATATTTAGGCTTGGTGACAGACTAAGTTACAGTATAGCATGGTTGTGCAGAAGACTTCCTAGAAAAGTTGGGTATTAAGGGGAAATTTGAAGGAAGTGAGAGATGGTAGCATCCATGCGTTGTTGGGGAGCAGGTCCAAGCAAAGGAGAAAAGATGGGGTCATATGAGAGAGCTGTGGGTCCCACCCATCATGTGGCTGATCCAAGGCCCATATTTATTTATTCAGTCTGTGGCACCAAGTACATCATACCGGCTTTCAAACATCTTGTCATGAGCTGAAAGGCCCCTGCTGGGACCCAGTGCTGAAGAGAGCATGATTCTGCAACTGTTATTTGTGCCTTTTATAACTAACAGGTTAGGGTTGCTGCTATGCGTTCTGTGTGGAACTGCCTTTAAAAATGGCAGTGGCTCACATAATGATGGTCAACAGCCACAATTGCACTCTGTGTGTTCAGTATGAATTGTTTATTGTTGTTGATGCTGCAGGCAAATTTAATAAAAACTTTTTTTTAAAGAATAAGCTGCCAGAATGTTATCTGAGCCTATCATATGGAGCCTACAATTTAGAGGGCTGGCTTTAGCCTTTGGAGCCGCCAGACCCAAAGTGGGCTTTATTGCCCCTTCCGGAGGGGGCAGTGTGATTCCCTAGAGGACTTGAATTAACTAAACTACATAGTGTTAACTGGTTTTTAATATGCGTGTATTGAATTGTTGCCATTTCACGTTTTACCGTGTTTATTCTCTTCCTTAGTGTGTCATGCAAACTGCTATTCTGAATAATTCTTTTTATGTGCCTCATCCACACTATATATCGATTTCATACCACTTTAACAGTCATGGTTTCCCCCAAGGAATCCTGGGAACTCTAGATTGTTATGGGTGCTAGAAACTGCGAAGTGACTCCCATCTTTCTCCCAGGACTATAATTCCCAGAGTTCCCTGGGAAGAGGGATTGACTGTTAAACCAGTTTGGCATGGATGTGCCCTATAGTGTGTGGTAAGGGGCATTCTGAATGAGTGTATGGAACCAAGGGGACGGTGACCCCCCCAAAATTGGGAACCACGGATTTAGAAATCTACTCTGAGCGGGACTAACATTAGATACAACCCATAAGCTTTTCCATTGTTGGCACTGACATTATGCAACACTCTCGCAAGGGACACCAGTCTCCATCACTGTTCACCTTCTGGCTGGCAATAAAAATCCAGTTATTCATTGAGGACAGGGAGGCATTGAGATAGGACAGGCTGATTGTGAGTAGCTTCCTTTTGACCCATCTGTTGGCTGCTGCTATTCGTTATTCCTGCTGTGTTGATTTGACCTCCTGCCCGTTATAAATTGCTTTATAATCTTTTTATTGTGGTAGTCCACCCCGGGAGGTCTTTCATTTGGAAAGTGTTTGAAGTCAATAAACAACAAGGAACTTGGGAGCCCACAGTGATACCTGGAGGCCAATTGCCGCAAATAACTTCTAGGTCAAAAGCTCAAAATCTGGCAGCTACACATCTGGTAAGGCCACCTCTGAATCCATTGTGCAAGCAAGGCAAGGACTCAGTGGTGACTGTTTTTTTAGGGTAGTGGCACCTCTCAGCACCTCTCTTCTGCATGCGTCCAGGACTTCAAACAGGCTGATACCTTCTGTGCATCCTTAGAATCCAACAGGGCCATTGCTGGCTGCACCACATGTACCAGCAATCTTCACTATCTATTTTTGAGTGGATGTACCCATGTTCCCTTGAGAGAAAGTGGGTACTGAAATGGCAATAATAAAACCAATTTTTAATGAAGAAAAATAACTATATGCTAGCATATCAACTAATCAAAAAGGAGGTCACAAAAACACACATACAAAATGTTTCTTAGCTTTAACAAAAGGTGAGCAAAGAGGCATAATTCCTCTGATCTACAGGAATGTCCTTGTTCCACAGTATCAGGGCCACGGCTGCTAAGGATGTGCTTCTAATTCTCAAACTGCACAGGTAGATGGTTGCTGAAACAAGGCCTGTTTTGATGAATAACCATGGCAGGAGGGTTGATGCAAGGAGATGCAGTCTTTAAGGATGTGGGTCTCAGCCAGTGTTGGTAAAAAAAAACCCAAAACCAAAACCCCAGTCCCTTGAATTGTGCCCAGAAGTGCACGTTGCCAAGGCTGCTAAGGACAGACTGAGCATACTTCCTTTTCCTGAGCCTCTTGTGCTACCTGAAGCACTTCCGACATCTTCAAGGGCAGTTCAATAGCAAGCGCATTGCAGCAGTCCATCCTGAAGACTTACACATTATGTTGCACATATCTGTTTCAAGGGACAAGCACTTGACCTTCTGAAGGATTCTTTCAACACTGGGGGTGTGGGTGGGAGGGGAAGCTGCCATTCAGGCATCCTGTCTGAATGGCAAAAGATGCCCAAATCCAGGGCAGAACCTGCCAGGTTGAGCTTCTGCAACATCTGCTCAAAGACAGAACAGTTTTAGAAAATCAAAAGTCGGTTTAGGTTAAGGGGATGGATGCCCACGCAGCTTGGGGAAAGGAGAGGCCTTTAGGTCGTTCTGAGTTGGAATTGAAGGTGAGGGCAACATGGAGTAATGCCCTGACTCTCATATTCAGGAGGGTCAAGTAGCGGAAATCAAGGATAGTGTAAATTCAAAAGGCTGATATGAGATCAAGCAGACAAAGAGCCAAAAGAGGTCCCTCTCAGGAGGGAGGAGCCAGAGAAAACCCTGCTCCGCACATAGATCTGCCACTCTAAACCCCAATCCAGTGCCAGAGGGTCTGTGTGGAGAGACTGAGGTGTGCAGCGCTGTAAACCTGGGGTTTGCCTGATCAGGTGAGGGAGCGGGGTGGGGGGCGGACTTGCTTGTCATCCTCCACAGTCCTTGCTCTGTGTGCTGTGAGCAGGAAGGAGCATGACGCTGGGAGGGGCTCAAAGAAAACAAGCAGGAGGCGAGGGGGTCAGAAGGGGGCTCAGTTTCAAGCCAGAGTTCTCAAAGTGAGTTTGGTAGTGCTCAAACCCCCGCCCTGCCCAATAATTGCATTTTAATCTGGGTTGGTGATGGTCCCATGTAACACTAGATCAGACAAGTGGGAGGGGGGAGAGGCTATGTCATGCCTAAACTCCGATTGTGGCCATGATTCAGAAGAGAACCCAATCCCATCCCATCCCCCCTTTTAATTTCACAAATGCCAGCCCCATTGTCCTAAATAGTTTTGGATTAAGAGTGCTTAACCAGATAGGAAGCTTCCAAGACTGGAGGCTCACTTCCTCCTTACATTAATGCAACCTGAGAGTGAATTAGAAACCTACAAAGGTTTAAACTCAAATCACTCCCAGCTTGGCTTTTGCATGCATATATTCACATATATTTTACATATCTAGATTGCGTACTCTAAAGGGCCTCAATGCTACAGTAACCTCAGGGGGAAAAACAACTTTCTGCCATAGTCTTAACCTAGTGTTTTCATTTTAACCCCTTTGAACTGTCTCGTTTTCTCTCAGTACCGCATTTTATTTCAGTACCCCATCTCTGTTGACCCCCTTGCATGCTGTAACATTTGCATTCTCCATCTTCCGATAGTATCTTTTTTTCTTCAGTCAGGTTTTCTTGTTGTCTTTCTTTTTCTTAATCCCCATCTCTTTCCCCTCCCTGCCTTCGCATCTTTCCCCTCCTCCTTGCACAGCTCTGCAGCAGAAGCACACAAGCCTTTCACACTCCCAGCAAGTCACTCTGTAGGAAGGCTAGGGTGTCTTGTATGGCAGGTTGGTTGGTTGCATTTGGCTGGAAATATTCACCGTAGTTCCACTTCACTTCTAAATCCCGGGACAGAAAAGCACCATTTCTCCATTTTGGCTGCAAAAAGTAGGTGCCTTACCTCGTGCAGACCTTGCTTAATTAAGTGATATTATTCTAGAGGATTTGTTCTGGACTAACCACTGCTTTTTCTTTTCTTTTTTTCAATGGGAAAGGGAGTGAAACTTCATCCGGATCAACATTCCTTTGCAATATCTATAGCTGTGAAGGAAGTGGCCTGTTCACTGCGCTCTTGAATTTAGCAAGAAATTTAAGCCCCTAGTGAACACCCAGCTTCCTTCATGGCTATAGATATACCACCTGCTTGCTTTCAAGAAAATAACACAAGCAAGACAAGGGGGACGCCTGATCGAAATGTGCAAAATTCAGGTGGTGCAGCCCCTGCATGGGGACTGCATTGCCGCAAGTTTCACATTTGGAACTTGCCCCTCTCTTTGCTGCTGTAATATACATTTCAGTCTTTCGGTTGTGCTGTATCTTGAAACATGTAGATATGATGAGCTCCCAGCATGTACCTGTATTTCTACCACCACAGAGGAATGATTGGTGACTTGTGAGGCATGTTCACAGTTCACGCACAACAACCCCAAGACCTGTCCAGCACCCTGTTTGGGAGCTAAGGGTGTGCCCTAGAACTGCTCACATCCCCATACTTCTTTGCAACATATAAGGGCTCAAACGCAAAGCTCATTGGCAGCTGAAAACATTTTGACAGTTTTTCCTGAAGGCAGGAGGACTGATCTCTAACACCAGGGTAATAAGCAGGGCTGCTATATGTTCTCCTGGTTGGCACTGGCATGGAGAGAGAAAAGTGTAGGATGTAGAATTGGGTACGTAAACTTGCTTTCATTGTGTTAAAGGTTCTAGTCCTCATGGGTGCAAAACTCCATATTTGGGAGGATGATATTTAGCATTGGGGAGCACTGGATGCAGTGACCAAATTCGGGGGTGGGTGGGTGTGACACAATTGTCTTAGTACAGGAAATCTCACTGAATTTGGGAGTGAGGAGGCAAGTAGGAGACACCATACATTTTTTGCTTTTCAAACGTTCATCGGCATTCATTTCCTGCATAGTCCATATCCATTGTGCTAAACATCCAGTTCCTTTGATGATCCGTGTGTGTCGTGAGTTGACATTCCTGCTACCTGATAAGATCACCCCTAGTTTCTTAACTCGTGAAAAGATTGGTTAACCACAGCCCCATGACTGGTTTAGCATGAAAAGCTACCCTTCAGAGGCTCCTAGCTGTAGGAGGAGAGCAGCAGTGAACATGGTACGTTTGGGTGAACTCAAGTCTCTGGGTACCTGGCAGCTTCTTGCTCCAGAACTGATGAATGAACTTCCCCAGAGGCTGAGTACAGGTGTTAAACAGCACCAGGGACAAGATCTTATCTTGTGGTAAAATAATTCCTAGGGGCACAGCAGCAGTTGCCCAACACTGCCTTTGAGGACCGAACCCCTTAGGTAGGAACAGAAGGGAGTGCTCAGCAGTTTCCCAATATCCTTTGAGATTGTTCAGGATGAGTTGATGGTCAGCACTGATCACTATTAAGAGAGGCCAGGAGAATAATCAGATTAACATTCCCCTCCAGACACTGGTTGTTGCCTGGGGACAGCAGCGTGGGTCCAGGGTCCAGGGGTCCAGGTTTATCTTTTTATTTATTTCATAAAATTTATACACTGCATGACTGTAGAAAACAGCCTCAAAGTGGTTTATAGAGAGAATAAAACAGTAAAATTATCAGTAAAAGCAACTCTTTAAAACATTCAAAAGATAAAATAAGCAAGAAACTAGAAACAGATCAAAACATACATACACATTCTACGTATCTGGGGAGACTTGCCTAAACAAAAATGTTCTTAGCAAGAGCCAAAAAGACTACAGTGAAGGCGCCTGTCTGATATCAAGAGGCAGGGAGTTCCTGAGTATAGGTGCTGCCACACTAACACATCAATTTCTTATAAATGCGGAATGGGTATGATGTGGCACCTGCAGCATTGCTTGTTTCGCCTCAGAAAACGGGATCCCTTCTTTCAAAGAAGACTTTAAACTGGTTCACCTCCACACACTTAGCTGCCTTGCCTACAAATGGTTACATGAGCTAGTTGAGAGTTCCCTACAAGAACTGGAATGAATATACCTGGTGCTGAAGATCCTGCCCAGCCTCCCGACTCATCCCAGTGAAGCCAAGAGCAGAGACCTCAAAATTGGTGTCTGGTCAATCCTGAACCGTGACTGATGCCTGTTGTGACACCCAAAATGGACACTTTAATTTGTTGGTGAAGAAGACCTGTCCTTCTCCATCTCTCTGTCTTGCACACACTCATGCAGTAGGGAAATAATCGTCCACTACAATAGTTGTTGTCGTAAAACAGGGGTAAAGGTAAAAGTACCCCTGACCATTAGGTCCAGTCGTGGACAACTCTGGGGTTGTGTGCTCATCTCGCTCTATAGGCCGAGGGAGCCGGCGTTTGTCCGCAGACAGCTTCTGGGTCATGTGGCCAGCATGGCGAACCAGAGCAGCACACGGAAACGCCATTTACTTTCCTGCCGGAGCGGTACCTATTTATCTACTTGCACTCTGACGTGCTTTCGAACTGCCAGGTAGGCAGGAGCTGGGACCGAACAACGGGAGCTCACTCCGTCGCAGGGATTCGAACTACCGACCTACTGATCAGCAAGCCCTAAGCTCTGTGGTTTAGACCACAGCGCCACCCACGTCCCTCTGCCCCCCAGGAAATTGGTTCAGCTGGGAATGCCTTTTAATGCAACGCTACCCAATTTGCACTTTCTGAAGTTATAGACGAGCCAATTTTTAGCCTGGAGAAGAGAAGAAAAGACTGAGAAGTGATAGGATAGCCATCTTCAAATATCTAAAGGGCTGTCCCAAGGAAGATGGAGCAAGCTTGTTGGTTTTTTGCTGCTCCAGGGGGAAGGACCCAGAACCAATGGATTAAAATGACCAAAAAAAAGGAGATTCTAGCTCAACAGCTGGAAGAACTTCCTGACAGTAAGAGCTGTTTGACAGTGGAACGGATTCCCTCGGAAGTTTGTGGGAGGTTTTTAAATAGAGGTTGGATGTCAGGGATTCCTTGCTTGTGATTCCTGCATTGCAGCAGGTTGGGCTAGGCTACTAGCCATGATGGGTATGCTCTGCCTGGAGTTGGAGGCAGTGATGCATCTGAAAACCAGTTGCTGGAAACCAAAGGAGGCGGGAGAGCTCTTGTGCTCAAATCTTGCTTGTGGGTTTCTCATTGGAGTATCTGGTTGGCTAATGTGAGAACTGGATCCTGAACTAGATGGGCCACTGGCCTGATCCAGGAGGCCCTTTTCCTGTGTTCTCATATTAGCATGGCCATATGATGCTCTGGAACAGAAGGGAGCACAGCCATGCCAGCTGAGGGGAGTTGTAGTCCAACACATCTGGAAGTCTGCAGACACCAGGCCGTCGACAGCACCACCTCAAAATTACCATTGTAACCTGATGGCACTGCGAAATTGACCACTGCTACTTATGAAATCTCCTTTTGCCCGATATTGAAATACATCCCAATTGCCCCGAACATGACACAGGCCATAAACTTTCAAATGGGTATCTTTGGCTTCCCTTGTCCACATTTCCTTACTGCTGATTTGTATAATTATTAACAAATCAATGGGCTTTGGGGCACAAAGTGCAATTGGCCTATGGGGAAAGTGCTTTGAAATGATGCCGCCGTGAGGCCAGACCCTCCATTCTCCAGCACACGCACACAATATATTTATAACGATTGTATACCATTAACAGTCATGGTTTCCACCAAAGAATTCTGGGAACTGTAGTTTTTTGAGGGCTGGGAATCGTTGGACACTCCTATATCCTTCACAGAGCTACAATTCCCAGGGTTCCATGGGGAGACGGATTGACCGCTAGACCAGATTAAGTCTGTGGTGTGGATCTTCCCCGATATGAATGTATTTGGCATGAGTGCAGCAATCGCTGGCAAACATCCTTTAGCTTACATAATAACTATGGATGCAAGGCATTGCGGCAGCTGATAGGCCACTTAAAAGCATACAGGAAAGCAGGTGAGATGTCCCCACCCTCCCAAGTTAAAGGTGTGCTTGTGCAGAACATTTCCCGCGAGTTTATTTCTTATTCTATTTATTGCATTTATACCCCATCTTTTTCTCTAAGGAGCTTATTAAATCCCCTCATTAAACCCTGACAACAACCCTGTGAGGTAGGCTAGGCTGAGAGGCAGCGATTGGCCCCCGAGGTCACCCAGTGAGTTTTTGTAGCCGAGTGGAGATGGGAACCCTGATTTCCTACTCCGACACTCTAAACACTATGCCACACTGACTCTCTGAGTTACGGCAACAAAGCACTTTCTTGGTCTCTTGAGAGAGATGCAAAGCACCGTGGGAAGCTCCTGTTCATTTTACTGGGGAGGCCTTTCCACCAGATTGTCCCCAAAGTGACTGGGTTAGAGAACAGCAGAGGAAAGGGAAATGTGGCTTTCTTATGCTTGCATTCTGCCCCGCACCCTCCCACTCCATAAAAACCAGGTGTACACACACACACTGTACACTATGAGCTCTTATCTTAGTTTTTCCAACAGTACTACAAGAGTAAACATGGAGAGCTCTGTTTCCACCTCTTGCTTCCCTTCGCTGTTCAAAGCTGCAAAAGACTCAGCCTTGGATCTCAACTGTGCCTGAGCATGTATCCCAAGCAGGCCTCTAGGCTGTTGTTGTTATCATCCTCATCCTCATCATTAACATAAGAAGTGTCTGCTGGATCAGGCCAGTGGCCCATCTAGTCCAGCATCCTGTTCTCACAGTGGCTGACCCCAGATGCCTCTTCCTAGGAAGGCTGCAAGCAGGACCAGAGCCCAAGAGCACCCTCCCCTCCTGTGGTTTCTAGTCATCCATAGCTCTCTCTTCCATGAATTTGTCTAATCCTCTTTAAAAGCCATCCAAGTCGGTGGCCATCACTGCCTCCTATGGGAGCGAGTTCCGCAGTTTAACTATGCACTCTGTGGATACGGAATTGTTGCTGTTGCTGTTATATTTATTTATAACTCACCTTTCTCCCATGGCGGCTTACAAAACAACCCAGATAAAATGCAAAAAGCTAAAAAGCACATCAAAGATAATCACTTAGTTCTAACTCTAGTAGAATTAAATATATTAAAGTGCAGATAATTTAAACAGCCCAGCCCTAATTAAAAGCCCTTTCCTTAAAAAAAACACACACAACCAGTCAGTTTCCAAAGGCCTATCAGAACAAAACTGTCTTCACCTGCCAATAGAAGGACAGCAGGGAGGGACACAGTCTAGTTTCTCTAGGGAGAGAATGCCAGAGTCTGGGAGCAGCCACCGAGAAGGCCCTCTCCTGCAGCTCCACCAAGTGTGCCTGGGGGCAGGCGCCCCTCAACTCACAAAAAAGCAGCCTTTTTATGTTATTATTTTATTCTTATATTTATATCCCAAGGAGCTCAAGGGGGGCACATGTACCTTTTCCTCTTCCCGTTTTATTCTCACAACAACCTGGTGAGGTAGGTTAGGCTGAGAGGCAGTGACTGCCCCAAGGCCACCCAGTGAGCTATATGGCTGAGTGGGGATTTGAACCCAGATCTCCTAGCCCAACACTCTAACTGGCACACTGGCTCTTGATGTGAGGATCAAACCTTAGGGGGCATCAAGGTTCTTTTTATTTGTGCACCCCACCAGAAGAGTCTTGATAACAACTGTATAACAACCATATCTGCTGCACATTAGGGTCGCCATATTTCAAGCTTTTTTTGGCAAAGTTTATGAGATTTTTTTGTTTTTGGCAAAATCGCAAAAATTAATAATGCTGTTTTTGAGCTATTTCTATGGAAAATTGGCAAAAACGGCACTGCCGACATGGGCTCCCATACATCTGGATTTCCCCGGATATTTGTTTTGGCCAATTTCTGCCTGGATACTGCTGCCAACTGCAGTATTTTGGATATGTCCAGGAAATTCCGGACATATGGCAACCTTACACACACACCCCGCCTGGTGCTTTCTGCGCGTTTTAGACTACAGCTCCAAATTCTAGGAATGATAGGAGCTGTAGTCCAAGATATCTGGAGGGCATTAGCTTGGGGAAGACTGGCAAATGGAAATGTGGCAAGAGTTGTTGTTTTGCTGAGTTTTGTGCTTCACGTGCAGATAGCCATTTATAAAATTACTCATGGCATGGAGAAATTTGGTGGAGAACACTAGAACACCACTGGTAGACATCCAGTGAAGCTGAATGTTGGAAGATTCAGGGCAGATGAAAAAAGGAAGCACTTTTTCATGCAGCTCATAGTTAAACTGTGGAACTCCCTCCCCCTGGAGGCAGTGATGTTCACCAACTTGGATGGCTTTAAAAGAAGATTAGGCAAATTCATGGAAGAGAGGGCCATCGAAGGCTACTAGCCATGATGGCTTAGCTCTGCCTCCACAGTTTGAGGCAGCAATGTAGAGTTGGAAGGGACCACGAGGGTCATCTATAGCTCAGCCCCCTGCAACGCAGGAAACTTTTGCCCAATGTGTTGCTCAAACCCATGACTCTGAGATTAAGAGTCTCACACTCGATACCAACTGGGCTATCCCTGCTCTGAAGTTCTTAAGGTAGCAGATGCAAAGGAGTCTCAAGCTACAGATTTCAGAGATTTAAAAAATGGAAACGTTGAGAATTCCTAATGCTTGCTTGCTACTTTGGAAGCAAAGGCAGGTGAGCAGGAACTCCCAGATCGGCAGAGGAATCCAGGAAGATTTATAGAAGCATCCCTTGGTGCAGAACATGAGAGTGAGTTTTAAAAGGATGGTGCCGCCGCCGCCGCTGTTACGAAAACATGAACAGGCACGCACAAATATTCCTCACATTTTTCTTCTCCCTCTAACAATTATTTCTTTTTCTTTTTTTAAAAAGGCACAGGGTCTCCAAATTAGATTTCCATCTTCTTTGAAGTTCCCAGAGATGCCTCCTTGCTAGGAACATGCTTGAGGTTGGAAGGTCAGCAAGGAGGGGACAGCGGTGACTGCTTAAGAGAGCTGGGGAGGGCAGGTCAAGAGTGTTTTCTGCATCTGGGCCTGCGACCCTAAACACATGGGTTGGGAGAGAGAACCTTGTAGAGTTCAGCAAGACTCGCTTGCATGTTAAGACGCATAGTGTCCTCCTGGGTACGGGATTATAAACATAGAGAACACATCTGGATCAAGCCAATGGCCTCTCTGGTCCAGCATCCTGTTCTCACAGTGTCTGACCAGATACCTCTTTTGGGAAACCCTCAAGGAAGAGCACCAGAGCCCTCTCTCCTCCAGCAACTGGTGTTTGGAAGCATTACTGCCTCTGACTATGGAGACAGACCAGAGCTAGGATGGCTAGTAGCCATTGATAGCATTACCCTCCATGAATTGGTCCAATCCTCCTTTTCAGCCATCTGAGTTGGTGTCCGTCACTGTCTCCTGTGGGAGTGAGTGCCATAGTTTTAACTACACACTGTTTAAAGAGGAATTTCCTTTTATCCTTCCAGAATCTGCCAATGTTCAATTTTATTGGATGCCCCTGATGTCTAGCCACTGGTGCGTGATGATTTTTTTCATAAGGGGAACATTTAGGGCCACAGGTGCAAGCTTGCGAGGACAATCGGAGGGGGTGACGTCATATGTGTGAGCATTGCCCTCCCTTCCTAAGCTGGGCAGAAGCTTCCTGGGCTTTGGGAAGGGGACTAGCCTAGTCCACTGACCACACACTGCTGCGCTCTAGCACTATGAGAGAGGGGGAAAAACTTTCTTGCTGCATCACCTAGTCCTGGGCATATATAATCACCTCATGAGCATGAAGCATAAGAGCACAAGAAGAGCTTTGCTGGATCAGGCCAGTGGCCCATCTAGTCCAGGATCCTGTTCTCACAGGGGCCAACCAGATGCCCCACTGGAAAATCTGTATGCAGGACTCAAGCCCCAGAGCCTTCTTTCCTCCTGTGGTTTCCAGCAACTGGTATTCAGAAGCATCACTGTCTCCAGCTCACATCTCAGTGCAGGATCCACAATATACTGATGAGCTGCAACCTCCTTGGCTTTAATACCTCCAAGGAAGGAGAGCCCACCTCCCTAGAGTTGGTCCTGCTGTTGGACAGGTTTCAATGTTAAGAAATGCCTCCAGATGTTTTAGCTGCCGCCTTCCTCTTTGCAATTCCTCCCCAATGCTCCCAGCCATGAGGCAACAGAGAGCAAGCCTGATCCACCTTCTGTATGACCAAAATCCATCTTAAAGGTCCTTATTATCCCATCATAGCCATATCTTCTCCAGGTCTTTTCGTTTCCAGACTCCATGCTTTCCTGGACACCCTCAACTGGGTGTGCTCCAGTTTAGGTGTGTCAGGTGCTGCCCTAGGCTGAGTTAGACCGTTGGTCCAGTGTTGTCTCCACTGACTGGCAGCAATGGCTGTGCAGTGTTTCAGGCTGGGGGCATTCCCAGCCCTCCCTGGAGATAACTAGTCAATTAAGCTTTCATAGAATCCTCAAGTTGGAGGTGACCCTGAGGTCAACCCCCTGGTCCAACCCCCTGCAATGCAGGAATATGCAGTCATCCCATATGGGAATCAAACCTGCAGTCTTGGCATTATCAGCACCACGCTCTAACCAACTGAGCTATGCCAGAGATTGAACTTGGAAACCTTGTGCATGCAGAGGAGATGCTCTCCCGGTACAGCCCTTTCTCTAAAACCAGCCTAAGGCTCCAGTCCTCATTGTTATGAATAAAGCTCTGGTTTAAATAGGAGTCCAGGAAGCTGATCTATACAGGATCAGACCATTGGGGTCCATTCAGCTCAGTATATGCTAAGAGGGGGAACATTCCCAGCCTTCCTGGAGATGCCAGGAATTGAACCAGGATGTCAAAGCAGATGCTCTGTCACTAAGATACAGCCTTGTCCCTGTGTATAAAGCAAGGGTCGTGGTTTGGAAGAAAGGGCTGGTTTAAGCAGGAATATGGGAAGCTGCCTAATACCGAGTCAGGCCGTTGGTTGATTGAACCCAGTATTGTCTACACAGACTGGCAGCAGCTCTCCAGGAGGGAATCTCAGCCCTAGCAGGTGATGCTGTTGGAGACCTTCTGGATGCAAAGCAGGTGTTCCTCCACCTTCCTCAACAGTCTGCCAACTTCCTTAAAGAACTGGGCGTCATACTTTCGGTGCATCCTGAGCAGGTCACCCTCCTTTGCAGAAAATAGACTGCATCCAAAAGCAATGGTTGGAATCTGTGCTGTACCTGCACAGGTGGAAATAAAGGGCAGCTAAAATGATCAGAGGCTTGGAGCGGAGCAAATCCTCTGCCAAGGAAGGTTGCAGCATTTGGTAATGTGGAAGAGAGGATGACACAGGTGTATAAAATAGTGCCCAGTATGAAGATTTTTCTCCCTTGTAATGCTTGCAGAAATTGCCCCGCAGTAGGTTCAGGGCAGATCAGAGAAAAGACTCCTTTGTGCAGTGTGTGTCTGGTTTACGGAACTGGCTACCACAAGATGATGAGGGGCTGGGATTACTGCATTGCAGGGGGTTGGGCTAGATGACCCTTGGAGCCCCTTCCAACTCCACAATTCAATGATGCTTTTAAAAGGGGATGGCAGATTCATGGAGGAGAAGGAGACAATGCCTCCTGGGAAGTGCAAGGGTGCTGGATTTGATGGAGGGCATAACAAATTAAAGAACGGAAGTCCAATAATTGGACTTCACATCAATTTCACAGGTGGCTGGCAACTCTGATTTTGCTGTGGCTTATTGTAGGAAGGGACACGTCTACTAGAACCCGTTTAATCCCATGTGTGAAGTTTGCTGGGAACGTAAAAACAAGAGCACAAGAGCCTTCTGAACCAAGACAATGACCCATCTAGTTCAGCATCCTCTTTTCACATTAGCCACCAAGATGCCTCTTCTGGGAAATCCCGCAAGCAGGATCCAAGCACAAGAGCCCTCTTGCCTCCTGAGGTTTCCAGCAACTGGCATTCAGAACATCACTGCCTCCTACTATGCTGTTATGAAGGGGAGAGTTGCTCCTATGGTCAATTCCTACTTGCAGGTTCCCCACTGGGGCCACTGTGCGAAGATGTTGGACTTGATGGGCCACCAGCCTGATCCAGCAGGCTCTTCTTCTGTTCTTAAGAAGGGACTTGTTTTGATTAATGTCTGCAGGAGACTTTGTGGATATTTAAGTTATAATTGGAAAAATCTTAATAATTATTCATAAAGGAAACAGCTTATAAGAAGTAAATAAGGAGGCCAGACACAGGATAAAGGAAGTCTTTTATTTGGTTGTTTGTATTGTTGTATGTTATGTTTATTGTATTTCTGTATTGGGGTGGGTGGGTTTATGTTGTAAATAAAATTTCCAATAAAAAATATTTTTTTAAAAAGAAGGGACACGCGGGGTCTTGGATTGGTCCCAGGTCTCATACTCCAAATGAGTAAAGCAAAGGTGCAAACAACCAATAATTTGAGCACGTGCAGAGTGCCTCTCCCTCTGATGCTGAATTGGCACATGTGGGATTAAGGGCAACAGGGTGTGATTGGCAGGGTGTGGCGGTGATGACGGCTACTGGCTTAGACACCTTTGAAACGGGGATTAGACAAATGCATCGAGGAGGAGGAGGAAAAGGAGAGGTCCATCGCCAGGTAATTAGGTTGCGTAGAGCTTCCATGTTCAGGAGCAGTCTAGCTCCAAATATATCACACAAGGCAAGGTGGGTGCCTTCATGCCCCAGAGAGCCCTCTGGTTGACCACTGATGCAGCTGGCCTCTGTGGGCCACCATCCGATCTTCCTTGTGGTTTTTTTGATCCCTGGAGAGCAAGTGCAACATCTCTGCCCCCCACCCCAGGTTCCCCCTGGGTGTGTGCTGGGCCCTTCCTTCCTTCATCAGGGCTGGGGAGAGAAAGAGAGAGAGAGAGAGAGACATTCCAATCCCTTGCTTTGCCTATAAAACCATTTCTTTTGTCGGTGGGAAATTTTTGCAGGGTGTGATCACCCAGGCAAAATAAAGAGCTCCTTTGAAGTGCGGGCAAGTTACTTAGTGAGCGCCTGGGGGTGAGAATCAGATTCCTCCCTCTCTGGAGCAGGGCAGGCCTGTCTGTACAAGCTGGAAGGCGAAGAGCAGCGAGCAAATGGCCCACAGCAAAAGAAGAGAGAGAGAGAGAGGGAGAAGACTGCCAAGAGTGAGCTAGCAGGGTTTCCAGTGTGTGTGAGAGAGCACATCAACGCACCTGCCCCCGGACTCCTTTAAAAGACCCTTCCCTGCCTGGAATCATAGAGCTGCAGAATTGGACAGGACCCAGCAGGTCATCGCCCTTTCTCAGCCAGCCTCTCCGCTAGCTGCTGTTATCCAGGCTTACAATTTGTGGTGAATCGCTGTAGGAGCTTTGTCAAAGGGGTGTCTCAAGAGGCAACCCAAGAAGAGCCATAAGTAGAGCTCACAAGTGGGGTGTGTGTGTGAAGGCTGCCACCTTCCCTTGCTGCATGTTATATTCAGAGCTAGACTGCCCCTGCACATGGAGGTTCTGTTGGAGGATAATAATCTGATGATAAACTCTCCCCCTCCATGCATTTGACTAGTCTCAGGTTGCTGGAGAAGCCCTGTGCAGTGCCAGAGGACCATCAGAAGAGTCCCGTGCAGCTGGATCAGGGCAAAGGTGTGCGTGGGGGGGACCCATGTAGTCCAGCGACCAATCAGGTGCCCCGTTGGGAAACCCACAAGCAGGACCCAAGTGCAGCAGCGCTCTCCTTGCGATTCCCAGCGACTGGCATGATTCAGAAGCCCAGGACGCGGGCATTGTTGCTAGAAGCTAGCCATGGATTTGCCTTATTATCTGCCATGAAATTGTCTAATTGGCTTTTAAAGCCGTCCAAGCTGGTGGCCTTCGTGTGGGAGCAAATGATACCATGGTTTCAACTATGTGCTGTGCAGAGAAGCACTTTTCTTTTGTCTGACCTGAATCATAATCATCATCATCAACTTCTTCTTCTTCTTCTTTTTCTTCTTCGACTTCTTAGTTTGGAGAAAAAGCGAGGAAGAGGCCACACAGTAGAAATATATAAAATTATGTGTGGCATGCAGACAGGAGCTAGAGGAAAGCTTTTTCTCCCTCTCTCACAACACTAGAACTTGTGGATATACAATGAAGCTGAATGTTGGAAGTTCAAATTAAAAAAAGGACTTTTTCACGCAGCGCAGAGTTAAATTGTGGAACTCCCTCCCACAGGAGGCAGTGATGGCCACCAACTTGGATGGCTTTAAAAAAGGTTTGGGCAGATTCATGGATAAGGCTGTCCTTGGTGACTGGCTCTGCTCTTGCCTCCACGGTTGGTGGAAGTCATGCCACTGAACCAGTTGCTGGAAATAGGAGGGGAGAGTGCTCTTGCGTTCGAATCCTGATTTCTAGTTTACTTATTTCATAAAACGTATATACTGCTTGAGTGGTTGGCCACTGTGAGAACAGCATGCTGGACTAGATGGACCATGGGCCTGATCCAGAAGGCCCTTCATAGAACCATAGAGTCGGAGGGGCCCTGAGGATCATCTAGTCCAACCCCTTGCAATGCAGGATTATACAGTTGTCCCATACAGGGATTGAACCTGCAACCTTGGCGTTACCAGAACCACGCTCTAACCAACTGAGCTCTTTGACTTCTTAAGTTTTTGTGCTTTTGCTGTTATTTATTAATTTTATCGGTCGCTTTTCTTGCTACCGCAACTCAACGCATGCAAAATAACACATGCATATATTAAAACCAGCATTAAAAAAAACAGTCTAAAAGACACACACAAACACACATTAAAAAACAAAATTCAAACCCATGTAAAAACATCATGGATAGTTTAAAGCCCAAAGGCCTGATGAAAAAGGAATGTTTTCACCTGGGGCCTAAAGATATGGAGCAATGGTGCCCAGTGAACCTCCCTGGGCAGAGCATTCCACAAGTGGGGAGCCACCACCGAAAAGGCCCTGTTCTTTTGGAACCCCCTCCTCCATTGAGTTCTAGAATTTTGAGGGGATGGGGAAATCTCCCTAATTTGATAATTTACACTGACCCATTTTGTATGCCTCCCTTTCTTGCCTTTTATCTAAACTAAAAAACAAAACTCCACTTGTAGTGACTATTCCTTGGAGGGAAGTTGCTTCAGTCCCATAGAAGTATAGAATTGTTGAGCTGAAAGGAACCCCAAGCGTCATCTAGTCCAGCCCCCTGCAATACAGTTCTATTTACTGGGCGCTCAACTAGGTTTCCAGTGTTGGGTTTTTAATCCACGTTTACATGGGCTTATCCCAAATTCAGGTTTATCCTGTCCTTTGTTATAAGGATACACCTGTTTGATGCTGATCTTTCTCAAGCCCAGCTGGATCCGCCCCAAAGGGGCCCATCCAGTCCAGCAATCCTGTTCTCCCCGTGGCCAATCATATGCCTCACTGGGAAACCCACAAGTAGGACCCGAGAGCAACAGCAACTCTCCTCCATGCGGTTTCCAGCAACTGGTATTCAGAAGCATCACTGCCTCTGACCCATCTAGGTCGGTGGCCATCCCTGTCTCCTGTGGAAGTGAGGTCCACAGTTTTAACAGTGGATTAAGAACTTAATTCGTTCTGGAGGTCTGTTCTTAACCTGAGGTACCACTTTAGCTAATGGGGCCTCCTGCTGCTGCTGCGCCGCCAGAGCACGATTTCTGTTCTCATCCTGAAGCAAAGTTCTTAACCCGAGGTACTATTTCTGCGTTAGCGGAGTTTGTAACCTGAAGTGTATGTAACTTGAGGTACCACTGTACTTGGTTACCACTCTTCCGGTGATTCCAACTAAACAACAGGAAGAACTTTCTGATGGCAAGAGCGGTTGACAGCGGGACAGGCTCGCTTGGAAAATGGCGGACTCTCCTTCACGGGGGGTCTTTAAGCAGAGGTTAATCTGTCAGGGATCCTGTAGCTGTGATCCCTGCATTGCAGGGGGTTGGGCTAGAGGACCTTTGGGGGGGTCCCTCTCAACTCCATGATTTGACGAGGTCCCCAGTGGCAACTGGGCGCTCCTTTCCCCCTCCTGCCTAGGCGCCCCAGCCTCTGCCAAATCCCGCCAGATGCCCATCCCAGGCTGGGACTTCTCCCTGGGCCTCTGGAAAGAGAGAGAGAAAATGACAGAGTGCCAGCCAGTGGCTCCTCCCCGAGCCCAGGCGGCTTCTCTCTGAGGTGTGTTGGACGGGCTCCAGGAAAGCATCGAAAGGCTCTTTAATAATATCTGACGGCCGGGTAAGAATTCGGGCAGGCGGCCAAAGCACACAGAGCTTGTAATCGTTAACTCGGTCTGTAAACAGTTCAAAACGGCACTGCAGAGGCCATCAGTTATTACATGAGCCAGGCGGCTTTTCATCTCTCCCGCTCAGCCAGGCAGGCTCATGGCTCCCCCCCCCTTTTCCTTTTTTGTTGCTCCTGCCTCCCTGCCGCAATGGCTGTGGGACCTGCTAGCAGGGGTGGCGTGCAGCTCCCAAGTAGGCCCAGCCAGACAAAGGAGCTCCAACTCCAAACGGCTGACCTTCAAAGCTGCGCCGAGCCGAGGGCGAGTTCTGAACCCAGTGGCGGGCCTAGAGGAAGCAGGCAGGGCCCCTGGTGCTGAATCAGGCCCTCAGGGTCCATGTGGCTCAGTGTTGCCAGCACCAGCTGGCAGCAGCTCTCCAGGATTTGAGAGGCAGGGTTCTCTCCCATCCCTACAATACCTGAAGTGAGCCAGTGTGGTTTTTGTGGTTAGAGGCTTGGACTAAGGCCCAGGAGAGACCAGGGTTCAAATCCCCACTCGGCCATGAAGCTCACTTCCTGAGAAGTTTGTTGTGGAGTGACAGAACCACATATGCCCCTTTGAGCTCCTTGGAGGAGAAGGTGGGGTATAAACACAATAATTTTTTTTAAAAAAAGATGCTGCCAGGGTTTGAACTGCATGCCTTAAATGGCTGCTGAGACTTAGCTCCAGCACCTATTTTCAGTGATTATGTTCAAACCTGGAACTCATTATTCTTGTTAATTCCATCCATTGTATGCTATTATTGTTGTAGTTATTGCTACCGTAATCATCCTGGAACTTGGTTACCGTATTTTTTGCTCTATAGGACACACCAGACCACAAGACGCACCTCATTTTTGGAGGAGGAAAACAAGAAAAAAAATATTCTGAATCTCAGAAGCCAGAACAGCAAGAGGGATCGCTACGCAGTGAAATCAGTGATCCCTCTTGCTGTTCTGGCTTGTGGGATAGCTGCGCAGCCTGCATTCGCTCCATAAGACGCACACACATTTCCCCTTTTTAGAAGGGAAAAAGTGAGTCTTATAGAGCAAAAGATACGGTACTTTCCTGATTAATCCCCCCAATGAAATATCCTAAAAATTCGTACTAAGCTCATTCCACAGGTTCAAGCATTGCAAACATTTCTGCTGGCCAGATGGAAGGACTTCCCATCTGCCCATCCCCAAGTACTGTACACAGTTCTGGGGGTTCTCCTGACCACCACCCCGAGCTGATTGGGGAAACCCCTTGCCCCAGTGGGGCTCGTTGCATGGGCTTACGGTGCTCTCCCCAATTTGCAAAAGGACCGGAGCCCCAAAAACCCTATAGAGTTGAAAGAGGGATTAAGAAAGAGCATCACTTTTCTAACTTCCTCTTTCAGCCCTTATGTACTTTTCCTCTTTCAACAAGCCTTTTTAATGAGAGATCTTTCCCAGTCCGCATCTGTCCTGGGATTGTTGTGATATGTCGCCATTGCTTTATCTTTTGTGTGTTTGCCAACCTAGGCTCCTTCTGGAGGAAAGGAGGGATACAAATTTTAATAATCATTTTCTTGAAGGAAGAAAACGGGAACCACCTTCACCATTTCATCACCAAGGGGGAAGTGTGTAGAAGTGGGGGTGGGGACTCAGAGGCCTTGCAAACATCAGGGAAATACCTCAAGGATGTCCTTGTGCCCATGGGAGGCAGAGTGAGGACCCCTGCCTCAGACCCTGCCCAATAACCTGCCCAATACAGTGGTACCTCGGGTTACATACGCTTCAGGTTACATACGCTTCAGGTTACAGACTCTGCTAACCCAGAAATAGTGCTTCAGGTTAAGAACTTTGCTTCAGGATGAGAACAGAAATTATGCAGCAGTGGCGCAGCAGCAGCAAGAGGCCCCATTAGCTAAAGTGGTACTTCAGGTTAAGAACAGTTTCAGGTTAAGTACGGACCTCCGGAACGAATTAAGTACTTAACCCGAGGTACCACTGTAACATGGCTCAGACTCTGCCTAATAACCTGCCCAATAGCTTGCCTCAGACCCTGCCTAATAACCTATGGTTAAAGCCTCCTTTTGCCATCTTTCCTCCATCTTTGGCATTTTGATGTCCTGATTCTTTTCACTTACTGACACGTTACTGATTGACCTCCCCGGCCCAATCCTGTGGACATCAGTGCCAAGGTGGCCGCTGAAAATATCAGATGGAATTTGTCCCCTCATGGTACCACTGGATTTTGATTTTGACATAATTCCCCCGACCCGTTGTCCGGCCTCAAGCATTCAACCTCCGTTTCCCCTCCGTGAAAATGGGCACTCTCAGCTCCGAAGTGCATTCTGTATCTGGAAGGGTGAACCTCGAAAAACTCAGTCTCTGTGAGTTCTGATGCAATCTGACCAGATTTGGACTAATGTGAAAATCGGGATGTCATTTCCTTTTCACACGCCTGCAAATGTTGCAATAATAATAGTAATAAAATTGCATTTTTACTGTTAGCTGCTCTGGGTTCTCATGAGTGTATCTTGTAATTACCTTTTCACACTTCTGCAAATTTGGCATTATGATTATTATTAGTAGGAATAATGCTGCACTTTTACTATTAACCACTCTGGCCTCTCATAAGCCGAAGGGAGAGGAAAAATAAACTATTCTAATTCCTTTTACTCAGTCAGCCCTTCCTCTCATGAGAGCCCAGGGCGGCTAGCAGTAAAAAATGTGTCATTAAAACAAAAGTAGAATATACATTAAGAATCTGCATTGCATTATTCAAATGGGTTAATTCCTATTAAGTCCATGTGTGAAAATGCTCTTTTAAAACACATTTAAAGTGTGTATGTTAGGTTGAAATACATTTAGGAAGGCATATACTGAGATAAAATACATAAATGTGGGTTGAAACACATATTTCAATATAGATTTCTGTGCAGATCTTTTTTTGTTAAAATCAGATTAATGCAGAAATGGAACAGGGGAGGGAGCAATTTTTTTACGGACACATGTAGAAATGAGAGCCAGCGTGGCACAGTGGTTGGACCAGACCAGGGAGAGACCAGGGTTCGAATCCCTTCCTCGGCCACAAAGCTCACTGGGTGACCTTGGAGGCCAGTCAGCCTACCTCACAGGGTTGTTGTGAGGCTAAACATGAGGACGAGAACATTGTTCACCACCTTAATCTCATCAGAGGCTTATTGCATATAAATAAATAAATGGATACGAAGGAGTCCTGCTGGTTCAGGCCAATGGCCCATCTACCCCAGCATCTTGCTGTTATAGCTGGCATCCCACTGAGGGGTGCCAACTTGCCCCCGCATTGAGGGGGCACGGCATCATGTGACAGGTCTGCCCCCACCCACCGCACCAGCAATCTCCCAACAACAGCAGGGGGTAGGGAACGTGGAGCGTGATCTTCACCCTCCATGCCACCCTTGCCTGGCGCATGAGCGCTCTCCTGGCAGTGGCGGGGCATGACAGCCCCCTCAATATTGGGGCAGGGAGCTCAACCCCCCTTGCTCACAAATATTGAGGGGGCTGAAGCCCCTTCCGCCCCCTATAGTTGGCACCCCTGTGCCTGCCAGATGTCTATGGGAAACCTGCAAGCAGGATTCGAGCATCAGAGCCCTCTTCCAGCTACTGGCATTCAGAAGCGTTGCTGCCTCTGACTGTGGAGCCATCCATAGCCTTCTCCTCCTGCCTTGGTGTTTACGCAGCCTGGGTCCAGCCCCTTCATGTCGCAGATTGCATCCCCGCTGGGAGTGAAGATAAGCTGTCCACTCGGAAGAGCTCCTCTATAAAAGCTTGTGCCAGTTTCCCCTGAACCAACCATGGAGTGAGGCGGGAGAGGAGAGTGGTGCTATCAGGCTTCCAGTGGAAGAGAGATATCCCTTGATCCTTTGCCAAGGTCCTGGAAGCAGGTGCGAGCTCACCTTTGGTCTAACAGACAAGGCAGCCCAGGAAAGCAGATATGAGGCAGATGGCACCTGCCCCCAGCATTCATTCATTCATTCATTGACAGTGTTTGTACCCAGCTCCTAAAAGTCTTCGAGAGCAACTGACGTACAATAAAAACAAGAGAGTCCCTACTCTGCAGGCTTACAATCTAAAAAATAAATAAATACATGGCACACGAAGGAAGAGCGACAAGGAGGGAAGAGGAAAAATCAAAACTTGGGTACTGATTTCTAAATAGTTGCTATAATGTCTAGCTGGCACAGTTTGGGGGCCAGAAGGTGCCTGATGGGAGCTGTGTCTCCAGCAAAGTAGATGGAGTGGGTCTCGTTTCCCATCTCTCCCACTGAGGTAGCAAGATGGACTGACTTCCCCCAGGTGACAGGTGAGGGAGAGGAGGTCTGATGAGACTGGCATCTTCTGCAAATATTTGGGGCTTGGGGGGAGGTGACCGATGGAGCACCCTTTCTCCCCACCCATTTCTTCTTGGTTTTGTTTCCTTTCCGGACTCCGGATACCCTAGTGAAGACAGAATTGACTGATTGATGGATTGCATTGATTGATTGATTGATAGACTGGCTGTGGTGTTGGTTTTCTGGATCCCTCCCCCACTAAGCAAATTCAGGGAATTTGTATGGGGGGGGGGGGGATTTCCCGTGCTCTAGCCAGCAATCTAAATTAGCGTGTTTATTTTTCTTGCGTTTAGTAAACAAAGGGGGAACCTTTGAACGTGGCCACACTTGCCTCAGATTGAATTTGCAGCTGGCATTTTGCAAATGGTTGCTAAAGAACTTGTGAAATGGAAAATTTTCCGTGGAAAAAACAAAGGGCTGGGAAGAGGTTCCATTTTGGAAAAGTTTCTGCCCGACATCACTACATTACTGGATACCTGGGGCTTATTCCACCCTGAAGGGGCTCGGCAACCGATGTACATACTGAACATTTTGCATTTCCAAACCACCACCCCCAAAACGAGTAGAATTGTAATGATCATAGGAGCAGATCTCCCACCCCAAGTAGCCCACGCCCTAGAGATCAGGGGGGCGGTTTTGGTGCAATGGTACAACATCTCAGCAGCCCTGGGTCTTCCGGACAGCATGGATTCTGGATCCAGCTCTCCTTCCACAGGGCAAGTAAATTACTTTCAGGGTTGTTGTTTTACAATCAGTCTTAAAATTTGTGAAATAAATAAGTAAGTGCACTTTGGGATGAACTTGCAAGCCCTGAGGTGCTTAGTCAAAGCCATCTCTGTCCAAGGAAGAATGGGACAAGAAATTCCAAAGTGTCCATTATGAGCACTTGGGAGAAACTTGCACAACCAATGGCTTTGAGTTGCAAGATAGGAGATTCCAACTAAACATCAGGAAGAACTTTTTGACAATCAGAGCTGTTTGACAGTGGAATGGACTCCCTTGGGAGGTTGCGGACACTCCTTCCTTAGAGGTTTCTAAGCAGAGGTTGGATGGCCATCTGTCAGGGGTGCTTTAGTTGCGATTCCTGCATTCCAAGGGGGTTGGACTAGATGACCCTTGGTGTTAATTCTACAATTCTATGATTCTAACCTGAGGTGCTTAGTCAAAACCATAACCATGAGATGAGGTCGTCCTTGTCATCTGGGTGGGTGGGTGACTTGCAAACAGTTACCTCATCCGCAGTAAGAATTCTCTATGTGGGCTCTGTCAAGAAAATTCCCGTAAACTGGATTATTTTGTTCATTTATTTAAAAATATTTGTGTTCCGCCCTTCATCCATTACTAGGATCAGTTAAACTGGAAGTGAGTTCACTCTTTTTCTCCCTCAGGCTTTTGATGATGACCAACTGTTACCAGATGGTGTTTGGATTCGCAGCAGCAATTTCCCCCTATAAGAGTGGTTTGGATGCCCTGCCCTCAGAGGCAGATGGAAACCATAGAATCATAGAATTGTAGGGGCCCCAGGGGATACCCCTGCAAGGCAGAAATTGCTACTAAATAATCCCTGGCAGATAGCCATGCAACTGCTTCAAAATCTTCAATGCAAGAGCGTCCGCCACATTCTCAGGTAGCCCATTCCACTGTCGAACGGCTCCTACCGTCAGAAAGATCTTCCTGATGTTTAGTCAGAATCTCCCTTCTTGTCATTTGAACCCATTGGTTCAGGTCCTCCCCTCTGGAGCAGCGCGAAACAGCCTGCCTCCATCTTCTGTGGGACAGCCATTTTAATATTTGAAGATGGCTATCTTATCATATCCAACCGAGCTGTTCCTGGGAGAAAGCTGAGGGTCGAGTCCTGGTTTCGCTATGGAATGGAGAGATGAAACAGGCAGTCGATAAATTGCCTCTGAGCACCCTCTGCAGCGTGGTGAAAGCCCAAGTGGCAAATTTGGTATTATGGAGAGCTCTGGGCGATGAAGCAAATGGCTCAAGTTGCGCTCCAAAGCTGACCGAACACAGATTAGCACACATAAACCGTGCCTGCCATGTGAAAATGGCTCATTTCGTGGCTTGCACTGCATCCTCTTGTAGCTGGCCAGCAGAGTTATTTTGGACAGTCTTGAGGTTTACTGACTCCCACTGTGAGGGAGGGACCTCTGGAGCTTCCAAGGACCTGCTGTGACCAGCTAGCTAGGCATTCCAGGGCTAAAGTAACTAATCTTTGGAGCGACCTTGAGTCCTCAGTCATTGCTTCCAGCACATAGTGGAACGATGGAGCAGTGGAACTCTCTCCTGCAGGTGGCAGTGATGGCCACACACTTGGATGGCTTTAAAAGAGGACTGGACAAATTAATGGAGGCTATTGATGGCTCTAATGGCAGCAATGCTCCTGAATACCAGTTGCTGGGAGCCACAAGAGACTGGATTAGTGCAATCCACTCTATGTGAGGCCTTCCTTGCGCGATCTGGAAGCTGCAGTTAGTGCAGAATGCTGCAGCACAATTGCTGAAGAGACCGAGATCCTATCAGCATATAGCACCTCTCCTCAGAGATCTGCCCTGGGTGCCTATTTGCTAGTGGGTCAAGTTCAAGGTTTTACTCTTGGTATGTAAAGTGCATAACAACATGGGACCATTTTGCCTGTGAGATTGTTTTACCCCATATACACCCAGTCGACCGCTTCAGTCTGCGGAACTGGCACTGCTGCTGGTGCCACATAATACCTTTGCAAGAAATCCATCTTTTAGTGTGGCAGCACTTATACTTTGGAACTCCCTGCCTCTTGATATCAGGCAGATGCTTTCATTGTACTCTTTTTGGTGCCTGCTAAAAAACACTTTTGTTAGGGCAAGCCTACCCAGATGTTTAGAAAGTTGATGCAAGTTTTAATCTGCTTTTTGTCTATAATTATTTTAACTTTTTGCAAATCTTAATTTGTTATTAATTATTCCCATTGGTAATTGTATTGTTTTATCTCTTTTGTAAACCACAGTGAGGGCTTTTTTCCAATCAAGTGTATATTTTACGAAACAAATAAAACAAGTCTAACTAGTGCCCTCCAGATGTTGTTGTACTACAACTCCCATCACCCCATATGCTTCACCATGCTAGCTGCTGGAGCTTCTGGGAGTTGGATTCTAGTCATGCCAAGAAGGCTCTGGTATATAGCTATGGTAGACATTTTGACAAAGCTCTAGGTCAAGCCTGTTACATTGTATACTTAGTTGCCTTTGAAGTGTTGCTGCATACCTCGTGGCTTCACCTAATACTGCAATGCAGTTTTCACTGCCGCATCTCCATGGTGATTCCCCCTTCCTTTCTCTCTCCACAGTTCCACCCCCTGTCTCTGTGCAACACCAGCGAGGATGAGCACACGGTCCCAGGATTTGTCTCCATTGTCAAACTGGAACGGCCTGAGCGAGATCCCCACCCCTGCCTGTCCTTGGCCAACAAGGTATGTGTGTGCATGTCGTTGCAATCAGAGCAGACCTGACAATCTCCTTTCCTCCCACTTTGCAAAACTTTGTGATCAGCTTCCCACACTCCTATATTGCCAATCAGGAGCGCAGCAGCTCCAATCTGCATTCCATTTCCATCTGCTAAATTTATATGCATAGATGGCTCTGGGTTAGTTAAGAGGGCAAAAGCCCAGGGTCCCTCCAGCACTGCCCTTTGTGGTATATCCTGCTTCCCTGTAAGCAAGGTAAAATAGCTCTCCAATTTTTCATAGGCTCTGTGTCCTTGGGATTTCCACTGCGAAAAGGCAGTGCAATTTGCAGCAACATCCCTGATGGAGTCCCTGATCGGTCCTTCGTTTCCAGTTCACTGCCAGTTGCTGGAAATCGCAGGATGGGAGAGATGCTGCTGCTCCTGCACTCAGGTCCTGTTTGCGAGTTTCCCATGGGTACCTGGGGGACCACCGTGAGAACAGGATGTTGGGCTAGATTGGCCCTTGGCCTGATCCAACAGGCTTCCTATGAACCTAAGGAACTCCCTCGCACTGGAGGCAGTGATGGCTGCCACCTGGCATGGCTTTCAATGAGGACTGGACAAATTCATGGAGGGCAATAAGGCTATTGATGGCTACGATGGCTATGCTCTGCCTCCATGGTTGGAGGGAATAATGCTTCTGAATGCCAGTTGCTGGAAGTTACAGAAAAGGAGAGTTGCTGTTGCACTCAGATCCTTCTTGCGGGTTTGGCGGCCTAGATGGGCCCCTTTGGCTCAGTCCAGCGGGCTCTTCTTGCATTCAGTGGAACAATCTCTTACGAACTTTGCACCTGCAAAAAGGCTCCGCGTAATATTCTACAGGAATGCTGCCTCTTTCTTCTCCTGCTAAGCCCCAAGAGCGGAGCTTAGTGGATCAAAGGGAATGTGCTCACCAGCAAACCTCATGCAATTCGGCGCAGTTCCTCTGAAAGGCCTATTCCCCTGCGTTTTGCAACACTGTGCAACAGCCCTTTCCCAGGCCCCCACTGCCTGCACAAGCAAGTGTAAGAGTTCCTCTCCTATTAAACAGAGCACGGGTTCGATCCTGTGGCCAGGAGGGGAAGCTGTGGGCAACCAGTTGTGCCCCCGGCAGCTTGAGAAGTGGGAGACCTGCTTTCAGCAGCAAGCTTGTTTCTTGGACGCCTGCAGGACCTCACCTGCCGGAATCCGCGAATCTGCAGCTGCAGGATAGCTCAGCTCGAAGGTCTTGCCAGTTGCAAGCTGGCCAAAAGATTTACCTGCACCGCCGGTGATTCTTTAAGCGTTGCTGTATGAAGACTCTGTTTGGGGCGAAGGCAATTTGGATGTAAGAGTGGAGATGGGGAGTGGAGGTTTTGGAGAAGTGTTAATCCACCCTTTGGGGGATTTTTAGTTGCTGGTAGAAAAGTGCCGCGGTCATGTGGGTCGCTTCATGGCAACCTTGAGCCTTCCGTTGTTTTTTCATGAGGGTGGTGTGGTTCTTTCTCCGAGGGTAACCCTGGAGCCCGAAAGTGCCGCCTCCACCTTTGATCTCCCAGCTGGGAAACTCTGCTGCTGACCTCCGACCTCTTCGCTCGAGGCAGGCTCTGCAACTGCCAAGCCAGCTAGCTGGAGTTATTCTGGCAGGTACCTGCTTGCACACGCACTCCAAGGAAGCCCAGATCAAAGGCAGCCGGCAGAGGCATGAGCTAAGATCGTTCAGGCACTGCACTTTGCTAATCAGACTTCCTCTCTTCCTTCCTAACCAGGCAGCAGTTAACTACTTCCATGCCAGGATCTGGGCGTGAGACTGTGTGGAGCTTAGAAAGGGTGAAGAGGGCTCTCTCTCTCTCTCTCTCTCTCTCTCTCTCTCTCTCACACACACACACACACACACACCCCAACCCTCCACTGGCTGAGAGAAAGCTTTCTGGACTATGCATCGTTCTGGCTGCCTCACTTCAAAGAGGATATGGCAGGGTTGGAAAAGGTTCTGGAAAGGGCCAGCAAAAATGTTCCAGTGGAGATGAGGGGATGAGGAATGGTTGCAGCATTCAGGACTTTTTAGTTTAGGGAAAAGGAGAGCACGAAGTGGCGTGGCAGAAGCTTATAAAATGACGGGTGGCGTGGGGGAAAGAGGCCAGTCACTTTTTCTCAAACTAACCTACCTCACAGGGTTGTTGTTGTTGTGGGTATTAAATGAGAAAGGGGAGAACCATGTATATACACCAAGTAAATAAATAAATTGCCTGGAGTGGATGGGCCCTCTTCTAGGTTGCTATTTCTTTCCACAACACCCTGGGAGAGTCACCTGGACAGGCTGCAAAACCCAATTCATTGCATTTTCAAATTGCATTCAGATCTCGCCTTTTTCTCTCTCTGGAGCTCAAAGTGGAATACATTGTTCTCCCACCTCTTCCTTTAACACCTCCTCACAACAACCTTTTGAGGTAGGTCAGGGTGAGAAGCAGTGACCAGCTCCCAAAATCACACGCAGTGAGCCGTCAGCTGGGTACATGATGGGATTTGAACCCTGGTCTCTCCCAGGTCCTAACCACTGGCTGTTTCCTAACACTGGTAGCAGAAAAGTTTCTGGGATACAAATTGGGAGGCCCATCTCGGCTTCAGAGTTCCCTGGGTTTGGGAAGAGAGAGGAGCTGTTGGGTTAGCTGCGGTGTGTGTCTAATTGCAGGGAGGGCGTAAGCCAGGAGTGCCACCCGCCAGCCTCTCTCTCTGTCTCCCTCTCAGATGGGTCTGGCACAGCCCAGGAGAGGCCCTCTCTCTCTGCCAGCATTTCTTAGCAACAAGATCTGGGCTGCTCAATTCCTCCTCACCCTCCTTCCGAACCCCCACCCCTTTCCATCTGCAGAAGAATGTAGATTACAGGCTGCCCTTTGCATTAAATTTCCCCGGCGGAGAGGAGGAGTTGCCACGTGTCGTTCCACGGAAGAGAAGGCCCAGTGCAAACCACCAGTTGTCAAGGCCTGGGAACGCTGTTCCTGATCTGAAACCCCATGCCCTTAATCCCCCCCCCAAAAAGGAACAGCTCTGAGCCTTGCAGCAGCATGGTCTCCATCAGTACTCCTGAGCATGCGCAGAGAGCATCAGCTCTAGTATCAGCACCGGGCACTTCCATCAGGGCAGAGTAACTTTGATGCTGGATTTAAATGTGTGTTTTCATGCCTTTTAAACTACCGATTCTACTGCTTCATGTTTCGTAGTGATGCCTCGGAAGTTTGCCAGCCGCCTCAAATCCCAGTTTGGGAGACGAGTGGGCTATAAATGCATTAAATGTATTTATTATTGCATTTATACCCCACCTTTTACACTCCAAGGCGCTCAAGGTGGCCTGCGCACTGTTCTCCCTCTTCCTCATTTTAATCTGCACAACAACCCTGTGAGGTTGGTTAGGCTGAGAGGCACCTAGCGAGCGCCACATCTGAGCGGGGATTCAAACCCTGCTCCCTCCAGCATCGTGGCCTGACACTCTAACTACTACACCGCACCACTATTAAGAACAACGATAACCTGCCGTGTGTGCCCTGCCTCCGGTCATGCCTCCCTATGCCTTGAGACACGGCTCTGCTCCAGAGCCGACTTTTCTGGCCCCGGAGATCCTAGAGTGAGCAAAAAAAGCCACGCGAGTGCCTCTGAGCACGTGCAGAGGTTCCCTTTGGTGGGCCCTGAGAAGGAGGCATGAGGCGGAGTTGGGGATCTGTGGCAGGCCTCTGTTTTGTTTGCTGCCTCCGTCTGAAGGCAGGTCTCCCGCCCCGGCTCCCTCTCCGCACCAGGGCTGGCGAGAGGCCCTGACGGAACAGCTCAGGCTGCCCCGGGCTGCGGCGAGGCTGGCCTACGCTTCCCAATCCCCGGCTTTGATGTGGAGCCAAGCGGGTGGTTTCTCTGGGGCCTGGCGGGGATCCAGTGCCAATGGGAGGCGGGGGAGGGAGGCAGGTGAGCTGGCTGGCCAGGGAGGGCGGAAGGGTACTTGAGGTAGGCCCGGGAGTGCCAGGCGTTTGCAGGGTGAGGGCGCTTTGCTCCACCAAAGGCAGGAGCAGCACAGAGCAGCCCTTTGTTCCTGCAGACAGGGCAGGGCAGGGAGGGGAGGGGAGGGGAGGGGAGGGGAGGGGGCCGGCTGGCCGGCTGGCTGGCATCAACAGCCATCCTTGGAACACTGTTGTCGTTGCCACACCTGGCTAGCCCTCAGCGAGGGGTGGCAGAGCTCTGGCCCACCAGGAGGCAGGGAAACGGGCACCGCTTTCTCCCTCTTGGGGTCTGCTTTGTGCATTGCACAGAGAGAGACAGAGAATGGTGGCTTTCTTGCCTTTCTCCTGCCAAATGAGAACCGGAAAATTGTAGAGTGCGAAGGGATTCCCCCCAGGGTCATCAAGCGCAACCCCCTGCAAGGAGAAAATCACGGCAAAGGCTTTCTCTCTCTCAACCCAGGTTTGCTGGGTTCAGCTTTCTGCCCAGGGGGGTAACAGCTGGGGTGGGAGTCAAGTTCAACCCTTGACCCCACGGCTCTCTCTCTTTCCTATTTGAACATTTTAAAACCATTGTCATAAGAGAATCGGTCAGAGAGGGGAATAAAGGAAAAATGGCCCTGCTAATAATGTAGATTATTATCATTCTACCCAAAAGCCCCACAAGAATAATAAACTGTGCCTTGAAGAATGCATCGTTGGGAATATGTTGAACATTTTAAAACCAGCTAGCATGGGGAGGCTTGTTCGCTAGCCCGTCCAGCAATTCCGCAGTTGTATTACGTATATGTAAAAGAAAGCAAATGACTTTATTAGCCTGGAAGAATCAAAGAACCGACTTGCTGGGTTTCACCAAAGCCCAGTGTCTTGTTCCCAAGAAAGGACAGTATCTGGGAAGCCCATCATGAGCAGGGCAGGGAGTCAAGAGCCCTCCATGGTTAAAACCATGCTCAAGGAGGCTTGCAACACAAAAAGCTTTCCATGACTGCCAAATTATAACAAAAGTAGCCGCGGGCGATAAATAAAAGCACTTCAAAATGTACGCGGCGAAATTAAACCATCCCCACATAAGTCAAAATGAGATATTAAAATAAGAAGACCAAAACTTAATATCTGTAACAGCAAAATCAACATCTCCAAAATTAGATCTTGACCCCAACGGAAAATAAATCCTAGGCAATACGCCGCTCCAAGAGTCTGCAGGCATTCTGAGAGGCAGGTCTTGAAGGACTCTGAGCAAAGATGGCGTCTTTCAGCCGGCCGGCAGCCCTCAGGCATGCCAGGGGATGCTGACCTGTTGCCGGCTGTCGGAGCCAGCCGTTACAAATGGCGCAGTTTAGCATAAAATAAAGACACAGAGAGCCAGCAATATTTTCAGGATGGTATGAGCAGCTCCTTTCGAACTTCTCTTCTCTCCCGTAACTTTTATTATCCTTTGTTCTCTCCTCTCGCATGGCCGTTTGCCAATGTCTCACATTACCTACATCCGGTCATGGCTTAAACCCACCCATCAGCAATATAGGGTTATTACTGCCCAGAGGGGGAACATAACTCCATATAAGGCTATGCACTTAATACACTGCAAGGCACGGACATGCAGGTCACTGAGGTCAGCGAGGCACCAGGTGGCGCTACAAGCCTTTTCATGACTTCCTGGCTCCCACATGCCCTCTTTCTTTATTTTATATCAGAGTCATATATATCAGTACCAATACGGTTATATCGAGCGCGATAGGCGACTCTTGTGAGAACCATGCAGTACATATAGAAATTAAGGAAGGAATACATTGGATACAGCAACACAAAATAATGCAAATAACTACTATAATGATCACTAAAATCAATAAATGTCGAAGCCAACTTCCATCCGGAAGCCAAGAATATAAGAATTCTGATTCCAAGCTGCATGGTAGGCTTCCTTTCTAGTTTATTAGCCATGCACTGGTGTCACTCCTATAGCACTGAGATTGGTCACTGTATGTTCCTGTAAGAGAACAAGAGCTATTAAAAGTGAAATTCAATGTATATTGACAGTTTGGATATATGCCCCATGATTCTTTCCCCTCTTTAATTTGAAAATAAATGGGGGCAGGCTCATGGAGGGTCAATTGTACTGGAGGCCAAAAAGTTTGCTTAGGGGATATAATATTAGTAAATTGAAAAGATCCATTGACAGGCACACCATGAAGCATTATGCCGGAATGACTGGCAAAAGGCGCCATGTGCATACACAGCCAACATTTAGAAGCATGCAATAAACTGGTAAACATAATCATATCTTGTACAAAAATATTATCCCTCCATATCTTATGATAATTTTCTCCCCTAAAAGTCTTATTCAACAATACTGTTCTTCTAGTTCGAGAGTGGCTGAGCCGTGGATACTGCCAGCCAGAGTAGGAAGCTGACAACAGCTGCTTGCCAGCCGATGAGGTGAAATATGGTGGTTTCAACTGGACTGGGTCGTCTGCTTCTCTTCCTTGTATAACGGTGCAGCAAAGGATGGCAAGGCAAATGGTTAGGAAGGCAAACACTGCCAGATGCAGCTCGTGTGCAGCACCTCTAGGTGGCGCATGCGGAAAGGTTTCAATGCTTCACCCACAAAATGTTGACAAAGTGTAGGGGAGTTCCGCATGCCTTGAGGCAGGACAACCCACTGATATCGCTGGGTGGGCTGCGAATTGTTATATACTGGCAATGTAAAAGCAAACCGTTCCCTGTCTGCTGGAGCCAGTGGGATGAAGATGGTTCAATGTGGCCGAAAGTCAATTGTTCAGAAATAAGCTGTTCAGAACCAAGCCTGTGCCACTGCTGCTGATTTTTCTTTTGGTGGAGGCCACTGTTCTACCCACACTGGGGTATCGGTGATCCTGGTTTGCCACACTGGAAACAAGTTGTATCGGTGGGTACAGGCTGGTTTTCATTTAGCGCTGCTGCCAGCAGATGAGCCTTGTGGGTGGCTGTACCTACAGACTGACAAATGCGAAGCATGGCTGCTGTGTCTGTGGCAGGATTGTGTATTATCGGTCGCAATGCAAGTTTACAATCCTCATTGGCATTTTCAAAGGCCAATTGTTTGATAATTATTTGTTTGGCTTCAGGATTTTCAATTTGGCGACTCACTGCTGTAAGCAGCCTGTCCATAAAGGAAGAATATGATTCTCTTGCCTCTTGCCTGATTGAACCCCACCTTGATTGAATACTGGGTTCTGGGATTTTTCTCATTGCTTGTTTAGCAGCAAGAGCAGTGTCCCTCAATAAGATTTGCAGCAGTGTGGCTTGCACTGAAGCTTGAGCGAAGGGACCACGCCCCATCATGGCATCTATGACGTCTGCGAGGGTAACATTTGGATTATTTCCTCTGACTTGTTGTAACAAGGCTGGAGCATAAGCACGGCAGGCAGTTTCCCATTCGTGGGCAAACAAAACACCAGCTGATGGGGGTAACACTGTATGGGCCAAAAGCTTGATGTCCTCTGGAACCAAGAGCTGGGCTAATGTGGCTTCTAAAAGCGCCTGCGTATATGGGGCTTGGAGTCCATTGGTCTTTACTGACACTTGCAGCTCTTTCAAGATCTTAAAGTCAAAAGGTTGGTGTTGGGCTTGGGTGCCTGCCGGGGCACCAGCAGGGGGCACAATAACAGGGAATGCCATAGTATCCTGAATTAAGGAACAGGCAAGGACTGCACGTTGAAAAGGGGTAGCTGGTTCTGCCGCTGAAAGAGCAGGATCATTGCCAGCCAGACCACGGTATTTTTGCAGGATTGGGTCCTCTGGTGAGGAACTGTAGTCCGGAGGTTTGGGGTCTGGGGCTGCTGGCAAGGCAAGTATTGGAACAGACGCTAACACAGCAGGCTGGACTAAGGAAGCTGGAGGTTGTGTTGGCAATGCAGCCAGGGAGATATTTTTTGGTGATAAAGAGCCCATGGCGTAACGAACCTTGCACCATGCATTTAGAATCCGAATACCAATGCTGGGGTGCCCATGAAAATGTGCCCCAATCTTGTCCCAATGTTTCAATTCCCAAGTCCCATCTGCAGGAAACCAGGGGGAATGCTCTTCGATGGCCAGAATGAGCTGTATCAAATCACCCTCCGGAACTTCCAATTTGTTGGAGGAGAGGAGAAATTTTAAGTCTTTTAAAAATTTCTGTTGGGGAGTAGACAAAGAGCTGCCCATTTTTCTAAAATCAAGATAAAAAAGGGATCGAACTCACCAGGGATCCGAAGATGATTAGCGCTTGAAACCCTTGCCAGGCGTGGTGAGCCGATGATATCCGTTGCATGGCTCGAAAAACCTCACATGGTTTTCTTTTAAAAGCCTCAGATGTATTCTTTTAGTCAGCCTCATACGGGGCACCACTTGTCGGAGCCAGCCGTCACGAATGGCGCAGTTTAGCATAAAATAAAGACACAGAGAGCCAGGAATATTTTCAGGATGGTATGAGCAGCTCCTTTCGAACTTCTCTTCTCTCCCGTAACTTTTATTATCCTTTGTTCTCTCCTCTCGCATGGCCGTTTGCCAATGTCTCACATTACCTACATCCGGTCATGGCTTAAACCCACCCATCAGCCATATAGGGTTATTACTGCCCAGAGGGGGAACATAACTCCATATAAGGCTATGCACTTAATACACTGCAAGGCACGGACATGCAGGTCACTGAGGTCAGCGAGGCACCAGGTGGCGCTACAAGCCTTTTTCATGACTTCCTGGCTCCCACAGCCGGCACTGAAGGAAGAGGCAACTTGGAGTCTGGCTGGCTTCTGTTTGTGGAGTGCAGCTGGGAATGCAGCTGCCTCAGGGGACAAAGTGTCTTGGGCTGGCCCAGAAGAGCATTGTGGGTGGGAGGAAACGTCAGGCCCTTCAGGACTTTGTATGCGGCCCTCAGGGATCTCTCCAGGCCACACCCTTCTTGAGCGTTTTTGCCTGCCTGGGATGTGTCCTTCAACTCTGGCTTGCTTGGAAGGAGGACACAGAGGGTGGGTGGGTGTGAGAGAGGAAAAACACACCTGCTGTACAAAAGTAAACTTCACATTCGCTGCTCCACCCACGTTTGCCTCCGGCGCCAACCATTCCTGGCATGCGGCCCCCATAAGGCTGCCAAGAAGGGAATGTGGCCCTGGGGCTGGAAATGCCCCCCCCCCTGCTGCTTGTGCTCAGGCCGTGATACAGTTGCCCAGGGGACCACAACCGCTCAGCAGGCCACCTGCGCCCTCCCTGTGAGTCCTGCACTGCAGGGGGTTGGACTAGATTCCCCTTTGGGCCCCTTCCAACTCTTCCCTTCTATGATTCCCTGATTCCTCTTTGCTCTCTTTGCACAGGCCAAGCTGGCGGGAGAGAGAGGAGCTCGCGCCGTCCTCTTTGACATCACGGATGACCAAAGTGCTGTCGACCAGGTAAGGAGTCAGCTGTCTCCCTCTTTCTTTTTAAGTTGTCCCTCTCATTTTTTACAATTTTGCCAGGAGGCCAACAGCAGGCGGCGCCAGAGCCAATGGCAGGCAGAGCCAACTAAGTCTAGTGTTGTCCCCATCCTCCTCTCTGCTGAGATCTACAAGGGGCAGCACTAAGACTAAGAAGGAGGAGGATGAGAGGCTGGGTGAGGGCTGGATGAGAGCTGACTATCCTTTAAGAGCAGCTCCCTGTTCCCCTTGATGAACCTTCCCTCACTGCTGCTCACCAAGGCAAAAGTCAATGGATTTTGGATTTTGTGTTTGCAAAATGTTCCTGTTGTTAATCTTCTGTAATATTTAGGGCAGATCCACACTAGCTACGTCCTGTATATTCAGCACATGTTAAAGGCACATGGCTTCCCACAAAGAATCCTGGGAAATGTAGTTTGCCTCTCACAGAGTTGGTGTTTTGCAGCAACCCTAAAAAAAAGTACAATTCCCAGGACTGGTGGGGTGTCATGTGCTTAAACCATAGGATTTCAGAGCTGGAAGCGACCCCGATGATCATCTAGTCCAGGGTTAGCAAATTTTTCAGCAGGGGGCCAGTCCACTGTCCCTGAGACCTTGTGGGGGGCCGGACTATATTTCGGGGGGGGGGGGGATGAATTCCTATGCCCCACAAATAACCCAGAGATGCATTTTAAATAAAAGGACACATTCTACTCATGGAAAAACATGCTGATTCCCAGACCATCCGCAGGCCGGATTTAGAAGGCGGTTGGGCCGAATCTAGCCCCTGGCCCTTAGTTTGCCTACCCATGATCCAAGCCCCTGCAATGCAAGAATACACAGCTCTCCCATATGCGGGTTGAACCTCCAACCTTGGCGTCAGCACACTCTACCACACTCCAACCAACTGAGCTATCAACGTTGACACAAAAGAAGCCCCAACTTTTCAAACCAGTTGGCTTCACACAAGCTCTTTTGTTCCTGCCTTCAGACCTGGTATCCTCCTTAGCTCGGGCATTGCTCCTCCTTTGTGTCGCTGCAGTCTGCCTGTCCAGGTGGCCACTCACCTTCTCAGCTCCTTTGCTTCTGGGTCTCTTTGCCCTGAGATTCTTTGTCCTTTCCCGTGACGGTGTGTGTGTTGATTGCTAGACATGCAAATAGATATGAGAAGGAATGGCATGACAGCCCCTGAACAGAAAGTCGTAGATCCCGTAAGCTAGGGAAAGCCATGCTGTAGTTATTATCAGTGTATTTATTTATATATTTATTTATTGCATTTATATCGCACCTTTTCCTCCGTGAGTTCTCCTCATGTAATGCCCACAAGAACCCTGTGAGGTAGGTTAAGCTGAGAGGCAGTGACTGGCCCAAGGTCACCTAGTAAGCTTCATGGCCAAGTGGGAATTCGAACCCTGGCCTCCAAGATCCTAGTCTGACACACTAACCACTACACCACACTGACTCCCAGTTCCTAAGGAGAGGGAGTGTTTCTCCTGGATGATGGATGACTGGTTTGCCAAGCTCAGCCTTTTAAACTTCTGCTTGTGTGAGCAATGAGGATCCAGAGGAGATGGTAGGCAGACCTGCCCAAAACATTTCACTGCCCGAGGCACAGAAGTCCCTATCCCCAGCTTTCTCACCCCCCAGGCAGGGAAAATGTAAATGAAACCACTGACTCTGTGCTGCCCCCACATGGCAGTGCCCAAATTCTTCCACCTGAGGCAAGCGGCCTCGTTTCAGCCTGGTGTTTTGGCCTGGCGTTTTCCTGTAATGAAACCTGGCGGTGTGTGGGAAGCACAATCTCCAGCTCTGCAAGAAGTGCCGGGGTTCAAATATCCTCAGGTAACCATCAGGGAATCTCCACTCCAGATCCAGATTGCATGGAAAATTCGAGACACACACACACACAGAGAGAGAAACCTAACTGCTTCACTCAACACTTAGTTAACTTGTGGAACTCCCTGCCACAGGAGGCAGTGATGGCCACCAACTTGGATGGCTTTCAAAAACTGGACAAGTTTATGGAAGAGGAGAGGACTATTGGTGGCTACTAGCCATAATGGCTCTGTTCTGCCTCCGTAGTCTGAGGCAGCAATGCTTCTGAATGTCAGTTGCTGGAAACCGCAGGAGGAGGAGAGAGGGCTCTTGTGCTCGGATCCTGCTTGCTAGTTTCCCAGAAGATGCGTCTGGTTCACTGCTGTGAGAACAGGATGCTGGGCTAGATGGGACCCCACTTGGCCTGATCCAGCAGGCTCTTCTTATGTTCTTAATTCTTGGCCTCAGGCATCAAAATACATTGAGCCATCCATGGCCGCTGTTCTCCTCACAAAAAACTCCTAGGTTACCCATGCAAGCATTTTTTTGCTGGGTTGGGCAAGGCCACAGCATAGCTTCGAATCTCAAACCCAGGCCTTGGCTGGGCTGTTGGTTGGATGGGATTCCTGGAGTTCTCCTCAAGCCTATCAACTGGGGTGTGGAGTGGGGTCCCCAGCGCCCAACACATCGATCCGTGGCATCTGGTGACATGCAGCTCTCACCTCAAAAGGTTGTCTCTCCACAGCTGAGAAATCCGCGAGGGCTCAGTCACCCCGTTGTTTTGATTTGGGGCCACGACGCCGAGCTGCTGATGGGCGTGGTGAACAACAACCGAGAAGCCCACGTGAAGATTGAGGTGAAGGAGATGGCGGCCTGGGTGAGTTCTTACTTAGCCCCACTGCTGCGCCTCTCTCGACCCCTCTCTGTGCTGGGCCAAAACCAGCCTTGCAAGAAGTGGCGCCCTCTTGTGGGCTCCAGGTGCATGAGAGTTCCAAAGCTTGGGTGCAGCCACCGAGAAGGCCCTCTCCCGCTTCCCCACCAAGTGGGCTTGTGAGGGTGGCAGGATCAAAAGAAGAGCGTCCGCCGAAGATCCCAGAGCCTGGGCCTGTTTGTATGGGAGAAGACAGTCCTTCAGATAGCCTGGAGCTAAACCAGGTAGGGCTTATCTAACCTCTTCTCTCTCCAACAGCCCGACTATGATGTCTGGATACTCCTCACCGTCATGAGCACCGTTCTGGTGATCGTTTTAATCTTCATTGTCCGTACTCGTTGTCAGCCAAGCAGGGATCGGGTAAGAGCCCTCGGACAGATGCCAGTCCTATTCTGGACACCCCAAACCGCTTCTCAAGAGCCCCTATCTATCTGTGCCAATATCCTTCATGCCTTGCTCAGATCAGTGACTGGTAGAGTCCCAGACCCACCTGCCCGCCTGCTGTTGAAATAGGTATCTGTTTGTCCGGGCTTTTGAGACATGAATGTTTACTGAAATTTCTGCAGCTGGTATTGCTTTGTATTTTTGATTTTAGAAATGCATTTTTAAAGGTTTTATTTTAATACTGTTCCCTGCTCGGAGCTCCCATGGGAGGAAGGGCAGTAAAGAAATGGAATCAGTCAATCAATCAGCATATTTTCAACAAGGCAAGAGTCAATGAATAGGGGATTTTGGGTTTGCAAAATGTTCCTGTTGTTAATCTTCTGTATTATTTAGGGCAGATCCACACTAGCTGTGTGCTGTATATTCAACACACATTTAAAGCACATGACTTCCCCCAAAGAATCCTGGGAAATGTAGTTTGCCTTTCACAGAGTTGGTGTTTTGCAGCAACCCTTAAAAAAACGAAGTACAATTCCCAGGACTGCTGGGGTGTCATGTGCTTAAAATGTGCAGTGGTCCTATTAGTATAATATAGATGCTATTTGTATATATTGGAGTCATGTAGCTTGCTGTTGCAAGACTCCTGGAGTATGTATCTTTGACCCGAAACAAGAACATGCACATATATTTCTGCAAACCTCATCAGCGAACAGGACAGAAACTGATGTTGTCATTCTGCCTGTACAGTGGTACCTCGGGTTACATACGCTTCAGGTTACATATGCTTCAGGTTACAGACTCCGCTAACCCAGAAATAGTACCTCAGGTTAAGAACTTTGCTTCAGGATGAGAACAGAAATCGTGCTCCGGCGGTGCAACGGCAGCAGGAGGCCCCATTAGCTAAAGTGGCACTTCAGGTTAAGAACAGTTTCAGGTTAAGAATGGACCTCTGGAACAAATTAAGTACTTAACCCGAGGTACCACTGTACCAGGGATGGCAAACCATTGGGCCCTAGAGATGCCACTGGACTCCCATTATCCTCCGCTGAGGACCAGCCAGGCTGGCCACTGGGAATTAGCATCCAACAACATCTGGACAGCAACAGCTACCCCTTCCCTGTTACGAACCACCATCTCCTAGCCTGCTGCCATATGTCATGGCACCAGCTTGTCAGAGAGGGCACCCTCCAGATTCTTCCAGTATGTCATTGTTGTTGGCTCCTAGTAAAAGGTGACTTATTAGCGATTTGAGCAGTAGGTTGGTGTTATCTCCCCTAACAAGATTGTGCTGAGCCAGCTCTTGTAGAATCATAGGTCCTTTCGGTTGGACGGGTCATTTAGCCCACTTCCTGCAATGCAGGAATCCCAGCTCAAGAATCTCTGGCAGATAGCCATCCAACCTCTGTTTAAAAACCTCGGTGGGAGGAGGTTCTTGGTGGTTTGTCTTGCAATTACTTGGATTTCAACAAATACCTCCAGAACTGAGCCACTTTCCCGCCTGTCCACCATGTAGAGTCATAAAATAGTAGAGTTGGAAGGAATCCTGAGGACTGACTAGTCTGATTCCCTGCGTATGTTGGCTCCCTTCCATTTCCGCTCCCTCAACTGTCCGATTTGCCCCCGCAGACTAACGCGCAGGAAGAGACCCTGCAAGCCATCAACCAGCTGGCCACGCGGAGGTATCAAGCCCGCTGCCGGCAAGCCCCCACGGGGGACTCTGTCAGCACCTGCAGCTCGGCCCCCGTCTGCGCCATCTGCCTGGAGGAGTTCGCTGAGGGCCAGGTAAAATATACATTTTTTTAAAAACCAGAAGCATTTTTACTTGGTATTATAGGTCAGGACATTAATAGGCAAGATGTTAAACTGTTTTTATATGCAACAATTGCGGCAAGAATATTGCTAGCCCAGAAATGGAAACAAAAAGAAATTCCGAAGAAAGAAGAATGGCAGACGAAATTAATGGACTACGTAGAATTAGATAAAATGACAGGAAGGATTCGAAACCTGTGAGACCAGAGGTTTACAGAAGATTGGAAGAAGTATATGAATTATTTGAAGAGCAACTGTAATCAACAAATTACGCTAGTAGGACTACAATAAGTTTGTAAGGAGAAATATACGAAGTATTACAAAGTAGAAAAAGATAGAGAGATTGGTTATGAGTTTGAAATGTAATAGGGAAGATAAGAAATGCATTCTGAGAGATTAGATTGGAAAATTTTCAGACAGGATTGATGGAAGTCAAAGATTTGAATAAGATGTAAAAGTATGTTTAATTACTGTTGAAAATGATATGTTTATATATATATATATATATATATATATATATATATATATATATATAACACCGACCCTTCCGCACTCTGTGGGATCAATGGCCCTGGTGGGTTCTCGCAAATGAGCTTTTCCACGGGGAAGATGAGGTCCCAGTCATCTCCTTGGGGAGAGACCCAGTTTAAGCAGTTTGCAGTGGTGGCGCCCGACTCAGGTGGCTTTAAAAAGGGATTTGGCAAATTCTTGGAGGAGAGGGCTATCGCTGACTACCAGCCATGATGGCTATGCTCTACCCTCTATGGCCGGAGCAGTTATGCTTCAGAATACAGATTGCTGGCGACATGGTAGGGGAGAGAGTTCTGTCGTGCTGGAATTCAGCTTGCTGGTTCCCCATGGTTGGCTACTGTGAGAACAGAATGCTAGACTAGACGGGCCATTGGCCTGATCCGGGAGGCTCTTCCTAGGTTCTTGTGTGAGGTTTCTGATCATCACTACCCAGGCAAGGCTATCACTTCTCCAGAAAGTGTGCCAGTGAGATGTGCCACTGGAAACCAGGCAGTTGTACAGCCCAGAACAACTGGTACCGCATTTCCCCTTGAGCTGGCAGCATTTCCCCACTCTCCCACTGACCTCCCTTTCTTTGCAGGAACTCCGCATCATCACCTGCTTCCATGAGTTCCACCGGCACTGCGTTGACCGCTGGCTCCTCGAGCGCCAAACGTGTCCACTGTGCATGTTCAACATCATTGGTAAGAAGGGGCAGGGGATATGCAACCTCTGTGATGTAAGAGTGGTGACGTAAGAGTACAGGAGGACACTTGCCTGATCAGGCCAAAGGTCCAAGCAGCCCAGCATGCTGCGGTTGACCAGAGGTGTCTGGGAAGACCAAAAGGAAAGCAGGAGGCAAGAGCCAACACTGGCCCACTAATGCTCCCCAACAAGTGGTATTCAGAGGTATACTGCCTCTGAAAACAGAGGTTCTAGTTTTGCCCAGTGAGCCCTTTCAAAGCAGTATCAGCAGATGTCTCAGCCATTGGTTCAGCCACAGAGACAAGGTCTCAGCCATTGGTTCAGCCACAGAGACAAGGTCTCAGCCATTGGTTCAGCCATAGACACACAGAGAAACATACATTGCCCCCAAAATGATCAAAGGAGTGCAGCAATTCCCCTATGAGGAAAGGTTGCAGTATTTTGGACTTTTCCATCTAGAGAAAAGGCAAGTAAGCGGAGACTTGATATAATTTTGTAAAATTATGCATGACATAGAGAAAGCAGGTGGCGGAAAGTTTTTCTCCCTCTCTCATCGTACCAGAACTCGGGGACATGCAATGAAGCTGAATGTTAGAACATTCAGGACAGATAAAAGAAAGCGGGGGACTTGGATGGCCTTAAAGGGGATTGGACAAATATTTGGCGGAGAAGGCTTTTGGTGGCTACGAGCCATGATGGTTATGTTCCGCCTCCACGGCTGGAGACAGTAATGCTTCTAAACATCAGTTGCTGGAAACCACATTAAGGGAGAATGCTCTTGTGCTCAAATCCTGCTTGCTGGTTTCCCAGAAGAGGCATTTGGTTGGCCACTGTGAGAACAAGATGCTGGGCTAAATGGGCCATTGGCCTGATCCAGCAGGCTCTTCTTATGTCCCTAGGCTGGAAATGGGGTGTTGATTTGTCAGGCTGGTTTATGCCCATAACATGGCTTTTCTTCTTAAGGCTATGTTTCACTGGTCTGTCTCCATGGGGAGAAACTGACCTTTCCATGCAGCCAGGGTGAAGTGTATCAGCTGTTCCCAGTATATCCTGGGGACTGGAATGTATCATGGGGGGCGGAGGAGTTAACTAGCGGTGATGTCCCCTCCCTTGGTTACAGATTCCCATGGAATCACTTCAAGAAAATTTGCCATGGTAAAACCTCAAATTCCCAGTGGGTGAGTGGGTGGAAATTCTTCTTGGTCTGAGCACAGAGCACATCCCTTCCCTTAAATGAGAGTCACACAGACATATCTAAAGATAACAGCCCCAGAAGCAAATACAGCTATGCAGAAGATATTATTATTGTTGTTGTTATTATCTGCGGACTGTTGTTGTTATCTGCCTGCGGACTGTCTCGCCAGAGTGGTGCATGCTCTGGTTATCTCCCGCTTGGACTACTGCAATGCACTCTACGTGGGGCTACCTTTGAAGGTGACTCGGAAACTACAACTAATCCAGAATGCGGCAGCTAGACTGGTGACTGGGGCGGCCGCCGAGACCATATAACACCGGTCTTGAAAGACCTACATTGGCTCCCAGTACGTTTCCGAGCACAATTCAAAGTGTTGGTGCTGACCTTTAAAGCCCTAAACGGCCTCGGTCCAGTATACCTGAAGGAGCGTCTCCACCCCCATCGTTCTACCCGGACGCTGAGGTCCAGCGCCGAGGGCCTTCTGGCGGTTCCCTCATTGCGAGAAGCAAAGCTACAGGGAACCAGGCAGAGGGCCTTCTCGGTAGTGGCGCCCGCCCTGTGGAACGCCCTTCCAGCAGATGTCAAAGCGATAAACATCTACCTGACATTCAGAAGACATCTTAAGGCAGCCCTGTTCAGGGAAGTTTTTAACGTGTGATATTTTACTGTATTTTTGGTTTCTATGGAAGCCGCCCAGAGTGGCTGGGGAGGCCCAGCCAGATGGGCGGGGTATAAATAATAAATTATTATTATTATTATTATTATTATTATTATTATTATTATTGCTGCGGCAACTCAAAACAACTTACAAAAAAGCATACATGCATTAAAACCAGGGAGGTGGAAATACTTACATCCCACCCTCTCTAAAAGGTCATAGATAGTTAAAAGTAAAAGGGCTGGTTAAAAAGGAATGTTTTTGCCTGACGCCTGAAGATATGTAATGATAGTGCCAGGTGAGCCTCTCTTGGACAGCATTTTATAAACGGGGAACCACCACCGAAAAGGCCCCATTCTTGTTTTGCATCCTCCAGAACTCCCATGGAAGGGGCACATTAAGAAAGGCCTCAGATGATGATCTCATGGTCTGGGTAGGTTCATATGGATAGAGGCAGAGAAGGAAGTTTATATATACGTGTATGTATTTTTACATGTATGAGCCTACTTTTCCTTCAGTTAGCTCAAAGCTCCCCACTTCGTCCTCACAAGAACCCTGTGGGGTAGGTTAAGCTGATAGAGAATGAGTGGCCCCAAGGTCACCAAGCTGAGCTTCACGGCAAATCAGGGATTTGAATCCTGGTCTCCAAGGCTCTACGATAAAAACCATTTCCATGATTCAAACCATGCTGAAAGTGGCTTACACCATAAAAAAGCACATAATTACAAACATAACAAAAGTAGTCACAAACAATAAATCAAACATCAAAAAGTACACCACCAAATTAAACAATTTCCACAGAAATCATAAGATCTAAAGTAAACATTCAAAAAAATGATATCGAGAACAGCAACAACACACACACACCGGCAACGAAAACCCCTAAACACCTCCCCAGCCCTTGCTTGTGAAGAAATCCCATTAGAGCAGGGATGGGGAACATGCAGTCCTTTGAATGTTGTCGTGTTCACATGTATTCACTCCTGTGAACCCCAACCAGGGATGGTGGAAGCTGGAGCCCAACAACATCCGGGGAATCGCAGTTTTCCCCATGACTGCCATACAGCAATATGGGAACTGGGTAGACAGTGCACACTTCCTGTATTCCTGCCCAGCCCTTCCCCTTCTGCCTGGCCATGGGATGGCCTAACTGCTGCAGCGTATCGGAGGCATTCCCTGTGGGTATATAAGGGCTTGATGGCCAGGCACCTGGGGAGAAGGAGATGGAGAAGTGAGGAGAATAATAATAATAATAATAATAATAATAATAATAATAATAATAATTTATTTATACCCCGCCCATCTGGCTGGGTTTTCCCAGCCACTCTGGGCGGCTTCCAGCAAAACACTAAAATACAATAACCTATTAAACATTAAAAGCTTCCCTAAACAGGGCTGCCTTGAGATGTTTTCTAAAAGTTTGGTAGTTATTTTTCTTTTTGACATCTGGTGGGAGGGCGTTCCACAGAGAGGGTGCCACTACCGAGAAGACCCTCTGCCTGCTTCCCTGTAACTTGGCTTCTCGCGGTGAGGGAACCGCCAGAAGGCCCTCGGCGCTAGACCTCAGTGTCCGGGTAGAACGATGGGGGTGGAGACGCTCCTTCAGATATACTGGACCGAGGCTGTTTAGGGCTTTAAAGGTCAGCACCAACACTTTGAATTGTGCTCGGAAACGTACTGGGAGCCAGTGTAGGTCTGCCTGGTATCACTTCTTTCCTGGGGGAAGGAACTTCTTGATGGGATTACCCAGTTGTAGGGAGAGGGTTTGTTGGCGCTTAGAATCGCTGATTGGAGTGGTTTCCTTCTCTCCCTCCCTAGACCGGGATCCTTCCGCCTTGCCCAGGCATTCCCACGAGGACCCCCATAACTCAGGACCAGGGCAGAGGCCCCGCTTCTTCCGGCAACACCCTGGGCGTGCCTTGTACCACTTCCCGCGGACGGTCCCTCAAATGCCCCCTGGAAGCTGCTCTTCGACGCTCCCCCACGGACACCCTTTCTTCCACTCCCCGGAGCTCTCCCAGCTGGATTTGGGGACCATGCATTACTTGCCCTATCGGCCGGTGGGCTTTGAGCCTCCTTGGCGTAGCCGCCAGCCCTCCCTCACCCGAGGCCTGCTGGTTCCTCAGCGCCAGGACTCTCTGGGCTGTGAGCCGGGCCTGCCCTCCCGCCGGACCTGCCTGCTGCAGCACCAGCCTTCCTGCCGAGGCCTCCGGGGGCCCCTCGTGGCCAAAGCGAGCCGTGCCATTCCTCCGCACCGGGGTATCCGCCACGGGCGGCATCATCACCACCACAGCAGTGGCTCTGGGGAGAGTTACCTCACGGAGCCCAGTGGCTACCTCCCTGACGGACCCGGGAGTGACTCCAGCTCAGGTCCTTGCCATGGATCCTCCAGCGATTCCATGCTGAACTGCACGGACGTCAGCCTCCAGGCCATCCACGGAAGCTGCTCCACTTTCCGCAGCTCCCTGAGCAGCGATTACGACCCATTCGCCTTCTGTGGCTCTGAGAAGTCGGCCGCAGAAAGCTGCCCCGTGCCCTCACCGTCGTGGAGGGACCCACGGCCTCCGCCGGCGGACTCGGTGGCAGCAGGCCGGCCGCCGGTGGCCAGTAGCCATGTCCATTACCACCACCACCTCCACAGGCACCACCATTATGGACGCTGCCCCCCAGACTGTGCCAATGGCCAAGAACCCGGTTCGCGGAAGGCAAAACCTCCAAGGGCCAAGACAGGATCTCATGGCGCCCAGGCGCAAAAACGGACAGAGAAAATGCCTTCGCCAGAAGGTGGGTCTGCTTCCCTGGAGGCCTCTTCAGCCAGACAGCCCACTTGCTTGCCGCAAGGACAGCCAGAGTTTTCCACAGCAGACAGGTCAAACCTCAAAGCGGCAGACAGTGGTGCCGTTGGGCCATGGACGTCTCAGAAACGCTGTTTGCAAATCCATCCCAGTAGAAGGAGATGGAAATGCCCCCTCAAGGCTTCCCCATCCTCTTTGCCCGAAGACGCAAATCTGCCCCCTGTCTGCAGCGTTCCCCACCCTCCTGGTCCTGCTTCTGGAAGCTGCTCCTCCTCTGCAGAGGTCCAGCCTCTCTTAGAAACTGGTCCCTCCGGGCATCATTCTGCAACCTCGTCACACTCGGCCACGGAGCCTCAGGAGCAGGCGGACAGGCTGGAATGCAAGGCCATGTGTCCTGGGGAATATCCGAGGCTGGACACCATGGGAAATGATGCCAGCTTTTACCTCAGCCGCCAAATTCTGCAAGAGCTTCAGGGTAAGTCTCAGGTCTGAGGGCTGGGCTGGGGAACCTTTTGGACTCCAACTTCCATCAGCCCTAGCCAGCACAGACATCGGTCAGGAATGATGGGAGTTGGAGTCCAGCAATGTCTGGAGGGGCACAGGTTTGCTATCCCTCCTCTGTAATCTTGTCTTCCATCAGCAGTTGTAAACTTGACCCAACATAAAACTGGTTTAGGGCCTCAAATTTCTTCCCTGCATAGCTTATTGGGTGATAAGAGGAGGCATTCTTAGTAGTTTCTCCACTCTCAGAAGCTTTGGGGGAGGGAGGTATGGTGACCCTAGAGAGGGCATTCTCTGGGGCAACCCCTAAGTTGTGGAATTCCCTCCCCACAGAGGTGTGTCTGCTACCTTTACTATGCAGTTTCTGCCAGGTGCTGAAGGTGCACCTCTTTACCTTGGCCTTTGAACACCTGAGAAGTATATATTAAAAGCACTCTTATCTTTATTGTAATCTCATTTTAACTGTATTAATATTGTTGAAATCTGCCCTGGGACCTCATGCTGGAGGGTGGCTAAGAAATAATAATTAAAAAAAAAATCACCATCACCACCATCTAGCATACAAATTGAGCAAATTCAGTGAAGATGATAGCATCACAGTACAACAATGAAAATCGATCCATCAAAGATAAACAACGTGGCACATTCTTGTCTGGTTGCTCACCTTAATTTTCTAATTGCAGGGTCTAAAGACGATATCCCAGATGTTTATGAACATTCGGTTTGACACGAGGTGAACTTATTTGCTGTGTTAGGCAGCTGCAGAGAATTCAAAAAACGGCGCAGAAACTCAGTGAAGAGAATGGACTTTCTGACTTGCCTTTCCTGCCCGCGGTGTGGTTATCAGTCATAAGAAGCTCCTTGTCCACGCAGCCCCTGCTTCACCCACCGTTAATATCATGGTTATGCAGCTTACTCCCTGCCTGCCTAACCTGTATGCAACATTTGACAAACATAAGCTGCCAAGGTCACTTGCCTGTTTTCAAAAAAGCTGCCATCTTCTGGGGTAGGAGGAGACTTGGTCCTTTTGTTCCTGGTGTCAGGAGGAGCCAAATCCTTCTGAAGTTCAAGGGCGGAGAAAAAAACAAGGTGTGTCTGTCCCCCCCCCCACTCTGCAGCTCTTTGCAAGTTTGGTAATCTGTGTACTGCTGAATACCAAAACGAAAACCCCAGGTAAATACACACCCCACACAAATCAGGCATGATGCAGTGCAGTTTTGAGGTCATGCAGAGAGATCAGCCCATCCTGGTCCCTCTTTCTGCCATCCTGTGTGGGATGGGGCACCCAATGAGGTTTTGGTTCAAAGCAAATGTAATTTGTAAGGATCAAGCACATAATCCCCTCTCACCAACCTGGCTAAGCTCCTGCTCCTGTCCACTTGGGAATGTTCTTCATCTTTTCAGTTTTGCACCAAATCAGATGCATGGGAGAAACTCACACAAGCTGCCCTGCCAACACTCTGGAAAGTGCAATGGTGGCACAGGAGAATTTCAAACCTGCATTACACTTTTGAATTATGTGGGCCTCTCATCAGCCTCATTGTGGCTGAGCCAGCCTCTGCTCAGAGCTTAATTGAGCTGCAAATACCAGATGCACTAACTGAGCGTCAGCTTTAGGGAGGCTGGATCCATATACCGCTCAGAGCTTGAGCCACAGGTACCCGGACGCTTCCTAGCTGACTTTGCAGATGCCCCAAGATTTCAGTTCTTCACAGGGTAGTCCCACACCAAAGATTTAAATCCTGTTAATTTTGCCCTCCTACCAAAATATTATGCAAGCTCCCTCTTATACTATTTCCCTGAGGGAGGAGCTTTTATTTCTTGATGTCCAAGCACACACTGGTGAAAAATCCAATCCACTGCAGAGTATATTCTGCTTTAACTGAGGAAGATAAGGAGTTGAACTTGGTAGTTAGAGCAAAAGTTTGCATGTTTATATTTTTTGCATGAGGACTTATTGCAGCTACGAGGGAATACAAGCTGGTATTTAGCAAGCAGTAACACATCCCCATGCAAACAGCTGCTTGGCTGGAAGACTTTCATCTCGACACAACCTGCTTACTCAGTGGCACAAAAATGCTGTGGTATTTTACCAGTTCATAAATGATTGTCTGTGTTCACGCAGAATGTTTGGGAATGTGGACAACATTGTTATAAATAATCTCATGTGTGGCAAAAAGAGGCACAGCCATGGGTTTTTCGTCACTGAGAAATGAAACCTGAAGGGTAATATATCTGTGGTCACACCTCAGGGCATGTCCACACTACAGAATTAAACCAGTTTAACAGTTACTAACACTGTGGACTGTGATTCTGCAATTTTGCTTGCTGGATTCTCTGGAGTCTTTGTTCCTGAGATGCATTTAAAAGCATCATCTCGTGGAATAAGGGCTTGAGTTGCTTTTGGCAGAGGGCATCTGAATTTCTTGGCTAGGAGACAAGAAGAGGGTGGCCTGATCAACATTTCAAAAACAAAGGAGCACCCTAGAGCAACAGGGCATGTGGTCTATGGATCAATCACTGCCTTCATAGTGAAGTTATTTGAAAATCGTTGCCAACCTGGTGCCCTCCAGCTGTGGCTGATGGGAGCCATGGTCCAGAACATCTACAGAGGGTGCCAGGTTGGCAAAGCCCGTTCTATGGGGTGGCTTCCATTTTTGCCATGCTAGGAGTACCTGTTGAATGGAGCACAATTTATCTCACGTGTAAGAGGGAAGTTAAAATGAGTACATCTTTCCTTTCCATTCTGTTAGGGTTGCTCTGATACTGGAAAATATCTTCCGAGCCAAAATGTGGCAATACAAAACGGCAGAGCTCCTTCTGATGTTTTGAAATCTTCTCTCGAAGGAGTTGCAAAGCATGGGTGTTATTTTGACTTCAGTTCTGTTTCAGTCAAAATCAAAACACACACTGTTATTAAGGGGGAATAAAACTACAGGATATAATCCAGGTCCAATAGCGCCAAAGTTAAAGTTACTACAAATGGGCAACCAACGAAGGGGTTGGATGTTGGCACCCTTCCCCCAAGATGCCTTCAGCTCCTGGCAGTCTGCTCCTTCCTCCTGGAAACCTCAGACCCTTTGAAATGTGAACGAGGAATTTATTTTTGTACTTTTTAATTACATTTCCTGAGTCTACATTGCAGGCACTTGGGTACTTTTGTAAACCAAAAAAAGGAAGAAATAATGTTTATGTACATAAGTATGCAAAACGATATATTTATGTTTAAGAGATAGAGATTGTTTGAATATGGGGATATGCTCAAACCTATTTATTTTGCTAATATATTTATCCACATGTGAAGCTCTTCATGTGGCTGTTATTTTTTTCCTGTATAAAGTCACTGGGTGCCTATGTTCAAGAAGATGCCTCTTCCTCATTCCTCAGAAATAAATTATTTTTAATCTCTGTACATTGGCTTCTAATATGCATGAGGTAAAGGGCTAAAAAGGGATCTGGGATTGGTTTCGTCTTGTGTGAAGAGGGCGGGGGGACAAAAAAGAAACCCTTCTAAGGATTCCTGTGTTAGCAGCACCCTGAAACAGCCCCACCTCTGCTAAATATCCTGTTCTGCTGGGGATTTGGGGCCCGGACGGCAATTGGTCAGAGATAACAGAGCCTCATTCAGGATGAAGCTGTCCATCAGGACCTTGGCCAGCTCCCAATGGGCCCTCCTAGCTGGGAAGAGTTGTAGGGACCCCAAGGATGATGGAAGAAGCACCATGCTCTGTAGAAGTGGGTGCTGAGGGTTCCTCCTCAAGTGGGGCATCATCTAAATCAGAGTCCACCTCAGGCCAACAATGGAGATGCTGGGAGGCAGAAGACATGACTCTATAAACAGCACACAGCTAAATCTCATGGTGCACAGGGTTGCACAGTGGTGTTCCTGAGCACCTCCGTTTGCATCATTGGGCCATAAAGGTATGGTTACCAGATGTCCCCATTTCCAGGGACAATCCCCGGATTTACAAATCTATCCCCGGACAAAATCCTTCCCTAGAATGTCCCCAGATTTCATTTAATGTCCCTGGATTTATATTTTAAGTGGTGTAGATTTATTAGTAGGGAATGAATGTTGCGTGCTTGGTTCAGCGGCACAAGACACATCATATGGGGACTTCCGGTGAGGCAAAATGGTGGGCGCCACGGCAGTGAGCAGCTCCTGAAGCCAGCCAGAGCCAACTGCACTACCAGGCTGGCTCTGGGCTGCTGAGACTGCTGCTGCCGAGGGGAAACTAGGGATGCCTGGCATGTCAACTGGCTGACACCCCCCCCCCCTGTGATCCAAATCGAACCGGGAGCGAGAGCGCCCAGCCACCTGGCTGGCTGCCCAGCGGTGCTCCGGGGCCAGTAAAAACCCCGGAGCTGATGCAGGGAGAAGGCGAAGGAAGAGAAAGAGGAAGGAGAAAAAAGAGGGGAGCCCTGACCTTGCTGCGCCACTGCCACCGCTGAGAAGGAGAGGCAGGAGAGCACCGGAAGGGCAAGGACACGTGGCCCGACCCAGGCCCGACCCAGGCCCGGCCCAAGCCTACTCCATGGCAGCAAGCGCTCCAAGAGAGCAGGCCGGGGCCCAGAGGAAGGCCGAGTAACGGAGGAGACCACAGAAGAGAAGATACTACTTCTTTTCTTTTTAATAATTTTTTTCTCTTAAAAAAAAGGGTGTCCCCGGATTCTTTGAAATAAATCTGGTAACCTTACATAAAGGATCATATAGTAAGCTGCCTTATACTGAATCAGACCATTGGTCCATCTAGGACTAGGTCACTATTGTCTGCACTGATTGGCAGCAGCTCTTCAGGGTCTCAGATGGAGATCTCTCCCAACCCTACCTGGAGGTGCCAGGGATTGAACTTGGGACTTTCTGCACACAAAGCAGATGCTCTGTCACTGAGCTACAGCCCTTCCCATTTAACCGCATTGGCCAGATCTGACCCTCTTCTAGCCTGGTGTTAAGAAAAACCCCAAATTCTCCATCCAAAACCTTGCCTCTGCTGCCTCAGCTATTGGGCCGTCTTATTCTTCCAGTCCAGCCCATGTGTCTTTATTCAGGAGTAGGTTCCACTCTGTTCAGTTTAGTATTACAGCTAGGTATCCCCTATTTATCTTTCCAAGCCCCAAGAAAGTGTGTGCATGGAATCCGTCTGCTTACTTAGAAGTAAGCACCACTGAACACTGTGGAGCTTACTTTAGAGTAAGCGATATGTACAGGGGTTCTTTATGAGTGTGTGATATATATATGCATCAAACCATTTTCTGTTTTCTGAGATAAATATTTTTTGGGGAAAGCGGTTTCAATTTTATCACAAAATATCAACGTACAAAGTTGGGAGCAATAACAAATGAAAATCTTTTTTAAAAAATAGCATTAAAACCCCTCTCCATCTTTTTTTTAATTATTATTACAATTTGCTTCAGAACGTCTTTAATTAAGCTGGTCTGGAGTTCTTAATGCACATTTATAACATGCATGCATATTATATATGCATAATGTACATATTTCTCATTTCTGAGTTATGCAGGGAAAGGTTTTTTCATCTCAAAACATTAAGTTTCTCAACATACAAAAAGTGGGGAAAAAACCAATATGAAGTTATTTTTAATAATAAATACAGCAATGGCGATGAGAGGATTCCCCCACTCCCCCCACAAATTCACATCAGGACCATTTCTGGTGTTTTTTTGTGTGTTTTTAAACTGATTTCGAATAACCTAAAAAATAGAATTTAAAAAGAGGTTCCAGCGCTGTGCTTTCATTTTTAAGGCGATACAGTTTCTGTGAGGAAACTTTCGCTGAGGAAACACTCCTGAAATGTTTTTATTTTATTTGGGCGCGAAACTCCCGTCCCCTCCCCCGCCTCCCCCTCACTTCACAACCACAAAACGGTCGCTACACCCAAGAAGGCGCACGCGCAAGAGCCGCCGTCGAATAAAACGACTGCCGCGAGCCGTCGCCAAGGCAACAAGGGAGGAGCGATTTCGCCCAAGCCCGCCAGCTCGCGCGAGGAACTGAGCGCGTGCGCACAAAGAGATTAGGCAGGCGAGAGTGTGTGCAGGAGGGGAAAGCGATGGAACCATAGAGCTTCTGTTGGGTGGGCAGAGGGGCCGGAAGTAGTGTGTTGTCGCAGCAGAAGTGACGCGTTCCGTCACTCCATCCCTTTCTTTATTTCTTCCTTTCTAAAGCCGGACCCGTTCGCCGCTGGTCGGTCGGTCGCCGCCATGGCTCTGGAGACGGTGCCCAAAGACCTGCGTCACTTGCGGGCCTGCCTGCTCTGCTCGCTTGTGAAGGTGAGTGAGTGTGTATGTTGTCCGGTTCCACTTCCGGATAAACCGGAAGCCCCTGTTTTTAATTACGGGGAACCATCCTGGAGGGAGCCAGTGTGGATCCTTTGCCCCTGGGGATCACCCTACAAAGCAGGGTGGGGGAGCTCCTTCTGTTCCCCAACCCTTGTTGCCTGTTCACGGTGTGCTTCCAGACCATGGAGCTTCTGGTTTAGCCATTGTGGCTCATGGCAGAATTTGCTAGAGTTATTACTGTACTGTATTTAATTAAAGTAAATAATAATTTTAAAAATTGTCCAGTTTTCCCCCAGCACCGTAGACACCAACTAATAAGTATTTAATTACTTATTGTGTTGAATGTATATGTCACTTTCTCTTCCAAAGTTCTCAAGGGGGTGTACATGGTTCTGCCCCTCCTCATTTAATCCCCACTACAACCCTGTGAGGTGAGCTAGGCATCGAGCTTCATGGCCGAGTCGGGGATTTTAACCCTTGTCTCCAAGGCTCTAGTATAACAGTCAGACCATAACACCACCACTGGCTCTCAGACTTAACACCCTGTATGAAGGATCCCTTCTGGGGCAGGACCTTGAGACTCTTTGGAGGCCAGTTCCCCAGTCTTGTCAGCACCTGGACCCTGTCCTGATAGTGATGTCCTATCACTATCGGGCAAAGATTCTGAAAATTTTATTTTGACAGGTCTTTAGCCTGACTTGACTTTATTTACAACTCACCTAATAAGTGGATAGATGTATGAGAGGTGCATGCCATTCATTCATTATTTATTTACTTATCAATAAAACAATCACAATAAACCAAGCGCCCATATAATACATTTTGATTTGGCCACAGGGTTGGTGTCTGGATTGGTTTCATGTGCTTACTTTTTTGCTTTTTTTACAAGTTTTAGAAATGTATTTCCTTATAATAATTCTCATTAGTTGCCTTGTGAGGAAATAATGGAATGATTCCTTGCAAAGGTTGTGCTCCAGCAGGTTTTTTTGTTTGTTTTATTCAACCTCTAGTTGTAGAAACTTCCTTTTGAGTTCCTTTTCCTGATTTAATTTCATCTTGCTCTTCAGACCATTGACCAATTTGAGTTTGATGGTTGTGACAACTGTGACTCCTACCTGCAGATGAAGGGGAACCGTGAGATGGTTTATGATTGCACCAGCTCTTCCTTTGATGGGTGAGTCTGCTTGCTATTATTATTTATTGGATTTCTTACACCTGCTTGACCAGAAGGTCCCAATGCAGCATACAACAATACAGTCATACCTTGGAAGTCGAATGGAGTCCATTCCAAAAGTTCTTTCGAGTTCCAAAACGTTCGGAAACCAAACTGCAGCTTCTGATTGGCTGCAGGAATTAGCCTGCAGCCAATCAGAAGTCGTGGAAGCCCCGTCGGACGTTTGGGTTCCAAAAGAACGTTTGCAAACTGGAACAATCACTTCCGGTTTTGCGGTGTTCGGAGCCAAAACGTCTGAGTTCCAGGGCATTTGGGATCCAAGGTATGACTGAATAAAAATGCAATATTTGCTTAAAAGAACTTATAGAAATCCCTCCCAAAAAAAGGTTGGCTAGAGCAGGGGCCACCCATGTGCCTGCAGTCTTCTCTGGCATTCACATCGTACTGCAGTGGATTTTTTTCAGTTAACCACACCCAAACCACACCCAGCTGTGATGCTTTAAGACAGCTTTGCTTGGTTAGAACAACAGCAGCTGCTTAGGAACCCAAAGAAGTGGAGTCCATAGGCCTATAAGTTACATGGGCTTATATAGAGGCATTATGTTTACACATGTGTAGAAATTAAGTCATGTAATAAGCAGAGGTTGCAGTTAGCTAACAACCCTATCAAAAGAGGAAAAGTAACATTGCAGAACAAGGTCATAGATTCATCTATTAGCAAATTCCTTCATACTTCTTCACAGACATCTTGGCTTACAACATCCTTTCACCCAATATCCTCTTCACACTGCCTTTACATCTTAGGCTATCTATCAATACCTTTTTCTACCACACTACTCACCCCTTGCTGATATTAGGCTTGGGGCAAGCATTAAACACACTAGGTTGCAATGTGTGCTTGGCTGTGGTGTGGCACCCACAGCCATTTTTCTGGTAGGGTTTTTTGGTCATTTGAGTGTAAGCAGCCAATGACAAGACCAAGGGTTTTTTGACTGGTGTCTCTTCATCCAGCTGAATAACCATGGAAATGATAGCAGGGCAATTATCCATGGTATGCAGTGTTAAGTAGGAAGCCGAGTTCCTTAGAGATGCAAGATGTTGGAATGAGCTGGGCTCATGTGCAAGGGGAGGCAACTGACACAGGCAAAGAGGAGCAGTTGCCTACCTCTCGGCCTAATAATTCTCCCCACATCTGGCTTGTGTTACTGAGCCCCGTGGCCTCTTGTATAGGACAGGAAAAGAATCAAAGAGTTGCCCTCTCCTCTGCCTAGAAATAATAGACAAGTTCAGGAAACCAGTGAATTTAGGTATGAAAAGATGATGCTACTGTTTTCAAAATTCAATGATGGTTTCCGAGTCAGGAAAGAGATTTTGTTGCTGAACTAAACCACCCATCTTCCCAGGGCAATGGCCATGCTTTCCAGGGCTGATGGGAGTTAGTGTTCAGCAATACCTGGGGGGCCAAAGATTCCCCACACCTGCTTTAGACACATAATATAGTAGTAGCCCTGTTAGTATATTAGTCCCAAGAAGGCAAGTTCCCAAGAAGGCTGGAATACTGGTTGCTTTTGATCATTCTTGGTGCCTTTGTGGGCATTGGATGTATGCAGTGAGGAGAGTTCATTGGCAAAGCATGTGCTATGAAAATCTCCAGATAATGAGCAGGAAATTACTTTTGTTTAAGACCTCCTGAGAGTTGCTGCCAGTCAAAATAAACAGTGCTGGGTTAGATGGACCCATAGTATAAAGCAGCCTTGTACAGTGGTACCTCGCAAGACGAATGCCTCGCAAGATGAAAAACGCGCAAGACGAAAGAGTTTTTCGTTTTTTGAGTCGTTCCGCAAGACGAATTTCCCTATGGGCTTGCTTCGCAAGACGAAACGTCTTGCGAGTTCTTGCGAGTTTGTTTCCTTTTTCTTAAAGCCGCTAAGCCGCTAATAGCTGTGCTTCGCAAGATGAAAAAACCGCAAGACGAAGAGACTCGCGGAACGGATTAATTTTGTCTTGCGAGGCACCACTGTACATTCAAGGTGAACAAGCAGTGTTCTCTGTGGATGAGTGAGGTGAGGGACCCTTTCAGGCTGAAACCCAAGAGTGCCTCATCCTCAGAGTAAGCGTAGTTGGTGTGACGTGTTCCTGCAGTTCTAACTCTCCCTGTCCTCTTGCAGCATTATTGCCATGATGAGCCCTGAGGACAGCTGGGTCTCCAAGTGGCAGAGAATCAGTAAGTCCACCCCTTTGTGTCCTCTCGCACTCCGCCTTCAGCATAATTATGGCAAATGAAAAGGCAGATTAACCCTGTTTCTCTGGAATTGGCTGTAAATCTTCAGGCGGTTTGCTGTTTCCTCTGTGTTTCCCTTTTGGTCTGCTACCATTTGCAATTGAAGCAGCTTTTTATAACCTCTTCCATTGTTTTGCCACACACACCTGGGGACCTTCCACACACCCCCCAAATCCTATTACAGTGGTACCTCGGGTTACATACGCTTCAGGTTACAGACTCCGCTAACCCAGAAATAGTACCTTGGGTTAAGAACTTTGCTTCAGGATCAGAACAGAAATCATGCTCTGGCAGCGCTGCGGCAGCAGGAGGCCCCATTAGCTAAAGTGGTGCTTCAGGTTAAGAACAGTTTCAGGTTAAGAACGGACCTCCAGAACGAATTAAGTACTTAACCAGAGGTACCACTGTATTACTTTCTTTAAACCCTTTTTGCAGTGGTTTGATTCTCAGTTTTCCTCACAGCAACCCTGTGGGCTTACCAAGGTGGGGAGTAAGAGTGTTTTTGTCTGTGTTTCTTCATTGCTGTTCAGGATAGCCCAGGCTCCCTTTTCATAAAGTTGTTGGTTTAAGAAGTTCTAACCAGAGCGTGTTCTCTTCCCCCAGGTAACTTCAAGCCTGGTGTGTATGCAGTGTCTGTGACTGGCCGCCTGCCCCAAGGTAACTTGCCAGGCTTTTAGTAAGAATTAAAAGTCTTTCCTTGCTCACGAAGATAAGCTGCTCAGTCAGGCCCAAGGGGACCCTTTTAGTCCAGCATCCTCTTCTGGCCACCTAGATCCTCTAATGAGAAGCCAACAAGCTGGACATGAGGTCAACCTGGGTTGATAACCTCAGATATTTCCACCATTTTTGCTACTGAGCCTGTGCTCATCTGGGCATTTCTGTCTTGAGGGGAAGAGCTTGCATAATATCACTAGAACTCATGGACATCTAATGAAGCTGAATTTTGGAAGTTTCAGGACAGACAAAAGAAAGTCCTCATGCAGTGCATAGTTAAACTATGGAACTCACTCCCACAGGAGGTAATGATGGCCAGCAACTGGATGGCTTTTAAAAAAGCAATGAGGAAAGGGCAATCAATGTCTACCATCCTTGATGGCTATGCTCTGCTTTCACAGTTGGGGGCAGCGATGCTACCAGTTGCTGGAAACTGCAGGAGTGCTCTGGTGCTCAAATCCTGCCTGAGGGTTTCCCAGAAAATGTGTTTGCTTGGCATTGTGCGAACAGGATACTGATCTCGATGGGCCATTGGCCTAATCCAGCAGGCTCTTCTTATCTTATTTTATGTATATAATGGGGGAGGAAAAGGAAGAACTAGGCTTACAGAAAGAGTATAATTGGTCACCATGATTAACCTTGCAGCTGGTTAGGAAATTTGCAGTTTCAGGATGTGATGCTTGCACGCAGAGATGTAGATAAAACCTACTATGACAAAGCTTTGGGAATAATCTTTTTCTTGGGTTTTGCTAATTAGCTAGCTGCAGGGTTGCTAATGCCACATACCTTTTCCTTTTACTTCCTTGCCTCTTCTCCCCACCCCTTAAACATATGTCATGCTTTTTTATTGCTGCAGGCATCGTCCGGGAACTGAAGAGTCGCGGTGTGGCCTACAAGTCTCGGGACACAGCCATAAAGACCTAAGGAGGAGGCGTTCCCACCCACCCCTCAATTGATGCCCACACAGGCCTCCATTTCAGAAGAGACTCCTGCTCAGAACTGGCCTAACGTTAAGAAACAAAGATCTCTTTGTGGGTGTGGGGTCTTTGTCTGGGGATCAAGAGTGGACTGACTGCACCATGCTCCTCCCTGCTAGCTGAGCTAGAGAAGGGCCTTCCTGAGAGGCTGTAAGTAGGAGCGGCAGAAGTTTAAGTGTTGGCGATTTCTGTAAATATTCCTAATAAATTTGGTTATGGTGTCAGAAATTCACATCCTGACGTTTGCTGTTTCCCTTGCCATCTGCAAAACATATAGAGCTGAAAGTGGGGGTGGTGGGGACTTCTGTTAAGTATGGACTTAGGCAGCAGGTTTTGTTCTGATATGGATGTGCTATTTTTTGTGTGGAAAGTGGCCCTCTAGATTGCTGGACTGCACTCCCATCAGCTGCAGGCAGGATGGCCCATGGTCCCAGAGAATGAGGTGTTGTCCAGCAGTACCAAGAGCCTCTACTTAGTTAAGGTGTGCTGGGGAGGGTGAAGGCCTGGAAACCAAGCCTTATGAGGCAGGGTTGAGGGAGCTGTGTATGTTTAGCCCGGGGAAGAGGTGAGATGAAGAGGGTGTCACGTTACTGCTGTCCCAGAGGGGCAGCAGGGGAGAACCCAAACCAGTGGGTTCAAATGACAAGAAAGGAGATTCCGATGAAACATTAGGAAGAACTTTCTGAGGGAGCTGCTTGACAGTGGAACAGGACCACCTCAGAAGGTGGTGGAATCTGCTTCATTAGAAGTTTTTAAACAGAGATTGGATGTCCATATGTTAAAGATTCTTTAGCTGTGATTCCTGCATTGTAGGGGGCTGGACTAGATGACCCCCGGGGATCCCTTCCAACTCTGCAATTCCATGATTCCAAGGTTTTCGTCTTGTTTTAAATATATTTGCTGTTTTGTGTTTTTAGTTATTTAGTGTGCAAATTGCCGTAAGACAGTTACTTATAGAAGGTGATAAATCAATTGGTGATGATGATAATGATTTAGAAATCTTGAACATGGCAAAAGACATTGGGAAATGAGCATAAATTGGAATAGTTTGGGTAGAAATGGATGCATGACCAGCACTGTATTTCTAATGATGGCCACTAGGAGGCAGTGCAGGACTGTTCCTTGGAGCAACTGTCTGTAGCAGGGGTCAGCAAACTTTCAGCAGGGGGCTGGTCCACTGTCCCTCAGACCTTGTGGGGGCCGGACTATTTTTTTGTGTGTGGGATGAATGAATTCCTATGCCCAACAAATAACCCAGAGATGCATTTTAAATAAAAGCAAACATTCTACTCATGTAAAAACATGCTGATTCCCGGACCATCCATGGGCTGGATTTAGAAGGCGATTGGGTCCCCAGGCCTTAGTTTGCCTACCCATGGTCTGTAGCCTTCCAACCATTAACCGATTTTATATCTTTATCACCCACAGTGACCCTTGGCTCTTGAATTCTTCTGGTTTTTGAAGAAGTGATTATGGTCATTACATCACACAACTTCCAGCCATATCTGTGGAACAGGAGTGGGGAGTATTGCAACCCTCAAGCAGTTACCAGACACTAACTCCCATCAGCCCCTTCAGCCAGCATGGTCAGGAATGATGGGAGTTGTAGTCCAGCAACATCTAGAGGGCCCCAGGTGTTCCCCAAACCTGCCATAGAACTTCTCTTTTACACAGTATTTCATAACTTTCCCCCCTTTCCCTTTGTAGCCACTTGGGGAGGGGATCATTGCTAAACTCGCTTTACAGGGCAGGCACTCAGCTGTGAGTGAGAATTGACCAAGGCCACATAGTTTCATTCATTTCTAAAAATATTTATATGCAGTACTGGTATGCCATCAAAAATATGTATCAAAGTGGTTTACAATATTAAAATCCAATAAACCGTACAATAAATCCTTAAAAAGAGTTGAAAACGCACATTGGTTAATTATTGTGGAAAGGTGTATTCTTAATTCCCTGCTTATGCCTGGAGGAAAGAGAAGTTTCCAAAGTTGGCACAGAAGGCACCTGCTGAATCTTTGTTCGCAGTGTGTTCCACAGGACTGGACCAATGGCACCAAAGGCTCAGTTCCTTGTTACTGTCAAATGAGCCTCACCAACTCAGGAAATAGGCAATGATGCTCCTGCAGATAATCTGAATGATCAAGCTCTGGGGTATGAGGGGTTCAGGCCATCTGTGAGGTATTGAGGAATACAAGTCTGTGGGGAGGTGGGACTTGGACCTTGAACCCTGGCTCTTACGATCATGCACCCTTTTCCCCACTGGTGTCCTCAAATTGGTCCTCCTGAGCTCTGGAGCCTTTTCTTGCCCCTATTCTCTCTCAGTCCAAGCACTTAATCTACCCTGGTGATTCAGCGAGGTCTCAGATGTTGCTGAACCCCAGCTTCCAATCCTGGCCATTGGTCATAGTGACTGAGGCTGATGGGAGTCCAGCAGCATTGCCCACTTCTGCTTAAAAAAGAGAAGAGGGGGAAAGGAATTGAGAAATGGATATACAGTGGTACCTTGGTTCTTAAACTTAATCCATTCTGGGCGTCCATTCGACTCCCGAAACAGTTTGAAAACCAAGGTGCGGCCCGATAGGCTGCAGGAGCTTCCTGCACTCAATCGAAAGCCACGTTGGATGTTCGGCTTCCGAAAAACGTTCGTAAACCGGAGCCAATTTGTTCAGGAGCCAAGCCATTCGAGTACCAAGGTACCACTGTATTCCCTGGAGCATCCTCTGGACTGGTGACAGATCAGAAAGATCCACACTGCGTTGCAGCTATGGGGGAAGAGGTGCATGGATCAAGGAACTCCACCCACTTAGCATCATGTTGGTGGCAATATCTTTCCATGCACCAAGGCACTCTCTGGACAGGCACTGGTCCGTCTAACTCAGTTTTGTCCACACTGACTGGCAGCAGCTCTTGGGATTCAGGCAAGAGTCTCCAGCTCAAGTGTGTTGAAACCCAGGACAGAGGAATAGGGGTCCTTCCACATTTGGGTTTCTGGAAATTCATTCCAAACATTACCCTGGTTCTCATGAAGTGCAAATGAGGTTATAAAAAAATTATCGTCCTGGACTGGTCTGCTTCATGGCACAGAGCATGTCTTGACTGCTCCCTCATGCAAAATGAATCCTAGTATATGTGAACTCCAGGCTGGCTAGAAGGGTATTTTGAAAGCTAGTGTTTTGTTAATGGTTAGAGCATTGGACTAGGACCTGAAAAACCAGGTATTCAAATCTCCACTCAGCTATGAAGCTCACTGGCCGACCTTAGGCCTGTCACTGTCTCTCAGCCTAACCTACCTCACAGGGTTGTGGGGATTAAGTGAGGAGTGGGGGGGGGGGGGACCAGGGACACCACCTTGAGCTCCCTGGAAGAAAAGGTGGGATAGAAATTGAATAAATAAAATATTTAGTGTGGAGTTGCTCCTAGCCACTGTATGTGATGCTGGGAATCCAAAAGAGTTTATTTTCATTTAAGAAAACAGTGACCTAACTCCAGGGCCCAGGTGGGGAGGTGGGGATCTGTGGTTCCCACTAAGTTTCCTGCTTGGTTTCCTGCTTGGCAGGGGGTTGGACTCGATGGCCCTTGTGGTCTATTCTAACTCTATGATTCTAAGTGTTGTTGGACTACAACTCCCATCATTGCTATTTTATTTTATTTTGGAAATAAAATTTTATTTGATTTTCAGGAATATAAACTTACAACAAAACCAATTCTGAATCCAAATATTGAAATTACACTGAATCTCCTGACTTCCCCCCATCCCTTCCATGGGTCCTATTGATCCTATTTTCCACTGCATATCAGTACTTCTCCAATTTTTTAATCTTTCTAAATTATCTGTACATTCTGTTACATTGCAAGTGTGTTTGAAATCCTGCCAATGTTTTAACCTGCTTACAATGATCTTGTATATAAATTATAAACATCTCTCCTTCTTTTTTGAAGTTCTTGTCTTCTTGGTTCCTGAGCTTCCCAGTTAATTTTGCCATTTCGGCACAGTCCATTAACTTGGTTTGCCATTCTTCCCTGGTTGGGGTTGTCTCTTCCTTTCATCTCTGAGCTAGTAGCGTCTGTGCGGCTGTTGTTGCGTACATGTTTATCATTGCTGACTATTGATCATACTGGCTGCTGAGAGCCAGAGTCCAGCAATCTCCAGTGGGAGCACCAGGTTCACTTTCCCTGCTGTAGACAGAGATTGTGGAATCCTCAAAAGAGGAATCATAAAATTGTAGAGATGGGAGGCACCACTTGGGCCAGCTTGTTTGACCCACTGCCATGCAGGAATCACAGCCAAATGATCCCTGACAGACAGCTATCCAACCTCAGTTTTAAAACCTTCAGTGAAGGAGAGCCCACCACCTTCTGAGAGAGTCCCTTCCTCTGTCAAACAGCTCTTATTATCAGAAAGGAGCTTGATCTAACACCATATAAAGAACCCATAAGGCCAAAGTAGGAGATACTGTTGGGAGGGCAATAATGAATTCTCTCTCTGTGTGTGTGCAATACTTCCTCTTGGTCACCCCACCTAACTCAGAGGATGGAGAGGGTGGCCCAGGAGGGGGCATTCTCTGTGGTGGCCCCTGAGTTGTGGAACTCCCTGCAGAGCTGAGTCTGGTACCTTCACTATACAGCTTTGGGCAAATGTCACCGTTCTGCCCCAGCCTTTGACAGCCAAGATGTGTGTTTCAGGACCCACCCCGCTCTTGCAAATCTAATATACTTCAACTGCTTTTAATCCTAAATTTTATATTGTAAGATTCGCTGGGACCTGTTGGTGAAAGGCAGGTAATTAACTTAATCATAATATAATATTGTCTCGTAATGTAATGTAATTCACAGTGGTACCTCGGGTTAAGAACTTAATTCGTTCCGGAGCTCCATTCTTAACCTGAAACTGTTCTTAACCTGAAGCACCACTTTAGCTAATCGGGCCTCCTGCTGCTGCCACACCACCAGAGCACGATTTCTGTTCTCATCCTGAAGCAAAGTTCTTAACCCGAGGTACTATTTCTGGGTTAGCGGAGTCTGTAACCTGAAGCGTATGTAACCCGAAGCGTATGTAACCTGAGGTACCACTGTAATGTGATACAGAAATGTTTTCACTTCCAGTTACTGTAGTTTCCAAAACTCAGGCCCCCAATACGTACAACGTGACTTCCCTGTTTTGAGAAGAAAGTAGATCAATGATACATATTCCATGACCCAGTAGTTGCAATTTGATATTTCTTGGTTTCCTGTGTCTGTGTTTGCCCAGGAACACTCCCCTTGCTAATCATTTTTTGGACAGTGCCTGCAGTGGACTCGAGCGTTCTTCTGTTAGCCTAAGTACTGGCGCCTTGTTTTTGCAAAGGAGGAACAGCAAGCTGATATTTCAAGATGCTGCATTGTGCAATTAACTGGAGGGCGAATACCATCAGGATACCAAGTCTGCTCATTCTTATGCTTTTGAAGGCAGCAAGCCGAGCACTTCAGATGCCAGATCCGTGGCTTGTGTGATCATGCGCATGAGCAAGGCATTGGTGTGTCTCGCTTGCTAGTGAGCCTTTGTCGTTTCCCCCTTCTTCATCCTGTGGCCTCTTTTCCCCCCTTGGAGGTGAAGCAGACAAGCTTAATTACTGGATGCTGTCTCTCTGTGTTCTGGTGCCAGGCTGTGGCTGGCTTTTAATTTTGCAAAAGGCGGGCATGAGGTTTGGTTGTCTCTGGCTCATCCTTGGCTGCTAAGATGCTCATTTAACTCTTGCCTCCTTGACGAGGCTGGCCTGAGGGGCCTGTCATGTCAGCGCTTTCACGCTGGGCTGGTTCTGAGGGTTGACTGCGTCACTTCCCATTTGGCTCTCTGCTTTTCTTCGAGAACTTAATTCCCTTCACCCTGCAGGTGATGGCTTGAAGTGAAAAGGCGCTGTCATGTAGTGGGGGCTTGGCAGGTGTCCCCCCCCAGGACACATTTATCAGGGGATCTGCCCTGATTTCCTGGAATCCAACCCCGGTAATTCATTTTATCCTTTCTTTCCTTTTTACCTTTTAAAAACAGAGCTTATATTTAAAATAGAGCTTGTATTGCAGCTGCTACCCAGGATGGCTAGGCTCTGCCTCCATGGTCAGAGGCAGTAACACTTCTGAATAACACTTCCTGGGAACCACAGGAGGGGAGAGAGCTGCTCTGGGGCTTGGATCCTGCTTGCTGGTTTCCTACATGTATCTGCTTAGCCACTGTGAGAACACAATGTTGGACTGGGTGGGCCACTGGTCTGACCCAGCAGAGCTCTTGCATGCTTTATTGAATTTTTACCCCACTATTTCCTCCAAGGGACACGGGTGGTGCTGTGGGCTAAACCACAGAGCCTAGGACTTGCAGATCAGAAGGTCAGCGGTTCGAATCCCCGCGACGGGGTGAGCTCCCATTGCTCGGTCCCTGCTCCTGCCAACGTAGCAGTTCGAAAGCACCTCAAAGTGCAAGTAGATAAATAGGTACCGCTCCAGCGGGAAGGTAAACGGCGCTTCCATGCCCTGCTCTGGTTTGCCAGAAGCAGCTTAGTCATGCTGGCCACATGACCCGGAAGCTGTACGCCGGCTCCCTCGGCCAATAAAGCGAGATGAGTGCCGCAACCCCAGAGTCGGCCACGACTGGACCTAATGGTCAGGGGTCCCTTTACCTTTACCTTTATTTCCTCCAAGGAGCATGAAGTGCTGTGTTGCACCCAGGTCGCCTTCAAATGCTAAATTCCAGGTGTGTGCATTTTGTGGCTGATGCACCATTTTCAAACAAAATCACCATTTTTGTTTGTTTGTATAATATTATTGCTTTCCTCATGCAAGACCTTCTCTTTGCAAAACCTTCCCTTTTAATTTTTGCCAGCAGCAATCCTGGTGCTCTCTCTCTCTTTTTGGCTAAAGGATTTGAGGAAGGGAGAATGAGCACGTTTTAAACACACATCATCTAATGCTTCTGCATGTCAGAATAGCAGGGAGCAAGTGACCTATTTTACCGCAGTGTTTGAACTGCAGGCTTCTTCCACCCTCCTGCTTGTCTTCACAGATCCAGTCCTGCGCAGCTGCCTGGGGCTTAGGCATGCAGTCAATGCTTCTGAGAACGAGCAGAGTGTTTCTCAGGCCCCTGCAATCAGTCTCCACACTGGCAGGGTCCGAGTTCTGATGACCTCTAGGCTGCTTTTGAGCCCATCTCGTTTCTTTTTAAAAGTGGAAATGTTGCCAACTTAAAAATAATAATAATCCTGCCCTTCTATCTTTTAACAGCGATCTGGCAAACCAAAATTTAGCAGAGGAGTCTTTTTTCCACCGGTCATATCTTCACAACTGGCAAAGTGTAACCTCCTTAGTTTCTGTGTCAGGCAGCTGGTAAAAGGCAGTTTCAGGGTAAAAAAACCGAAAAACCACCACGTGGCAATGCTATTTATAGGAAATCTGGGCACAGGGTAGAGCAGCTAAATTGCTGCCCTTATTTTTTTGCTTTGGGGGATGTCTTGTTCCAGCTTTGCCCTCTTTCTGTTCTCATTCTTCTCAATCCAGATGGCTTCCCTGGGACTATCTCTAACAAAGAGGGTTAAGCAAATTTCTCCCCACGCCCACAAAAGACCCTACCAATTCAGCCAAGGAATCGTGCAAGGAAATAGAGAATGCAAAGTAAAAAATGCAAATTTAAATGCTGGCTAAATCATGGGGATTTGCTGTGATGACCTATTTGACACGTCTTAGATTTGGTGAACAATAGATTTATTCTCCCTTATCACACGAAATTGTCATAAAAACCAGCATATAGGAACTTCACAGTAAGGTGTAGTGGTTAAGTGTGTTGGACTAGGGCCTGGGAGAACAGGCTTTGAATCCTCACTCAGTCTTGATGCTCACTGGCCTTGTGAGTCAGTTGCTGCCTCTCCGCCTAGCCTACCTCACAGGGTTGTTGTGGGGATAAAATGAGGGTGAAAACGATGTACAGCACCTTGAGCTCCAATGGAGGAAAAGCTGGGATATAAATGCAATAAATCTATTGAAAAATATAGTTAAAAATGGGCTTTTTGCCAAGCTTAAACTATGGGTTTACAATGCTTTAAGAATATGTAAAAATCAATGTGAGGTAAGGTAGGTTGTAAAAACTAGGTCATAGTCGGAGTAAACTCATTGAAATGGATAGACCTATTAAGCATGTCGCTTAATTTCAATGGTTCCACACTGCGTAGGACTAACATCGGATTGACCCTAGCTTATTCTAAATTGGAACATTAACAGCACATTTTGGCCCTCTTTTATATTCCTAGTTAAGTTCATACTTGGTGCTATATGTTGTTGTTGCTGGCATCCACCTGTTTTAAGAGACAATGTAGTGCGCCTTGGGAGGTGAAGTCGTACTGCTGCGTTAGCATCACCAAAGCCTGGGCAGTGTGGATGGAGGTCCTGGACTGCCCAGACAACAAGACCCCACTCTCGGCCTCACTGATGTGGTCCAAAGGAAAGCAGAGTAATACGTTTGGTACCAGCTTGGCTGCAGGAGTTGCCGGAAGAAGGTGTACAAGGCGCCATCCAACCATCTCAGGGACTCCACTCCAAACTTGTGCAGGGTTTACTGCTTAAACAGTCATTGATTGTTAATTTAGCACTAGAAAAAATGCCTCATCTGAAACCCTGGGGAGCTGCTGCCAGCCAGTGTAGACGGTACTAAGATAGATGGGTTCGACTTGGTATAAGGCCACTTCTTACGATCTGCACAAATTAGTGTGTGGTGTCTCTAGCTTCTGGGCACACCCACCATGTGGCCCTCAGAATGTTGATACGGCTGAATGTGGCCCTCAGTCCCAAGAAAAGTAGCCAGCCCTACTCTTGAAGTTAAATTCCTGAGGGATGTGTGTGTGTCGCATCACATCTCTAATAGCCTTGAAGATTTTGAATGCAGAAAGACTTGGAAGCCTAAATATTAACAACTGGTTACTTTTTATTATATGTTATTTTTGTTTTTATTAGATGTTTATTTTCTGTGATTGCATTTTTTATAATTGTAAAAATTGCTTTTTTAAAATAAATATCATTAGAGTTTATACAGAAAAATACAAAGATTATTGTCACCCTTTTTTTTTGTCCAGACTGAAACATTAATCCAGAGGCAAACATGAGAGAGAAGAGAAAAAGACAGAAAGACAGACAGAAAGAGGAAAGGATAAAAAGGAATTAAAAGAGAGAAAGTGAAAAGAGAGAGAGAGAGAAAAGGAAAAAGAGAGAGGTTAAGGAGCTTCTTAAAAATGGTTTTGAATGCTGTATCTTAAATAGACGTAGCCCTCCCTGGGAACTTAGGGTGATGGGCAGGTGATGAATTAAAATACAAAAAGCACAAACAACAAGGCACCACCCAGCACCTATCATTTCATGTGCTGGGAAGACTTTGTTTTGGACTCGCTCACAGACTCACTGTGCTGTTGTTGTTTTCCTCTCCCTTTTTTTGCGATCTTTTAATAATGGACTGCAAGAGCCAGAGCACCATGAGGAGAGAAATGGCTGCCCTTAATTTCACCTGGGAAATGTTGGACAGGATGCAGAGCCTGTCATTTCCACCAGATAAAATTGGGGCGCTCTTGGAACACGCCCCCCTCTGTCCTCACCTTGAGGCTCACAGCTGCTTCCTGACAGCAAGCCGGGCGCTTCAGTGTACCTGCGTGTGCATTTACAGCCAAGATGCACCAGTGGTTTGACTTCAGGTGTGAGGGAGGTGGAATCTAAAGTTCATGGAGTCTCCTCAGGGGCCATCTAGTCCAACCCCCTGCAGTGCAGGAATCACAGCGAAAGAATCCCTGATCCCTGACAGATGGACACGCAAGCTCTGTTGATAAACCTCCAGCGAAGGGGAGGGTGTTCGTTCCACAGTCAAACAGCTCTCACCATCAAAAGTTCTTCCTGATGTTTACACGGAATCTCCCTTCTTGCCATTTTAATCCATTTCTCCGGGTCTTACTCTCTACAACAGCTTTCTCCATCTTCCGTGTGTCAGCCCTAGAGATATTGGAAGATGGCTATCACATCTCCTCTTCTCCAGGCTAAACATACCCAGCTCCCTCAACCGTTCCTCATAAGGCTTGGTTCTCAGACCCTTGATCATCTTGGTCACCCCTCCTTTGCACATGTTCCTGTTATTAAACTCTGGTGCCCAGAACTGGAAGCATGACTCCAGGCGGGGATCTGACCAAGGCAGAATAGAGCAGTACTATGACTTATCCATAAAGGTAAAGGTAAAGGGACCCCTGACCATTAGGTCCAGTCGTGGCCGACTCTGGGGTTGCGGTGCTCATCTCACTTTACTGGCCGAGGGAGCCGGCGTACAGCTTCCGGGTCATGTGGCCAGCATGACTAAGCCGCTTCTGGCGAACCAGAGCAGCGCACGGAAACGCCGTTTACCTTCCCGCCACAGCGGTACCTATTTATCTACTTGCACTTTGATGTGCTTTTGAACTGGTAGGTTGGCAGGAGCAATGACCGAACAATGGGAGCTCACCCCGTCGCGGGGATTCAAACCGCCGACCTTCTGATTGGCAAGTCCTAGGCTCTATGGTTTAACCCACAGCGCCACCCGCGTCCCACGACTTATCCATATCTGCACAAAAAAAGCATGTTTTTAAAAGTCCTCCCAAATTTCTGCAAAAGGCTTTAAGAAGAGTCAGAATATAGACTGCAGGGATGGATGGGGAGGCAAAGTTCCATTGCTTGGGATACATCACATTTTAATCTAGCCTGAGACTGGTTGAACTGTCATGGCTTCTGTCCCCAAAAGGATTCTGGGAATTTTTCAGCAGCATACACCCCCTAAGGCCTGCCTCACAGAACGTTTTTGCGAGTCTGCGATGGCGGGGTGTGTGTGGGGGATGGCGTTCTACAAAGAGCTCTCTTTGTACTATGATTGGGACTGCACCCGATGCGTCGTCGAGAGCGGATCTTGGAGATTATGATGGGATGCAGGAAAGTCTCTTGGGTACGTCGAGCAGAACCTTTACACATCAAAGCTCAGTGCCTCAAATTATGCCTCGGAAGAAGTCGGCGCAGCAGCAGTGGAATAACAGAACGTGCCCCGGGGCATGTGCAGAGTGCCTACTCTTCCACGCTGCAGCTGAGATGAAAGGGAAATGGAGATGTGTGTGGCTTCTAGATATTAATGAATTATGATATGCGAGGGGGGAGGGGAAAGAGTTACGGTGCTTTCCACTAAAGCTTCAGAGCTGATCAGCAAAGCTGTCTGTCTTGAGAGGAATACCTCCAGGCGCCCTCCACAGCAGCGTGTGTGTATCTGACTGGCTGGAGCTGCAACTGCTCCACAACACAGACACCCCTTTGTTCTAGCTAGGTGTCATTCCTGCCTTATTTTTTCCCCTTCGAAGCAGAGGATCATAGAGTTGGAAGGGACACCAAGGGTCATCTAGTCCAACCCAGTGTTGTTGACACTGACTGGCAGCAACACTCCTGGGCTTCAGGTGTGGCTCCCTCCCTGGAGATGCTACCAGGGATTGAACCTGGGACCTTCTGCATGCAAAGCATCAGCTCTGCCCCTGGGCTGCAGTCCTTTGAAATTAAAGCAAGATTCTAGTCCTCAAGGTTCTGAGTAAAGACCGAAAGAGGAATATAGGAAGCTTCTTCATCCCGAGTCAGGCCACTGGTCCATCTAGCTCATTAATGTCGACACTGGTTGGCAGCAGGCTTCTAGATACTCCAGGTTTCAGGAAGGGGATATTCCCAACTCTCCCTGCAGAGGCCTCTGGGGAATGAACCTGGGAGCTTCTGCATGCACAGAGCTACGTTCAGAACATGGCTCCATCTAGCTCAGTGTTGCCTACACTGACTGGCAGCAGCTCTCCAGGGTTTCAGGCTCCATACCCGGAGGTGATGCGGGATTGAATCTGGGACCTTCTGCACTCAAGGCAGGTGCTCTGCCACTCAGCTGCAGCTTCCCCAAGCAGAAGGAAAGGCTGGCCCTTCACACTGCCTTTAGCATCCTCAACTCCTTCAACACCTTTGCTAATGGTAGGGCCGGCCCTGGGAAATGAGGATGTCAGAGAAGAGTGAGGGAGAGAACGGAGAAGGGGGAAGCGGTGGGCGGTGGCAGGAGAGGGGAAGGATGGTGATGGACGAAGAGGAGTAGGAAAAGAAGAAGAGGAGGGGGCTCTTGCAAAACTGCCCATCCCAGCAGTCGGGGATGGGGTGGGGTAGGTGGGTTATAGGCTTCCTGCAAGGGGAAGGGGGGGCGTAAACCTGCCAAGTCTCCAGGAGGAAGGAGAGGTGGTCCCTTAGGGAGCAGGGCACGGATGCCCATTCCTTGGGCCGGCGCTGCACTGCGGTGTCTGTGCCACCCCACCCCACCCCCAATTCCTAACCTCGAATCAATAGGCAGGCAGCACCCACCGCACTCGTCTCCCTCCCCGTCACCGAAGCACCATTTCCATGGAAACAGCCTGAGAGCGCTTTGCTTATTGGAGGGCTGGCTCCATCGCTGCATCTCCGAGGCCGACGGGAGTCTCTCACTCTTTCATCCCCCACTGTCTCTCTCTCCAAAAAATTCCGATTATTACTATTATTGCAGATCGGGGAAGGGGAGGGGGCGGCGGCTCCCTCCCCACCCACCCTCAGCCCTTCTTCTGAGCCAGGATCGGGCCCAGCCGCCTCTTTGGAGAGGGGGGGACCACCGCCCCCCCATATCCCCGCCTGGTGACAGCAGCGCCCGCCCTAGCCAGCCCGATTCGCTGCCCGCATCTCCTTTTGTATGCGGCGAGGGGCGGGGAGGCGCCAGCCTCCGCCTCCGCCTCGTCCTTCCTCCTCCCTCCTCCTCCGCCTTCCTCCTATGCTAAGCCAGCGCCAGGCAAGAGCCGCTCGCCAGCATCTCCGGCTGGCCAGTCCTCTCTCTCCATCCCTGCAGTGAAAGGGACGCCCAGGGATGCCTTTTCAGCTGTGATGCCCCCCAGCAAGCGGCTGGTGGAGCCCCCTGGTCCAATCCTGGCAGCAGCATCAGACACCCCCGGATTGGTCCCTTGGGTGCTGCCGCTGTCTCCCCGACACCCAAAGGGATGAAGAGGCGGGAGGAGCCCTCTGCAGAGAGCCAGCAGGGAGCCATGCCGGGCAGCGGGGGTGCTGGCAGGGGGGAAGGCGTGAGGGCAGCCCTCCAGGAGGAGGAGGAGGACGAGGAGGTCCCAAGCTGGGGGTCCTCGGAGCAAGCCCCCCCAGAAAGCGCCGCTCTCGGGCACTGCCAGGTGCCCGCATCACCCCAGGTAAGATCAGCCGGCATTTGGGAAGGAGGGTCTAGCGTTGTGCTTCTTTTAGGTACCATGGAAGAGCCTCCTCCTTCCAAGGCAGTCTATCTCTATGTTCCTGAAGCCCGTGAGAAACCCGGGGGGGGGTCGCGTTCCGTAAGCACCTGGCTGTCCAGCATTGGAAACAGGTTACTGGGTCTTTGACATGCCTATGGAGTGATAACATCTAGCTGAGTCTTGGGAATGCACTGGAATAGTTAGATGTGCTGGCAGTTGCTTGCTTAGATTGCCTCCCCCAAGGGTTAGACAAATTCACGGAGGATTTACCTCCTCATCCCAGGGCAGTATACCTTCATGCCAGGTGCTGGGAGGCAAAGAGGAAGAAGAGGAGGCTGTTGCATCATCATCATCATCATTATTTTATTATTATTTTGTATTTTCCTTCTGAATATCCTTAAAGGATCTGGCTGGTGACGAAGCTTTGCGTCTTGGTTTCCACAGACAGTCTCTTCCTTATTCACTCCCTTGATGGACTCTTGATTTTCATGACCAGGCTGCCAAATTAAAATCATGCCATTTTTAAATGAACTTATTGCCATTCATTTAACTCAGAGATCACCCATATCTTTTTTAAAAAATGAAATTACTGGCATGCATTTAACTCAGAGATCACCCATATTATTTTTTTAAATGAAATTAATGGCTTGCATTTAACTCAGAGATCACCTAGATAGATAGATAGATTCCCTATCAGGAATATCTTTCTCCCCACAAACCTGTAGCTGACGAACGAGGGATGCAGTAAAGCCTCCTTCTTCACAGCCATGAAGGAGGAACCATGTTTTTCCCACGTTGTAGCTGAGCTGCAGAGACACTGACGGTTCTAAAAATCCTGTTGAAAACGCAGACGCCCCCTCCCCACACTTCCCAACTGGGGTTCACAGCCAAGCAGTAAGAAGCTCTTGGTTGAGGGCTCTGTGGCTCTGGGCTCCCTTCCCTTCGTGGAGGCAAAGGAGAAATCTGCAAGCCATGCTGCCTCAGTGGAACACCCATCTCCAGAGACAGTATACCTGTGAATCCCAGTTGCTGACAGCCAAATAGGAACCTAAGAAGGGACTTCTGGGTCAGGCCAGTGTCCCATCTAGTCCAGCATCCTGTTCTCACAGTGGCCAACCAAATGGGAAACCTGCAAGCAAAACCTGAGTCTTCTCCGCTCCTGTGGTTTCCAGCAACTGGTATTCAGAAACAATTGCTGCCTCTGACTGTGGAGGCAGAGCATGGCCATTGTGGCCATCAGCCATTTGTGGGCTCAGCTCCGCATCTCCTACTTGTGGGCTTTCCAGAATAGGCATCTTTGTGGCTACTGTGAGAAGAGAGTGCTGCACCGGACAGACCTTTCACCTGGGCTCTTTTTATCCGGCAGCTGATCATAGCTAGGTATCGTTGGACTCCAAGCTCTCGTCAGCCCCAGCCAGCAGGACCAATGGTCAGATGTGATGGTAGGAGGGGCTCACAGCTTCTGGGTGGCACCATGGTGACTATCCCAGACCTGCTAAGTGTCCAAACAGGTTTGTGAATAGCCACCCATACGAGCCTAGTAATAACTAGTTTGGGGCAAGCAAATAGCCAGGGTTTGTGCATAAGGCTATAATGTTCCTGCCCCCCCCCCAGCTGTTGGTGTTGAAATGATTCATGTTTCTATAAATGACCTTATGGACTAGTATTTTTTTTTTGGAGGGGGGGTGAGGCTGGCAGCTTCTATGGACATCTTTGCAAGTTTACCTATCGCATGTTTGTCCTCCATTATCTCAATAACCGTTGCAGCACCTGTCTTTGATAGAAGGCAGCTGATGATCTTAAGAGTCATAGAATTGTAGAGTTGGGTGGGATCCGAACCCCTTGCAAAGCCAGAATCACAGCTAAAGAATCCTTGTCCAGCCTCTGCTAGGAAACCTCCAGTGAAGGAGAGTCTGCCACCTTCTGAAGTTATCTTACTATCTGCTAATGGAACTTGGGGCACAGAGTCCTCAGAGGACAGTGGCTGGTTTAAGGCCAGCTGGTCAAGTTGAGGTGCCAAACAGGGTGCCTTTGCAGCTCTGGATGTGTAGCTCAGTGGCAGATCATCTGCCTCGCATGCAGAAGGTCCCAGGTTCAATCTCCAGTGGTGTCTCCAGATAAGGCTGGAAATATCCCCTGGCTGAAACCCTGGAGAGTTGCTGCCGGTCAGTGTTGGCACTGCTGAGCTAGGTGGACCTGGCTGAGGATGGGTCACAGCTCAGTGGCAGAACATCTGCTAGACATACAGAAGGCACCAGTTTCAATCTGTTGTATTTCTAGATAGGCCCCCTGTTTGCAACCCTGGAGAGCCACTGCCAGTCAGTGTTGACAATACTGAGCCTGATGGGCTGACTATAAGGCAATGTCTGATGTTCCGCATACCCATAACCATTATACAACACTTCCTTTTGGTTATTGCCTGAAGTTTTTGTTTGTGCTTGCCACGATCCTGCTAGATTGTTAGGGAGGGATGGGGGCCTTGCCCTCCCCAGTCAAAACCGTTGTCCTGCCCTTTCAGCATTTGAGAGACCCCCAAGTTGTTTATGAGGGGCAGCAACACTCTGGGGTCTCTAGGGCAGAGAAGGGTCTTTCCTGAACTCCCCCCCCCATTTTTAAAAAAAGACCAGGAACCAAGGTTTGAATCGGAGACATTCTGCATGCATAGCAGGTGCTCTTACACTGAGCTGCAGCTTAAGAATAAATTAAGGGATCCCCCTTAAGGTTGGGCTCTCCTCTGAAATAAATTAAGATCATGGCGTCTGGATCAGGCCCCAAGGAGGCTCATCTAGTCCAGCACAGCAGCCAACCAGAGGCGTCTCCTCCCAGACCCCCCAAGCAGGAAACTGAGGGCAGCAGCAACCCCCTCCCCACTTTGAAATCCCGGGAGAGGCAAGGATTCGATATGCCATTTGGCCAGGAAGCTCACTGGATGACCCTTGCCTGGGCTAGTCAGCATCTCTCAGCCTAACCCACCTCACAGGGTTGTTGTGAGGGTAAAAGGAGGAGGGGAAGAGCCATGTGCAAAACCTCGAGCTCCTTGGAAGAAAAGGTGGTGTATAAATTTAAGAAGTTGTTGCTGCTGCTGTTGCTTCTGACAATGGAAGGAGTACACAGCCATCGTGGCTAAGAGCCATCAGCAGGTTCCGTCATGAATTCATAGCATTATAGAGTTGGAAGGGACCCAAATGGCCATCTAGTCCAACCCCTTGCAAAGCAGGAATCACAACTAAGGAACGGTTTCAAAGCTGTCCAAAATGAGGAAAGGGTGTCTGTGGCTACTAGCCACCATGGCTCTTCTCTGCCTCCACAGTCGGAGGCAGCGATGCTTCTAAATACCAGTTGCTGGAAAACACAGGCGGGGAGAGGGCTCTTGTGCTCGAATCCTGCTTGCTAGTTTCCCAGAAGATGCATCTGGTTCACTGCTGTGGGAACAGGATGCTGGGCTAGATGGGCCCTTGGCTCTTCTTCTTAATGCCCTTTTCATCATTCACTGGTGACTTCGCCCCTTTGCAATGGGGAGTTTGGACAGAAGCAAGAATCTTCCTCTCTCAGGCCAAGCTCCTTCTGTGGCTGTTGCAGTTCTGCAACGCTATACAGCTAAGCTTCCATTCTCCACCCTGGAGAGGCAAAGAGATGACAGCCTGTTCTTTCACCCTGCCGGCTGGCAAAATCTCCGCTCCACCGGGTCCTGTTTTTTGGGGAGAAATTGGGCTGGTTCCTTCCCGCTGCATCCCTGCGTCACAGCGAAGGAGGCAGGGCCTGCGTTGCTCTTTCCAGAACAGACGCTTCTCCCTCACCTTAGAATGGGGTGATCTTGCAAGGAAGCCTATCAGCTGTATGGGAAGAGCACCCCACCTCCCCAAACATCTGATTCTTATTATGCTAAAGTCTTCACACACACCCCATACAAATCCAGGAAAAAATGAATATTTTTACTGCTGAAAAACTGGTCCAGGGAGGGGATAACCTTGCCACAGGTTTTGAGGACCTCTGGTCTTAGGAGCAGGGGTCAGCCACCCCCTCTCTGGACTGCTGCCAAGTCTCATTTTGGAGGAAGTTCTTTCACTCTTCCATATCCCAGGGGTTGCTCGAATGGGCCAAACTGGTCAAAGGCACATAGCAGACCCTCCAAGTGTCCCTATTTTCCAGGGACAGTCCCAGATTTACAGAAGCCATCCCGGTTTCTGATTTGATCCCAGAATGTCCCGCTTTTCCACTGGACCTCCCTATTTTCATCAGAGAAATGTTGGAGGGTATGGAGACATCTGAACCACCTGAAGGCAGTTTTTAAATGCTTAATGTTGGAAGCTGCCCAGAGTGGCTGGGGCAATCTAGTCAGATGGGCAGGGTATAAATAGTAAAAGTAATAGAAGTAGTAGCAGACACTCCGTGTCCCTATTTTCCAGGGACGTCCCTGATTTAGAGAAACCGTCCTGGTTTCTGATTTGATCCCAAAATGTCCCACTTTTCCTTAGGATGTCCCTATTTTCATTGGAGAAATGTTGGAGGATATGGAGTTATGAGACCTCCTGAGCGAAGGAGATAAGTAACTATACAAACTTTAGAAGATATTTGAAAACAGCCCTGTATAGGGAAGGTTTTTTTTAGTGTTTAATGTTTTATTATGTCTTTATATCTGTTGGAAACTGCTCAGAGTGGCTGGGGCAACCCTGTAAGATGTGTGGGGTATAAACAGTAAACATCCCTATTTTCATCAGATAAATAGGGACATCCCTATTTTCATCAGATAAATGTTGGAGGGTATGATATAGGAAGATGCTAGATGCTTGGCTCAGCATTGTCTACACTGACTGGCAGCAGCTCTCCAGAATTCCAGGCAGGGGACACCCCCAGGCTTACCTGGAGACGCTGGGGATGGAAGCTGAGGTCTTCTGCATGCAAAGCAGCTGTTCTGCCAGTGAGCTGAGAACTAAGTAAGATTCCAGTCGTCCTGGTTCTGGAGAAAAGACTTTAAATGGGAAGCTGCCTTCTCCTGAGGGCCACGCTGGTCATCCTTTTTTTGTGTGTGTATTAATTCTACTCATCATGGTGTGATGGTATCAGGGTTGTTAAGCTCTATAGGATCCCACTTTCAATGCAGTGGTACCTCAGGTTACATACGCTTCAGGTTACATACGCTTCAGGTTACAGACTCCGCTAACCCAGAAATAGTGCTTCAGGTTAAGAATTTTGCTTCACGACGAGAACAGAAATCGTGCTCCAGCGGTGCGACAGCAGCGGGAGGCCCCATTAGCTAAAGTGGTGCTTCAGGTTAACAACAGTTTCAGGTTAAGAACGGACCTCCAGAATGAATTAAGTATTTAACCCGAGGTACCACTGTAGTGTGAAGTTTCTGGCGTAAAGCTGAAGATTTTTATTTTATTCTTTTTTAGGGAATGTGTGTGTGGAGGGGGTGTCTGCCACTGTTTCAGATTTCTTCATTTCTTCAGCTTATATAATACAGGCTGGGTTGATGATGGGAGCCAGGAGATAGGGGTGTGTGTGTGTGTGTGTGTGTGTTGGAGCTTCTCTTAAGATATGCTTGCAGAGAAGGTAAGCCTTAAAGCAGTGTACATTTCAGTGCTTCTGGGTGTTGCAAATCTGAGGGAAAGAAGGGAGGAGAGGTGATTTGACCTCATTTTCTAGGGAAATGGTGGGAACAAGCAATTGCGTTTGTGTGTCTCCCTTGAGCATTAAAATTCTCAGAACTGCCTTTCTGGTTGTGGCTACTGAGCCTACTTCTTTGTCTGACGATGCTCAGTCAAGGAGACCCAAGTCAAAGCTGTTTTGCCTGTGCCTTTGGTTATATCAAGGAGATAATATTATCACTAATTTATTAATTGCCTTCTACTCAATCATCTCAAGGTGCTGTATGATGCAAATGGAGACACCAAAGACACAACTTTTAGTGTGGCAGCACCTACACTTTGGAACTCCCTGCTTAGTGATAGCAAACAGATATCTTCACTGTACTATTTTTTGGTGCCTGATAAAAAAAAATCTTGTTTAGAGATGCCTCCTACCCAGATATTTAGAAAGCTGGTGTAGTTCTGATCTGTCGGTTGTCATTTTAACTTTCTGAAAGTTTTAGATTATTGCTGTTATATTTTCTATTGATAATTTTATCCTTTAATTTGTTTGTTTCTCTTTTACAATCCAGTGGCATATAAATTTTTACCAAATAAATAAATAAATAAATAAATAAGTTATTGATGTGTGTTTATCTACCAGCCGTCTCTAATCCTGCTGCCCTTCTCCTGGTGTTTTGGACATAACACTTTCCATAAAGGCAGTATGTCCCAGTTTTCACAGATGTTGGGAATTATAGTCCAGCAACATCTGGAGGGTCACAAATGTTCCTCACCCCTGATACCTAGCCACTCTGCAGATGGTATCCCAACTGCTATTATGACAGCTGCTGTGCTGATATGACCATTTGTGGGGTTTGAGCAATGTGGAACTCCTTGCTACAAGATGTGGCAATATACGAAAGGAGATTAGGCGAGTTCGTGGAGGAGAGGCCTGCCAACTGCTATGAGTCGTGATGGCTGTATGGAAGCAGCTTCTGAGACAACCTATCCCTCAATAGTAATTGTGGAGGAATAGCAGCAGGAGAAGGCATTGCTTGTGGTCTACCCAGAGGTAGAGAAGCTGGATGTTGGGTTAGATGCATCCCCTTGATCTGATCTACCTGGACCTTATGGGATAAAGAAAACTAAAATGAGTTGTTGTTTTTCAGATTTGCAACACTCAAAAACCTGTTCTTTATCAGCCAGGAATATGGGGGGCGGGATCCTGTCTAACATAGGAGCAGGAAGGGACTCTAGCTCAGTGGGTACAGCACCTGCTTTGCATGCAGACGGTCCCAGGTTCAGGCCCCAACATCTCCAGTTAGGACTGGGAATGTCCCTTATGTAAAACCGCGGAGAGAGGTGCTGGCAGCCAGTGCAGGCAATCCTGAGCTAGCTGGATCAATGCTCTGATTTTGCACAAGGCGCTCCTATTTATTTCAGTCTTTTCCGCAGGACATTGAGAACTAGCATCTTACATTGGTTTTAGAGGAAGGGAGCACATGGCTCAACGTGTAGAGCATCTGGCTTGTATGCAGAAGATCTCAGGTTTAGCCCACTAGGTAACCCCCCTCCCCCTGGAGTGGTACCACCCACTTTGGGAATCATGGGCTTACATGGCTTGGAAAGAGGTCACATCCACACCATACATGGAGAACACATTACTTTCCTCCAAAGAATCCCAGGAACTTGAGTTTTGAAAGGTTGCTAGGAATTGTAGTTCTGTGAGGAGAAAACAACTCTCCATCTTGCCCCAGCGTGCATAAATAAATGCATTTTGGGACACATTTCTTGGCTGGAGAGCAAAACGCAGATAAGTGCAAATTTTGAAGAAAGGATGTTTCTCTACATTTCTGTGAATTACCGGTAGGTAGGTCCGCCCTTAAATGTGAACTAACTCAAACTTTCCCCCTCTCCCTCACTCTCCCTTCGTAGTTGAGAATCTGAGGGCAAGGATGAGCCACTTGAGCTCTCTGCCTTGCGCAACCCAGATAGACCTGCTGCGTTTCCACGGAGGCCCTGCTCCACTTTCAAAGGTTACCTTGCCCTCCTCGTTAAACGTTTGCGCCAGATTTGTAGTCTGCGCCTGTCACTTCGAGTCATTATCCTCGAGATGCCTTCTGGTGTCACCGCTTCCCGGAATCAAATGGTCCGTCCTGTCACAGGAGCCTGCGCCAATTAGCTTTCGTTCGGTGAGGTTCGACCTTGAGCGCCGGAGATGCTTTTGAAAGCACTCGGTCATTTCACAGGAAGATCGTCTCTCACCAGTTTAAAAAGAATTCAAAGAGGCAGTTAAGTGCAGGAGAGAAGTTGCAAATGGCAGAAGCTGTTAGCACAGCCTTTCCTGGAGTGGCACATTATTTTCCATCATTCGAGGCTGCTGCTGGGTTTTTGTTTTTTTGTTTAATAAAGGTAATAGAATCTTAGAATTGGAAGGGATCCCCAAAGGTCAACTAGTCCAATCCCCTGCAACGCAGGAATTGAAGCCCAAGGATCCCTGCCAGATGACCATCCAACGTCTGCTTAAAAAATTCCAATAAAGGAGAGTCCAACACCTAGCGAGGGAGTTTGCTCCATGGTCGAACTGCTCTTACCATCAGAAACGTATTCCCAATGTTTAGTCATAATCTCCTGTTTGCAATTGTGTGTGTTTTTAAAAAACCGTTTTATTAGCAATTTCAACATAACAACATATCAAAACATATCATATTCAATCCCCCCTTTCCCCCCCCACCCACTCAAACCCACCCGCCCCCTCCCCCAGAGACTTCCCTCAGCTCCTCTCTCTGATTTCTCAGCACATATTATTCTCTGCATGTTATACAATTATACAAATCCTTACATTATCTGTCTCCCATGTTATCAATCAATAAATTTGTGTATGTTTATTCAAAATCTGCCAAGGAGTCCAATTCATTTTGTTGTCTTTTTAAGTAATGTGTGAAAAGTTCCCATTCTTCTTTAAAGTCACGGTTGTCCTCATCTCGCAGTTTGTATGTCAATTTAGCCAGTTCTGCGTAGTTCATCAATTTCTCTTGCCACTGTTCCTTTGTCGGGGTTTCCACATTCTTCCATCCTTGTGCTATCAAGACTCTTGCCGCGGTTGTTGCATACACAAATAAATTCTTTGTTTTCCTTGGCAGGTCTTGTCCTACAATCCCTAACAAAAATGCTTCTTCTTTTTTTACAAATGTCATTTTAAACATTTTCTTCAATTCATTATATATCATTTCCCTTTTTAAAAAATTTCTCTACATTCCCACCACATATGAATCTCCTGTTTGCAATTGGAATCCATCAGTTTGGGTCCTCCACTCTGGAGCAGCAGAAAGCAAGCTTGCTCTACCTTCTGTGTGATGGCCCCTCAGATATTTGAAGATGGCTCTCATAACTCCTTCCACTCTTCTCTGTATGGGGTTTTCTTATTTCTTTTCCGTTTGCCACCGGATTACAACAGTAAGCAGAATCTTACAGCAGCCTCTCCATCATGATCCTCCAGAGGTTCTGGACTCCAATTCCCATCAGCCCCGGTCATTGTGAGGAAATACCTGTCACTCAGTGGCAGAAGATCTGCTTTGCATGCAGAAGGTCCCAGGTTCAAACCTCAATGACATCTCCATGTAGGACTGGGAATGTCTACTGCCTGAAACTCTGGAGAGCCACTGCTAGTCAGTGTAGACAAAACTGGATTAGGTGGATTAATGATCTGACTTGGTGCAAGGCTAGGATGATGGGAGTTGTAGTCCAACACGTCTGGAACGCATTAGCTTGGAGCCAGGTGCCATACTGGAATTCATATGTGTCTGTCTTGCATTCCAGCAGGGTGGATTAATTCTGTGCTGTTCTCTCAGCCGCTGCCCAGATTCTGATCTACTTCTCTTCCCTTGGATTACCAACTGTTAGGTGCTTGAACTGAAGATCATTCAATAGCCTGTTTAATAAACCTGTCGTGCTAACAAGATCTGGGTGGAACCTCAAGTTTAGACAGGCAACTGCTGTTTTATTATTTATGCACATATAATTTTCTAACAAGAAAAAATAAATAAAGACAGAATTTTTTTTTTATAAACTGTTTAGAGGTCTTTTGTTCAAGGAAACAGTAAATACATTTTGTTAAATAAACAATAAACTGAAAAACTGAAAAAGTAAATTCTGCGTCAATCTAACATTTGACAACAGGACAGTTACTGGGTGTCGTTCCTTTGATTTATTAAATGCCCTTCAGCAAAAGGTCCCAGCAATTCTAAAAGACAACACTAAAAACATTTTAAGACATATTACAGTCACAAGAATAAGGCCGGTCCTAAAATATGTATATCATTGTCAGGTGTCAAAGTCCAGGGTAAAAAGGTTCCCTGTGTCAGTGTGAAATGGGTGTGGCCAAAGGAAGAGGGGTGTGGCTGAAGAAAAGGGGTGTGGTTAGAGAAAGGGGTATGGCCAAATGAATTAGGGTGTGGCTAAAGATGTGGGTGTGGCTAAAAGAGGGGGTGTGGCTAAAAGACTGAAGCAAAAGTACATTCAAGAGATCTTTCTAAAACATGTCTGCCACTCTCTCTCTCTCTCACTTCCCAGTATGGTGTGAGTTACCGTTGTCTCCTGCGTCAGAACCAAGTCCTCCTTACAGCGCTGGAGGAGCTGCAGTCCCGCTGTGCCGCCCTGAAGAAGGAGAACAGCCTGCTGGTGAGGAGGCGCTTGGGAGCGGGAAACCTTCCAACGAGATCAGGCAACACCAGTCTTCCCCAACCGAGTGCCTTCCAGAGGTTGTTGGACTACAGCTCCCATCAGCCCAAGCCAGCATGGCCATGTGATGCTGAGGATGATGGGATCTCTTGTCCTAAACATCTGGGAGCCACTAGGCATGTTTAGGAGAACTTCCTCCTGACTGGCTGGAATCCCACAGTCCAGATCGTCCTCATTTTCTGACTTAAAATACTTTCACCCCACTTTATAGCAAGCTTTCTTCCAGTTGGGGGTCACACATAGTCTGTCAGGGGTCACCAGATGACTGTGGGATGGGCTTAAGTCCATGGTGGGCAGGGCCAGGGCCAAAAGGAAACACCATCTATGCTCCTTAGGCTCACTCAGCTGGGAGCTGCTGCCTGTCAGTGTAGACAGTACAGTGGTACCTCAGGTTACATACGCTTCAGGTTACAGACGCTTCAGGTTACAGACACTTCAGGTTACAGACTCCACCAACCCAGAAATAGTACCTTGGGTTAAGAACTTTGCTTCAGGATGAGAACAGAAATTGTGCAGCTGCGGCAGCAGGAGGCTCCATTAGCTCAGGTTAAGAACAGTTTCAGGTTAAGAACAGACCACCAGAACGAATTAAGTTCTTAACCCGAGGTACCACTGTACTGGGTCACACAATGACCTGTCACCTGACTCAGTTTAAGGCAGCATCCTTGAACCATGAAGACTGGAATCTTAGCTCAGTGGTAGAAAATCTGCTTTGCAGGGGCTGGGAATGTCTGAAACCCTGGAGAGTCACTGCCAGCCAGGGTCAACGAGCTAAACAGGCTAAAGGTCTGCAACCTCTGCCTCATGGCAGGGCCAGCCCCAGCAATTGCTGCAGAGGACTCAAACCTTTTTCCTTCCTTCCCACTTCCCCTCTCTCAGCACAAGAGCTGCTTCCCAGAGACTCAGGAGAAAGTGAGGCACCTGAAGAGGAAAAATGCTGAGCTAGCCGTCATCGCCAAGCGCCTGGAGGAAAGGGCACGGAAGCTCCAGGAAGCCAACCTCAAAGTAGTAAGTGCGGGAGAAGGTGCCGTGTCGCAGACATCCCCCACCACTGGGGTAGAAAACATTGAGGCATGTGGACCAGAGATTTGGTTTAGTAAAAGGCAGCCTCTTGTGCCCGTATCTAGAATCATAGCATGGCAGAGTGGGAAGGTACCCCAGAGGTCATCTAGCCCAACCCCATGCATTGCAGCTAAAGAATCCCCAACAGACTCCAAACCCTGCTTAAAAGCCTCGAACAAAGGAGAACCCGCCACCTTCCCAGGTAGTCTGCTCCACTGTCTTGTTCTCTTTCTGCTGCAGGTCAACACCCCGGTTGCGGTGAAGGGCTCCTGTGCGGGACTCTGCAAGAAGGCACTGGCCCGCCAGCGGGCTATGGACCTGCGTGAGCAAGCCAGTGCGCTGCTGGCAAAGGACAAGCAGATCAACGCCCTGCAGCAGGAATGCCAAGAGCTGCAGGCCAAAATCACGTCGGGAAAGGTGAAGGTTCCATGCAGAGATATCTTGGGTTTGGAGAGGGGTGCGTTAGTTGTGCAGAAACCAGCCTGGTGCACGGAGGCAAAATTCCTGTTCGTGGCTTTGCAAACTTTTGCCTCTGCCACGAGGCCCCCAGAAAGTTGGGCCAAAAATGGTTCAGAAAGCAGCTCTCTGCGGTTTCAGACTAGGGGACTTGGCAGCCTTTGCAGAGAGATGCTGTCAGGATTGGGCTTTCTACATGCAAAAAAGATACCCTACCCCTTCCCCAAACTTGATTCAATTCCTTTAAAAAGAGTTAATTCTGTTTGAAATCATTTTTATACAAAGTACTGACGCGGGTGGCGCTGTGGGTTAAACCACAAAGCCTAGGAACCGCCGATCAGAAGGTCGGCGGTTCGAATCCCCGCGACGGGGTGAGCTCCTGTTGTTCAGTCCCAGCTCCTGCCAACCTAGCAGTTCGAAAGCACGTCAAAAGTGCAAGTAGATAAATAGGTACCGCTCCAGCAGGAAGGTAAACGGCGTTTCCGTGCGCTGCTCTGGTTCGCCAGAAGCAGCTCAGTCATGCTGGCCACATGACCCGGAAGCTGTACGCCGGCTCCCTCGGCCAGTAAAGCGAGATGAGTGCCGCAACCCCAGAGTCGGCCACGACTGGACCTAATGGTCAGGGGTCCCTTTACCTTTACTTTACTGAACAGCAGGCAGCAAGCGCTGCCTTTACAGTCCTTTAATGTGGAGAGGGATGCTTATCGTACTGTGTGCAGTTCTGGTTGCCTCACCTCCGAAAGGATATTGGAAAAGGTTCAGAAAAGGACCACCTGAATGACTGAGGGGATGGAGTGACTCCCCTATGAAGAAAAGCTGCACCATTTGGGACTTTTTAGTTTAGAAAAAAGGCGAGTAAGGGTTGATGTAGACGCTTTTTAAAATTATGCATAGCATGGAGGAAGTGGATTGAGAAAGGTTTTTCTTCCTCCCTCATAACATTAGAACTCATGGGCACCCAATGAAGTTGGACGTGGGAAGATTCAGGACTGATAAAGTACTTCTTCATGCAGTGTGTGGTTAAACTATGGAACTCCCTCCCACTGGAGGCAGGGATAGCCAACGACCTAGACACTTTTGAAAGAGGATTAGACACATTCATGGAGGAGAGAGTTTATTTGGCTATTAGCTCCAATATCGATGCTCTGCCTCCACCGATTACCAGTTGCTGGAAACCACAGGAGGGGAGAGTTGCTCTTGTGTTTGTATCCTGGTTGCTGGTTTCCCACAATGGGCATCTGACTGGTCACTGTGAGAACAGGAAGCCAGACTAGATGGGCCATTGGCCTGATATAGCAATCTCTTATTATATTCTCATGTCCATTGAGGAACTGATTAACCAGCTGAGATTTCTTCAAATCTAGAAGCAACCCTAAAGGTGATGGTTTGTGTCTTCCTAGGAAGCTTCTTCTCCTTGCCTCCCCCTCCTGGACTTCCGCCACCTGCTCCGAGAGTCGCAGAAGGAGGTGCTGCGTCTACAGAGGCAGATTGCCCTGAAGAATTTCAAGGCATCCCTGGGCTCTCACAGCCAGGGGTCAGGGGATGCTTCCTTGGCATCCGTCGTGGGCATGGGGTCCCCTGCACCAGCCCTGCCGGCCTGCTCAAATGGCTTTTCTCCTTCAAGGGTCTCACGGCAGCGAAATGTGCTGTCCTCTGCAGTGGAGGCAGTGAGGAAGGTAAACTGCTTATAGACTTGCACTTCAGACTTCTGTGCTTATTGTTAAGTCCCGCTCGTTATTATCACATTAGATGCAAGTGCACGTCCTTTCTGGTTTGTAAATAAGACATTTGGCCAGGTTTCTTGCAGGGGGACATACATCAAGCATGTACATCAAGCATGCAATGAACGTTGGATGATTAATTAATTGAATTTGTATACCGCCCTATACCCTCAGGTAGTTCACAAGATAAAATCACAATGTAAAAACATATAATACATAATAAAAACAAAACAAAAACAACACAATAATCCCCCCCATCCCCAACACATTTTAAAAGGGCGTTGGATGTCAGTCAGCCCAAAGCCTGGTTAAAGAGGAACGTCTAAAGGTGTACTGTATAATGAAGGTGCCAGCTGCTGAACCTCTCTGAGTTTTTATGTAGTTGTGGCTTCTGCCCTGAACTGCTAGATCCAGCGGGTGCTTTTCAGCTAAGTTTTACTCAGAGCAGATGTACTGAAATTAATGAACATGACAAAGTTAGGCCCATTAATTTCAGCAGGTGTACTCTGAGTAAAACCGAGTTGAAGGCTGCCCAGTATTAAAACAAAAGGTACCCTCATCAGGTCTCTGTCTTGCATGAATCTAAACGTGGTGATCATTATCACAACAAGAGCAGGAATTTATCATTCTTATTACAATTAATTTATTAAACCACCGCCTCAAGGCAATTTACACACGAAACCATGAAGAACAGTTAGATTTCATCATTGCTTTGCCCTAAGGTAGAGTCTAAAAATGCTATCGTGGTCGCTCGGTATGTCTGGGAACTCTGAGACACGTGAAGCCGCTTGAAGAACGTGCGAATGCTAACGAGGGAGGTTTCGTTGTGGGGTGGGGAAAGGGCTGCCAACCTCGCCTACTAGCTCCTCTGATGCCCTCGGGCGGCCCTTTCCAACCCCAGCCCGGACCCGCAGGGCCGGGATGTCCCACTGCCGGCGGAGGGGTGGCAGGAAACGCGGATGCCCACCCTCCCGCTTGCAGCCTCCCGAGAGCGGCTCCTCCTCCCCCTCCCTTGGCGGGGAAGTGGTTCAGCCCAGCCGACCAACCCGCCCAGCCGAGGCCCAGCCAGCGCGGAGCTCTCCGTGGTGCTGAAATTGGGAGCAGCAGGTAGGAGTCCGGCGCTGTCCGGCGGGCCAGGCCGCAGCTCCCGCTTGGCCGAGCAGGGAGGGGAGATGGGGCTGGAAAAGGACCCCGGAGGGAGGAGGGTGGCTGCAGCCGGCCCTCCTGGCCTTGCGGGCCGGCTCCTTCAGTGCCGTGGGACGTCATCATGGAGTCCTCTGAGCGTTTGCAGAGTGCTTCTCGCAGCCACCGGGAGGAGGCGGGAGTCAGAGAGGGGCGGTTTCCAGGCGTTCGATGGGTAGGGTGGGTGGAAGAAACTTTTAATAGCGCTATGATGTTTTTAACTGTGTTTTGTATTGAGGGCGCGGTCTGGGGAAAAAGGTAGGGCATAACAACAGCAGCAAAACAACAGCAGCAACAAGGAAACGCATTGCAACTCCAATTTTGCCTCTGGGTTACCCTCTCCCCTGCAGCTACCAAGGGCTTTGCTTGCCTTTGACTTGCTTCTCCATCGGGTCCCTGGCAGAATCGGGGCCTTTGCTGCTGCTCCTAGCCCAGATCAGAGCTTTAGATTAGAGAAGCGGCAGGGCAACCCTATTTTTTTCACGCAGAAGGGTCTGCGGGTTCAGTCCTGGCATTGCCCATTTATTTTATTTAGCAGAATTTATATACATCTTGATTGTAACCAACCCTCCATGCGGTTTGCAACAAATACTAAACTGATCAATAAATATAAGTAGGTGAAAACATTTGGATAGCCATCTGTCAGGGATTACCGTATTTAGGTGTGATTCCTGCATTGCAGGGGGGGGGGGTTGTGTGTGTGTTAGCAGTTATGTCCAACGCTACAATGCTATTATTTGAAAGATAATAAAATTCAACAGAACACTAGAAAGAGATTAAAACACACACCAGCATTCTGCATATCTGGATAGGCTTGCCTGAACAAAAAGTGTTTTCCCCTTCCCTCTGAATCCCTTTTCTTTTTTGTATTGTATCTTTTAGATTGTAACAACCATTGGCATTTGTAAGCTGCTCTAAGAGCCTTTTTATGAATACATAAGCACATAGCTCAATTCCTTAGCCACTACACTATGCCAGTGCATAAGAGAGACTTGGCTTTATGCCTGAAAGACAAAAGTGCTCCGTTGATGTTGTTGTATGTCAGAGTAGGACATAAGAGACCAGGGTTTAATCCCCACTCAGCCATGAGGCTCACTAGATGGTCTTGGGTCCAGTCTCTCTCTGTCTCTGTCTGTCCCTCTCTCACACACAAACAACCTAATCTACCTTGCAGGTTTGCTGTGGGGATCAAAAGAGGAGGACAAAAACCATGCAAACTGCCTTGAGCTCCTTGGAGAAAAGGGTGGGGTAGAAATGCAATAAAATAAATAAATTCACCTTCCACACATGACCCTGGGCAATGTGCAGAAGATAATAAAAACAGCTTTAAAGCACAGCTAGGAAAAAGAAGAAGATGAGTTTTAAACCCATCACAGAGACTTATTCAGCCAGCTGGGAAAGCCTGCATGGAGTTATAGCCATCAAAGCTCTACTCAGGGTAGACCCCTTCAATTATTTATTTATTTGCAGGAATTTCTGTACCACTCATCATATAGAATACCAATGCAATGTATGTATATACACCTGAGAGTATATACAATCAAGAAATAAATGAACCTGAGTTAGTCATGTCCATTAGTTCAATTGGTCTACACTGAGCATGGTTATAACATTAGATACAGCCCTATTTGGGGGGGGGGGGTTAGGTACCACTTTCAAAGATGTCCCTGATACCCACCCAACCTAACCTCAGAGGGGTGTGGACACTAAGAGCAGGATCCTGGAACAGGATCCTCTTCTCTTGTACAACCAATCTGTTCCAGGATCCTGCTCTCAGTGTCCACCCAGACTACCTAAAAGATGGTACTCCAGGGGAGCACCTTTATGTATTCATAAAGGAGCTCAAGGTGGCATGCATTGTTCTCCCAGCTCCATTTTATCCCCATGACAACCCTGCGAGGTAGGTTAGGCTGAGAGATTGTGACTGGCTCCTGGGCTGCTGTCAGGGCAAACTGGGTTTTAATTTCTGGTTCTGAATGTGTTTTGATGTCTTTGCTTTTAGCAAGTTTGTTTTCATTGCTTCATATTTTATAATGATGCTTTTAAATGTTGGAAGCTGCCTTGAACCCCACTAGGGAGAAAGGTAGACTACGAATACATTGAATAACAACCACCACCACCAGGTTCTTAGCCATGTAGAGCTTTATCTGTTAAGGGGAGCCCTTTGGCTGCAGAATGGATGGTTGCCCATGGCCCCACTTCCCCCTTGAGTCTGGCTGAGATTTCTCTCCTTTGCAGAGGGGCCCCAGAGCCCATCCTCTGGCACAAGTGCATGATGGGTATGAAACCCTCCCTGTGAAGAAGGGGGTCGCAACTTCTCCCGAGACCAAACGGCAGATCCAGCAATTGGTGGGTTCCCCTTGCTGTTACTTTGAATCTAGCTTCTAAGCAGTTGGCAAAGTATAAGAATCCCACTACTGCCACAAGAATGGTAAAAGTCAGTTGGGGGGAGTTTCTGGGAATGGGTAACAGTCAATGGGCAACATCTTTCAGGGTTTCAAATCTCCTTGGAACTACGATGCCCTGGCATGGAATGCGTGGGGCACCTCATCTCCTTTTCTCCCCCCTTTTCCGGTAGGAGTCTGAGCTCAGAAGAAAGCGGAAACAATGTGAAAACCTTGAACATGAAGTGAGGAAGAAGCACAAGAGATGTGCAGAGCTCGTGAGTAGCATCCTGCACCCAGAAGCACTGTCGGAGGTGCATCTCCGCCCCCATGCTAACCTCCGAGGCCAAATCTTGAGAGGCAGATCAGCCAACAGCATACAAAGTGTTATGGATGATGGGAATTGTAGTCCAGTAGCATATGGAGAGTTATGGATGAAGGGAGTTGTAGTGCAACAACACACAGAGGGCCACACATTTCCTATTCCTGCAATTAAAGAATGGATTGTGTTATGCCTGCTCCTGTCCCTTGGTCACCTCTACCTGTTCCTACAGATTCCCGGTTTCTCTGTCAAAGGAGGCAAATCTTCTTTCCACCCCCCAGAAAAATCTGTTTTTTTGTCCCTGTGCAGGAAATCCAACTGCAGGAGGTGCAAAGCAATAATGTCCGGCTGTGTGAGGAGAACACTCTGCTTCATGGGCAATTGGATTGGACAGAAAAGGTAGGAAGGGATCTCTCCTCCCACCAATGCCTGATAACCATTGAGGAAGTGCAAGCAAGCTTGTGGGCAACCCCAAACTGGGAACTTTCAGTGCAACTGAAATGGAAATTGATCCACAGTAAGTTCAGGGCAGACAGAGGAAATTATTTTCAGGCAGGGGCTTCAAGCAGGGGCTTGAAGTTGGGGCAGCAGAATAATGGGGTCATAGAACTGTAGAGAAGAGACATCAAGGACCATCTAGTCCAACCTCATGCAATCCAGGATGCATGTGCTTTGCCGCTGAGCAACCTTCCGTTTCTCCCTGGGCAGGTTGAATCTGAAAATGCTGACTTGAGGTTGCAGGTGGCCGTGGTGACCGAGGAACGGGATTCTGCTCTCCAGAAAACCCAGGAGCTCCAGAACAGGCTGGAGAGTCTCGGGCAGGCGCTAAAGGTTGGTCAGATCCAGGGTTGTGATTGGAAAGGGGCATCTCTTTGAGCAGCTCTCTGCCCTGAGCTTCCTTGCTAGGAAGCTGGGATAACAGAGGAGGCAGATTTGGGAAAAGGGTTCCTGGTTCCCAGTTCAAAAATTGGTAGGGTGTGTGTGTATGTAGACGCCAGCTCCTTATTCAGGCTGGCTGTGCTCCGGTGTTGAAAAAGGGAGCTGGAATCAGGAATGGGGAAGTGGCTTCTGTTTCAGGGATTTGTAGCAGGGAAATGGAATGCCATTTTATGGACAGTCTGAGTAAAGCCCTATACAGCTTAGGCCCAGGCTATTTGAAGGACCACATTATCCCTTACAAACCCGTCTGGGCTCTGCGATCTGCAGGGGAGGGCCTTCTCTCAATCCCACCACCTTCACAGGCATACTTAGTAGGAACATGAGAGAGGACCTTCTTGCTGCTTCCAAGCTTTCAAACTCCATCCTAGAGAAGCCAGGCTGTGTCCCTCCTTGCTGTCCTTTTTCTGGGAGGTGAAGACCATTTTATTCCAACAGCCCCTTGGGAACTGACTGGTGTGTTTTTTTTAATAGCGCTGTGCTGTTTTTATCATCTGTATTCAAATAGATGTTTTAAATATTGTTCTATATTGGCTAACTAATTAGTTGGAGAAGCAAAGGAACCAGGTTTGCCCTGTTGTTCTCAGGGGATACATCCAAGGGGACCTCAAATCCCAGAGAGAAGTGTGAGAGGAGGAGCAGGAAGTTGTAAACAGGATGCAACCTAAAATGTATCAGTCCAGACATCAAAGAAATAGAAGTCAGTGTAGAGATAAAGGTACAGGGAAGTCTGCGCAGCTGGAGGTCTCTTACTCCCTGTCTTAATCCTATGCAGACCTTCTAAGCAAACAGAAACTACACTGTAAGTGAAATCACAAGTTGTTGTTTTGCTTTTTTTTTTTAAAAAGATACTCTTTCCCCTCCATGGGCCAAAATATGTTTTTCTTTGGTCTGGATGGCATGGGCTGCTTCTCAATTGTCAGAAGCTGCTATACCCCCTTCTTGAGAAGAGGGTCCCCATAGCCTGGAAGGAAACCCCTGAGGTGCTTGGAGGGGTCATCAGCACTCAGCTCTGCTCTCATGCACTTCTGGTTTCCCCAGCACATGAGAGATGTTGCGGAACGAAGGCAGCAGCTGGAACAGGAGCATGAGAGGGCCCTGCAGGCCTTGCAGAAGAAACAGGAGGAAGTCAGGCAACTGCAGCAGGTGAGAGATCCACCAGGGAGACCGCTTGCATCCTTCTCTTCTTGGTTAGTGCACCCTTGAGAGAGCTCTTCCATGTGCTAGTAACCTCCTGATTAAAGTAGGGGCGGCTAAACTGTGGTCTTCTACTTCCATAATTCCCTGGTGGTTGGTCGTGCTGGCTGACGGGTGTGTTAGGCACCCAAGACCTCAAGAAATAGGATTGGTGACCCCTTAACCTCTTTTTTCTTCTCCTCTTGCCTTCAGGCCCAGGCTGAAGCAAGGAAGGAGCATGAAGGAGCCGTCCAGCTCTTGGAGGTAAAGCGGGGAGAAAATCAAGGAAGACAGAGGGAAGGCATGCTTTTTAAGTGCATGTCTTGCCCTCTAAAAGAACCCTGAGAACTGTAGTTTGCTAAGGGTGCTGGGAATTGAAACTTTGCGGAATGATAAGCCACGGTTCCCAGGATTCTTCAGGGGGAACCCGTGGGCTTGAAATGGACTAGTTGTCAGCAGCCGGGAAAACAGTCAGTTGTGTGGTTTTGTTTATTAAAGGGATTTTTCAGCAGAGCTGATGTGTTGCAGGATTTCATAGAACCATAGAATTGTAGGGATGGAAGGAATTGTAGAGTTGCCTTGGAAAAGCAGTTCCTGGGAAACACCAGTAAGGGAGAGTTTCTGTTGAACTTGGGTCATGTTTTCGGGCTTCCTATTGTGGCATCTGGTTGGCCAATGTGAGGACATGCATGTTATGGAGAAAGTGGAAGAGAAAGCCCCCCCCCCAATATCATAATGGTAGAACAGTGGGCATACAATGAAGGAGGCAGTGATGGCCACCAACTTGGATGGCTTTAAAAGAGGACCAGACAAATTCATGGAGGAGGAGAAACTTCTCAATGGCTGCTAGTCATGATGGCTCTGCTCTGGCTCCATGGGTGAAGGTGGCAATGCTACAGTGGTACCTCAGATTAAGTACTTAATTCGTTCTGGAGGTCTGTACTTAACCTGAAACTGTTCTTAGCACCACTTTAGCTAATGGGGCCTCCTGCTGCTGCCCCGCTGCCGGAGCACAATTTCTGTTCTCATCCTGAAGCAAAGTTCTTAACCTGAAGCACTATTTCTGGGTTAGCGGAGTCTGTAACCTGAAGCGTATGTAACCTGAGGTATCACTGTACTGGAAATCTCAGGAGGGGAGAAGGCTCTTGCCCACAAGCCCTGCTTGAGGGCTTCCTCAAAGAGGAATCTGGCTGGCCACTGTGAGAGCAGGATGCTGGACTTGATTGCCCATGGGCTTCATCCGGCAGGCTCTTCCGATGGTCTTATGGAACTCCCTCCTACTGGAGGCAGTGATGCCTACCAACTTGGATGGCTTTAAAAGAGGATCAGACAAATTTATGGAGGAAGGGAAGGCTATTGATGTCTACTAGCCACGAGGGCTATGCTCCTAAATACCAGTTGCTGAAACCACAGGAGGGGAGAGAGCTCTTGTGCTTGGGACCTGTTTGATCTGGTCAGTCACTGTGAGAACAGGATGCTGGGCTAGATGGGCCCCCTGTGGTCTGATACAGCAAGTTCTTATCATAGCTGTCAACTTTTCCCTTTTCTTGCGAGGAATCCTATTTGGAATAAGGGAATTTCCCTTAAAAAGGGAACCGTTGACAGCTATGGTTCTTATTAAGTTCTTAACAGGATGCTGGCCTAGATGGGCCTTTGGCCTGATCCAGCTGCAGGACCCTTATGTTCATTCTCACACCTGTTTCCTAGCCATTTCTCTGAAATCTAGATTCCGCATCAGGATTATTGTTTCAGGAAGATGCCTGGGTGCAGTTAATCACTTTCCCTCTGCTCATTTCCTTCTTCTTTCCTGACAGAATTCCTTGGATTGCATGCAGGTACTGCTGATCTCACTGTGTTTAGGAAAATGACCTTCCCAACCAAACCTGGACTGCTTCCCAGGAGTTTGGAATGGAGAAATACCAGATTTCAACCAATTTTGGACTGGGGTGGGGAGACAGCCAGAGAAGAACAGAAAGGAATTCAGGGTTTATTGGTCTCTCCATTCCAAATGAGCAGCTGTGCTTATCCTGCAAAACAAGAGCAAGCTTTCAGGCCCCAAAAGGCTGTTTCTCCAGTTAAACAGCCAGAAGTTATATAGTTATAGAACTGTAGAGTCATCTAGTCCAATCCCCTGCAATGCAAGAACCACTGCTAAATATGCACACGAGCCCTTGGTGACACAGCAATAAATGTGGGTGTTGCGGAGAGAGAAGGAATTTTGCCTTCTAGGGAAATTGGCTGGTGGTTTTGGAGCTCCCCCCCTGCAGTTATGATGACATGCAAATTGGCTCACTTACTTAAGTGCCCTACATTGCTCGCTGATGCAGTCTTCCCTTAGCCAGGCACCTCTTACTGAGAATGTCTTGCTTGCTCTTGATCTTTGTGGCACAAAGGGATAGCAGTGTCATGCATTTGCTGTGCTGGCAAATAGTTAGAAGTGTGCTGTGGATGTTGTTATGTGTGCGAGTATCTGGGCACGTGATGACACCAGTCCGCTTTCCCCTCTGGTGGCTTGTTTGGTTGTAGCTGCACTAGTCCTAACAGAGCCATCCCTACCCTTAGGCAGGTCGAAGCAGCTGCCACAGGCTGGAGTTGCTGAGGTTGGGGGGCGGTCAGGTGCTGGAGGGCAGACATCATGCCTAAATGGCTGCTCTCACTCAACAGCCTTGTTTTGCTGTGGGGATGGGAAGTGATGTCTCAGTGGAGCATCCAGCTTGAGAGGCAGTCTACCAGATTCCATTGGAGTCACCATGGACTGATCCATCAAATTCCTTCTGACATTCTTCTGGAATCAAAGGATCATAGAATTGTAGAGTTGGAAGGTGCCCATTAGGTCATTTGTCAAATACAGGAATCACAGCCAAGTTATCCCTCTTTCTTAACTTTCCCCCACCCCAGGCCCGTGTGAGAGAGCTGGAGGAACAGTGCCATAGCCACACGGAGCAGTTTAACTTCCTCTCTCAAGAGCTCAAGCAGTTTCGCCTCCAAACTGAGAAAATCGGTCTTCCGCCCTCCTCCCAGGTGACGTCCGAGGTCACCCTCACCACTTGCCAGACTTCTCTGCAGCTCCTGGAGGGACTCAAGGAGAAAGGTGACTATGGAGAAGGAGGAAGCCCTCTCTTTGCTTTCATTTGTGCCATTAGAATAATCCAGATGCCATGGTGTTCCCAGATTCAGTAACCGTAGAGTATGATTTGCTTCTTTAGAGTATGAGAGCCAGTGTGGTGTAGTGGTTAAGAGCGGTAGACTCGTAATCTGGTGAACTGGGTTCGCGTCTCCGCTCCTCCACATGCAGCTGCTGGGTGACCTTGGGCCAGTCACACTTCTCTGAAGTCTCTCAGCCCCACTCACCTCACAGAGTGCTTGTTGTGGGGGAGGAAGGGAAAGGAGAATGTTAGCCGCTTTGAGACTACTTCGGGTAGTGATAAAGCAGGATATCAAATCCAAACTCCTTCTCCTCCTCCTCCTCCTCCTCTTCTTCTTCTTCTTCTTCTTCTTCTTCTTCTTCTTTGGTGGTGGCAGAGAAAGCAATACGAAACATGCAATATAACAATCCAATTAGAACAACACAGTTATTAAAACAGGGGACTGGAGGTAAATCTGAGTCAAACCTGTTGCCTGAGGTGGGCCTTGAAGTGCAGCCATGTGGCTCTCTCGGCTGTCATGCAAGCTCCCCAGTTCCAGAGTCCATTCCATTGTCCCTGCACCCACCATTTTGCTTGGCGTCTCTGCCTGGCATAATGTATATACTGTTCGGTTTCAGATCCAGAAATTGCCACCATCTCTCCCCGGTGCAGCCAGAAAGCTCAAGATGGAGGGCTGGAAGGAATCTCCCACCTTGCCGAGCCTGTGGTGCCCGCTGTGGTCAGAAGCCCAGGTGCAAATACCCCTCCGCTTCCCTCGAAGAAAATGGTCAGGAAACTGGAGTCCCAGTCCAGCTCCTCAAGATCCGAGTCCATGCAGAACAGCCCCAAATCCTGCCCTACCCCTGAGGTTAGTCCTGGGCTAGGCTTCTTCTTCTTCTCTTGTTTTTTAAGCAGGCAACCAAAAAAGTACAGTCAAGGCGCCTGCCTGGTGTCAATAGGCAGGGAGTTCCAAGGTGTAGGTCCTGCCATAGTAGAAGTTCGAGTTCTTTCAAATGTGGAAACGGATATTATGTGGCACCCATAACAGGGCTTCAAACGGAGACCAAAACTGGTGACTGGGTTCAGATGGACTAGCTCCTTTGCTCTGTCCTTCCCACAGCAGAGGTGTTCACTGTCTTCTGTCATTTTCATTAGGTGGACACAGCCAGTGAAATGGAAGAGCTGGATATCGACACGATCTCACTAATCCCAGAACCAGAGAACCAAGGTCCAGTGAAGCTCCGAGTCTTCTTAGCTCGTTACAGGTAGGGTCTCCATGTTGGTGGGAATGAGGAGGCTTGGGATCTGAATTCGCTTCTCTCACATTCTTAAGGTCACCGAGGTCTGCCACAACTTAAGGCAGGGTGGAGCTATTCCAAACAGCTGTGTGGCTTTTGCCTCATAAGAAAACAACATACCTTCCAACACAACAAAGGCAAAAACTATGAAGCCATCTTTTTGCAAGAGGACAGCGACCATTTTGGTCACTGTGATCTCATGCAGTTTCATGCTATGATTCCCGCCCCCCTGAAATAAGCACTTCGTTGGGGCATGGAGCCCAAAAACACATGCTTTGCAGTGCCACACGAGATTGTGGCTCAGGGAGAAGTGTGTTTTGGGGGGAGCATCATGGCGTGAAATTGCATGAGATCACAGTGCCCAAAATGGCCGCTGTCCTCTCGTGAGAAAAAACGGGATGTCTGGGACACTTGTGGTGTATGACATAAGAAAAGCCCTCACAGTGGCCAACCAGATGCATTTACTGGGAACATAAGAAGAGCCTGCTGGGTGAAGCCAATGGCCCATCATGCTGCCACAGTGGTACGAGCACGACAGCAACTCTTCCCACTTGTGGCTCCCAGTAACTAGCACTCAGAGTCATAATATATGTGGTTCATAGCTATTGGTAACCTCAAGACTTGATTCCTGCAATGCAGTCTGTGTGGGGCTGCCTTTGGGGCCTGGTCCGGAAGCTCCAGCTGCTGCAAAATGCTGTGGCTAGACTGTTGATAGGGATAGACTATCACCAGTGTACAGCAATGAGACTTCAGAGCTTGTGCTGGCTGCCTATACATCCAGTGCCTTGCTGACTTCCAAGACAGCACTGTCAGCTGCCTAGTGTCACTCTTGACTTTTCCGTGTAAAAACAATTCCTCTTGTTCCCATTTCAGCTACAATCCATTTGCTGGCCCCAACGAGAACCCCGAAGCAGAACTCCCGCTGACGGCCGGTGAGTACATTTACGTCTACGGAGAAATGGACGAAGATGGCTTCTTTGAAGGTACGACATCACCATCTTATGAAGATTATTTGTAACGTTCTTGCTTATTGAAATAATTATTGGTGGGGAGTCCCAGAATTCTGGGGAGCAAGCAGTGCCAACCCAAAGAACAAAAGATTATCGCATCATTACCACCAGCAGCATCCTCATTTCCATAGTTAAAACCATGCTGTTCGGCATATTGCTAATTACTGCGGTGTTTTCTTTTTCAAATATGCAGAAGTATTTGTTAAACCTCAACAATATTTTGCTGTGCTCACGTTCCATGTCTGTGCTGCTGCTGCACAATACATTTTCCTGTCCTTTTTTCTGGTATCTTCTCTCCCTCTCTTATTTCTTTCTCTTTTTCCCTTCTGTACATTTTTTCTTATGATTTTAAAACTCCAATAACTATTATATGGGGGACGGGGACACAGTGCTGGAGACACAGCATCAAGAGATTTACAGAGTGTGAAAAATATAACGATGGCATGCATATATATAACAACGCATCGAAGCACACACAACAAAATTAAGCATCATTTCTACCCTGTCACCTCTTGACCTTCACTTCCAGGGGAGCTGATGGATGGGCGGAGAGGCCTGGTCCCCTCCAACTTTGTAGAGCGAGTTTCGGACGAGGACCTTGTGACGTTCCTGCCTCAGGAACTCCACGATCTCTCCCAGAGCTCCCCTCTGGAAAGGAGCTCCCTCAGCACCAGCCTCAGCAGCGCGGAAAGGAGCGACTGCTCCACCGAGGAGCTCAGCGCCAGCACAGCACCCTCCAGGCTGGAAGAGGACGAGGGAGCCATACCCACGGTAGGGACCCCTCCCTTCAACATTAATTGATTTTTTTGTTGCGTGCAGAAATGTGTAGGCCCCAATGAAACAGGCAAGCGAGAGGGGGAAAGAAAAATAAAAGCAATACAGGGAAATGAAATAAGAACAGCAAACCAGTATACCAATCATGCTTCACTGAGGTGGTATTTAAATTATTATTATCATCAGTGCTGTTTTTCTAGAAAAAATAGGTGCCGGAGCTCATCATGAACTTCTCCCATGTTCTCTTAGAATGGTGCTGGAGCCGAGCTCCTAAAAAAAGCCCCAATTATAATATTTATTTATATCCCGTCTTTCTCCCCAGTCAGGGACTCAGGCGGCTTACGATACAATAATCTTTATTGTCGTTGTCCCATACAGAACAACAAAATTGAAAAAGTCTACATCAGACATTCAAAACCAACAAGCCTGCTATCCCAGCCTGGTTAGCCCCCTAAAAACTCTGATACCCCATAATTAAATACAATATACTCCCACAGAGACTACCTTACACTGCGTTTAAAACCAAAATCGCATTTGAATAGAAACTGTTTCTCAGGCGGCTAGTCCTAGTCTTAATAACCCTGTACCTTCTTCCAGAACACAGATAAAACAGAGCAAAAACATAGAAGAGGCAATAATTAAAATGTAATTAAACAGGAATAGAATTAAAATGATATCTGTGTGATATTTATATGTGGTGGAGGGGTCAAAAGAGAAGAATGCTCAAGAAGGGTTTGGGAAGCAAATTTTGTCGAGTCACATTTGAGATCAAAGAAAACATTCAGGGCCAAAATGGGTTTAACCACTTTGCACTCCCACCACATGTGCAGGAACGAGCCTCGCTAGTAGTGCCTTACCCCAGGAAGGTGACCCTCATCAAGCAGTTTGGCAGCAGCCTCTTGGTGGGATGGGAGCCCCCCCTGCCCACCCCCAGCTCCTCGGAGATCCAGAGCTACAACCTCTACGTGGATTCCGAGCTGCGGCAAACCGTGAAGGCCGGATCGCAGACGAAGGCTGTCGTCGAGAGGCTGGACTTGAAAACGAGAACCTACCGCCTCTCCGTGCAAAGCGTCTCGGAGGCCGGGAGCTCTGACCGGCTGCGGTGCACTTTCCTTGCCGGGGGCGGGTTTGCCGTGGCCCCCACCCAGCTCAGGGTGCGGAGCGTAGCGGCCACCTCAGCCCAGATCTCTTGGGTGCCCAGCAACAGCAACTTCCCACACACCGTCTACCTTAACGGGGAGGAGCACGAGGCCGCCAAGGCGGGAGTCTACTGGTACACCTTCTGGAACTTGAACCCGAGCACTTCCTATGTGGCCATGGTGGAAGTCCAGCCGCAGCAGCAGGCGCTGGGGGAACCGGCCCCGGAGAAGCAGGATCAGCCGCTTTCCGCAGAGATCCAGTTCACAACGGCATCAGCAGGTGAGTCTCAGTCGAGAAAAAGCGTCTTTGCGCGACGCAGCACATAGATAAAGAATGGAACTCCCTGCTGCAGGAGGAAGTGATGGCTGCCAATATGAATGGCTTTCAAAAAGGGTTAGAGAAATTCATGGAGAAGAAGAAGGCTGTCGAAGGCTGCTAGATCTGATGCCTATACTTTGGAATTCCTTGCCTATTTATTATCAGGCAGGTGCCTTTCCTGTACAGTGGTACCTCGGGTTACATACGCTTCAGGTTACATAGGCTTCAGGTTACAGACTCCGCTAACCCAGAAATAGTACCTCGGGTTAAGAACTTTACTTCAGGATGAGAACAGAAATCGTGGCGCAGCGGCAGCAGGGGGCCCCATTAGCTAAAGTGGTACCTCAAGTTAAGAACAGTTTCAGGTTAAGAACAGACCCCTGGAACAAGGTACCACTGTCCTTTTTTTTTTTTTTTGGTGCTTGCTTGCTAAAAACATTTTTGTTTAGGCAAGCCTGTCCAGATATCTTGAATGCTGATTTGTTTTTAAATCTGTTTTTAGCTTCCTGCTGATTTTAAATTATTATTATTAAATTATTAATGTATTTACTTATTACAACATTTTTTATACTGCCTATCCACAAAGTCCTCTGGGACATTTTAAACAAAAAGTTGTGACTCACTAGAATACAACGTCGCAATCCCTTTTAAAAATATATAATTGAGGTTTTAAATTTTTGAAAGTTTTAAATCGTTGTTAGTGGTTTTTACGGATAATTTTATTGTTTTACCTTTTTTGTAAATCGCTTTGAGGGTTTTAACAATCAAGCAGGATATAAATTTAATGAAATAAACAAAAGGGGGGAAATGCAAAGCTTCGTGACGAGGGTTGCCTTGTAAGTGATGGCTCCATTGTCTATGTAACAAAGGAACGCCAAATCATATAAAAAGTGCCTAGAAGCTTGAGTCCTTGTTGAAATCTCATATTATGATGCATTTTCTCCATTATAGCTATATTCTAGAGTGGGTGGTACTAATTGTCCAGGATAATATTCTGACTGTTTGAGCTGCTCCAATCATGTATAACTTGCCAGCAGCTATTCACCTTGTTTTTATGACATTAAGCCACAAAAAACAAAAAAAAATAACCAAGAGTAGAAAACTAGACTTTAGAAATGGCTTGGGGCTGCTGCTCTGAACGTGTGCCCTCTTGGCCTTCTGAACAGCACAGATTACCCTGCAGTATCACCAGAGCAGTGAATTTTGCTGCTTCTCCAGCAGCGTGCACAGGGCAAGTTCCAGAGAGTAAACAGAGTGCAATTCATTTGAAACTCATCCCTTACAGGGTCTCCAGATGCTCCCCTGGATGTCCGAGTGGAGGCTGGTCCCAGCCCTGGGATTCTGGTGATCAGCTGGCTGCCTGTCACCATCGATGCAGAAGGATCGTCCAATGGGGTGCGAGTCACTGGCTACGCCGTGTACGCAGATGGGCAAAAGGTACCCGCTTTGTGTTGGACGCAGATGAAACGCACTGGGCAGAATATTATTACTATTACTATTATTATTGTTGTTGTTGTTATTATTATTATTATTATTTACTTATACCCCATCCATCTGGCTGGGCTTCCCCAGCCACTCTGGGCGGCTTCCTACAAGAGATTAAAAATGCATTAAAACAGAAGCATTGTTTTGTTGATATTGTCATTGTTATGCTTGGGTATCCAGCTTTAGTCATACTCAAAGTAGACCAGTCGAAATCCACAAACTCACCCATTGTTAGCTCCCAAGGAAGGGTGGGATTTCAATTCAACAAGTAATGATCAAACTTTATATACAATTCGACAATTCGTTTTTATTAAGAGCTGGTCTCGACCTATAAAGTCACTTGGTCTCCATTTGTTGAATTTGTTTTGTGACAGCAAGGAGCAGGCCTTCCGCCAGATCTTCAACATTCATTATGGGCTGGTATTATACCTAAAAGAAAATTGACCTTTAGCCTAAAAAACTATAAATTACTTTCTTCAGTTTTCCAGATTGCTATTTCTACAGCTTACCTGTTTTTATGTAATTCCAGGACTGAGTTCACTGTCAACTTTTGTTTTGTATGATGTGTTCTTCATTGTGTGTTTCTGGTGTGTCTGGGGAAAATTCATTAAAAATCAACTTAAAAAGGAAAAGAAATGCTGTTTTTAACGCATGTATGTGTTTATCATTGGCTTAAAACATTGTAAGTTACTTTGGGTTGCCATGACAAAATAAGCATCTAATATAAGTAATAATAATCATAACAATGATTTTAAACCACCTTAAATCATGGGTCACCAATAACAAATTTGGTGTTGGATTTGCTCCTCTTGCCTGTCCCCCTGGTGACCCCTTTCTGCAGGTGATGGAAGTGACCTCTCCGACAGCTGGCAGCGTCCTGGCTGAGATCTCCCAGCTCCAGATCCTGCAGGTCTGCCAGGAAGTCTCCGTAAGAACTGTGTCCCTTTATGGCGAGTCAGTGGATTCGGTGCCTGCTCAGATCCCCTTGGCTCTGTTGGGAGACGCCACCAGCTGTTCCTCTCCGCTGGAGTTTGGCGGTCCTGCCGTGCAGCTTCCAGGCAGGGAGGGGAGGGACGTCCTCACCTCCCAGACCTCCCAGGCATGCGGGACAGAGGACACCCCTGCAGCCGCCGCCACCGATTCCTTTGCCAAATCCACCTCCCAGCCTAGCGTCAGCAGAAAGAAGTCTGGAAGCACCTTGCTGGCGGAGACCTCTCCCAATGGGTCCACCTCTCCCACCGGGGCTGCCTTGACACACGTGCCGCAGGGTTCACCCCCAGAAATGGGTCCTCTACCTAGAGGCGAAGGGAATGCTTTTGTGCCAGTGACTGAGGGCAATCCAGCCATGCTCAGGAAGGCTGCCCAGAAGGAATCTGAAGAGGGCGACCAGGTCAGTGTGGGGTTTTTTTTTGGGGGGGGGAGGCTGGGGAAAGGAAGCAAGGCTGCAAAAGGGATTGTATCTAGGGCAATAATGTGGGGCAGCCTTCTTTTGCGGGGGAAACTTTTGTGGGTCACATACCAGTGGTGGGCAGGACTCAAAGACGAAACTGTGCAGGGCAGTGGATGTGACTCTCACCTTAGTATTTTCTTTTTATTTATTTATTTATAAGCAAATCTTTTATTATTAAAAAATTCAACATTAATACATACATATTACGAATATACAAACAAACAAACAAACATATAATCCTTAAAAATATTCATATATACCCACACTCAATCCCACAGGTACTTCGTTTTCCCACCACCATCACCCCACCCTTGTGTTAGACTTCCAATCTACTCAATTGCCATTTCTTTCCACTTCTATTACTTTATTTCACACACTTTTAAACCAATTTTCTACTTTTTTTCCTGTTACACATTGTTACCCATCTTATTTAGTATTTCAGCATTTATAACGGAACTTATTTATTCTAACAGGAGTTCTGATTTTTCAATATGATGTTGCAAATATCCTTTAAACACCTCCCAGTCCTTATCTATCTTCTCTTTTGAGATCCTTCCAATTTCTCCCATTGTTTTGGATATATTGTAATACTCCAATAATTTGGCAAGCCATTGTTTTTGTCAGTATAATACCACTTTTCCAATTTTTCGCAATCAATAGCCTTGCGGCTACTGTTGCATATAAATATAATGTCTTGCCTTCTTCCTTTAGACTCACCTTAGTATTTTCAGCCATGGAAAAGGCAGAGGTTTCTACACTCCCTGCTCTCCCCTACCCATCCTCCTCCCAGGCAAGCAGGCGGTAGTGCCCTGGTTCAAAGACACCGTTGGTTAGAGCATAGAGTTGATAACGCCAAGGTTGCAGGTTTGATCCCTGTATGGGACAGCTGCAGACTGCGGAAGTTTGGGCTAGGTGATTCTCAGGATCCCTTCCAACTCAACAATTCTATGCTTTTATGATTCCAGTCTGGCAAAAGTACTTGGGGAGGGGGTGGTCTCTGGGAGGGGGTGTGGCCAGAGGAGAGTCCCAAGGGCCAAATACAGATGCCTCAGGGGCCACATCTGAGTTCCCCCATTTCCTGGCACAGTGACTTGTGTGCAGCTGCGGGAGGAAGGTTGGAGTTTGGACAGGGAGGCGAACTGGGTTTGGATTTTCCTTCACCCATGAAGGAAACGGGGTAGCCTTGGGCCAGTCATAGAATCACAGAATTGTAGAGTCAGAGAGCAACCTGAGGGTCATCTAGTCCACCCCCCCCACACCATGCAGGAATCTCAACTAAAGCATCCATGACAGTCACGCTTTATTACTCACTCTGTAAGTACCTTGCAGAGTTGCTGTGATGATTATGTGGGACCTTGAGCTTCATGGCGGACGTGGGGTGTAGCATGATACATGACGTGTGAAAAGGAAGCACTTCACGAAGCACAAAGTTGAACTATGGAACTCCCTCCCACAGGAGACAATTTGGGTCCACCAACTTGGATGTCGTAAAAAGACGATTAGACCAATTCATGGAGGTCAATATGCCACAATGGCTCTGCCCTGCTTCACAGGCAGAGGCAGCAATGCTTCTGAATAACAGTTGCTGGAAGCCACAGGAGGGCTCTTGTGCTCAGATGCTGCTTCCTGGCTTCCCACTGAACCATCTGGTTGGCCAATGGGAGAGTAGGATGCTGTTCCAGGTGGGCCATTGGCCTGATCCAGCAGCTGCTTCTTATCTACTTCTATATTCCTGACTCTTTTTAAAAAAACGGCCCAGCCAAAATGCAGTGCAAGCTCATTTTAATTCTGTTTCCGCAAGTTCAGCCATTTGCATCCGCCCATCGGACGTGTTCCCTGGTGAAAAAACAAGGCATTTGGGGGTGAGGAGGAGGAGGAAGGAATGAACCAGCCCAGGATCCATTGGATCCGGAACATTCCTGCTGCCACTGAGTGTCAGCCCTTTTGCTGCACCGGCTCAAGGTAGATGCTTCAGTCTACCTGGCTGGCATGCTGACCTGCTGGCCCCTCTGTTAAGCCCTGCTGACAGCTGTTGGGTTTAGGGTTAGGGCCCTGATTAGATCATAAGTGATAGCTATCCATGTCAAAGAAAAGCCAAGTCCACCATTGCGAATGTTGCTTTTCTTGGTGTTTGATCTTTCTTGCTGCAACCATTTCCTTCCCAACAGCCCCTGCTGGTGTCCAGAGCGCAGAAGGCAGCAAGCCGAGGAGAAGCCTGCTCTGCCGATCTGGGGGCAAAAGAGCCCCCACCTGAAAGGGGGGCAGAAAGCGATTCAAGTTGCCTGGGAACGAAGCTGTTGCCACCCAGCAGGTCTTCCCTGCAAGGCGAGGACAGGTCCGCCGACTCAGGGCAAAGCGAGAGGCGAGCCCCAGAATCTGTGGCTGGATCTTCCGGGAGGCTGAAGCTGCTGAAGGAGATTCCCAGGGATGACTCCTTGCTGGCGCCCAGGGTCAGAAGAGAGGTCCGTCTCCTTTGTTCAAAGGGTTTTGATTGGATTTGGTTAACTCGAGGGCCAGTCAATTCCCACAAAGTGCTTTGGGACACAGTTGAGCTGAAATGAATCTGCGCTGTGAAAATCCGTCTTTCGGTTACAAAAGTTCATATGCAAAATGTTCAGGGGTGTGTGTGTGTGTGTTTGGATGTTATTATCAGGTGTCAACATGCACACACAGATTTTGTGTATGAACGTTTGCCACCGAATGATAGATTTTCACAGCGCAGATGCATGCCAATGTTCGATGTCTTTGATAATTGACATGCAATGGTAGACAGCATTTGACTATGCTTGATAGTTGACATTCGCGGTAGCTCGCACTTGATTCTATCAGGTTGTTCACCTGCAATTGTATTAGTATTTTATTTCAGTTGGGAATTAGCATGCAATGCCAGTTTGCTTTTGTGTCGGACAGCTGACATGCAACAGTGGTTACCTTTTGATAGATGACACACAAATGGTATTTAGAATGGGACAACTAACATTTTATGAGATTTCACAACTGTTGCTTGCTAAACTCAAGCCTAAAGCCTAAAGCATCCCAGTTTGCAATTTCAAAACGTGAATGTGGATTTGGAAACTGGGCAGTGTTCCGATATTCAGTTTGGCTCCTGGGTTAATTTTGTGGGGCTTAATTCTTCACTGACAGCAATATCTTTTAAAATTTCTAAATTTTCAAATTTTCGCAGGGAGAGAAAAGGTCTGATGTGGGAAATCGTCCGGTGACTCTTCTGACTGACCACAGCCGTGGGTCAGACCTGTCTGATATCATGGAGGAAGAGGAGGAGGAAGAAGAGGAAGCAAGTCAGCAGTCTGGCAAGGCAGGAGAATCAAAATGGGCTCCAAGTGAATGCCCTGGCAGAGAAAATGGAGAGAAGGTAATCTGTTGGTTCCCTTAACCACATGAGTAGGGAACCTTTGACTCTCCAGGTGTTGCTGATCTATAACTCACATTAACCCCTAGGAATCTTGGCCAGTGGCCGGGGATGATGGGATTTGTAGTCCAGGTGCCCCACACCTGCTTGGAGAAGCTAGAGGTGTGGTCAGTCAGTTGGGTTCACCCAGAGGAACATTTGTTAATAACAAAGTATATCATGATCTCCTTCTCCAAATGATGGGGTTCAAGGCAGCAACCTGTCCCTATCTAGATGCTGACCATGCCTAGATCTGATTAGCTTCAGCAGACTGGTTCACCCAAAACCAGGAATGAAATGGGGTGCATTGATCACTTGGTTCAGGAGGTTCCCCTTGTTTGGGAGAGTCCCTAGCCATGTCCCTAGCCAAAATGTAAGCAGCTCTGCTGATCTGGGACCATATTCATCCCACTACACAGCACATAGCAAAATATCAGTTTTATTAAGTACAGCACAATGACAATCTTATGCATAGTTTCTTCCTGGGAATATGCTCCACTGAACTCAGGGGCGTTCACTTCTGACCTCACAGGATCAACTTGTCAAATCCCTTTTGCCCAAAGATCTTCAGCCACCTGAAACACAACCTTTAGCTTTTCATTAGCTATGGCAAGCCATCTCATTAGGAATGGCAAATGGGTGAGTTGGGGGAGAAGTTAGCATCCATCAGCTGTTCTGTTTAGTTGATTGCAGCCTCTGGGAGCTCATGACCAGGAGCTCATAACCAGGACTTGTAAACAGGAGCATTTGTGAGGGTGTTTTGAGTGCTGTTTCATGGTGTGTGTAGGATCAAGAGACATGGACAGTGAAGGAGATGCTGCAGTGACCTGCAATACCTGTGCCAAGTTTCTTTTCCTGTCTGAAAATGTGCAGAGCTACACCTGTAGCAAGTGCAAACCGGTTGCCTTGATGGAGAAGAAGATACAGCAATTTGAGGCCTGCCTATCCATACTACTGAGCTACAAGGCAAGTTCCAGAATTTCTCGATAGAGCAGAATGGACTATGTTGGAACAGCAACACAGGTGAGATGCCTCTACAGAGGAGGAAGATCATCCATTGCAGGAGACGAACCCCTGGAGGAAGGTGACGCACAGAAGCAGGACTGTCAGGAGCCACGCTGTGTCACTGGAGCTGCTTGTCTTTATGATACAATGGTTAATTCGAAGCAAGATTCCACATCAAATTAATTCTAAGGAGGAAGTGCTTACAAATGTTGAGACATGGGAAACCATAGAAATGGATGGACAAATGGACAGACAGACAGATATGGATTACTAGAGGCTGCCATCCCTGCTCACATTGCACACAGCTTCCCCCCTCCCCCCACCCTCTTCCTACAAATCCTCCAATAGGGTCTGTGTTCCGACTTCATGCAAATCCAGGATTGTCATGCGGCATTGCAAACCCTCCTACGTGATGACAGCCTTACATTTATATATATATATATATATAGGAAGATACCCCATTAAGAGTTGTTTGGAGGAAGACAAGCCTTGTGTTCCACTAGATACCTGCAACATTTATTCAGCCGGACTGCACAGATCATTGAGAAAGGGTAGATCAGGTAGACAGGCCTAAGGAAGAAAACTTGAAGAGCCAAGCAGGAAAAAAGAAAAATCCTTTCTGACCTGCTAAAGTTGTGAGACGTTTACACAGGATGAAAAGGCTGGTGTTTGATGCATCGCTGAGCCAGTGTCCTGGGCCCAGATCAGAGCTGGGATACTGGCCAATTCTTCCGCCTGGATGTTCACATACACGCACCCCTCCATATCCCTAACTTCTTTCTATGCAGCTGGACTCCTCTGACATTATAATGTTGGTCTTCGCAATGGATTTTGGCAAAAGAAGAGCCCTGCAGCCACAGGATCAGACCAAAGGTTCATCTAGTTCAGCATTCCATTTGCTACAGTGGCCAATCAAATGCCTCTGGGGAGCCCATGGGCAAGGCAACAAAGGCAGCTACCCTATCCTGCTCTTCCTCAACCCTCCCCAGTAACTGGTGATCTGAGGTAGATTGCCTCTGGCTGTGGAGGTTCCATTTAGCGACCACAGTTAATATAGCCACTGATAGATGTAGCCAGCCTCCTCCACGAACTTGCCTAGCCCTCTTTTATTGCCATCCGAAGGATTGATGGTAGGTAGGCGCTATTCCCCCATCCCTTTTAACACCTATTTCCTCTTTCTCTCTCCTTCTCCCTTGCTGGCCTGTTCTCCGGGGCTGGAACACAGCTGGACCTTGGCGACACCGATAGCGACGAAGAGATCCTGGAACGGATCCTGGAGATGCCACTGCAAAAAAACTGCAGCAAAGCACTTTTCAGCATCCCAGAAGTAACGGAAGAAGAGGAGGAGGAGGAAGATTGGGACAGACCAGTTTCACCCCCTCTGGCAAGGAAGTCTTCTGATGACTTCCGGGATAGGTCTCCCTACAAAAGAACAGAAGCTCCTCCTCTTCCTGTGGATGCTCCACCGAAGAGGAACCAGGTTCCGTCGGAGGAGGAAGTCTTGCTGGATGTCCCCGGGAAGTTCAGGAGAGAGGGTGTGAGTGAGATGCCAACTTACCCTGAGAACTGGGAGTGGGATTGCCCTGAGATTGCTGTGGAGAGGAAGTCTTCCCAGTGGGGAAGGCCCAGCCGTTGCAGAGAGAAAGGACTCGCTCCATCCCAGGGAAACAGGAAAAGGAAGGTGGATATACAAGAACGACCCGCCCGTTCCATGCTGAGCAATTCCCACCAAGGTGGAGGAGGCCTCTACAGGGCCCGGAGCCTGAAGGAAAACTTGGACGTGATCACCAGCCTCGGGGTGGAGGACGAGTCGGATCTGTGCAGCTGGGCGAGGCAGAGACCCCGCCAAAGGAGGACGGTGCCCCTCAAGGCGGCGGGGGAGGAAGACGGCCCCGGAACCCTCTCCCACTGCCTCAGCCCGGAGAGCTTGGAGATCAACGTCGAGTACGACTCCGACGAGGACATGACGATCACGTCCACCCCGGCCAGCCAGCTCAGTTTGGACGGGAGGGCCGACGGATCCCCCACGGACTGCGAAGAGGGGTGGAGCGACTCCTCCAGCCGCTCGGGGTCGGTCCAGTCCAGCGGGCCGAGGGAGCTGAAGAGGTGCAGCAGCTGGGAAGAGGAGAGTGGGGATTGGAGCACGTCCCCCAGCCGCTCACCTGGGAGGCTCTGCTGGAGGAGGAGGGCCTCCGCAGGCGCCTCCGAGGAGAGGAGCCGGAGTCTGGAGAGGAACCCCTCTCTCTGGAGAGGCAGGCTGGAGCGGCCTTGGAAGGATGTCCTTCCATCGTCACATCCACGGGTCTGTGAGCTGCCCCCTTCCCCTACCGCCATTGCTGCAGCTTGCCGCAACTCTGACCATGCTTTCTCTCCCCAGCTCCCCAGCTTGCTTGCTTTCTGATTCTTGTGCTGAGTGCTTTGCTGGAAACAGAGGCGCCTCCTATTGTCCTAACAGCTGGAGCTTGTGGTGCATTTGTGGTGCTTCTTCGTGTGGCTTTTCTTATGTTTCACTCCAAAATCAACCTGGCTGGCTGGAGGCTTCCCATGCAGTATTCCTCTTCCCAAAGGGAAACCCTACTGAATAATTAAATGTTTTCAGAATTCGAGGACACATTCCAGCCCTCTCAGTGAAGGGTCAAAGCTGGGTTGGCGAGGGGTGTGGCCTAAGGCGAGGGGTGTGACTGAGGAAGGGGGTGTGGCTTGTGGAGAGCCCCCAAGGCAATAGGCCTTGGGGGTGGGCCACATTTGGCCCACGGACCTGATCTTCCCTCCCACTGCATTGTGGGTTTCGGGACACGTCAGAGGTAACTTGTACCACAACGCCAAACACAATGGACTTTTCCCAACATCTTCTTGGGTCCAGATTCCAGAAGTTTCCAGAAGAGGAATATTGCATCTTGTAGCTTTGCTTTTGCATATGTGCGTGTGTTTGTGTGATTCTGCCCTGGCCATAAATTTTCAGATCTCGTGAGGATGGATCAGGGACTAATTCTGCCACGGGTTCTCTTCCAGGTGTCGGGCAATGGCAACCTTGAGCTGCTGAACTCAACCTCTTGGCAGGTCCCTACCAGGAGAGGTAGGCGTCCCCGAAGAAGGTGTCAAGATGTAGCAGACCCTCCCGACACAAATTCCGGTAAGCTGCTTAGAAATATAGAAATATAGAATTGTAGAGTTGGAAGGAACTCTGAGGATCATCTAGTCCAATCCTATGCAATGCAGGAATATGCAGCTGTCCCATATAGCGACAGATCCTGCAACTTTGGCATTATCAGCACCACTCTCTAACCAGCTGAATTATCCTAGAAGGGTTTTTTTTTTTGTGAGCAGGGAAAGCTACAAGGAGGGATCCAGTACCAGTCTTAGTCATTTCTGGGGAGGAGGGAATAATCAGGGCCTGGGGATCAATCCAGTGCTTTGCTGAGTCCAGGACCTGGCCCAAGTGCTCTGCGCTGGCAGACAGACTTAGAACTGGCCTTGGTCTAATTCTGGGTTTCCGAAACTTGGGTCTTCAGCTGTTTTTGGACTACAACTCCCATCACCCCTGTCGACTGGTCCTGCTAGCTAGGGGTGATGGGTGTTGTAGTCCAAAAACAGCTGGAGACCCAAGCTTGGGAGACCCATGTCTAATTGCACCCTTTTTTGTGTGTCTCGGGCAGACTCTTGGAGAAGCCCTTCCCCTGAACCAATGGACTCTGGGGGCTCAGCCCGACTCTTTGTGGCCCTCTTTGACTATGACCCTCCCTCGATGTCTCCAAACCCTGACGCAGCCGAGGAAGAACTCCCCTTTCAGGAGGGACAGATCCTGAAGGTAAGAGCAGAGCTAAGGAGAAGGCGGACAGTTCCGTTTCCCCCAGGTTATTAATTTATGTGGGAATGTTCAGGGAGGCAGGAGAGGATATATTAATGATACCCTTCCTAACTTGCGTTAGCAAGTTCTATATCTTAGCAGAGTTTAAACATTCCCCTTTAAACACACAGTGGTTTGATTGTTGCAGGCTCATCTGAGCCTCTCTATATAAGATTCCTGGTAAGATCCCTTCTTGTCGCTCTTAAAAAGAATAGACACGACAATCTTATTAAAGTCAATATGAAAGTAATTTGCTCACATTCATTCAGTTCACAGCTGGATCCCTGAAGGCAGACTTAGGTTACAAAAGTATATATACCGTATTTTTTGCTCTAGAAGACTCACTTTTTCCCTCCTAAAAAGTAAGGGGAAATGTGTGTGCGTCTTATGGAGCGAATGCAGACTGCGCAGTTATCTCAGAAGCCAGAACAACAAGAGGGATTGCTGCTTTCACTGCACAGCGATCCCTCTTGCTGTTCTGGCTTCTGAGATTCAGAATTTTTTTTTTTTCTTATTTTCCTCCTCCAAAAACTAGGTGTGTCTTGCGGTCTGGTGCGTCTTATAGAGCGAAAAATACGGTACATGTGGAACTATCCCATAAGGGAGTTACCGTATTTTTCGCTCCATAGGACGCACTTTTTCCCCTCCAAAAATGAAGGGGAAATGTGTGTGCGTCCTATGGAGCGAATGCAGGCTTTCGCTGAAGCCTGGAGAGCGAGAGGCGTCGGTGCGCACCGACACCTCTCGCTCTTCAGGCTCCAGGAAGCTATCTGCAAGCCTTGCGCACCCGGGGGGAGTTCCCCTGGGCACTCAAGGCTTGCGGGCAGCAGCCTGCAGCGCGGAGCACGGGGCGCCCTCCGGAGGACGCCCCGTGCTTCGCGCAGGTGTCGACAAGCCTTGCGCACCCGGGGGATCTCCCCCAGGAGCGTAAGGCTTGCGGGCGGCAGCCTGTAGCGCGGAGCACAGGGCGCCCTCCGGAGGTCGCCCGTGCTTCGCGCAGGTGCCGGCAAGCCTTGCGCCCCCGGGGGATCTCCCCCGGGGAGCGCATGGGTTGGGGGGGGCTGTCTGCTGCGCGGAGCACGGGGCGCCCTCGGTGTACGTCCCGTGCTTCGCGCTGGTGTCCGCACGCCTTGCGCACCCGGGATCTCCCCGGGAGCGCAAGGCTTGCGGGCGGCAGCCTGCAGCGCGGAGCACGGGGCGCCCTCGGAGGACGTCCCGTGCCCGCGGCAGGTGTCCGCAAGCCTTGCGCGCCAGGGGATCTCCCCGGGAGCGCAAGGCTTGCGGGCGGCAGTCTGCAGCGCGGAGCACGGGGCGCCCACCGGAGGACGCCCCGTGCCTCGCGCAGGTGCCGGCAAGCCTTGCGCGCCAGGGGATCTCCCCGGGAGCGCAAGGCTTGCGGGCGGCAGCCTGCGGCGCGGAGCACGGGGCGCCCTCCGGAGGACGCCCGTGCTTCGTGCAGGTGTCTGCAAGACTTGCGCGCCCGGGGAGATCCCCTGGGCGCGCACGGCTTGCGGGCGGCAGCCTGCAGCGCGGAGCACGGGGCGCCCTCGGAGGACGTCCCGTGCTCGCGCAGGTGTCCGCAAGCCTTGCGCGCCAGGGGATCTCCCCGGGAGCGCAAGGCTTGCGGGCGGCAGCCTGCGGCGCGGAGCACGGGGCGCCCTCCGGAGGACGCCCCGTGCTTCGTGCAGGTGTCGGCAGCCTTGCGCGCCCGGGGAGTTCCCCTGGGCGCGCACGGCTTGCGGGCGGCAGCCTGCAGCGCGGAGCACGGGGCGCCCTCGGAGGACGTCCCGTGCTTCGCGCAGGTGTCCGCAAGCCTTGCGCACCCGGGGGATCTCCCCCCGGGAGCGCAAGGCTTGCGGGCGGCAGCCTGCAGCGCGGAGCACGGGGCGCCCTCCGGAGGACGCCCCGTGCTTCGCGCAGGTGTCTGCAGCCTGCCGCCCGGCGCGTGGGGCGCCCTGAAGCAGAGCGCCCCTCACGCCGGGCAGACATCGGCCAGCCCCACAAGCTCGGGGGACAACGGGGAGGCGCAGCGCCGCCATCCCACTGTTCCCCGACCTGGTTTTGGGGGGGGAAATAAAGGAAAAAAATTTTCCTTTATTTCCCCCCCCAAAAAGTAGGTGCGTCCTATGGGACGGAGCGTCCTATGGAACGAAAAATACGGTAGTCCCAAGTGACTGCTGACAGAAAAACGAAATGGAGAAAAAGAGAAAAGAAGAACATGTGCTCCCCTAAGCAGTTATGGCCACCAATTTGGACAGCTTTAAAAGAGGATTAGACAAATTCACAGAGGAGGAGATTTCTATTGATGACTATTAGCCATGATGGCTCTGCTCTGCCTCCATAGTTAGAGGCAGCAATGCTGCTGAATAGCAGTTGCCGGAAGCCAGAGGAGGGATGCTCTTGTGTTCGAATCCTGCTTGCAGGTTTTCCATTTGGGCATCTGGTTGGCCCCTGTGAGAACAGGGTTTTATCACATTGATATCACATTTTTTATCTTCCCATCAGCTGAAGGTGCCATTCTGGTCAAAGGTCATCCAGAGAGCTTGAGTCCTTTTGGTCACCTCGGGAGGAGCTTTTTCACTCTCTCCCCCTCCCCCCCGAGAAACTCTGCTTTGGTGGGGCTGATAACAAGAGGAAGTTCGATTCTGCAACGTTCCTAAATTAAGCAACGGTTTGGGGGCCCGTAGTGGTTTCTCTTCTGTATCAAGACTCCTTACGAAATTTTGACCACTTTGCTTTTCTAAATCTGCTTATGGGAAGAGGCTCTGCCACTTCCCAAACCCTTGTCACCATCCTCCACTGTGAACCTTTTTCAGCACCCTTGTGCACAATTTTTAAGAGAGGGAGAGAGAACTGTTTGCTAGATTTCCTTTTTTAAAATATATTTTTATTGATTTTTTACATAAAATTTCCAAAAATCATACAAAAAATTTTCTTATATTATACAACGTTTTGGACTTTCATCAGCCACATCTGAAGATTTTTCAGTCTTTATCACTTAATCTGCATTTCATTAGTTTCACTATTACTTTTAATAGTCCTAATTCTCTTCATACTTTTCTCTGCAATATTTCACATAGTCCTCCTTACAAAACTTCTTGCAATCCTACTAGCGTAATCTGTTGGTTACAATTGCTTTTCAAATAATTCACATATTTACTCCAGTCCTCTGAGAATCTCTGATCCCACAGGTTTCGAATCCTTCCTGTCATCTTATCTAATTCTGCATAGTCCATTAATTTCGTCTGCCATTCTTCTTTCGTCGGTAATAGATTTCCAGATACAAATATGTATTTCAACGGTGTGCTCCCTAGGAAATCTAAATACTTAAAACGCCTCTTTGCAAATATGGTTTGAAGATCCAGCAAGGCTCTTTTTATGTTCTTAATATCTCTCTGACTGCTCCCTCCCAAAAAAACTCTCTTGCAAATTATTGTCCATCTTTCTCATTGTTTCCCCCTCCTCCAGGTTTATGGCCACAAGGATGCTGACGGATTCTACAGAGGAAAATGCGGGGGGAGAACGGGCTATGTCCCCTGCAACATGGTCTCCGAGGTCCAGGTGGACAGTGAGACCACCAGGAAGCAGCTCCTAGAGGAAGGACGGATCCCTACAGACATGCTGGTGGAAAGTCTAGGTGCTCCACTCTGACCCGTGACCTCAGGGTGGGATGGGGAGCCTCAGGTTCCAGGCCCAGATGTGACCCCCCAGAAAACACTGGCCCACAGCACTCCCCCCAGGCCATTCAGTCCCCAGCTCACCCTCCCCTCAAATGCTTTTGCCTGCCTGGAAGGGATCGTTGAATTGTGGTCATGCTCCTTGCAAGCCAGGACGCAGAGTGTTGCGTATCCCCAAATCCAGACTCTATACCACAGTGATTGAGAGCTGAATCCACCAACTGAAATTAATATTGCAAAAAGATTTCTTACATTTCATTATCTTGCAGATTGCTAATTTGCTTGGGTTTTGTTTCGGTTTTTTTAATGCAGATAACGGTGTGTTTTCCCCGCCTCCTCGTCGCCTCACAGTTCGCCCACCAAAACCTCGGCGGTCCAAAAAGGGTCTGTATCGTGTCCGGGGTGTTGATTGCCTCTCAAGTCCCATTTGAAGAGATTGTCACAAAGCTGAGAAACAAAAAACACAGTCCATGCACAAGATGTAGGGAAGGGCTTGGGGCACCTGTTTTGCCATTAGAAGCTCCCATGTTTGAACCCCAGCATCTCCAGGGCATGGGAAAATACCTGAAATCTTGGGAAGCCACTGCCAGTCAGTGAAAATGATCCTCCTGAACTAGGCAACTTAAGGTTTTGATTCAAGAAAAGGAGCCTATGTTCCTACTTAAATCAGCCCCTTTATTCAGAACAATGAGGACTAGAATCTTGCCTGATTTTTAAAGGAAGAGCCACTGCTCAGTGGCTGGCCACATGCATTGCCTGCAGAAGGCCCCAGGTTCAGTGGGGAAAAACTTCTGCCGGCCAGTGTAGACCAGCAATGGGGAACCTCAATTCCAGGGTCCAAATCTAGGCCTCCAGGTTTCTCTGTCTGGTCCTTGGGACTGTCTCTAGGAAACACACCCTTCTGGCAGTCAGACAGAGAGGCCTAGAGGGCTGGATTTGACCCCAGGGCCACACCCCTCACCAGCCTTGCTTTGCACCCTGATCAAGTAATTTTACCTGGTTAGGAGGTGCCCTTGAACTCTAAAAATGTTTGTTGCTTCTATAGATGGAGGATGATGCTTTTCCACAATGGCTTTGTGTGTGCTCTGGGAATCTGGGTTTCTTAGAGCTGGCAAACAAACACAGTCCATTCACAGGGTTGTAGCTCAGGGCCAGGACACCTGCTTGGCAGGTAGAAGGTCCCAGGTTCATTTCCAGCTGAGGAACAGAAAAGATCCGAAACTCTGGAGGATACCCACAGGCTAAAAGGCGTTCCTCACCCCTGCTGTATGGACCATCTTGAACTAGGTGGGCCAAGGATCTAACTTTGTAAGAGACAGCTTCCTGTGTCTTGTGGGCTGGTCAGGGTGATGCATATGGAGGCACTTCTTGATACAGCGTATAGTTAAACTACGGAACTCCCTCCCACAGGAGGCAGTGATGGCCACCAACGTAGGTGGCTTCAAATAAGGATTAGATGAATTCATGGAGGAGGAGGAGGCTACTGGCCCCCAATGGCTCGGCTCTGCCTCCACAGTCAGAGGCAGCAATGCTTGTGAATGCCAGTTGCTGGAAACCACAGCAGAGGACTCTTGTGTTCGAATCCTGCTTGTGGGTTTCTCATGGGCATCTGCTTGGCCACTGTGAGAAGAGGATGCTAGACAAGATGGGCCACTGGCCTGATCCTGCAGGCGCTTATGTTCTTATGAGGATGGCTGAGGACTCTACAACATTGTTTTTGAGGTGAGGGGACCAACAGAGGGTTCCACCTACTAAGCACAGCAAGATATCGCAGGAACATATGCAACCTTTAGACCAGGGGTAGGCAAACTGAGGCCCGGGGGCCAGATCTGGCCCAATCGCCTTCTAAATCCGGCCCGCGGACGGTCCGGGAATCAGCGTGTTTTTATATGGGTAGAATGTGTCCTTATTTAAAGTGCATCTCTGGGTTATGTGTGGGGTGTAGGAATTCGTTCATATATTTTTTCCAAAATATAATCCGGCCCCCCACAAGGTCTGAGGGATAGTGGACTGGCCCCCTGCTGAAAAAGTTTGCTGACCCCTGCTTTAGGTGATCCTACCCCATTCCTCCATGTAGGGTAGCAAAGGGGTGTGACAGCATCAGCAGGGGGGGCCTGTGGTAATATGGGTGTCCTGAGCAAGAACAAAACTTGACATCCCCTACCTCCCAAGTATTTCTTATTTTCACGGTAATTATTTTTTATTTCTTATTATTTTGAACCCCCCTCAGCTTGGGACGCGGGTGGCACTGTGGGTTAAACCACAGAGCCTAGGACTTGCTGATCAGAAGGTCGGCGGTTCGAATCCCTGCGACGGGGTGAGCTCCTGTTGCTCGGTCCCTGCTCCTGCCAACCTAGCAGTTCGAAAGCATGTCATGTGCAAGTAGATAAATAGGGACCGCTCCGGCGGGAAGGTAAACGGCGTTTCCGTGCACTGCTCTGGTTCGCCAGAAGCGGCTTAGTCATGCTGGCCACATGACCCAGAAGCTGTCTGCGGACAAACGCCGGCTCCCTCGGCCTATAGAGCGAGATGAGCGCGCAACCCCAGAGTCGGTCACGACTGGACCTAATGGTCAGGGGTCCCTTTACCTTTACCTTTACAGCTCGGCAACAGATCAACATCCAAAGCGCTGCCAATCAGAGCTTTGCATTTGCATTATAGCTGCATTTAAGGTTAACCATATGCTCTGCCTGCAGGGCCTCAAACCAGCAATTTGGGAATAGCTCTTGGCTAAGTCTTTGTTCTTCAGTAACAGGATGGACGGACACACTGCGTTTCTATTTAAACTGGCTCTTCTGTTTTTCATCCCCACAGTGGAGCAGGAGAAGCAAGAAGAGAAGAATCCTTGCTTTGGTGAGCATTGCTTCGTCTTCCATTAGTTCAGTGATTCCAAAACTATGCGTGGCGCATAGTTAAAACGATGGAACTCCCTTCCACAGGAGACAGTGATGGCCACCAACCTAGATGGCTTTAAAAGACAATTAGGCAAATTCATGGAAGAGGAGAGGGCTATGGATGGCTACTAGCTGTGATGGCCGGGTTCTGCCTCCACAGTCGGAGGCAGCAACACTTCTGAAAACCACTTGCTGAAAACCACAGGAGCAGAGAGAGCTCTTGTGCTCAAATCCTGCTTGCGGGTTTCTCACAAGCATCTCACAAGCATCTGGGTTTCTCACAAGCATCAGGATGTTGGACTAGATGGGCCACTGGCCTGATCCTGCAGGCTCTTCTTATGTTCTTCTGCTCTGGGCGACAGGCTGAAATAAGGAGCTGTGACTGCATGCTTCCTTTTCTCTGCTAGATGCACACGAAGGTCAGGATCTGAGCTCTGAGGATGATGCCCCAAGGACTATGGTGGCCATCTTTGACTACAACCCCAAAGAGAATTCTCCCAACCTGGACACGGAGGTGAGCAAGAGCGGCTGGTCACCTAGTATTTCCTGGGCTAGGAAAGCACTTGAAGGTTCTTTGGTGATGATAAGCAAAGGCTAGTCAGTTTTAATAGCATTTGGGGCAATTCTGTCTCACCCTGGTGCCCTGGTAAGCCTCTGAGCCTCCCCACTCACTCTGCCTACAGTCATGAGGTGGCAAGAGGGCTTCTCTTAACATCGTGTTTTCCCTGATACTATCTTCACCCTTCAAAGTAGGTGAGGCCAGCCTTCCTCAGATACTTCTGCAGATCAGCCCTGTCTTCACACACATTTCCAAGGTCACTCTCCCACCCAGCCCCCAACTTTCTCATTGTCTTCACTGTTTTCCTTCTAGGCAGAGCTGAGGTTTTGCGCTGGGGATATTGTTACTGTGCTCAGTTCCATGGACGACGACGGGTTCTATTACGTAAGTACAGAATTCTTTCTTTTTATCTGAACTGTTCAGGCACTAAATGATGTATCTGAATAAAATCAGAGGGGCTGCCGCATCGATATGGGGTTTTGCCAACTCTTCCGCTTAGTCTTAGTCACCCTCCACCACTTTGAAAGCTCTGCCATCGTTGACCTTCGCCGGGTTTCCTTATAAAGAGTTGTTGGCAATTAAGAGCTGTGGAGCCGTCATTGTTTTCAAGGCAGCTGAGCTGGTCCACCACTTAATTAAAATAAGCTTTGGGGAACCTGATTGGTTTGATCAGAGATGGATGAAAACTGGTTGGCCACTAAACATGACATTTGCACAAGACGTAATGGACATGAGGCACACACTGCCACAAAGCAGGACAGAGGTCACCAGTTTGGGTGGTTTACAATGCGTGTGATGCGGTCAGAGAGGAATGACTTAGCAAGGCCTATCAATGATGACAGCTATATGTAGAACCTCCATGTACAGGGGCAGTCTATCTCCAGCATCTGGTACTCTGAGGTTTAGTGAACAAGAAGAAGAAGAGGAAGAAGAGTTTGGACTTGATATTCCACCTTTCACACCCCTTAAGGAGTCTCAAAGCGGCTAACAATCTCCTTTCCCTTCCTCCCCCACAACAAACAGTCTGTGAGGTGAGTGGGGCTGAGAAACTTCAAAGAAGTGTGACCAGCCCAAGGTCACCCAGCAGCTGCATGTGGAGGAGCGGAGACGCGAACCCGGTTCACCAGATTACGAGTCCACCACTCTTAACCACTGCACCACACTGGCTCTCACTCTGTGCCCCTCACTCTGAATGACTTTTAGGTGTCCACCAGGGAGTTTCATTTACCTTGTGGGCTATAGAGGCATTTCTCTTCTTTCTCTGCAGGGGGAGGTGAATGGACAGAAGGGCCTTGCACCATCTAACTTTCTGGAAGCAATGTCCTTGGATGGAGAGCTACCTGGGGAGCCCAGCCTTGGAAGGCAGGTAAGGGGGGTGCCTTGCTGGATCAGGGCCTAGCTGCAAATGCAGGCTTTGATCAAGGCTTTAGAATAGTGGTTCCCAAGCATTTGGGGGGCCACCACCACCTTTGATTCATAAATTCATCCCCACTGTCCCCTACCCTAAAAGCATTATTCAGAATTGCAGTTTGCACAACCCACTAAGTAAGATAATAACACAGCAACGTTCGAAAGAGCAACAATTAATTGTGTATTTGTTCAAAATCCAATTAAAACTCTTCAATGGATGAACTTGGCCCAGTGATACCAGCTTTTCAAAGCCGCTTGATGGTTGTTGACACCCCCAGCACTCCCCCTGCTGCCCCCCCCCATGGCTCTTAGTGCCCCCTTGGTAATCCAGCCAGTACCACCCACTGCTCTAGTCTAGAACATCAGGAAATGGGCATGCGGCTTCCTACCCAAGCACCCCACAACCTGGATTTCAGCAGGCAATTTGTGGTATGCTCCCAACTGCCCCAGTTTAACCAGAGTCAGTCCAAAATTATCTCGGTCCCCATTTGGGGCATTTGGGGAGTTCAGAGTTTGGCCCCATGGGGGTTGCAAGTCTCTGCTGCCTACTGACTCAACCTCCTTCCCTAGAGACTGCCTAGAGCAGAGCTTTCCAAACTTTTCATGTTGGTGACAATTTGTAGACATGCGTCATTTCACGACACAGTAATTCAGTGTTACTAGGGTTGTCTTGCTTCCAAAAGTAAAAACCAGGACACCAGCTGACCCACTAGGATCAGCTGCCTGTGGGAGTTCCCAATGGGAATTTTGCCTGGCTTTGAATATTCCCAATGGGGAACTCCCAAGGGCAGCCGACATGGCTCAGTCTAAGTGTCAATCAGCTGATTGGTGCTGGGAGAAAGTCCCTTTGAAGCCGTCATGATGTCAAAAGACTGGCAGATGGCCAACCCTGCCCACTTACCGTATTTTTTGCACCATAACACTCACTTTTTTCCTCCTAGAAAGTAAGGGGAAATGTCTGTGCGTGTTATGGAGGGAATGCCTACGGGTGGCATGCCTACGGATTTTCCTCCTCTAAAAACTACGTGCGTGTTATGGTCAGGTGAGTGTTATAGAGCGAAAAATACGGTACCAAAATTGTCCCTTTGGGCAGAGAGAGGTAAGGATCCAAGCCAAAGGCTGGATCTAGTGTTCCACACTTGATACAAATGCACACCCACATAGCCGTTAAGACAACATTGCAGTTCACACCCTGAACCACTGGCAACCAACTATAGGACAATTATATTTTTCTAGTGAATCTGTAGCGAAATGAACTGCTTTTTCAATCAGTGAAGAACGGGCAGTGAGCAGGTCTTTATTTTTATCTCTATAATGTTGGACAGCATATTGTCACCTTCACAGAATCGTAGAATCACAGAATTGTAGAATTGTAGAATTGAAGGGACGCCCCCCAGAGTCATCTAGTCCAACCCCCTGCAATGCAGGAGTCACAGCTAAAGAATCCCTGACATTGTTTTATTTTGACCCCACTTTCCCATTTGTTGTAAACTAATTCTTTATTTGCCTGGCTTTGCACGTCCAACGGTTGGTTGCGTCCCTCAGAGAATGAGAAAGCGGAGAGTCCAGTGACACACGCCAGGCAGGCAGAGGGAGACAGAACGACGGAGAGAAACCATGTAAGCAGCCTTTTCAGAAAATTCACAAGAGCAGCATTTCGTGCTTAGGTGTCACATGCAACAGCTGGCAGCCACCAGCCATCATGGGCCGTTCAGCAAATACCTTCAGCTAGCAAAACGGAAAGTCAAAATCACTTCCTCTTAATGCCAAACTTGGGCAGTGGGTGCAGACAGAAATAGAGGGGAAATGGGTCTATTGGGAAACAAGAGGGCAGGAATCAACATGCTCTTCAGGGAATTCCAAGGTTTACAGAAGTCCATGTGTGTTGGTGGAAGCGAAACAAAAGAACTGCCAGGCAGCTGAATCCCAGTGAGGACTGAGCATGCTCAGTGAGTATGGAATGTTGAGTGTCAGTTGGAAAAGAAAACAAGAAAACTGGGAGAAGGGATGGAATAGGGAGAAGGGATGGAATAAATCAAAGGGGCGCAGCTGTCTGGAACCCTGAAAAAGGACCAAAGCAGTGAGGGCCTATTTGTGTATCCCTACAGATAATATCATCTGCCTTTTCTTTTTCTTTGCTGCCATCTTCCCTTCCTTTTCCTTCAGCAGTGGCATTCACCAGATTATGAGACACAGCCTTCTGTCTTGGAGTAGCAGCTAGATAGCTCCACTGCATCACACCACCTCAGTCAGATGAGAGCCTTTGACCCATGGGCCTCTCGTGCTTCGGACGTATCAGCTTGGAAGAAGGAGAAGATAAGCTTCTGTGAGTCTGAGCAAGGCTGGCGATGACGCAGAGCTGAGACGCTGCAGTGCAAGATGAATTCTGCTTACCAGAAACTTAAGCCTTGCTGGCATTTTACTTCCAGGAACTGAGGATGTGCTGGTCGCTCTGTGAACCACTCTAGAAAGGGACTCCAACAGGAACATTTGCCATTTTAGTTTACCTTTTCTCCAGTGTGTGGTTTTGGCTGTGATGTTGTCCGATGGATGTTTCCCATCTCCATTATCTGAGAAAACGTTCCCCTTGGTTAGGAACCGAAGCTCCTTTCCCTAGGCCTGCATGGGATGGGGTGGGGACTCTCCTCCATTCCACCAGTCCAGGATTTTCCTTGAGGCCTCCCACTGGTCTGTTGGGGATAGATTTTTACAGCAGGGGTATCTGAGAAAAAGACGGACCGTGATCCCACCAGGGTGTATGTGTGTCACGTTTTCTGAAAGCTGGAATAGATTTTACTTGGGATTCCCACCCACTGGCTATTCATGCAGATTCACACTACAGGCCTCGTGCAATTTATAATCCAGATCATGGAAGATTCTAAATTGCTAGCAATTGTGGCAGAGTTTTCCCTCTCACACTAGGATCATCATTTGAGAATTTAATGCCCAGATAGGGGCATCTGGTCATCCAGATGTGGTCCCCCACCATGGCCAATGATCTGGGATGATGGAGGAGACAGTGACTTGCCATGCTGGTTTTGCTCTGCCTCCTTGGTCAGAGGCAGTAATGCTTCTGAAAACCAGTTTTCTGGAAATCGCAGAAAGGGAGGATGCTCAGGTCCTGCTTGCGGTCTTCCCAGAAGAGGCATCTTGCTGGCCACTGGGAGAACACAATGCTGGAGTAGATGCCTTCAGGGCACTTCTGAACTCCCTCTGAATGAGGCAGCAATGGCCACCAACAGTTGCTGGAAACCACAGGAGGAAAGAGTTGCTCTTGTGCTTGGGTTCTGCTTGCAGGTTTCCCATCCCACAGGCACCTCGTTGGCCACCGGACTAGACGGGCCTTTGGTTTCATCCAGCAGGCTCATCATATGTTCTTATGACTCCATCAACATTTGAACAACCCAGAACCTCTGGGTAATTTTGGTCACAGTGACTTAGCAGTCTGGGAGCCCTCGTCTCCTCAGAATCTTTTCACATTCTTGCACTGGATCAGATCCTGAGGACCATTATAGTTCTCTTTGCCACTGGGCAGGATGTTTTAAGACAGCTGGCTGAATAAGGTCCTCCCCCCTGCTCTGGAGGATTCTCACTTCATATCTTTTTACAGTCCTTTAAATTCCTCAAGTGTTTCCCTCAATTCAACACCCCAAATATCAGGATTTTACATTCTGCAAAATTCAGCAACAACTTCACAGCTCTCTTTTCTTAATAGCTTCGTTTCCTACTTCACCAAACCTACCAGAACATGCAGGTGACATTTGGCAGAACCCATTCCATAGATTTCTGGCTGCGTGATAAGGACAGCCTTGCCGGGTGAGACCAAAGGCCTGCCTCCATGGGCTCTATCCTGTTTCCCATATGCTTCCAGGAAGCTCACAAGCAGAGCAGGGGGAAAACCTTTAAAGTATTTTCAGAACCAAGTGTTTTGATAAAATCCAGTGCTTTTCACACATATCCGGGATGAAGAAATCTCCCAAGCGGGTTGGTTGAGTGTGGGACTATAAAATAGGCCCAAAATTTCTCCTTAAATGAAATTTCTTGTTCTGTAGAAACTCTGGAGAAATTTCTTTTTTAAAAAAAAAGAAAGAAGCAAGAAGGAGCTTTGATAAAGACATGGACATGTGAGTTCTTGTGGTGGTAGAGAGAGGCAGTCTGGCCCTCATCCCTACATCCCACTGTGCCAAACAAATATGGCAGCCCCAAAGGGTCATGTGACCCTCTCCTCAGGTCTGCCTTATGTGAGCTGTCAAGCACTTCTGGCTGGGGAGGCGGCACAGTGCCAGCAGGTACACCCAGCCTGAGGAGTGTGTCTCTTGTGTTGAGAAGCCTGTATTCCAGGCCAAGGGGTGTTTCAAAACTATAGACTAATGGTGTGACTCTCATTCTTGCAACTGATGTTCCTCTGCATGCATTTTGGGAGGGGAAAATCATGCTCATCCTGTTCACTCTGGGTCACTGAGTGGAGGGTGTCGGGGTTTGGATAAACTATGTTTTTATTTAAAAGAAAACTAATTTATTACATTAAAGTCTATTTTCACAAAAAAAGGAGACTGTTGCCGTTAGATGTTTACTTCTTTCTATGGAGGGGTTTGCGGTGACTTAGTATGAAGCTGTGGAATAGGCAAATTCCATGCTAGGGATCATTAGGAAAGGAATCGAAGGGGAAACTGCTAATGTCATAATGTCATTATGGTGATACCTCACTTGGAATACTGTGTACAGTTCTGGTCGCCTCACCTCAAAAAGGATATTGCAGAGTTGGAAAAGGCTCAGAAAGGAGCAACCCAAATGATCAAAGGAATAGAACAACTCCCCTATGAGGAATGGTTGCAGCGTCTGGGACTTTTAGAGTGCCCCAGAATTTAGAATGCCCCAGAATTTAGAGAAAAGACAAGAAGAAGAAGAGAAGAAGAGTTTGGATTTGATATCCTGCTTTATCACTACCTGAAGGAGTCTCAAAGAGGCTAACATTCTCCTTTCCCTTCCTCCCCCACAACAAACAGTCTCTGAGGGGAGTGGGGCTGAGAGACTTCAAAGAATTGTGACTGGCCCAAGGTCACCCAGCAGCTGCATGTGACAGAGCGGAGATGCGAACCCGGTTCACCAGATTACGAGTCTACCGCTCTTAACCACTACACCACACTACAAGAGATAGGTGACACGATAGAAGCTTATAAAATGATGCCTGGCATGGAGAAAGTGGGTAAAGAAAAGTTTTCCTTCCTTTTCTCAAAACGCCAGCACTGATAAACATCCAATGAAGTTGAATGTTGGAAGATTCAGGGCAGATAACAGGAAGGACTTTTTCATGCAGCATAAACTGTGGAACTCCCTCCCACAGGAGGCAATGACAGCCTCCCACTTGGATGGCTTTCAGAAAGGATTCGACAAATTCATGGAGGAAAGGGCTATCCTTGGCTACTGGCCATGATGGCTCTGCTCTGCCTTCACAGCTGGAGGCAGCAATGCTTCCGAATACCAGTTGCTGGAAACCATAGGAGCTTAGAGGGTTCTTGTGCCCGAATTCTCTTTGCAGGTTCCCCACAAGCATCTGGTTGGCCACTGTGGGACCAGGATGCTGGACTAGACGGACCCTTGGCCTGATTGAGCAGGCTGTTCTCATGAGATGTTTTTGGGGATCGCTTCCCTCTCCACACCTTTTTATTCCAGAACATCTGCCCCTCCCAGCTCACTTCCTACTCATTTGCAAGACTGGTGGGGAAGGCTGTGTCAAGAGAGAGGAGGCCCACAAAACTGTCTGTGAGTTGGCAACAGAAAAGCTAGAAATTCCCCTATAGCTGCTGATTCCACCCACCCAGGCAGAAATTCAGCAAGTTCAGAAAAGCCAATGATTTAAAAATAATTTATTGCTGTTCGAAACACTTCCCCATTCATTAGGCTGATGGCACTCTTAATATGGCTAGGGGGTGTGTGGAGGCAAAGCAGATCAACAACACTGCGAGATCAGACACATTTATCATGGTTCAAACTCCGGAGATGGAGACTGAGGGGAAGTTGCCTTGCATAACTTCTAACTGTAGCTGAAATTTCTCAAGTGGCCCAATCAACCGTTGCTTTGAAGGGAACTGAAAATTAAATGTTGCAATTGCTATGAATCAAGTGCATTTGCTCTGTCAGGCTCATTATCCATTGGGACTGTTATGGTCTTCTCTGAACACCACCAACATCTCACAAGGGTTTCAGGAAGAGATCACTTCCAGTTTTGCAGCATGGGCTGGACCAGGGGCTTCCCACCTACAAAGGAAATGCCCTTGGAATGGGATGCCCTTGCATTTGAAGGTCAACACTCCATCTCTGAAACTGCTCTGTGTTCAGATCAGCAGCGGTGAACCCCCCCCACTCACCTGACTTTTTTGGTCAAGCCATGCGAATATGATGCCAGGCGTGGAACGTGTGAAGCTTTGGCTAGGCCCAAAGGAGGTAGGGTGGCAATTCCCAACAATCATCTAATTGGTGGGGTTGGCAAAGCACAGTCCCTTTGCCCACATGGTTTCACTGATTGATTGATTGATTGATTGATTGATTGATTGATTGGATCTATATTGCACCATCCTCTCCAAGAAGTTCAAAGTGGCGTGCATGTTTCTCACCTCTCCTCATTTAATCCCCACAACAACCTTGTGAGGTAGGCCAGGTTGAGACGCAGTGGCTTGTCCAAGGGTATTGCAGTGAGCTTCATAGCTGAGTGGGGACTTGAACCCTGGTCTCCCAGGTCCAAGTGCAACACTCCAACCACTGTGCCACACTGGCTATCCAAACTGCGTGGGCCACCTGACATCATTGTGATGCCTGGTGTTCAGCTGCTTGGCCTCATCCACCTGACCCACTTGGCCAGCAACTCATCCAGGTATCCACTCCAATATTAGACTCTTAGGTTAGTGTCATTGCCACCAGCACCAGAAGTCAAGGGGGCTGATGGCTAAAATGGTGCCATGATTTGGAAGAGCAAAGAATGTGTTCCATTGGTGCGCAATGGAAACAAAGATGTTGAGGCTGAAGATCTGTGCTGTGAACTTATAGCAATAGCTGACAGACTTCCAAAGACCATGCCACTACAAGGAGCACTTCATATTACGTATTATTATTATTATTATTATTATTATTATTATTTATTACATATCTTCATATTACAGCAAGAACTCCTGGATAATCTGCCTAATGTTTCTATTGCTCTAAGGATCCTTCTCACACTTCCAGTGCCAGTGGCAAGTGGTGAAAGACATTTCTCAGAGCCCAAATGTGCAAAACCTTACATACGCTCAGCAATGTTGCTAAAGAGACTAGTTGGCTTGGCAACTATATCCACTGAACGTGTCCAAACATCAGCACCTGACCGGAAGGAATTGGTGACGAAATTTGCAAAGGAATGGGCACACAAAATGAAACCGAATCTTTTAAGGGACTTAAATTTTTTACATCACAATTCACAAGTTATTCAATGCAATTTCCGCACTGAAACATGTTATTTTGTATTTTTGAGAAAGATAATCAAATATTGTTGCATTACTTATTCTTGCAATTTAAAATAAATTCAGCAACTTCGACTTGAATGCTTTTTCAATTTTTCTATGATATTTGTTTTAGAAAATTGAAGTCAGCAGTTATTTTGGAGGAGTGCGAGTCTTGCCTAGGATGCAAAATTGCCTGGTACTGGCACTGCATGCACAGCCGTACAAAGTAAGAAACAGCATTATCTAGTTATAAATCTCAGTACATGATAATATATTATGTTGTTTTGCTTGCCTTTTTAAAAGAATGAACTCAGACTGATGATGGAATGAGACATGGTGAGAGAAGGAGAAGGAGCTAAAAGACAGTGTTGCCATCTGAATAGAAAACACAACTTAGCCTGCTCTTGCGCTTTCAGTGTGTAACAAAAACAAAACCCCTGTGTTGCAATACAGAATAATCTGCTCAAATACAGCTGCAACATGTGGCTAATAAGTATGGTAAATGTATTATTAGTAGTAGTTAGAATATAATCCAAAATTTAACAATCATAAACTTCATTATGCTGGGAGTGTGCTATGGTGACTAACCAGAACTGCATGTGCTATAACTGGATCCAGCCCAAATGACTTGATTATTGCAATTAATTAAATAAATTTAAATTTTAAATTTTAATTAATTAAAGCAATATGTCTATTGCTTTAAATTAATTAAAGCAATACATTGTTTTGGATGTAATCTTGCAGCAGAAATTCATGTGACAACTCTAGCGCTATGAAATAGCAATGGAAAGGTGCCAGTTGAGGCTTGTGACAAGTCCCTGTGTTCAACAAACACCTGTGCAATAGAATATGCTGCAAAGGTGGGGATATGGCCTGGGGGAAATGGCTGCTTAGATTCCTAGCGCCATTCCTGGATAGAGCTTTAATCCTCCCAAAATGTATTATTACAGTCATACCTCGGGTTGAAGTAGCTTCAGATTGAGCATTTTCGGGTTGCACTCTGCGGCGACCCAGACGTAATGGAACATGTTACTTCCAGATTTCGCCGTTCTCGCATGCGCAGACGCTCAAAATGATGTTATGTGCATGCATGGAAACGGCGAATCGCCAGGATAACCCTTTGTATAACTCTATGAAGGCCACCTTCAGGAGAGTTTGTATTAAAGAAAAAAATTTGTAAAATAATCATAACTAAGATCAGCCACAGGTACTCGAATAGACGATTTTTGATCTTACAGAAATGTACAAGGTTACTTACTGGCTCTCAACAATCTACGTATAAGGAACTGGAATGTAAGAGGAGGGAATTAAAAGGCCTGGAGGTGAATTCATAGAATTATAAACTTGGAAGGGACCATGAGGGTCATCTAGTCCAACCCCCTGCAATGCAGGAATCTTTAGCCCAATGTGGGGCTCAAACCCACAACCCTGAGATTGAGATTCTCATGCTCTACTGACTGAGCTTTCCTGTTGGTTTCAACTGTGGTTAATTTATTGCATATAAAATAGTGTTTCAGATTTGGTGGGAAAGGTTCTTAGTTGATGGCTAACAGAATATGTAAACAGGAAAATACATCTAGAACAGCGGTTCCCAAATGTTTTCAAGCCACCATCCCTTGGTTTCTTAAATTCATCCCCCTTGCCTTCTACCCTTGCCAACAAAAAGCATTGTTCAGAAGAGCACTTTGCACGACCCTCTAAGGAAGGTAATAACACAATTATAATTCCTTAAACTTTGACTTCAGCTCAATGTCATTTTGTAACTCAATCAGTTCTTCCTTCACCACCTTCACTTCCGCAGTATCTGGAAATGGAATTATTTCATTACATGATCGTGAATTTTCACAAATCCGAAGCAATGTTTTTTAACATACCCCTGAAGGTTCAAAATGATTTTCCTCGATTTCTCCTGGCTGGAAAGAGTTGTTGTTACTTGGGAACTCTGCTATTATTTTAAATTGACATGGGTTGCATAAGGTAGGGGCACATGCAGGTGCACGAAACATTTCTCTTCATTTTGATGCATGCCACATTATTATGTATAATACTTAAAGAAATTCCTTGACCCTCCTGCAGGGGTAGGCACCTAAGGCCCGGGGACCGAATGCGGCCCAATCGCCTTCTCAATCTGGCCCGTGGACGGTCCAGGAATCAGCGTGTTTTTACATGAGTAGAATGTGTCCTTTTATTTAAAATGCATCTCTGGGTTATTTGTGGGGCCTGCCTGGTGTTTTTACATGAGTAGACTGTGTGCTTTTATTTTAAATGCGTCTCTGTGGGGCATAGGAATTCGTTCATATTTTTTTTCCCAAATACAGTCTGGCCCACCACATGGTCTGAGGGACGGTGGACCGGCCCACGGCTGAAAAAGGTTGCTGACCCCTGACTTAGACCCTTCGATCCTTTTCACGTGTACTACTGGCAATTCAGGTGTCCCCCATCTTATATTTGAGAACCTACAGTACTTCGCCTCTGTCTTCACCCAAAAGGAAAGCAGTGTCCAACCTGGTGATTACAGAATAAATGATGCAAGGAGGAAACTGCAGCCCAACACAGGAAAAGTGGTGGCAAGGGAACAACTAGCTACTTTAAGTGAATTCAGAACTCCAGAGCCTGATGAGCTGCACCCAAGCGTACCGAAGGATACTAAAGGAGCTTGCGGGTGTAATCTTAGAGTCTCTGAGGTCCAGCTCCGAGGACCTTCCGGCGGGTCCCTCACTGCGAGGCTACAGGGAACAATACAGAGGGCCTTCTCGGTAGTGACGCCTGCCCTGTGGAACGCCTTCCCATCAGATGTCAAGGAAATAAACAACTATCTGACTTTTAAAAGACATCTGAAGGAAACCTTGTATCAGGAAATTTTTAATGTCTACTGTTTTGCAGTTTTTTATGTGCTGTAAGCTGTCCAGAGTTGCAGGGTATAAATAATAATTTATTTATTTATTTATTATTATTATTATTATTATTATTATTATTATTATTATTATTTCTATAAACTTTAAGGATTATTGAAGAATAGATGAGGTCCCTGCAGACTGGTGGCTGGCAAATGTCCCCATCTTCAACAAGGGGAAGAAGAAAGTTGTTGTTAAAGGTAGGGGGTTAACCACTGTCTTATCCAGATGCTTTCATATTCTCAAAACAAGCTCTTTCTTTCCTTTCAAACAGATTCACCGTTTCCCTTAAAATATCCCTTAACAAGACTTTACAAAATTAGATCACAGTGCGAAATTGGCACAGCTCAGTCCCAGGAAGCCTTTGGTGAGGAAACACTCCGGGACACAGAGTTACTCAATTCCGGTGGCGAAGCCTGCAGAGCATCATGTACCCCGGCTGCAATCGTCAATCACACTCAGCAATTAGTTTTGAGGAGCAGTGAGGCAACACCCCAATTCCTGCGGCTCCAAATGACCTGGGAGCAACCCTTTGGCCACAGACTGGCCTCCCCCACAGCTGGGCAGAGCTTGAAATCTGCATTACTGGAACAAAGCATGGTGGGGCTTCATACAGCAGTCAGAGCATCTCAAGGGGGTGGGGCATAGAAGGGGGTGTGGCCTTTCCTCCACCAATCCAGCTCCTGCGGACAGTTCCTCCTGCCATCCGAGGGGTGTGTCCAGGTATAAAAGTGTTGGTGTCCAAGCCACCGATGAGCAGAAGCGTCAAAGATGTCAGGTGAGTGGTCCTTACCCCTCCAAATGCTTTCTGGTCCTAAATTCTAGGCGAGTCAGAAAACTAATCTCCTATTTCAGTGATAATGCTTTCTAAATGTTATACAAATCTCTGCCTGCGTTTGCTCTTTCGGGTGGGGGGTGAGACTGAAATGTTGGAGCAGGTGGGGCTTTCACAGGTCTGCTGATGAAGAAACAGTCATGCACTGAAGGAAACTGCTCTTGAAACATTTTTTTAAAAAAATTGGTCAAATAAAATTGTCCTCTTTCTCTCACTCTCCAAGGTGCACAGCTGCTCCTTGTTCTCTTGGGATGCCTGGTGGCCACGAAACCTCTCCAGGCAACAGATCTTCCTCTCCGTGGTAAGGCCCTTGCTTCTCTTTTTGCTATTGCTTTTAAAAATAATTATATTTGGAGAGTGTTCTGGGTTTTGTTAACCCACCTATCCTCCCGCCCCCTTAACAGGACCAGATCAAGACATTCTGATGCCCTAAACTATTTCAAGGTTAAGAGGCCCCCATAGCAGTATCTTTTAAAGTGCATTATTGGAACAGAAAGCACAATGAAAAATAGAACATTGATATTTGCATACACAAGCAGCAATCTCACTGGAATACTCATCTTGCAATAAGTCCATTTGCATTTGAGAGGCTTTTAAATGAAAGTACCTGGAGGTTTCCTGCTTAGCATGTAGCAGTGTAGTCAAAGATTCAATAAAGAGCATTTGCAGGAATTATTTGCTAGAAGGGATATGGAAGCTGTAAAAAGGCATCTAGATTTTTTACCATCTATCCCATTGTAAAAACTGAGCTCGAAATAGAGAAATATTTGCCTGAGATTACCGGTACTTCCCCTTTGTTTTGCATGGCGTTTAAAGTTCCAGACAACCAAAATTAACTTTCTAGATGGACGATACAAAAATATCCCTAGAGAACAGCGATTCCGCATCTTCGGGTGCCAGTCAGTGGAGGAAACCAAACACTATATGCTATTTTGTAAGCTGTATGAAAATCTAAGGGCTAAATACTTAAAGAAATTCCTTGACCCTCGTACAGGGGTAGGCAACCTAAGGCCCAGGGGCCGGATGCGGCCCATTCACCTTCTAAATCTGGCCCTCAGATGGTCTGGGAATCAGCTTGTTTTTACATGAGTAGAATGGTCCTTTTATTTTAAATGCATCTCTGGGTTATTTGTGGGGCCTGCCTGGTGTTTTTATATGAGTAGAATGTGTCCTTTTATTTTAAATGCATCTCTGGGTTATTTGTGGGGCATAGGAATTCGTTCATATTTTTCTTCAAAATATAGTCCGGCCCACCACATGGTCTGAGGGACGGTGGACCGGCCCACGGCTGAAAAAGGTTGCTGACCCCTTCTTCTTGTCACCCTCAGTGACATCAACAAAATCAAGTATCTGCTGTCTTGCTCGGTCAAACCAGTCATGCTCAATGCAGCAAAGTTTGCGATAAAAATGTCCCAACTCAAGAAAGTCCTTGAGTCCACTTTTGTGCTCTGAGATAAGAGTCACCCATGTATACATGCTCTACACATTACAAGGATTTTATCACAAATGTTTTAATTTGTTTCTGATATTCTTTGTTTACATCTTTTCTTTTTCTGTTTTTTTTGGCTGTAATCTGTATTTGATTGACCAATAAAATTTGTTGTGTTGTTATCTGTTTGTTGCTTAGCATATAAGAAAACTCATTTCTGCACAGATTTATAAATCCAACAACAAATATTTCTGCAGCCAGTAGGTGTGTATATATATATATTGTCATATCAGAATGGTAAAGTCTGATTTGGAGTATGTTTTCCTTTTAAAAATAGCAATTACATAAACTTGAAATTTTGCAAACGAAACAAAAAAATGTGTTTCAGGCCTCTTGTTATCTGGGTCCTCAGTTGCAAGTTTTCATAATTTGTGCAATAAATCCAGCACTGCTCCCAAACAGCCCGAAACATTCTGCAGAATGGCCAGGGATAAATCTGTCAACAGAAGAATTTCAGTTGCTTCAAGGAAACCTTCAAATTTCCTGTGTGTTGCAACCTGTAGCTGCCAGAAGGTCTGTAATTCGACCTGTTTCTGAACAATGTGTGCAAATACCTGCTGCATCAGTCCTGCTCCCCTGCCCCCCCCCCAATCCAGAAATTGTGCCAGGTTTCCTCAGGGGACTCCACTCTTTTTTCTCTCTGGAGAACATTTTGCTGTTAGAGGCCTACATAGTTGAAACGACCCATGAAATGAAACACAAAAACATCCTTTGAAATTCCCACTTCTCTGAGTTTTGCAATGCACTTCTGCAATGCGCTCTCTCACTGGATCACTTTGCACCAGCTGTTCCTCTGCAGTTGGAGTTCTGTTTCCCTCCCCGCCCGCCATGGAAACAATTGCAACCTTCTGAAATCGTTCTAAGCTGTGCATCCTGTATTTGCTTATGGGACCCGCCTAGCAGCATGTTACAGTCTGCCAGAGGGATAAGTCCTTCGGATCCTCTCCAAACCTTCTGTGGCTTAGCTGCCGCCCTTAACTGGAAATTTGCTTTGCATGCTGCCTCTACAGCATCCAAGCCTCCGGAGAACTGTCATTCTGTAATGGAGCTCTGGGCACCTGTATAACAGAGAACTGTCTTGCTGAACCACAGTTCCCAAGATTCTCTGGGAGAAAGCCATGTCTAAAATGGCCAACTTTTAAACTGGACCCAGCTCCTGTGCTTTGAATGGGTTAGCAGGCGATGTTACTTCTCTTTGCGCAGGGAGAAGCCTCGCCTGCACATTTCTGCCTATCAGGCTGCTGTTAAACTCCTTAGAGCAGACCAAGACATTTTTTCCTGCTCAGCTGGCAACCCTGTCAGCATAGACCAGCTCTGCTCAGAGAGCTACGCTGATCGCTGATCTGCTCCCAAGTCAAGTCCAAGGTGTTGCCATTAGTATGTGAAATACATTCTTACAAAGGCAGAATGGGAATTATGTGGCACTTGTACAGTGAAGGTGCCTGCCTGATTTCAATAGGCAGGGAGTTCCAAAGTGTAGAGGTGCTGCCACACTAAAAGACTGAATTCTTACAAATTCAGTACAGGTATTATGTGTCACCTGTAACTGTGCCAGTTCCGGAGATCAAAGCACTTGAGTGAGCATATGTGAGGTATGGCAATTTTGCAGATAAGCTGGTCCCAAAAGCTTTATACATGTACAGTGGTACTTTGGTTCTCAAACAGCTTAGTTGTCGAACAAATTGGCTCCTGAACATCGCAAACCCGGACGTAAGCGTTCCAGTTTGTGAACGTTTTTCGGAAGTTGAATGTCCGACGCGGCTTCCAATTGACTTCAGGAAGCTCCTGCAGCCAATCAGAAGCCACGCCTTGGTTTCTGAATGGTTTCGGGAGTTGAACAGACTCCCAGAACGGATTAAGTTTGAGAACCAAGGTACCACTGTATACTAATAGGACCACCTTGAACTTTGCCTGGTATCAAATTGGCAACCAGTACAGCAGGACCGTGCAGAACCGGGGGCAGCTGGGTACACTTGCCCTCGGCCTCGGAGGGTTATGTTGTTCTGCCCCCCCCCCCCCGGGCCTGCCAGACTTACACAGTCATGCCAAGAACAGGACTCCCAGCCCCAGGCCTCAAACAAGCTCTCTGAGCCCAGGTATGCTGACAATATCTCACTCCTGTTAGCAATTATGCTGCAGCTTTTTGTTCTAAGTGGGAGGTGCAAATGACACCCCTTGGTTTTAAATGGAGGCATTTGATGCAAGATTCTCCTCTTGGACAAACCCAGACTAAGGGATGGTCTCTCTCTCTCTTGTTGCAGCCATTGGGAAGATTCTAGACACCTCAGACCTTCTGAGGAGTGTGGAAGAAGCAAAACAGCTGGTCGAAGATGCCTACAAACGCACCCAGCAACGGTGAGGGCTGCGTCTCCTCCCTTCTCCACACAGCCACAGTGGCTTTAGCTGTGGCTCCTGCATAGCAGGGGGTTGGTTTGGATGACCCTTATTGGTCCCTTCCAACTCTACAATTCTATGATTCTGCGTTTCACAGGACGGTGCCGATTTACATGAGAAGGATCTGGGTGTGGCCACGATGGCAAGGGTCATAACGCCGCTGCCCATGAGCAAACTGGGTGCCTAAGGTTGCCAGCTCTTTTCCTGGCCCCTGCTCCTGTGCATTTAACAGCAACGGTGGCAAAGTGCTTGTCCTTTACTCCATACCACATAAAGTTTCAACCGCTAGTGTTGACAGATCAGATAATTGTTAAAAGGAGAAGTGGACAACTCAGGCTGCTGTTAAAGGTGTAGGAGCAGGTAAGTTGACAACCTTACTGGTTCTCTTCTGCTTTCTCTGCCGACTGTCCCCAGTTTGCTGGAGAGTTGCTGCATTGTGTTTCAGGTGGAAATTCGAGCAGAAATCCTCCAAGAAATCCTTCACACACCGGGGAAGGCTACTCCTCCTGTATATCTGCTTGCCATGCCCCTGTCAAAAAGGAACAGAAGCCCTGCAAGATCAAAGTGATGCAATCAATAATCAATAAAATTGCATTAAACTATCATTTAACAGAATTTCTGTGCCACTTAATTTTAGACATGGTTGGAGGCTTATTATAAGATAATCAGAAAGTCATTATGGTATTGTGCTTGAAATAGCCATGATGGCAGGAGCTAAAGTCTTACAAAGAAACTTTTCTGGCTAGTTCAGCAATAGAATCCTCTATTAGAATCTAACCCTCACTTATTACAGGAGACCAAGAATTAGGAGGTGCTCAGGGCATCATCCAGACTGACCACAGCAACCAACAACAATATAATGAATTATGCTTTCAAGTGTTGTTGCGTGACAAAGCTTCACTCAACTGTTTTCCGGCCCTCCAGCTTAAATGAGAAGCTGCAGAGAGAGAAGGTCAACCCCACAGATCTCCTGGTCTCCTTCAAGCAGCCCGTGGGAAGAACCAAGGAGGCGGTGAAAGCAGCCGACACCATGCACGTCACCTGGGCCCTCTTGAAACAGAAGCTGCAGCCAGCAATCCCCGGGGATTTCAACATCACAGGTAGGTGATGGAGGAGGAACCAGGTGCACTTCTTGTTTCAAGATGAACCAGCCTATTTCACACACTGTCCGTCAATGCACGAGATCCAGATTTCAGTTCTGCAGCTAATCTCCAGCTAAGTTGTGTGTGCGCAATTGCATACGCTAGGCCAAAGTGTGCAAAATTATGCACACTTTGTTTGTTTATATTAATTATCACATTTATTTCCCACCTTTTCCTCCAAAGCAGCTCAAGGTAATGTACATGGACCTCCTCCTTCTCCATTTCATCCTCCCAACAACCCTGTGAGGTTCATTAGGCTGAGAGGCAGTCTAGAAGATGGAGTTTAGACAGCAACCAAATAACACAAGTTCCTATCCCAGACAGCCATTTGTAGAGAATCATGGAATTGTAGAGTTGGAAGGGAACCTGAGGGTCATCTAGTCCAACCCCCTGCGATGCAGGAATCTCAGCTAAAGCATCCATGACAGATGGCCACCCAACCTCTGCTTAAAATCTCCAGCGAAGGGGTGTCCCCAACCCCTCCTCCCTGAGGGAGACCATTTACAGTCTGCAGTTTATGCTCATCAACAAGTTTGATAGTGTGAGGGGAGTCCTCTGTTTTCCTTTTTAGCTGTAATATTCCTGTCAGCTGAAAAAGATCCTTTAGGCTTCAAACCTTGCGCCAATTTTGTTTTAATTAGTCAAGCCCCCCCCAAGTCCTATTGCAGGGGGGTGACCCTCGGGGGTCCCTTCCAACTTTACAACCCTATGATTCTGTGATTGTCATTCCTTATTGCACCAGTTTGTCAAAGAAGCACTTGCGTTATGATAAGAGAAACATGCTTTCCACAAAGGTGCGTGTGTTATATGGAGCAAAATTGCTTACAGAAAGCTGTGTGTCATGAATAACGAGAACTAGAATGCCGGTGGGTTTTCATGCAGCTTACTTAAAAAATAAATAAGTCACCAACTGATGTGGACATGTAGGGAACTGAACTTGCGGCTTGGAAAATCAGAAATTGAGAGAAACTGAAACTGGCGTGTTTACCATCTCCCTAGTGTTGGGCAGCCCCCACTCCCACCCCAGGCACGTCTTAGAAACTACTTGAAAGGGATCTGCACAAGCCACTTCCATTTTCCCAGACTGGGGTTGTGAAAGGGTGCCGGCCACAGGTCACGCGAAAGATGCTTAGTCAATGAGGCACAGGAGCCTGCTTTAGAAAGAGGAAACAGGACCAAACATGTGCGGTCGTTCAATCCATTTTCTCCCCTGGTGGAAACAAATGTATATGAAATACATTGTTAATCTCAAGGTATGCTTTTCAAAAAGCATTTTATCCATATATATACATATATACACAGTGGTACCTCAGGTTAAGTACTTAATTCGTTCCGGAGGTCCGTACTTAACCTGAAACTGTTCTTAACCTGAAGCACCGCTTTAGCTAATGGGGCCTCCTGCTGCTGCTGCCGCGCCGCCAGAGCACGATTTCTGTTCTCATCCTGAAGCAAAAAGGATAAACTCCAGCTTCTTTAACTATGAACCCCAAAATCTGGGATCGCCTTGAAACTGGTGCCAAAGTTCTATAGTCGTTTTGTAGCAAAAAAACCCCCCACAAACAGAGTAATTGATATGTCAAATCTGGGTTTGTAGTTAACACCCCCAAACCCAACATTGTCTGATCCCCTCAAAACCAGCGCCAAAGTTCTGTAGTCGTTTTGCAGCAAAAACCCCACATTTTGTGTGCCCCACAAATGGAGTACTTCATATATCAAACCCAATGTGCTTTTTTAAAAAAAATTGTTTTAATTGTCTGTTTTACTGAATGTTTTTATTTGTTTTTAGTTTTTATCTGTTTTAATTATCAGGGGTTTTTTTATCCACTTAATATTCTATTCTCTGACTGCTGGTCTATGACTGTAATAAACTGATTGATTGAACCCAGTGTGCTTTCTGCAAAACCTTTGCCATAGTTCAGCGTCGTTTTTGAGTGAATCAGATGATGTTGGTTTTTTGGGTGTTAACTGTAAATCCCTGGGTTTGAAGTATGAAGCACTCTGTTTGTGAGGCGCTACAAAACATGGGGTTTTCACCACAAAACGACTACAAAACTTTGGCACTGGTTTTGAAGGAATCGGACAATGTTGGTTTTTGGGTGACCCCGAGACCCCCGTGTTTGATGTATCAATTACTCTGTCTGAATACGAGTTGCTGAAACCCACAGGAAGGAGAATTTCTGTTGCACTCAGGTCTTGCTTGCAAATTTCCCATAGGCCTCTAAGTTGGCCTTTGTGAGAACAGGATACTAGAACATTGGCCTGATCCAGCAGGCTCTTCTGATGTTAGCATCACAAAATTCCGATCTGGGTTTATCAGCGCAAGAGGTGTAGTAAATCTGTTCAGCTCACTTAAAAACATGAACCGAATTAAACCCTTGCGTGTCCCTAGCTGAGACCTCTTCCATCTCCTTCCTGCTACAGATGTTCTCAGTCCAGGCCAGATGCAAACTATCTACAAGGCGTCTGGCTGTGCCAAGCAAGAACAGAGCCCATTGCAGTGTGATTTCAATAGCCCTTTCCGGACTATTACAGGAGAATGTAACAACAGGTAAGCTTCTATATCCAGCATGTCGGCTGTTAAAATCCCAGCCCAGCCCTGAACTCATTTGGTGAGCTGCTCACAGTTCAGTGGTATAGGCAGCGCATCTGCCCTGCGGACAGGAGGTCTCAGGGTCAAACCCTGGCAGCATCTCCCAGTAGGACTGGGGAAAAGGCCTGGAGAGCTGCTGCCAATCAGTGTAGGCAATATTGAGTTGATGGAACCATGGTCTGGCTCCATATAAGGCAGCTTCCTACGTTCCTATTAGCAATGGAGGAGAAAAACCATGAACTCCCCCTTGAGTGGGATTTAAATGCAATAAATACAGTAAAAATAGGATTCTCCCCCCCCCCCTTTGCTGCTTTTAAAAAATGAATCTCTGTGGCCCTTCTGGAACATTCCAGGAGGATTCCTACCTTAGGGGCCAACAACCGCCCTTATGCCCGGCGGCTTCTGCAAGAGTACGAAGATGGCATATCCCTCCCGCGTGGCTGGACGGAAAACAAGACATATTATGGATTCCCCCTGCCCTTGGTAAGGAGTCAACCCCAGCTGTGCTCTGCTTTGCAAAGCGGATTTCTGAACAGTTGCTCAGAACGGGTCAGGGTTTTAGGAAAAGAGAAGGGATGATTTTTTAAAATCAGGATGGAAATCCACAGCATGATAACAGGAAATGGGAACAGAAGATACAATATTGGTGAATTAATGAATACATAACAAGAAAATAACGATGGAGTATTATTTGAATATATGAGAGACTCTTTTGTGGACAAAGGCAGAAAAAATTATTGTTGTTTAATATGGAGGAATAGTTGTTGAAGTTATTGGAGACAAAGTTGATATGTTTGATTACAGAAAAACCATTGCTGACACATTTATTAATAACAATAATTAGAGAAGCCCTTTTGGACTTTTTGTGTGGAAAGTAAAATGAATTAATTTGAGATATTTGGGTTAATAAGTATTATTGCCTAACAGATAGTAGATCAGTTGGATGTCATTCTGGAGTGAAGGTTTTGAATAATTCCTTTTATGTAAGTGACAGCCAGAAGATCAGAAGCCTTTTTAAATTTTTATTTTTTTTTCTTTTTGAAAATTTTACTTGGGTGACCTCTGGGCCATTTTTGGAGCCCAAGTGGGGGGCAGGGAAGGATTTTAGGGAAAGAGGGGGAAGGTGGCAAAGCAGATAGGAAAGTGGCATAATGGATGTTATAATCTTTGTTCTTCTATCATAGAATCACAGAACTGTAGAGTTGGTAGGGACCCCAAGGGTCATCTAGACCAACCCCCTGTAATGCAGGAATCACAACTATGAATTTAGCCTGGTAATAAATCAGCAGACAGTGCAGATCTCTGAGCAGTGGTGCTATAAGCTGACAAGGTCTCACTCCTGCCAGCAACTGTGCTGCCGCATTCTGCCCTCGCTTTAGCTTCTGAACTTTGACTGCTGGGGTGTTTTGGGCCCCTTCAGTGAATCTGGATCAGGGTGAGGCCTTTTGGGGGTGTCCAGGCTGAGGGTACGCAAGTTTACAACCATCAGCCTTGGTGCTTGGAATTGGCAACCAAGATTTGTTCCTCTGTTATGTCTTGGTAACATCTGCTGCAGGTCCGGGAAGTATCCAACCAGATTGTCGCCTTCAACGACAAAAGACTCACCGATGACCCATTCCGATCGGTCATGTTCATGCAATACGGCCAGTTTATTGACCACGACTTGGATTTTGGACCCAGTACCACGGCCACTCTCACCTTCATCAAAGGAGCAGACTGTGAAAACACTTGCGCAAAGGCACCCCCTTGCTTCCCCATCAAGGTGCGTAAAAGTCCAGGGTTCGTTCTACCCTTTTCCAGAAACGCAACCTGTCTGATACAGTAGTCCAGGGATCCCCGACACGGCACCAGCAGGATCCAGTGGGCCTGCCAGCACCTCCCCTGTGTCACCCACGAAAGGTCTCTCTAAATACAGTGGTACCTCGGGTTACATACGCTTCAGGTTACAAACTCCGCTAACCCAGAAATAGTACCTCAGGTTAAGAACTTTGCTTCAGGATGAGAACAGAAATCGTGCTCCGGCGGCACAGCAGCAGCAGGAGGCCCCATTAGTTAACGTGGTGCTTCAGGTTAAGAACAGTTTCAGGTTAAGAACGGACAGCCGGAACAAATTAAGTATGTAACCAGAGGTACCACTGTATCCCCTCCAAAATCCACAAAGAGCAAGAAACTCTTTGCTGTTCCTGCTCACCTCCTGCTTGCACTGACTCGGCTTCTCCTACATTGCATGCTCCTCCTTAAAAATGATAAATAATAATAATAATCCATAATTGAAACACAGCACGATATCACTGGGTGCCAGAATTGGATCCCTACCCTCCCTTTTTGGTCTCTGAACAGAGGAGAGGTGCAAAGAGCTTCTCTCTGGGGGCTGGGGGGGTGGGGGGCAAACGCCAACTACCATTTTGTGGCTCTGCCACTTTTTCGGGCCCTTTTAGATGTGGCAGCGGGCTGTTTTCTGACTGTGTGTTAAATTTTATTTTATGTTTGTAGAAAAATATACTTGTAGATCACAATTTCATACAACGTATCAAAGCGGCTTCTGCAACAATTTTGTCAGTACATATAAAAAATGTTATAAAAAAAAAAGAAACAACTCAATAGGTAACTGTTCCAGAAAATATTTTTCTTTAACTGTCCATGTAGGGTATTTATTTTTATTTTTATTTGTATTTTGATTGATTGATGGGTTAGGCCACACACCCTCTCCAATGGCAGCCATTTTGTGACGGGCACCCATGATGCTCCCCCCTCCCCCGCCCACCACAATGCCAAATGCGATAACCGGCCTGTAAAGGTTGACGACCTCAGGAATTTCATCTCTCTCGAGTGGAGACTTCATGGCGGTTGTTACAGGGACTGGTGTTCAGCTTAGACAAGGCTTGGACACCTGAAGGGAAGCCCCACCAGGCCTGTGAAGAGGGGGTGGGCAGCCAAATGCACTTGCCCAGGGCCTCAGAAGACTAAGCTGGCTGGGGGGGGGGCACCAGGGACCAGCTGCTATTTTGTTTGAGTTTATAACTTTATTCTAACAAGATTCTGCATGGACCTGCCCCCCACCCTGTGTGATCACAGATAATAATAATAATAATAATAATAATAATAATAATAATAATTTATTTATACCCTGCCCATCTGGCTGGGTTTCCGCAGCCACTCTGGGTGGCTTTCAACAGAATATTAAAATGCAGCAGTCTATTCAACATTAAAAGCTTCCCTAAACAGGTCTGCCTTCAGATGTCTTCTAAAAGTCAGATAGTTGTTTATTTCCTTGACATCTGATGGGAGGGCGTTCCACAGGGCGGGCGCCACTACCGAGAAAGCCCTCTGCCTGGTTCCCTGTAACTTGGCTTCTCGCAGTGAGGGAACTGCTAGAAGGCCCTCAAAGCTGGACCTCAGTGTCCAGGCAGAACGATTGGGGTGGAGACACTCCTTCAGGTATACTGGACTGAGTCCGTTTAGGGCTTTAAAGGTCAGCACCAACACTTAGAATTGTGCTCGGAAACGTACTGGGAGCCAGATTGAAGGTCACATACATTATTATTATTATTATTATTATTATTATTATCATCATCCCACTTTTCCTCCAAGGATCTCAAGGTGGTGTACATAGTTCTCCTCCCCATTTTATCCTTCTGTGAGGTAGCCTAGGCTGAAAGCCAAACGTCACTCCCATGGCCATTGTGGGGAGGATTCGAACCCAGGCCTCCCAGGTCTGCCACTCTAACCACTAGACCACCACTGGCTCTCCATTTCATTTTTTAAAAAATATTATTTTGTGGGGCTGCAGATCCCTCCTAATGACCCGGTGAAAGACCCCAAAGGCTGCATGGCCTTCACGAGAGCGGCCCCCGCCTGCAACGGGGGCTACGCCATCCGCAACCAGATCAACGCTCTGACGGCCTTCCTTGACGCCAGCATGGTCTACGCCAGTGAAGTCGACTGGGCGAGGCAACTGAGGAACACCTCAAGCAACCAAGGGCTGCTGGCTGTCAACCTGAACTACACAGACAAAGGGCTGGCCTACCTCCCTTTTGGCAACCCACCGGGCTTCCCAGAGCTCTGCAATAAAACCAACACGACAGCAAAAATCCCCTGTTTCTTTGCAGGTAGGTCTGTTTATTTTTATACTAAATCAGACCCTTGTTTCACACTGACTGGCAGCAAGGGCTCTCCAGGGTTTCAAAAGAGGGGATATTCCCAGCCCTGCCTGGGATTGAACCTAGGAGCTTCTCCCTAGCACAGAGCTATGGTCATGTCCTTTAAAATAAACCAACATGCTAGTCCTCATGATTCTAAATGAAGGGCTGATTCTGCATGTAAGGCAGATGTTCTGTCACAGAGCTTTGGTCCTTCGGCTAAAGACCAAGTAAGATTCCGGTCCTCATTGTTCTTGATTTGAAAAGGAAAGTATTTTCTACTGAGTCAAACCGCAAGTCAATCTAGCTCAGTACAGTGGTACCTTCGGGTTACATACGCTTCAGGTTACATACACTTCAGGTTACAGACGCTTCAGGTTACAGACTCCGCTAACCCAGAAATTGTACCTCAGGTTAAGAACTTTGCTTCAGGATGAGAACAGAAATTGTGCTCTGGCGGCGCGGCGGCAGCGGGAGGCCCCATTAGCTAAAGTGGTGCTTCAGATTAACAACAGTTTCAGGTTAAGAACAGACCTCCGGAACGAATTAAGTACTTAACCCGAGGTACCACTGTATTGCCCTACATCAGGGGTTGGCAAGGTTTACCAGTGGAGATCCCTCCGTGGGCCAGATCACGCACGTGCCCGCGATTTCCGGTGCCTGCGCAGATGCAATTTTCAGCGACACAGAAGTGAATCCCAGCATCGCGCTGGTTTAGCACAGCGCGTGTGGACTCACTGAGCAGGCAGCTTGGTTCGGGAGCAGCTTGTGGGCCAGTTAAAGGACCCCCACTTGTGGCCCATGGGCCTTAGGTTGCTGACCCCTGCCCTACACTGGCTGGCAGTGGCTCTCCGGGATTTCAGGCAATCCTACCTGGAGATGACATTGGGGATTTGAACCCAGGACCTGCTGCATGCAGAGCAGGTGCTCTCCCACTTAGCTATGCTCCTCTGGAAACCTGTAAGGAACAGTTGAGGGAGCTGAGTATGTTTTGCCTGGAGACAAGAAGGCTGAGAGATATTAGGAAGCCATCTTCAAATATCTGAAGGGCTGTCGTCACATGGGAGGTGGAGCACGCTTGTTTTCTGCTGCTCCAGGGGATAGGACCTCAACCAAGGAATTAAAATGGCAAGAAAAGACACTAAACATTAGGAAGAACTTCCAGGTGGTAGTAGATTTTCAACAGGTCTACCTTGGACACTGGTGGAATCTCCTTCCTTGTAGGTTTCTAAACAGAGGTTGGACAACCATCTGCCAGGGATTCCTTAGCTGTGGTTCCTGCTTTGAAGGGGTAGATAACCCATGGGGCCAGGCATGCTTAATGGGGACTCAAAAAAGGGCCTTTAGGCTCTCAGTGACTGCTTCCAGACTTTGGGATTCCCTCCGTAGAGAAGCTAGACTGGCTCCTTCCTTGTTGTCCTTCTGCTGGCAGGTGAAGATTGTTTTATTCTGCCAGGACTTTGAGGACTGGCTGTTTTTTAAGGGAGGACTTTTGATAGTGCTGTACTGTTTTTATTATTTGCATTTTAATATGAATTTTATATTGTTTTAATTCTATTAGAGTTTAATTACCTCTTTTTGTTTGGTTTTCGCTTTCTTATTTTTTTACCAAAAACAAAAGGCAAAGAAACAAAACAAAAACAAAAAAGACTTTAATTACCTCTTATTGATTTATCTTTTATATATTTTTAGCTTCTTGTCTTTTATCTGCATTGTTTCAATTTGTATAAACCACCTTGAGTCCCTGTCTGGGGAAAAGGTGGGATATAATAATAATAATAATAATAATAATAATAATAATAATATATGGGTAGATAGATATAGATATAGATAGATAGATAGATAGATGATAGATAGATAGATAGATAGATAGATAGATAGATAGATAGATAGAGATAGATAGATAGATAGATAGATAGATAGATAGATAGATAGATAGAGATAGATAGATGATAGATAGATGATTGATAGATAGATAGATAGATAGATGATATATGATAGACGAAGTCTTGCTAAAATGCTGTCCCTGCAGAGAGCCTGCGCTTTCCAAGTTGTTTCTTATAAGCACAAGGTGGCTGGTTGGATCTAACAACGCTTCCTTCTTCTCTGGGGTCTTCAAGGGGACAATCGTGTCAACGAGATGCCGGGTCTAACTGCCTTGCAGACGCTCTTCATGAGGTTCCACAACCGCATGGCCTCTCAGCTGAAGTTGCTGAATCCGCACATGGATTCAGACACCATCTACAACATAGCCCGGAAAATCAATGGAGCAGTAATTCAGGTACTGGTTGAGACAGCAGCCCTGTGACGCTAAGAATGAGGCCAGGTCTTGTCAAGATGCAAGGCCGGTTTGGAAAAGCCCCCACTGTGTTCAGTCCAGACTACTGATGTTCATGAGTTTGGGATGGGGTGAGCTAGCTGTGGAGAGGTATGGCGGGTGGGGTAGATTCTTATCTCTGTTACCCACCAAGACCAACCTCAGTTCATGTGGGATTCTCTTGGAATAACTAGGTCAATCACCTACTGAAACCCTTTTTGGTATGCAGAGTGAGCGGAGTTTAAGCTTGACAGAAAGGCAGTGTAGTGTAGTGGTTAGAGTTTCAGGCTATTTGGACCTGGGAGGCCAGGGTTTAAATCTCTACTCTACCTGGAGCCAGTCACTGCCTCCCAGCCTAATCTGCCTCACAGGGTTGTTGTGGAGATAAACTGAGGAGTGGAAGGGCCTGTACACCACCCTCAAGCCACATCCCAGTGACATGGACTGGCTAGATGCAGAGGAAGGGTTGGAGGCACCAGCTGGGGAACCCCCAGGAGAAGAAGGCTCAGAGCCTGGGGATTGTCAGTAGGATGGCAATGAGCGGTCCAAGGGAGAAGACGGAACAGACTGGGAGGGCTTGGTGAGCAAGAAGAGTCTGTGGCAGAAAAGATCCCAGGATTAGAAGCAGAGGCAGGAGAGGAGGCAGTCTGGCTGGTGAAGAGGCATGGGTGTCTCTCCTTCCTGCTACTATAAGCTCCCTTCCTTGCCCCCGCCCTCAGTCTCCCAGGACCAGAAGAGGCACGAAGCAAAAAGAGCAAAGTCAGACACACAGGCGCAGTCTCATATTGCTTGAGAGAAACCCTGGAGGGGACTTAGGCAGCTGTGGGAAGGTGGTGACCTGCAACTGCCTCATTGGGACAAGACCTGCTGGGATCACTACGCCTGTGCTGTTTTGGTTTCTTTGAGTATGTTTTAAGGGAGAACTTCAGTGTGTGTTTCTCTTCACGCTCTCCTCTGCTTCTACATTCCAGAAAATCACCTATAGCGAATACCTGCCGGCCCTCCTGGGTGACGCATTCCCTCGTTTTGTGGGTCGCAGCACGGGCTACAATGACTCCGTGGACCCGCGAATCGCCAGCTCCTTCACCAACGCCTTCCGTTTTGGGCATGCCTCAGTGCGGCCCGTGGTGTTTCGCTTGGATAGCCGCTACCAGCTTCAAAGCGAGACCCCGCTCGAGAAGGAATTTTTTGCTTCATGGAGAATCATTCAGCAAGGTATGTCCCTCTTGGGCAAGTCCAAGAAGAGAAGGGGGGAAGGTGGTGCAAACTTCCGGGGCCCTGAGGTCTGAAAGAGGTCCTGGGGCCCAACCATTTTGCATACGTTTTATGTCATTCTTAACACAATAATGCGTTTCATGCTCAATGTACACACCATTCTGAATAAAGACTTGCAGACTGCAGACTTGTGATTTGACTGTACGGCGGTGCAGCCTTGTCGTATTATGCGCCATCACATCTGTATGTTTTTGTAAGGGAAGACCATGCAACTACAACAAAGTTGTTGTGTGATACGCATTGTGTTGTGCTACACGTACAAGGTTAACGTTTTAAGTGTATCACCAGCTCAGCAACTAGTTTGTGGGTGCTTATATTATTGATATTAGTCATTAGGATCTTAATACGGTCGTACCTCGGAAGTTGAACAGAATCGTTCTGGTAGTCCATTCGACTTCCAAAATGTTTGGAAACCAAGGTGCAGCTTCCAATTGGCTGCAGGAAGCTCCTGCAGCCAATCGGAAACTGAGTTGGATGTTTGGGTTCCAAAGAATGTTTGCAAACCGGAACACTCACTTCCAGGTTTGAGGCATTCGGGAGCCAAAATGTTTGACTCACAAGGCGTTCAGGATCCAAGGTACGACTGTCCTGGGGAAGGGAGTTGGCAAAATATTTCTCTCCAATTCCACTCTCAGCAGCCCTTTTCTGGAGCCCAAAGTGCCCTTGGGGAGTTCTGTGTCAAAAGCCACCCTCTAATTTCTCCAGAGTTTTCTTCCTCTGTGAAAGAGGCTTCTTTTTCTTCCTCTCTCCTCCCTGCCCCCGTGAGCCCTGTAGAATAGGCAGCTCCATCATCTTGTCCTTCCCCCGTCACATGGTATTTTCAGTATGATTTTTCCATCTATCTCAAATTGCAGAAAGACCGTCGATTGAGGCTAGGGTACTTCTCCCCATATGTGCCAGCCCGTACGCTTAGCAGTGCAGGAACCTCCAGGCCACAGGCCAAGTTTGGCCGGCAAAGGTCCTAGTTTTGATGCGCATGGCGAATCTCCCCAAAGCACATACCCTCCACAGCTGAGATTGTGTGTGACATCAGGAGTGGGCAAAAGTGAGGTCCCGATTCTTCCTCGGTAAGCAGGGCTCGCTGTCAGGACCTCGCTTGAGCAGTTGAGGGCATTTGCTTCCTCTGTTGGCAGGAAGCAAACTGCAGTCAAATCCCTTCTTTCAGGCCAGCTTCAAAGGGGCTTGCTGTAGCATCAATCAGTGGTTAAACCCTGCAGGATAGCTCAGTTGGTAGAGCATGAGACACTTAATCCCAAGGTTGTGGGTTCAAGCCCCATGTTAGGTGAAAGATTCCTGCATTGCAGGGAGTTGGGCTAGATCAGCAGTTCTCAACCTGTGGGTCCCCAGATGTTGTTGGACTACAACTCCCATCATCCCTGAGCTCTGGCCTTGCTAGATAGGGGTGATGGGAGTTGTAGTTCAACAACATCTGGGGACCCACAGGTTGAGAAAGGCTGGGCTAGATGATCCTTGTGGTCCCTTCCAACTCTAAAATGTGCCCTACTTGCACAGCTGCAGGCAGGTTGTGGTCTGGAAATACAGTAAAGGCTACAGGTGCAGCAGGTGGGGGGAGATGGAGGTCCCTCAGGCAGCAGCTAAATGTGCCTGTGAGCCATAATTTTGCAAGCAGATGTTTTGTTCTTCCAGGAGGTATTGACCCGCTTATCCGAGGCCTCTTGGGTAAGCCAGCCAAACTGGTGAGGCCGGACCAGTTGGTGGTGGATGCTCTCAGGGACAAACTCTTTGAACAGATCAGGAATGGCAGTGGACTGGATTTGCCCTCCCTCAACATGCAGCGAGGCCGAGATCACGGCCTCCCAGGTAAGGCAAGCAGAGCGTGCACAGATGTTGGAGACTGTTGCTCAATGACCAGCCGGTGCAGAGAAATGTCTGAAAGGCTCATCGGCCAGCCTCAGTCCCCTCTTGAGAAACTCTCAGGAGATGGGTATGGGAGGCCAGTGAAGACAGAGAGACTCTGAACCAAAGAACCTAGGAAGAGCCTGCAGGATCAGAGCAATGGCCCATCTGGTCCAGCATCCTGTGGCCCCGCAGTTGCCCTGATGGTTGGTTGACAGATGGGAAGCCCACAAGCAGGAGCTGAGCAGAACAGCCCTTTCTTCACATCCCAACAGCCTTCTTGTAGGATATAACCAATGTGTTTAACTCTAATTAATGCACGAAGGGGTTAAGACCATAGAGTAAGCTGTCCTGTCAGGCTTAGCTAGGTCACACACCCCACCTTGGGAGGAAGCGCTATGGAACTCTTTGTTCCCCTCTTTCCACAATAGCTATGCTCTGTCTCCACCATCAGAAGCAGGATGCCTCTGAATATCAGTTGCTGGAAACCGCAGGTGGGGAGGGTTGTTGCTGTTGCGCTCCCATTCCCTAGCAAAAGTAAACTTTCTGACGGACTGTATGCCAGGAAAGGGGTCCCACCCACTTGGGTTGGCTGCATTACAACAACAACGCCCCTCTAAAACCCCACTCCGCTCTTCTTTGCCTGTGCTAGAGTGCCTCTTTTGCACTTCAGATGCCTTGAAATGAACCCAGCTTTTGATATTGGTGCTTGTCCTGCAGGTTACAATGCCTGGCGGCAACTCTGCGGCCTTTCCCAACCCCAGAATGAGAACGAGCTTGCTGCTGTCATCCAGAACCGCGATGTGGCCAAGAAGTTTATGAGCCTTTACAAGACCCCCAACAACATTGACCTCTGGGTTGGGGGCGTAGCAGAGCCTTTGGTCCGGAATGGCAGAGTTGGTCCTACCTTCGCGTGCATCATCGGAGACCAGTTCCGAAGGACTCGGACCGGTGACAGGTGAGCAGGCAGAGGAAGCCCAGAACCTCTGTGATTTTCTGTTTCAATCGACTGGTCTTCCTAAGTAGCTTATGTACACCCATCACTTTCCTTCTAAATTAAGCAGAAGCCATTTCATCACAAAGGCAAGCAAATTACAGCCCATAAACTAGTGGCAAGCCCAGCAGGAGATGGTTATTTTGTTTTACTTTTAATTTATTTTCATAAAATCTATACAAAACAAAAAAAAACCCTCAAAGTGGTTTACAAAAAAGGGAAAAAATTAAAAACCATTCTTTATGAAAGATAAAATCAGCAATAAGTGAAAAATAGATTAAAATATACTGCAACATTCTACATGTCTGTGTAGGCTTGTGTGCACAAAAATGTTTTTTAGAAAATATTGTTTATTTTCTTGTTACAAAATTGTACACACATAAATGTGTACACATGTGTAAACATGACACGACTATCAAAAATAGGGTCGTGGCAGGGATGTGTGTGTGTGTGTGTGTGTGTGTGTGTAAAATACTAAACATATTATTTTACGGTACCTAATCGTGAGGTAATTACAGTAATCTATAATAAATACCTTCCAAAGCTTTTACAAATTTTGGGCCAGATCCAAATTTCTTAACTACTTCCATTAAATAATTTGGTTCTATGCAATCAAATGCTTTAAAAATATCAAGTGTGAAGCTTGCTAAAGTGGATGATGTTTTCCTGCTGAAAGGAAGAATGTTTTAAAAAAAATCCTTATTGAATCAGTAATTCTTCACCCTCGAACAAACCCAGATTGGACTGGGTGTGTAGAAATGTCAATAAACGTTTTAAATCTATGGACCAGAAGGACCGGAGAGGTTTTATAATCTAGATTTAACAAGGAGATTGGTCAGTATGACTCAGCATTTGTAGTGCCCAGTGATATCTGATCCCCACTTCTAGATGGGCCCCTTTTGGCCTGATCCAGCAGGCTCCCCTTTTGCTTTCATGGTGCCAGGGGCTAGGGCACTGACCCCTTTTCTCTTTCCCCTCAGATTCTATTATGAGAATCCCGGCGTCTTCACCCCATCGCAGCTCCAGGCCCTCAACCGAGTCTCACTGGCTCACATAATCTGTGAAAACACCAACATCCGTGAAGTGCCACGCAATGTCTTCCGGGCCAACAGCTACCCCGGGGATTTTGTCCGCTGCAGCACTGTCCCAAGGCTCAGCCTCTTTGCCTGGAAGTGCACTTGTGATTGTGAGTCTGTCAATGGAGAGGGATATGTGGCAGGGAGCCCCACAGGCTCCCACTGCAACTAAATGCTTGCTGGATTTGACCACGGGAGCCTTGGTCCTCCACCTTCCACTTCCTCATTTTCCAAATGCTTGGAGTTTACAAGGGCATAACTTACTATCATGATCACCAGTGCTTTTTTTCTGGTGGTACCCAATGGTACACAGAACCAGTATCTCTATCTATCTGTCACCTATCTATCTAAAATAAAGGGTCAAAAGCCAGTGTCAGTTTCCCCTTCCCCTCCAGTAGCTTCCGATAAGAAGTAACGAGCCTTTGTCAGGTTTATAGTCTGTTGTATTTACAACAACATACTGAGAGCAACATCAGGCCGCCCTCCCCACGGATGGCAGTTGCTCACTCTGAGTCCTGTCCCCTTCCGCAGCAAGAAGTGCACCACCGGCCACCTGTCCCTCCCCTGAGCTTCTGTTGTTCCTGGACCCTTTCAGTCCTCCAAGTTCTAGAGGAGGGAGGGACTTCTCCGCCACTCTCGATTTAAGAATCTCCCAAAGGCTCCCTCCCTCCTGGTTGCCTAGCTACTATCTCAAAACTGTCCAGCTCTTCCCCTGGCTGAGCAGCCTCTGAATCTGCTGGTCTCTCTGCTTCTGGGAACGTGTAAGGTGGGGGGGGGATACTCCTCCTCCTCCTCTGTCAGAGGCTGCTCTGTCTGTGCCTGCATTCCTTCATCTTCGGAGTCAGGCCAGTCTCTGACATCTGATTCAGACCAGCCCCTGACAGCCGGGGCAAAGAAGTGCATCTTCAGCATCTCTCTGGGGAGGGAGCGCTTTTGATCCTCTTTCTCCCCTTCTTCTCTTAGCTGCAGATGGCTCTTGTTGAGGACGGAGCTCCTGTGGATCTAGACCTGGGACCTGCATCCCTAAGAAAGAAGAAAGGCCTTCGCTTGGCTGCAGTTGGATTCCTGCCCCTGCTCACGTCCCGCCTGCTGTTTTGGAAATACGCATGGGCAGGGGGAGTCCTACCCAACCTTGCTTTTCGCGACAAAGATCCAGAATAAAGCAGTTGCTGTGTGATAGATCCATTTGTTTCCACCTCAACGAGACATGCATGATGTTGCTAAATTACAGCTACCTGGGTGGTTGAAATGGCTCGAAATAAGTTGGGATTACGGTTATGATTATGATGGCATGAGGCTGTTTTCTGTCTTCAGAAAGAAAACTCTCTGTATAGACACTTTTTCAGAACAAAAAATGTATTGGGGGCAGCAGATACAGACACCCCTAAATGGTCAGTGGCTGAAACTTGAGGGCGGGGAGGTTACTACCAAATGGGTTGACACTATGCTCAAAGGACAATTGTTGCAGGTCTGCTGCGCAGGGATGGCCACCGACTTAGATGGCTTTCAAAGATGATGGGACCAATTCATGGAGGAGGAGAAGCTTCTTGATGGCTACTGGGCATGATGGCTCTGCTCTGCCTCCACAATTTGAGGAAACAATGCTTCTGAATAGCAGTTCCTGGAAACTGCAGGAGGGGAGAATTGCTTTAGTGCTAGGGTCCTGCTTGTGGGGTATCTGAGCGCATCTGGTTGGCCACTGTGAGAACAGGATCCTAGGCTATTTATTTTATTCACTGAGTTTGTGAGTCGCTTTCTCTTGTCTAGGGCAACCCAAAGCAAATTGAAAGCAGCCAACCAGACAGAACAAAATGAAAACAAAAACAAAAACACATACTGTAGATACATTGAAACCAAAAGGAAAAAAGAAATACGTTGAAAATATCTAACCCACTTCTAAAAGGCCACAGAGAGTTAAAGGCCAAAGGCCTGTTTATAGAGGAAAGCTATTGCCTGACAACAACCTAAAGATGTATAATGATTTCGCCAGGCAAGCCTCCTTGAGGAGAACAAACCTGATGGACTAGATGAGCCATTGGCCTGATCCAGCAGGCTCTTATTGTGTTCTTATGGGTCTGGAGCCATTAGCAGCTTCCTGTGTCTCTTTGTTCAGAAAGCACAGCAGTAGAGGATTGTACATTAAGGCAAGTGGGGCACTGCCCCACCACCTCGGTCTCCCCTTGGCCAACACCCCCACCCCCATCTGCCTGCCTTGTTACAACCAGCCCAAAAGGTGCCACTGACTATCATCTGATTAGTATCAGTGTTGCCTTCATAGAACTTAGCAGAGAGTAGGAAGATGAAGATAAGCCTAGAATTAGTCAGCTGCGCCTGCCATTGGCTCTGGCGCCACCTACTGTTGGGCTCCCTGCCTTCCGCCCAAGGGGCACCAGTCACCCTGGAGACACAGATTACAGTTTCATGTATTTATCTGGGGTTTTTTTTTTATTAGTATTGATCAGATAAGTCTCACAACTCCATCATTAAAAAATAAATACACCTCCCGGTTAGTGCCTATACAATCACTGAAATGAAATCAGACTATGTGTTGCACATAGCTTTCGAAATCCAGCTATGTGACAATATGTAAAGGAAAGAGAAAAGAGCAAATTTTAAAGTCGGATGAACGGCTCATTCCATCAGAAAATCCACAGGGCAATACTTCACTAGGCCAAACAACAATGTTGCAAAAGGGCGCGCAAGCGTTCAGATTCTGAGTTCTGCCTAGTCAAGAACTCTAAAGAACAAAAAAAACCCTACCTTGCTATTTTGTGATATTTTGCTTAATTAAAATATCTGGCTGGTTGTGCTGTTTTCACATCCCAAGGGCAGATGTGAGTGTCACAAATCCTTGGATGGTCATTGCTGGATTTAGCCCCAATCTACCCCAAATAGCCACCTCAAACTGACCTTCCTTCATCCCAGAGCCCAAACCACCTTCCCAGAATGTCAGGAAATATGAATGGCAGAGATGAATCCCAGATTTTGGCCCAGGGATGGCAAAGAGGCATTTTGAGAGTTTGTGGCAGTGGACTACAAAGGTCCTTCACTACAGCTTTTTAAACAGAGGTTGGATGGTCCATCTGCCAGGGGTGCTTCAGCTGTTATTCCAACATTGCAAGGGTTTGGACTGGATGAACCTTGGAGTCCCTGCCAACTGAACAATGCTATGATTCACTATCTACAGGATCTGAACTCCAACCCAACTGGGAGTCTCGCTCAGGAGACAGGTCAGTTTTCATCACTCTGTGACCAGAAGAAGGTCACTATGCATTCTGAAGTGGTTGTGATACCCGCAGGGCTGAGTCCCAGCTCACATTAACTTTCTGGCATTCTGGCAGGTTTGCAATGTCTCAACCCACACACCCCAAAACTTCCCCATGTTGCTGCCAGTCTATTCTTTCCAAGCAGACAAATCCAGTCCTCCAATTTCGCGGCATTTCACAAAATCGCTCGGGTAGTGGTTCATCTTGAAAACATCGTGGGGCACCTCCTGGATGTGGGTGTTGTCACAAATGATGCGGGAGAGCGAGGCGCCGCTCAGAACCCGCCGCTGCCAGGGGGTGAACACCCCGGGATTCTCCCACCAGAATCTGCAACAAGCAAGGAGGAAAGGGCAGAGGAAGAGGTTGGTTGACATTTGTCCTGGGACGTCAAACCCCGTCTAATTGGTAACAAGGGCTGTATTCTAACGTGAGCAATGCTAGAAGACAGTTTCATTTGAGCGAACGCTTCCAGGTTTTATCCTTTAAACCAGCAGCTCCCAAACCTTTGGGGGCTACTTCCTGCTTTATTCCACAAGCTCACCCCCCAGCGCCCCCTACCCTATAAAAATCGTTATTCATAATACAGTCATACCTCGGGTTGAATGCACTTCGGGTTGAGTGCATTTGAGTTGCTCTCCGCGGCAACCCAGAAGTAACAGAATGTGTTACCTCCGGGTTTTGCCCCTTGCGCATGCACAGACGCTCAAAATTACGTCACGCGCATGCGCAGAAGCGGTGAAAAGCACGTGCCGTTGCTAGTTACGTTTGCTAGTTATTTATAGTGGGGCACACAAACCACTACAGTGGTACCTCTAGATCCGTTCGTATCTAGAGGTACCACTGTAGTGGTTTGTGTGCCCCACTATAAATAAGATAATAACACAATGAAGTTCAAAACAGTAACAATTAATTGCACATTTACTTAAAATCCAGTTAAAACTATTGAGTTCAATTCATTCAACAAAACTGACCAACTTGAACTAGTGATACCAGCTTTTCCAAATCGGTTAGTTATTTGCACCTCCAATGCCCTCCTGCCGCCCCTTTGCTTCTTAGGGAATCCCGCCACCCTGCAGGGGGTGGTACTGCTCGCTTTGGGAACCACTGGTTTAAATCACAGGTGGGCAGTCCTCAGCCAACAGGCCAGATGTGCACCTCTAGACCTCTCTCTCTGGCTCTCAGGGTGCTCCTAGGTCATTCCCCGCTTTACATCTCCCTGGAGAGATTTTAACTGACTGAGTCTCATCCTCAAACTCAGAGAATGCCTGGATTGTTTGCCTGGGTGGAGGATGGAGACGAGCACATGCAGAAGCCTCTGGATTTTGCATGGCTGCGGCGTAGCCTACTGTACAAAGGTTAAATTCACACCCACTGTCTCCAACCACTTTTGCCTCTGGCCTTATTTAGCACTGGTATGTACCCCACACCACTCTGAGGTTGGCAAGGAAGAAATGTGACTCTCACCCCTTGAAATCTTTCCATGCACCTGCTACGTTTTTTGACTTCTGGTATTTTTAACTGTTTTCACTAACATTATCTGAGATCCCAAGAAGAGCCCAAAGGCCCCATTGTCTCACACCTAGTTTCCTACAGCAGCCAGCCAGATGCTTAGAGCATCCTTTGCCATCTTGGTGCCCTCCTGATGCTGCTGGACTCCAACTCCCATCAGCCCCAGCCAGGGTGGCTGTATGATGCTGGGGCTGATGGGAGCATTGCTACCAGTAGCAAACACTGAAGTAGATAGGTCGCACCATAAGGCAGCTTCTTATCAATCCTAAGGAGGAACAGAATTGGGGGGTTTCTGGGGATCAATAGAGGCCCCTTGTCAAGTACCAACAATGCCAGCACTCCTAGAATGAAACAATGAACAGGGTGATGATACAATGCCTTCTGCAATCAACACAGGATAATATCACCAAGGCAACTATCTGTAAACAAACAATAAACGCCCATAAAAATGGCAAAAGCAGCTTCTTTCCCTAAATATTTTTTATCTTAAACAATAGCGAACTGTTAGGCTTCGGGGAATTCTATCCCTCCCGTGGTGGCAGCAAGAAGCAGAGAAAAACAAAGAAGAGTTCTTACTAATTTGTTTACTCGTCACAGTGAGAGACAAAGGAATGCAGTCTATCTCCCGTTAATGGCGCTGCTCCAACTGAACGCCTCCCTGCTCCCTTCCTAACAACAGCACTTCCGCTTACAATGCCCCCCAGGGGCTAATTGTCTCTGAGACCTTTGCTCTTGCAGTGAATGGCATGTTCTGGGAGAAGGGGGGCCAGAAATGCTCTCCAGTGATAACGTGTCAGCTGGCTGCTCTGTCTCCCCCTTCTCTTCTCCCAACACCTCCCAACTCTTCTATTCGCCTGTCTCTGAGCTGTGACCTTCCTCAAACCACTGCTGTAATTCAATACTGCCTTCCTCTTCTCTGGAAGCTTCGGGAGAAGGGGTGGTGGTCCCCATCATTCCTTCTCAGTCTTGTCCCCCTCAGTTTGGCCCTGAAACAAATACAGTGAATAAAAAGCTCACCTGTAATATATCAATGGTTCAGTGCTCCTTTCTTCTCTTTCCAAAATAGCTTTTATCTTGAAGAATAACAAATGCAGGAATAAAGACTAAACCAGGTTTAACAAATTGAAGGACATTGTCCTCTTTCTATGCTCCTCCTGATGGAAACATGCAGATGGGGATAGATATATCCCTGCTTTAAGTCATTTACATACTGTCTTCTCTTGTATATTATTTACTACAAAGCTTGATGACTAGGCTCTTTAGCAACGAAACGTCGGATTACTGGAATGACAGCCAAGCACTGAACCACTGGTATATCACAAGTGAGCTCTTTATTTGCTGTGTTTGCTATTGTTCAAGATAGAAACTATTTAGGAAAGGAACTACTTTTACCATTTTTATGGACATTTATTGTTTGTTTACAGATAGTTGCCTTGGTGATATTATCTTGTGTCGATTGCAGCACTCCTAGAATGGCACACTGCGCCCTGCAAGAAAATGGCCACCATCCTCCTTGCTCCTCGCAGATCCCCTTCCCTAAAAAGGGAACCTGGGTTCTAATTATGCCCCAAGCTCTGTCACAAAGCTGTCACAAAGAGAAATGAGATCCTCAGAGGGCAAGTAGCTCACCTGTCTCCGTCCCGGGTTTTCCGGAACTGGGTCCCAATGAGGCACGCCAGGAGGGGCCCGACCCTCCCATAGGGGACGAAGGGCTCAGCCATGGCCCCAATCCAGATGTCAATGTTCTCTGGTGTGCCATAAAGGTCGATGAACTTCTTTGCCAGCTGGGAATTGCCCATTACGGCAGCGAGCTCAGTCTCATCGCTGGGCTCTGATAGGCCGCAGAACCGCCTCCAGGCATTGTACCCTGGTGGAAGCAGGGAAGGGCTGTTAGTCTGGCTGGAGGATGGGTTAATGGGAAGCAGAGCAGCCAAGTGCCATGGGAGTAAGAGGAGACTGGGGTAAAGAAGGGGGGATTTCAGAAGAATTGCCTTCCTTAGGAACATGGGCCTTCCAAAAAATCAGACCCATGCTTCATCCAGCTCATTATGGTCTGCACTGACTATTGAGCAGGGAGAGGACGGGGACAGGGAGCGAATCCACACACCCATTTCCTCTCAGCTGCCTAGCCACCTCCTTTCCACAGGCAGGGCCTTTGCCAGCCAGCCTGCCCTCCTCCTCAACTACTGCCACCAGACAAATAACTGAAGGAGAAACAGTTTTCCAACAGCGTCTGTTCCAGCTTCAAGCAGGAGGAGGGCTGCTTCTCTTCACAAAACAAAACGGCAGTGGCATCTCTGCGAGGACTATCCTGAGATTGGACCTCCAGTCCTGAGCCACCTGTTGAGGACCAGTGCATTGTTGTAATGGAAAGGTGGTCAAACGTTCTTCCGCAGTACTGACAGTATTGCTACAAGGATGTATTTGTGACTGACCACAGTGTGGCACAGTGCAACCCACTGAAGGGAACCAAGTTTTTACATCAAATGGTATGGTGATTGTTCTGAAGCTAGAATGCATTTATCAAGCATCTGTCTTAGAATCGTTCAACAAAAGTGTATAAATTGCTGAGATCGCTAATACGAATGAAGTGTATTTGGAGATTGAGGATTTCCCCAGATTGTATAATACATTTGCAATGGAAATGCACTTCATATTAACGGGGGATTTTAAACACTTCAAGACATTATTTCTTCAAATGTGCTTATGGATTTGGACATCTTAGGCTATCCCCCCCCCCCCCATCTGCTCAACTTGCAGCCTACTCAACTCCTTTTTAAAAAACTTTTTTTAAAATTAGCTTTTCAAATTTCACAAATTATTTTAAACAAACATCAGAACATTTATTTCATATCCGCTGACTTCCCATCCACCCTTCCATTATGTTCTTTTCTTTCTTTATAAAGATGGTATATTGCTTATATTTTACCCATTATATACTGTATTTTTCCGTGTATAACATGACCCCATGTATAAGACAACCCCTATTTTTCAGAGCCCTCAACAATTGTTGAGCTTCTTTTGTAAGTTTGCTGAGCCATTGAGCAGCTTTTCGACGATCCTCCATTCTGGCTGACGGAACTGGTGCAGTAATACACCACATACTGACGCTCACCAAATACTCTTCCTAAGCTGGGAAGAGTGAGTAAACAGCCTCCTCTCCAACATTTCCCTGCTACTGCTGCAGCACCGGCTCTCTCTTGCTCAGCATATTAACCCGTGTATAAGACGACCCTCAATTTATCATTAAGAATTTTCAGAAAAAAGGTCGTCTTACATATGGAAAAATACGGTGTTGATTATAAATTATTAAACTACCACTTCTTATCTGCTGCTGTACTTCAAATCCTGCATACATTTTAACATAACCATGATATTTTTTTTCAAATATGCTACAAAATACTTCCATTCTTCAATAAAAAAAAATTCATTCTTCATTCTGTTCTTTAATTCTCACAGCTAGTCTAGCCATCTCATAATATTCCATCATCTTCATTCTTCTTTCATTGGGGCTTCCTCTTCTTTCCATTTGTGTGCGTGGACAATCTTGCCCCCGTCATAGCATACATAAACAAATTAAACAATTCCTTCGGTCCAATTATACCTAACAGAAAGGCCTCTGGTTTCTTGGGAATCACCCAACTCCTATCTCTGTAAAGACATTGCAATCCTAAGTCTCCTGTTGACTCTCCTCCTCACCAAGCCACCCTGGATCTCTTCACTCACTGTTTAGCACAAGAAACCATGGACAGGGTCAAAAACCTCAGGACAGGCTCTCCTACCTGGCAGGCCATGGTCTCTCCCCCGCTGGAGGTTCAGGGATGCCAGATCAAGGCCGATGAGCTCAAGCTGCTCAAAGAGCCGATCCTGGAGCTCCTCCACCATCATCTGGTTCTGCTTCATCAGCTTGGCATGGTCAGCCAGGAGGCCACGGAGAAGAGGGTCAATGCCACCTGGAAAAGAAAGGTAGTGGTGGCCCTGAAGATGAGGAACACTCAACCCAAGGTTTAGGGTGTCCTTTTATTTTTATTTTTTAATGGAAAGGGGACGGTTTTTCCACCTTCAAAATCATCAAACACCTCTTACCATCAGAAACTTGTTTCGTCGGAATATCCTTTTTGCAATTTGACTCCATTGGTCCCCTCTGGGGAAGCAGAAAACAAGCTTGCTCCATCTTCCACGCAACAACCCTTCAGATATTTGAAGATGGCTATCATATCTCCTCTCAGTCTTCTCTTTTCCAGGCTAAATATACCCAGCTCCCTCAACTTGTTCCACACAAGGTTTGGTTTCCAGGCCCATCATCATCTTGTCTGCCCTCTTCTGCACACTTTCCAGCTTGGAGCAACCTTCTATAGAAAGTTCGTCATAAAAGCCCACCCTTGGTCTTTTAGGCTGTGCTGTGACCTGTGTTTGCCCTTACTTTGTTCCCAGGAGATTTCTGTTTCCCAGATAGCCCAAGAACCCCGCAGGACAAGGAACAAAAGCATTACCTTCCATTACGATTCTCCATGAAGCAGAGAAGGTGAGATGAAGAAGGACATTGGAATATGGGACAAGGGGCTTGAAGTTTTGGTCCAGGCGGGGCACAAATGGGGGAACAGAACCGTGTCCAAACCGGAAGGCCAGGGAGAACACATTTGAGACAGTGGGGTCCTCAGAGTCATTGTAGCCTTTGTACAAAGGCAACTGCTTGTTCATCTCATTGCCCAAGACAAGGGGCAGGTAGTCTCTGAAGGTGATCACCTGCAACCAAACCAGGGAAGACTCCACTGTTATTTTTTTGGTTTTTAAAATATGTTTTATTGATTTCAAACTTAAATAACAATAATTAATTAAACCACCCTAGCCTCCCAGATTGCAAATTGTCCTCTAATTAAGACTTAGCTTCTGTCCAGCTTTAAGTTTTCACAAGCATTAATATTTTTATTCTTTTTATTTTTTTAAATTGTATACAAATGAACACAATGTGTGTGTGTGCAAGTGTGTGGCTATGGGTGTTTAGTGGCCACTATACTAAGTCTGAAGGGAAACAAAGAGAGTCCCTGACCTCCAGGAGCTTACACGAGGGAAGACAACTGAGGTCAGGCTAATATGGGACTCATATGAGCAACTGGAGTTACATCTCAGGCATGATTTTTACATATGCAGTACAACCGCATCTTACACACATTTACCTTGTGCTATTTCAACCCAATGTGGTTGAAGGCAGGCTGGTTGAAATCATCCAAGTTCAATCCCAGCAAGGCAGAGAGCTTTTCGCAATGGGTCTGTTTGTGTTACCTGAAGAGCTTTTAAGTTCTCTGACTCACTTGGCACACAGGATCTGGAAGCACAAGGGATTCTGTCTCTCTCCCCCTCATCCACTAGCCATGAGGGGTGTTTCGCGTTAAGATGCAACCGTACTGTACATCCAGCCCTTTCCTCCAAACAGCTCAGGACCTTGGAGAGCGACTGGGGTGGGGGTTCAGCACCATGGACAGCACTGCTAAGCCCAGGCATCGGAGTTGTCTTAGCAAAGGTCCTGGAAAAACTGGCAGAATTTTATAGCCCGGCCAGGTAGTTGCTGGCTAGAGGCCCTGCCCCCTAAGTGCCTGGAGGTCCTGCCTCCTTGGCAGTTAAAGGGACAGTGCCTTTTTCTACAGCTGTTGGCTTCTTCAAGGTCATGGGGTTTCCAATTCTTCTCAGGATACTCTTGATTTCCCAATGAGTTAACTTTTTTTGTTATTTTCTCCAATATTTCCCTTTTAATGCACACTTTACCCCAAAATATGCATTTTTGTACCCATCACTTGGCTGGAGAACTGCACTGTGAAATTTGGAGAAATGCAAAGGATTTGGTTTGAACATTCTTGCAGAAAGTGCAAATTCTGTGAGTTTGTGTCTAAATGTGAGCTGAATTAAATTCCTCCCTCGCACCTTCCCTGAAGGCATGAATGAAGTTAGAGTGAAACTCTCTTTTGAATGAAGCCGAAAGGAAGAGCCCATTTGTCACCATACCTGATTCACTGCCCCAATAATCTTCCGAACTTCCTGATAGATCTTTTCCCCATCCCAGTGGGGGTTCAGCGCCTTCAGCTCCCTGGCCAATCGGTTATGCTCCCGGACAAAGAGGGTGTGGAGAGCTGTCAGCCCCAGATTTTCAGTGACACGTTTATCCCCTGCAAAGTTAAAGAAACCATCCCTCTAATTTCAAGCGGATTGAATTAACACTCTTTTATTGCTGTGTGAAGCCACATGGAGACTGGTAGGGCAGAAGGCAGCGAGCCCAACAGCAGGTGGTGCCAGAGCCAATGGCAGGCAGAGTCAATAATCAATCCCTCTTCACGGGAAACCCTGGGAATTACAGCTCTGACAGGGGAAGAGGGGTCTCCTAACAACTCTCAGCACCCTTAATAAACTACACTTCCCAGGATCCTTTGGGGGAGGAAATCCATGACTGTTTAAAGTGGTATCATAGTGCTTTAAACATATGGTGTGCATTTGGCCTAACACTTGATGCCCCGATCCACCAAAACATAGGAAGTTACTTTATCATTGGTCACCTAGAGTACTACTGTTTACACTGACTGGCAGCTGCTGACCATGCCCTGGTGGAAAGACATACCTGCATTGAAACATGGGATGTTGGCAGTTCTGTTTGTGTAGAGGCAGATGCTGTTTGAATTGCTCTCGAAAGGAAGGAGGCCCAAACCAGCGTCTGTGAAGTTCTGGTTGAGCGCCATTAAACCCAGAGAGTTGCTTTGGTTCCGGAGGCTTCTTGCCAAAGGCTCCTCACTCCCATACACCATGCTGGCATCCAGAAAGGACGTGATGGAATTGAGCTGCTCGCGGATGAATGTCGTGGGGTTGCAAACAGGGGTGGTCCGGATGAAAGGCATGCAGATGCCTGGCTTTGTAATCCGTGGGTCTCCAGGTGGAATCTGCAGGAAACAATCCCACAATTCGTTTGTTTTTTATTTATTGCATCTATACCTCCAAGAAGCTCAAGTTAGTAGACATGGTTCTCCCTTCTTCATTAATCCCCACAATAATCCTGTGCAGCAGGTTAGGTGCAGGGACAGTGACTGGCCCAAGTTTTGTTTTGTTTTTTTAGATTCCAGAAGACAGAAAGAAAAATAATCACACTCCCAACAATTTTTTTTTAAAAAAGAAAATGTTACCACTGATCCAAGTATTGTGGGAGGGTGGTAGGTGATGTTACAGGCATTGGCCAATATTACGACCAGGGAACTGTTCCTCCCATGCAAGCAGCTGCACATTTCTCCTCTCCCCATGGGCTCTGCTAGATATTTTAAAAAAACTCAGCCTACTCAGCCCCCTGGCATAAATCTGCTAGTGGGCAAATGCAGTTTGTGGGCCACTCTTGGAAACACCCGATAAGAGCGTGTAAGATCACAAGAAGAGGCTGCTGGATCAGGCCAATGGCCCATCTCATCCAGCATTCTGTTCTCACAGTGGCCAACCAGATGTCCCCAAGGGAAGGCCGCTAGCAGGATTTGAACACAAGAGCAGCACTCTCCCTTCCTGTGGTTTCTAGCACCTGATACACAGAAGCATTAATGTCTCCAACTTTGTAGGCAGAGTATCACCATCATGGCTAGTCGCCATCAATAGCCCTCTCCCTCCATGAATTTGTGAAATCCTCTTTTAAAGCCATCCAATTTGATGGCTGTCACTGTCTCAGGTGGGATGGAGTTCCGCAGTTTAACCACCACGCTGCGTGAAGAAGGACTTTTCCCTATCTGTCCTGAACCTTCCAACATTTTCAATGTGCACTTTGCAATGTGTCAAGAGCCACCTGGTAACCCAGATATTTCAGACTGCAGCTCTCATCAGCCAGAATGCCTGTACAATGCTGGGGCTCATGGGATCACAGTCGAGCCAGCTGATGGGAGTTGTAGTCCTACACACCTGGAAGGTGTCATGTTGTCAAAGGCTGCTGGGAGCTAATAGTTCAAAGTGGACAGAGGGCCTGCAAAAGACCTGACTCCATCCCACCCCAGCAAAACACATACACCTGTCTCACCCTAAGAATTTCTTAACACCGAATTTTCCGTTACCTTAATCGGGAAGCAGGGGGGCGCGTAGTTGCAGCTGGTGTCACAGTGGACATCCTGGTTCTGGATGCTGGTTTCAGTCATGGGGGCTAAGTCCATGTCATGGTCGACCCACTGGCCCCAGTGCATGAATGCCAGCGAGCGCTCCTGGTCATCTGTGATCTTCTCATTGGGGGTGGCGATGATCTCGTTGGATACCTGCCGCACCTATGGTGGAGCACCCAAGGGCCACCGGAGGAAATGATGCAGAGTGTTCAATTTGCATAGCCTCAATGCTAAGTGCTCTGGCTCCAAAAGGGGAAGCCAGAAGAGGAACTGTAAGCAATGTGCAAGCAACAACAACACACAGACACAAACATGTGGCACTGCCACTGCCAAGAAGTGCACTAGAGGGTTTGAAGGGCACGTGAATAAGACTTTTGGGTCATTGTATAGTGGGGACGGAATTCAATTTCTAAAAAACTAGTTACTATTAGAAGCCATGTTGGTAATAGCCCAACACGGGGAAGCATCAAAAATTCCTATTCAATTCCATCGCTTTATCTGAATGCCTGGCCAGACATCAATGCATCGTCTGGGGCAAAGCCAAATCAGACAGTTTTGACACAGACTGGTCCCCATTTTCTTATTATATAGATAAGGAGAGTTGTACACGCGCTCCTCCCACAACTCACTCCTCTTTGTGGTTGGACTGTATAAAGGGACCCCTGACCATTAGGTCCAGTCGTGACCGACTCTGGGGTTGCGGTGCTCATCTCGCTTTATTGGCCGAGGGAGCCGGCGTACAGCTTCCGGGTCATGTGGCCAGCATGACTAAGCCGCTTCTGGCGAACCAGAGCAGCGAATGGAAATGCCGTTTACCTTCCTGCCAGAGCGGTACCTATTTATCTACTTGCACTTTGACGTGCTTTCGAACTGCTAGGTTGGCAGGAGCAGGGACCGAGCAACGGGAGCTCACCCCGTCATGGGCTTCCAACCGCCGACCTTCTGATCGGCAAGTCCTAGGCTCTGTGGTTTAACCCACAGCGCCACCCGCGTCCTGATTGGACTATATAGACTGATCTTAAAAGCTGCGTCTCAGTCATTTGTTTTTTGTACGGAATATGCCCTGTGTATGGTTTTTGTTATAATCTGTATGGTTATGTCTTAGTTCGTAGATATGTTTACGATAAATCGATGAAAGCTGTATTTATTTTTTAAAAGTGATTGGCTCAAACTTCAAATTGCCTAGAAGCAGAATATCTCATTTCGGTGAGTGTGCAGGGATTTGCTATATCAAATGAGAGTAATCTCCTCCTATAGGGGTTGTCCATGTGGTGACAGACACCATGCTGTCCCCCTAGAAACCCCGAATGATTGGTCCACCACCTCTGCCGCCTCTTCGAACCCACCCCCAACACAGCTGTTTCTCTACAATTTGTCCCAGGATCCCAGGATAATTTCTCCAGCTCTTACCAGTGGGAGGGGGTGTCCATGATAAAGCTGGCCCTGGATGAGACCCTTGGGAAGAGACACACCATCCTCATACTCTGCTGGGAGCCAGCGGGCATAGCCATGGTTAGACATACCAAAATGAGGGTGCTTCCTAGAGCGGGGGGGGGGAGAAGCGCATTAGTTTGGAACTCTGCCCCATGCGTGAAGGCTCTTCTGGAGGCAGGCCTGCTTCGAGGGATTAACCTTTGCAAATCCCAGTCCAAGGTGAGCTGATCTGCACTCCTCGAAATCACATGCAGGCCAGAACTTAGCCACGCACCATTTCTGTCCACCTCTGAATGTGGCGTAGCAGCAAAGTTCTGGGCAGTTATGAACATATCAAGAGACATATTTAAATGCCTGCTCTGAGAGATGAGGATCTGCATGGGGAGAGTGGGGAGAGAAAAGCTTTTTGCCATCTCTCGTGACCCTAGAAATCATGGACTTCCAATGAATGTTGGGAGATTCAGGACAGATAAAAGAAAATCCTCCAACGGTCATATTTATGGAAGGGCTGTGAGTTCTAGTATTATGAGGGAGGGAGAAAAATCTTTCTTCTGTCTGCTGTCTCCATGCCACGCCTGACTTTATGAACTCCTACCATGTCATCTCTTACTTGCCTTTTCTCTAAACTAATAAATCCCAAACACCGCAACCTTTTTTCACAAGGAAGCCACTCCATGCCCTTGATCATTTTGGTGTCCTTTTTCTAATTTCCTTCAACGCCTTCCTTTGGCCCAGGTTCCCAGATGACTTCTCCAGCTCTTACCAGTGGTAAGAGTGGTATTTCCCCTCAGATGAGGGAGAACCTTTGACCTGCCTGCACCCCCCCCAAATAAAACCCTTCTCCAGCCAGCTCCTCCTTACCGATTGTTGCATTCTCCTGTGATGGTCCGATAAGGGCTGTTTTGTGGGCACCGGACTGGGCGGATCAGATAGTCACAGCCAGTGGCTCTGGTGATCATATCTTTCTGCTGGATGCTTAGCACATCTAAACAAGATAAGGGGAAGAAAAGCAATGGCTTTTGTCTTAGAAGCAAATTTCAATGAGAATCTACCTTCAGCAGTCTAACCCACCCCACCAAGTATGAGAGGTAAGGCTGCCCACTTGTCAATCACCTGACATCACAAGGGCATCATTTACCAGTGTGGTTTGAAATAATAATAATAATAATAATAATAATAATAATAATAATAATTTATTATTTGTACCCCGCCCATCTGGCTGGGTTTCCCCAGCCACTCTGGGCGGCTTCCACAAAGACCAAAAATACACTAATATGTCATACATTAAAAACTTCCCTGAACAGGGATGCCTTAAGATGTCTTCTGAATGTCAGGTAGTTGTTTATCTCTTTGACATCTGATGGGAGGGCGCTCCACAGGGCAGGCGCCACTACCGAGAAGGCCCTCTGCCTGTTCCCCTGTAGCTTTGCTTCTCACAATGAGGGAACCACCAGAAGGCCCTCAGCGCTGTACCTCAGCGTCCAGGCAGAACGATGGGGGTGGAGACGCTCCTTCAGGTATACTGGGCCAAGGCCGTTTAGGGTTTAAAGGTCAACACCAACACTTTGAATTGTGCTCGGAAATGTACTGGGAGCCAATGTAGGTCTTTCAAGACCAGTGTTATGTGATCTCGGCGGCCACTCCCAGTCACCAGTCTAGCTGCCACATTCTGGATTGACATCAAGCTGCACAAGCAAAGAGTCAGCGGTTTGCAGGCACCAACCATCAGCTGAGCAGCAGTGCCTTCAAACCCCCCTTTTGGCCAGCTTTTACCTGACTCAGGTAAAGTGGTTGTGGCTTGGCTAAACCGGGCTGAAAGTTCACCACCACCACCACTGTGCTAAAACTTTCACCCAGGGATTCACAATACCTGTGATGTTGAACCGACGGTGCCAGACCTTCTGCAGTTTCTGCCTCAGGAGATCCAATGCCGTTTCCATGTAACTCGCCGCCCGGATTGCAGTCCTGGTCCCCGCCACCGGTTCCTTTAAATGTCTCAGGAAGTCGGAGGGGGTGAGATGGGGGTTTCTCAAGTTCTCCTTCGCTCTGGAAAGAGAAGCACAGAGGAGATGGCAGCAGGGAGACGGGGGACCTTAGCAGAAAGTGCTCAGAAGTGTCACAGCAAGCCTTCCTAATGGCGAACCTAAGAACCTAAAAGAGCTTTGCTGGATCAGGCCAATAGCCCAGCTAGTCTAGCATCCTGTTCCCCCCAGAAACCCACCAGAAGGGTGCAAGCTCAAGAGCCCCCTCCTCCCTTGTGGTTTCCAGCAACTGGCAAGCTTATGCAGTGACCCTTACTCGCTGGCTTGCTGTTGCCGTTTTGCTCCCTTCGGTTTTATTTTTTAAACTACAGTGGTACCTCAGTTTTACGAACATAATCTGTTCCCAAAGACCATTTGACTTCTGAAATGTTAAAAAACTCAACAGCTGACAGCTAGACCTCAGGATCTTGCACTCAGAGGAAACTGTGTGGCACGTTCGACTTCCGAGGCGTGTTCGCAAACCGAAATGTTCGTCAACGGAGTGGTTCGAAAACCAAGGTACCTCTGCATGCTCTTTCTAAAATTCTTTGTTGTTAATGATGCTATGCCAACTCCAGCAATATATGAACGGATTGCTTTTAGATGCAGATTGTGCATGGATAAATGCAATGATATTGGGGATCCATTCATAAAAATCATAATGTCTTGTTAATAATTTTACATTAATTGGATTAATTGTATGTAAAGGTAAAGGGGACCCCTGGCCATTAGGTCCAGTCGTGACCAACTCTGGGGTTGCGGCACTCATCTCGCTTTATTGGCCAAGGGAGCCGGCGTTCAGCTTCTGGGTCATGTGGCCAGCATGACTAAGCCGCTTCTGGCGAACCAGAGCAGCGCAAGGAAATGCCGTTTACCTTCCTGCCGGAGTGGTACCTATTTATCTACTTGCACTTTGACGTGTTTCGAACTGCTAGGTTGGCAGGAGCAGGGACCGAGCAACGGGAGCTCACCCCGTCGCGGGGATTTGAACCGCTGACCTTCTGATCGGCAAGTCCTAGACTCTGTGGTTTAACCCGCAGCGCCACCCGCGTCCCTTTAATTGTATGTACTTATGTACTTATATACCCAAGGGGCATACTCCACTAATGATGACTGAAAGGGGAGGGAGGGAAGATTTAATGCAGATTTACATGAAGGAAGCTCACCTCTCCCGGTACAACTTGTATGCTTGATCCACCAACCGCTTGGCTGTGTTGATGCTGAATAAAATGTCAGGACCAGTCAATTTCTCAGAGGCCAACGCTTTAAAAGAGAGAACCAAAAACATCAGCTCAAAGGGCCCCCAAGTCCAAACCAGGGCAATCAAATTTCAGCAGCAAGGTACACAGATGGCATGATGCAGCGACTATCCAGGACAATCTTGGCCAATTCAGTTTACAAAAAATTCTCCACCCCACCACCTGGCATTTTTCACCAGCCCAGCCTTCCCATAAATGTGTATGTCAAATCATTTGCACCACACTCTGAGAGCCTGTTCCACAGGACCAAACATAAAAAATAAAACAAAAATCTCCTTTCCTGGTCACCTTGAAAATACTCTCAACTCACCAAAGGCGAGTGGCTATTTACAGGCCTTAAGCTGAGATGCCCTCTTGGAGGTTGGTTCCTATCCACATACCAGGTTTTGACAGAAAAGGGGTTCAGAGAGGCACCCTCCCCAACCCAATCAATCATGGATCTCCTCGAAGATTTTCATAAATTCATGTCCCCAAAACAATGCACGAACTCTACAAGACGTGACCCTTTGGGCTCTTTCCAAAGCTACAATTCTGTGATTTTATGAAAAATCAAAGGCAACTTCCTAGAAATGAGTTCCACGCACATACTTGTAAAAACTCTTTTTGTGAGCTGCTGTGGGCAATCATGGAGTATATAGATATTGTGAAATTAAAATAAAGGAAAATAATTATTCGATTACATTCCTTTTCCAGCTTCCCACCAGAAATATTCCCACCCTTGGAAGAGTCACAGGATTTGTTGTGTTACCTTCTGAGGAAGAGTCGGATGCTGGCAGGAATCCATAGGCCACTAAGAGGCTCAGGAGAGAAAGGGCTCGCTTCATCTCTGCAAAATAAAAGAGGAACAGGTGGGTTTTGAGTAGGGGAAATAATAAAAACGTTCTTTTAAAACCCCACAAAAGTCGCTCCAACGAAGGCAAAGGAGAGAGCCAGTGTGGTTGACTGCTGGACTAGGACTTGGGAGAGACCAAGGTTCCAATCCACACCCTGCCTAACCTACCTCACAGGGTTGTTGTGAGGGTTAATTGAGGAGGGGGGAAACCATATACACCACCTGGAGCTCCTTGGAGGAAAAGGTGGAATATACATGCAATAAATAGGACCAAGGCTTGTCGCCTGTGTTACTCCTACTCAGAGTAGACCCATTGAAATTAATGGACATGGCTAACTTCCTATGTGTGGGAAGCTGGGCATTGCCATGTCCTCAGCAGCAAGAAAAAGGTGCTAAGCCTCACCTGCTGTGCTCAGCTCCTGGCTGTGGATATTGCTACGTTCCGAGTACTTTTATAGTCTCTGGTTATCAGGTGTGGGCAGGTTCTTGATGAGACCGGGATGAGGGAAAACACACACACCAACCTCAGGTTGGTTTAGGCCAAGAGGAAATATTTGCTAGGTTCTTCCTCGATCGAACAGAGAAGTCCCACTTCCTTGTTCCTGGGGGATAAATTTCTGAGATACTGGAGCAGGAAAGGTTATATAAATATTAGTCAGTGATTTATTCTTAAGAAAGAAGAGGGATCCAACCCACTTCAAAAAATGCAATGAAGCATGTCAGAAAAGACCATGCCTTACATTCCTGACAAGGGATATGCAAATCTGTTGATTTCACTTTCGCATTCTGGCTTTCTTGAATTCAGTTTCCCACTTTACCACATCACTTTGCTGATTTATTTATTTTAAAAAGAAGTCCTTGAGAAAATTCAGCAGAATTTTCATGCACGTTGAATGCAGTTTTGACTATTCTGCCAAAAAAGAAAGAAAGAAAGAAAAGAAAAGAAATATTTACCTTATGCAATGCATGTTGTATGTATTTCAGTAATATCTGCAATTTTAGGCACATCTTAATATATGCATTTTTTTGTACACCTTACTTGGTTGGAAAGAACTGCATGTGCAAAATCTGGATGACTGCAGATTTCGAAGGACGATTTTGCCTGTCAGCATGTTTTGTTTCAAAAACCGCAAATCAGGTAGGTTGGCCTTTGAATGCAAACTGGATTTCATTTCTCCTCAGTCCCTAGTCCTGATATATTCAGAGTAAAACTCTCCCCTGTTCCCCCTCACCCCGCAAAGGAAAGTTGCCTTTAAACAAGGTGGTTTGACCTCCTTGCTTCTCACTATACCTGAGGACCCAAACTGCCTTTGTGAATCAGTCATCAGGCCATTGATGTGCTCAGAAAAGACTTTGAAAATATTGACCAGCAACAGAGGTTGATGGGATGTGTGTTTTCTCAAAAGTGGATCCCAACGAATCTAGTCAGACTTGGGTCACATCCACACCATACGTTTAAAGCAAATTTATGCCACTTATTGTAGAGTTGGAAAAAGGTTCATGAAAGGGCAACCCTTTCCAGATTACAGCATTTGGGACTTTTAGTTTAGAGAAAAGGCAAGTAAGAGAAGACAAGACAAAAGTCCATACAATCATGCATGGCATTTGGGAGATGGGGAGAAAAACTTTCCTCCATTCACTATGTCGTGACACTGGAAGTCGTGGACACCCAATGAAGCTGAATGTCGGAAGGTTCAAGACAGAGAAAAGAACGTTCTTCTTCGCACAGCACATTGTTAAGGTATGGAACTCATTGCCACAGGAGGCAGTGACGGCCACCAACTTGGATGGTTTGAAAAGAGGATTAGACTAATTCATGGAGAAGGCTATCCATGGCTACTAACCATGAAGGCTATGCTTCTGAATACCAGGAGGTTAGAGTGCTCTTGTACTCCCTAATGGGGGGGTTTGCCATAAGGGGCATTTGGTTGGCCACCGTGAGAACTAATCACTGCCACCTGAGGCAGCAGCCTCCTTGTGTCCAGTGGTAGGGCTGGTCCTCTAAAGTGGTTCTTCTAAAAAGTTTCATAGAATCATAGACTCATAGAGTTGGAAGGGACCATGAGGGTCATCCAGTCCAACCCCCTGCAATGCAGGAATCTTTTGCCCAACGTGAGGCTTGAACTCACGACCCCGAGAAGCTGCTCCTGTTCAGCTGTTGACTTACATTGTACAGTGGAAATTTAAATTCCTCACAGAACTTAAGAAGCAGGAAGGCTGTGTGCTTCTTGCTTGCTGGATTTTCCCTTGCTTCGAGACAAACCAAAGCTGGGAGTTTTGGGTGGGGTGGAAACAATAATCCCTTTTTTTGCAGAGGTCTGTTGGGCAAATATGTTTGATGGCCCAGTTCCAGAGTCTAGAATCTTCTGAAAAGCTCTGATCTGTACACAGAGCTCTATGCTGGCTTACATACCATGTCAGTGGCACCCATGAATATGTTTTTTTGTTGTTGTTTTGATGGTTTCCTCACTTTTCTTTACTCAGATTCTTTTTTACAGTTGCTGGTGTGTTTTTTTCAGTTTTTTTATTAATTTTCACAAAATTATAAACGAACAAGACAAACAAACAAACACAAATCATAATCTTATTAGAAATTATACTCCTTAACATTGTTAAGTGACTTCCTCGCTTCCCCTTGGTTGAATTTCCATGCCTATCCATTTAACGGTTTTCCAAATCACAGTTCTTATAACATTTACCTTTAGCTTTAACATCTTTCAATCTTTACCTTTTGAAATTATATAAATTGATTCATCATTTAACTTATATAAAATCCTAAGCCTATTAGTTATCTGCAAGTTATTTCCAACTAATTTAACTTAACATATTTAATTAAATAATCATTAATTTTTTTCCATTCTTCCTGGTACTCCTCCTCCTTCTGGTCGCGGACTCTTCCAGTTAGGTCGGCTAGCTCCGAAAAATCAATCATCTTATGAACATGTTTGTTTTTGATAAATGGAGATACTGCTGTTTCATGCACCCTATGAGACAGCTTGGTCAGTTAGTCCCGATCCATTTTAGAAGCTGTTCTTCTGTGATCCAGAATGGTGAAAGATGCAGGACGGATGAAAAGAAAGACTTCTTCACAGTGCAGAATTAAACTGTGGAACTCCCTCTCGCAGGAAACATCGAAGACCATCAACTTGGATGGCTTTAAAATAGGATTGGACAAATGCATGGAGGATATCAACAGCTACTAGCCTCAATGGCTATACAGCTGGATGTATCAATGCTTCTGTATCCCCATTGCTGGAAGCTGCTGGAGGGGAGAGGCCTCTTGTGCTTGAATCCTGCTTGCAGGTTTCCCATGTGGATGTCTGGGTGGCTACTGTGGGAGCAGGATGACATGGGTCTGATCCATAATACTGTAAGTTTTGCTTATGTTCTTAAAATCTGCAGCCTTAGCCAGCAGGAAGGACTGAGAATTTATTACGCTGTTTTGCTCGCCAGATGTCTTGAGTGCCAACATGACTGCTTTCTTTGGGACTGGTAAGGAAGCCATAAGGAAGCATCTTTGTCAAACACTATAAAATAACTCTTGTTTTTCACCTCTTGCCTTGTTTGGTGTGACTAAGACAAAGCACACAATGAGGGGATATCAAATCAGGAGGAAACAAAATGAACAGGTTAATGTTTCTTTAAACCAGTGGTTTTCAAGCAGTGTGTCATGTGTTATAAGAATTTCAGGTCTCAAATATATAAATTAAATGTACAAGGCAAACACGTACATTACTATATACACCACATGTCTGAAACAGTACAGGAAGACAGTCCTGAAACCATTTTGACTCTCCCAAACTGACCAAATGTTTCTCTGCAAGGAGGATTCCTGGATTCAGGAATTAAGTAGTTATAATACCAAAGAGTGGCCAAAACCCAGATAATGCAATCAGGTAAATGGCAGACAAGAGATAAACAACACACTCAGGATTCTGTTTCAGATCAGCCCCTGTGATGTATATATGATGTATTGGGGGAGGTGGTCCTGGGCTACACCCCTTCTGTGATGTATGTATGATGTTTCTGGGGGTGGTCTGGAGTTTGAGGGTGGGCAATTTCAAAGTCTATATAAGGGCAGGCAAACCTTTGTTTTGGGTCCTCCTCCTCCTCTCTCCTGCGTGTGAGGGGAGCACCCTGTTGCAACAGTTTTAATAAAGATCAGGCTTTCTAGCTGCTTTGCTTCTCAGTATTCTCTGGTTGGCCTCTGTTATTTTCTCCTACCAATAGGGAACTCATGTAAGGGCTCTTGGATACCCCATAAGGGGAAAAGGGAAGATTTTGTTTACAACACATGGCACCCTGGGGTGGCTTGAATGGTGGTCAAGGGTGCTGTGGGCAACTCTGGCCTCTGCCCCTCTTTCCTTCTCTCCCTCCTCTGATGCCCTCTCACGTCTCTGCCTCCCAAAGGCTTGCACAGCTTCCCGTTGCAGCAGCCCTGGCTACAAGTTCCGCAGGCAAATGGTGCTTCTGGGGCTGGCCAGGCGGTGCTGGTTGCCAGGAGCTGAGGCAGCTTTGGAGTAAGCAAGCAAACGGGTGAGAGAGCCCAGCCAGACAGTCTGCCAGCTCTTGCCATTGGGAATTGACAGATAAGTGGGAGGCTGGACACAGGCACTGTGCTGGCCTTTCTTGTCCTTGTTGTGTGCAAGGCCTGCCTGGGAGCTGAGTGCCCAGTGGTAAAGGGGAGCCTTTCCGCCATGCAGGCCCAGCAGGCCCAGCAGCACCTGCTGCTGCCTCCCAAGGTAAAGTTCTGGACTTATCTTCACCTTTGGCCAGTCTCTGCTGGGCCACTAAGGCTGGGGGCATCCTCTTCCCAGGCCCCTGTGAGGCAGTATGAGGAGGTATCTCTCTTTAGAGTGAGGGGGACAGCTCAGAGACCAGGAGCAGCAGCAGGACTCCCAAGGAGTGGAAAGAGGAGAGGAGGCTGAGGGAACACTAACGGAGGGTGTTTGGAAAAAGGTGAGAGGCTGCCAGCTCTGCAGGAAAGGGGTGTCATAACTGGGCTCCTGTCGTAGAAAGAATGTGGTTGGTCAAGGGACACAAAAAGGTTGAAAACCTCTGCATTAAACCAAGGCAAGCAGCACAATACCAAGGCTACCCGTAATGTTATTCTCTTGTGACAAACTTAGGCAGGTAACGTGGGGGACATCTGTGGCCTTCTGGTGGAGATGATGATGGATGCCAGCAGCCAGCAGGACCAATGGTTAGGGTTGATGGGTATATTAGTAGTAGTAGTATTAAATACTGCCTTTTTCTCAGTGTGGGAATCAAAGCACTTACAAAAATTAAAACAACACTGATAAAATACAGAAGACTAAAAACATGCTGGGGTCCATGGGGTCACGAAGAGTCGGACACAACTAAACAACAACAAAAAATGTATAAAAGATAATAGATAAAAAGTAATTAAACTCTAAAAGAAGAGAGAGAGAGAGAGAGGCCTCCCTCAAGGACCTCAGAGCTTCGGCAGGTTCATAGGAGAGAATAGGGTCCTTCAGATAGCCAGGGCTGAAGCTGTTCAAGGCTTTCATGACCAATATTTGAATTGTGCCCACAAACAGAGCAATAGCCAGTGGAGCTGTTGTAACATGGGATTTGCATGCTCCCTGTAACCCTTCCAGCAACTTCTGGAGGGTGCTATATTCTCCACCCCTGTTCTATTGTATCTGGCACCCAGCGGTAGATGCCTCTGGATATGGAGTTTCCATTGAGATCTCAGCGCTATTAGACCTTGACAGACATATCCATGACAAATTTGCTTAATCCCCTTTCAAAAAGATCCCTGGTGGTCAGATTCTGGGTCTGTTGAGCAGAGCACCATGTTTTGCACTAGATACCTATCATAGCATCACCAATGGTCAGGGATGATGGGAGTTGGAGTCTAGCAACACCCATTCCCCACCCATTCTACAGAATGGTTTGTTTTGCTTCTTGACTCATTGACCACAACAGCACTGGCTGTTACAGCTGGCTGAATGGGCCATTATGAGGCAGATAGAAGCTGGATCTGTTTGTGTGCTGAAGGACTTCAACAAAGGGCTGGTCGCCTTAGGAATGCCCTTTGCTCATTGTGTAATTAAACAATAGCTTTATGCCTGGAAGTTGCATCTTAAAATCCCCTTTGAACAAAGTTCATCTGAAGGGGATTTTCAGGCTCAGCTTCCGGGCATAAGGTTATATTTTCATACCACTAAGAACTCTTCTTCTTTCTTCTTTGGCGATCACTCGTAGCCGCGTAAGATTGTCTTCCATAAACATGGTTTTAACAGTGAGTCCGTGACTGTGGAGGCCAATTCAGGATCCACACGTCCTTCCACAGTGGGGACATAGGTTTCCGGGCAGGAGTCGACCACAGTGAGGGTTTGCCAAATGTGCCTTCCTCTTAGCACATTTCTCCCTTTCGTCCCGAGTTCTGGTGTCTTCAAAGCCCATGACACCTTTGGTAAAGGCTGTTCTCCAATTGGGGCACTCGCAGTCCAGTGTTTCCCAGTTGTTGGTGTTTATACTACATTTTTTTAGATGTAAGGACTAGGGTTATGCCAGAGGGACCATCCCTTTGAAGCAGTCCTTCAGCATTGAAATGGAACCCTTTCATTTGTCCTTCTGACCAGAAAGTTAGTCAGGAGAAAGAATAGGCAAGTTATAACACAGCCAGAAGGAAAAATGGGGGAAAGAATTAAAAACTGGTGGTGGGGGAGTTTCACAGAGCAAAGAGGTTTGCTGCATGGGCCCCTGCAGTTCCTGCCTTTACAGAACCAAACTTTGTTGTCATGTTGGCCTACACAGAAACCAAGGAATCTGGGAAAGAACAACCATTGCTCAATGGTATAGCACCTGCCTTGCATGCAGAAGGCCTCGGATTCATTCCCTGGCAGCGTGGGAAATACGAAGCACTGGAGAATTTCGGCCAGTCCATGTCGGGAATGCTGAGCAATATGGACACAGCACAAGGCAGTTTCCTGCTAAAATCTGCTCTTTCTTCAGAACCACCCTCACTCACCAAACATCTGCAAAGGCAAGTTTTGGAAGCAACAGCTCAACTATTGCTTAAGCTTAAATCCTTCTAGACAAAGGAGGACCCACGGAAGATGGAAAGGAGACAGACTTTAAAGAGAAAAGCTTTGTTTTGAATGTTGGACCCCAACCAGTTTTAAAGGGCAACTCTTCCCTGTGGCATCTGAAGTTATCCAACCCTGAGAAGCCTCAATGAGTTGCCCGGGGCCATTGATGTTTAAACAGCTCAATTTTTCTTCAGCAAAACAAAACAAAACAAAACAAAACAAAACAAAACAAAACACTTTGCTTCTTTTCCTGTACTCAACCGTGCAGCAGGGAGAGATAATAGCTTGCTCTGATCAGACACAAGATGAAATCAGGAAATGGGAGTTTAAAATCTGGAGCCTGCTTAGGACAACCCACTAACACAGTGCATCTGGTTTCCAGAACTCATTTTACCAGCTGCAATTGGTCTCCAGAGGTTAACTGAGTCCCAAATCAAGATGCAGAGCCCAATGTGAGTTTGCGTTCAAAATGCACGTGCGGTAGAACGGTTAGATTGTTGGGCTGGAAACTGGGGGAGACCAGGGTTCAAATCATTCACTCACAGAAGGCTGACTTTGGGTCAGCCACTAACCTCTCAGCCTAACCTACCTCACAGGGTTGTTGGGGAGGTGGGTTAAATGAAGAGGGGCCAACATGGCGTGATAAAAGTCTGTAAAATTATATCAGGACTACTTGTTGTTTACTGTTGCAACAATTGTTTTCTCAAAATTTATCCTCTGTAGCATGAAAATAAACAGTATTTTTAAAAGGGGGGGGGTCAAACTCTGTCTGCCACCCCCATGGGTAAAAAGGTGGTATAGAAACAATTTTAAAAAAAATTAAAGCAGTCACTAGAAGGATGGAGGTTTTCAAGATTGAAGATTGAAGCAAGATGGGCTCTTGGTGAGGCCTGGCAAAACTTTGTTCCCTTGAGGGTGTTAATTTGCATTGGGAGGAAGACCAGGGCTGGAAATATCCCTGTGAAAGCCTGTGTGATTGTGACTTCCTCAAATAATCTACACTCATTATCTACAAAAATCAGTAACACACATAATAAGGAAGTTAAGCATTGGTTCTGGAACTGACTGTCTTCTTTGCAATTTGCCCATCTAGGGGACTGTGAACAGTTCTGGTTGCATCATTTTGTACCCTGAGCCAGCAGCCAGGAATGACTGGGAAAGTTGCAGAGGGGTCACCAAAAGTTAGATTAATTCCCAGCACCCCCCAAATTAGGAGAGGAGCAGGTGGGAGCAGATAGCAGCAATACGTAGCAGTTGGTAGGTCTGGCATTGTGTGACATCTCTGCTAAGCAAAAAAATAAAATAGTGACCCAACCCCCAGCTCCACATGTAAATTATGCAAATAGTCTGGGTTGTTTTTTTTTGCAATTTATTAGCTTTTGACTAGGAATGACAGCGGGTGGGTGGACTGAAGCCCCCCTCCCTCAAACTAGAGGGATGCTGAATAAGTTTTCAAAGGCCCAATATTTTGTTGTGTGTTGTCAAAACCTTTTCAGCCAACTCCTTTCATGCATAAGGACTAGAAGCTTGGTGTTTCTCTTTTAAATCAAAGCCCAAAATTACCAGGAAGCTGCATTCAGTCTCACATTTTACACTTCTTCTTTGGGCCTCCTTCAAGTTGGCTTGCGGGGGGCGGGGTGTCATACAGACAACCCGGACACTCCCAGCTAACTTTGGCTGGTGCTTTTAATAGAGTGCTGAATGACACACATAGGCCCAAACAGGGAACAATTAAAAATGAGATGGTAAAGTCTTCCTAATATAAAAAGCTAAAGCAGGGCTTAGATGAGCCTTTGCCAACCTGCTGCCCTACTGATGTCACTGGACTCCAACTCCCATCATTCCTCATCACTGGCAGTGCTGGCTGCTGGGAGTTGTAGTTCAGCAGCATCTGGAAGGAACCACAACATCCTTCATCCCTACTTTCCAGCGATTAAGCAGGCCAGCATTGTAGCTTTATTTCCTTTTATTCATTGATACACTTACACCTCAGCCTTCAAATAAAAGAGAGATAGAATTCAGGTTGGTTAAGCTTGACTTAATGCCATAAATAGGATCAGTTTTAGCAGAGACGTTCACATATATAGGAAGAAAAACCCATGTAGTTTCACTGAGACGTTACAAAAATTAGTGTGCATTTTTTTTAAACACAAGCTTATTCAGAGTATAATACAAAAAACACTATTTTAAAAAAGTAAGATAAACACACACACACACAAACACACCCTTCATATTCTCGAAGATTAATACTATTTAAAGTTATTCTCAGCCCAGCTGCTGAGCTCCCAGCGCAGTTTGGCCACCTGCCTCCTGAGCGAAGACTGGGAGAGGTTTCGGGACCGCACTTGGGCAGCCCGCAAGTTCTGCGCCATCACCTGGTAGTAGTTGACAATGGCTTGATCTCTGCAGAGAAGGAGAAAAGTGTGTTACGGTCATCTCACGTCAAAGGACTTCCAAGTTAGATCGGTGAAGACAGGGCAGACACATCCCAAGGAATAGATGCCGCCTATCTGACTGGGCTGCCACAGCCACCCTGGGCAGCTGCCAGCAAATTAAAACATCACAGTAAAATGTCAAACATTAAAGGAGCATTGTTAGCACATTAAATGTTTGGTGTGGATGGAAGCTGACAGCCAGGGCTGTCAACACCCTGGGTTGGTTGGTTGTAAGTTAGAAGGCAAGCCAGTGAGGGCTGACTGAGGGCAGGCCACAGTTGGTGATGCAGCGCCATATTTCACAGAATCGTAGAGTTGGAAGGGATGCAGGAGTCTCTTCCATGGCAGATATTGAAATACTTTATTGTCACTTGTACAACTTGTATACAGTGAGATTACTCGAGCACCCCCCACTCAGCTCTCTTAGTCTTAATTCCCTTCGTTTACTGACGGATACCCACCAAACCCGAAAGTCAGTTGCCCTGTTGTTATCTTTTCATTCAGCAGCCTAACAGCCCATGGATAGAAGCTGTTCTTTACCCTGTTGGTGTGACTAATCATGCTTCTATATCTTCTGCCCCAGGAGATCAAGAAAGCGCTGGCCAGGCACTTTAAATCTGTTTAAAAACCTCCAAGGGAGGAGAGTCCATCACCTTCCCAGGGAGTCTGTTCCACTGTCGAACAGCTCTTACCATCAGAAAGTTCTTCCTAATGTTTAGTCGGATTATCCTTCCTTGTCATTTTATAGAATCACAGAAGTCAGAAGGGACCCCAAGCATCATTCAGCCCAACCCTCTGCAATGCAGAAATCTCAACTACAATAAATCGCCCATGACAGATGCCCATCCAACCTCTGCTTAAAAACCTAGGAAGGAGAGTCCACCACCTGTCGAACAGCTCTTGCTGTCAGAAAGTTCTTCCTGATGTTCAGCTGGAATATCCTTTCTTGTAATGTGAGCCCTACCCTTCGGAGCAGCAGAAAATAAGCCCACTCCATCTTCCATGGGACAGCCCTTCAGATATTTGAAGGTAGCTATCATATGACCTCTCGGTCTCCTCTTCTCCAGGCTAAACATCCCCAACTCCCTCAACCGTTCCTCATAAGGCATGGTTTCCAAGCCCTTAATCGTCTTGGTTGCCCTCCTCTGCACACCTTCCAGCTTTCCAATATCCTTCTTAAATTGGAGTGCCCAGAGCTGGACCCACAACTCCAGGTGGGGGTCTGACTAAGGCAGAATAGAGCAGTACCATAACTTCCCATGAACTGGACATTAGACTTCTGTAGATGTAACCCAGAAGAAATGCACTGGCTTTTCCTGGCTAAACTGCTTGACACCCATGTACCCACCCAAACCATCTGCAAACACATAAGGAAGGCTAGTATTATTCAGGGGGTAGCTGTCATAGAAAACCAGGGGGTAAAGGTTCTGAAGAGGGCTTTAATTTGGCATGCACATATATCTTTAAAAAGCTGGTGTTCTTCATGCAGGAAACGGGTGTGTTAGAGAATATTCCAAGCAAAACAAAAAGAGCACATTTTTACCTGGGTGTTTGTTTTTTTTCTCTTCAGTTAGAAATGAGAGAATCTCTCATATCGCTAGTAGATGGAGAGAATATTAGGAACAAAGGGTTTACAAGCTGAAAAGGTATGAGATTTTCAACTGGCTCATAGGTGGTTCCATTTTGATGCCGCTAGAGCCTTGGTCAGCAACAGGCTGCCCTCTAGAATATCTCAGGACAGGAAGATAAGAGCCACGCTCCTGAGCGCCACCACCTGCCAGCCACCCCCATTGCCACAACCTTCTTTCCATTCCTCTGGATTGGCAAGGAACAAAATCATAGAGTTGTGGGCTTGGACAGGGCCAGAAAGGTCACCCAGTCCTCCAGCTCCCGGCAAGTGCAGGAAGGAAATATCTATGGCAACAACATCCCTGGTAGGTGTGCCATCCAGCTTAAAAAGCAACAACACCAACTCTAAATGGGAAAAAAAAAGTTTAAAAAGGGGATTGAGCAGCATTTGATAACCAAGGACCTGAATGCAGGGTAACCAACATGGAGTGCCCTCCATATGTTCATACATGGAAAAATATAAATGCTAAATAATTATAGAGTGGAGTGTGCTTGTAAAAGCAGCAGAGCCATTTTTCACCAGCTCCTTCTGACGTTTACTTCCATCCTTAGGTGTCTTACAATGAATTTTGAAGGGTCTGGAAGAACCCCCAACCCTGTTGCTGAGGTTGCTGCCAGGAAACCCCTGTTCCTCTCGCAGAGCTACAATTCCCGGAGTGGTCTAACAGTAAATCCCTCTTCCCAGGGAACAGCCCCAAAGAAGCCTGGGAACTGTAGTTTGTTGAGGGTGTTGAGAAGCCTCTATTCCTCTCCCAGAACTACAGTTCCCAAAGTGGTAAATCTCTCTTCCCAGGGAACTCTGGGAATTGTAGCACTCTGGGAGGGGATTGGAGGCCACCCAGCACCCTCAGCAAACTATAGTTCCCAGGACTTTTGGGGGGAAGCCATGGCAATACTGCTTTAAATGTTTGGTGCAGATAATGATAATTGGCAAGGAGTTGCCACCCCTAAGCAGGCATCTTTGTTGCAGTCGGCTGTATCAGTCCTACTCAGAGTAGAATCATTGAAATTAACTGACAAGCCTAGCATCATCGAATTGCAGAGTTGGAAGGGATACAGAGGCTCTCCTAGTCCAATCCTCAGCTTAGGTCTGATCATTTAAGCGAGTTTATTCCAAGTAGAATACAACCTACTGCTTTGGGTGCCCATAAAAACATATTGATAATGTTATTGTCTGCTGTCTTTAAAGCCTGTTTTCAATCATGTGGGGGTTTTTTTATGACTGTTGCATACTCTTATGTAAACCACTTAGAGACTTTAAAAAACAACAACTAAGGGGTAATTTCTCACTGAAGAAATAAATACCCTCCATCTGCAAAAGCACATTTGACCAGGAGGATTGGAACATAGGCACCCTTCAAGTAATGCACTCCCCGCCACAGGCCAGAGTCAAGGCAACTACAGCCCCGCCCTAAATAGCAGGCAAGTAGCCTGGCCAGTGGGAGGAAGAAGCCCCACCCGACACAACGGGCTCACCTCTCTTCTTGGACAATGATGTCGTTGAAGGCCCGAGAGAGACGCTTCAACTGGCGAATGCCGGTGGAGACCAGCTCCAGGTTGCAATCAAATTGTCTGCAATGGAGAGAGAACGAAGGAGGGTCATGAATCGGGTCTTGAGCAAGAGACTGGGGACTTCTTCCTAGCCCGGTCCATTATTATTTATTTAATTCTAGCGGCCTCATAGCTTGGGAATACCAAGAAACCATAAAGTCAGTGTAGTTTTGAAAGGTTCCAGTCTGCCATCTTGAATTAAGATGGGCACTCAATTGTATCCAAAATACAGATGAAAGCCCTGCTCTTTGATCTCAAGAAGCATTGATGATATCATCAGAGGTGTGCAAAGGCACAGCGGGCAGGAAAGCAACTTTCCAAAACGTATAGATTTATCTATAGAGCACTTCAAACTGACCTCTCTTAAGCCAGCTTGAGCCACTAGGATTAGCGCTATGGGGGAATTCAGGCAAGGACCATCAGCAGGAGTAGCCTCCGCAGAACACAACAGACATTCCTTTGAATGGATGAAACAGAAGAGGAAGGAAGGGAGAGAGAGAGAGAGAGGCTGTGTATGTACAGAAAACTCACGAGTCCTCCGTGGCAGGAATGTAGCCTACTCTGCAAGGATAAGAGTAACATCTTTTGCTCTGTCTATTATTATTATTATTGTTGTTGTCATGGTTAATTAAATTTATCCCCCACCTTTCATCAGCAGGTGTCAGAGTGGGTTACAACAATTTAAAATTCAGCATTAAACCAGTTGATGCATACAGTTAATGCATACTATGGAACTTCCTCCCTGGACTAGATGGGCCATTGGCCTGATCTAGAAGGCTCTTATGTTCTAAATCTATTATTCTTATTCAATACAAGCAGCCTCATTGCTCAGGAGTTCAAAGCCACTGCCGTTTTGAAAGGATCAGTCCACCATCTTGAATCAAAATGGCGTCCATCTTTATCCAAACACAGAAGAAAACCCTGCTCCTTGACCTCAGGAAACATCGCAATCCCAGGAATTACCTCTGGCCCTGCCCACAATTGCTATGTGGCCCCCAGAAGGTTTCTCCAGAGAGAAAAGTGGCCCTTGGGCAGAAAAAGGTATACCCCTCTTTGCTGGAAAGGCTGACATAGATCTCATATATGGAGTGGCCTTATATTTCCAAGCAAAGAAGAGGTTTCCCTCAGCCTGCAATTTACATGGAGGGGCCAAGATCTGTAACCAGGAACTTTGGCATGCAGGAGAGATGCCCAGCCACAGAGCTGATCGATCAAAACATCAGCCTCACTGGAAACACCTTTTGAGCCTGAAAATAAGAAAGGCTCCAAGCCTCCATTCCTTCCTCCTAAGCCTTTGCTGGCAAACTAGCTCAGCAAGCAGCAGACTTCTCTTCCACTTGCCTCCTTTGTCGGACAGATGCAGGAGAACCGTATGGGCTTCTCAAGGCTGCAGCCCTCATGGATCTCCGGAGAGGGAGGAGCTCTTTTTTAAGCCGGCAGGAGCCAGGCTGAAAGGGGGATCTCTTGCCGGATGGGGACACAATCCTGGTGTCAGATGTCGGGGTCGAGACAGCGGCAAGCCTGTTGCTCTTGCGGCGAGGGGTCCGGGGCGGCCTGCTTTGGGTTTTGGCAGAGCCCCTGCTGCTGCCACCCACAGAAGCTTTGTTCCAGGAGGAGACTAGCGACCGTGTGGGGCCTTGACAGCTTTTCTGGATTTTCTGAAATGGGAAAAAAAAGTATTTAAGGCAGTTTCAATAGTCTTACATTATCGTCACCAATATTGCTTTAGTGATAATGTCATTGTTTTATCTTTTTTTGTAAACCACTTCTAGGAAGCCAAATTAGCATTCCAGTAGCTGGATCTGAACTTCTTTGAATACCTGCCCATTGCAGCCACCCATACCTGCGACACTGTCCCAAAGGCGTTCTTAGCTGTCCTCGTAAGAGTCCGTAGGTTCTGTCTTTTCTCCTTGGCCTCCAGGCTCTCCCATGTTGGATTCTCGTCAATGTTCACCTCCATTTCTTTTAAAGGCATCCGCTTCCGCAGAGACATCCGCATGGACGTCAGGTTGCGAGAAGACTTCTTCCTGAACCTGTCTGGAAGCGGACTCTCCTCTAGGTCAGGCAGGATCTCGTGATTTCGCCAGCCGACGGCGGACCCCACCACACTCTGGAACACAGATGCCATCTTCCCTTTCCTTGTGCTGGGCTCCCCTAAGCAAAGTATTGTAAATAAGCCCACTCAGGTTTCTAGTCCATAAGATCACAAAAGGGTTACAGGGAGGGGAGGGGAGAACAAAGGCAGGCATTTAGTGTCAGTTGCTAACCACCTGGATTACTCAAGAGGGATCAGTCAAATTCCCATCAGGAGATTTACCATATTTTTCGCTCCATAAGACACACTTTTTTCCTCTTAAAAACTGTACGTCTTATGGAGCAAATGTGTGGTCCCTGAAGCTAAATTGCCAGAGTGCGGCACTCTCCTGATCTGCTCTTTGGGGCTGGCGGGGGAAACCCCGGGTGCCGGCAGAGCAGAGCCTGCCTGCTGCTCCCTGAGCTGCTCTTTGGGGCTGTCCTGGCTTCTGGATTAGCTATGTGCAGCCTCCCCTTGCCCGGAAGAGGCTGTGTGTGGCTATCCCCCGCCAGCCCCAAAGAGCAGCTCAGGGAGCAGCGGGGCTGCGTGCCGCTATCTCATAAGCCAGGACAGCAAGCGGGATCGCTGTGCAGCGATCCCACTGGCTGTCCTGGCTTCTGGGATTCAGAATATTTTTTTCCTTGCTTTCCTCTTCCAAAAACTAGGCGCGTCTAGAAAAGGGCAACCAGATTGATCAAGGGGTTGATGGAGCAATTCCATTATGAGGAAAAGTTGCAGCGTTTGGGATTTTTAGTTTAGAGAAAAGCCGAGTTAAAAGGCAACGTGATAAATGCTTTTAAAAGTAAAGCATGGCATGGAGAGAGTGGATGGAGAAGTTTTTTTCTCCCTCTCTCATAACAGTAGAACTCATGGCTATTCAAGATGCATGTTGGACAGACGGGTAAACTGTGGAACTCCCTCCCACAGGCGGCAGTGAGGGCCGCTGACGTAGATGGCTTTAAAAAAGGATTGGACAAATTCATGGAGGAGAGGAGGGCTATGAATGGCTACTAGCCAGGGTGGCTGTGCTCTGTCTCCGCGGTCAGAGACAGCAATACTTCTGAATCCCAGTTCCTATAAGTCACAGGAGGGGAGAGGGCTCTTGTGTTCAAATCCTGCTTGTGGGTTTCCCAGCAGAGGCATCTGGTCGTTGGCCACTGTGAGAACAAGATGCTGGACTATGGGGGCCACTGGCGTGATCCAGCAGGATCTTCTTGTGTTCAAAACACTATGTAGCTGTATAGCATTCCCAAGCATCACTGGTCGCTGGCTTGAAAAGTTAGTCGGTCTCTAAGGTGCTACTGGAAGGATTTTTTAAATTTTGTTTTGAAAACAAGAAATACTCAGACAGAAACAGCACGCGAGGATAAATGGCTAATGGATCAATGCGCTATCCATTTTTACTGTGGCCGTGCAAAACGATTTCCAAATATTTTGCTTTCCTGGCAACGCGGGGAAAAGCCCAGTCTACGTTTTGTTTTGTGTACTCGAGCTTGTTCCCGATCGTTTTGTATTTTATTCGTTTGTATGCTTTTGCTCGCCCACGCCCTGCAGGAATGTAAGACTCGATTTATTCCGCGTTGCAAAGAAAGGCGCGTCGCATCCTGCTTTGGGGTGCAAAGGGGGAGCCTCTATGATGCCCCGATATTTGCATGCATGCACCTGGCTAATAACAATTGCAGCCGGACCCCAGAGAGCCCCCCCCTTAAACTCACCTCTGCCGCTTGCAGCTGGGAGATCTAGTCCTCTTTTTGCGGGTCCTTGAAAAGATTTCAAATCGGGCGCCGCCCCCTCCTCGCCCTCTTCAGATTGGCTGGACTCGGCAGCCTCCTTAGCAGAAGGGGCGGGGACAGAGTTTTGAGCCAGGAGCCCAAAGGGAGGCTTTCTGTGCATGCTCAGAGTCGCCCCAGTTTCCTGGCCGCGTCTCTGATCTGAAACGCAATACCAGACCAGTGAGGTCTGTTGATTTCACCGCTGCTAAGGCTGATTTTTAAGGGGCAAAAGCGTGGCGCTCTGCACATGTTCGGAGACCATCAAAGCTTCGTGGCCATATCACGTAAATGTGCTCTGGTTTGAAATACACCTTGATCTGAAATTCGCTGACTTGCAAGTTTGCACGTGCTCAGAGCAGCTTCTTTGCTACTACACGGAGGGACTCTAACCTCGAAATCAATTTTTTTGGGAGAGTCCCTGAGATAAGAGTCGCAACTAAACGCAGCACCGCCTCTGAGCACGTGTGAAGTGCTCCTGTCCCCGCAGGCTTTTCAAGCGGGAGGCCAGTGGCTTCCTGGGAATTTGGGAGCTTGCAAATTTGGGCTATTTACATGTGTAAGCACCGAATCAGCCTCGCTATTGCAACCCCGATGGAATTTACTCCTGAGTAAACATACAGCCTCAAGTAAAGCTGGACAAAATGGGAGGTAAAAACCTGCAGGGCTTGTCTCTGAGCATGCACAAAGTGCTTTTCCCTCTCGGCAGTGACCAGCCTCAACCCCCGGGGTTTCAGCCAGACATGGGGCCCACCAGCATCCCTCATTTTAAAATATTCTGAGATTATATCTCTTTTTCCCTCAAAGAGATTGAGGAACATAGGAAGCTTCACGCAGCGCATGAACAGCGGAACTCCCTCCCACTGGAGGCAGAGATGTTGGCCACTAACCTAGATGGCCTTTTTAAAAGGATTAGACGAAATTGTGGAGGATATAAGCTTGTTAGCTGCACTGGCCATGCACTGCCTCCAGAGTCGGGCACAACGATGCTTCTGAATCCCAGTTGCTGGAACCCACAGGAGGGGAGGGGCTCTTGTGTTCAGATTCTGCTTGATGGTTTCCTACAGGCATCTATTTGGCCGCTGTAAGAACTTGGACTGATCCAACAGGCCCTTCTTTTGTTCCAAAGCAGGGGTCAGCAACCTTTTCCAGCCGTGGGCCGGTCCACCGTCCCCCAGACCTTGTGGGGGGCCGGACTATATTTTGAAAAAAAATATGAACAAATTCCTATGCCCCACTCAGAGATGCATTTTAAATAAAAGGCACATTCTACTCATGTAAAAACAAGCTGATTCCAGGACCGTCAGCAGGCCAGACTGAGAAGGCGATTGGGCCACATCCAGCCTTAGTTTGCGTAGCCCTGTTCCAAAGTCATCCAATGTGTCATCACTGCAACTCATGGGAGCAAATTCTGCACATGTACGTGGGGGAAAAGGGTAACGACCTGTGTCAGATCTGAATCTTCAGCTTCTTTGGATGGCCCAGAATTTTATACATCATGTATAATTTCATACACCTTTGTCAAGTGCTCCCCCCCCCAAGCTTATTCATTTCTGAATATGTTTGGAATTGCAGTTGTTTCCCCGCCAGATTCCCTGTCAACCCACTGGCTTGAAAACAGTGAGCTGTAAGACATTTCAGGAATGTAAAGAGGGCTTATGCGTTTATCTGTCAGGAAACGCTTCTCGCCATATAGATAAGGCCGTTTCCTGTCCGTTTTCTTTTTGAAAATGTCAGTGTACGTACGTGCCTTCAGTATGAACCGCACCCTAGCACAAAAGACCCTTTCTTGAAACTTTGCGCATTTTGCTGCCAAAATCCTGGCACGCCGCCCCTGCAAAGAATACTTCCCAACTGAACGCCTTTGGAACGAGAGGAACCACAGAACAAGGCAGCGGCATTTGGGCCTCTTTTATCTCAGCTTGTAAAGGTTTTATCATTTTACCACAACAGCAATATCAAAAGTTACCGTAGCTTTAGCTAAAGGCGGATAAAAAAATGGAAAGGCCAAATGCGTAATTTTTAACAACTTAATTGGACCCTGGGGTGTGCCATATCCTTCCTGCTGGGTAAGGAACAGCCTTTTTATTGAAGAAATCCGGGTTGTCGTTTATGCCTGTCATATTCCAAACAGCATGGATGAACGCTGGGATTTCTGAACTGGGGGTGAAATGAGAGTTTTTGAGCACCTGATGGATGGAGAGTTAGGGGGTGACTCACATTGGGGGTGACTGTGAGGGGCCAGTCACTGCCTCTCAGCCCAACTTACCTCACAGGGTTGGAAAATTGTAACGCAATATCTGTTTTAAAAAGACCAGTGTAATAAAATCAAACAGTGGTAGATAACAGAGGACAAGGCCCAGAAGGGGACCCCAAACATGGCACTGCTGCAGAAAATTCATTTTTCGCACGGCGCAATTCCTAGACAGAAATGTGTGCCGAGTTGGGAGAGTAATAACACAAGCCAGAGATGGGTTAATAGTTTTTACTGCAGCCCCAGGAACTGGATTCAGCCACCCCCTCAAAGGCATCAGGTGGCTCATTTTACTTTGCCTGAGTGGTTTGAAATCAAACCTCACAAGCAAAGGAACAGGCTGCTGCAGATGATCTGCTGATGGGCAGTGCCTACAAATCCCGCCTCCAGCAGGGAGCCGCATCATTTCCTAACGTCATATGGGCGTGGCCCATCCGGGATGGCCTCATAGGGTAAATGGGAGAGGCCTGGTGGGACAAATCCAGCCCAGAGTCCAAACATTTCCTGTGGTAGCGCCATCCCCTGCCAGAACAAGCAAGGAGCTATTATTCCATTTAAAACTTGCTTGCCTCTTCCAATGCCTGAGCAACTGAAGCAAGTGTTTCAAAAACGTTCCCTGACCCACACATGAGGGTCCTATGGTTGTAGCCACAGATATTTGATCTCTTCGGCCAAAAGGGGAATTTCACATGAATGCGGCACAGCCTAAGGCAAACTATTAGGAAATCTAGTTTAAAGCAGTATCAGATAGCTCTATATATGTAGCGCTGCTCTAAATGTGCAGCCCTACCGCAGGCGGGTGAACGTTGCCTTAGTGTAAGCACACGGTGGTAGTTAAACCAGATCAAGTGTGGCAGAATCCAGTTAAGCGAGACAGACCTTTGATAAGCTGCCAGCACCCAAATTTAAGGCAACTTTGTTTTCTGTTTCCTGAGAGCTGAGCCAGGTTACCCAAAGAACAGAGACCCCAAAGGTAGCGTAGAGTTCAAGGGCTTGGCTTCTTGCTTCAGGCGTGACACCAGAAACACAGTTCCCTCATGTTCCTGCAGGGCCCAGGTCTGGAGAGACGCCCAAGCCCCCTTTGGGACAAACTCCACCATCCACAATCTGGAAGAACGAAGCATGCCAAGGGTCATTTTGGTGGGGTCTATGATCTTCCTACCTCCCCTCCATCCTACAGTGCTATATGAAATGGAGCAAAAATCACCTGTGGAAATGCAACTGGGGAATGTTCAGGGGTGCAAATTTCGCACACAGAAACCCACGGAACCACTGACTACGTGGCAGGAATCTGACCACACCGAAGGGATCAATTGAGAAGGCAAAAAGGCAACACTGGGTTTCCAGGACTGCAAACAGAACGAGGTGCAGTTATTGCCCCCGCTTGGGGAGGGGTGAGAGGCACAAAGTTTTCAGGGTTACCTTTTGCTCAAAAATGACAAATTGCTCTTGCCTGCTTCTTCGAAAGCACACTGCTCATCAGTGAGTAGAGCAGAAGATGAGAACCCGCCTCAGATTTGTCTGGTGGTTATCAAAGACCTCCTTGCAAAGGTTTCCGAGGCTAATGAAAATGCTAAAATCTCCCTGAAATGATCTTAAACCAACCTGGCTTTCTCAAGACTACAATTCCCATCATCCCCCAGCCAGCATGATGAGAGTTGTAGTCCAAATCAACTGGAAGGTGAAGGCTTGTCTGTAGACTGTGGCTCTAAGAGGAGTTCTGGCTGTTGTTGTTTTGAGAGTGTCAACACCCCGAGATGTCCTTGGCTTTGTTCTTCCGTTGGAATCGGGTGTCCGTTGGGTCAAAGCCCCTTTCCTTCGCCCCAAAGACAGCCCACTGAGGAGTCGGGGCAACATAGTCAGCCGAGGTGAACGTCTTGGCTCCCCCGCTCTGCTCGTACTGGCGGAAGAGGTCCTGAAAGCGATCGTAGTTGATCCAGGTGTGCCACTCCCCGCTGATCTTGAACTGCAAAAGGAAAGGGAGACACACACCCCCATGAACCATTGATCGTCCCCCTCCAGAAAAATTGTTTTTTTTAAATTAAAAAAACAACAACGGGACAAAGAACAAAAGATCAAATCAGAGACAGCAAGCTCAGTTGGCACAAGCTTGAGGCTTCAAATTAAACTCTGCCGCATCAACAACAAAAAGATGATGACAGTCAGGACTGCAAAGTCCTGATCAAAACTGTGTGTGCTATAGAATTCCATTATCCGATTCAAAATTATAGTGCCCAGGTTGGGGTACACCAGAGTTCCCCCTTGATGATTTTGATCAAGGTCAGGGTGAGACGTTCTCTCCCTTCCTTGGAGAGGTAAATAAAGACTTATCAGTTCCTTTCCCCCGTGACTACACCTGACCATTTTCTAAACACTATTTGTGCCTTTGTTTGATCTACCATTTTCCCGACGTTTGCATCTGCTTTAGTTTTTACAATATTGTTTTAATCGGTGAGATGTTTGGGGGTTTTTTTGTTTTTTTTTTTTGTTTTTTTTAATAAATGGATTTTATTTAGGATAGTGCTTATTATTTTGCCAGCTACAGAAAGCAACCCAGTCCTTCCCATCTCAGCAGGGTACAACCACTGTCGACACGTGGCTAAGAAGTACAGAAAGATGTTTGTTTTTGTGTGTGTAAATATTGACTTACTGTCACTGCCATGAAGCGTTTTGAACTGTGTTACGATTGAAAAGCAGCGAGCAAAGAAAAAAATATATAAGCTGAAGACATCTTCGCAAGCTTAAGGATCAGAAACTTGAGGTCGACAGTTCAAATCAATGGTGGCAAAAAAAGGATCCGCCTACCTTCTTGTGGGCGATCAGGAGGCAGTTGGAGTGCTCGTGCTCGCAGGCGATTTCGTAGTCCGGGAGGAGGTCGACCAGCTCCTGGACAAAGTGCCCCACCTCCTCGTGCCACGGGATGTTGGCCATGGTGAGGTTGCTGGCTGAGCTTTCTCCACAGTAGGTCACACCCTGTCAGAGAAAGAGGAAAACGTTTCAGGTCTGTAGAGGAAGGGATAGGGAAACTGGTCTGGGGGTCACATGCGAGCCAGCACTAAATCACATCGCTCCAAGTTGGACTTCTCTTTATTAGCAAGAACATAATCTACACAGGCTTGGTAGAGTGCCAGGCCAAATGAGCACAGCAGTTCATCTCTGTAGACCTTGTCTCATGGATCAGTTGCCAAGACTCAAAATCCCCATCTTCCAACAGCCGTCTAAGTTCCCGCCTCGCCAGGGCTTTTTCCTAGCAATCAGAGACTGCACTTGTGTGAAGCCAAACTGTCCTCTGCCCTCTTCATGCCTCTTATGGTTCTGGGAGACCAGGAGGGGGGTGGAGCTTGTCGCAGAAGAAGGGGGAGATACCTAGGACTCTCCACCAGCCTGACTCCTCTCTGCCTCTTGGCCTCCCTCCTCCCCTGTTTCAGCTTCTGCCTCCGAGTCTGGGCTTCGCTCTGCCACAGATTCTTTCTCCCTTCTCATTAAACCATGTTGCCTCTTCAGCTTTTGACACTTCCTTCTCCCAGGCTTCTCCCTCTGGTCACTTATCGTTGTCCCACCACCACTCCCCGGGCTCTGAGCCTTCTTCCCTTGGAGGTTTCCCAGCTGGTTCCTCCCACCATTTCTCTGTGTCCAACCAGTCCGGGACTCAAGTGGTCCACTACACCCACTCTTCCCAGGCCACACCTCTCACCAGCCCTGCATCACATCCTCCTTGTTTGGGCCTGGCTGGAGAAGAGGGGACACATTCACACTACACGTTTAAAGCACTACAATACCACTTTAAATAGCCCTGGCTCCCTGCCACTGAGAATTCTGGGAGCTGTAGTTTGTGAAGAGCACTGAGAGTTAGGAGGCCCCTCAGATAGCTACAATTCCATGAGTTCACTGGGGACAAGGATTGACTGTTAAACCACTCTAGGAATTGTTGTTCTGGGACAGGGTCTCCTAACACCGCTCAGCCCCCTATATAATAATAATAATTTATTATTTATACCCCGCTCATCTGGCTGGGTTTCTCCAGCCACTCTGGGTGGCTTCCAACCGAATATTAAAAACAATACAGCATCAGGCATTAAAAACTTCCCTAAACAGGGCCGCCTTCAGTGGTCTTTTAAAAGTAAAATAGTTTTTTATTGCCTTGACATCTGCTGGGAGGGTGTTCCACAGGGTGGATGCCACTACTGAGAAGGCCCTCTGCCTGGTTCCCTGTAACCTCAGTTCTCGCAGCGAGGGAACCGCCAGAAGGCCCTCAGCGCTGGACCTCAGTGTCTGGGCTGGATGATGAGGGTGGAAACGCTCCTTCAGGTATACTGGACTGAGGCCGTTTAGGGCTTTAAAGGTCAGCACCAACACTTTGAATTGTGCTCGGAAACGTACTGGGAGCCAATGAATATCTTTCAGGACCGGTGTTATATGCTCTTTGCGGCCACTCCCAGTCACCAGTCTAGCTGCCACATTCTGGATTAATTGCAGTTTCCGAGTCACCTTCAAAGGTGGTCCCACATAGAGCGCATTGCAGTAGCAAACTATGGCTCCCAGAATTCTTTGGGGGAAGCCTTGACCAAAGGCCCATTAAGCCCAGCAGAACAGCCAACCAGATGCCTCGGGGAAGGCCATAAGCAGGGACACAAAGGTGACAGCCCTCTCCCATCCCTTGAACCCAGGAACAAGCAAGTCAGCCATACTGCTGTTGGACAGGGAGACTCCACTCTGCCAGCAGTGACAGATCTCCCTCTCCCCTCCACAAACCCACAAACTATTTTTGCAAAGGCAGGTCTGAAGTGCAAACAAGAGCAGCCAAACCCAACCTGCCCTTTGGGTATTTTGGTGTGCTTTTTGGATCCAGGCCCATGCAAACCATCACTGCAAAGTGTTAGCTGTGCAAACTTTCATTGTTTTGGTAGGCTGAATTTGCACTCAGGGAGGGTGGAGGTGGTGGTGAAGTCTGTTATGAGAAGGACGATGCCACCCTGATGATCAACAACTCACTTTAACCTCGATAAAATCCGGTTTGCCAAGAGACACCAAGTCAGAATAGGCCTTCAGTTCCTCCACGTTCCAGGCTTTCACCAGCGTGAGCCGATAGACAGTGCGCTGTTGCTGACAGGGGAAAAAGGAAGCGGGTTCAAATTAAACTGCGCCACATCAACAACGAAAAGAAGGTGACAGTCAGGACTGCATAGCCCTGATCAAAACTGTTTGCACTACAGAATTCTGTTATCTGACCACATTTTGAAAGCTGCAGATAGTGAGCTTTTCGGTCACACGCAGTGGAAGAGGCCACAAAGTGAGAGAGGGAGACTAAGGTCACACTAACACCATGCACTTAGACACTCATGGCTTCCCCCAAATAATTATGGGAATGATAGTTTGTTAAGGGTACATTAATAGAATTGTGATGCTTTATATGAGAGTGTAGCTGATAAACATTTAAATAAACAAAATTGAACAAAAATAAGAATTGGGGGGGGGGTGAATCCCTAGTCACCCTGGGGTAGGGATAGGCAAACTCTGGCCCTCCAGATGTTTGGGACTACAATTCCCATCATCCCTAGCTAACAGGACCAGTGGTCAGGGTTGATGGGAATTGTAGTCCCAAACATCTGGAGGGCCAGAGTTTGCCTATGCCTGCCCTGTGATCTAAAAAGGCAATGCTAGCAAATATGAAATATTGTGCCAGGCATGACACGGAGAGGTGGAGGGGCTATCTGAAAGACCATATTCTTCCATATGAACCTGCCCAGGCTCTGAGGTCTTTGGTGAAGACCCTTCTCTCAATCCTGCCACCCTCACCGGCACGCTTGGTGGGGATGCGGGGCAGGGCCTTCTCAGTGGCTGCTCCCAGACTTTGCAACTCCCTCCTAGAGAGGCTAGACTGGCTCCCTTCTTGTCCTGCTGCCGGCAAGTGAAGACTGTTTTATTCCGACAGGCCTTTGTGGACTGGCTGGTTTTTTTAAGGAAAGGGCTTTTAATAAGACTGTGCTGTTTTTATTATAACTGTATTTTTTAAAAATTTGTTTTTTATATTGTCTTAATCCTATTAGAGATTAATTACTCTTTAACGATTGCCTTTTATATGTTTTTAGCTTTTTCTGTTGCATCTGTGCTGCTTTTAACTCGTTTGAGCCACCCTGGGAGAAAGGCGGGATAAAAATGCATAAAAATTGATCTTCTAGAAAGGACAAAGCACATGCTGTTATGTTTCTCGTCTTAAGTTTTGAATAAGCAGGTGCAAATCTTACTAAAGCTCACTATTTGAGCACAGTTTAGCAGAAGCCAGACCCTCTGGAAAACATTCATTGCTTTTATTTAAATAATGGTTGTAAAAAATAAAATGTGCTAAAAAATAAATAAATGCATAATCATTTAATAATAATAAAAGTAATAAAACCTGAGCTTTTGGCCTAGAGAATCAAGCTGAAATGCCTTCAGCTTGATCACAACCTTTCACTTACCTTATTGCAGCAATGGAGGGTGAGAGAGAATGACAACAACTGAACAGGGTACCTTTTCTGCCAAGGCTTGCAAGCTGTCCAGAAACCTCTGCCAGAAATCCTTGAAGAGAGGCCGGTCGATCTTCTTCAAGCTGTCTCTGGTGCCTGCGTCGACGCTGACGTAGAGCTGCGTCACAGGTTCGAGGCTCCTTTTCGGCAGGAGGGGAAGGGAAGGGAAGGGAAGGGGGGGAGGCCCCAAGAGAGTTTAGAATGCTGTATCCAAAGAAAAATCAAGATACATTTCCCCCTCCCTCGCAAAGGAAAAAGAGCTTGTCTAAAGCAGGGCCAGGGAACCCTTTTCTAACCCAAGGGCCAAATGCCCTCCTGATTAACTTGCTGGGGGCCACACGCCTGCAGCAAAAAGCAGGTGGAGTGATGGATGCTTCGTACAGTAAGCTACATTCCACACATGCAAAAGTCTAAGGTTCCTGGACATATCCAGGGAAGGAAGAGAAATTGTCACAGGTCAAGGAAACATTTCAGCAAGGCATGAGAGCATAAGAAAAACCCTGCAGGATCAGGCCAATAGCAGAGGGCCTTCTCGGTGGTGGCGCCCGCTCTGTGGAACGCCCTCCCATCAGATGTCAAGAAAATAAACAACTACAGTCATACCTTGAGTTGAATGCGCTTTAGGTTGAGCGCGTTCGAGTTGCGCTCCGCGGCAACCCGGAAGTAACGGAGCACGTTACTTCCGGGTTTCGCCACTCGCGCATGCGCAGACGCTCAAAATGACGTCACACGCATGCGTGGTAGCGGCGAAACACGGCATGCGCATGCACCATTGCATCTTGCGTTCTGCTTGGGATGCGAACGGGGCTCCGGAACGCATCCCATTCACATCCCAAGGTATTACTGTATCTGACTTTTAGAAGACATCTGAAGGCAGCCCTGTTTAGGGAAGTTTTTAATGTTTGATGTTTTACCACTTTTTCATCTTTATCATCATCACCATCATCATTTTGTTGGGAGCCACCCAGAGTGGCTGGGGTATAAATAAATTAATTATTATTATTATTATTATTATTATCATCATCATCTAGTCCAGCATCCTGTTTTCACAGTGGTTGACCAGATGCCTCAATAGGAAACTTCCCAAGCAGGATTTGAGCACAAGATCAACCTCCCCTCCTGAAGTCCTTTTTTCCTGTCCTGAATCTTCCAACATGGTATTAGGAGAGAGGGAGAAAATCTTTTCTCTATCCACTTTCTCCATGCAATGCATGCCTTTTATAAACTCGTATCATGTCACCTTTTGCTCACCTTTTCTCTAAACTAAAAAGTCCCAAACGCTGCAAGCTTTCTTCATAAGGGTCACTGCATCCCCTTGATCCCTCTGGCTGCCCTTTTCTGAACCTTTTCCCAATAATTCTGGTCTCTCAGTCTAAGCTACCTCACAGGGCTGCTGTGAGGGTGAAACGGGGAGGCAGAGAACCCCGTATGCCATCTTGAGGCCTTGGGAGAAAAAACCACAGGAAATAGATGGAAGGATAACGAGAAAAGCAGCTTCTCTACCGGGCCTCACCTGATTTCCTCTGGGAACTGTGCATTTGTAACTAGGAAGCTTGAAATGTTCTTGTGATGGAGCAGCTTTAGGAAACGGTTGATTTCGGGGTACATGATTGGCTCCCCAACAAGAGACAGGGCACAGTGCTTGGGTTCCATCCCTTCTTCAAAACGGTCGTTCCTCACGCCCGGGACACCTGCAAAACGGAGGAGAAGAGGAGGAGAAGAGGGGTCTCTGTGGTCTTGCGCAGATGTAGCCTAAACAGCTCCACCCACTGAGGGACTGGAAGAAAGAAGCTGACAACTGGGAGGGAGGAGGGAGTAAGAACCTGGCACCCAGAAATCTCCACGTACTTGCAATTGGATCTGCGCCAGTAGCAAAACGCACCTGGCACCTGGGGAATTTCGAACATGGCCTATTGGCAGCGGTTTCAGGCAGTTTCTCCCACTCCTGCTTGGAGATGCTGCCTTGTGATTGCAAGGCACTGAGCAAGAGCACAGGCAGCCCCTGGAATACCTTTGAATTGCTTGATCAGGCTCTGGTGGTTCTCAATGGCCTCCTGCAAGATCATTTCGGGAGGGTCCATTTTCCACCGCCACTCTGTGCCCACAGGGTTTGTGTGGTGCCTGAAAATAATTTAATATGAATTAAATATATACTACACCATAGTCACTGTGAATAGATTGTACTGTGGTACCTCGGGTTAAGTACTTAATTCGTTCCGGAGGTCCGTTCTTAACCTGAAACTGTTCTTAACCTGAAGCACCACTTTTGCTAATGGGGCCTCCTGCTGCTGCCGCGCCGCCGGAGCACGATTTCTGTTCTCATCCTGAAGCAAAGTTCTTAACCTGAAGCACTATTTCTAGGTTAGCGGCGTCTATAACCTGAAGCGTATGTAACCTGAAGCATATGTAACCCGAGGTACCACTGTACAAAGCTACCTCCCACACATATAAGGCACCCCTCCTTCCCTCTGTAAGAAAAGCCTTAATTAATCAAGTTTTCAGCATTCTGTCCCCATTAGTGGACACTAAGATTTAGGCCACATTCACGTAGCACTATGATACTACTCTAAGCAGTCATGGCTTCCCCCAAAGAATTCTGGGAGCTGTAGTTCATTAAGGACGCCGAGAGTTGTTGGGAGAGATCCCCATTCCCCTCCCGGAACCACAATTCCCAGGCTTCCCTGTGGAAAGGGATGATTAAACAATTCTGGGAACTGTAGCCATGTGCAGGGAATATTGGGCCTCCTAATAGCTCTTAACAAACTACTGCTATCAGGATTCTTTGGGGGAAGCCAAGACAGTTTTAAGTGGTATCATAGTGCTTTCTAGCTATAGTGTGAATGTGGCCACAGATTCATAAGAGACCTGCTGGATCAGGCCAACGGCCCACCTAGCCCAGCATCCTGTTCTTACAGTAGCCAAGCAGATGCTTGTGGGGAACCTGCAAGCGGGATTCAAGCGCAAAAGCACTCTCCTCTCCTGTAGTTTCTGGCAACGGGTATTCGGAAGCATTAATATGGAGGCAGAGCAAAGCCATTGTGGCTAGTAATCATTGACAGCCTTCTCCTCCTGCATTAATTTGTCCAATCCTCTTTCAGGTTGGTGACCTCCTGTGGCAGTGAGTTCCACGGTTTAACTTTGTGCTGCATTAAGAATGGATTTCTTTTATTTGCCCTGAATCTCCCAATATCCAGCTCCACTGGATGTCCACAAGTTCCAGTGCTATGAGAGAGGATGAAAAACTTTCCTCTATCCACTTTCTCCATGCCGTGCATAATTTTATATGCCTCTATCATGTTGTTGCTTCTTACTTGCCTTTTCTCTAAACTAAAAAGTCCCAAACTCTGCAGCCTTTCTTCAAAGGGGAGTCGATCACATCCTCTCTCTCTCTCTCTCTCTCATATAAAACTTGGCCACCCATTGAAAACCAGTTGGCTGCCAATACAGGAAATTTTACAAATGGCGACAACTCTGCCGCCACAAAAACCCATTTCTGGGTCGTTCCCCCAAAAGAAAAAGATACCATCATAAGAGGAGTGGCCTGGCTAGGGCCACCAGCAATGGCAGCTAAATGCAAACCTCCCTGTGCAGGAGCAGTCTATCTCCAGCTCAAAAGGTACTCAAAAGGTGAACCACAGGGGAAGGACGATGCTGTCATGCCTGGCTTGCGGATTTCCCAGAGGCAACTGGTTGGTCACTGCAGGAAAAGAGAATGCTGGACTGGACCAGGGGGGATGGGGCGGGCTTTGGTTTGTGTCCACAACCCCTACCCAGTTTCTCACCTCCAGCAGAAGACACACTTGTTGGCGCAAGCCAAGCTGGGCGTGGTCTCCAGGCAGCGGTGGCTCTCAATGCCATAGAAGGTGTGCTTGTAACAGCCGCCTCTCCCACGGAGCATCGACTGGTGGGAGGCAAATAGAAAGCAATACGGTTAGACAAAAATCCCCAAAGCTAAAAATGCACTGGAATCAGAACACATCCAACTAGCAGAGATTATTTATAGGAGGCCTTTGCGGAAGAGGAAAGGCATCTCTTAAAAAGGTGGGCACAATGGAAGGGATGAGGAGCATCTATGGATCACAGCTCCTGCCATTCCTGACCACTTGGCCATGCCGAAGTGGTCTGGAGGGCCACAGACATTCCTCTTCACTGATTCAAGAATCCACCCAGGGAAGGAAATTAAATACCTTTGTCCACCGACAGAGCTTCACTCCAGAGTGGCTCCCAATCAACTTGTAGCCTGAAATCAGAAGAGAGATTTGTTTGTTTTCTTGAGCGTAAGGAGATCTAGCAGAAACACATGACTAAAGGAGCCTGCACCAACCCTCATCCTGTGTTTTAGCCTGGCTGGAAACAGGTCCTTGAACTCTGGAAATGCCTATTTGCTTGCCTGGATGGAGAACAGAGAGGGCTGGGTGAATGTGAAGAAACGAACCTACCGTACAAAGGTAAAATTCACCGGCATGTGCTCAACCCTGAAGGCTGCTCATAAGGGAACCAGTGTCAGAGGGTGTGGGAATCGGCAGCAACAACAGCACCTAACCCCAATCCTGCCAAGTGACCCCTGGAATGTAGAATTATTCCTGAGGGAACATCTCCACCCCCATCGTTCAGCCCAAACACTGAGGTCCTCCTCTGAGGGTCCTCTGGTGGTTCCCTCAGTGCGAGAAGTGAAGCTACAGTGAACCAGGCAGAGAGCCTTCTCGGTAGTGGCACCCACACTCTTTGGAACACCCTTCCATCAGATGTCAAGGAAATGAGCAACCTTTAGAAGACTTCTGAAAGAAGCCCTGTATAGGGAAGCTTTCTAATGTGCAGTGTTTTATCATGTTTTTATATTTGTTGGAAGACACCCAGAGTGGCTGAGGCAACCCAATCAGATGGGCAGGGTACAAATATTAAAATCATTAATATTATTATTATTATTTATTAGGAGGAAGCTCTCAAACTCACAATATATTTGCAAATATCCAACCTCACTTTCCTGAGGTTGGCACAGTTGCTTGAGAAAAGAGAGATACAACAACCAGAACAGAAAAGGGCATGCGCCTCAAAAGGATCCATTTTCAAGCACCTTTTACCAACAGGGGCAAGATGCCACAACTGCATTTGTGCCTGGTTAGGCGCTGTGGGTTAAACCACAGAGCCTAGGGCTTTCCGATCAGAAGGTCGGTGGTTCGAATCCCCGCGACGGGGTGAGCTCCTGTTGCTCGGTCCCCGCTCCTGCCAACCTAACAGTTCGAAAGCACGTCAAAGTGCAAGTAGATAAATAGGTACCACTCCAGCGGGAAGGTAAACGGCATTTCCGTGTGCTGCTCTGGTTTGCCAAATATGGCTTAGTCATGCTGGCCACATTACCCAGAAGCTGTACGCCGGCTCCCTCGGACAGTAAAGCGAGATGAACGCCACAACCCCAGAGTAGGCCTCGACTGGACCTAATGGTCAGGGGTCCCTTTACCTTTTACCTAGTGGGCTTCCCTGAGGGCATCTAGTTTGGCCAGAACAGAATGCTGGACTGGATGATTTGACGCAGCAGAGCTCCCCTTAGGTTCAAGGGCTGCTGATCAGGAGAGGAAAACTGAGACTGGAGAACCTGGAGACAATTCCTGCCAATCACACCCAGCTTTTTCCTGCCAATCATGTCCATTTTTCTAGCCCAGGCAGGCCAAGGACAGGTGGCAAGCTCCTCAGCCTAGGACAGATGCACTTCCCCCCCACCAGGTCTCCTTGCACCCTGGAGTCTCCTGCCCCTTGGGCCTCCTTGCAGTCCCCATCACCTTGTTTCGTGAGGGCATCCCGCAAAGCTGGCGTGATCATTTCTCTCAAGGCATCCTCTCCTCTCCGCTGGAGCCGCCCCGTCTTCTCGACCTCTCGGTCCAGCTCACGCTCTCTCTGCAGAGGGATGGCAAAACCAGGCCTCACTTTCTTCATTAGCAGAAGCAACAGAGTGTTAATGAGCAACAGAACAAACAGATCGCCAGCCCCATCAAATTCAGGGAAGGCACAAACATTCTCTTTAGCGTTGGTCCTAGAGCAGAAGGATGAAGGTACATCTGCAGCTCTCCATAAGAAACCTGCTGGATCAGGAGAGGCTTTTTTGTGTTATGGAACTGTAGAATTGGAATAGAATACCAAGGGTCATCTAGTCCAACCCTCTGCAATGCAGGAATCACAGCTAGAGAATCCCTGACAAAAAGCCATCCAACCTCTGATTGAAGCCCTCCCAACGCAGGAGAGTCCACCACCATCAAAGGGAGCCCTTTCCTCTGTCAGACAGCTCTTACCCTCAGAAAGTTCTGCCCAGTGTTTAGTCAGAATGTCTTTTCCTGCAATTTGAATCCATTGGTTTGGGCCCTACCCTCTGGAGCAAAAGAAAACAAGCTTGTTCCATCTTCCATGAGACAGTCCTGCTATCACATCTCCTCTCAATCTTCTCTTCTCCAGGCTAAGCATACACAACTCCTTCAACTGTTCCTCATAAAGCTTAGTTTCCAGACCCTTGATCACCCTCCTCGGCACACGTTCCAGCTTGTCAACACCCTTCTTAAAGGCAGCCATTTTGTGATATACCCCACTCTCACAGCAGCCATTTTGTGACTGGTGCCCAGGACCCTTTATCAGAATTCCAAATTTACCAAGCAGCCCTCAAAAGGTTGGCAAGCCCAGGGATATGTCAAAGTGTTGGGGCCTGCTTTCTTGCTTTCTGCACTACTAACTCTTTCCATCCCAAAAAATGGAAGTGTGATATTTATTTATCGGATCTTCATTGGTACCAAGGAGAACAACTTATAGGAGCCAAACCATACCATATACTGGACACAACCTCTCTACCACATGCTTCGTTATCAGTGTAAACAATAAAACCATATCAAATTGCATGAAAACCGCCGCGCTTCTTTTGCCCTCTCATCACTTTGAACTTGTCAGATTATTTTTCTAATACCGGAGTCTGCCAAACTGTGTTGTACCACTGGTCTAGGATTAGAGGCGTTAGGGATTTCCAAGCTTGACTTAAACCCTGTGATTGTCATCTGAGGCCCTTTCTCAGGAGTTCTGGAGGGCAGCAACACAAGAACGGGCCTTTTCTGCGGTGGCTCCCCATTTGTAGAATGCTCTCCCCAAGGAAGCTTGCCTGGAGCCTTCATTACATATCTTTAGGTGCCAGGAGAACACATTCCTCTTTAACCAGACCTTTGACCGTTAAACAATCTATGTTCTTTTAAGTGTGCCGGGGGGGGGGGGTATTCTTTATTATATTATGCATTTTGTGTTCTTAAGTTGTAAACCACCTGTGATCTTCGGATGTAGGACGGTATTAAAATTTAACAAATACTAATAATAATTTAGGAACAGCTGTATACAAGTATTTTTATAAATGAACCAACGAGAACACACAGCCACAGGGCTGAAAATAAGAGTTCACCGTTACCTGGGCTTTCTTCATGTGGCCCATGACTCTGCCCAGGTCTTCCACATCCACCATCTGGTTCGCACCCTCTCCCTCTTCATTGCCAGAATCCTCTTCGCTCGTGGTCTCAAAAAGCTCCTCCTCCGCCACCTCCTCCTGTGAAAACAAAAGAGGGCTTGCAAATGCCACACGGCCCAAAAACACCCTGCTCTCCTCCACCCACCCACCCCCACAAAAGGCCACTAGGCTGGATTTATTTCTTTATTTTTACATTTATATCCCACCTTTCGCTCCTCCAATGAGCTCAAGGTGGCATACATAGTTCTCCCCCCTCCTCATTTAATCCCCACAACAATCCTGTGAAGTAAAAAAAAAAAAAGGTAAAGGACCCCTGGACGGTTAAGTCCAGTCAAGGGTGACTCTGGGGTTGCGGCGCTCATCTTGCTTTCAGGCCCACAGACAGCTTTCTGGGCCATGTGGCCAGCATGACTAAACCGCTTGTGGCACAACTGAACACCATGACGGAAACCAGAGCGCAGGGAAACGCCGTTTACCTTCCCACCACAGCAGTACCTATTTACCTACTTGCACTGGAGTGCTGTCGAACTGCTAGGTTGGTAGGAGCTGGGACAGAGCAACGGGATCTCACCCCGTCGTGGGGATTCGAACCGCCAACCTTCTGATCAGCAAGCCCAAGAGGCTCAGTGGTTTAGACCACAGCGCCACCTGCCTCCTGCGAGGCAGGTAAGGTTGAGAGACCGTGATGACCTCCCTTGATCTGGACACTGGACGTCTCTTGATGCAGCCTAGAATCGCATTAGCTCCTTGTGCTGCAGCATCACACTGTTGGCTTGCTGTCCACACCCAGTCCCACTCACCCTCTGCTCCTGCTCCAACGATGTCTCCTGCCCAGCTTTCCTCTTGGAGCGGCACTTGCCCTTCTTACACTCCCCTCTGCAGGCCGCCTTCTCCCCTCTGCAGAGGGCCTGGAGCCTGGCCAGGAACTTGGCCTCCCAAGCCTCAAAGTCAGCCTCCAGGCTCCCATGCTTGCTCTTCACCACATTGGCGTCCCCCAGGGCGCAGGAGAGGACCCGCCGGGCCCCGAGCATCCACAGCCATTTGTCCACGCTCCTGCCCACCTGCGGCGGAAACACAAGAGACCTGGGCGTAAGCAACGTAGGAAGCTGCCTGAGTGAAACCGTGACGTTCGTCTAGCTCAGTTTTGTCTGCACTGACTGGCAGCAGCTCTCTAAGGTTTCAGACAGGGGGACATTCCCAGGCCTACCAGGAGATGCTGCCGGGGATTGAACCTGGGACCTTCTGCATGCAAGGCAGACGCTCTGTCACTGAGCTACAGCCCTGGGGAAGGCAGACCTTTAGGTGATTGAGTCCTAAAACCATCAATATGTACCTTGCCACCCTTGTCAAAATAGCCCACCAGGGCTAGGGAGCTAAAGATCTGGCCCGCTGGTGGAATCCTGCTATACGTCCAATTTAAAAGAAAGAACAAAATATATTGTAAGAGCAAATGCAGGTGGTGGGATGGTATTAGTTTAAAAACCACCAGGTCTGTCTAAAAAGCCAGGACAGTCCAGCAACAAGTCAAAGATGACTGTTATGGGATGCTCTTCCTTGCAAGTTCTTAAGGGAAGATTGGGCAGAAATCCCCTGGAGATTCTTTAGGGGCAGGATTTGCTCTCTGAGGGTAACAGGTCAGATCAGATGATCCCTTGAGCCCTCTCCCTCATCTCAGTTTCTCATTGACTATTTAATTACTTATTTCATAAAATTCATACACCGCTCGATTGTAAAAAAAACAAGAACGCTTTTAGCAGGCGCCAAAAATAGTACAGCAAAGGCGCCTACCTGAAATCATTAGGCAGGGAGTTCCCAAGTGCAGGTGCTTCTGCACAAAAAGAGGGATTTCTTCCAAATGTGGAATGGGTATTATGTGGCACCCGTGGCAAAACTAGTTTCACCAATCGAAGTGGTCAAGGGGGCCTATATGGGAGACGATCTCCTGGGTAAACTGGACCCAAGTTGTAAAGGGCTTTAAAATACTAATAGTAACAGCTTGAATTTGACCTGGAAGCAAACTAGCAAGCAGCGCAGATCTCTGAGCAGAGGTGATATATGCTGACGTGGCCTCACTCCTGTAAGCAATTGTGCTGCAGCATTCTGCACTAATGGCAGCTTCCAGATCAAGTGCAAGGGAAGCCTCACATAGCAGCAGAATCTGTTCTCGGAGGGCAATGGGTCAAACTAGATGTCCTCCTGTGACCCACCCACCCACCGCATCTCAGTTTCTCACCAGCTCTCAGTATCAATTCTAGCAGGAATGACAAAAGGGACTCACAGTGTTGTAGTGATCGGCATAGAGAGAATTCCCCAGGCCAAAGACGGCATATCTCAAGCCCTTCAGGTACGTTTTGCCAACTCGAAAGTCACTGGATGCTTCTTCTAGCCACTTGCAGAACCACACGGCATTCTCTGTCGGCTTCCCATCTGTGTAAGTGGCAACTAAGAAGACGCAGATGTTCTTGCTGCTTGTCTGGAGAGATTCCCACCAAATGGGGGAAAAAATTCTCTGTTATTATTTTTACGCCTCTCCCTCATAGAATTGTAGAGTTGGAAGGGATCCCAAAGGCCATCGAGTCCAACTCCATGCAATGTGGAAATCACTGCTAAGAAATATTAACTGCATGGAGTACAGGTTTTCTCAATTGTATGTTTTAGTTCACTAACCAATTACTGTATTTTTCGCCCCATAGGACGCACCGCCCTATAGGACGCACCTAGTTTTTTTGGGGGGGGAAATAAAGAAAAAAAATTTATTTCCCCCCCCCCCCAGGCACGGGGCTGGCGCGGGGGAAGCCCGAGCTTCCCCCGACCCCAGCCCCCAGAACAGCCTGCTATCCGCAAGCCTAGGGAGCCGCGCCGGTCTCCCCAGGCTTGTGGAGAGCTGCGCAAAGCCCGGGCGCACTCTTCAGTGCGCCGGAGGCTTTGGAATGCAGGCAGCTCTGCGCAACCTTTGGGAGCCCGGCGCGGCTTGGCGCCGGGCTCCCGAGGGTTGCGCAGAGCTTCCTGAAGCCTGGAGAGCGAGGTGCGCACCGACCCCTCTCGCTCTCCAGGCTTCAGCGAAAGCCTGTATTTGCCCCATAGGACGCACACACATTTCCCCTTCATTTTTGGAGGGGAAAAAGTGCGTCCTATAGGGCGAAAAATATGGTAAACAGTAGAGCGGCATAAAACGGCAGACGGAAAAATAAGTGAGTTCTCTAAAGCAAAATGCACCTTTTCTCCCAAGTGATTAATTCACTAGATCTGCATAAATTTGCACCTCAGAAAATAAGTGAAGACTTCTAAAGTGAAATGCATCACCTGTCTTTGAACAAAGCTCACATCCATTGCAGGAAACGCTGTCTCAAAAGAGGAACCCCCTTCTGCTTCTCTTGCACACAGGGCAAAGGCCCTTGTTAGCTACAGATTTAGAAGTACTGTACTTGCATTTAAATATCATATTCGAGTTTTTATGTCTGCTGACCCATTTCACCAGGGGCACCTTTTTAAGCCAATTGAAATGTTTTTAAATCAATTACACAGTAAATATTCGCAAGTTTAAAGAGTTATCATCACTCAATTTGTACATTCTTGGCCATCGGTCCGTAGTCCCCAGTATGTGGCATCTCTGAATGCCCAGAGCAGGAGAGGGGAATCCTTTTCAGCCCAAGAGTCCTGCTCAGGAGGCACTGATGGCCACCAGCTTGCATGGCTTTAAAACAGGATTAGACATGGAGGAGAGGGCTATCAAGGGCTACTATCCATAACGAAAGCTATGCAATGCCTCCCCAGTTGGAGGCAGCAATGCTTTCTGAATACCAGTTGCAGGAAGTGCTCTTGCACGCAGATCCTTCTTGTGGTGTTTCCCGCTGGTGCCTGATTGGCCACTTTGAAAGGAGGATGCTAGACTAGATGGGCCCTCATTGGCCTGATTCATGAAGTGCTTCAGTGGTGGGCGGGAACCAACGAAAAGAGTGGGTGTGGTCAGAAGCAAAAGTGAGCAGTGGATGCGCTTCTTAGTTTTGTAGCGTAGGCTACACTGTAACCCTTCCAACATACGATCAATATACTATCCAGGCAAGCTGTTCAAGGCCCCATTCCAGGCCAGAGGTTCCTCATGTTATAAACATATACACTTTTGCACACCCCTGCAATATACCGCATTTTTCGCTCTATAAGACGCACCCGACCATAAGACACACCTAGTTTTTAGAGGAGGAAAACAAGAAAAAAAATATTCTGAATTAAATGTTGTTGAAGAGACTTTGTGCGGCTATCCCTGAAGCCGGAACAGCAAGAAGGATTGCTGTGCAGCAATCCCTCTTGCTGTTCTGGCTTCCGCAACAGCTGCGCAGCCTGCATTCGCTCCTTAAGATGCACACACATTTCCCCTTACTTTTTAGGAGGGAAAAAGTACGTCTTATAGAGCGAAAAATACGGTATGCTATTAAGACAGAGTCGGTGAAAGCGAGTTTCATCAGGTTTCCCCATTTCCTGAGGCCCATGCATGTGTGAATCAGCTTTGGAGGTTGCCAACTTTTCTCCTGAGAGGAGTCCATACATGCTTCCTACAGATGGACGTTGACAATGGCTTCTACAGATGCACTTTGTCCTGGAAAAGTGTTTATCCAACACTGCAGCTACCTGGCAGGGAAAGTTGCACTTCTGGAACTTTCCCCTGCCACGCAGCCGTTAACAGCACAAGAGCCTAGTTAAGTGAGAGAGCTGGCAATGCCTGAGGTGCCTCCAAGCCGGCCCCCACCAAAGAAAATGAGAAGCAGGGGAGAAGAGCGACCAACCTCGTCTCCTAGACAGTCGTCTGGGTCATAGTCCTTCATGTTGATGACTTCGGCAGGCAAGTTAAGGGAGGCAACAGACTCAGCAAGTATTGACGCAAATCTCTGCAAAGAGAAAAAGAAAATAATTATAACAATATTTATTCAATTTCTGGGTAGGTTGCAACAATTGAAAATACAACATTAAAAACATTTTTAAACAAATCACAGCTGCAAGAATAAGGTGGTTTCTAAATAGACTATGTGTTTCTGTGTGTTTGTTTGTATTGCTGTAAACTGCTTTGATATTGTAGCACAGCAGTGCGTATATGTGTCTTCAGTAAATACTTTTTTATTGTATTTGTTTATTTATTGCACTTATTCTCCACCTTTTTCTCCAAGGAGCTCAAGGTGGCATTCATGGTTAATCCCCACAACAACCCTGTGAGGTAAGTTAGGCCAAGAGGCAGTGACTGGCCCCAAAGCATCACCCACTGAGCTTCATGGACAAGTGGGGATTTGAACTTGTGATCCATGGTTGCAAGGGGTTCCATGGTCTAAATCAGAGGAATTTCAAATTTTTATTTCAAAGGAGAAATGAATAAATGAATTAAGTTCCTCTGAGCACAAACAGAGTGCCTTCCCCCGAACAATAAGAGCCACCACCACACCCACCCACCCACCCAAAGGAGAAGACTCACTTTTTAATCTCACTGGTTTTATCACAGCACTGACCTTTGCTGTTCCAGTCTGAGAACCAAAAAAAATCTTCACCCCGGTGACATGGACTTTGTCAGTGCTGGGGCCTTTCTGCTCTCCTACAAGCCCTTCTGTAGCAATTTGGGGAAGGCTTGATTTTCTGAGCTGATTTCTATTCTGAAAAATAAGAAATATAAAACTGTAGGAGTCCTAAAGCATCAGTCTTCAACCAGTCCAGACCCAAAACACATCACTGACTCCCAGGCTGCAACATGGGACCCACATTTCCACTTTTAATTTATACATCTGCAGCTTACATAGTCTTTCAACAAAGTTGAAATTAATTAAGTCAAAGTTTGGCTTAATTTTATTACATATGTATAATACAAATAATGAAATAACACCTCCCCCCCCCACACAAACCACAGTATGCAACAATTTGGAATGCATGAGATACTGAGAATTTAATAAATGTTTACATTAAACTGACATAATATTTATTTTTTACTTACTTGTTCTTTGATTATCAGTGTATGTTCTTCATTTGATATCCCCAATCTAGATACAGTATGTATGTGCGGATTGTACTAACTTAATAACTTTTAATTTTAAATGGATGTAGGTGCCAATTTATTTATGGAAGTTAGCAAAGTCATTTTCCACAATATTTGGTAGCTACAGTACATACAGTATCAGGATCAAAGGGGTTATACTGTAACTTCTATGTAAACCAAAATTGTTAATAAATATATATATATATACTGAATAGTTCTAATATGTTCTTTAGCAGCCACCATGCGCTAGGCCCCTTCTTCAGGAAAGGTCACCAAGAACACCAAAGATGCTGGAACAGTGGGGGAAAGTACCTGCTTTTTGGTCTTACTGACAAACTGGATGCAGAGCCAAAGGCTGATCCCAAACACCGCTCCAGAGTACAAGTAGAATCTGTTCAGCCACAAGAAGGCCAGGTGAGCATAGAGGCTGCCCCACGTCTCCATGGTCATATCTGGAAGAAAGCAAAAATGCAGTGGACCTGTTAAACAGGCCTGTTTAGAATCACGGCGGAACACAAACATCTTCCCCCAGCCTTTGAAACTTGAGGTATACAGTATTTTAGGACCCACACTATTCTTCTCTCTTAAACAAAATGTATATGCTACTTGATTGTGAAAAACAAAACAAAACAGTTTTCAGTTTGCAAAACAGACTGCAATTTGCAGTCTAAGCAGTTTGCAATAATATACAGAAAATAGGGAGTTGGCTCTTGCTGCCCAACTCCCCAAGGGACTGAGTCCCCTGAGTCCATGATGGGTCAGATGGTTGGATGGAGGCAAGATGCAGTGAAAGGAAGGCGGTTCTTTATTTTTCTGTTGCAACAGAGTTCCCCCCTATTTTCTACATCAATATTCATGTGATTATTGTTTCCAACTATTTTAATGTTATCTACTTATTGTTTACGGACGCAGGTGCCACTGTGGGTTAAATCACAGGGCCTAGGACTTGCTGATCAGAAGGTTGGCGGTTCGAATCCCTGTGACGGGGTGAGCTCCCATTGCTCGGTCCCTGCTCCTGCCAACCTAGCAGTTCCAAAGCACGTCAAAGTGCAAGTAGATAAATAGGTACCGCTCTGGCGGGAAGGTAAACATCATTTCCGTGTGCTGCTCTGGTTCGCCAGAAGTGGCTTAGTCATGCTGGCTACATGACCAGCTGTATGCTGATGAGCGCCGCAACCCCAGAGTCGGCCACGACTGGATGACTGGACCTAACGGTCAGGGGTCCCTTTACCTTTACTTATTGTTTATTTCAAAAAATTTATATACAGTACAGCTTGATGGTAAAAAACAAACAAACCAAAACCCTCAAAGCTGTTTACAAAAAAGATAAAACAATAAAATTACCAAAACTAAAAGCAGATTAAAGCTCACATAAACTTTCTAAACATCGAGTAGGCTAAAAACAAGGTTTTTGCAGGTGCTGAGAAGGGTACAGGGAAGGCAACCTGTCTGATGTCAAAGGGCAGGGAAGGACAGGTGCTGCCACACTAAAAGATCAAATTCTACAACTGCGGAGCAGGAATTACGTGAAATTGTTGCGGACCATTCTAGGACACGAGGGCAAAGGGTGGGTAAAAAAATCAAACAGACCATAATAACGACAACTGGGGTAAGCACACACAGAATCTGTTCGGTTCCTTCCCCAAAACCCCAATGCCAACTGAGCTTGAAAACGATCTCAGGGCTGTTTCCCGAGCAGGCACGCAGTCCTTACCCATCTCTAGGCAATCGAGCGGCAGCAACAACCACAGCAGCTTCCAGCCTAGCGGGTGAAAAAGAGGTTTACTCTCGAGGAGCAGCCCCACGAGCTCCTGGAAGGGGCCATCTTGCCCACCCCGCGGGATTCTGGGAAGGCTGCATTAACCCCTTTGAGGTGGCAGTTTCTGCAAATGTCTCGCCCCTTATCTTTCTCCTCAACGAATGTTAAAAGATTTCGATTGCGGATCGCGGGCAGGAAAGTTTGCCTCTCCCCCGCCCGACCATTAAGTCCCATTGAACTCAGAAGGGGGTTACTTTGGAGTAAATCGTGTCAAGAATTTGGGCGGCTAATTTTGCAATACCCTCCTCCTCCTCCCCCACCCAATTTTATTATTTACCGTACTGTACTTTATTTACGAATCGCTTCCCAGGAAACAACTCAAAGCGATTTAACAACAATAAAAGCATAAGCTCCCCTGATAGTGTCCCTGACAAGGAATTTATTTTCATTTTTCTGAATGAGAAAGCAAAATACTCAATACTGTACAATTTTCCAGAAGATGTCTTGTTTTAACTAAAGACGGAGCTTGGAGGGAGCAGAGAAATTCCGTGTCACTGTAAAACATGTAAAGCAATCACAGCAAAACAACCAGAAGTCTATGATTTCTGGCGGAATCTATGGTCCTGTGTCAGAATTCTGATTATTTCACTCGTGTAAAAAGGCCATTGGGAGGAGGGTGAGCTTGCTAAATCATGAAACTCAGAAATTAAAATCACATCGAACTTGCTAAGTATGTATGAGGATGAAAAGCTGGTCTTGTTGACATTTTCATATCCACACCTTCTGAATTCCCTCTTCTGTATCAGTATTAAGTGTATTTTATTGTTATTATGTATTATATTTATATCCTCTCTTTTTCTCCCAGGTGCTCATTGTCGACCATGGTTCTCCCCCTCCTCAGTTAATTCCCACAACAACCCTGTGAGGGAGGATAGACTGGGAGGCAGTGAGTGACTGGCCCAAGGTCACCCAGTGAGCTTTATGGCCAAGTAGGGATTTGAACCCTGGTCTCTCGCACATCATTCTGTCAGCACATAATTGATTTCCTTGGGGCATGTTATGACCGGGAGTCTCAGCAAAAACAACAACCCTAAATCTGTTAAATTACGGTTTGAATAGATTTATTTTTAATTGTTTCAATTACTTTTAAAGGATTACCTTTTATATGTTTTAACATTCGGTATTTTATCTGTGTTGTTTTACTTTGTGTAAGCCACCTCGAGTCCCGGTTTGTAAAGTTAATAAATGTTTTGGGTTTTTTCAAAGGGGGGGAATAGGAAACAACATCAGCCGGGAAGTACCCTCTTTGGTTTCAATGGGCCAGGTAACTCTCAGGTAAACTCATCTAGGAAGGGTGCGCCGGAACAAGTCATCATGGGGTTTGATTTCCCACCCGGACGGAAATCGGAAAGCACCCACACCAGGCGCTCTCGTCTCTCGCGAGCTCCGACGCTACCTTCGCCACAATAAGGCGGAGGAGGAAAAGGCTTGTTCATTGGCCCTGGTTGGCGTCCGTGGGCGGAGCTAGGAGGGGAGAGCGGTTGGTGCGCAGGCGCGGAGCGGCCATCGCTTCTGACAGAAACTGCGGGCTCATCCGTCGCCATCATGTCGATCTTCACACCCACCAACCAGATCCGCCTGACTAATGTGGCCGTGGTGCGCGTCAAGAGGGCAGGGAAGCGCTTCGAGATCGCCTGCTACCGGAACAAGGTCATGGGCTGGCGGAGCGGCACGTAAGTTGACCGGAAGCGGGGGCGGGGCATGGGCCGGAAACGAAGAGATTGAGATTCACAGATAAACAGCCTCTCAGAGTTTTCTTGACCTAATGGTTAAAACAGAGGGTTTCTGAGCATGCACAGAGTGCAAGGCTAAATTCCTGTGCCTGCTTACCCACATAGCTTTTCGATATTGTTATATTGATCGTTTATTACCCACCCTTCACCCTAAGCTTCCAGGGCAGGTTAACAGCATTAAAGCTCAATATTAAAATCAGTTTAAAACAACATACAGCTTATTAATTAAAGTAGCAGCAGCCAGTACTGTCGAAGCAAGCGTAATATCCAAATGCCTAATCTTGGTATGGTTAAAACTGGAATTAATATCTGCTAGTGTAGTGTAGTGTAGTGTAGTGGTTGGAGCATTGGACAAGTATCTGGGAGACCAAAGTTCAAATCCCCATTCAGCCATGAAGCTCACTGTGTGGGAGCCAGTCATGGTCTCTCAGCCTCACCCACCTCACAGGCTTATTGTGAGGATAAAAAGGAGAAGGGGAGAACTATGTACATGAGCTCCTTGGAAAGACAGGTGGGATATAAATGTAACAAATAAATAATAAGATGTAGTGATGATCACCAACTTGAATGGCTTTAAACGAGGGTTAGACAAACTCACGGAGGAGGAGATAGCCAGGGACTACTAGCCACAAAGGCTATGTTTTGCATCCACTGTTGGAGGCAGTATGCCTCTGAGAACCAGTTGCTGGGGATCACAAGTGGGGAGAGCACTGCTGTTGCACTCAGGTCCTGCTTTCCATTAGGGCATCTGATGAGATCAGGATGCTGATCTCATGCCTTTGGCCTCATCCAGCAGAGTTCCTCTTAGGTTCTTAGGCAGTTTTGTAGTCATTGCCACCTTAAAGTACTGGCAAATGACTGACCATAATGTTCTTAGTATTTGCATCCAGTCCTTGTGCGATTATTCCAGAATGTGCTTTACTCATTAAAAAAAAATATTTCTTAGGGAAAAGGACCTTGATGAAGTCCTGCAGACACACACCGTCTTTGTGAATGTCTCCAAGGGCCAAGTGGCAAAGAAGGAAGAGCTGGTCAAAGCCTTTGGCACGGAAGACCAGACAGAAATCTGCAAGATGGTAGGCTCTCAAGATGTCTGTTGGGAGGCAGACAGCCTCCCCTCTCTTTCTCTTGTTAAAATGCCTTTGGGTCATCCTCTAATGCCACAATGAGTACGCACAGTGGTCAGGCCAAGTTTGATAGTGATGATGTCAAGCAACTTGGTTTGAAGTCAAATTGTGTGGGAAGAGGCATCGTGTTTTGCAAGACCTGACAATCACATAATTGGCGGCATCAGCAACCCCCCCTTTCAGCCAGCCAGTCTTCATCTGTACCTGTTCCACATATGACATCGTATGCGGCAGGTATAGGGCTGAAATGGCCTCATGGACTAAACGGGGAGAACTGGTGGGCCAAATTAGGCCCATAGGCTAGAAGTCCCCACCACCACTACCGTAATACAAATTTGCAATTTCCCCCCCACAAAATTCAAGCTAGTCATTCTTCCAGGGCTTGCTGCCTGGGGTAACCTGTCTAGCTGTACCGGAAAATTTCAGAAGACTGGACCAGATTTTTGCATCCTTTGAATCAGAAAATGGCAGCATCCAAACACAAAGCTTCTCTTGCTTTCAGATTCTGGCCAAGGGAGAGCTGCAAGTGTCGGATAAAGAGCGGCACACGCAGCTGGAGCAGATGTTTCGTGACATTGCAACCATTGTGGCAGAGAAATGTGTGAACCCAGAAACAAAGAGGCCGTACACAGTCATCCTCATTGAAAGAGCTATGAAGGATATTCACTACTCAGTCAAACCTGGAAAAAGCACCAAGCAGCAGGTAAGTGACTCCCACAGGAGACCATCTCATCTCTAGTGGTGTGCCATGCTAAGCTCCTGAATCAGTTTTATTTTTATTTAAGAGTATTTTATTTTAGCCTTTTGGGGGGCAAGCCCATAGGAAGTACCCATATTCCTGCTCCAACTTCTCCAGGTAGTTCTCCTGCCTGAAACCCTGGAGAGCCACTGCCAGTCAGTGTAGACCAAAGGTTGAATTTGCATAAAGCAGCTTCTTTTGTTAATTAGGAGCAGTGCAGTGATCTCTCTCTTGCTGCTTCTGAGCTGGGGAAGGAAGCCTACTGGAAGTGATTTACCTTCTACTCTTCCTGGGGGGGCAAACAGTAGTCACAGTTAACGGAGCTTAACTAGAGACAGTGATTAAGTAGTTAAGTTTTGAACTAGGACTCAGGACATCCAGGTTCAGTTCCCTGCTAGGCCAGCCAATCTCTCTGTATCAGGTTTGTTGGGAAGAGTAAAGGGGCAGAGGAGAGCTGCAGGTGCCAGGTGTGAGCATAAGGATGAGATATTAGACGTGGACCAGGGAACCAGTACATTTTGTAATTTTATATATCGTGGAATTTTACATATCGTAACTTTGCTGTTATTTTTATTGATTACAGTCTAGTAATGATTCATTGTAATTGCTTAGAATGAATTTCTGTTTAATTATTATTTGCTTCTATTTTGAGAGAGAATTTTGTTGTGTAAGGTTACATTCTAAATGGATTACTGAATGTTTCTTTACTTGATATAAGTTATTTATTTTAAAGTCATGTTTTTAATTATGGTTTATTGGCTTCAGATCAGATTGCTATAGGATGTGTGATCTTTGCTGTATATTTTGTACAGTGGTACCTCTAGTTGCGGACACCATCCATTCCAGGGTGCTGTTCGCACCCCGAAAAGTTTGTAACTAGAGCGGCGCTTCTGTGCAAGCGCGGAGCGCGATAGAGTGCTTCTGCACATGTGCAAAATGCACAGAACACTTCTGTGTGTGTGCGTGTGGCGAAACTTGGAAGTATACACTTCCGGGTTTGCTATGTTTGCAAGCCAAAAAGACGCAATATGAACCTAACGCAACACAAGGTATGACTGTATTCTGTGTGGCTTGTAAAGTGTGAAGGCCTTGCTTTTGAAATGTCAGAGCCCACTGTCCCTCAGCTGGACAAGTAAGCCTCTTGATTTTCCCCGCAGGCCTTGGAGGTAATCAAGCAGCTGAAGGAGACTATGCAGATTGAGCGGGCGCACATGCGTCTCCGCTTTGTCCTCCCCCGGAAAGAGGGGAAGAAGCTGAAAGAGAAGCTGAAGCCCCTGATCAAAGTAATCGAGAGTGAGGATTTTGACGAGCAGCTGGAAATTGTAAGTCAAAGAGACATTTTCTGGAGGGGGAGGGGAGGTAAGTGATTCCTCTAGGATCCCTGATCACATGCAAGGAGCCATAGAGATGGGGAGTCACCTTTACAGCCTAGCCAATTGCATGTTGGCTTGCGAGGGGGCCCAGTGGATTCAGTAGGGCCTTCTGCTGGGTAAATCAGTATAAGATTGTATCCATAGGCCATACCAATCAATGAATGGTTGTGAAGAATTTTAGCAAATAAATGTTAGAAGAGCCCTGCTGGATCAAGCCTGTGGTGCATCTAGTCCAGCATCCCGTTCTCACAGTGGCCAGCCAGGTGCCTGTGAGATACCAGCAAGCAGGATTTGAGCCCAAGAGCATTTTCGCCTCCTGCGGTTTCCAGCAACTGGCGTTCAGAAGCATTGCTGCCTTCAACTGTGGTGGCAGAGCAGAGGCATGATTGGGTGCCGCGGTCACTATTGGTGTATTCCCTCACCTGGTGCCTGCCCTTCAGGTGTTGTTGGACTACAATTCCCATCAGCCCCATCTAGTCCTTCATACTGTGTGAAATTCACAGCTGCTAAATGTGGGTGATGGATGGCTAGTGGCTTAGATGACTTCAATACCCTTTGAAACACATTTGAGGACGACTCTGCAGGTGGCTGAATGGAAGCTCCTGCTCAGAGGCTGCTGCTTGGGCAGAACGGAACTGCCAGAATGGGCCTCTTGCCTTTTTTTGTGGGCTTTTGGAGGCATCTGGCTGGCTGCATCTGGGCTTTTGGAGGCATCTGGCTGACGCAGGGTGGAGGGCTAGGTGAAGCCACCTGGATCTGACCCAGCCGAGCATTTCTCCATAAGAGGCCACCTGTCCAGTCTGATGCAAATGCCAATGTTACAGGTGTGCCTTGTGGATCCAGGCTGCTTCCGGGAGATTGACGAGTTGATCCGGTGTGAGACCAAAGGCAAAGGGACCCTTGAAGTGCTCAGCCTGAAAGATGTGGAAGAAGGGGATGAGCGCCTGGAGTAGCCGCCGACCAATCCCACCCCAACCCCAGCAAGAACTGTATTAAAGGCTCCCTCGCGTCGCCTGTTTGTGGGTTGACCTTTGCTATTTTCCCAATTCTTGTTTGAGCTTTTCTTTGGGTGTTAATCCCACCCCAACCTTGGTGAGTGGTTGCATTTGAAGGTAACTTGGAGAATAAGAACCTTCTCATTTGACTCAAAAGGTGGGAAGCCCTCCCTAGTCGGGTTGGTTCTGCTGGGACTATTTCCTCGTTCTTTGAGTGCTTAGTTGCAGGGGGTCGAGGGTCCACAAAATGCCAAAACGTCTTTCCTTAAAGACTGAAGAACTGCAGCAGGCTTTGAGCTGCGACCGCCACTTGTCAGAGAAGAAACTGACCATAGCCACTAAAAATAAATAAATGGAAAAGCAAGCATTGGCAGGCCTGATCCTGCCACAGCCTTAGTATGCAGCCCCCCTTCCCAGTTGCCTTTTCGTTGCCTGCTGTGAAGGACAGTGACAAGAGAATGTTGAACGCGGTCTTCTGTGTGTGTGCCATGGAACCAGCTTGTGGGTTGCTGGGCCAGGAGGAAGATCTGTGTGCCCAGCCTTCTGCAGCTGGTTTTGAGTTCCAGCAGCACCACCGTATGCTTTTAGTGGCTGCGGAGTCATTGTTTATGTTGTGGGACCCGTCAAAGCACTGACCAGACACAGAAAAGCCAAGCTCTAGAAATAATTGTTCAGATAATTTATTTTGGAAAAAAGAAAATTATATTTACAATAACTTAAAATATAGAAATCAGTATTTATTTCATAGATCAGCCTCTTGATCTAGCAAAAGGCCTGGCCTGGGTTCCAGTGACTCTCTACCCTTCCCTTGAGTTCTTTCCATTCATTGTACCAACTGATGGTTTGGCAAATAGACCACACAGGTGAAGACAATTTAGGTGCCAAGTAGAAAATGCCAGGAGGCCCTTAATTTCCTGTAGATAAGTTTGGGGTTACAGTCAGATTCCCCGCCCCCCAAAAAAAGCATTTCCTGCCTGAGTTCATGTCGTTCTCTAGCGCTCTGCAGAGAACGAAATGCAGCTGCTGCACCTTTAACCTCAGATACTAGACACTAAGAAAGAGAACTTTATAAGGCAAGACATTGTTTTTTCCTTCTAATGTTGCACTGATGAGATGCCATGAAAGTATGTTTTATGCGTGAAATAGGGAAGAGTCACCCTGATGTCATCCGTCCCCCATCCCTGTTATGGGTGCTGCTGAATAGGGAACACCTGTGACCCTCCATATGATGATGCTGTGCTTGTTGGTCCCCGTGAGCCTCAGCCATCATTGCCAAGTAAGGTCAAAGATGCAGAGAGTTGTCCAGCAACCCCTGAAGGGCTGCAGTTTCTCCATCCCTGCCTGCTCTTAAGGAACATAGACACAGCTCCCCAGCTTTTGGAGGGAGGAGCAGACGCTGGCTAGAAAGAGAACTGATTCCTCCACGTTGCATTGTTTGTGAGTGCAGAGGGGAGCTTCTGATGAGAGACTTGTGTTATTTTGGCCTTTACAAAATATAAAATGCAGAATCTTCACATTGGATACTGACATTAAAATTAGCTTTCTGCTGACTCCTCTTCCTCCATCTTTTGTTTCAAGCCTCTTTCTTTGTGACTGTTTACAACCCTAACCCTTGACTGAATGGCTGATATGCAGATTCTAACTAAGGAGTTCCCTGTGCATGTTTACTCAGGGACAGGTCTTGGTGTGTTTCTATAATCCTAGATGCTTACTCCCAAGTAAGCCCCACTGAAAAGAATGGGAGTTACTTCTAAGTGGGCAGCATAGGATCAGCCTTCTCACAATCTGGTCCCCTCTGATAGGGGCTACAACTCCCATTCCAAGAAAGATTTCTAAAACATGCGTTAAAGCCCACATCAGCTTGGGAATGCATATGGCATAGTCGTTTTAAACCGCTTTTAGTTAAACCGTTTCAAATTTTGTCTCTTAATTCAAAGCCCTTTGTCATCTTTTAATTTTTTTTTTAAATGGCATTAATAATAGCTGCAGAATTCTCTACATTCATCACAATACTTGTGAACATAACCATCCACACAGATTCCTAAATGCACAGGACCTGATTCAGTTAAGTTCTGATTACAGTCCCATTGCTTTTCAGTGGAACACGGAGCTGGTCACAACAAACAGCTTTCAGTTCTTAGAAGGCAAGTCCCACTATGTTCAGTGGGACTTATTTCCAAGTAAGCTTAATTGCTGATTTAGTCGCAACTAACTTTAGCCAAATTGGGGCCATACCTTAATTATTATAGAACTGTGCGTAAGTGTACCTATTGAAATGCTGAGTCACCACTAAATACATGAAGTTTTATTAAAGCTTCAGGTTGATACCTGAGGTGTGGGGGGAAGCCCTACCCACCTCTGGTGTATCCAGTATCACCAGATCTGCTTGTGAAGGCAAGAAACACATCCTGGGAACCAAAGTAGGGCACAGATGTGGCAGGTTTCTACAACAGTCTTTCTAGGATCTGAGAGTAGCCTTTAGACTTTCTCAAAACAAATGGTGACCAAGCTGCAGACAGTCGCCTTAAGGCTCTTCAGATATAGATCACATCTGTTTTGTGTTGTTGTACCTGAGTAGAGACAGAAAATAAAGGTATTTCAGCTTGAAAAAGCAGGTGTAGGACAGGATTTGGAACTGAAAAGACAGAGAAACTTTTTTGAAAGCTGCAGGTAATGTTATGTACACAGAGATAGCCACTGGATGGATTTAAGGAAGGAATGGATGAGGGATGGAGAATCTGGGGACCTCTGGATGTTGTCGGACTCAAACTCCCATCACTCTTCAGGTGGCATGGCCAGTGTTTAAGGATGAAGGGAGCTGAAGGCCAGCAACATCTACAGCAAGCGTGGGAAGCCTTTGGCCCTCCAGATGTTGCAGAACTACATCTACAAACTACAAGTGTGGCCAATTGCAGGGGATGATGGGAGTTGTGGTTCAGCAACATCTGGAGTGCCAAAGGTTCCCCACATTTGATCTCATGAAACCAACAAGTTCTCCATCTCTGGATTAGCCAAATCCATAGAGGACGGGCCTATCAATGGCTGTTAACCACAAGAGCTACAATAAGTGGAACCTTCATGTTCAGAGGCAATATACCTGAGTGCCCATGTGCTGGAACCACACACAAGGATGAGCCATGATCTTCAGGCCTGATAGCAGCACCTGCCCAAAAGCTTCAATTGGAAATAGTGTCACACTCCATGGGAATTTGCGCCCTGATTCTGCGCACCAGGTTTTGTGTGAATATCTCGGTCAAAATAGCACATAAGCAGCCCAAGAGAGCAGCTGGCAAAAAAGACACAATTTGAACCAGGAAGTGTAGAAGGTCGCCAAGCTCAGTTACCTTAATGTGCTTCCTTATTCCTGTGCCCACATTACTGGCAGCCAAGGCATCTGTCTCAAAAGAGGGTTTTTCCGCTGGCGTTCTGGGCAGAGAGCCGTTGGTCCCGTTGAGTGGGCACGGCACGAAAGGCTGCTGCAGGCTGTCCAACAAGTCCACTTCAAAGGGGTTCATCCACAAAGGGGTCTTAGAAAAACAACACACACATTGGCCATTAACATCCTGCTAAAATCAGGATGCATCTATACTGCATCCATTTTAGTCTGTTTGATCCTCATGACTCCCTGCTCAAAAAAAGACTTCAAGGAACTGTAGTTCCGTGAAAGCACCAAGCACTCAATTTTCTACTAAAGAGATGCTCAGCTCCTTCACAAGCAGGCTCAAACCCTAGAAAGTTTCTGCCAGTCAATGTAGATGCTACAGAGCTGGATGGACCAAGTATCTCACTCTGTATGTCAGCTTCCTGTGTTCAAAGAGTAGGGAAGCAAAAATAGGAACCCAGGAAGCTGCCTTATACGGAGTATAAGACCTTTGGCCCATCTAGCTCTGCATTGTCTACACAGACAATGTGGCAACGGCTCTCCAGGGTTTCAGACAAGTGAATTCCCATCTATACCTAGAGACAATGGGGATTAAACCTGGGATCTTCTGCATGCAAAGCTGATGCTCTTACCAGTGAGCTATGGACCTGTCCCTTTAAAATGACTTCTTCCCCTAATGTTCAAGGAGTCCATGGTTAGGTCTCAGCCAGGTCCTGCTAGGGATCAGGTTGGTGTCTTTCCCTGGAATGCCACCCTCAAAAGCACATCGGTGCCACTAAGTGCCACAGAGAAGAGGCTGCAATATTGGTTCTCAGTATAAATGCAGCTGACATTGCTAGATACTTAAAAGGCTCAGGTCAAGGCTTGTGGACTGGTGAGCATGGCTTGGAGAGGGGGGCTAACCTTCGTGGGCTGGACCCCTTCACGTGTCAAGATTGGCCGCAGACCAGAGGTTTCCCAGCCCTGTGGTAACAAGTTACTGTGCTATATTTTGCATACAATTTAATTATATTTTTAAATTTGTTTTTAATGCTATGTTTTAATGCTGTAGCCTGCCCTAGGACCTTAGGGTGAAGGGCAGGTAATAAATAATAATAATAAAAAATAATCTTGCATTTCATTCCTTTCTGGTTTTATTGCTTTCTCTCACACACAATCCTATCTCTTAGAACCATGTGCATAACAGAGAACAACACTTTATAACAGGGGTATCCAACAGGTTGATTGCAATCTAGTGATCAATCGCGGGGTGATTGCGATCCAGTGATTGTGATCCCCCGATGGCCCCCCATTCCAAAAATATATTAAAAAGCTCAACAACTTTGGGTCATCCTCCCCTAAAAAAAAGCTCAGCAACTTTGACAGGTAGGTCACTGCCAGTTATTTTATAGTGGGAGTAGATCGTGGTCTCTTGATGCACAAAGTGGACTCTAGTCCAGAAAACACATTTTGTTAAGGTGCCACAAGATTCTTCTTGATTTTGCTGCAACAGGCTACCCCTCTGGAAATTAAGGATGCCTGAGCTGTTCCTGTTTTGCCTGGCATCCTGCTCGCTGCAGGCGGCTCACCACCATCACCACTGGCAACTGCCAAGCACCAGGCCCAAGAGACCTCTTGCCTGTTCCAGCACAAGCCTTTCCATATACATTAGAGAAATCTGGGAAATAAAACGCTTGGCTGCAGTCCAACCTTGCACATCTTCCCCGAGGAACGGCCCAGCGACCCAAGGACTTCGCTCCAGTGCGAGAGGAAGCCTGCATGTCTCTCTTCGACTTTCAGGGCGTGGATTTCGGACTTGAGTTCTTTCAGCCGATCCTCAAACTTCCTGCTCTTATCCAGGTAATCTAATCTGGGGGGTGGTGGAGGGCAATAGACAAACACAAAAAGTTTAGGACTGCCTGCATCTGTCTGTTTGGTTGACAATATTTGGTAAGTAAAAGGGGAGGACAAAAGTGTGGAGAAAGTGCACTCCCACTCTTAAAATCATAAAGTTGGAAGGGACCCCAAGGGTAATCTAGTCCAACCCCTGCAATTAATACTAATTGTGTAATAATACAGTTGTATCTCGGCTTCCAAATGCCTTGGGAGTCTAACTTTCCAGCTCCCAAACAATCGAAAACCAGACTTGAGTGTTTTGGAAGGAGCTTACTGCGGCCAATCGGAAGCTGCGCTTTGGAAGTCAAACATTTTGGAAGTCGAATGGACTTCCAGAATGGATTGTGTTTGAATTCCAAGGTACGACTGTAACAAAATACATGGCAGTCAGTGAAGCTGAATGTCGGAAGCCTCAGGGCAGACAAAAGGTGGAACTCCTTGACAAAGAGCATTGTGAAACTAGGGGATTCTCTGCCACAAGATGTAGTGACAGCCACCAACTCTGACAGCTTCAAACAGGTGGGTAGACAAGTTCATGGAGGAGATATTGCTGTCCATGGCAACTAGACACAATGGCTGTGTTCTCCTGCCCCTGTTGGAGGCAGTATGCCTCCGAGTATCAGTTACTGGGAATCACAAGTGGGGAGAGTGCTGCTGTTGCGTTCAGGTGCTGCTCACAGGCTTCCCTTTGGAACCCCCGTGGCCTGGTTGAGCTGATGCAGAGTGCTTCTGCTTCTGGTGGCAGCATCTTGATTGGGAGCCCAGGAAAGCTCCCCTGCTGCTCTCTTCCCAGTTCCTACCTCTCTCGCTCTATCTCCAAGGAAAGCCTCTTCAAGTCAATGTCCCTTAAATCCAGTTTTATGGATACTTTGTCAGGGCAGGCATCCCTGGCATCAGCGGAGGAGGGCTGGGTGCCCTTGGCAGCATTCTGGTGTCAAAACAGAGAGGAAGGGTTTGAAACATCATCTGAAACCCAGAAGGCTTTTAGGCAGAACCGTTTTTAAGGGGACAGTAGTGGTTATGGCATTCGACTAGGACCTGGGAGACCAGGGCTCAGATCCCCACTCAGCCATGAAGTTCACTGGGTGACCTTGGTCCAGTCACAGTCTCTCAGCCTAACCTACCTCACAGGGTTGTGGTGGGGATTAAATGAGGAGGGGGTAGAACCATGGACCCCGCCTTGAGCCCCTTTGCAAAAAAGTTGAGATATAAATGCAATAAATAAAAATACACAATGGGCACAGAACGTCTTCTAGGAAAGACAAGTCTTGGGTGATGGAAATTCTGATTCAGACTCATAATGCCCCATCTGTGGCCCTTGTGCCTGGAGCCTGGTGCCAGGTCCAGGGACAGGCTCCAGTTCCGGCCTGCAAAGGGGCTTTAAGACCCGCTGGATGGACAGAGACTGGCTTAGGAACATACAAGCCACCTCAGCCACTTTGATCTGCAGAACTGGCCTTTTGCCTGCTGTCCAAACAAGTTAACTTCTTGCTCAGAACTCTGACCACATACATTGGCTATAAACACTGATAAAAGGGAGCAGCCAGTTCATAAAAATTGCTTAGAGGGCTACCTGCTATTTTGCTAATATGGCTACAGAATTACTTTTTAAAAATGAGAACACTTGAGATTTTGACATGAATGCTAGCTGCAGCTAGCATTTCAATAGCCCAGCAAGGAAAGATGTTGAAAAAAAATCTGCATTTTTCTATGTAGTATAAGAACTTGTGGCTATTGTGGAAAGAACTGCCCATAAACTGCATGTTTCCATTGGGAGGATGGAGGATCCAGAATGCTTTTATTTCATCCGGTGGGATTGTATTTCCTCTGCTTCAGACTTAGATGCTTATTATTATTATTATTATTATTATTATTATTATTATTATTTATTAGTGGCTTCCAGCGAAATACAAAAACACAATAAAACATCAAACATTAAAAACTTCCCTATACAGGGCTGGCTTCAAATGTCTTCACCAGCTCAGGAAATAGGGATGTCTCAATTTAGATGGTGCACAGCCATTTCTTTCTCTTATTATTTATTGATTGTTTGCTTTGTATATGGTATGATATAATACCCTGCTCCCACACTTTTGCTTTGCTAATAATAGTAATAAAGGAAATGTTAAAAGAAAAGAATGCAAAATCTTGGGAACCTGCCCAGGGGGGCAATAAAAGCCATTGCAGGCACCTTAGCAAACCCCACACTTCCCTACCAGGAGAAAGACTTACAGAAGGAGGATTGAGCTTGCCAACATCCTGGAGTTTCTGCCTGGCTTTTTCCTCTGCATTTCTGGCTTCCTGCAGGTCCTGTTTCAGATGTTCAGCTTCCTTAGCCCTGCCGAACAAGAACCATCACCATGAGTGCTCAAGCAACCCCATAATGCTGAACTGATGCACTGGAAATTGCCATGGTCCTTACCTAATTTTCAATGCTTTTATTGATAAATACTCATAATTCTGTCAGCTGCCTAAGTGGTGCATAATTTGTATGAAATAATATCAAAATACATATTTTATCACTAAGTTATTTAAGTAAATATTTTATCTCAATGTATGCCTTTCTAGATATAATTTATTGAAAAACATGTGTTTTTAATGCATTTTGATACATTTCTTGGAGCCAGGAAGAGAGTTGCAAAATTCGGAGAAGTGCAAAATCCAAAGGATAATGACATTCCAGTCCATGTATTAGTCTGGGAGGTGAGAATTAGCACTATTCATTTTAAAAAAGCAGGCTGGGTCAGCTGGATTAATCCTGAGAAAGACATCAAGCTGAAAGAGGAAGTGGGAAAGAGTGCCACTCTTCCAACTTCCTCCTTCCTCTCTATGTACTTTTCAAGGGGACATCACAAACAAACCTGATCAAACCTGAAAGAAGGACTCAAGGAAATGCCCTCCAAAGACAGAAAAACGTGTTGGAGGCCATCCTAAGCAGCGTCCGGCCAGCCCCAGAAGCCCCAAAGCCCACTGAGCATCCCGCCCCAGGCCTCATCACCTTCGGTCCGATTCTTTTACCAGCTTCATGGCAATCAGTTCTGCCTCCCGCATTTTGTGCTCCATCAGAAGCTTCTCTTCCTTGGTTTTCAAGGCAGCCATCTCCAGGCGGTGACGCTCCTGTTCAGCCTCAGCGGCATTCTGGGCCAGGAGCTTGGCCTCCTCCTCAGCAATCTGGGCCTTCTCGGCTAAAAGCTCTGCCGCTGCCTCCGAACGGCGCTGAAGAGGGATTTTGTATTGAAAAGATAAAATGAACTCAATAATGACGAGAGACCTGGGCATTCGGGAGTCGCACTGGAACTGGAGCTGCTGGAGCCCACTAAACGCCCATAGCTGCTCCTCTGCCTGTTGGGCAATCGGCATAGCGATTGGGGGAATCAGTGGTGGCAGACAGTGGACAACGATCACCTGCTCACCCCCCCCAAAAGGTCAATAGCTCATGGTGATCACCCGAAAAAAGCTCAACAACTTACGTTGAGCCACCAATTGTCCAGATTTTTACTTCTTGAAATATGGCAACCCTAGGCAATGCCATGGCAATGCTCACCAAAGCCTCATTGGCTTGCCGGGCCTTGTCTTCCACCTCAAAAAGGCGCCGCTCCAACTCCTCCTTCGCCCGCTCAGCCTCCTCCCGCAGCTGCTTCTCCCTGGCCAGGCGCTGGTGCTCCATCTGGGGAAATAGGCAAGGCTGACCATGGGCAAAGCCGCTTCGCCGGAACATTGTGCAGCCCCCTGAGCCAACAGCTACAATGCCCATCTTAATCTTGCCTCTCCCCTACCAAACACTACATTGTTTATTCATTTATATACCGTCTGTATGCCAGAATGGATTGCATGCTATGAACTGTAATATATCATGAAAGCCTCCTTGCAAATAAGTCCACAAAAGGTGGTTGCCATATTTGACTTCTTTCAGTTTTTTTGTTCGAGTATTCTTCCAACCAAGATGCCCCGTGTGGTTCCCACCTGCTCATTTTACCCTCCCAACCACCCTGTGAGGTAGGCAAAACAGAGAGAGAGAGAGAAAGGGGTGGGTGGAGGGTGTGACCTTCTCATGGTCAACCAATGAGCTTTCCGGCCCAGGAGGCAGCGGGTAGAAGCTTTGCGACAACGTTTGAAGCAGATGCTCCCCCAAAAGCTCACCTTCTTCCTTGCTTTCTCCTCCCGAGCTTGCGCTTTCATTTGCTGGATCTCGATGGGGTCCACTCGCCTCCTCCTCATAAACAAGTCGTGGTTTCCGATGAACAGCTGCATGATCTGCGGGAAAGGAAGGCAAGTATAACCCTCGCTGGATCCGACCTCAGCCAGCATCCTGATTTTCACAATGACCAGTTTACAAGCAGGGTGCAAATGCAACTGACTCCCCCCCCCCCATGTTGTGATCCCTGAACCACAGCCCTCATGAGGAAAATACAGGCTGCCCCATTCATTGAGCGAACCTTAGCACCTCCTATTCTGGTCTGAAGAGGTTGCCTTCCTGCCTTCCTCAGTCAGAGGATGCGTCTCCACTAACATCACCATCCCTCCCACATCATGAAAGCCAGGGCTTCCTTGCAGACAAGGGCCCTTCAAGACAGCAGAGCCAGCTCCTCCAAGGAAGTGCTGTTCCGGTTACAGGACAGGCTTTCCCAGCTCGCTCCAGGCTCCAGGTGGCCTCAACACTCTGCTGAGACAATGTCTCCCAAGCGCTCGGCTCGCAAGGCCCACTGGGAGCTGGCTGTGGTCCTGACGTTACCCAGCTCAGCAAGCCCAGAAGAATATAACGTAAAAGCATCAGAAGAGTCTGCTGGATCAGGCCAAGGGCCCATCTACTCCAGCATCCTGTTCTCACAGGGACCAACCAGATGCCCATTGTGGGAAGCCTAGAAGCAGGATTTGAGCACAAGAGCATTCTTCCCTCCTGTGGTTTCCAACAACTGGTATTCAGAAGCATGGCTGCCTCTGACTGTAGAGCCAGAACATGGCTATCATGGCTAGCAGCCATCAATAGACCTCTCCTCCATGAATTTGTCTAATCTTTTAAAGCTGTCTAGGCTGGTGACCATCATTGCCTCCTGTGGGAGGGAGTTCCATAGTTTAACTATGCACTGCATGAAGAAGAAACTGGTTTGACAGCTTTTGCTTCCCTTGTGAGATCCAACCCTCATGGCACACGATACCCTGTTGGTGGTTCTATAGCCCCGCCATTCAGAGGTGCTTGGAAGCTCAGTTGAGCTAAACTAGGGTTGCCATACGTTCGTCATTTCCTGGGCATAGCTGGGATTTGGTCATCGGAAACAGTGTCTGGGTGAAAAGCTCAACAACTTTTGTGTCCATATTTTCACTTTTTGAAATATGGCAACCCTAACTAGAGATCCATCTAATTCCGCATTTATCGGGTTTCCAACAGCCATCATCCTGATGCCCCAGGGAAGTGCACAGGCAGGGATCAAAGGTGATGGCAATCCCATTAGACCCCACCATGCATGCAGTTTTTATTGCCCTAAGCTCTGACTAAAGCCGTGGTTCCCAACATGGGGCACATGCCCCACAGGGGGGAAATTTGATTTTTAAGGGGGGTGCAATTCGAGAATGAGTTATTAACAGTAAATGGCCTTTTAGGCTTCCTCCACATGAATAGGAGTTCACATTTTGAATAATAAAAATTATATGTCAATGGGGGGGAGTGTCAGGATTTTAGAGATGCTTAGGTAGGGCATGGCCAAAAAAAGGTTGCGAACCACTGGACTAAAGGATCCTGATGAGACAGCAAGACAGAGGCATATGTGACCACATGCTTACAGACCAATTCTAAGCTCATGACTCCCCTGGTGAGCCTGAATTTACCTCTGTCCCTCCCATCCTTCCATAGGCACCAAGAGACCAGCTTCTGCCACTCCTACAGAGGGAACCATCCTGAAGGAGACAGCCAAAAGGAAACCCTCACCTGTTTGTTGACTTTTGGCTGTGAGGAGAAGAACTTAAAGACTTCGGCCTTCTTGTCAATGGGCTTAATTGTGAGCTAGAGAGAGACAGAGAGCAAAAGGATATACAGGTGATCTTCATCACTTCATTCACATGCAAAGCCTTTATGTGGCTTGAAGCAGTGCTTTCCCATAATTAGATGCAAGTGGAATAATAAAAAAGAGGGTCCCCACAGCATTTACTATAGACCAGTGATTCCCAAAGTGGGGGGTACTGCCCCTTGGCGGCTCAGTGGGGTTACCTGGGGGCACTAAGAGACAAGGGGGTGCTGAAGATCAGCCCCTCTGAACACGTCGATCGCTTATTTATGATTCACCAGAACGAAACACTTCCCTCGCTTCGTATTTGAAGTTTTACTTTTCTAACTGCTTTCCAAGCTATTTCCATTGGTCACATTCGTTTGTACTGATGATGCTGAGTTTTCACAAGCCACAAGATTGGTAATAATAGCTACTGATTTTCTTAATTTTTTTGTTGCCATGTGTCTGTGGTAGGTGAAGGTTTGCACATGTTTGGTGAGTTGTTATATATAAATATTTTATGCTAGAAAATTCCTTCACCCTTACGTCTTTGTTAGTCATGTGATAAGAATTTACTTCTACACCACCGGTTCATTACACAGGTGAGGGAACACCTTTTTAAATAAAACATGAGAGCAAGAGACTAACAACAATCTCAGCATCCTGTAGGGCAGGCATAGGCAAATTCAGCCCTCCAGATGTTTTTTGGGACTACAACTCCCATCATCCCTGACCGCTGGTCCTGTTAGCTAGGGATGATGGGAGTTGCAGTCTCAAAACATCTGGAGGGCCGAGTTTGCCTATGTCCGCTGTAGGGACCTGGTTTATTAAAACTATTGCAAAAATATCCCTAAAACCAGTGCATACCCCTAAACATTTTGTTAATCTTTGTACTTTTGTCCATTTACTGTATTTATTTCCCCTGATTTGAACTATAAAATGGTGATTTTCTTGAGTCAAAACGAGAGTACCCCTAAACATTTTTTTTTTAGAAAAAAAGCATTGCCTAAAACTATAGGCCAGCTCTGCTAATCAGCTGCTCAGCAGAACTTCTAGATAGAAAAACTGTCATGAGGCACGTTAGAAGAAAACTTATATACACAGCACACAAAGAGTTATAAACTTTAAAACATTGTTCTCCCTACATCAGAAAAGGTTGCAGGTCATGGGATGTAAAACACGTATGGCTCCATACTGATATCTGCGCCCCCACAATTACTTTGGGGTGCCCCAAAGCATTTGCTCTCAGCTTTCGCACTTTAACCTCTGTTACCTTGACAGCCGTGCCTTCAGTAGGAGCTACTTGACATTTCAATCTCCTGTCTTACTTCCCTGTTCCCAAAACATGTCAAAGAGCTTCAAGGAGAGCTCAACAACCCGGTGCTAACTCAAAACAGGCATAGCCAAACCTCCTGAGTGACCATTTCATTTGTGCCTCTCTGTGGTCAAATAAGGAGAGATGGAATGCAGCGTAGGAGAGTCACAAAGTGCACACAAAAATCAAGCCTAATGCATTCTACCAAAAAGGTTAAATGCAATTAATGTTGCAAGAGTTAGAACAAAATCTTTCTGTATATTCAATATTCAATTGAATAACACAATTTTTACATCAGTCAGAAAGCGCAGAAATATTTTTTCACGTTATATATTATTTGCTGAATTTTATTGTGTTATTATCCTCCTTAGTGGGTCATGCAAACCACTTTTCTGAATGATGCTTTTCCATAGGATAGGGTAGGGGTCTCTGAGGATGAGTTTATGGAACCAAGGGGACAGTGGCCAAAAAAAGTTGGGGAAACACTGCTCTAGACTATCCTGAAGTGCATATCCCCATAGCCGAGATCCTTCTATCAGTTGCCATACCTTCTCAGCTGTCGGTTAAGTTCTTGTGGAAAAGTGTAAAATTAAATGAATTTGATAGACAGAAGTGGAGCCAGAGCATAAAGGCAAAACCCAACCTTCTCCAGTTCTGCCACCCCTTAATAAGACACACCTACCTACCTCTTTCTCGCTGTAGGAAATGTTCCTGATGCTGCTCCATTCAAAAGATTTGTTTGGAGAGAAGCGGTTGTTGATGCTGTAGACATGGATTCCTTTGGCATCGACACCAAGCAGAAAGTCTGTACAATTCTTCTTTTGCTGCGGGAACAGATGTTGGAGGCAAATGTCCAGAGTGAAGGAAACAATTCTTCAGCCACGGCTTGACTGATTCTCAAGCATCAATTCTCAGACACAGCCTGAGAATGGGCCAAGCGGGAGCCTCAAAGTTGGCTGCTGGAGCCTGAACCCAGGTAGCAAACTAAGTGAGGCACCACACACAAAATTAGCAATTACACAAGTGGCTTCTTTCAAAGAAATTGCTGGGGATTCCATCCAGATTAGGGCTGGGCCATGGGAGTGAATCAGGAGCCTTGAACTGGGAGTCAGAACTGAATAAGCATCTAGATCAGAGCAGATCACAGGAAAACCAAGATTCAGTACAAAAGAGCATGATGCAACACAAGTCACACCAGAGATCGGGTAGACCTGGTGGTTCAAGCAAGGCTCAGCGGCAAAGCCATCCCTCACAAGCTTCTTCCTACCCAATGGGAGCCGAAGGTCAGCCTAGGTGGAATCATTCTGGAAGTCTTTGGGACTTTTTAAGTTTAGGGGAAAGGCAAATAAGAGGTGTCATGACAAAATATCTATGCATGGTATGGAGAGAGTGTACACAGAGAATATTTTCTTCCTCTCATAACACTAGAACTCGGGGACATCCAGTGAAGAAGAAGAAGAAGAAGAAGAAGAAGAAGAAGAAGAAGAAGAAGAAGAAGAAGAAGAAGAAGAAGAAGAACTAGTAGTAGTAGTAGTAGTAGTAGTTTGGATTTGATATCCTGCTTTATCACTACCCTAAGGAATCTCAAAGCAGCTAACAATCTCCTTTTCCCTTCCTCCCCCACAACAAACACTTTGTGAGGTGAGTGGGGCTGAGAGACTTCAGAGAAGTATGACTAGCCCGAGGTCACCCGGCAGCTGCATGTGGAGGAGCGGGGAAGCGAACCCAGTTCACCAGATTACGAGTCCACCACTCTTAACTACAGTACCCCGGGTTAAGTACTTAATTCATTCCGGAGGTCTGTTCTTAACCTGAAACTGTTCTTAACCTGAAGCACCACTTTAGCTAATGGGGCCTCCCGCTGCTGCCGCGCCGCCAGGGCACGATTTCTGTTCTCATCCTGAAGCAAAGTTCTTAACCTGAAGCACCATTTCTGGTTTAGCGGAGTCTGTAACCTGAAGCATATGTAACCTGAAGCGTATGTAACCCGAGGTATCACTGTACTACACCACACTGGCTCTCATCAAAGCTGAATGTTGGAAGATTCAGGACAGATAAAAGGAAGGGCTTCTTCATGCAGTGCAAAGTTAAACAATGGAACTCCCTCCCACAGGAGGCAGTGATGGCTGCCAACTTGGATGACTGGCCAAATTCAAAGAGGAGAGGGCTCTCGATGGCTGTTAGCCATGATGGCTCTGCTCTGCCTCCACAGTTGGAGGAAGCAATGCTTCTGAAAACCAGTTTCCGGAAACTACACAGGGAGGGAAGTGCTCTTGTGCTTTTAATCTGCTTGCTGGTTTCCCATTAAGGCATCTGGATAGTCCCTGTCAGAACAGGATGCTAGACTAGGTCAGCCATTGGCCCGTCCCAGCAAGTCTTCTCCCCTAAGAAGCTGCAGTTGTGCAGCTAGCCACATGGGGCACTGGTTCCCAACAGGAGACACTCCAATGCCTTGCCCCCTTGCTGCAATCCAGATCTGGATGGATCCACGCAGGCCTGCTATTTGCATTTCCAGTGGGAGCCTTCCCTGGCCCCCACGCAAAAAAATGCACAAAGCAGTCACAGGAAGCTTGATCTGGATTGGCACCACAGCAGAAGGCCAAGGGTGAAAGGACCCCTATTTCTCCCACTCTAGGGCCCTGATCCAATTTGGAGGAGAGGGATCATACTGCCAATTTACTCTAAAGATGTCATCTATACACTTCCTAACTGTCTGATGGTCCTAGATAAGATAAGATAAACCTTATTCGCATTAGCCAACAGCCATGGCAACATAAAACAAGCAATATATACAAATAAAATATATACAGATAAAAAAGACAGCAATGGGTAAAAAGGGCAATCAAATGGCCAAGATTATCGTTCAGATAGTGGCCCTTAATCTCATTGCACCCTCGATAAACCTAGCAACCTTTGCTGTTGTCTGGTCATTTTGATCTGATAAAAGAAAGCACAATGTGGCCTCAGATGGGCGGCCTGGGATGGTAGGTAAGAGTGGGGTAATGATCTCATTCCTCAGATATTTATAAAGGGGACAGGACAGGATGGTCCTAGCTGCACCCTGAGATACAGAGGGGATGGGGTTAAGCCTTTCCCAGCTCAAATCCACTCAAATCCACTGCTGCTCTGCCCTGGCTTTCTCTATAGGAGACTGAGCCACCTTCTCCCCCCAGCCCCCCACTCCCTGCTGCCAATTTTAAAGGAGCAAACTTCATGCATCCAGAAAAATATATCTACATTTAAAAACAACAACAACAAAGACACTTACAGCTATAGGAAAATAATTGACCCCATACATCTCCAAGTCTTGTGCAATTTTAAGATAGTTCATCTCAGCTTCATACCTAAGAGAAGAGGACAATAGAGAAACATAGAATTTTACAGTCGAAAGGGACCTAAAGAATCATCTGCCCCAACCCCCTGCAATACACTAATGAGCAACATTTAATTATTTTGTAGGATTTCTATTCTGCTTTTCCATTGGCACCAATCAAAACAACTTACAAGCTGCAGCAAGACAATATGAAAAGGCATGTGGAAACCAGCCTGCTGTAAGAAAGGTAAAATTTATCTTCATTGCTCCACCCACTTGTTGTTTTTTTCCTGCCCTTGCATTCTAGTACGAAAAAGAAGCACCTAAGAAGCAGCCTCACTTCTCAGTAGCTCCAGCAACGTTTGATAGGACATTGAAGACGCATCAGCCGCTCAGCTGCCTCCTCCTGCCCCATGCTATGGCCTCAGACACAGGTGCCCCAGTACCTGGCTATGCCCCGGTGCCCAGCGTACCAGGCTGTAATCCTCTCTTCCCACATGTCAGGTGTCATCTGATATTGGCGGAGGACCTGGAAAGGAGAAGGAAATGAGTGAAGCTGTTCCCTTCTCCAAATCCCAAAGCTGGTCTTCTCAGGAGTCCCCTGTCTTGGAAGAGCCCCCAAATCCCCATCTTTAATAATACTACTACTACTACTACTACTAATAATAATAATAATAATATACCTCCCTATACCAGCAAGTCTCAAGACGGTTCACAGAATAAAATCACAATATAAAAACACAAAAGACATAAATCAAAATAAAAACAAGAACAACCCAATAATCCCACCCTAACACATTTTAAAAAGCACTGGATGTCAATCAATCAATCAAAGGCCTGGTTAAAAATGAATGTCTTCGTCAGGACTATGAAGGTGATGTACAAGAGAAGTCTCTGCTCTTGATATTTCTCCTGCAGCTGACGCAGTGAGAAAATCATGTCGGCTATTAACCTCTGAGCTCTAAAGCCACATTGGGACTAGGGACAGACCCTGTCTGCAGTGTACAAAGAGTATAAAACAATAAAATTATAAAAGCAACTATTTAAAAATAATTCCGGCAATAAACTAACAGCGGATCAAAACATAAATCAATATTTTGCAGGCGCTAGAAAGAGTACAGTGAAGGCACTTTCCTGGTGTCAATAGGCAGAGAGTTCCAGCGTGTAGGTGCTACCACACTAAAATATCAAGTTCTTGTTGCAGCAAGTGGCTATTTCAGAACTGTCCCAGGTCCTGAAATCCCAGTCTGCCCCCCTACCTGCCCAACTCCACCAGCCTACTCTGGCTGCTGTTGGTGGTGGTGGTCTTTTTTTAAAAAAAGGAAACTTACTCTCTTTGGTAAAAGCTCCTCCGGAGCCAGGAAGCCCGGCTTGTGCAGGTTTGGGTCATAGTCACCATACTGTAACGCAAAGAAGAGAAAGAGATCAGGAAAGGCGGTGACCCTTTCACAGAACATGCCATGAAGGAAGTAGCCAGCTAGGAGGAAGAAGCTTGCTAAAAGGGTAACAGAATCCTCAGCAGGAGGAGAGGATGAAGGCAGTTCATGGCAACAAATGAAATGATATTCGTCTTCAATCCCAACACATTCCCCAGCGAGCATATTAAACCCAACAGATATGAACTGCTTCAGCAGGACATCACACTTCCAATGAACTTTCCCTGAGGCATTTGGAGTTGGCAACTGTGGGAAAAGGATGCTGGAATAGATGGGTCCCCTTTGGCCTGATGCAGCAGGTTTCTTATGGAACCTCCATGTCCAGAGGCAGTCTATCTAGATTTCTAGATTATTTGGGTATTTGGCCTCTAGGATAAAAGGATACTAGACTAGATGGGCCATTGGCAGGATCCAGCAAGGCTCTTTTTTCCCCCCCTTCAAAATATTTATTAATTTTCCAAATTTATAACAAACATATCAACAAATACAAAAAGAAAACATCAAAAAACAAACAAGCAAGGAAACATAGATCCTAACTGTAATAGTTCTACTTTTGTTAACATTGTTGGGTGACTTCCTTGAATCCCCCTAACTGAGTTTTCCAAATCTATTTTCACATAAAATCTACTTAGTCAATTAACCTCTTTCAATCCGGCAAGGCTCTTCTTGCATTTGTATGCTGACTTTTGCAGGAGGCAAGAAAGCATCATCAGCAGGATATATTTTAAATGAGCTGGCCATAGCTAGTGTTCGGTTGGAATGATTTGTTTAAAACTACGTTTTATTCATTTTTTGATAGAATCTTAAAGGTAAAGGGACACCTGACCATTAGATCCAGTCACAGACGACTCTGGGGTTGCAGCGCTCATCTCGCTTTATTGGCCGAGGGAGCCGGCGTACAGCTTCCGGGTCATGTGGCCAGCATGACTAAGCCGCTTCTGGCAAACCAGAGCAGCACACGGAAATGCCGTTTACCTTCCCGCCTATTTATCTACTTGCACTCTGACGTGCTTTCAAACTGCTAGGTTGGCAGGCGATAGAATCTTACAATGTATTAAAAAAATTAAAAAATAAAAATAAAGAAATAAAGTTATACAACACAGTCCCCCACTGCTCCCAAGCCTCCCCGGAGCCGTCGTGGGAAAGGGAAGGTCGCAAATATAAGCCACACTTTAACTTTTCACTGTCAGAATTTGGAAAAACGTGTGGCTTATATTCGGGCCAATATGGTTCTTTTAAAAGTGGTACATGGCTTCTTAAAGTGGTATTATGCTGCTTTAAATTAATAGTGTAGAGGCCTAAACCACTGACTAAAAAAAAATACTACTTCAAGGTAGAAAATATGTAAATTTAATCTCAGAGAAGCTGAGGTGACCAACGCCCAGTGAAATCACAGTCAGAGAGGAGGCTGCACCAGACTTCCATGTCTTTGGAGCCTGCAGAAATCCTTATTTGCAAAACCAGAAGTGTCTGCAAAAGAACTGCTCTGCCACAAACCAACTAGCTAGAGAGAGTCTCTTGAAAACTCTCCAAAACTACTTAAAGGACAACGGCATGAATGACATAACAACCCCCCTCCTCTAGGACACAATGAAAGCAGTCACCAGAGGAGCCTGCATAAAGGAGAGGGCATCCCTTAAAAAACCAACGTCAAAAATTGGTAAATTATAACAAGACATAACAACCCTCTCACCACACTACAAATAGGAGCCAAAAAACTCCTTAAACTCTTCTACAAAAACAACAAACCCACACCAACACAAGAAATACAAGACAAATTAGAGGACTAGTTTGCTAACACACAATCAACTACATGCCTTCTTAAACAATCCAGCAGTAAAATCAGCAGCCACTAGGCCCTTGACCACCTCCGAAAACCTTTTCCTGACAGAAGAGGGACACGGCAAAGGGATGGTATCCATAATATACAGAATACTGTTCCCAAACCCCACAAACCCCCTTGATGCAATCAAAGAACAATGGAAGCATGACAGAGGCTACGAAACTAACCCCACCCAATGGGCTAGAATGTGGTCTAAACTTCCCTTTAAGTCCATGTCAGCCAAAAGAAGGGGACTCACTCTGAAACTCACTTACAGGTGGTACTTAACACCACAGAAACTGGCACTGATATGCCCAGGGACCTCACCAAGATGTTGGAGAGGTTGTACCTCCACAGGCACATACTTCCACATGTGGTGGGGATGCCCTAAAATCCAACCCTTCTGGGTAGCAGTCCTACGAGAGATATGCAAAATAACTAAACAGGTATTAGAGCTCACCCCAGAACTGGCCCTACTGAACATCTTCCAAGATCAGAATGAACACTCAACATTATACAGAGCTTATAACCCACCTACTCTCAGCAGACAGAAGCCTCAGAGCCAAACACTGGAGAGACCTGTCAGGAGTAAACATTGGCCAATGGTATCAAACTGTACGGGAAACGACCTTACTAGAAAAGCTAACCAATAAACTAAAACTGACACAGAGACAAACAGAAGAGGACGCCTTCACCCCAGTATGCCCCCCCTTTATCACATACACAGCCCAACACAACAAGAATCCACCGACAGCATACGAATCAATCTGGCTTACCTGACCCAACAAGTCTTCCCCCCCTCACAAATGCGAACAAACCCCACTGCAGCCAGCCACAGACAACCAACCGCACCCTGCCCCAACACCTCTCACGACCAAGGAAATGTAATAAACGAAGAGAAAGAGAACCTACCTAGTTGACGCTGACACAAAACGCCACACATACACTATGCAAAAGAATATAAGCCTCCCCACCCCACCCCTGCTCTCCCCCCTCTTCTTCCCCAACCTTATACTGTATTCAACCCTAATGTCTCACAACAAATGTAGCTGATTTGTAAGATAGACTGTATAACCTGAAAAAAGAGACAAGGCACGTACTTTTGTAAACCAAGAAAATATTTAATAAAAATAAATTTAAAAAAGAGCTGCTCTGTTTTTCACCCTCCTGCAAGCTCTTTGAATTAGGATATGTTCATACTGTATATCTTCTTGCATAAACAAACTAACAAACCAGCCAACACCCAACAGAGAATAAAACAAGGTGCCAAAATCACCCCATCCTGTTTTCCAGCACTGCTTTAAATGGGTGCTTTCCTGCATTAATTAGCACTGTGTGATTAAGCAAAAGGGTTTTTTTTAATGTTGTTCTGCAAGCAATAGAAGGTGACAACCAAGCAATTTCAAAGCCTCACCTTGGCCTGAACAGCATAAGACGCTAACAAAATTGTAGCCTCAGGAGAGCAGTAGATTTCTTCATCCAGTATTTGTTTCTTAACCTGGGGGGTGGAGGCGGAAGAAAGGGGGGGGGCGGAGAGGAGGGAGAGAAATCCAAGGCTTAGACAAGCTTGAAAACAAAACAATACATGCCCAGACTTTGTCTTGGCACATGAAAAGTAACCGTTAGCCGAGTTATAAGTGGGAAAGAAAAGAATCTCTGGCAGCAACTGCAGACTTGTGAGCTGTACTCAAGAACATTTCAGGCTGTCAATTACCCCTTTTTTAAAAGCATCATTGCTAACTAAGGAACGTTCAAATGCTGCCCTCTCACCACATACAAAGCTGCTGGCAGTTAGAAAATAAGCACTCCTGTGAAGCGTTAAACTGGGGTTCAGCAAACTTTTTCAGCAGGGGGCCAGTCTACTATCCCACAGACCTTGTGGGGGGCCGGACTATATTTTTTGGGGGGGAAATGAAAGAATTCCTATGCCCCACAAATAACCAAGAGATGCATTTTAAATAAAAGCACAAATTCTACTCATGTAAAAATACCAGGCAGGCCCCACAAATAACCCAGAGATGCATTTTAAATAAAAGGACACATTCTACTCATGTAAAAACACGCTGATTCCTGGACTGTCTGCGGGCCAGATTTAGAAGGCGATTGGCTCTGGCCCCCGGGCCTTTGTTTGCCTACCCATGTGTTAAACCAAGAAGGGTCCATCTAGCTCAACGTGGAGTGGCCAGTGAGAAAATGGACCAAGAAAGGTTTTCCTTCCTCTCTCAGGACATTAGAACTCATGGACATGAAATGATGCTGAAAGCTGTAAGATTCAGGACAGACCAAAGAAAGGCAGGTCAGAGTTAAACTGTGGAACTGTGTGACGGCCACCAATTCTGACAGCTTTAAAAGAGGATTGGATAAATTCATGGAGGAGGAGAGGGCTATCAATGGCTATTGGCTATGATGGCTCTGCTCTGCCTCCATAGCCGGAGGTAGCCGCGTTTCTGAATACCAGTTTCTGGAAACCTCAGGAGGGCAGAGGGCTCTTATGTTTGTGTCCTACTTGCAGGTTTCCAACAGCCATCTGGCTGGCCACTGTGAGAACAGGAATCTGGACTAGATGGGCCCTGGGCCTGGTCCAGCAGGCTCTTCCTGTGGTTTTAAAATATTAGTTTCTCTAAAGACACATCGGTCTTTCTCCTCCATCCAAAAGTGCATGATCAGAGTTCAAGGACACCGCCAAGCCAAAACACTGGAGGAGGGTGGAAACCCCACTGAGGGGTGTGGCAGCAGAGGAAGTGTGGCCAGACTTCCCACTCCCTGCTTTAATTTAATCTGTTCATTTGAATGCCTTGAAGCACCCAGCTGCCTATACACGCTCTCTCTGCCCCCGCTCCCCGTCCCCAATTATTCTGCTGCAGGTGCAATGTCTGATTCTTAACCGTCAGGAACCTCTGCAAGTTCTAATGCGTCGATTTCCTCACCCTGCTCCCCATTTTGCATTTCTTTTGGAACAGGAAGAAAATAATTACAGGCGAATTGCATTCCTCAAAGTCAAGGCAAGCCAAGGCTGGTTTGAAAGAGAAGAAAATGAAAGTGCAGGTTTTCAGAGATGAAAGGAACCGGGGGAGGGGGGGAGGCAGCCTTTAGTGCCTTCGTCTTTGCAAAACAGCTCAACACAAATAATTGTCAAGGTGATCTTGAAAAAAATATATATAACAGCAACAGAAGAAAAACCTTTCACAAGGAAACCTGCTCAACCCAGAAAATTAACTCTTCACAAGCTCTCGCCACTGACAGGAGGCACAGAGTGAAAGAATAAGCAGACAGTGATTCCAAAACCTAGGGGCCAGACACACCAAACGCCCAGAAGGTAACTACAACAATTCAAAAGTCAACTTTAAAATAAAAGAAATACCTTCTGACCTGCAGGAAAAAGAGGTGTTGGGTGATCTCCTGCAGAAGTTCCTCTTCAACTTTCTCAGGGTAAAATTTTGCTAAAAAACAAAATCTGATGGGATCTTCCTTGGGAATTTCCTGATCCAGAACCTGTTGAAGAACAAAGGGAATCAGTTTTAAAGAACATTGAAAATAAATGAAATCTTATATTGTTCTTTATAAGGTTTATATATTTGTAAATTTATGGACTTTTAGTATACATGTGTATTTTAAATATTGGGTTTGATTATACAGTCGTACCTCGGAAGTAGAATGGAATCTGTTCCAGAAGTCCGTTTGACTTCCAAAACATTCAGAAACCAAAGTGTGATTTCTGATTGGCTGCAGGAAGCTCCTGCAGCCAATCAGAAGCCACAAAAGCCCTGTCGGACGTTCGGCTTCCAAAAATAGTTCGCAAATTGGAACATTCACTTCCGGGTTTGTGGTGTTCAGGAGCCAAAACGTTCGAGAACTAAGCTGTTCGAAAACCAAGGTACAACTGTATTTATAGAGGATAATGTTGGTAATACAGTATTCCAATATTTAGAATATTTATGAACTTAAACATTTTATATTAATAGATTTAATGTATTTACCACTTTGGGGATTATAGGTAGAGATAAAGATAGTGTGGGAATCATCAGATATGTTCCTGAGCATCCCATTGGCCATGCCTGCTGGGGGTGATGGGAGCTGTAGTTCAGCTACATCTGGAGGGATTAAGGTGCCCCAAACCTGATATATAGCACATATATATATAGCATTACATGGTGAAAGAGAGAAGAATTAGTTACACATGTGTGCCTTTTCAACTTCCTTTTCCTTCTCTGTGTTTTAAAGTATGTTTTTGAGAGTATTAGAATTCCTTTTTGTAAAGAGAGAGTAATATGGACAGACAGACAGACAGAAAGATGAGCAGCTGAGCCACTGTGCAATGACAATACTTTGCCAGGAACACATTTGGTTGCTTTAGGCAAAGCCCTGCTCTCTTTGAGAAACCCACCCACCAATCTGCAATATATACTGGCCCAGTTTGCAGCTAAGATCAGAAAGTGTGGTGGCTTTTCTATGGCTACACAGTGAGATGCAACAGGAAAGGGCTATTGTAACTCAACGGTAGAGCATCTGCCTCTATGCAGAAAGTCCCAAGTTCACTTCCTGGCAGCATTCCCAAGTATAGACTCATAGAATTGTAAAGTTGGAAGGGACCTCCTGGGGTCCTCTAGTCCAACCCCCTGCAATGCAGGAATCACAGCTAAATAATCCCTGACAGATGGCCAACCAACCTTTGCTTAAAAACCTCCTCCAATAAAGAACAGTTCACCATGTTCTGGGGTTGTCCGTTCCTCTGTCAAACAGTTTTTTATCATGATTCCTAATACTTGGACGGAATTTCATTTCTTGCCATTTGAATCCACTGAATCGGGTCCTATCATCTGGAGCTGCACAAATCAAGCTTACTAAGGCTTTCTAGATTGCCATGCAAGCTCTTCTGCAAGCTAAAGTTAGCCTCCATACCTTTTTATCCATCTTCAACCAGGTGTTCATTCCTTTGATAGAGTACTGCAAGCCAAAGAACCAGGATTCCCGCAGGCCCAGAGCACGACACGCCTGGTCAAAGAGGTCCTTCCCCTTCCATTTCATCTACAAGGAAGAAAGACAGAACATCAGTGGGGAAAACCAAGAGAAACTCGACAGCCTGGTTTTTAGAAAGGGATGACCCACTCCGTTGCTGGCCTAAGATGAGAGAACTCAAACAGTGCAAGCAAAGAAGAGGCGTATCTTGTAGTGTGGGGTGCAGAATTCAGCTCTGTGGAAAGATCAAGTTCCTAGCCCTTATTGTTGAAAGTGTGTGGCCAATGCCAGAAGCCCGGAAAGGGCAAGCATATTGGTCAAAGGGCTGCAGCAACTCCCTTAGAAGAAAAGATTACAATATTTGGAGCTGCTTGGATGAGGAAAAAAGACTTGATAGATGTGTACAGTGGTACCTCGGGTTAAGTACTTAATTCATTCCGGAGGTCCGTTCTTAACCTGAAACTGTTCTTAACCTGAAGCACCACTTTAGCTAATGGGGCCTCCTGCTGCTGCCGCGCTGCCAGAGCCCAATTTCTGTTCTCATCCTGAAGCAAAGTTCTTAATCCGAGGTAATATTTCTGGGTTAGCGGAGTCTGTAACCTGAAGCGTATGTAACCCGAGGTACCACTGTATAAGATTATACCCTCCAACCTGGCGGCCCTCACCTCCTCCTGCAGGAGTGAGTTCCATAGTTTACATTGTCTGAAGAAGCCCTTTATTTTGCCTGTCCTGAATCTTCCAGCACTCAGCTTGTCCACAAGTTCCTAGCATTATGGGAGAGGTGGAGAAAAAAAAAATCTCTATCTGCTTTCTCCACTCCAATGCCTAATTTTATATGCAAATCCTAAAGTGTCGATGAAAGCTTTTCTGCACCTTAATTTTGGCCTTTTTTTTTTTTTAAAGCCACTTACCTCGCAACTAAACTCCATTTCGATTTCCATCGTTATAACTTTCACCTTAAACGTTTTTGGCTGCTTCCTCTTCAGCCCCGTGATGGACATATTTTTATGCCTGCAGGGAAAGCCACACAAAGGATGCCTGCAATCCAGCGCAAACAAGCAGCTGCATGAAAAGAACAGATAAATAGCATCAACATCAGGGCAGCCCTAGCCTGGCTCTTGACTCCCTAATAAGAGTGTACTGTAGTGGTTAGTGTGTTGGACTAGGGCCTGGCAGAGACCAGGGTTTGAATCCCCACTGGGTCATGAAGCACAGTGGGTGACCTTGGGCTAGTCACAGAATCATAGAGTTGGAAGGGGCCTCCGGGTCATAGTCCAACCCCCTGCAATGCAGGATTCACAGCTAAAGACTCCCTGAAAAGATGGCCGTCTGACTTCTGCTTAAAGACCACCAATGAAAGAGAGTCCTCCACTATCTGAGGGAGTCCGTTCCATTGTCAAACAGCTCTTACAAACAGTCACCGTCTCTCAGCATAACCTAACGCAGAGGGTTGTGGTGAGGATGAAGTGAGATAGGGAAAATACCACATACGCCACCTTGAGCACCTTATCGCTTGAGGATAAGGGAGGGTAGAAATGAAATAAATAAATAGGTGGGGTTTGGGGGGGGGGACTTCTCTATCCTTTCTCCAAACTGCATACTTTTATAAACTTCAATCATGTCCTCTCTGGTAGGCGACAGTGGATGAAAGGTGGAGAGAATGAAATTGGCACGGCAAATCCATGTACCGCAGGCAGCAAATTTCAGAGCACCACTAAAGGGCAGCAGATAAGGCAAGAAATAATTGCCTATCCTATTCTTGGCCGCACAGGGGGTGACATTTAAATGTTCTGCCTCTCGGCATCAAAATGTCTCGGCCAGTGGGCCAAGGTAATGAGAGATGAACAGCAGATGCACTTCACAGAGAATTTGCCATAGGAGCAAACGCTGCTTCCCTTTCAAGTGTAGGCAAAAGGTGAATCGCGTCCCAATTTAAAATTTGGAAGGGCTGCCAGGAGCCAGATTTTAAAACGACTTCATGGGGGGGATCTGTCCCAGTGCCCTCAAGCTGACCAGCCCCTGGTGTGGTCGGTGGTGGCAACTGATTGATTTAAGGTTTGCCTTTCTATTCAAATGAAGAAGAAGATAACCCTAGTCTGCTAGGACAGCTGAATAGCTCAGTGAAGCAGAAAGCCATTTAGTTTCTCTATCTCTTCTTGCACCACGCCCTGCCCCCAAGGGCCATTTGCTTTGCCTTTCTATGAGCAGTCTCGGAAAACATATTTTTGTCAAAACCTTTGCCAAAGGAGTTCAAGGCCTGAGGGGGACATGGCTGTTATCCCCACCCCCAGTTGCTTGTTGCCACTAAAGTTGGGCGAACCTGTCAGTTTCCTCCATTTTCATTGTCCTAGTCTTAAGATCAGTTCTCCTCATTTCCAAATCACTTTGAGGGTTGATTGTTTGTTTGCTTGTTTAGGGGGGGGAGTCCTTGTGAAAATGCATTGTTACAATTGCCAGCAAAAGCCAAGGTTAAAAACAAGTTTGAAAATCAGAACATAAATAACATCGACCAAACTATGAACATGAATTAGGTAAAAGGACCCCTGACCATTAGGTCCAGTCGTGGCCGACTCTGGGGTTGTGGCGCTCATCTCGCTTTATTGGCTGAGGGAGCTGGTGTACAGCTTCCGGGTCATGTGGCCAGCATGACTAAGCCGCTTCTGGTGAAGCAGAGCAATTTACCTTCCCGCCGGAGCGGTACCTATTTATCTACTTGCACTTTGACGTGCTTTCGAACTGCTAGGTTGGCAGGAGCAGGGATCGAGCAGCGGGAGCTCACCCCGTCATGGGTATTCGAACCGACCTTCTGATCAGCAAGCCCTAGGCTCTGTGGTTTAACCACATGAACATGAATTACAATGCATCAAAATGTTTTGCTGTGTTCATCTGGGCCATGTTGGCTATGCTCTTCCTCCACATTACTGGAGGCAAGTAATGTTCCTGTTGCTGGAAGCCACAGGAGGGAATGATGCTCTTGGGGGGGAAAGGCGCTCTAGCCAAAATATTGCTGCCCTGGAGGTTTTCTATTATTTGGGGGTGGGGAGATGACACATTATTGCAGAGCTGTAAACAATCTATCTCCTTCAAGCATCCCTAGGGCACTGGGGACTGGACCTCCCGCGGGTAGTTTAGGAACAGCTATCTCGGGATAGGGACGCGGGTGGCGCTGTGGGTTAAACCACAGAGCCTAGGACTTGCCAATCAGAAGGTTGGCGGTTTGAATCCCCGCGACGGGGTGAGCTCCCGTTGCTCGGTCCTGCTCCTGCCAACCTAGCAGCTCAAAAGCACGTCAAAGTGCAAGTAGATAAATAGGTACCGCTCCGGTGGGAAGGTAAACGGCATTTCCGTGCGCTGCTCTGGTTCACCAGAAGTGGCTTAGTCATGCTGGCCACATGACCCGGAAGCTGTACGCCGGCTCCCTTGGCCAATAAAGTGAGATGAGCGCCGCAACCCCAGAGTCGGTCACGACTGGACCTATTTATCGGTACCTATTTATGTACTTGCACTCTGACGTACTATCGAACTGCTAGGTTGACAGGAGCTGGGACCGAGCAATGGGAGCTCACCCCATGACAGAGATTCAAACCGCCAACCTTCTGATTGGCAAGCCCTAGGCTCTGTGGTTTAGACCACAGCGCCACCCGCCAAAACCAACAACAGACAAAGCCAACTAAACCTAGTTTTGTCCCCATCCTCCTCCCTGCTGAGTTCTACAGGGGAAATGCTGAGACTGGAGGAAGGTGACATGGAGAGCTATTGATAGCTACTAGGCATAATGGCTCGGCTCAGCCTTCACAGTAGTCCTGCCACCTCCTGGGCTGGGTGTAAGCAGGAAAGCAGGCAGGAGGTAGGCTGAGGGCAGACTGAGACTGGTAAGGAAGTGCCCCGTTTACTTTAATGGACCAGCCTTTGCTTGCAATGGAACAAGGATAGCCAATGTGGTGCCCTCCAGGTGCAGGTGCTGCCAGTTTCCATGGCTTTTCTGGCTGCAAGGGCTGATGGGAGTTGTAGTTCAAAGCAACTGGATGACACCAGGTTGGCAATAGAGATGCTGCAGCAGCAACACTACCAGTGCAAGCACATCCAATACCCAGAGCACAGGGGAGGGGGGAGTATTAATGCAAAGAGAGAGAACATGCAACGTGTGATTTTTTATTTTTATTTTTTTGCATTAGCAGAATAGATATTGAAGATCTAAATGTTGCAAGGACCAACAGCAGTTGTATTTCAAAGCATCTGGAGGTGCTTTTTAGTTTTATTTATTTTATAATTAATAAATAAATATATTTTACTGTTTTATTGTGATTTTGTAAGGCAGATTTTGGTTTTGCCACGTTTTCTTGCTGGAGTACCAGTTGCATTTCTATGGCATGTGGATTCTATTCCCAGGTTCTGTACACCACCCCGAAATCCTTCAATGAACAGCGGTTAATAAATATTTAAAATAAATTAATACCTTGACCAGCCTCTTTCACAGCTAGACTTCCCTCACTTATTTCCTTGTCCTCCTGCATTGCTGGTCACTGCCTGCATTCAACCCAGAGAAATCCAGCCCTCTGCCATCCTAGACATGTTTAGCTGGGGAGTTAGACCCATAGAAATCTATGAGGCTTACTTTAAGTAGACGTGGACAGGATTAAACTGGAACCAAACACATTTTTTAAAATGCATAAATCACACGCTGAAAAATACATGATTTCACACCCACACCCACACCCCTCTACACCTTTTATTATGTTGCTTCTTAAATCTTTTTCTTTTTCTTTTCCTTTCCGCTTTGCTTTGATTCAGTTACAAGGATTTGCAAACAATTTAGCGGTTTGAATGACTTCCCAGATCCAAACAGCCGCTTGCTTACCTCTCTCTCTTGTTATTCCTGCAATTCCACAGCAGGAGAGTCAAATTGGATTCTGAATTTCTTCTCGGAATCAACGTTTTTTTAAAAAATAAAAAATAAGCATTTGTTTGTTTATTTATTCTAAAGGTTGCATTTTGCACAGCCCACGTTCACATCACCACGGTGCAAGAATCATAGCCAGGGGCTGATCTAGCAAGGGGCTTCCCTTCCCTTTGTCTCCTCCACGCTGGAGCATGTCAGCTCAGCTGCCGGGGAGAAAGCGAAGAATTTACTTTCCCAGGTGATGGCAAAAGACGTCGAGCCGTTTCCTGCCTGGGTGCCAGCGAGACTCCTCCTCCTCCCGCGCTGGGGATTTCTAAACAGCAGACACTGCAGGGAGAGAAAAACAGCAACCTCTCACCATAACCCGCTGGGATCCAGTGCATTTGTGCGGTGGAGAAATCAATTTCACCATTAGACTGTATTAACCAAAACATCAGAAGACGATGCGTAAGCTTTCAAGTTCTGCAGAGTTCCTCGTCAGGTTACATAAAGCAGGAGGTAGAAAGGGGGAACATTAATATTATTTTTCCTCTACTCTCTTCGCACCCTGTGTAGGGTCTTGCGTGATGAAGAGCTCTGCAGATCTCAAAAGCTTGCTATTTTTTGATGCTCTCTTTGGTACCACTGTGGTCCATGTGTTGCTAACCTCAAGGCTGGATTACTGCAATGTGGTGTATGTGAGGCGGTCCTTGGGCCTGGTTTGCAAGCCCAAGCTGCTGCAGAATACTACTGAGCTGGGTTTAAGGTCCTAGTACTGTACAGTATAGGGTGGTGCTGTGGGTTAAACCACAGAGCCTAGGACTTGCTGGTCAGAAGGTCGGTGGTTCGAATCCCTGTGATGGAATGAGCTCCCATTGCTCGGTCCCAGCTCCTGCCAACCTAGCAGTTCAAAAGCACGTCAAAGTGCAAGTAGATAAATAGGTACCACTCCGGCGGGAATGTAAACGGCATTTCCGTGCGCTGCTCTGGTTTGCTAGAAGCGGCTTAGTCATGTTGGCAACATGACCCGGGAGCTGTACGCCGGCTCCCTCGGCCATTAAAGCGAGATGAGAGCCACAACCCCAGAGTCGGCCACAACTGGACCTAATGGTCAGGGGTCCCTTTACCTTTTTACTGTACAGTATTAATTTACAAAGCCATTAACAAATTAGTTCCAGGGATCGCCTGAACCCTTACATCCCAGCCTGGTCACCAAAATATTCTGAAGGAGTGTCATGGGTCATTCCCTGAGTTGGCAAGGGTCATTTGACAACAATTAGGAGTGGAGCCTTAATGTCATTAGCCCAGTCCTGTGGAACACTCTGCCACTAGAGATTCAGCTTGGACACTGGCTATCTTCCTTAGCCTGACCACGCAACAGAAAATATGCATGAGTGAAATAAATGTGTATTTTGTCCATCCCATTCCTCTCATGGGAAATGTGTACAGTCCTTGAGGCAGAGATCTGTCCTCTTCTACTGTGTGAAGCGTCGTGTGCATTGATAGTGCAAAAATAACAACAACAAAAGCAATTTTGTTGCACTTTGCACAATAGTATCTGGTATTCTTTGGCTGTTTGGCACTTTAGGGTGGGGGGGATGCTATTATTCGGAAGGGTCTGAAACAGTACAGAATGGATCAGTATAGGCAGCGGAAAGTCCCGGGTTCCAATGCCCAGCATCTCTCTATAGGGCTGGGAATGTCCGTGCCTCAAATTTTGGAGGGTCGATTCCAGTTAGTGTGCACAGCACTAAGCTAGATGGTCTGACTCAGTGTAAGGCAACTTCCTTTGTCCTGTTTGTCCTCTTCTGATGTCCTCCTGGCTCAGGAAAGCTCATGCCATAATGCATTTGTTAGGCTTTGAGGTGCCTCAAGACTCTCTGCTGTATTCACCACCTCACAGAGTTGTCATGTGAGAGAGAAATGAAGAAAGCCCTTGGAGGAAGCCAGTGATAAATATACAGTGGTACCTCGGGTTATATACACTTCAGGTTACATATGCTTCAGGTTACAGACTCCACTAACCCATAAATAGTACCTCGGGTTAAGAACTTTGCTTCAGGATGAGAACAGAAATTGTGCTCCGGCGGCACAGCAGCAGCAGGAGGCCCCATTAGCTAAAGTTGTGCTTTAGGTTAAGAACAGTTTCAGGTTAAGAACGGACCTCCGGAACGAATTAAGTACTTAACCCGAGGTACCACTGTATAAAGAAAGTTCACAGAGCAGAGTTAAACTATGGAACTCGCTCCCCCAGGAGACAGTGGTGGCTATCAACCTACATGACTTTAAAATAGGGATTGGACAAATTCAAGGCTATCAATTACTAGCCAGGATGGCTTTGCTCTGCCTCCACAGCTGGAGGCAGCAATGCTGGAAACAACAGGAGGGTGTTCCTGTGCTCGAATCCTGATTGGGGGTTTCCCATTAAGGGTATCTGGTTGGCAAAGAGAATGCTAGACTAGATGTGCCATTGGCCTGATCCAGCAGGCTCTTCTTATGTTCTTATCCAGTGCTGTTTTTCTAGAAGAAGAGGTGCCAGAACTCACCATGAACACCTCCCTTGTTCTCTTATCATGGCAATGGCGCCCACCTGAGAGCTGCCGGAACTGAGTTTCCAATGTTTGTGTTTAATTAAAAACTCAGTTCTTTAAAGCAGTGGATTTTCAAATGAAGATGCATCCCGAGGCGCCTTGGAGGCTTATCACAGATTCCTCAGTGATTAAATTTCTGGAGGAAGACACACTTATCTAAAAGGTGGCATGTTCTGTCTTGATCAAACTTTCCCTGAGGGAAGAGGAGAGTGGGTGGGCACATGCAAAGGTTGGACTCGCACACATTATTTGCCCGAGAAGGGACCAATGGTGCCCACAAGTCCCAGGATGGGTTGCAGTATTAAAAACAATTTACAACAGCTTGCAACCATAAAAATAAGGTGGGTCTTAAAAACGTACACCTCAAGTGTCAAAAACCAGGATAGAGAGGGGCATCTTCAGCATTCACTGGAAGCTCTATAATGAAATCTTTGGGGAGGGGAGTTCCACAACATAGGAGCTGCCTCAGAGAAGGCCCTCTCCTTGAGCTTCTGAGGGTGGAGTGATGACACCCAGCTCTACTTCTCCTTTAAATCAGAACCAGCGAAGGCGGTGAAGGTCCTGTGTGAGTGCCTGGAGGCGGTTGGAGGATGGATGGCGGCTAACAGATTGAGGTTGAATCCTGACAAGACAGAAGTACTGTTTTTGGGGGACAGGGGGCGGGCGGGGGCGGGGGATTCCCTGGTCCTGAATGGCGTAACTGTGCCCCTGAAGGACCAGGTGCGCAGCCTGGGAGTCATTTTGGACTCACAGCTGTCCATGGAGGCACAGGTTAATTCTGTGTCCAGGGCGGCTGCCTACCAGCTCCACCTGGTATGCAGACTAAGACCCTACCTGCCTGCAGACTGTCTTGCCAGAGTGGTGCATGCTCTAGTTATCTCCCGCTTGGACTACTGCAATGCGCTCTATGTGGGGCTACCTTTGAAGGTGACCCGGAAACTGCAAATAATCCAGAATGCGGCAGCTAGACTGGTGACTGGGAGTGGCCCCCGGGACCACATAACACCGGTTCTGAGAGATCTGCATTGGCTCCCAGTACGTTTCTGAGCACAATTCAAAGTGTTGGTGCTGACCTTTAAAGCCCTAAACGGCCTCAGTCCTGTATACCTGAAGGAGCGTATCCACCCCCATCGTTCAGCCCGGACACTGAGATCCAGTGCCGAGGGCCTTCTGGCGGTTCCCTCATTGCGAGAAGTGAGGTTACAGGGAACCAGACAGAGGGCCTTCTCGGTAGTGGCGCCCACCCTGTGGAATACCCTCCCTTCAGATGTGAAGGAAATAAACAGCTATCCTATCTTTAAAAGACATCTGAAGGCAGCCCTGTTCAGGGAAGTTTTTAATATTTAATGCTGTACTGTTTTTAACACTTGATTGGGAGCCGCCCAGAGTGGCTGGGGAAACTCAGCCAGATGGGCGGAGTATAAATAATAAATTTATTATTATTATTATTATTATTATTATTATTATTATTATACCAAGAAAGCCCCTCTGCAGATCTCAGCACCTAAGAGAGTCTTTAGGGAAGAAGGTGGTCTTTCAGATATTTGGGGCCTGAGTCATTTAAGGCTTTAAAGACCAATGTGAGACCTTGAATTGGGCCTGGAAACAAACTGGCAACCAATGCAGTTGTTTTAAAACAGGGGTTGTATATGAGATCTAAATGGAACCCCAGCCAGTAATCTGTCTGCTGCGCCTGCATTATGGACCAACTGAAGTTTCCATGTTGTCTTCAAGGGCAGCTGCACATAGAGCACATTGCAATAAGCAAATCTGGAAGCCAGCAGACCATGGAGTACAGTGGCCAAGTCATCTCTGTCCAAAAGGCGTCACTGGTGGCAAAACCAGCTGGAGCTGAAATAAGGCACTGCTAGTCACCAAGGCAGTGCCTTTTCCTGTAAACCACTTGGAGACTTTTTTGTAGTAAGCAAATGACAAATCAAATAAATAATAGTAGCAGTCCTGTATTTTATAGCATTAAAAAAAATTGTGAGTCACCCATTGAACACGTGATACAGGGCTGCCATAAAGATATGGCTAATGAAAAAACAATAAATTAGGACACCATGAGGAGTGTGCCCTGAGAGGCTCATTTTGTGCTCCTGTTGACAGATTTAATTTTTCAGCTAGTCAATTTACGTACCACTTCATATTTCAAAAGAAATCTCAAAACAATTTACAAATTCCAACAAAAAGTAATTCAATAAAAGAAATACAGCACGATTTCCACATTCAAAACCAATGGCTACTAATAATTACAATCAGAAGCCCACATTTTAAGTTATGTAATTAAATAAATATGCACATAAGGAAAATGACTAAGAACTACAAAAAACAAATTGTATACAAAACATCCAAGTATATAAAGGTGCACAAAAATGTAATAGAATTACAATAGATCATAAACATTTCATTACAAAAAACACACACATGTAAAACAACCATCAAGACCATTTACTGACACATTGATGCAGATTGTTAAAATTCCACCAGGGGGAGAGATGGGAAGCAGGACTCTCTACATCAGCACTGTTAAAAGACCAGCTGCAGCAGGCATTTCCTACCCAATAAACACCGTGGTTATTACAGGAACAAATGTTTAAGAATTAGAACCTGGGATTGTTTCCCCCCTCTTTCCTCCTGGCAAATAGAAGGGGAAGAAATGGAGGCAGTGAGAGATTTTACTTTCTTGGGCTCCATGATCACTGCAGATGGTGACAGCAGCCACGAAATTAAAAGACGCCTGCTTCTTGGGAGAAAAGCAATGACAAACCTAGACAGCATCTTAAAAAGCAGAGACATCACCTTGCCAACAAAGGTCCATATAGTTAAAGCTATGGTTTTTCCAGTAGTGATGTACGGAAGTGAGAGCTGAACCATAAAGAACACTGATCGCCGAAGAATGGATGCTTTTGAATTATGGTGCTGGAGGAGACTCTTGAGAGTCCCATGGACTGCAAGAAGATCAAACCTCTCCATTCAGAAGGAAATCAGCCCTGAGTGCTCACTGGAAGGACAGATCCTGAAGCTGAGGCTCCAATACTTTGGCCACCTCATGAGAAGAGAAGACCGCGGGAAGAGACCCTGATGTTGGGAAAGATGGAGGGCACAAGGAGAAGGGGACGACAGAGGACGAGATGGTTGGACAGTGCTCTCGAAGCTACCAGCATGAGTTTGACCAAACTGTGGGAGGCAGTGGAAGGCAGGAGTGCCTGGCGTGCTCTGGTCCATGGGGTCACGAAGAGTCGGACACGACTAAACGACTAAACAATAACAACAATAAGCCTGTGGGCAGGGACTGTCTTGTTTAAATGATGTTATGTAAGCCACTCTGGGAGACTTTTTGGGCTGAAGAGCAAGGTACAAAGGCTTTAAATAAATAAATAAATAAATAAATGACATTTTTCTGGCATATCAACCCAGAATAATAACTACTCTCTCCACTTCGTCAACAGGGTGATTTAGTAGAACACCCAGCAATGCCCGATGGGCAAGTGGGGGTGCAGGGGCATGAGGAGTTCTCCCTATGGAACCCCTCCCCATGGAACATCAGGGCACCCCAAATATCCTCTGACACGCAGGAGGATATTTTATTTATTTATTTTCAGATTTTAAAAGCACTTTGCAACACAAAACCACCAAAGGGGTGTACAGTATGATAAATCTGCATTAAAAAAATGCAGACAGGCCTTTGTAGTCATTTAATTTCTAACCTTTTAAGCAGTCAGTGAGTTTAATATTGTGTTTTTAAGATGGTGGGAAAGTCAACAGGAAGGCAGCTATTTCCTTTCCTTTTTTTGCAGGTATGTGCTGTTTTCCCTATCACTGCACCTCCAGCTGACAGAAATCTGGCATGTGCTTTTTTCCCCAAATATGAAAACTCAGCGCCGGCTATGCCTGTTGTGGAACTTTGAAAGGCAGGGAAATCCTGCCATGGCAACCTTAAAACAGATGTGATATTTGTATAAACGTTTGTCATTTCTTCCAACACTTCCACCCTGGCACAACTTCTTTGCTGTAAAAAACAACAACCCGCACAGAACAGACAGAAATCCAACATAAAGAGCCTATCCCTTTCCATTGTGAAGAATGACCATTTTAATTTTATTTTATTTCTGATGCTACTGTCAAATGAACTAATGCAACTCTAAGAAGAATAAAATATGCGGCTGATTAATAGAGACCGAACACAAGAAGCTATTAGCATCACCCCTGCTTGGTCCTCGAACCAAAAATCCTCTTGCTCCCCACGCCAGTGCTTTACCCGCTAAACCACGCAGGAAAATCCCAGAAGGGCCTCGGAGGCTACAAACACACACCACTCTCCCTTCCTAGATGGGCTACGCCGAACTTCCGCTACTGGCTCCGCCTTTTCCTTCTCTTGGCCCCGGCTCCCGTTTCCAGCCTGGAGACAGAGATCCAGTAAGAGTTTCCAACGGATTTATGGGGCGGAGGGCACGGGGGTGGGGAGCTTTACTGTCTCTGCGGGGCAGAGACCTGGTTGGGGTACAAAGGGCAGAGGTGGACGATCTAATGGAGATTCACGTAGGGCTGCGGAGGGGGAAGGCCGCCTCTGCTCCTCTAAAATTAAACTCCCCTATAATTCTGGGAGGCAGGAGGGCTCCTTCATCCAGTCCGCTTGCAACCCCCCTAATTTCGTCTCACCTTTTTTTTTCATCCTATGGTGGAAGCGTAACTTAACCCCAAGTTTTCAGGAGCAAGGTCACTTAATGGGGATATATTTGACAGACAGGTGTGTGCCAATGCAGCAGCCCTAAACTGTCAGCTGCAATGCTTATTTATTTATTGACTAGTAACTTTTAAAAAACAAAACAGTGGATGTAGTGTCAGGTTGTTCATCATTTTGTGGCATTACCTATTCTCCAGCAGTTTTCCAGGATCTCAGACATACAGGAATTTTCTCATCCGTGCTTGTGAGATACTTTATCAAAGGCCGGGAAGTTCATGGCCCTCCAGGTCTGAAATCTTACACCACAATAAATCTGTTAACAACATAAAAGAACCTGCTGGATCAGACCGGGGGGTGGGTGGGATCTAGTCCAGCATCCTGTTCTTACAGTGGCTATGGGAAACGTGCAAGTGGGATTTGAGTATAAGAGCACTCTCCCCTCTTGTGGTTTCCAGCAACTGGTATTCAGAAGCATCACTGCCTCTGACCGTGGAAGCGGAGCACAGCCATCAAGTTAAAGTACTGCAACACACCTTTCTCATGATTAAGATCTAGGCATCACACACTGGCAGTACCAGCTTTTCCACAGCAATAATTTTGTCCTGCTTTCTCAGTTAGTGTGTGGTGTTGATGTGCACTGGGCTTGAAGCATTTTTACTAGCATCTAGCATTAATACTTAGAGGAGCCTGGGTTTTCAAGACTAGCAAACCTGGGGTGTTCCTCTGCCTTTCTTACGGCTATAATGTAAGGGGAAATGCTGTTTCTGAAGAAGGTTGTTTAAAGTGTTTTTAATATTACGTTTTTTAATTGCTGTGATCTGCCCTGGGACTTGGTGGTGAAGGGTAGGAAATAAGCCAAACAGATACATTTATTATTTGTTTCATTTGTTTATTTCATGAAATTTATTTACTGTTTGATTGTTTAAAAAAACCCCAACAGATAGGTTTATAAAAAGAATAAAACAACAAAATTATTACTAAAAACAATTAAAACATTCAGAAAATTAAAACCAGTAATAAACTAAAAACACATCAGCATTCTAAATATCTAGGTAGGCTTGTTATTATAAATAATAATAGGTGTGTTGGCTTGGCTGTACTTTGCCACTGGCTGTTAAAATGATACCTTGTTCTTGCTTCTCAGGGTGTTTGTAACTGAGCCATGTCTGCATTGCGTGGTGCTGTCCACGCAAAATGGATCATAGGGAAAGTCATTGGGACCAAGATGCGTAAAACAGCCAAAGTGAGAGTGACGCGGCTGGTGCTGGATCCTTACTTGCTAAAGGTAAACTTTCCTTTGGGGTTGAGTTCCATCAGTATGATGGAGAACTTCAGTCAATGTCAGGGCTGAGCAGCTATCCCGGTTCAGTCTTGCTGGCACTCAGGTTTCTCTGAATCATTTGCCTACCACTGAATAATCCATGTGCTCTTTCCTCTCTTCTCCCACAGTTCTATAACAAGCGGAAAACATACTTTGCTCATGACCCCCAGCAGCAGTGCATTGAGGGAGACATCGTTCTCTTAAAAGCTTTGCCCGAACGGAGGAGCAAGCACGTGAAACACGAACTGGCTGAGATTGTGTACAAGGTTGGGAAAATCATTGATCCAGTGACGGGGAAGCCTTGTGCAGGCACTAGGCTACTGGAAAGTGTAACGGACTCAGAAAACCTGACCGATAGAGATACCAGTTACCTTAGTGAAAAGCTCCAAGAATTAACTGTTTCTTCTTCAGATAAATGATGGGGGTGAGAACAGGGTAGGCAGCATAATCTGAGACTTTCCATGTGCTTCTGTGGATGAGCTTGTATGTAACACAATGTTTATGTGTTCTTTCTGAAATTGTTATGATTCATAATAAACTTGAATTAACCTGCTCACAGGACAACAGAAACATTCAGTTTACTTTTAAAATCTTTCAATTAGTGAATGTAAGTTGGTCTGCTACAATATTTATAAGTGGCCTCTCTGCTTGATGGTATCCAAAAACAATACACAATGTTTAATACTTCACAGTGCAGCAAAGCAGTGAAATCCAATATTGGGGGACGGATGGACAGGTAAGCCCCACCCCACATCATTGATCACAAGATGTGACACACACACACACCATTTGAATGGCAATGCCCATTAACTTTGGGGGCTCCAGCCCCCTCAAATATTTTATGGAGGGCGAAGGGACCTTGGCCCCTAGGAGTTGGCTCCTATGGCACAGGGTAGATGGAGCCCACCACCTTTTCAAACACTTCATCTGGTATGAGACAACATTTAGGATCATGCACTACTGTGAGAATTGCCTCTGGGTGTAAGTTTCTGGGCACCATTAAAAACAGTGGAAGACTGATCTGATCCATGGGAATAGTCCCCTGGGATATGCGCAAGAATGGAAATGGTGCAAACACTAAGATTACCAAACGTCCCCGTTTCCCGGTGACAGTCCCCAGATTTACAAATCAGTCCCTATACAAAATCCATTGAAGTTGAAAAGTATCCCTGGATTCATTGAAAAAATCTGGTAACCTTAGCAAACACTCTTCCATGTTCTTGCACAGCTCAAGTTCCTGTTAGTGCTGCTTGTACAGGCAAACATCCCAGAGGACTTTGCCCCTTCATGGGAGGGAGAGGGCTCTTATGTTCATGTTCTGCTTGCTTGTTTCGCATAGGCATCTCGTTGGCCACTGTGAGAATAGAATGCTGTACTAAATGTGCCAAGGGCCTGATTCAGCAGGCTATTTCTTTATGTACTGGTTTCAAAACTGTACTGTTATTTTTGGCTTCTTATAATTCTCAAGCAATGTTGGGCACTTTCTGCTGGTAAAAATGATATATTATGCTCTGCTCTTCTATTAAATGTTCCCAACCCAGCACACTACATAATCATAAAACTATATAGGATAATCCTAATAATTATACTATAATTATACAACAATTGGGCTGAAAGTATTACAAAAACAACTGCCTGATCCTAAAACATGCTTACTTTAATGTATTACTGAGCTCAGTGGAATTCACTCCCTGGTAAAGACAGGCAATTCTATTGATCTCTGTGGAATTTACATCTAAGTAAGCCTGTTGAATATAATACAATATACTCCTAATAAAATTAATTTCATGGGAGTAATATTGCTTTTACTGGTTGTTTTTTATTTTTTAGAAATGTGGATTATCAGGGGGTTACCCAAAAAGAAAACTTGATTTCCCAAACCAATATTGTCCCAATTTCAGAATTAGTTGCCAGCTGGCTATAATTTTTCTGGCCAGAGTTTCATTCACATGTATAGAACTTGGATGCAAAGCCAGTGGGGTTTTTTTCCTGTTCCATGTATTAAAAAACAAATGGGTTCTTCTGGGAGGTGGGGAGGAAATCTATCAAAAATTAGATGTTTTAAAAATACTTTTTACTAAATTTATTACAGTGGACAGTGCAGATTTGCAAAGCAAGACTTTAATATGATACTTATTTGTTGCAGCAGCTACCTGCAAATTTTGGAAGGGCCAAATAGGGACCATTTTGACTTACTGTACTGTACTAGTTCAATAGTGTGGACTGCTGTGGCTATGCTGATCGGGTGTCCGCACTAAGTTTGGCATCAGTATGATAATTGCCTTAATTGAAAAAAGTATGCAAACATTTGTGCATGGCTGGAGAAAAACACAAAACATGCATTTACAGCTGGCTGGGCATCTATTATTACATCTACAAACAAATCTGACATTAGAAGGGTATCCAATGTCTTTCCAAATTTATGCAAACTTTTGTTCCAGACCAGAATGTCTTCTTTAGCCCTTCCTCAGGCTGAGGTCTTTGTGCAAATGGTATGCAAGTGCCACTTCCTTAATCTGCAATGGTTTACATGTTTTGCACTGGATTTGAAAAATAATTACATTAAAAAATGCTTTCTTTTGGTGGGGGTGAGCGCCCTCTATGCAACCACAGGAGCCCCCTGTAGGCCTAGTCTGTGGTGCCCTTTGTGAACAAAAAATGCACTTTGCCCATGTTCAGAAGGGGCTTTTCCTCAAGTCTATTAGAGCCTATTCATTTAAATTGTTCTAAGAGGAGCAAGATGGCACTTTAGGATCCCCGTAGGGCAGCCCCCCTCGAGGGGAACTAAACCGTTTATTTTTCAATCCCTCACACTGTGTTCAACCCCCCATAAAGGTTCTGGGGTTGCACCTTGGCTAGAGTCGCCTCAGCTTAATGGCGCTGCGCCTTTGAGACCTTCGTGGGAGAAATGTGCGGCGTTGAGCGGGGGGAGAGAAACCTTTCCACGTCCCCCTCCTCAACTCCGTCCCTCACGGGGGAGTGGGGGTGAAAGGCTCCCTCTAGTGGCTACTGGGGGGCACTGCGCCCCCATTTCCCCTTCCTTTTCCCCCGCGCCGTCCCCTCAGGTTGAGGTGGTCAAGATGGCGGCCGGGGCGCTGCTGCTGCTGCGGCAGGGGAGCGGCGGCCGCCTCCGCCTCAGCGCCTTCCCAGCCCAAGGGGGCCGTTCCCGCCTTTTTTTCCTCAGGTGAGGGGGAAGCTGCCGGGGAGGGAGGGGTGGAAAGTGGCGGGAAGGTCGAGCGACGGGTGGGGGGGGGGGGAGAGGAGAGCCGTTTCTTTTTGGCGCGCCCTCTTTCCTCCCCCCTCGCGGCTCAAGGTCACGGGCTGGTCAGGTGGTTTCTTGCTTCCTCCCCCAACAGCGCTTCAGAGCAATCAATTGTGGGAATGGGGGGGGGGAGAAATAAGGGGGGTCTCATCGTCTCTTCTCTTCCCCGCCCATATTATTCAATAAATAGCGTCTTTTCCACACACATATATACTGTGTATATACACTTACACACGCCCTCCGTCTCCACACAGAGGAGGGGGTGTGTACATTGGCTCAGGCCGCCTCACTCAAAACCCCCCAACTATTAATAATGGGGAGGTCGCCTCATGGATATCCGCCTCCACATATTTTACGGTGTAAAAGTGTTCTTTCTAACCCCCACCTATTATTAACCCTTGTCCCCACCCCATTGTAGGGGGTCACCCCATTAATCTCTTGGCTAATCCTCTACACACTCCCATCTAAATTATGGGGGATGGACAGACCCCCCCACCCCTTTTCATTTATCACATTGTATTATTACTGTTGTTGTAAGCCATCTTGTATGATCGTTGTTATTTATTAAATTTATTAGCTGCTTTTTTGCCATGGCAGCAGAAACGGACTTGTAATATTTTAAGCATATGGGGGAAAATAAAAATAAAGACAATTCTGTTTTTTAAAAATAGATTAAAACATCCCACCCATGCAAAAAGGCCTCAGGTAATTAATTAAAAGCCAAAGGTTTGATGAGAAAACAATGTTTTTGCCTGGAGACTAAATATATTGTTATTGTTGGTTATTAGTCTTAAGAAGTTATTTTTGGGACTGAAATAATGCCAATTGAAATTATAATAACGACAACAATGGTAGCTTTATTTATTCAATGGGGGTTTTTTCGCTTTCCTTTGGGTCCTAAATAATAATGATAATGAGCCACCCTGGGTTCTTTCAGGAGGAAGGGTGAGATATGAATGGATTGATTTTTAAATTTTTTTTAAAGACCCCAACCAAATTTACTTATGTGGCCTGGGAACTTGCTTCAAGGGGTGGTGGTAAAAATCACTATAATAGATAAAATAAACAAATGCAATTAAAGATTCTAGAAAATGCCTTCTGTGTTCTGGATAAATGTTAACAGGAACATTCCCTATGTTTGTAAACCATGTTGAGGTTGTTATTTTTAACAAGTTGTATATATATAAATGTCATTAAATAAATAAATAATTATGCTGATAATGATCCCTGCTGTTTATTCTAGTGTCCCATTTATCAGGAGGGAAGAACTGTATATTCCTGTGTCAGCTGCCTTCCTATCTTAATTCAAAAGAAATAGTTTTTAATTGGAGGTGGAGAGATATCTGCCACTTCATGAGTTCTTGCAATTGAGTCAGATAGTTTAAATACTCATGTGGTAAATTGTTATAATGATTGCTTACTGATTTTGTTGCTGTTCCAACTGATCTGTAAAGCTATATCATGACATGGTCAAGACAGCAAACTAAACTAAATTGAAAAATGCTTTAGGTTTCTAGAAGCGAATGTTGTTTAGGGTTGAAAAATCAATTATTCTCCAAAATCAACTTTTTCAGTTGCCTAGGATTTTCCCACCACTTGGGAAGAGTTCTGCTAGTGTGTGAATAAGGATGTGGTTTTGCTTAACACTTTTACTTTCAGCAAACTCTGTAACCATCACATAATCCTCCCTGACTTTCATAGAAGATAAGGATACATGCACTCCAGGACACAAATGGTGGGAAATTAGATACACTGTCTTCCTCAAGATAACAAGTAGTGTAGTTTGGAGGTTTGTGGGTTTGATTTCAGTTTCATCTTTGATTTCCAGTTGTGTCACACAGTACAATTTTGTTACTGCAAATATTTGGGTATTATAAGCATGCTTGAAAGCTTTAACTAATCCTCCTCAACCCAGTAAATCAGTAGACAAGCAAAAACTCCTGAACAACAGCTGTTGCTGCTCTCTGGTTTCTGCCCCAGACTTAATTAAAATGAAGCTTTTGAGATTACTTTTACTTCCAGTTTATACTGGTATATCATAGCTCCACACAATGGAAAAACTCTAATTTCATTTTCCAGAGAAGTACCGTAACTATGCTAGCCTGTTACACAAAATAGATCTGTAGTACCTTAAAGTCTGACAAACTTTTATTATGGTATAAGCTTTCATGAACTAGAGCTCACTTACATATATCAGCCTGGATAGTTCAGTTGGTTAGAGCATGGTGCTGCTAATGCCAAGGTTGCAGGTTTGATTCGCATATGTTCCTACATTGCAGGGGGGTTGGACTAGATAACTCTTTCAACTTTAGAATTTTATGATTCTGACATGTATGGGGTGTGGTGGCAGAAGAACTGGACAATGGTGCTCAATATATGGGTAGAAGCAGTCCTTGTACTCAAATAGGTACCGCTGTGGCGGGAAGGTAAACGGCATTTCCATGTGCTCTGGTTTCCGTCATGGTGTTCCATTGCACCAGAAGCGGTTTAGTCATGCTGGCCACATGTCTGTGGACAAACAGTGGCTCCCTTGGCCTGAAAGTGAGATGAGTGCCGCAATCCCATAGTTGCCTTTGACTGGACTTAACCATCCAGGGGTCCTTTACCTTTACCTTTTAGTACTCAAATAATTGGTTGAATGATTCGATTAAAAATATTTTGATTGACTAAAAAGATGCCACCAAATTAACTGGTTGGCAAATTTAAAATTAGCTAATAATACAAGTTCTTGTATAAGCAAATGGCCTTGGCAAGATGAGGCCTCCCTGGTTGTCTATGAGAGAAGCAGGGAGGCAAGCAACAACTATTAAAAAATACTGTCTTTGTTTTCTTTATGACTACTTTATCATATATACATTTTTAATATTTTGGCTGAAGTCCAATGCATATTAACTTTGGGGTAAGTCCTGCTGAACATAATGGGACTTCATTCTGATTAAACTTTCATAAGATTGGTCTGTTGATCTACTGATGAGTCAGCTCAAACTCCTATGATTAGTAAACTAAGATTAATGTAGTCAGGTTGAATTAAAGGTAGGTGCATCTTGTGTATTCTAGAGATAATGTGAAAAACACCTTCCAGTAGCTGGGAGGCTAATCAGGAATCTGCTCTTTGCTGCACTACTTCTCAGTCCTGATAAAAATGAAACAGGAATGAAGCTTACACAAGTTCTAGAACAATGTTTGTCTTGCACACTTGCAGGGGCCTTGTGTCGTCAAACAGCCGATCCGCAGAAGACAGCTGGTTAAAATCGCTTTTTGTCCGCAAAGTTGATCCCAGGAAAGATGCTCACTCCAACCTCTTAGCCAAACGGGAGACCAGCAGTCTTTATAAAATACAGTGTGAGCTGCTGTTTTTTATATTTCTCCCTTGTCTGCCTTTCTTTTTTTCTTTCTCTCAGCATTTAATGATGACTTTTCCTGTTTCAGTTCACAATGTCAAACCAGAATGCCTAGAATCCTACAACAAGCTTTGGTAAGTCTGAATGCTATGCTGGAACATTTGGTGGGTTAAAATCTGGAGCCTTGTTAGTTACTAAACTCATACAAACTTAGTATACAGTCACTGGATTCAGTGAGAATTACTTCTGAGTAAACTTGCATAGGATTAGGAAGGGGCAGAGGAATCCTAACTGGGCTGGGGAGGTGGTGAATCTGGCACCATATCCCTTGCCCTGCTGCTATGCCCGTCTTGTTATGGTGGCTTTCATCTTGATGGCAGTACTTAAAAGCTCTCTTTAAGCTCATTGATGGCAACTACCCAGCAGCACACAGGTCATTGCCACCCTGGCAGTTTTTTTGGTGCTGTGGTTAGGAGAGGAGAGAACACAGCGATGGTGTGTGGGGTCTTCCAAGTCTCAGTAGAGACACTGGCAGTCCCTCACTTCCTTTATATACCATACCTTATGCAAATGAGAGAAAAGTCTGCCTCTTCACCAGGTATATGCTAGACTATTCAAGGGAGACTGAAGAGTTAGCATAAGGTTACCAGATTTTTCTCAATGAATCCGGGGACACTTTTCAACTTCCTATTAAATAGATGGATTTTGTCAGGGGACTGATTTGTAAATCCGGGGACTGTCCCCAGGAAACGGGGACATCTGATAACCTTAAGTTAGCATCCACAACAGAAAAGGGCTGGCTGGTGAGCCAACCAACATTTGTGCATCTCTTGGGTTTGTTGTTAATTTCTGTACCACAAATTTATGCAATATAAATTTAAGAAGGATATTGACCAGCTGGAACGGGTGCAGAGGAGGGTGACTGATATGATAAAGTGTCTGGAAACCAAGCATTATGAGAAGCGTTGTGTATGTTTAGTCTGGAGGTTAGAAGGCTGAGAGGTGAAATGATGGTCATCCTCAAATATCTGAAGGGCTGTCACATGGAAGATGGAGCAAGGTTGTTTTCTGCTGCTGCAGAGGGTAGGGTCTGTACCGATGGATTCGAATGACAAGAAAATGACTAAACATTAGGAAGAACTTCCTGGCAGTAAGAGCTGTTCGCAGTGTTAGAAACTCAGATATTTAAACTAGGCACAAAATGGCTCATTAAATCAGGATTACAGTATCAAAACAGAATGCCTAGTTGCCATTTTTGGGCCAGACAGCTCTGATTGTGCAGATAAAATACAATGGATAGAATTCTACAGGATGTGTTGCTAGTGTGTGAAAACAGTCAAGACTGAAAGATCCATAGGCATGCATTTCCAGATGGTCCTTGGTTGCAAATGGCCGATAGCCAGGTGCAAAATGCCCTCATGCCTGGCAGATTTCGAACACTGGCTGTTTGACAATGGAACAGACTACCTTGGAAGGTGGTGGACTCTCCTTCATTGGAGGTATTTAAACAGGGTGGATGGCAATCTGTCAGGGATTCTTTAGCTGTTATTGCTGTGTTTCAAGGGGTTGAACTAGATGACACTTGGGTAACTCATAACATAGGAAACACATGGGAATGTTATTTATTTGATAAAAACATTTTTATCAGCTAAAAATTGTTCCCAGAGCAGCTTATGAATGTCAGTGATAAGACTGTCCTTGCCCTAAGGCTTAAATCTGAAAGACATGACACAAAAAGAAAAGGAATTGGGAGGAGGAAAAAGCAAATTCAGACTGGAATGGATAGATTTCAAGTAGATGGAAAAGTTGTTGGTGTTCCATTGGAGCCGATCAAGAGGCCCTGCAATCCCATCTGCCTTCTCTCCTTTAGCTTGATGGAATGGCTACTGTACTTATGTTCCTTTTTGCTTCTGCTTTTTTTAAAGTCAAGAGGTGCTGCCAAAGATCCATGAAGGGAAGGAATATCCATGTACACTGGTGGGGACGTGGAACACGTGGTACGGAGAGCAAGATCAGGCTGGTAGGAGATAAGACGTACAACAGAATGCACAACTGCGCTAATGATGTGTGCTTGTGATAGGGGCCCTCTTCCAGCCAGGATGGGAACCTGCAGGATGTGGGGCAAGGTCTGGGGACAGTGGACAACCAACACCAGCAGAGAACCTCTAACAAGCCCAGGAAGATTCCCAGAGAAAATGGACATTTTCTCCATCAAAACTCAGCCTCAACAGAATCCTTATGTCCCCAATGTAACCTTGCCTGAATGTCCTTCAGGCAAGGTTGCAGGGAATGTAAAGGTGCTGCTCTGGCACAGGCCCAGGCACTGCAGAACCATCAAATGGTATATTCAGCTCCTGTGAATATACACCCTTGCATAGCTGGCAGGCTGGTTCAGACACATTCAGAGTTGCTACTCCCATGTTTGGACATGCCACTCCCAAGTCTAGACACTCCCCGTCTCAGACGGGTCTTCTTGCAGTTCTTTCAGGGGACTGGCCAATTTCATGGTCCACACGACCTTCTTGGCAGATGATGCTGGCTCAAATTCTGTATCAGAAAGGCCTGAGTGACTGGGTGACAGTTTGCAGCCTTCCTCTGACTGGTAAAATCTTTGGAAGTGGGCTCGTGGTAGAGCTATGGTTCTTTCTTTTCTTTTTTCTTTTTACAAACTTTATTTACTACTTACTCAACAGAAAGCCTCTAGGTGGTTTACAGCCACTCTTTGCTGCCCGCCCCCACCCAAACACACACATTCATTTCAGTGGGGCTTGTGTAGGATATCTTCCCCAGGGCATTGTCCCATTTATCTTTTTTGTGTGGCCTCTGACTTCTGCTGGTGGAGAAAGAAAATTATACAGTGGTACCTCGGCTTAAAAACTTAATTCGTTCTGGAGGTCCGTTCTTAACCTGAAACTGTTCTTAACCTGAAGCACCATTTTAGCTAATGGGGCTTGCTGCGCCACCGCCACACGATTTCTGTTCTCATCCTGAAGCAAAGTTCTTAACCCGAGGTACTGTTTCTGGAGCCTGTAGCAGAGCCAGTAACCTGAAGCATATGTAACCTGAATCGTCTGTAACCCGAGGTACCACTGTATAGGCTTAAGGAAGGACAGTGACCAGTGAATAAATCCTGGAGAGCCGCAACCAGTCAGTATAAACAGTACTGAGCTAGATGGATGAATAATCTGATTCAGTATAAGGCATGTTCCTAGGCACTGAGAGAAAGTGAGAGGGCTAACCGCTCTCATGGTGTGCTGGGAAAAGGGTGCTGGTGGCCACCAGGATTGGAAAGAAAGAGCTAGGTGAAATGACACTGGGATACAAGATTTGGCCAGGAAGAAGCTGACGTTTGAGGAGTCTGTTTTGAATTTCCAGGAGGGAAGGGAGACTCTTAAATATGCCACTTTTCATTTCAGTTCATCTGTGGCGGTATGAGGGAGGCTATCCAGCTCTTACAGAGGTCATGAGTAAGCTTCGACATGATAAGGTAAGTGCTAGCATAAAAGATTGGACTTCATCAGCCTGACCCTTAAAAGTCACTTTGCCTCTCAAATTTAACAGTTTATTGCAAAAAAAACCCCTCCATTGTCAAGGACTCCCAGAGTTTGTGTATCAAACCAGGATACACTCTTTAAGTTTTGTATCCTCCTAGTATTAAGCTCTTAATATCCGGACAGATGAAGCATAAATTAGATAATTTAAAAAATAAATGCATGTGATCTTGCCTTGTCATTGTAAGGATTTTTCATTTTATTTTTAGGGGTTTGTGGAGTTTCGCAAAGAGAGGGGAAACATGCTTCTCTCCCGCAAGAATCAGCTGCTGTTGGAGTTCAGTTTTTGGAATGAGCCTGTTCCGAGGACAGGGCCCAATATCTATGAACTGAGGTCTTATCAACTCCGTGTGAGCCTTTTTATGTATTCATAGAATAGTCATTCCCTCCCTCCCCCCCTCTCTCTGTGTGTGTCCTTGGGTTCATGAGACCTTTAAGAGCAAGACTGCATTCACTTTTTGTCAGGCTAGCCTTTAAATTTGTTATGAGAATCCATCTGGTAGACAAGTTGGCAGGTTGATTCCTGCCAGAAATGGATAACAGAGAGCACATTGCAACTCTTTTTCATTGATTTTCCTTTTTTCTCTTAGAAGTTCTGCCTTTTGAACAGAAAAGGTTGCATTTGCTAACAGTGCAATCCTATATGTTTTTACTGAGAAGCAAGCTTATTGTGTATTTATCATATATATTCAGTGTATATATCATATTTCTGACAGAAATGCTCCCTATCAATGTCAACAGGCACTGGAAATGAAAATTGGGACATTGAAAAAAGTATTTGAGGGAATTCTGGTCTTAAAGTGATTACGTAATTGCCCCAAGTCTTTTGGGCTGAGTCGTCTTTTTTGTTACTGATTAGAATCCAAAAACCTTTCTGGAGGCAGGAGAGAAAGCCCACATCTACTTCCCAATTGCAACGGGGGAGGGAATGGAGGGTATCATTCTCTTAGAGTCACCTGCTCTGTATTTCTTTTATCCCCCCAGCCTGGAACAATGATTGAATGGGGCAACTACTGGTAAGTGTCCCTTGCTATGCTGGGCTCCCCTCAATTCCAAATACCATTTTGAGAGATGGGCAGAGCTGCCCATTTGTCAATCACTTGGACTTGCCATATGTGTTGATTACAGATGAAAGTGTGCTCTGGATTCTTTTCTTTCTTCCTTTGCAGTAGCAGTTTGAATTCAAGCCACATCTGCAAAGCAAGATATTTCCTTTGCAGCCCAGCTTGAATTCAAGGTGTTACCTGCAGAAGAGGAAATTGTGGCAGAGCAGAGGACAGGGTGGAGTGGGCGGAAGAGGTGAGGCAGCAGGCCAGATAAAAAGGTACACTAGCTAGGCACAGCTCATGGTCCAGAGGCTCACCATCTGATCTGCAGGATATTGCATTTGTTACATGATATCCACCCAGCACTATGTGTACAAATGTGCATCAAAACAATAGTTGCCCCTTTTTGTCTGTTGTGCGGTTAGCCTGCCTTCCTAGCAATAAAAACATACTTGCCAGTTATTCCAGTGCACTTTCAGTCATCAGACTTGCCTCTTCCTTTTTATTATTATTTTTTAAAGCAGCACATGTGCCTTCATACAGTTTAACAATAATTGGTTGGTTTTTTAAGTTTTTCAAATCACTGGGGATGAGGGGTGAGGTGGGTTCATGATGTCACAGCAGCCATCCAGTTGACACGGTGCGCAGCTGACTTCTTCTGAAAACCTGCAAAGCTCATTTTTCCTGGAGCTCGACCCTGGAGAGGAACAGGCAGTAGGGACTGTTGTTGTAATACCATATCCAGACAAAGGACTTTTTCATAGTAGATGGGCAAGTTGATGCACTGGAACTCCAGTTTAGGGTCATGTCCTCCTGTTCAGCGATCTTGCCTGTTGTTTGATTAACTGTGTTTGCTGACACATACGGACAGTGAACACCCAGGAGGCAGAGAACACCCTATGCATGGGAAAATAAAATTTCAGAGTTGCACTCTGGAGAAACAAAACAGGACTCCACATTTTGCGGAATAAATGGTGGGGTGGGCAGAGGATATGCCTCCCAATGAACATGACTGATAATATAATCTCTGCTAAGTTCCTTTCAGACAGTGGTGGCCATTAGTCAAGTTTTATTTACCATCTAATGGAGAATTCACTAGAAATTTTGACTGATGATAATTAATTGAGTCTGCATCTGCTAAGAGAGAGCAAGTTGCAGCAAAGCCTGCTGGAAACATAAAGCATAACAATGTCTGACTCCCTATCTCTGGAAACAGAAAAAGTGGTCATTGTCCACATCTGTCGCTATCCTTAGGTGAAATGCAGAGGACCGTTGATAGGTGGAAAACGGTAATAATGATAAACTAATCAGTCTTTTATGTTGGCAAAGGTGGAAAGTAGTGCCTGATACTTCCACAGCACCTAAAGGGTCTCATTTAAATGCCTGCTACTTTGTCTCAAATTTTGTCTTTAAGATTATCACCAGATGCAGACACATGGCATTACCATCATAATTTCTTTCTGTTACTTTGTTTACCATCTAGCCTGATAAAGAGTTTTAGGGAAACTCAAAAGCTTGTAATATTTTTTTGTGATATTATTATTGGCCTAAACTTTGAATGTCCTTTTCACATTTTCCCTGTGGGCCAACGTGGGCTATCTTTACCCTTGGTGTGAAGTTATATCAGATGCTGTAATATTAAGAATTCATGCAGGCTTCTAGCCCTCTGAAATATTTCTCTAGCTCTGAATACCAATGTTGTGCAGTGATGGAATTAGTAGATCCTTGCTGCATTCTTTCTAGTACTGTTCCATCTGATAGTTACCTTTGTAATTGTCTCAGCCCCAGCACTCATGTCTTGTTTGTAATACATATATATATTCTACCTTCCAGGGCTCGTGCCATTGGTTTCCGGCAGGATGACAAAGAAGCTGTTGGTGGCTTTTTCTCACAGATTGGGCAGCTTTACATGGTTCATCACCTTTGGGGTAGGTCGTCCTGGACCTGAGAAATCTGGGGAAGGACTGTAGCTCTGTGGCAGAGCACCTGTTTTGTATGCAAAAGGTCTCAGGTTCAGTCCCTGGCATCTCCAGGTAGGGAACATGAAATCCCCCTGCCTAAAACCCTGGACAATATTATATCCCAGTGTTGAAAATATTAAGCATAGGTGGACCACTGATCCAACTTGGATTGAGATAGTTTCTTATCTCCCTTTTAATCTGCTCTCCATTCCAACAGTAAAGGACAAGCAATTTTGTGAAACTTATATGACCCTTGCCTCCTCATAGCAGTACAGTTTCCAAGGCTCCTTAGAGCAGGGTGGATAGAGCCATGGCGGTAAATAACAGTTTAGGGTTTTAATGAGGTTTGCCTTCTGGTGCTTTGTTTATGGTATGTTGCTGTATTTGAGAGAAAGGTGCTGATGGACGTCAAGACACTGATACTTCCAAATTATTTCCCCCCCCCCAACACTTCCAGCATACAAAGATCTCCAGACAAGAGAAGATATCAGGAACGCCGCATGGCACAAGCCTGGTTGGGATGAGCTGGTATACTATACAGGTAACACGGGGGTGGTGATCCTCAGGCTTAAGGACCAAACACAGTCCTCAGAACTCTCCCCAGGCCACACTCCTTCCTAGTCACACACCTCACCAGTCCTACTACCTTCGAGTGTTTTTGCCTGGCTGGAATGTGGTCTTGACACTTGATTGCCTGAATAGAGGATGAAGAGGGGCACGTATATGTAGAAAATTGCCTTCTTCTTCTTTGGCGATCACTTGTAGCCGAGTAAGATTGTCTTCCATAAAAACGGTTTTAAAAATGAGTCCGTAAGTGACTGTGGAGGCCAATTCTGGATCCACATGTCCTTCCACAGTGGGGACATTGGTTTCTGAGCAGGAGTTGATCATGGTGTGGATTTGCCAAGCGTGCCTTCCTCTTGGCACATTTCTCCCTTGCGTCCTGAGATCGAATGTCTTCAAAGCCCATGACACCTTTGGCAAAGGCTGTTCTCCAACTGTATATGTATATGTAGAAAGTTGCCTTCTATACAAAGATTAAACTTATATTCGTTGCTGTGCCCACTTTTGGCTTTGGGCCCACCCACCATAAGCATATAGCCCCCAGAAAATTGCCAAGTTGGAAATGGAACCCTTTGCTTGAAAAAGTATCAACACCTTGCTGTAACAGTTTAGTACCTGTGTGGCAGTGGCAGTTACCCAAAAACCTGCTAATGTGAGAGACTTGTCTTTCCTCTCCTAGGTTAAGATGGCCCCATTGAGCTTCCCTTTCTCTGGGGTCCCCCAAATCCTAGAACCGGTCCTGCTTCCTAGTCCAGTGCTTTGATGGCTACAAAATCCTCCCATGTTTCTTTTGTAATATCTTGCATTAGCATTTTTTTTTAAAAAAAGTGCTAACACAATTTCTTTCTCCTTTCCAGTGCCCCTTATTCAGGAAATGGAATCCAGAATTATGATACCATTGCCGATTTCTCCCCTTCAGTAAAGCCACTGATTGATCGGTGCAGATTTACATTGACAAGCATTTGTCTTTTAGTTAATTTGATATGTGTGTATGACAATGGAAACTCTGACTTCTAAAAGTACTGTATGCTGGGGCTTTATGAATGTGACCTCATTTCTTCAGATCCTGCAGGAGCACTTGGGATTGTATTGGGGAGAGGCTTGGGAGTCATCATAAGTCTTACTGTTCAACCATCTAGTCTGGCTCTCTGTGAAACAGCCTTTTTCAAACACAGCCATGCATTCAGAGAGCTGGCAGGCCCTGTTGGAAACGCACAAGCTTCAGTGGTAGTTGCACGAGCTTTAAACCCTTGAACGATGCAGTATTTAATTATGGGGAGATTTGTCACATGCACTCCTATCCATTCTTTCATAATCATTATGGCATGTCAAGCTCACAAGGCCTTCCTCTGGTGCCACAAACAGTTGCTAGAGAAAGCAGCCCTTTGTTTTGGCCTAGCCAAACTTATCTTAGCAATCAGCTAAGCCAGTATTTGCAAACTTGCAGCTGTTTTGGACTACAGATCCCATCAGCCCCAGTAAACACATGCTGGCTGAGGCTGATGGCAGTTGTAGTCCAGAACAGCTGAGAGGGCATCTGGTTGGTGAAGGGTTATAAATGGCATTGGGATGAGCTCTAAAGAAGAGTTAGTGTCATGAACATTTGTTAAGCACTCCAGGATTATGCAGTGAAACAGAATGTGAGGATTTTATTATTGTTATTTAATAAGCATTCATGATTTCCTCCATTTGTGTGGTTTAACTAACATAACTGCAGAAAGTAATTCTGAAAAGATGCATCAAGATGAGGCACATTAAATCACTTAGGACTGGCACAAATCACTTCATTTCCCATGCCCAATTCTCAGTTTTTGATTAAACTTTAAAATAGAGGGATTTGTATGTGTGTGTGTGTGTCTGTAACATTGTGAACATCCTGTATGTTGAAGCAATTATTCTGTTAGTTAACAAATCAGTGCAATACACTGTATGTCCTATTACCTAAGAAACATCCACTTTATACATTTCAGTGAGTTTTCTGGCAGAATGTGTCAATAAAATCCTATTGATTTTCGCATGTTTTGGGGAGTTTTTGGACTTGTTTCAATAATGATGAATTCTGAGTTTCTGCTGAGATGGCCTGCATGGCCACAAAGTCTACTGGGATTTTAAGGCTGCAGTCCTGTTTACCTTTACCTGGAAGAAAGTCCCATTTAAGCAGATGAGCGTGCAGCAATTATGAAAAAGGTGAATTCTGTTGCTAGGAATTCATTAGCCAAGAAATAAAAAAATAAGACTGCCAGTATCATGATGTCATACAAATCTGTGATGAGACCACAGTTTAAATACTGTGTACAGTTCTGGTTACCTCACCTCAAAAATAATACTTTAAGAGAGAACTTGAAAAATCCATGGGGGATAAGGCTACCAATGGTTACTAGCCATTATGGCTGTGTTCTATCTCCAATGTATCACTAATAGGAAGAGTGCTGCCATTTCACTCAGATTGTGTTTGCAGGCTTCCCTTTCCCTGCCTATTAAGATCAAGCAGGTATGAATCTGAATTTTTCTTGATTTCCTTGTTTTATCTTTATAAACCACTTTTAGGGTTGTTGTTTTTACAATTATGTGGTGTATGAATTTTATGAAAAAAATAAATAAGCCTTCTCATTGGCCACTGAGAGTAGGGTGCTAGACTACATGGAATTTTGCCCTGATCCAGCAAGGCTCTTCTTACATTCTTAACTTACTTCTTCAGAGTTGGCATGTATAGGGTTGCACAGTAAAGTTTCCAGTTAAGTGGGAATCTTCCAGTGCAAATTAAGACTCATTTGCTGCTCAGACACAGGAAGTTGAAGTTCCATGCTACTGTCCATATTTGCCCTTATGGATCCAGTTTGTTCAGATCCAAATTTGACTGTCTTGATGGGCCTGGGGCTGCATTGACTAATCAGCCAGCTCCATAGTGTCAGATAGCAAACAAAAGGAATTTTCCTAAACATTTCTATTCTCTTCCCTGCCCTTCTCAAAAATGGGATCTTCACTGTAATTTTTTTTCTAACTGACCAATCAGTTTGTCTCAACAAAATAAAGACTGCTCTGAAGTTTATATTTGCTGAAAGCCAGGTCTGTGAATACATTTTTCCTGGGAATTTTCCACCTTCAAATAAGGCTTTGAGTTGCCTCATCTGAGGAAGCAACCCCCATTCATGTGCAACACCTCTGAAATGTGTCCCAAGCACATTTTGCACTGACCCTGATGGTCCTGTGTTTGCTTGTTCTATTTGTCAATTGTGGAATTTTCCCATGTGACCCCCGTGAACTTTCAAGTCTCCCTCTTCCTGAGGGGTAACTTCATTATCAGATCAGATATATAACGATGGTTCAGATAAGCTAACTTCACAGATTTCTCACAGACCTTTTGCAGCCTTGTTTTCACATTTGCTGTTGGGAAAATGGAGTCATAGGTGTCCTAAGAGGCATTTCAGTGGAGGCCTTGCAGGCTGTGTAGATGAAGACTGTCCATTCTCCCGCAGTGAAAATTCACCTGGTGCCATCTCCAATCTTGCAAAACCCTCCTCAAAGGCCTGAGTGTCTTGGTTTACCCTAGATTCTCATCCTCAACCCTAACTAAGCCTTAAGTATATGTAATGTTTGGTGGGGTGACCTTCCATTTGCCAGCAACTCAATAGTCACTTCATGCACTGCATCTCAGCAGTACTTGCCAGTGTTTCATCCACATCCCTCATCTTTCTCTGTTGTCCATCTTGGACTGTAAGCAACTTCATGAGGAGGATGAACCGAGAAAACAAATAAGCTTCCTTAATATGTCACCAGGATGTGTGTTTGTGCATGCACACAAAATTAAGTTTCTCTCTGCAAAAGAGCAGCCATGGCTGGCATCCGCACCCCATTTACCTTGGAGAAAGCCCCACTGAATTTAGTAGGAGTTCCTTTTGAGTACATATAGGAGAGCAAGGTCAGCAATTTTAGGGGCCCATGGGCCTATTTGAAATTTTTAGCAAGTATCATGGGTACCATCATAAAATGGCCGGCATGGGGCACAGGGGGTAGTCACAAAGTGGATGGTATACTAACTATGGTTTGGGACTTCTCTCTGACCAGCATGTGGGTGTTGTAACAATTACTAAGATACTAAGTGCACATGAAGCACTGAGCACTTTGAACGTGCTATAAATGCTCAGTGTTGTCTTAATATATACCTATGCATGTATAATCTCCAACCCTTGCACTGTTCATGCATCTGAAGCAGTAAGATACTGCTTACAAAAAGCTGATGCAATCCTAGAGGTGTTGCTAGAGGCTATAAAGAAAAGTGGTCACCAGGTTTGTGTAAACACTGATGCTGTTTTCCCTACATAGTAGGGATATGTTCACAAATGCAACATTGTGAGTTTTGGCAAAACAATTCTCAGAACAGCAGGAGGCACAAAAGCAGCAGCAGCCAAAAATGTGCATGGACTTTCTTAAAAAAACAACCGCCCTGTTTTAAGCTGGATGGAACTGATTAACTAGACCTCAAACACACACTCTGACCTGAAGCTACCTCTGGTTTTGAGGTTCCAAAGGGGTTACAATGTTCATTGGATGTGAGGGTCAAGCAGAAGAGGAAGACATGAATTGCCTTTCTGAATCAGGAGATTAGAATCTCTTATGATTTGACTCATAGAATTGTAGAGTTGTATGGGATCCTGAGGGCAGTGGCATAGCATGGAGGGGGCAGAGGGGCTGTTGCCCCAGGAGCAAAATTGGGATGGGGTATAAAATTTCAGAAGAAAAATCAACTGGAGGTTTGTTTGTTTTTAACAAGCGGTGTACAATTTCATGAAATAAATAATAACACGTAATAAAATAAATGGCTGCCACTGCTATCCCCTCCCCAGCTTCCCTCTCCCTGCAGGGAGGACCCTTCCCCACAACCAACGCTGCTGCCACCCAGTCCTGACAGGAACCATGGATTGGTGGCACAATATTTGCCTTGCTCCAGGCACTGGCAATCCACGCTACGCCACTGCCTGAGGGTCATCTAGTTCAACCCCCTGCAATGCAGGAATCTCAGCTAAAGCATCCATGACAACCTCTGCTTAAAAGCCTCCAGTGAGGGAGAGTCCACCACCCTTGGGAGTCTGTTCTGCTGTAGAACAGCTCTTGCCGTCAGAAAGTTCCTGATGTTTAGCTGGAATCTTTTTTATTGCAACTTGAACCCATTGGTTTGGGCCCTACCTTTTGCAGCAGCGGAAAACAAGCTTGCTTCATCTCCATCACCCTGTCCAGACACATTCAGCTCAGAGGCCTGAGATCCCCCCACTAAGAACCTTTGAGTCTTGACCACCCTTCAGGAAGGTGCTTTCGTTCTCTCCAGAGGGCTGCGGCTTCTCCTTGGTGATGGAGATAATGGAGACCTCTATGATCCAATGACCTGATTTGGTCAGGCAACTTACTAAGTTCCACTGTGAGAAGTGAGGTTACAGGGAACCAGGCAGAGGGCCTTCTCAGTAGTGGCGCCCTCACATCATGTCAAGGAAATAAACTACAATCTGACTTTTATAAGACATCTGAAGGCGGTCCTGTATAGTGAATTTTTAAATGTAATAAAACCACGGTAGGTTTTATAATTTGCTGGAAGCTGCCTGGAATTGCTAGGGCAACCCAGTCAGCTGGATGGAGTATTGTTATTGTTGTTATTATTATTATTATTATTATTATTATTATTATTATTAGCTACGGGGCTACGCTCAGGGTGGCAGTGAAGCAGGGTAGCTTGGTAACAGCTTTCTTCATTAGCTTTTCTACTTGATTTCTTCTGGGACTGAGCCCCAACATTTAGAACAGGTTCTGGGGCTGAGCTTTGCTTGAAATTGTTAGCTAAAACTCATCTGCGGTACTTGATTGTGTGGAAACAAAAGAGCAAGAGTGAGTGAACGAGAGCCTCTTTTCACATTCCCTCGAACAGAAATCCTGGCACGTCCTGAGCTCCCTGGCTCTGGCACAATACGGCTATTGTTTCTGCCTTGAGCCCTTGAGTTCAGCAAGAGACGGTTCCCTGGGAGAGTTTCCTCTCTCCCCACCCAAGTCACTGCTGCTGCCACTCTCTTTAGGAATTCTTCTGGGACCTGAAGATGTGGTTGGTTCCTAAGGATTTAGGCTGCTGCATATGTATTGGTTGTGTATGATTGTTGCTCAAATATTGTTGGCGAAGAGCAAGGGGTAGAAATGCAAGAAAGGTTTGGGAGTGGATTGTAAAAAACTGAAGTTTTTTTCAAGAGTTTGTGCCTTGCAGTCAGTGACCTCTCAAGCCCTTCATGGGCTGGGCTATGAACTTGCTTAACCCACTATTGTACACTATTGGATTACAATAGTTTTTTCTTCTGCTCTCTGTTTTGGAAAGCTGTTTGTCTTTCTGCTAGTTCTGTATGCATTTGGACGCCTCTTGAGATATCACTGCCCAATTTGCACATCACCTCCTGATATGGAGGAGCTGGTTTTCATCTCTGCTTAGAAACTGTTGGATGGCATTTTGATTCAAGATGGTGGAATGAACCATTTCAAAGTGCACTGATTTGGATATCTCTGAGGATATAGTTGCCAAATACTTGTTTGTGTTGAGGGGTGCAGCCCCTGAAACCCTAACTGGAAAATTGCTGTTCTCCACTAGAAAAGTTGGGTCTTTTTATTTTTCAAAGTTCAGCAGCAAATTATCAGATTTCCTGAGGAATAGACTGTAGGGGAATCTGTACACATCACTCTAAACTTAGATTTCTGTACTCTTCCACTCTGCTCTACCAATGGGCATTGGGCTCGTCCAATATGATGTGTGTGAATGAACATATATAGCTGCCTTTTATCAAGTCAGAAGTGGTCCTAGAAAGGAACTTATAATGTATGCTGTGTTTCCCTCATCCCCCAGCCGAGGGGTTGTTGGGCAACATGGGGGGCTAGATGAGGGAAAGAAGGGCTCCCCATCTTGGGAGATGGTATGTTTGGGCAGTAGCACCTAGGCCCTAGGGGTTAGTGGAGCAGGCTAGGGGATACCTAAATTTTGTGGTGAGAAGCTCAGCACAGCAATCTGGGGTTACCACTAATGGAGTGAATTTGTGAGGGGTCTAACACAGGTGCTTTAGATAACTGCTCCATTTTGAAAACCTGTGTTTTAACTCTGGGGATGTAACAAATTTTATGTTGCTTTCAATATTTTGTTTTGGTCTAGTCTAGTATATGAATTTTTGTACATGTTACTTTGCTGGCAAACTGCATTGCAAAATTTCAAAGGTTGGCTGTGTTTTGGTACATGCATTGCTTCAGAAAGTGTGAATTTGGTAATTCTAAATTTAAATGTAAACAGAATTCAATTTATTTCCATTCCCTCTCATTGTGTGGCTAGAGAACCAACCTTCTTGGATTAAGAGACTAGGCTTTGAGGTCTTTTCTGACAATCAAGTGGTATATATGTTTTATGAAGTAAAGTAGTAAGATGGAGTTGTTCTTGGGACATTTGGGTCCCAAACATTCTGTTCTTAGAAAGAAACCATTGCTGTCATTTGTGGAAGTCCCCCTCAGATATTACTGGACTCCAACTCCCAACAGCTCCAGCAACCAGTACGGCCAATGATCAGGGATGACGGCAATTGGAGTCCAGCAACACCTGGAAGGCCACAGATAACCTCGGGCCACATCCGGACCACCCTTCCCTTCCTTTCCCTTTGCTATGAGTTTATGAAGGTGCATGGAACAGAGCCATTTGCCATCTGAAAACCCAACATGTAGTAGAGGTGCACTGTGTAGCCAGAAATTAAAAATCCCAAATGCCTCTGTTTGCAAACAACAATAAGAATATGTTTAATTGCATAGTTATACATCTAGCTACAATACGTGTTAATAAAATAAGCCTAGTTCATAATTTATCGTTCCTCTAGTTCTTTCAGCAGTTCGTCAAAATGGGTGATGTACCACTTGGCTTTCTCCTTGACCTGTTTCCGCACAACATTGCCTCCAAAGCCAATGAAACAGTCCTGGGGAAACATAAAAAAAGAAGAGATGGGCTGGTTATGTCTCCATTTCAGAAAATGCAGAGGACTATTGGGATTTCTCCTCCATTGGAGAGGTTAGATGGCCATCTGTCATGGATGCTTCAGTTGAGATTCCCGCACTGCAGGGCTTTGGAACAGATAACCCTCAGGGTCCCTTCCAACTCTGCTATTCTAGGATTTCTTGTCAAGGATGAAAGCGGATGCGAGATGGAGTGGAAAGGCATCCTCCATCCCCTGGCAGTACATGAGATGAAGTCAGACCCTGGGGGAAGCAGAACAGTTGCAGGCAGCTGCTTAGGCATCAATGGGTAAGGGCAGATGGGGAATGTGGACTAACCCAACCTTCCCCAACCTGGTGCCCTCCAGAGCTTTTGGACTACAACCCCCATCAGCCCCAGCTGGACTATTCAGAGAGAACCAACTAATCAGCTAATTCATCTTATTAACAACCAAGCAGATTCCCTGCAAATCCTTGCAGAAACCTGGCTGGGTTTGGTAAGTGACCTTTTCCTGGCTCAGCATAATCTGAATCAGAAGCTGCTGCCAACAGTATCACCCTCCTTTTTTTAATCAATCATGTGATGTGATGAATAGGTTTTTGCTAGAAAACGCCTTTGCAACACAGGGCAACAGCCATGGTCGTGCTCCTTGATGCCAGTTCTTGATGCATTGGCTGCCTGCCTTGACCTATTAATTTGGATCTGATTCGCCTCCCCTGGTAGATTCCAAAACAATCATTAACAGGCAGCTGAAATCATTAACCTGGAGCAAGCGTTTGTCTGGTTCTTATGGAAGACATGCAGACTTTTGTGGGGGGTTTTAACGCTCCTGATTTTTTACCTGCTATCCCCTTGCTTCTTTTGGGGTTGCCACATCCAGCAACCAGATGCTGGGGGAGTGGAGAGGTGCCATTTTTCTTTAGGAACATGTGACAGATTGGTTTTGCTTAGGCTTAGGGTCTGACTCGTTGCCATACGAGCTCTTTATCACAAGGACATCAGAACAGCTCTGTAGCTTAGATCAGACCAAAGGCCCAGCCAGTTCAGGATCCTGTTCCTTAGGGCAGGCTGGCTGCAACTGTAGAGTGGGTGCCTTGCAATGACGTGCTATGTGACTCGTCTACGTTGCTTGAAATTTGAATCACAAAGTAGACTGGTTTGGGCAGAGAGGCTGGTTGGGTAGGTGATTCTGCCTCCCAGGAGACTAGGCTGGGTGGCCTTCTTGTGGTTGCAGAAAGGTAACCTTGTGGATCTGCACAAATTCTGGGCATTCTGATGCCAGAAAGAATCAACCATACAGAAGTCAACTCTGAGCTAACTCCTATGAGCCAGTGAGGTCCATTCACTATTGGGTAAGCTGTTGAATTTGGAGTCCTGGCTTCAAATCCATATCCAACAGCATCATTCACAGGGTATCCTTTGAACATAGGAACATTAGCTACCTTTTACTGAGTCAGACTACTAGAGAGCAGACTGGTGGCAGCTCACCAAGGTTTCAGACTGGAGACATACCTGGGAGCACCTTCTGCATGCAAAGCTGGTGCTCGATGACTAAGCTGTGGTCTTTCTTTTGACAGCCTCTCTCTCCCTTTTTCTCTGCTTAACCTGCCCCACAGAATAGCTGGAAGAACCCAAGTAAGCAGCCCTGGGCTGAGCGGAGGAAGGGGTAGAAGGCAAATGCCATCACCCCACAGTCACTACTCACTGCAGGTGGGCAGGCTTCCATATCTGTTGCTCCATCTCCAATCATCACCACCTTCTTAAACTGAAACTGCTCCTTCAGGTAACTAATGACTTGTCCTTTGCCACCCGACTCAGCAGTTGGCTGCGTCTCATCAAAACCGGCGTATTCTCCTAGAGGCACATCAGAGAGAAAGTCAGTCATAGAGAATCACAAGGAAAGTCAATGTTTGAAGGCAAAAGAGAGGGGGGGGATCCCTGGAGGGCAAGGGTGGGGAACCTGGTGCCCTCCAGATGATGCTGAAATCCGACTCCCAACAGCCATAGCCAACGTGGTCAGGAATGATGGGGGTGGAACATCTGGAGGGCCACAGGTTCCCCTCCCTATTCTGGAAGGAGGGAGGGCGACAGTTCAGTGTATCAGAAGGAATTTTTGCAGAGTGATCCACGGTCCTGGTTAGGAGATGGATTCTATTGCAAAGCAGAATCTTCTCTCTCTCTGCCTGTTTGTGTATGTACACAGATCTTCCACCCTGCCACAAGTTAGAGCAAGGATGGGGGATATCTGTGGCCCTTCAGATGTTGTTAGGACCCTGAAACTCAGCATGGCCAATGACCAAGGAGGATGGGAATTGTAGTCCAACAACACCAGGAGAGTACTGCATTGACCGTCTTCAGTCTAAGGGTTTGTTTTTTAGTTTATGTATTTTTATTTATTAGATTTATATACTGCCCTTCCATCTCAGGGCAATTCACAGAATTTCCAATATCTGGGAGATGTACCCTCTGATGTGGAAACCTTCCTTGCTGACACCAGTGTAGGGTATTTTGGCTTTATAGCTCCATAAGGGCAATTTGGGGAACTACTATTTCCACACACACACACACCCTTTGGCTCCCACACTCTCAGTCCCATCAAGATTCATGGTAAAGGATATTCCACATTCAAATAAATCTTCCAGAGTGGACCTTCTACATGCTGTGAAGGAAGGGGCAATGTCATGTCCAAATAACCTTATTTGGATCTTGTTGATAGAGGGCTTTCACCAAAGCCAGCAACCTAAAAACCATTCATATAGTAAGAGATCCACCCATCTTTTTCCTCCAGTGGGCAATCCTGAGGAATTCTGCCAAAGCTTAGCTTCAGACGTGTCCCTTGAGCGACCCTATTTATCCTGGCAACCCTGAAAGTTGAGTTTGGCTGCAAAGCTGTGCTATCGTTAGCTGACAAAATCTTTCACCTTGAAGAGCTGATTTATCAAGCTGCACAACCCACTTGGTGGATAAGAGACCCGTCTCTCAATGTGCTGACTCTCTCAGAGCTGAACTTCTTGACCCTCCTCTGTGCCAGTGCATCTGAGAGTTAAAGCTTAACCATGGGAAGGAACAGTTCTTTCCAAAGCAGCTGGGCAAACGGGGGGCTTATCAGAAGCAGCAGGTCATTGGTGACACTTTGCTTCTTTTCAATCTGGGAAGCTTTTTTGGGCCAAGAGACACACAGTCCCTTCCAGGCAATATTCTGGGAACCACAGGTCAGAGGCAAAAAACAGGGCAGGGTAGTGAATTTAAATTTATACAGTACTGTAAACTAGTTTCTGTACTCATTCCTGCACCACTTACTATCCTCCGTCCAGGCAAGCAGGAAGCATTATTTAATCTTATCTTTTTTATAAAAGTATTTATATACTGCCCTCTCACAAAACATCAGGGCACCTGCATCAACATAAAAGCATCAGTTGAATTGCTTTCAGATGTTTTGATATTGCTGTGCATACAGAGTTCAAGGACACATTCCAGCAAGGTAGAAAACACTTAAGAGTGCAAAGCAGCAAGGGGGAGAGTCCAAGGGCCCAGTAGAGAGCCCTGCACTCAGCCTGCCTGGTAAAGCTTACCATTGAAGTAGAACTTCAACCTGTTGGCAAAGACGTTTGCTGTTGGGATGTTGAGCTGCAAAGCCACGTGTTCCACGATGCTCTGAAACCCCCCGGAGATTAAGAAGACCTGGACACCTCGCTGGTGGAGCCGGTTGACTAGTTCCCTGTGAGGAACAGGAGAGGGTGACCAAGGATTCATTAAGATGCTTCTCTTTTGCCTTCTGCCCTGCCTCCACCCCCTTCACACACAGCTGCAGCACAGTGCAAGAAAGGCTTCCAGGCTCAGTAACAGGCGTCAAATAAATGAATGGCCCAGGAAAGTAAGTGGCCATGGACTTCCTCACAGGTCTTCCTCTATGCTGAGCCATTTTAGATAGGATGTTGGTGAGTGAAGAAGAGTCTTGCTTACACGCAGGGAGCTGAATGACTCCCCTCCCCCCCATTTTGTTCCTTCCAATTCTACATTGTCAGGCTTTTCTCGGGGACCCATAAGGACTGGGGTGCAATTGACTGGGGAGCATCTGCTGCTGAAAGCTAACTGGAGCAAACAAAGGGGGCATTAGATGCCAGGAGAATGGAACCACACGTTCTCCCTTTTGTTAGTTTTCACAATTGTTTCTTGCAGAGGGGTCTCACTACAAGGTGAGGAATCCCTGATGCAGTTCAGTGGCTCCTTTCTCTCACAAGTGTGTCCCAAACAGTGTTGGGAAAGAGAAAGACAGATACAGGTTTCCTCCACTGAACAGGACGCCTTCCAGCCTCTTTTTGCCTGGTTAAGACGGTGGAATTTGTAATTGTACAGTAGGTCTTTGATCCTCCCTACCCGCTTCAAATGTCGCTACAGCCAATTCTTCAGGAATCATAACCCATGAGGAGGAGATAATGTGGAAGACGTCTCCATGGATGGACATGGAGTCCAACTGCTCAGAATGCCTCTTACCTTATTCCCGGTGTTAACTGGGGCGGATGCTCCGATATCAATTTCTGCACTTGTTCATAGGAGGGGCGGATGAGGCCTAGCCGGGCAGTCAAAGCAGCCTTGAACGTTACAGTGCCACCCATCGCTCTTCGAGTCCTAAATTGAGATTCAGAGAAATCAGAGAAATACAGACCAGGCTTTTTAAGGGCAAAAATAAAGCCATCCAGCTGTGTGTGTGTTTGCTTTACATACACAAGCAGTTATGCTATGTCAAGGTAAAATGAAGTCTGCTTCACTTCCTCATTTAAGAGAATGGCCGCTGGATCAGATCAAGGGCTGCCCACCTTCGTGGGCATAGCCAGTATTTTTTTGGGGGGGGGCAGAACCTCAGTTAGCTATGTATTTTTATGTATTGGGGGGGAGCTGCTCCTCCCTGCCCCCCTTTAAAAAAACCCATCTGTGTTTACTGCAGTCTCAGTCATGATCCTCTGCTGCTGCTATTTACATGTTTAAAACTACACATGTAGCCCATTAATGGCACGGTCATTTTGACCGTTAGATGGCCTTAAAAGAGGATTAAATTGATAGAGGAGGAGGGAGCGACAGCATCAATCTGCAGCTATAGTGCCCAAATCAGCCTTAAACACTTCAGATGATTTGGATGGCAACTCCTATCAGTCCCAGATGGAGAAATCAAGGTGGGTTCCTAGGGGCTGCTGTGCGGGGTGAAGATTTAGCCAGCTGGATCCCAAGTGAATCAGGAAATGCTGAATTCCATTCTGCCTGATGAGTTCTGTGAAACTCTAAAATGTGTGGAAGCACATGATCTAGTGGTGTTTCCTATGGTTTGGGGTCACCGTACAGAATGGCTCCACTAAGCCTGCCATCCCAAACCTTTATGCCATCCTGATGTTTTGGATGACACCTCCTATGTTAGCTGGGACTGATGGGAAGTGTAGCCCAAAACATCTGGAGGGTTGAGCTAAACCAACCTCAGGCCTGCCAGGAGTTTCAGACTGAACCACAGGCAGACAAGTTTTTCAGGTTGGAGAGAAGATTCCTGATTGGTTGGGAAAGAAGGATGGTTGCTTGCTCGTTCAGTATGCCAGGGAAAGGAAGTTGGTAAGTGCTCTCTGCTCACATAACCTTGTGACAGAGCTAAGGAGGTATGGACTTGGTCCAGAATGTAGATGGGAAACCACTGTAGAGCCTCACAACACATAGAAGTCAGAGTCTAAGTGCAAAAAAGGGGCAAGTTTTTAAAGCAACTTCATTACACCTTACACAAACATGCAAGGATTGGCTGCTTTTTCTGCCTAATGCATGGTAACAAGGTTTGCCAGTATTGGTCCATGCTCAGCCTCAGAGCTTGCCCCCCCCCCACAAGAGGCTCCTGTCCTAAAAGGATGCCATAGAGGCCAGGCCCAGAGGTGTCTCTGAGCCACTTCTCAGCAGCATCCCCCAAATGTTCATTCTTGCATTTAGGTCCCCCACCCCAAAGACTTGCCTTTACAAATTCTCACTAGCCTGCTTACAAAAAAGGCTTCCCCAACAGCCAGCTGGTATCAGGTATGGCAGGATCCGGGTCGGGGATGGAGCTCAATGCCTTTGCCCCTTGGGAAGGGAGGGGACAGATCTCTGCAGAAGCAAATGAGAGACAGCCTTACGTACATTTCGGCCACTGCGTCTCCGACGCCGCAGAATTTCGCCAGCTCGTCAATGCCTTCCTCTTTGATGACTGTACTGTCCACATCAAAGCAGACAGCATCAGCGTTTTGGAAGACTTCCTTCAGCTCCATAAGAGAGGACATCCTTTTGATGGGTTTCCTGTTGTGGGAGAGGAAGATGAGGTCGTTCTGGATATCGGCACACTGAACCCTGTGTTGAGCCATCTTGGAAGAGGGTCCTGTGGGGCTGGTAGCTTGGTGTAGAGAGGGAGAAGCAAGCCGTGTGACTCCTTTTTGAGAGGGAGTGGGTGGCAGTAAAGGGGGGCGGAAGTGGCTGCTGATTTGCTGGCCATGGGGGCAGCGCAGGAGTGGGCAATCAGTCAAGGTTGGCTCCCTGGCTGAGTTAACCCTTCCGGGAGCTGCTGCCTTCACTGACGTAAAGAGTCAAATAAGAGATTTTGGCATTTAGTGAACCTCTTGGAAGAGAATGCTATTCACTCCAGTGCTGGCTGCCTCCTCTCCTGTCTTCACTGCCATCCAAACCCCCTGCAATCACAGTGCAAATGCTTTCATCAAATAATCACAACAACGTAAAAACAGCTTAAAAATAAATTACAGTCATAAATAGAGTGGATCTTAAATTTATATCAGTTGTCTAAGGACAGGGTGAAGAGGTGCGTCTTCAGCATAGGATGAAAGCTGTATAGCGAAGGTGCCAGACACACCTTGGTGCCACAAAGGATGCCCAAAGAAAGCACATTTTTGCAGAACAATTCCCCTTATAAAATACTGTAAAAATGTTATTTCCACTAATATATGCACTTATATGTATACTTTACTCCAGTACATGTATTTTTGTACACATTACTTGACTGGAAAACTGCATTGCAATATTTTGGAAAGTGTGAATTGTAAAACATGGCTGTGCATTGGTTCACATTTTGTTTCAGAAAGTGCAAATTAAGTAAAGGTAAAGGTACCCCTGCCCGTACGGGCCAGTTGTGTCCGACTCTAGGGTTGTGCGCCCATCTCACTTAAGAGGCCTGGGGCCAGCGCTGTTCGGAGACACTTCCGGGTCATGTGGCCAGCGTGACGAAGCTGCTCTGGCGAGCCAGCACCAGCGCAGCACACGGAAACGCCGTTTACCTTCCCGCTATAAAGCGGTACCTATTTATCTACTTGCACTTAAGGGTGCTTTCGAACTGCTAGGTGGGCAGGAGCTGGGACCGAAAGACGGGAGCTCACCCCGCTGCGGGGATTCGAACCGCCGACCATGCGATCGGCAAGCCCTAGGCACTGAGGTTTTACCCACAGCGCCACCCGCGTCCCTGCAAATTAGGTACATTCACTTTTAAATGTGAACTAAATCAGGTATCTCCCCCTTCTATATAAACACCCCAGGGATGAAGGCGGGACAGCCCTCCACACTAAGTCCCCCAGGGATGACATTTGCCTGGGGAATATTCTTAAGAGTAGGGGTAGCCAATATGATTCCCTCCAAATATTGTTGGACTCCATTTCCCAATGGTCAGGGGTGATGTCAGTTGTAGCCCAACAACTTATGGAGGGCCCCACGCCGACTACCCATGTACCTAGAGCAGCCTTTCTCAAACTGGGGTCCCCAGATATTGTTGGACTACAACTCCCTGACCCCTGATCCTCGTAGCCAGGGATGGAGTTGTAGCCCAACAACATATGGGGCCCTAAGCTTGAGAAAGGCTGACAGAGGCTTCCAGTTCCCTTGTATTGCCCCTTGATGATACCCTGATACAACGGTTACCACTACAACAGACTAGGAACTGGCTGTCACACCACTTTTATTGCCACAGCTAAGTCCAAAGAATATTTTGAAGCATCATTTCGGTCTTGAGAATTCTATACAGGGGCAAGCAACATGGTGGTTGTTGGACCACAACTCCCATCAGCCCCGGCAGACAACACAGCTGACAGACAGGGGTGATGATGGGAGTTGTGATTCTGCAGCATCTGGAGGGTGCTACTCTGCCCTCCAGATGTGCACTGCAGTTCTCAGGGTTTCCTGGGTAGGGTGCAGCTATGAACAAAGGAGGTTTACATTTGTTGTGGTATGGATACAGACAGACTCTGTCCTGGTAGGCCTCAGCCTGCTTTGCAGCCTTGACTTGCCTGTTGGTTCTGAGCCAGGCAGAGCTGTAGTGGGGCGGGAGGAGGGAGCTTTGACTTTGGGGCAGGGCTGGGACACCTTGCACTGTGACGCATCATTGCACAATGGAGTGAGCAAGGCACGTGTTGACATCTTTGGAACAGGCCCAGCTACCTGAGGTTTTTTCCAGGCCCTAAGGAAGGCTGAACATCCAACCAGAACCCAGAGCTCTGTGCTGGGCTGCCAGTTTTGAAAGAGCGACCCTGGAGGGCAGTGCCAAGGCATCTGCGTCATAATGTCCTCAAATCATGATGTAACGCCCACCGTCCAAGGCTAGGTTGCAACAGGACCGTATGATGCAAGGCAAGGATGAGGTTGCCAGAAAGTGACGTTGGCCCCAAACATATTGCAAGAGGACCTTCTTCAACAAGCCAATCCTTCTTGCAAAAGTTGAGAAGCTTATGGAGACTTAACAGGTCCTGCTGCTCAGTCAGAACCATGAGTCTGGATTTTTCATTTTTCCAAACATGGACATTGAGGGTTAACATCAACCTGGTGTCTTCCAGATACTGTTAGACTACAACTCCCATCAGCCCTAGCTGGTGTATACAAAAAACTTTTGAGATTTTGCAAAGTGGAGGCTATGGCTTCAGGAAATTTACAAGCAAGGCTCTTCTCATTTTAGAAATGCACACCTGGCTTCAAAGCGTACGCAGATAATGCAGTTTCATGAACTGTATTTCATATTGACCTTTAGACATGGTTGCATATGACCAATATGCAAATGAATCCAATTGTAGTTTCCCTGCAATTCTTTTGGACTTTCTTTTCCTTCACTTCCTGCTCATCCATCCCCAAACCTTCCTTTCTATCAACAGCAGCCAGCCCCTCCTACCCCTAAGTCCTGTTGGATTTTTTCCTCTCCTATCCAAATGGTCCTTTCCCTAAACTTCCTTCACAGCAACTGCACTGTCAACACCCTTCGGCTCAGATCTTTCCCTTGAGAACTCTGGATGTGTAGGAGTATTCTGTGGCATCAAAAGCAACTCAGCTAACGGTATATGGAAAAAGTAGGAGCTTGCAGGCAATAGCAAGAGCCAACGCAACCCACCGAACTATATGCTGCTCCTACAGCCATGTCCAATGGCCAACCAGGACCATGATAATCCCCTCCCAATTTTTGCTGGCTGCCTGGGATTATGATAAGAGGAAAACTGCCAACCGCTTCAATGGCCATGATCCATGGATTGTGGGTTGCATTTAGTTTGGTGTCTCCCTGAGTTGGGCAGGATCAGGATTTCACGGGGCACACAGAGATGTTACAAAAAGTCACAGGCTGTGATTTGTAGAAATAAGAAGCATTATTATTAACACAGTAATAAAAAGATGTGGTTTGGGGTCAGCGCTTTGCATCACTATTATTATCTATGCCTTCGTAGAAAGGACCTTAGGACAGACTTCACAAACCTGCCACCTCCCCCGGTGTTTTGGACTGCAACTCCCATCAGTCTCGCTGGCATTCAGAGGTAGGACGTAGCCATTGTGGCTAGTAGCCATTGCTAGCCTTATCCTGCTCTGTTTTGGGGCTCGTCCACACCTGCTCATCTCACCACTCCCCCCCCCCCGGAAAACCTGATCCTTACCACTGAATCGGAACAAACATCAGTCAGGTTCTCTGCGGATTGACGTTTGCTCTGATCCAGCAGTAAAGGGTGGGTTTTCCTGGGGCAAGCAGTGGGGCAAACAGAAAACCTCGTAGACCCTTGCTTTCTAGGCATGGAACAAGCAGAAGCGTGGACGAACCCTTTGTCTAACCTTCTTTTAAATCCATTCAAGCTAGTGGGCGTCACCACCTCTTGCTATGTGGTTTCACTATATTTTCGTTTATTTCTGTACATTTATATCCCACTTTTCTTCTGTCATAAATCCAAGGTGGTCAACATGCGGTTCCTAAGCCGTCTCCCACAAAGATACTGGCCAGACCCAAACCTACGTAGTTGCAGCAAGGTGATGGTCCCATTCCTGGTCTGCTAGGGGTGTGGATGAAAGAAGAAAACAGAATGGGGGAAGTGAGAATGAATTGGATTGCTTTGTTTGTTTGCTTGTTCTGGCATAGGGTGTTTGGGAAGGGTGAGCTCAGCATCCGGTTTCCACAAGGACCAGCCAGATTCCTCAAGGGAAGCCCACAAGCAGGACAAGAACACAATAATTTTAATAAATAAACCACTTTGGGACCAGATCTTGGGTAAAAAGCAACAACAACAATAGCTTCTGAAGTGAACCAGTAATTACAGCACACTTCAATTTATGATTTGCATTTGACAGATTGCATGAGAAGTGTTCATTTCCCCCTTTTCTATCTTCAGAAAACAAGTCATACCATGCTAGTCATAAAATCTGATTCCAGCCAGGCTGCAAGCTTTCTGTGCGGCATTTGGTGTCTGCCCCTGGAAGAAACCCAGCTTCCTGAGAACTTTAGATTTAAAAAGAAAACCTCCAAGTTTCTAGGCCTGGTGGAGGCATAAAATAGCCTGTATGCAAGTAGGTCCTGGTATGCAGAAAGCTTGGAATTAGAAGGATCTGGGAGAGGCTTCCTGTAATCAGGGTGATTCCGTGGTCTACTTATGAATCCCAGTTTGCTGGGTGTCCATATCTCCCCTGCCCCACACTTTCTATGCCCTCACTGAACTGCTGACCAGTCTGGGGCATTGTCCTTAGTGCTGAAAGGCTGAGAAGGGCAAACAGTTCAGTGAGAAGAGAGCATATACAAACAGATGTTGCAATCCTACACCAAGTTACATCATATGCTTCCCGCTGGAACAAGAGGGCCCTTCTGTGTGCATACATAACTGAGTACAGGATTGCAGCCTTGGGAAATGGGAGGGCTCTTACATAATTTATTCTTCCAGAAGAATAGTCTTCCTTTTAAAAAGCCTCCCCTCCACATTAGCTTGTGTTTTCTCTCTGGCACGGATGACCTCACTCAGATCGGCTTTTAATGCACTCACTCTTGTAGGTAAAAGACCTGAACTGCTTTCTTCACTCAGTGTGCAATTAACTAAGTAGCTTAAGGTTGTGGTCCTAACCCTACTTACCTGTTGGGAGTAAGCCCCACAGGATTCGTTGGGACTTACTTCTGAGTAGGATGGTTAGGAATGCACTGTGTGTAGCTTTTAAAAATTAAAGATGATAGGGAAAAATCAATGGAAAACAAAAGATAACAGAACTTTTAGTGACAATAGCTTAATGTAGTATTTGCCAACTTGGGGGCATCCAGCTATTTTGGACTACATTTCCATCAACCCCAGCCAGAATGCTGGCTGGGGCTGATGGGAGTTGTAGTTCAAAACAGCTGGATGCCACCAAGTTGGCAAAAGTTGACTCAGAGAACCTCCATGGTCAGAAAGTGCATACCTCTGACAGCCAAATCACTGGAATCGCCATCGCTTCTTGAGGGCTTCCTGGAAAGATTGTCTGGCTAGACACTATTCGACTAGATGGGACTTTTTGTCTGATCCAGCTGTTCTTAAGTATTAAGAATCAGGATCTACCTGCTATCCTCAGACAATTTATATGGAAGTTGAAATTTCTGTTTGTTTCTAACCAGTACTGTTGATAGTTTGAATTTAGCTTCTCTCTGACCCATCCTTCCTCAGAGGAAAAGAGGAACCCCACAGCGAGGCATCCTGAACATCCTGCATGCATCAGGACAGATGCTGATGCTTTGCCTGTTCAGGATTGCATCATTCATTCATCCCTTCATCACAGACAGGCCCTGCACTTTTTTTATTCCTGCAAAAAAATTAGCCACCAGCAGAGGGGTCCAGAAGGCGAGTCCCTGTGCCAACTGTCAGTTCTAAGGAGCAAACTCGGAACCATGAAGTTGGAGGAAGCAAAACAGAAAGAAAATCTGGGAAAGGGGGAAAAAAGAAACCACCACCCTCACCCCCAAATTCAAACAGCCGGCAACTTACAGGACTGTGGAGCCTGCTGCAATTTTAGATGTCAATACCGGGCACCTCCTGGCTGTGCAGGCGAGAGAAGGCTCAGTGAAGCCCTTCAGTCACATCGATGCAAATGCACCCAGCAATCTGGAAGCTGGCCACATTTTCTAAACCAGCTTTTGCTGAGTAAGCGACAATCCTCCTCTGTTTTTCCTTTCCCCCTTTTTAATCGCTGCACACATGAAAGCAAAGGGCTCTGCTGTTTACAGAGTGAGGCTTAGGAAAGAGAGGTGTAATTTTGCACTTTGGGAGGGAGGAGCCCCTCAAACCCAGCCCTGGAAGCTCCCTGATTGGCTCAGGAGGAGCCGGCAGAGAGAGAAAGGCGAGGAGGTGGAGATTAGAAATAATAGGCTCCAGATCTCTTCTTGGAATAAGTCACCTTGAACTTGCAAAGTCTGCAAGAGAGATTGTCAGGTGATATCCATATGAAATGGACAGAGCTAAGCTCAGTCACAGCCATTCGTTTCAATGGGTCTACTCTGAGTAGGGTGAATATTGGATACATTCCAATCCATCAGACTTAAGGCCTTTGCAAATGACACAGGATGGAATATCACAAATAGGAGAGCTGCAGGGGAAGGCTGATGGACAGAAAAGGCAACTAGCTGCAGAGTTCAAGGGTAGTTATGCTGAGCCCTGCAAGACGAATGTGGTCATATTTAGTTATCTAACAAGTTTTCAATACTACTTAATCTGCCATTGAAGCAGTTTACAGAAACCATTCATCAAGCATACAAAACAAGCTGATATTGAAGTGATATTTAAAAAATACAAATAAAGCCAGCAACTTTTAAACAAACAAACATACATACATACATGCTTAGATGGGCTTGCCTAAATTTTTTTTTTCAGCAGGTCCTGAAAGCAAAACAGTGAAGGCTCCTGCCTGATGTCAATAGACAGGGAGTTCGAAGTGCTGCCACACTGCAGGACTGATTCTTTGCAAGTGTGGAATGAATATGATATGGCCCTTGTCAAAGTGCCTGTTCCATAGATCGAGGCAGGAGAGTGGGCATATACATGTGTGGCAAGGTGATCCTTCAAGTGAAGGACTCAGGGATGTTTTATCTGAGAAGGCTAGAAGGTCTAAAGCAGAGCTTTCCAAACTTCTCATGTTGGTGACACATCATTTCATGACACTGTAATTCAGTTTTACTAGCAAACCAGAGGTTAAACTAACCCCTTTCCAGCCCCTACTCACCGCAGCCGGCAAACTAACGTGTTGTGTGACACACAGTTTGGGAAGCTCTGGTCTAAAGTAGCAGCAAAGCTAGCTTATCAGCAGCTGGGGAATCTGCCCCTCTACTTGGAAGTTTCCAAACTTTCTTTCTAACTCCTGTGAACTGAGATGCAGGAGCGCAGATACACTGGAGAAAATCCTGGGATATGCTCTGTGCAACACAGTCACATTAACTGACCAAGTGTCTTGGGCTACCCACAAACACCCTCAAACCCCTCCCTTGCAACTCAGGACCAAGGAAGGAAAGCTTATCTGCTCCTACTTTTTTCTTTTCTCTTCTCTTCCTACAGACGAATCCCCAAAAAGCTTCCAAGGTGCTCAGAACACAGCCTGAAAACTTCTTGAAACTTAATTTCAGTTCGAGGAAGTGACCTCTTAGATTGTATTTCAAGGGGCTTTTAATTCAGCCCCCTGTTTTGAGGTAGGATATCAGCATAGCACATTCACCATCAACTTGCTTCTTTCAGACCAAACAGCACTGCAAGAAAGGTTCACAACAGCCAGAATTCCCATAAAGGCCACCCAGGCACTCTGGAAGCAGATGGCATCACCAAGAAGGCACCAAGGTAATGGCCACCCTATGTACTGGGTCCCAGCATTGGGTATCCAGAGGTATACTGCCTGTTTGGACATGAAAGCTCAATTCCTATTATCAGGGCTAATAAACAGGAATTATAGGGGCAGGAATTTATCTAATATTTTTTTCATGATCAAAGTTTTCCCCCCTCTATAGGACAAAGTTCCTGTGGGACAATTAGCTCTATGTGACTCCTTCGAGCCAGCAAATCTACATTCCTTCCATTAAAAAAAAAAATGAAAGAGGATCCAGGTATACTGGCCAATCTGAGGAGAAAATCCACCAATCATTGGATGGGTTATGAATTATTATTGCAGTCCATTCTTCAAGACATATATCAAAGCAGTGGTTCTCAAAATTTTTGATCCCATAAACTCATTCCCAGTGCCTCCTCCCCTATAAAAGGCATTATTATTATTATTGTGGAACGCCCTCCCATCAGATTTCAAGGAAATAAGCAACTATCCTACTTTTAAAAGACATCTGAAGGCAGCCCTGTTTAGGGAAGTTTTTAATGTTTAATGCTGTATTGTGTTTTTAATATTCGATTGGGAGCCGCCCAGAGGGGAAACCCAGCCAGATGGGTGGGGTATAAATAAATTATTATTATTATTATTATTATTATTATTATTCAGAATAGTGGTTTACATGACCCACTAAGGAAAATAATAACACAATAAAATGCAAAACTGTAACAATTAATTTCACATTTATTCAAAATCCAATTACACCTACAGCATTTAGTTTAATTAACTCAACAAAACTGATGAACTGGATCCAGTGATGCCAGCTTTGTAATGTCTGATAGTCTAGAATGATGTCAGAATGAAGTTAAGTGGTTTTAGTAGCAATGTTATAAAGGTGTGTGTAAAAATGGATTGTTAACAGGCGAGAATCTAAAGCTATAATATATTAAGTTAAAGGATTAAGATAAAAATAAAGAGGGAAAGGAATTGCTGAATTAATTAACTGAAGTGGAATATAAAAAAGGGAGGCGAGAGGAGGTCAGGGAAACAAGTAAATGAAAAGTAAGGTATGGAAAGATTGATTTGTTTTTTAAGTCTCTTTTATTTTTTCTGTATTTTGTATTTTTTCTTTTCTCTATTTTTCTTTTTCTTATATATGTAACCTTTTTTTTGGAAACCTTAATAAATATCATTAAAAAAAAAAAAAAGTAAAGTCTGATAGTCATTTATGCCCCCAGCGCCACCCTGCAGCCCCCTTGCCTCTTAGTGCCCCCCAAGTGATCGCAACACTCCCCAGGGGGCAGTACCACCCCCTTTGGGAACCACTGTATCAGAGCAAAACTCACACCAATGAGATGTAGGACAGGATCCCGCGCATGGTTAATGGAATTCTAAATGTTGTTGATTTCACCATGATAGAGTTAAACATACCCCACTGAAATCAACACGACTGGAAATTTAGCTGTATTGCAACTTAATAATGCCATGGCAATGGACCTCTTGTTGCCACTGTCACTCTTAAAGGGCCCACTTTTGCGGGTGAAAGCAACAAAGAGCCTTGTAGCACCTTAAAGGCTAACCAATTTATTACAGTATGAAGCTTTTGTGGACTCACACCCATTTCACCATATGCAGGAAGCAAAATCTTAGTTGGCAGGTATATAATGGAGAAAATCTTAAGTTGGGAGTTGAAATGAGATGCAAAGATTGCTGTCAGTGATAATTAGAGTTTAAATGTATGTTAAACCGGCACAACTATTAAAGTTAAGATTGCAGATAACTTTCTCAGCATTGCTAAGATGATTGTATAAATATGGGTGTGAGGATTTTTGGGCTGTTCAGATGTTGCTGAGCTCCAACTCCCATGATCCTTGGCCAATGGCCATGCTTGGTGATGGGAGCTGTAGTTCAGTGACCACTGGCGGGCCAAGGTCTCGCCCCCCCCCCTGCGCAGTGGTGCAGGCTGCAGGGAAGAGGGAGTGAGCATGCCACACCTTGTCTTTACAAGTTTGGGGGGGCAGGGAAACTTGTTGGGACATCTTTGTTACTTCTTTCCGGTTTGGAACTTCTCACCCTGTTCCTGGATCATGACTCCTGAGCACTGTGTCTGCTGCTGAGCCTGTACTGATAATTGCCTTAATAAAGATCTCTGTCGTAAATAAGACAGAGATCGTTATTAAGGCAATAATCAGTACAGTACTTGTAAGCAAGAGTTCCTGTTTGTAAGTTTTAGGTGGCCACTGGTTCTGCTGAGAAGCCAACTCCATCAGGCTTTACCTTCTCTCAGCTGTTGCCTGGCTGCAGCAGTGGCAGAGGAGGAAAACAGGCTTGCTCCATCAGTTCTGCTAAAAGACCAGCTCCATTGGACCTTCACTCCATCTACTGTCCCCCAGAAGCAGTCGCCTCAAAAGGTCACAGCAGAGGGAGGACAAGGAAGCAAGACCTCTCCATTAGCATTAGGCTCCTTGAATTATTTCCATTCCAGCAGCTGCTCCTTATGAGAACTTTATAACTAAGAGCTAGTGTCTGAGGTTGCTTTCTCCCCTTTCTGCCTCCCAATTGCTTTTCCTTTTGCATTGTGTCTTTTAGACTGCAATATAACTGATCTACATAAGCAGCTCTTGGAACCTAAGAGCACTCTGCACATGTATGAAAAACTCTTTTATTGCTTGCTAAGTCTTCCAGAGCTTAGGTTTGGCCCTGAAACTGATTCCAGAGTTCAGCTTTATTTTGGACTTCGGACAAAACTAGATGTAATGTAGGAATTCTGTGATTGGATCTCCCAATCCCCCATACCACTCTTTTATTAATGATTAAAAGCATCCATAAGAGAGGGAGAATTTTAATTAGTGCTGCAGTTCCAAGGAGGGAGGCTTTTTCAACTCATTTCCCAACACTGTATCCCAAACAAATATCAATTGTTCTCTGCCCCCCAAAAGCTGTTATTAGCCAGAGAAGGGGAGAAAGGTAGAAAACTGAGTTTTTGAATCAAATGCTTGTACAAGAAGAGCCCTGATTCTTGATCAGACCTTCAAAGGTCAATCTAATCCAGCATCCTGTCCCAACACTGGCCCAGCAGATAATTTACGGTATATAGACAGGATTTACTGTATATACCACTTAATCATCAAAATCTCTAAGCAGTTTACATAAAAATGCCTCTCAGAAGTCTGCAAGCAGAACCAAAGTGCACCAGCACACTCGTGTTCCTCAGCAAGCAATATTCAGAGGCATACTGTCTCCAGAATGTGACTAGTAGCCAATTATAGCCACTGTAAATCATAATGCCCTGTGGCATGTCCTTCTGAAAATCGGCTGCCCAGATAAATTTGTGAACATCCTCCACGATATTATGACAGCAACCATCACAGATAACAATGGCTCTCAAAGTGAACCATTCACAGCGGGATGAGGTGTTAAACAGGGATGTGTTATCGCCCCACTCTATTATTTTCATTGCTATGATCCTACACATTGTCAAAGGGAAACTCCCCACTGGGCTAGATATCATATATCGAACAGATGCAAAGCTCTTTAACTTAAGTAGGCTGAAAGCAAAGAGTAAGGTTACCATAACTTCCATCATAGAGCTTCAATATGCTGATGACAACGTAATGTGTCCACACTCAGAGGATGACCTCCAAACCATCCTAAATATATTTGCAGAAGGTTACAAAAAGCTTGGCCTATTGCTCAACATCCAAAAAACCAAAGTGCTGCACTGACAAGCACAAAACAACCCCTCTGCAGCTCCACAAATCCAACTTAATGGTATAACCTTGGAAAATGTCAATCACTTTCCCTACCTGGGCAGTTATCTTTCCACAAGGGCCAACATCGATGCAGAAATCCAGCATTGCCCGAACTCCGTGAGTGCAGCTTTCTCCCAACTGAAGTGCAGAGTGTTTGAGGACCGGGACATTTGCAGGGAAACCAAAACGCTTGTTTACAAAACTACTGTACTACCAACTTTATTGTAAGCTTGTGAAACGTGGACCACTTATAAATGCCATCTCCAACTCCTCAAAAGATTCCATCAACGGTGTCTCCAAAAAAATTTATATATCACTTGAGAAGACAGGCAAACCAATGTGAAGAAGCAAAGATCACCAGTGTGGAAGCAATGATTCTTCAACATCAACTTTGTTGGACTGATCACGTTGTTCAGATGCCTGATTATCATCTTCCAAAGCAACTACTCTATTCCAAACTTAAAAATGGAAAGCATAATGTTGGTGGTCAATAAAAGAGGTTTAAAGACTCTCTCAAGGCAAATCTAAACAAATGTAGTATAAACACTGACAATTGGAAAACACTTGCCTGTGAGTGCTCCAACTGGAGAACAGCCTTTACCCATGGATTTTGAAGACTCTCGAACTCAGGACAAAAGTGAGAAACGAACTAAGAGGAAGGCATATTTGGCAAGCCCTCTCCATGATCAACTCCCACCCGGAAACCTATGTCCCCACTATGGAAGGAGGTGTGGATCCAGAATTGACCTCCACAGTCACCTATGGACACACTGTTAAGACCATGTTCATGGAAGACAATCTTACTCAGCTACAAGTGATCACTAAAGAAGATAACCCTTTTCTCCATGAATTTGTCCAATCCTGCTTTAAAGCCCTCAAGTTGGTGGTCATCACTGCCTCCTGCAAGAGTGGGTTCGTTCCATAGTTCAGCTATGTGTTGCATGTATAAAGACTTCATTTGGTCTGTTCTAAATCTTCCAACATTCAGCTTCATTGAATGGCTCCACTGAGTTCTAGTATTATAAGAGAGGGATATGATGGTCTGACTAAGGGAGTGTTCACATTAGCAACTTAGAGGGCACTGATGTTTTTCCCTATGCAAAGAGAGATGAATGGCTTACAGGATTACAACTGGTATGAATCACAGAATCATAAAATTGTAGTTAAAAAATATTGTGAGGGTCATCTAGTCCAACTCCTGCAATGCAGGAATCTTTTGCCCAACGTAGGGCTCGAACCCACAACCCTGAGATTATAGTCTCATGCTCAATCTACCAATTGGGCCATTCCAGCAATCATGAAGCTTGTTTGAGAAAAAGAGCATCAAGCAGTAGTAACTTATAACAACCTGCATTTTGGACAACCTCATGTGAACATACATTAAAAACCCAGCACTGGAAGCTCAATAAGTGTGCAGTAAACCAAGTATTGACACAAACTTCCAGCCTGGGTATGGCTGCATTGCCCTCTACTGGCTAGCTATACACACAGTGCAGATAAACCCAGTGCCCATCATAGACAAATATGTGGGGGCAGTTTGCAGATTGGGAGGGCAAGAAAAATGATGTATGAGCTTCCCTTCAAGTGGTTTAGGAAACATCAACCACATCCTGGAAAAAAATCTTCCTTCTAAGTTAGTCAAACATCCCAACTGCAATCGTGTTGACTCAGAATGAGGCCCAACTGAATGGCAATGAATCTAAGTTAATTTTACAAAGCTTTTATCACAGGTGAGACTAACCTGTAGACTTCCATACACCAACTCCCCTCACCTCCAGCCAAAATGACCAATGATTAAGAAAAATGGTCCAACAGTTCCTGAAGAGAAGAGCCATAGGATTCCTATTCCTGATCCATGGGCATAACAACAGTAGCCAACTTTACAGGGTTGCTTATTTATTGGAGCCTTTGCACAAACAAAGGCAAAAAACTGAAGAAATAAATGTCTATAAAAATGTAACCAATGTAACTTACTGAAAAATTAGAAAGAGAGATTTTGGTACCTGTTTCCTCTTTTCTTGAAGCACATCACACCATGAAGGGACCACGATGGAATTATAAGCTGAAAGTACATGGGAAATTGCTAAAAATGTGTACACTGACACCTGCTATAGAAAAGTTGAATATTACTTTATGAGATATTAAATATTAATATCTGCTGTGAAAAACACACACACGTCTCTAAAACATCACACCCTCTGCTAGTGATCTCAGATGGTGAGAGCTGACAGGACTGGTGCCAAAATGGGACTACAGTGGTACCTCGGGTTAAGTACTTAATTCGTTCCGGAGGTCCATTCTTAACCTGAAACTGTTCTTAACTTGAAGCACCACTTTAGCTAATGGGGCTCCCGTCTGCTGCTGCTGCGCCGCCAGAGCACGATTTCTGTTCTCATCCTGAAGCAAAGTTCTTAACCCGAGGTACTATTTCTGGGTTAGCGGAGTCTGTAACCTGAAGCATATGTAACCTGAAGCGTATGTAACCTGAGGTACCACTGTATTAAGGCCACATCCACACCCTACATTTAAAGCAATCAACTTCCTCCCAAAGAATCCTGAAATTTATCAATTGGAGAGCTACTATTCCCAGCACCCTTAACAAACTATAGTTCCCAGGATTCTTTGGGGTAAAGCATGCAGCTGGATCAGGCCACAGGGGGCCCATCTAGTCCAACATCCTGTTCTCACAGTGGCCAACCAGATGCCTGTGGGAAACCTGCAAGCAGGACCTCAGCACAGAGCCCTCTCCCATCCTGTGGTTTCCAGAAACTTGTATTCAGAAGCATTGATCCCTCCAACAGTGGAGGCAGAGAAGAACCATTGCATACCCTCCAACATTTCTCCGATGAAAATAGGGATGTCCCATTCCATAATGATAATTTTACTATTTATACCCCACACATCTTACCGGGTTGCACCATCCACTTCCAACATATATAAAAACATAATAAAACATTAAACCTTTAAAAAACCTTCCCTATGCAGTGCAGGATTGCCTTCAGACGGCTCAGGGGTCAGACAACTCCATACCTTCCAACATTTCTCCAATGAAAATAGGGGCATCCTAAGGAAAAGTGGGACATTCTGGGATCAAATCAGAAACTGGGATAGTTTCTCTAAATCACGGACATCCCTGGAAAATAGGGACACTTGGGAGGACCTGCCATTGTGGCTAGCAGCTATTGGTAGCCCTTTCCTCCATGAATTTGTCCAGTCCTCTTTTAAAGCCATCCAAGCTGGTGGCCATCACCACCTCCTGTTGGGGTGACTTCCTTAGTTAACTCTGCTGCCACATGAAAAAGATTGCAATTAATTTTATATGCCTTCACAATGAACTGCAGGGCAGAAACATTTTAAGTAAATCAATAAAATTAGAAATGCTGTTGTGAGTCCCTTTGGAGACCCTGCTCAACAATCAGGATGCAAATTTAACTGATAAAGAAAGCCAGATGGAAAAGTTAAAATATACATACTTACCCTTGATCTAAAATGACACAAGTTGTTTGGACTGCTCCTGAGTTTCACCACTCTCAATTATTTGGTATTTTGTTGTGTTTTTACTTATCAGACAACGAGTGGGTCACAAATAATTGCAAATAAATAAAATTAGACATATAACCCGTAATTCTAGTATTTAATCAATGTAGGATTTAAAAAGTGTTACGTGCTACACCAATACATTAAATACTTTATATAACATATTACGTAGTAATATGCCCAACTAATTATAGACATAGCATGAGTATTGTCTATGATGTATGAGATACTATATATTAAATCATTATGCTATACATTTTTTTGTGTATTTCATTAAAAAATGTATATCAGCACTGCGTTTTATATCTATCTGTATCTATATTGAAGGAGGTGAGGAGGAGGTGAGGTTTAGGTAACCTAAGCATAGGTTAAAAATAAATACTAGTGCTATGAATTATTTATATTATTTATATAAAATTATTTAGATCCTTAAAGGGAAACACTTAATTTGCCTCAGAGTTAGACATCATGAATATAGCATAAGGCGCTTATGCATATTCATGGCCTAGTTTGCCAACGCCGGGGCCGAGGCCTGCCACGATTTTGCATAGCAACCGTCTCTAACTGCCATCCAGGCCGCCACCGTTTGCGCCCGAGGCGGCTTCCTCCTGAGCGACGGGTACGCCGGACCAATGGGAGCTGAGAGGCGGGCCCCCGAAACGGCGGAGTATTCTAGAAGGGGCTAGGACGCCACAACCCCCGCCCTGTCGGCGCCTGCGCCTGCGCGGGGACGCCCCTTTCTCTTATCACTCCCTTTCCTTTTCCTCGAGGCGGGCGGCCGACATGGCGGTGAAGGCGCTGAACCCCAAGGCCGAGGTGGCGAGGGCCCAAGCGGCTCTGGCCGTCAACATCAGCGCGGCGCGGGGCCTGCAGGACGTGCTCAGGACCAACCTCGGCCCTAAAGGAACCATGAAGATGTGAGGAGAGGGGAAGAATTGACGGGGAAGGGGGAGGCCGGGGGGGAGGGGAAGGAGCGTGGATGCCGGAATGGGCGTGGCCACGTCGATCTCAGCCCACCCGCGTGGCGCTCGAGGGCTGAAATGGCGGCGCGTGCGCAGAGCGCGCCAGTGAACCCCGAGCCGGCTACGGGCTCTAGACTAGCGTGTGCATGTGTGCAATGATTTGGTTAGCCCTGCTCAGAGTAGACCCATTGGAATTAAGATGATTTAAATGCTATGCTTTAATGTTGTAACCCGCCCAGAGGAACCTTCGGGTGAAGAGCGAGTAATAAATAAAAGTGGGTCTGCTCCGGAGGAAAATGAGTAATAATATATAGTAATTTATTATTTATGCCCCGCCCATCTGGCTGGGTTCCCATTGTCCAACTCGTCATTAATACTATCGTTATTGATTGATTCCTAATCTCTTCCCCCCCCCCCCTAGAAATGTTGAACTGTAATACTATGGCATCTGCCACTACCCTGGGGGTATGAGGTGAAGCAGAGTCAGGCCATTAGCCTTTCAGGCTCTGTATTGCCCACAGCAGCGGTGGATAGGCTTTCAGGCTTGATGGATTTGCTTAAGATTTTTACTACCTAACATTGAGATCCTCAAGCTATAGAGCCAGAACAAAATATAGAGCTATAGAGCCAGGCTGAGCTGTACACCTAGAGTTAAGGAGCAGGGTGTCTCTGAGCATGTGCTCAGCCAAATAATTTGTTTCAGTACCACAGACTTATCTCATCTTGGACTTCCATTCACAATTGCAAATCTCTTCTTTGTGAGCTGCTGCCATTTGGATGAGACAGCAGTGGGCTTGATGCATCCATAATCTGACTTGACCATATGTGGTGATAATTCACATGTGTCAAGAGTCCCCTCTCTTGCACAACTCCGAAGAGTACTGGAGTCATCTGTTGTTTGGTGAGGCAAAGCAGCTGCAAAGAAAATCAGGAAAGGAACCTGGGCCTGTCTGTTTTCATTTGTGTGTGTATGTGTGTGTATGTGTATATATATATATATATATACACACACACACACACACACATACATACATACATACAACAGGGGTGGGCATAAAGTTTATCTCTGAGCAACTTGCAGTATACTTACTGCTAGCTGCCTGGGCAGCTTGCAGTAGACAAACACATTTCTGACTCCAAATTCTAACAATAGGCAATAAACTACCCACCCCCTTGTGCCTAAATTATACTGGATGGGGGTGTCCTGGAGTGGGTTTTTGTATAAAAGGTCTGAGTTCAGTTTTGGCTTCCAAATAAAATCTTAGTCTTCTAGTTACTTAATTCTAAATGTATGTCTTGCAGCAGGGTCTGGTTGATGGATCTTGGGTGGGGCAGGGGGGAGCAGATCCTGGTCTGAAACTGGAGAGGTGCTGTCAGTAAGCGTCAACAATTGAGCTAGATGGAGAAATGTCCTGACTTGGTATAAGACAGCTTTTTATGTACTGAGTGGAGGGCAGCAATTTTTGGCTAGCCTTTCCCAAAATAGAGGATAAGCCTGTCCGTGGTTGCATATTACCTCCAGTATTGGTGTACTATGCCTCTGAATACCAATTGCTAGGGCATCATGAGTGGGAGAGGCTGTTTGTATTCATATCCTGCTTTTAGGCTTGCCAGAGGCATTTGGTTAGCCATGGTTTGAACAGAATGCTGGTCCTAGATAGGCCTTTGGTCTGAACCAGCAGGTTCATCTTGTACGCAGTTACAAGGACCCACCTGGCCTTTCACAAGTGGGCAGGCAGAGGTGCTTAGAAGCAGCTCCAACATTGCTCCTCTTCCTTCCCAAAAGAAGGACGAGTATCTGGTTGTGGCATGATCCCTTTACCTAAAAAATTGAGTCATTTTGCATATGCTGGCAGCAGCAGGGATGACTCTGCTATAATCACCTCCTGTCCTCAGCAAGAGGAGGCTGGGACCAGAGGGTTGATGGCTGTGCTCTGTCCCCACACAGGCTTGTGTCTGGTGCTGGAGATATCAAACTTACCAAAGATGGCAACGTCTTGCTTCACGAGATGGTGAGTTCTTCCCTCCCCTGGAGTCCACTAAGAACGTAACATTGGCATAATCTGGAGGTTTGTGGTGGTAACTGTAGGCATGAAGAATTGGCAGCAGGTTGAACATAATTGCCCATCAGAGGTTCATAACTTGGAAGATTATAGGCAACCTTAAAACGATGAGGTGTATCCAACTAAGTCCTCAGAGTGCACCCATTTAAATGGATAATCTTGACTTAGATCCATTGATATCAGTAACTTAATTGCATATGACTTTAGTTGGGTACAACCCCAGATGTCTAGTCCAGCCTTTCAGTTGCTGTTGAGCTCTGGCTCCCATCAGCCACCACAGTCAACATTTGGGGATGATGATGGGGATCCCAACAATAACTGGAAGGCTCCTCCAGATTAGGGAAGGGCAGATCTTCTTGAAGGATCACTCTTAGGTTGTGTCTTTTTTCTTTTCTTTGAAACATAGTTTTTATTTTCCTCTTTCAACTGTTTAACATGGTTGCATTGGGATATATCTTTGTTTAGCTCAGAGCATATGAAAATTAACATGCAGTTTTGAAGTGACTGTTCGCCATCAAAGCCTGGTTCCTTCTCTGGTTCGGATCGTGGCATAAGATGCCAAAAATACCTATGCAAGGTTCAGTGTTGGGCTGATGGGAAAGCACACTGATGAGGAATAACTCTTTTGGCTGTTGTTCCCCTTGTACCTCGCAGCAAATCCAGCACCCGACAGCCTCCTTGATTGCCAAAGTAGCGACAGCGCAGGATGACATCACTGGCGATGGGACCACTTCCAATGTTCTCATCATTGGGGAATTGCTCAAGCAGGCAGATCTCTACATTTCAGAGGTGTGTAGCAACTTTCTTAATTTTTTATTTGCCCTTTGCTGGGTTGTGGGGGTTTGTTTGTTTGTTTGTTTGTTTTTTAGGTGCTTGGCTGCTCTTTAGTTTCAGATTAAATAAGTTCACTTACGAGGTTTCATCGTTTTAGTGATGCTGGCGCAAGCCTTTGGATGAAGATGAAATGGATGATACAGGAGGAATTTCTGTGGTAGACTCTGACACTAGAATGTATATTTTTGGAAGGAGCAGAGCTCATCTGTCCGGCATCTTTACTGCGGAGCTGGACTTCTGTGTTTCTTTAGACCAGGGGCCGATGGGAGTTGTAGTCCGAAACAGCTGAAGGGCAGCAGTTTGGGGCAGGCTGCTCTCTTCATACATCTGCTTCTTTGTGGTGTAATCAACAGCTGTCTGTGTAAAAATTTATGGAGCCTTCAAATCCCATTGCACGGTGAACACCCAAGTGAGCTCTGTAGTTCCCTTGGCATAACTCTGTGCTAGAGTAACCTGTGCTTTACCCTCTGCATTGCAAGGAACATACTTCCTTTCAAATGTATTCAAAAGGACAGGACAGTTGATCCTCAGGAGCAGACTTATTCCTTGATGAAAATTTGACAAGATTCTTGCAGGGGAAACTTTTTACTGCCTTCACAGATTTAAAGGCAGGTTTTGATTCTGATCTCCAGGGTCAGTTATGGCAGAAACTGGATGATGCTCTTGTGAAAGGCTTCTTTGCCTTATTAAGGCTTATAAGGATATACCCATTACCCGGGGAATTAGGAAAGGATGTATATTCTTGTCCCTACTCCATTCAATCTGTTTTTAAATGATCTTGTGGATCTGTTACATTGTGAGATTCCAGTATGGCTGATGTCCCCCCCCCTGCTTTGCCCAATAACGCATGACTGAAAATATTGAGAGGGTGGTGGAAGTGTGCAGAAAATTTTTAATTGTTTGCTTTGGTGTTAGGGTTTGCACCCTCGAATAGTCACGGAAGGGTTTGAAGCTGCCAAGGAAAAAGCCCTCCAGGTCTTGGAGCAAGTCAAAGTGGTCAAGGAAATGGACCGGGAGACTCTCCTGGACGTGGCCCGGACCTCCCTCCGCACGAAGGTCCATCCTGAGCTTGCCGATATCCTTACAGAGGTGAGCATTCAAGAGCCCTCTTAGTTTTCCGCTTCAGGAGAAAAAGAGGTGAGCTTTCATGTTTTGATTGGAAGGAGAGCAGCAGTGGAGGCTGGTCCATTAGGATGAGGGGGGAAGGGGTTGCCCCACCAGCCTCTACTCAGCCTGGCCACACCCGCCGGCCTTCTTACCTGCAACCAATCAGGAGGTGGCTCTGCCTCTCATTGCCTCTGGCTCCACCTACCATTGGTGTTCTGGCCTTCCTCCCAGTCTTATGGCCACCAGCTCCCTCTGCATCAGCAGAGGGTAGATATTTGGGGAGAGGCTTGCTAGGTCTTGGAGTGGCCTTTGATAGGGGCTGCTTTTTCTCTTTCAAGGCCGTCGTAGATGCCATTCTGGCCATCAGAAAACCAGAAGAACCAATAGACCTGTACATGGTGGAGATAATGGAGATGAAGCACAAATCTGAAACAGACACAGCGTAGGTACAATGGAAGGGGTCTGTTCCTTAAATCGTTCTTTACATTTCTTCTTCCACTGCCTTCCTACTGAAAATCACACAGCTGCCACTGTGTTGCATTTTCTGCTGCTGAGGAGATGGCAACGTGCTTAACACTTTCCATGTGGCAAAGAGACCGAAGGCATATATGCTGTGGCTAGCAGCCTCCCCTTAGTCCGTGCCAAGGATGCCATTCTCCAAATGGTCTCAGTTAGAGGTTCTGAGCTGTGAGAGTCAAACTGGCGTAAGCTTGAGGGCATGGGTGAATTCTGTGTTGGCTTTGACAGTGGCCAATGGAGTCAGACACCATGCAAAATGAAAGTTCCTGCTGTGGACACTCCTAGCGGTATGCTGCATATTTGGTAGCCTGCCCAAGTCTGGAATGGATACAGGTCTAAATTGTTTGCCACGTATTAGGAGTCAGGGTGGTAGTAGAAAGCAGGTGGCTGTGCATAGAATAAACAAGACACAAAGTTTGTTTTAATCAGTTTATGATTTGATGATTCAAACACAGAGTTGGAAGGGACCCAAAGTCTTTGTTCCTACCTAGGTATTTGGTTAAATTGGAAATACTAGTTGTTGTTGCTGTTGCTGTAGTTTTGCTTGTTTACAATAGAATTGTCTAGCTGTTTATTGGTCATATTTAAATTATTTTGTAGTTAGTGTGTATTGTTCTCCTCTGTTTATTTTTATTCTGTGTTTCCCTGCTCTGGGATTGGAAACATTCAGTGAAAAGCAAGAAAGATGATATTGGAGGGGAGGGGAGTTTCCTTTGTAATATGACTTTTCCTTAGACCAGCAGAATTAAATATCAGATTAATTAACCTAGGACAAAATTCTCAATAAAATACCGTAATACGTGAAATAAAATAAAAACTGCTTCTTAACAGGCTGATCAGGGGACTTGTCTTGGATCACGGCGCTCGCCATCCAGACATGAAGAAGAGAGCTGAAGATGCTTACATTCTCACTTGCAATGTATCACTAGAATATGAAAAAACGTACGTATGCGATGAGGGTGGCAGGCTTAATTGGCTGTAGGCTGGTCTGGTCTTCACATTCATGGGAGGAGATTTTTTGCATCATCTGAGTGTGCTTCCACCTATGTGCTTACTGGGGTGAGTTTCCAATCATGTTTTTTCTGTTCCCAGAGAGGTGAATTCTGGATTTTTCTATAAAAGCGCAGAAGAAAGAGAGAAGCTAGTTAAAGCGGAACGGAAGTTCATTGAAGATAGAGTGAAGAAAATAATAGACCTGAAAAGAACTGTGGTTGGAGAGACAAATAAAGGTTTTGTAGTAATCAACCAAAAGGTGAGAGTTGGGAGTGAGGAGCTCAGAATTGATTGGGACAGTTTTCTAAGAATAGACCTCTCATTGCATTAGTTGCCTTTCAAACTACAATCTGTAACATTTCAAAATAAGATTAATTTCTATTTTTTCAGGGAATTGACCCTTTTTCCCTAGATGCTCTTGCAAAAGAAGGAATCGTCGCTTTGCGCAGAGCAAAACGAAGGAACATGGAGAGGTCAGTTTCTGGAAGGGTGGGAGGAAACATCTTGGGCACCAGTTTTATAAAGTTCATAAGATTTACCTACTACTTGATTGTGCAAGCTCTCAAAGCAGTTTACAAAAAGAATAAAACAAGATTTTTTTTAGAAAAATGAAACAATAAAAAAATTAAAATCAACAGTAAACTAAAAACATCAGTATTCTAAGTATATGGTAAGGCTTGTGTAAATAAAAATGTTTTTAGCAGGTGCCAAAAAGACAGTGCAGGCACCTGCTAGATGTCAACAGTCGGGGAGTTACAAATATGGAATGGATATTTTGGGGCACCTGTAACAGTGCCAGTTCAAGAGGGCATATGTGAGAAAGGCAATCTTACAAGTAGATTGGTCCCAAATTACAAATCAGCAAGCAGTGCAGATCTGAGCATATAGTAGTTCTTACAGTGATCGGCTGTTTTGGAAACAATTGAGGGACAGCCTGAGGAAGAGCCTGAGAAAGCTGGTCTTGAGCAGAGTTGGTGGAAAGGGCCCACTTCTCCCACATGTAGCCAGCTGTCCTGGCTGCTGCTGAGCTGGTCTCTAGTTGGGGAGAGAAGGCCTGATGGAACTGCCATAAGACAATTGCGAAAACGCATACTCCTTGTGCTGGAGTGATGCACAGCAGCTCTGGGAGGAGGGTAGACTTCTCTTGTGCCATGATTCTAAGTGCAATTATAAGACCATCAGCACTGGTTTCAGTGAATCTTTGCTTCCAATATAACTTAGCACTGCTGACTCGTTAGTTGTGTTTAGCCAAGCTGAATTTATTCTTTAGTAGGAATGGGTACCTAGTGCCCTCTAGATGATGTACTGCAGCTCACATCAGGGATGGCACAGTAGTCAGGGATGGTGGGGGTTGGAGTCCAACTCCACCTCTGGGATAGTGCAGGCAGCTTTCAAGAAGCCAATCAACCAGTGTTATTGGTTAGGTTCAACCGTGTGACCTTAAATGCTAAAACATGACTTTTCCCCACTTCCCAGGTTGACTCTTGCTTGTGGAGGCGTTGCTATGAATTCTGTGGACGACCTCTCTGTGGACTGCCTGGGACATGCAGGACTTGTGTACGAATACACACTGGTATGTGTCACCTTCCCCTTTCACATTCCTGGCAACAGTTTTGTTTCTGTGGAAAGTGTTGCAAATTGGGAAACTCCCAAATGAAGTCTCTTAATGCCTTCTGGATCAGTGAAGGCTTCAGTATTTGCTTATGTTTTGCCAAATGGTGGTAAGATTCCCCCCCCCTCCAGTAGTACCTGGATTGCAGCTACACAATTTTGTTTTGTTGCTCAGTTAATCGGAATATGCAACTTGGACCACTGCGTTAAAAATAAATAAAAGCATCTTGGGGAGTATAGTCAGTGGGCTGACTTTGCTGGAGCCTGGTAGATTGTTGTGGCATTTATAACACTCAAATAATTCATTTCCTCATCATCTTGGCCCCAGGGTGAGGAGAAGTTCACATTCATTGAAAAGTGCGACAACCCTCGTTCTGTAACACTGTTGATCAAGGGGCCGAATAAGCACACGCTGACACAAATCAAGGATGCCGTCCGGGATGGATTACGTGCTGTCAAAAATGCAATTGAGGATGGTGAGTTGGGTATTGGAATCACTTCATAAGGATTTGATGGGCAGGGCATGGTGGGTTAAAAGGGGAAACTTTGATTTTGGTACATCTTCTCTAGCAATGGTGGTGGTGGTTCAATACCTAAGGGGGGAGGGCCCCCCACAAAAGGCCCCAATTGGTGTGGAAATAACAATACGAGTTCTGTATTGTTAATAATATAAGAGAGTGTCCAAAACATGTAATTTGAACAGTTCTGTGCAACCCCCTGTAAAACAACAGCAGAATGTTACAATTGAAAGGAACAAACATATAATAGTCAAAAGGATGTACATGTTGCCTTGAATTCAAAGCCAATGCGGTGTTTAAATGCTGTGTCACATTGTCCTTTTTGCAGGGTGTGTGGTCCCGGGTGCCGGAGCCGTGGAGGTGGCTATAGCTGATGCCCTCGTGAAGCATAAGCCCAGTGTGAAAGGAAGAGCCCAGCTGGGAGTCCAAGCTTTTGCTGATGCTCTGCTTATCATTCCAAAGGTCTGCTTGATGGGAAAATAAATCCATTTAAGGTGTTAAATTTTCTACCCAGTGGTTAACGCAGCTGGGCTGATGGAAGTTGCACCTGGACTGCACCAGGCTGGCAAAGGCTGGGTTAAGGGGAGAACCATCAATATAATCTCCCAAAGGTGCTCCAGTTGCAGAGGGAAGAGAATGCAGCTGGAAGGGCAGGTTAAAAGGAAGACGAGGACAGATAGAAATCTGAAGTGTCATGAGTGTTGGCAGTTGTGGGGAGAAACCTGAATTTTCTTTGTGTTGTGATTCTTTCTCAGGTACTTGCTCAGAACTCTGGCTATGATCCACAAGAAACGCTTGTGAAAGTTCAGGCTGAGTACGCAGAGTCCGGGCAGCTGACTGGGGTGGACCTCAACTCTGGTAAGGGAAAGCGTGCAGTAAAATAGAGGTTGGCTTGATCTCAAGAAGGGTTGGGACCCTGATGTGTTGTTGGAAGCCCTTCTGGATTTCAAACTTGGTGGAAGTGGAGGAGAGGTTGACTGAGGAGCCCCCAAAATGGCTTATTTGACTTTCAAGTATACTTCATGTGGCTCTGAGTTTAAGGAGAAACAAACTCTCACTCAGAACCCAGCCTCTGGAGAGCTGTTCAGAATTCCAGCTCGGTCTAAACCAGTTCATTTGGCATGATTACCTCTGTGGAAACCACGGAGATGGGGTTAGTTTTATGAACTGGTAGCTGCAGTTGGGGACCAGCTCTTTATTTTTTTTAAAGAAACCCAACCCATTTCATGCCTGCATAAAGAAAGTCAAACCGGTCTGTGTGAGGTGTTCTTGACTGTCCAATCTGCAAAGAACAGAGTGAATTCTGAACCATAGAAAACCTGGGCATTGAGGACTATGGCAAATGTCCAATCCCAGATCCAGTCCCCACCATCTCCAGGTAGGATTGGGAAAGGCCTCTATATGAAGCCAAGGAGAGCCGCTGCCAACCTGTGTAGAGCAAAAGTTTTTACTCCTCCCCAGCTCCATGGTTTTGGACCAGTGCTCCTCAACATCTCTGAGCAGTGGCTGTTTGGGCTCATAGGAGCCCCAAGAATGGCTGAAGGGGTTGTAGATCAGCTGCTTAGGGTGGTTACAGTTCTGAACCAGGTGGGCCAATGGTAGAAGTTCTTTGGTGTATGGTTGATCAAGGCCTATAGAAGCCCACTGTTGCCTCCCCACCACCACCTCTTGGAATAAGATGTAGGTCATCATTTAGCTTCTCTAGGCTTTGCTTCAAGTTTTGTGTGCTCAAGGCAGAATTCAACCAAGGCTTCGCAGCCTAAAGCACACACGAGCCTGTGAATAAATTTGTTCAGTCTCCATTACTGTTTGAAGTATGTCAGTCAGCTACAGCATTGCCGTCGCCTTTTTAAACATTTCTTTCTTGTGTTTTCCAGGTGAGCCAATGTTGGCAGCAGCGGCTGGAGTTTGGGATAATTACAATGTTAAAAAGCAGCTGCTTCATTCAAGGTAAATGTTTTTTCAGCTAGCAGAAGTTGGCAGTTAAAAGAAGAAACACTTGGCTTTTAAAGGGCTTGGCTTGCAGTCCTTCACAGATCCGTTGGGCAGTCAAGTCCAGTTGCATTTAGTAACGCTTCCTTTTCAGCAGGCTGGGATGGTTTTGCTCTAGACTTTGCCTGTAGTCCAAAACAGCTAGAGGGGAACCTGGTTGGCAAAGGATGGGGCAAACAAATGATGGGGCTTGGAAGCTTTCAGGGGGTTCTGTGAGGTGGCAAATATGAAGCATACATATCCAGAAGACTGTATGGGAAGTAATATGAAGGAGGGAGGCAGGATGTTGGTTGCATTCCACAAACAATGAAATCTCTCTTCTCTCCCCCCCCCCCCCCGTTTTCTCTTCTAGCACCGTCATTGCAAGCAACATTCTCTTGGTTGATGAAATTATGCGTGCCGGGATGTCTTCTCTCAAAGGCTGAGCTGAAAAGCTGGCTTGAGGGCAGAGTGTGTCTCTTACAAGCAGCCTCTGGAACGAGTTCAAGGTGTCCCCCGTATCCCTCCCTGCACAATTTAGGTGGATTTTCAGGCCAGCACGAGGAATTGGAGCTCTGCCTTTGGGAAATTCTGGCCACTCACAGATGAAAATTGTTAGCTTCTGTTACTATTTATTTTTTACATGCACTGACTGACTTAATACATCTGAAGTTACTGTCTTTCTACCCAATAAACAGTTCTGCTCTCTGCTTCGACTGTAGCAATGTTAATTTATGCCAGTCTGTTCTTTCGTCTCTTGTTCTCAGTAGCTGTCCCTGGCTTCCTCTCTGTGTTGTTGGCAGGAGATTAAGAGTTAAACTCTCTGGCAGGTTCCCCCGCCACCCTCCTTCCAGGTTGACTTCTGACCACTAGCAAGGAGGGTGTTTTCTCAGGTCTTGTTCATATTTTTAGCTGGTAGGGAAGACAATTGCAGAGGTGAATCTTGTCCTCTGGCACTTATCCATCTTGCTCCATGGGCAAATGAGCCTGGTGAAAGATTATTCTGTAATGTATCTCACCGCCTTTGGCATGGAGACAGCTTTCCTTACAGTACCTACCAGAGAATTTTGGCTGCTACCCATTACCTCATGTCAGTGGATGAACGTTCTTTTCAGACTATGGGAGATAAACAGAACCCCAAAACCAGAGAGAGAGGAAGCTTAATGGGAGAGGGCATCCTGGTCCACAGAAAAGAACAGTCTATACCTGATTTTTAAACCAGTGATTCTCAAAGCTGATGGTGGGATTACCTGGGGGGACCTTAAGAATTAAGGGGGTGATGGAAAGCTGATGTCATTGGGTCAAGTTCATTTAACTAGTTTGAATTGCATTTTGAATAAATTGGAATTGTTGAATTTTATAGCATTATTTTCCTTAGTGGATTGTGAGGTTTTCAACCTTTTGGGGTCCACAGCTCCCTTGACCACCTGCATTCTTTCTATGGCACCCCTGTGGGGCTCAGGAGCCCAGTTATGCCACCCTTTGCCTGCAGAGCTGACAGCCTCTCACCCTTTTTTGAACACCCTTCCTTGTGGAGTGTTCCCTCAGCCTTTTCTCCTCTCCCTTCTCCTTGGGATCCCTCCAGGCAACTGCTGCCGCGGCCCCTGGTCTCTGAGCTGCCCCCCTGCCCCAAACCACGGTTTTAAAGGGTAGGCTATGGGGCACCGGGGATGAGTTTATGAAACTGAAGCAATGGGGACCTGAAAAAGATGGGGAGCCACTGGTCTGAAGATTGCTTTCCCAGCAATCAACCTGCTTGGAAGCCCCCAAATGAGGATGTGAAAGCGGCAACCCTCCCCTACTCTTTATCCTCAGCAACTGATTGCTCTAGACTGCATTTGCAGCTGAAGGTTCCATTTATGCAGCAACCCTAACATGGCCCAATAGACCTCTCCATCTTCCACATGTTTGCCCAATTTCCTTTTCAAGAGGCCTCAACCAGCGACCACGTGAATCAAAGCATGAGTGGCCATTCATGTATTGATATGATTTGGGGCTCCTCCAGGGCCATTTCCCATCCTTGGGAGAAACATCTGAAGGGCTGCAGGTGAGGCAGTCCTGCCCTAAATGAATGTCAGGATCCCTCCTTAATAGTAAACGTTCTCTACTCACATCCCCCTGGCCTTGTTTTTGTACTGGTATCCATGATCTGTCCAGCTTGCTCCTTGGGGCAGAGACCTTTAATTCTCATGTCATTCCATAAGGCAGCGCTGGGTGGGTGGGTGTCCCATGCAGCCTTTGTTACAATATTTTACTTCAGAGTAAGAAGGCAGAGGATAAATAAAGACAAATGGTATTTTTAATAATATTACAACAAATTTTCAATTGTAGTCTTTCCAGCTTGCTAATAAGAAATCGGCTTCGATTCCAGCATTGCAAGGGGGTTGGAATAGATAACCCTAGGGGGCCCTGTCCAGTTCTACGAATGCTTTGATATCTTGGTGGCTGCCTTTTGATATAGCCCATCCATTTACCTGTTACTAATTTGGAAGAGAGACCTATTAAAAATCATTGTCACTAATAATTCAGGTTATTTATGTATGCAACAACTGGTCCCTGTTTTGTTAGCCCCAAAATGGAAAGTGAGCGAGGTCGCAACCAAAGAGGATTGGCAACTTGAGTTGACATAATATGCAGAACTTGGAGATTTAACATACAGAATCAGAGAGCAAGAAGAACAAACATTTAAAGAAGAGTGGAAGACATTTATTGAATATATGGAAAATATACAGCTGAAAACGCTGGCAACAGACTAGCCAAATATTTTTTGGCGGATGTAAAAGTGGAACACTGATTTGAATTGTGATAGTAAAATATGCAGGGAAAATATGTAAAATGAACAATGGAAAGAGAAGAAGGGAAGTCACTAGATATTTTTTGCAGTTTGTAAAATGTTTATTTGAAATTGTAAAACAGAAAGTTAATAAAAAGTTGATAAACTTTTTTAAAAAAATCCTTCCAAAACAGGGAAGCGGAGTCATGCATTCAGCGCAGTTTTATTTTTTATTGGGGGGAGGGGAGAAAACGAAAAGAAAGCTTCCCACGTGTTCTTTCCTCGGCTGACCCCGGAAGCGATTCCTTGCCTTGCCCTCGGTTCCCTTTGCTGCCTTCAGTGGCAACTCAATTCTGGGCGCGGGAAGGAGCCGGCGGGCGTCTCTCCCGCTCCGGCTGCCATGGCGTACGGACCGGCGTCGAGGCGCCGCGGCGTCGGGGTGTTTTGGGCAGGCGTGATCTCCGCCTGGGCGCTGGCCGGGAGCAGCTCCCAGCAGCCCGGTGAGTCTCCCGCCTGTCCGCCCGCCCGCCCGCCCGACTTCCTCCTCCGGATCGCAGGCAGGAGAGTTTCTCCAGGCTGGTCTTCCTCCTCATCGGTAGACCAATGCCTTGCTTGCCCCCCGGGGGAAGTTGCATGAAACTAATTTCAGCCTTGCAACGAATGAGTATTAGTATTAATATTATTATCGATGGTGCATCTGATGCATGAAACGGATTTCAGCCTTGCAAGGCAATTATTCGCAGTACCTTTATTATGGCTGATGCATGAAATGGATTTCAACCTTGCACAGAAATTATTCTTATTGAAGATGCATGAAACAGATTTCAACCTTGCATAGAAATTATTATTATTGAACCTTCAGCCATGGGGGCTGCTCAGACATGGCTTCATTAGGGTCGCTGAGGTTAATGAGCCTGGTTAGGTGCACTGGGTGTCCCCATCTTCAGGTGTACTTGTGCACCTGTGCAACGCAGGTGTGAGCACACAGACACCGATGCATCAAACTTATTTCAGACTTAGATACCCATCATCTTTCCCTTCCCTGTTTTCAGCCACTGCAAATGGGTGCACTGGAACGATTCCCCCTGGTGCCCTGACATTTAATGGTGTCCCCTGTTGGTGGATGCTAATATAATTCAGGCATATTTTTTTCTGCAGAGACATCATTTCATAGAATTGTAACGTTGGAAGGGACCCAATGGGTCATCTAGTCCAACCCACTGTAAAGGCAGAAATGTAGGAATCACAACCACCATTTTTGTGTGTGTTGACTCTCTCTCTCCCTGTTGATTTACACCCTCCTCTCAGCAGATGACAGTGTGGTGCGGCTGTCTGGTGGGGTGTTCCAAATCGGGGCAGGTTTCTTGGACGGTAAAAAAGGAGCCGGAGCCTTCAGGATAGTCAAACCGTTCCTGATGGACAAATATCCAGTCACCAACAAAGACTTCCGGTAAGGTATAAATCCCACGCTTGCTTGAGGCTGGCTGTGCTCCTGAGTCCGTGGGGATGTGGCGTTGCAAAATTGCAATGATTTCTGTCTCAATAGGACATATAAATAGGACTTCAGAGTGTTCAACATGTTCTGCATACAGTTTATTTTTTATTTCATTTATAAGAGTATTTCTAAGCTGCCAGCTCGTTTCCCATGCCTGTTCTACACTGGCTGGCAGCAACAGGGTGATATTTCCAGCTCTGGCTGAAAACGTCAGGGATTTGAACACGAGACCAACTGCACATCCTCTGCTGCTGAGCTACGAGGGCCCTTCCCTGAAGCCGATATCGAGAAAATTCAAATATTGGCTATATATGATGCTCTATGTAGTTTAACTGTCCAGTGGGAAGTGTTCAGATTAGGACCAGTGTAATTGATGGCAAAAAAATGATGGTGCTTTCCTCTACATTTATAAAATTATGCATGCGGTTGAGAAAGCGGACAGAGAAAAGCTTTTCTCCCTCTTTCTCGTAACAATAGAACTCATGGGCATGCAGTGAAAGTGAATGTGAGAAGATTCAGGACAAATAAAAGAAAGTCCTTCATGCAGTATATAGTTAAACTGTGGAACTCACTCCCACTGGAGGCATTGATGCCCACCAACTTGGATGGCTTTTTAAGAGGATTAGATGAATTCATGGAGGAAGAGAGGGCTATCAGTGGCTACTAGCTGTGATGACCATAGTCTGTCTCCATGGTTGGAGGCAGTAATGTTTCTGAATGCCAGTTGCTGGAAGCCGCAGGAGGGGAGAGGACTCCTGGGCTCAGGTCCTGCTTGCGGGTTTCCCATTAAGGGCATCTGGTTGGCCAGCGTGAGACCAGGTTGCTGGCCTAGATGGGCCATTGACCTGGTCCAGCTGGTTCTTTTCATGATCCTGCTATCTCAGATCTCCCATCCATTAGCCTCCCAGGATGCTTATGGTTGGGAAAACAATAGGTAGAAAAAGAAAATGGGTCAAGAGAGGTGTTCAGATGTGCTGGATGAGAAAAGTTGGACAGTCAATCAAAGCCAGGCTTTGCCGGGGCTGATGGGAGTTGTTGTCCAAAACAGCTGGAGGGCACCAGGTTGGGGGAGGCTGATCTAGGGACTTGTGTCTAAGTTCCTGGTTTGAAAACCAACAGGGAGTTTGTGAGAGACCAGAAATACAAAACAGAAGCTGAGCAATACGGGTGGAGCTTTGTCTTTGAGGATTTCGTCCCCGAAGAACTGAAGAAGAAAGTGACACGGAAACTGGAGGTAGGGGACAGCCCTAGAGACAAACAGTGTTTCTGGTGGGGCCTGAGGTCATGGGGGTAAATGTCCATCATAAGCCTGTTCCTGCAAACAATATGTTTCCTCCCCCCGAAGATTCTGGATGTTGTCCCTCCAAAAACTGAGACTCGCCAAATCCTAAAGTTTCTGCCATGCTATATAAAAGGCTAGCTTGATGCTACCTGCCCATGGTTTGCCCTGCTCTCAAGCCATTGGCCAAGCTTCTGTGATGTCACTAGTAATACCTTTTTCCTAAAACGGGGACATAATTATTGTAAGGGGGGGGAAGGGGGGCTACATTAGCACTGGTGAGATTTTTGCTTTGAACACGCTTTTCTTCCTCCTTTTAGTCTGCCCCGTGGTGGCTTCCTATCGAGAAAGCGTTTTGGAGACAGGTGAGCCTTACATAGGGACAGGGGAATGTTCATCCTTCTATAAGAGTGATGTCACTGAAATGGTCCATGTTGACATCCAAGGAAAGGGAGTAAAAAGTGGCCATTAGCTGGAGCCCACAGATCAGCATAGAGCCTATATTTGGAAACCGCTTCGAGGCTTTTCAAGCGATGTATGAACTCTGTGAAATAAAGAAATAAAAATGTCACAGTTCACAACCTGACACACCAGATCCATATTTCCATCCACCTGTCGCAACAAGTAAAAGAACGTCCTTCATGCAATGCATAGTTAAACTTTGGAACTCCCTCCCACTGGAGGCAATGATGGCCACCAACTTGGATGGCTTTAAAAGAGGATTAGGCAAATCCATGGAGGAAGAGAGGGCTATTGATGGCTGCTAGCCAGGATGGCTACACTTTGCCTCCACGGTTGGAGGCAGTGATGCTTCTGAATATCAGCTGCTTAAGCCACAGTGGGGGCGAGTGCTCTTGTGCTCAGCTCCTGCTTGCAAGTTTCCTAGAAGAGGCCACCGGTAGAACAGGATGCTGCAATAGATGGGCCATGACAATGTCAGGCGATTGACACTTGTCAAAGTTCAAGGGAGGTTGCTTTAACTTGCACCCATCTGTCAGTGTCAATTAGCTGATTTGTCAGTTACAGGGAGCCCCTCTGAAGTCTCTGCAGAGGGGAAATTGCTTCCCAAAACAGAACTTCCCCCCCCGAGAAATCAGTTTGTCTTCAAAGTGCTGGAGGAAGCTCTTTCAATGCAAGCCACTTCCTCCTCCTCCCTTGGCTACACTAGGAGGCTAGTTTGGTGTTTGCCCCAGAGAGGAGAATGAGCAACAGGCTCGCCCCTCCACCACCCAGATTAGGGCTATGGTTCAGACTTTCTCGGGGCCCCTTGGTCCCATAAACTCCTCCCCAGTGCTCCCTACCCTATAAAAAGCATTGTGCAGAATAGCGGTTTGCATGACCCGCTAAAGAAGATTATAACGCGGTAACATTCAAAACAGTTACAACTAATTGCACATTTACTCAAAAATCCTGCACTTGATCCAGGGATACCAGCTTCTCTGATAGTCAGCGGTGGCCACCATCCTGGGTCTGCGCTGGTGCTCTGTGTCATTGTTCTTTACTGATATTGTGGGCTGGTTCAAGGCCTACTCAGAGGAACCCCAATCAGCCCGCAGGTCCCGGATCTGGCATCAAGGAGAGGCTGGACTTCCCGGTGCTGCACGTGAGCTGGAACGATGCCCAGGCCTTCTGCGCGTGGAGAGGGAAGAGGCTGCCGACGGAGGAGGAGTGGGAGTTTGCTGCCAGGGGGGGCCTGGAGAGTACGTAAGCGAAGGGCCTGGGGTCGCGGTGGCGGCAACTTCATCCAGTCAGCATATCCAGACCATGGGAGAGCAGGCTAAGTTTTTTGGAGGAAAAACCTCATCCAAAGAGACCAGCTTCTGAGCACAAAGCTGGCTCTGAACGGCTTCAGGGCACAGGGAGGAGACAAAAACGAGATTTAGAAGTATTATGTTATTGCTGGCAGCTGTTTTTGTGCCCTAGATTCCTATAAAGTAGGGCAGGGGCTATTTTTTCTCCCCTTTCCTCTCTGTCTCTCTCTCTTCTACCTCCTTTTCTTTCTCTCCCCTCTCTCTGTGCCACCCCCTTTACCCTCACCTTCCGCCCATTCCATCCATGTGAAATTTAGGCCTTCTAGGACCACATAGGCAGTACAAGTGGCAGCAGATTTGTGAGGGATTCTCTGGTTAAAGTGGGGAGTGTGGCATAAGGAGGACTCCCCCCCCACACACACACTACATGCACAACCGGATTCAGGATCGGGGAATCAATTTAAGTTTAGCCCAAAGGCAGCAAAACCGTTCTGACCATCTCTCTCTCTCTCTCTCTCTCTCTCTCTCTCTCTCTCTCTCTGTATTCAGGCATAAGGGGGGGTGGGTAAGATTTCCGGCTGAGATGCTGCTGTTCCCCTTCTGCATCATCATCAGTCGTTTTAATTTAACATTTTTAGGATAGGATTAAAATCACCCTTTCCTGCTCGCCTGGTTTGATAAGAGAAGGTGGTGTTTGTGTATGTAAACATGTTGGAACTGATAAAACCGGCTTAAAAAATGAGCTTTTCTTTAAAAAAATAAAAATGACCTTTTCTTTTTCCCTCCCTATTTTTTGCCAGACAGGTTGTATCCTTGGGGGAACAAATTCCTCGCCAACCGTACGAACCTCTGGCAGGTAGGAAAACTGGAGAGCGGGGCTTTGGGAACCTTGGTTCCAGCCTTCCCCCAACCTGGTGCCCCCGGCTGATGAGAGTTGTAGTCGGAAACACCTGGCATACAGCCTACTAGTCTTCCATTTGTGTTTTGTCCTGACTCCTATTTATTTATTACATTTATATCCTGCCTTTCCTCTAAGGAGCTCTAGGTGGCATATCTGGTTCTCTCCCCGTTTGTTCTTCAAAACAGCCCTGTGAGGTAAATTAAGCTGAGAGGCAGAGTGGTTGCCCAGCAAGGTTCATGACTAAACGTGGAGGGTGAGGATTTGAACCCTGGTATGTCTGAGGCCCTAGACTGACACTCTAACCACTATGCCACAGCTGGCTGTGAAAGACTGGCCCCTTCTACAGGAGACTCTGTGACTGCAATATCTCCCCAGCCTCCGGGGATTCTTAGGAAAGCAACAAAGCCACACTCAAACTTTGGAACTCCCTGCCTCTTGACATCAGGCAGGCGCCTTCACTGGACTCTTTTTGGTGCCTGCTAAAAAACATTTCTGTTTCGACAAGCTCACCTGGATGTTTAGAAAGCTAATGAAAATTTTAATTCTGTTTTTAGTCTATTGTTATTTCAGCTTTTCGAAAGCCTGAAATGATTGCTGTTATTTTTGCTTATCAATAGCATTACTGTTTTATCATTTTCGTAATCCCCTTTGAGGTGTTTTTTTCTATATGAAATAAAATAAAAAGCTTGTATCCCACATGCCTTTAACTCTGTGGCGTGACCACACTTGGAATATGCTGTGCAGTTTTGGCAGCTGCATCTCAGAAAGCCCCCTGACCATTTCCTGCTTAGTCTAAACCTCTGAACCTTCTGTTTTTATTATCAATAAACAAAATAAGCCAAAGACAAGGAGCATAAGGAAAGACCATTACAGCATGTTGAAAGCAGCATACGGTTGGACATTAACTTGTTGTTACAAACGTTATGAAAAATACAAACGAACCTGGTTTATATGTATAATTTTGCAATAAGTCAATTAATCATAGTTACTGTAAATATTTTTTCTCAATCCATTTGGATATGCAGGCAACCCCCAATCTGTTCCAGGTCATCTCACACAATGACGGAGCACGCATAAGCCACTTCCAGGTCACTGCGATGCATGCGTGGTGCACATCAATAGGATGTGCTTAAATCAGTCATTGCCACCCCCCAATTACTAGCTGTTATAATCTCAGCAGCAGCTATAACATTGAAACACTATTTTTTGATCATTTCCTGCAATAACAGGATAATCAAGCAGAAATATTTTAGGTTCCCAGGGTATATGGTATCCTAACATATCAGAGCTATTAGCCTGAAAGGATTACCAGATTTCTGCAGCTTCTTAACGGACGCAATCCTGAGTGTTTTTTCAAGGCCGGTTCTCACGTTTTGCTGCCCTTAGTTACAACTGAATCGGCTTATGCCCTGGGATGTCCTTTGGGGCTTGTGACTCCAGCTGTGCAACACACACACACACACACACACGAGTATTGAGTGGATGCTCCTTCCCTCTTTCCCCACAGGGCGATTTTCCTGCTGTCGACACAGCCGAGGACGGCTACCATGGGGTCTCCCCAGTGGCTGCGTTTCCTCCTCAGAACAACTACGGTAAGAAAAGTTTATTTATTGCATTGATATCCCACTTTTTCTTCCAAGGAGCTCGAGGTGGTGCACATGGTTCTCCCCCTCCCATTTTACCCTCACAACTACCCTGCAAAGGCTGAGAGGCAGAGACTAGCCCAGGTATCTTCATGATGGCCGAGGGGTGATTTGAACCCTGGTCTCCTAAACCCTAGTCTTGACACTCTAACCACTGTGCCACACTGGCAACTCCTCCTTCTAGACTCCACAGAGCTTCCTGGGATCGCTCAGTTAGTGGAGCGTGAGGCTCTTAAGGTCAGGGATGTGGGTTCGAGCCCCACGTTGGGCAAAAGATTCTTGCTTTGCAGGGGCTGTTGGACTAAATGGCCTTTCCAGCTCTGTTTTTGTGATTCCATACTCTGTTACCAGGATTTGGTTTGAATCTTCCTTTAGCTATCCCACCCACCTGAAAAGCCCTGGCCAATGAGCTACAGTAGTTTTGGTTCCTGAACATGTGCAGAGTGCATTTTCCTCCCCAATGAGCTTCTAGGAGGTCAGCAAGTAGCCTAACCAGCTGCTGTTGCTCTGTATCCCAGGGTTATATGACCTGTTAGGAAATACCTGGGAATGGACAGACTCAGAGTATAGTCCAGAGGGGCCTACTGGGGTCCGCCACTCTGCTCAGGGGATGCGTGTTCTGCGAGGAGCCTCTTGGATTGACACGGTGGACGGATCAGCCAATCACAAGGCTCAGCTGACGACAAGGTAGGTTGGCCCTTGGGCTCCTCATTAACACCGCCCCACCCACCTGCTCCACCCACTAATATTTAGCACTCATTTTGAAAACTGAATGTCTCAGCTGTCCAAAACAGACTCCCGTTTTCTGAATCTGACAGTCGTAACTGAGGTTTCACAATTTAAATCTCTGAAATTTTGGTTTTGTGGGAATGGTTTTTAAAAACACACACAGGCGACATTTCTCCCTGAGGTATTAAGCCACATTCACTTGACAGTAGTCCATATTGCAGTCAGTGGGGCTTACTTCTGAGTAAAATAGCACTGATTCTAACAGGGATGAAGAACTTCGGGGTTGCAACCCTGGAGCGCTGCTGCCAGTCAGTGTAGACGGTACTGAACTAGATGGACCTGATGGTTTGATTCTGTCGATGGCAGCTTCTTACATTCCTATGAATTTGTCTGATCCCCTTGTAGAGCCCTTGATTTAGGTTCATGAGGACGAGGGACCTTCAAAGGGAGGGCTGTGAGCTCAGGGCAGCTGCCTGGCATGCAGAAGGTCCCAGTGGCCTCTCTTAAGTAGCACTGAGAAAAGACTCCCTGGAGAGCCACTGCTGCCAGTCAGTGCCAACAATACTGAGGTGGGCTGGTGGGCTGACTCAGTATGAAGCAGCTTCTTGGGAACTAACCTTTCCCCCTTTCGCTCCTTAGGATGGGGAACACTCCAGACTCGGCCTCGGACAACCTGAGCTTCCGGTGTGCTGCCAGCCTTGCCGAGCAGCCGCCCCCAGCAACTGGGAGCGAAAAAGCAGAGCTCTGAAGGTGCTTCCTCCCAAAAGGAAGGAACAGACCTTTTCTCCCGTGGAGAGACCAGATCCCCGCTTTGGTTCTGGGGAGGAGCCTCTTGTAAAATGAGGTTTAGGAAGGGCTGAATTGATGATGCTGCAAGTTTGAGGCAAAGGTGTCTTCCCCAACCTGGTATCTTTCATATGTGGTCAGACCCTAAGGGTCAACCCTCGGCAATGCAGGAATTACAGCTCTATATCAGAATCATAGTGTTGGAAAGGACTCTGAGGATCATCTAGTCCAACCCCCTGCAATGTAGGAATATGCAGTTGTCCCATATGGGGATCAAACCTACAACCTTGCTGTAACCAACGGAAGGCCACCCAACCTTTCTATAAAAACCTCCCACCAAGGAGAGTCCACCACCTTCCAAGGGAGCCTGTTCCTCTGTCCAACTGTTCTTACTGTCAGAAGTTCTTTGTAATGTTTAGTTGGAATCTCCTTTCCTGCCATTTGAACCCATTGTTTCATGTCTGACCCTCTGGAGCAGCAGGAAATAAGCTTGCTCCATCTTCCACATGGCAGCCCTTCAGAAACTGGAAGAGGGGTCTTGTTTCACCTCTCCAGGCTCAACATGCCCAACACCCTCAGCTGCTCCCTGAGCTTGGCTTCCAGACCCTTCATCATCTGGGTCACCCTTCCCTGCAAATGTTCCAGAGAGGTTGATGGGAGTTTGAGTCCAGCCACGTCCAGAGGGTACCAGATTGTGGGAGGCTGAGCTGCAGAACACTGCAGAATAAACGGATTATAACTTGGAAGCGCACAGAGGCGCCTGTTTTATCATAGGATTCTAGAGTTGGAAGGAGACCAAATGGTCCTCTAGTTGAACCCCCTGCTATATGAAGAACCCTGTAGACGTCGCTAAGCAAGTGATTCGATGAAGCAAGATGTCGCTGTGCAATGAACAAAAGTCCACATCCAATAAATAAAGCACATTTATTCATTCTTAAATCAATCCCTCCCCTAGAAAACCAATCCATTCCCTTCCGTGTGTGCAGCTGTAATAAATAGTCATAATAAATAATTTCACACCCCTGAGCTATTGGGCTGATGCTATATATAGCGGGAAGTGTGGGGAACATCCCTAGCCCTCCAGATGTTGTTGAAGTGCAACTCCCATCAGCCCTGACCATTGGTTGTGCTTGCTAGGGCTGATGGGAGTTGTAGCTCATCAGCACCTTTTCTAAGGCTTGCTGGACACTCACTTTGCCACTGGGCATCACAATACAGACATGAAGCAGCAGTTGTGTTCCAGAGTCCATGGCAGGCCAACCAGAGGAGGCAAAGACCTCCCTCCTGGTCCAGCATCCGTGTTTCCAACGCTGGCTGCACAGACGCCTTCAGGAACACGAGAAGCCGAACTTGAAAGCAAGAGGCAACCCCAACTCCCCCTGCCCAATCCCATTGTTTGTGCCCTATGATCTGGTATTCTGAGGTATACAGCCTCTGACACTGGAGGTTCCATGTTTATCTCTTGCCACTCACAGCTCCTGGAAAACCCCATGCATTTGTCTAGTCTTAAAAGATTTCTTGGGGCAGCAAATTCAATATTTCTAACAGGTTTAAGGGCCTTGGGACTCCTTTCCATACAGCAGCTTCTCTGCCTCATTTAAGCAGCCATACACTGGGGGTGAAAAGAAGCTTGCTTCACCTGTTGAGTTTCTCCAGAGGCCCTGTTGAATATTTTCCTGCCATGCACTCCTTTTTACGTTGCATGGAGATGACCCTTCAGTGGCTGGAGTTTACCGCTTCAAAATTGTTAACAGAATCAGAATTGTGAGCTGGAAGGGGCCACAAGGATTATCGAGTTCAAGCCCCTGCAATGCAGGAATATTTGATGCCTGCATTTAATTTCTGAGTATATATCGCCTTGCATATTTTTGTCTGCCACTCTTAGGATGGGGCTGGATAAAGATTTAAACAATGTCCCACCCTACCCCCCCAGTCCAGGAAGAAAAACCAGACAAAATTCTGCAAGTTTCTAGAGCACTACTATACTGTTATAATTTTGGTGTGTCTCAGACTGTGTAATTAAGGAAAGTATATATAATGAGAGCATGTGGTATAGTGGTTAGATTGCCAGACTAAGACTTTGGGTTCAAATCTCCACCCCAGCTCAGCCATAAAGTTCTCTGGAGATTGCTCACCCTAGCCTACCTCACAGGGTTGCAGGGAAGATAAAAATGGTGAGCAGGAAGTGTTGCTGAGCTCCATGGAGAAAAGGCAATATGAGTTGTTGTTTTTAAAGTAAATAATAAAGTTTTGCTTTAGCTGTTAACATGCTGGGAGGCTTCGCCTGACCACCGAGCGTGCTGGAACTCAGAACAACTCTTCCTCGGCTGCCAAGCTGAACAGAACAGCCTTGGGAGTGTTTTCAAAGAGAGCAGCCCGGTTCTGGGCTTCACCCTTCTTCACCCAGTGCCCATAGATCCGGAAGGCGCAAGCGTCGATCAGTTTGCGGACAGGCTTCAGGCTGTAGGGGTCCCGCTGCAGCACGTCCCTGGTGATGGGCTTGACGTTGCGGTAGTTGAGGTAGATGCGGACCGATGCCAGGACAGTCAAGCAGATGACCTGGAGAAGGAGATGGAACATGTTTAGAAACTCAGTGACAAGGGCTGCAGGCTGATAAAATGAAAGGACAGCACATAGTTAAACTGCGGAACTCACTTCTGCAGGAGGCAGTGACGGCCACCAAATTGGATGGCTTTAAAAGAGGATTCGGGACGCGGGTGGCGCTGTGGGTTAAACCACAGAGCCTAGGACTTGCCGATCAGAAGGTTGGCGGTTCGAATCCCCGCGACGGGGTGAGCTCCCGTTGCTCAGTCCCTGCTCCTGCCAACCTAGCAGTTCGAAAGCACGTCAAAGTGCAAGTAGATAAATAGGTACCGCTCCGGCAGGAAGGTAAACAGCGTTTCTGTGCGCTGCTCTGGTTCGCCAGAAGCAGCTTAGTCATGCTGGCCACGTGACCCGGAAGTTGTACGCCGGCTCCCTCGGCCAATAAAGCGAGATGAGCACCGCAACCCCAGAGTCAGCCACGACTGGACCTAATGGTCAGGGGTCCCTTCACCTTTACCTAAGAGGATTAGACAAATTCATGGCGGAGGAGAGAGCTATTGATGACTACTAGCCACGATGGCTATGCTCTGCCTCCACAGTCAGAGGCAGCAATGCTTCTGAATACCAATTTCTGGAAGGAGGGTAGTATGCTCTTGTGCTTGGATCCTTCTTGTGGGTTTCCCAGAAGCGGCACCTGGATTGGCCACTGAGAGCAGGATGCTGGACTAGCTGGGCTGTTGGCCTCATCCAGCAGTCCCTTATGTTTAGGGAGCATTTCATTGACTCATCGCCTGTCTTTTGACTGAGGAATCTATATCAATTTAACTGCTTTGAAATGATCTTCAGCGTCAATAATTGACTTTTGGGAGGGGGAAACCTGTTTATGTCAGGCCCAGCTTCTACAGAGGACATCTGTACTAGGTTTAGACCAGTCTTCCCCAAGCTGCAGTCACCAGCTGTTTTGGACTCTCAACTCCCATCAGCCTCAGCCAGCACAGCTTTATGATGCCTGGGGAAATGAGAGTTAAGTGATAAAAAGTACAAGGAGGAGCATCCAGTGCACAGCAGGCCATGTCATAAAATTTTAGTGTTGGAAAGGATCCCAAGGGTCATATTCAACCCCCAGCAATGCAATAATCACAGCTAAAGAAGGGGGAAAGGACTGCAATTCTACGGTGAAAGGCAACATCTGGGAGTCAGACACTGGGCCAGGTGAGCCCCCCAGCAGGACCTGGCTAACTCCCTTACCCTGAATTTCCGGAAGGGGCTGAAGTGTCGGACCTCCTCCACGACATACTGCTGGAAGAAGGGGTGGGCGAGGGCGTCTTCCACGGTGTAGCGGTGTTGCGGCTTCACCACCAAGAAGTGGGCGATCTGTACGCAGAAGAAGAAGAGCTGGGGTTGGGCCGCAGGAAGGCTTCAGGGGCTGCTAAAGCACAAACTGGGGCCCGGACAGTTTGCCATCTGCCCTGCGCCAGTCAGAGCTCACTAGCCGCAGATCATGGCCTGGCACATACCTAGCAATCAAATTCTCTTCTCTTCTTTTGCTTGCCTGATGATAAATTGTTCAGGCCTTGAATGAGGGGTCACCCATGAGTTTTAGAGACAGTGGACCCTTTCAGACTGTCTCTGTTTTCAAGGGGGATTCAATTGCACCCCAGAAAATTCAGGTGGTGTAGTTAAAGGTCTGGCATTATGAGTGTGGAAGGGGAAAAAAAACTCAATTCAGTTTCTGCACCCTGTTTGTAATTGTTCTGACCTCTGTTCTTTCAGTTGTCTTTTCTTCCTGAGAGTCAGGAGACCTGGTAAGTGAATATAGGAAGCTACCTATACTGAAAATAAAGGAAGATTCTCGTCCTCTTGATTCTAAACAAAGGGCCAATTTAAATAGGAAGCTGCTTATACAGTCAGGCCATCTAGCAGCGCCAGATATAGGGTGGTGTGGGCGGTTCCCCCACATGGGGCACCAAGCCAAGGGGGCTAATAATATAAGTACCTACTCCCAAGTACAAAAAGGAATTATTGTGAAAATAAGAAATATATGGACAAGGGGCCACCAAATGTTTTCCTTGCTCAGGACACCATGTTACCAAAGTCTGTCCCTGCATCTAGCTCAGTATTGTCTACACTGACTGGCAGTGGCTCTTTGGGTTTCAGAAGGGGGGCGTTCCCCACCCTATGGAGATGAACCTGAAACTTTCTGCATGCAACAAATATGCCCCACCACTGAGCTACAGCCCCTTCTGCTTAAACAACAAAATATTATACTTTAAATCTGTTGTTCACAGAAACTTAGGAAGCTGCCTTATATGCAGCCAGGCCATTGGGTCCACCTTGCTCACTATCGTCTGCACCAGGCTTCCTCAACCTTGGCCCTCCAGATGTTTTGAGACTACAATTCCCATCATCCCTGACCACTGGTCCAGCTAGCTAGGGATCATGGGAGTTGTAGGCCAGAAACATCTGGAGGGCCGAGGTTGAGGAAGCCTGGTCTACGCTGAATGGCTGCAGCTCTCCAGGTAGAGGGGCCCTACCTGGAGATAGTGTGGGTTGAAGCTGGGGCCTTGTGCATGCCAAGCAGATGCTCTGCCACGGAGCTATGGCCCTTCTGCCCTCCCTCTTGAAACACCACCCACCAGGTCCTTGACGGTGTCCGACTGATCGTCCCACTCCGGGGAGCCGAACTTGTAGTCCCCGTTCATGATCATCCTCAGCATCAGCATCTGCTTCCGGTGCCAGAATGGAGGGGATCCTGCCAGCAAGGTGTACATGATGACCCCGGTGCTCCACCTGAAACAAGCAATCCCACCCCCATAATTAAATGCATCTGCGCCTGAGCCGTGCATAATGTAAAGCAGATGCAACGCGCACCGAGAGTCACACAGAATGAAGGATGGATGAAGACAGAAGTGTTGGGTAATTCCAATAGTGTGCCGGTGGGTGGATAACAAGGAGGGAGCCAGTCTGGCCTCTTTGGGGAGGGAATGCTGCAATCTGGGAGCAGCCACGGAGAAGGCTCTCTCTCATGGGTCACCACCAGCTGTGCTTCTGATGCTGATGGGATCAAGAGAAGGTGCTTCCCTGAGTACCTGAGCACCCAGGTAGGTTCCTCGAGGGGTTTGTGATCTTTTAGGTAAGTCTGCTCCCCCACCCCATGTTGATATATTGGTTCTGCTTACATGTCAACTTCCTTCCCATAACCTGGATGGTCTGGATCCATGGAACATTCTAGTATTTCGGGAGCCAAGTAGCCAGGAGTTCCACAGATCTCTGCAAAGAAAAGGAATAAAAAGCTAAATACTTGTTAAAAGTAATATCAGTTAGTATTAATTATTATTAAAATCCTGCTAAACCCATTGGCTCAAAGCAAGTTAAGAACCTAAGAACAGCCTGTTGGATCGGGGCAAGACCTATCTAGTTCAGCATCCTGTTCTCACAGTGGCCAACCGGATGCGTGTGGGAAACATGCCAGTTTCAGGATTTTTTGTCTAGACAGATGCTGCAGGACTGTATGATTCTGGGCTTGTAAAATGGGGAAGGGCTTTGACTCATGGTTTGCACAGTGAGGTTTTCCAGGCTCAATCTACAGCACCTCTAGGTAAGTGTTTGGAAAAGACCCCTGTCTGAAACCCTGGCTGGCCAGTGCTCACAGTACTAAACTAGATGGACTCAGTATAGAGCAGGGATGGGGAACTTCTGGCCTTGGAGCAGAAAGCGTTTCTTAGAACTAAGGCTGTAGGAAGGAATTTATTTCTGCTCCGCTCTCTACACAGCATGCAACACTGTTTCCCTTCTACTGCAGTTCACCTTCTGGCAAAAACTACATTATTCATCTCTTAGCAATGGCAAAATTTTACCTAATTTCACACCATTCATTTCAGGGCAAAGGAACACAATGCAAATTAGCGGGAAATTCATCAACAATACATGGTTTGGGGGCAGAAAACAGCAACAGGGAACACCAATAATGTTTGTTGGATTTGTTCCCATTCTGGACACAAGATGAATAAAACAAACATGCAGCAATTTCCCTCAGAGTTCTCTGGCCTCCCTTAGGAGCTGTGCCATAACTTTGAACTTTTCTCTTTCCAAGCTGTGACACTTTAGAATTTACAGTTTCTATTCTTTGTTTTCTTTCTGTCTGTCACGTTTGCACTTTATTTTTGTTAACAAATCAAATAATAATATAAAACCTTTTGCTTGCTTGGGTACAATGGTGAATGTGTGTGTGTGTTTAAGTTTCCATATTGTACCAAGGTAAGAGTCCCACCCACTTGCTCCACCCACTTTTTGCTCCACCTGCTTTTTGCCTCTGGTCCCACCCACTCCAGCCAGTGGCCCCCTGGTGGTTTTCCTGTAAGGGAATGTGGCCCTTGGGTTGAAAAAGGTTCCCACTCCTGATATGGAGCAGCTTCCTAAGTTCCTACTTTTTTTTTTAGGGGGCAAGGGTTAGAATGCAGTCTCCACCATCAGCACCCCACAATTTCTTATCTTTGCCATAAGCCCGCCATGTCACCTTTGAGCTTTTCGTCTCTGTGCAGCTGACAGGAGAAGCCAAAGTCGGTCAGTTTGATGTTCATGTCATCGTCCAGAAGGATGTTCTCTGGCTTGAGATCCCTGTGGACAATGTTCATGCTGTGGAGATACTGGATGACTTCCAGGAGAGCACGCATGATCTTCCTGCAAGGAGAGAGAGCGGACGCTTCTTAGCAAAAGGAAACCATCCAAAGGAGAAGATGGGCACCCCTGTTCTTTATTGCTTTGCTGGAAGTATGTAGATGCATGGATGGATAGATCAGGGGATCCTGTCCGGTACCCTCCAGATGTTGCTGGAATCTCCCATCATCCCTGACCATTGGCCATACTGGCTGGGCCTGATGAAGTCCAGCAACATCTGGAGGGCACCACATTGCCTAACCTAGAGAGAAAGAGAAACATAAACAATTCAATATTTTAGTGTGGCAGCACCAACAATTTGGAACTCCCTACCTATTAACATCAGGCAGGTGCCTTCAATGTACTCTTTTTATGCACCTTCTTAAAACATTGATTAGATAACCCTAATTTGTTCAGAAAGCTGGCACGAGTTTTAATCTGTTTTTAGTCCATTGTTATTTTACCTTTTCAAAAGTCTTAAATTATTGTTAATTCTTCTTATTGGTAATTTTATTGTTTTATCTATTTTTGCAAATCGCTCTGAGGTTTGTTTGTTTTTTGTACAACCAAGTGGCGTATAAATTTTATGAAATAAATTAAATAAATATATATACACAGGCTACAAAAAGTGAGGCTAGAGGGAAATGAAATGCACCCTAAATTGATAAGGAGAAACAGATAAAGTTGCTATTGTAGTATACTTCTCTTGTCTTTTTATCAATTTTTTTTTACAATTGTATAATTATAACACAGAAATAGAAATATAAGGCTGTCACCACACAGCCCCATAGGAGGATTTGTAGTGCTAGATTTGCATGAAGTCGAGGTGGGGAGCAAAAAGAGAAGGCAGGTTTTAAAATGGTGGCTTTCAACAACAGGAGAGATTTGAATAAAGTAAGGATGGAGGGACATGAGATGCTCTGAGGAGATGGGGGAGTTGGGTGGGAGTTGGCAAGCAATGTGAGCAGGGAAGCAGCCCCCACCCACAGTTGTTGGTGATAACACAGAGATCCTGGCATTCCAGGGAACAACCCTTTCTAATCAATCCTGTCCAAAGATTAATTCACAGGACACTTGTATTCAGAGCAAATCTGTTCTCTCTCTCAGGCTCAGACCCAGACTTCTTATTACAGCGGTTCGTGTCTCTAGAAAACCCAACTCCCAATATTTTGCCATGCTCTGGTGCGAGCAAAAAACCAGACCTGGGGTGCAGAGGCAGGGGGATAGGTTGACAACTCTAATCAAGCCTCACAACAGCCCTGTGTGGTAGGCCAGTATTATCACCCCTATTTTGGCTCTGTAGGGTAGTTGAAACAGAGAGGGCTGAAATGGCTTACCTGGTTTCCTTCTCACTTAAGGTCACCTTCTCTGTGAGGTAATCAAAAAGCTCCCCTCTCTTCATTCTAAGTTGAGGGAGGGGATACAAAATTACATCAAAAATAAGCTAAATAAGAAGCAAAGGGCATTAGCTGATGTGGGGAAGGTTGAAGGCTTCACAACTCCTCTTTCCCTTTTTACAGATCGAACAGCACTCCTAAAACTTCCAATGTATACTTCAACTGTATACAACTCCAAATCGCAGGGTTTTGGGGTGGTTTTTTTTAAGCCTGTAGTCCTCATGGTTCAAAAGATAAGCTTGGTCAGAAATGGGGATATGGCCTAGTAAGATCTCAGCCAGGAGACGGACCAAGAAGAATTCCACAGGTCAGGATACATATTTAAAGCACTCATGGGAATCAGAATTTCTTCCAGAAGATACATTTGGATAAATTCTAATGACTGTATCATTATGAATGAATTATGGTATATGCTTTGACAGATAATAGATATGTGAAGAGAAGTAAGAAAAAGTGTGTCTGAAAAGGATGTTAGGAGAATTTGCTTACTCAGAGTGCATTAAAAATGTATCAAGAATGTTTGTGCAGGAAAAACTCCGGTTAAAGCAGCCACCACACCAGCTATTACACAAGTGCGGGGCGGCTAAAAATAGACCCCCAAGGATCTGTGACAGCAGCAGAGACCTTAGCAAAGGTTATGGGGAAATCTGAGCCAGCCCCACAACAGAGAGGCGGAGAGACGAACAGCTGCTCCCTTCATGCCATGGGAACGTTTATCGTTGACCATTGCGAGAAGCAAGAGGCTTGGCTTAATGAACCTTTGCTCTGATCCAGCAGGGATCTTCTTAGATTTCAAAACAGGTGACCCACTAATATGGTGACTCGAGCCTGTATGCAGGCGAGTAGCTGCATTTTTCACTAGCTGAAATGCTCCCCAAACCATTTCCAAACATTATATTGTTTGTAAGCCTCAACCTGGATGCCCATGGCAAAATCTCGCTCTTTCAGTATGATGCGTTGGTTAAAAAAACACCAGTACTTACAGGTCAAACACCAGGAAGAAGAACGTGTTGGATTCAAAGCTGTCCTTCAGCTGGACTGCAAAAGAAAAGATGGTATTCTTAGCAATGTGGGATCACCTCTGAAGCACTCACCACCTCCACAAAATCTGGACTTGAAAGCTGAACTGGGCTGGGAGGGCTCTGGACAGCTCTTTTTACAAACTGTTCTATACCACTCTAACGTTGATGATGTCTTTCCTTCAAGATATCCTAGGAACTGTAGTTAAAAATCAGTGCGGATATCTGTGCAAGATCAACCGGGGAAGCTGGTTATTATCATTTCTGACCCAGTGTAAATTAAACTTTTAAAAGCTGGCATCACTAGATCAGGTCCATTCGTTTTGTTGTATTAGTTAAACTAAATAGCTTTAATTGGATTTTGAATAAATGTGCAATTCATTGTTTTGAATTTTATTGTGATGGCCTGAAAAGGTTTGGGAAACTCTGGTCTAGATCACTTTACTGGCTCTGGCCCAGATATGAGACTGGGAAGGTCCTTCCTGCCCCCTGCTTTCCAAGGCCATTTCATTGGAGATCCCTGAGCAACGGTCCATTGTACTTCAGCTCCTGCTCTCCCTCACCTGTCATCTGGGGCCAGCCCCACCACCAGACTGGTCATGTGACCTCCTGGGGTTGATGGGAGTTTGAGTCCAGCCTCATCCAGAAGACCACAAAGCATAATTGTCCCCCAAGGATTGAGGCCCCTGATGTCTAAAAGACCCCCTTTTCCCCTACAGACCCTCTCAGGTGTTAAGCTCTGCAGAGGGGACCCTAAGAGGTATGGGGAATGACAGCCTGGGACAGGGCTTTCTCTGTGGTAGCCCCTAGATCGGGAAACTCCCTCCCCACAGATGTGCATCTAAGCACCTTCACTGTAGAACAGATTATAATTGTCACACACCTCACGGTGAATGGCAGGTATGAAATAATTTAAATTAAATTAAAATGGTGCATAAATAGCACATTGGGAGAGATGTGATCATATAAGGAAAGCAATAGATAAATTCCACTGTGATGCCTGTAAAATGTTGAAATGTATGTTTGTTTTAAAATCCTTCGTGGATGGCGTGACTCAGGCAGGGTGACTCAGCAAAGTCAGTCTGGGACATTTGGGCTGCCTGAGGCAAAAGGCAAGGTTGTTTCATGTACAGAAGCTGACTGGACTGGCAGTTAAAACTTATTTTAACACTGGCAATGGGATGGATGCATAGCTGTAAACTTTTCCCTTCTCTTGCGAGGAATCCTATTCAGAATAAGGGAATTTCCTTTTAAAAAAGTGAAAAGTTGACAGCTATGGGTGGATGTCTCCGCCACACCTGAGGCCAACAAGCTAGTGGTGGCAGAGGGAGACTGGGGGCCAGGGGCAAGGACAGGTCGTATGACATACAGAAGGTTTGCTGGCTACTTAATGGTAGGCCCCATAGCTCAAGGACGTTAGCATACCCTCCAACACTTTGAAGCCAAAATCCAGCACGCCATCTTCCTGTTTTCCATCACACAAACCCAGCGGCCATTTTGGTTGCCTTGACCTCATGTGATTCATGCTGTGGTGCTGTCCCCCAACCCCCAATGCACTTTTTTGGGGCACAGGAATATAGGAAGCTGCCATATATCTCTTGCAGACTATTGACCTAGGTGAGTAATGTCAACACTGACTGTCTGTGGCATTCCAGGGTTTCATAAATTGAGTCTTTTCAAGCCCTACCTGGAGATGCTGTCAAGGATTGAACCCAGGATCTTCTGCATGCAGAGCGGATGCTCTGCCACTGAACTACGGCCCTTTCCCAAAGAATAAAGCATGATTCTAGTCCTCATTGTTCTGATTTGAATAAGAAGATAGAAACAGTCTTATATTCACTCGGGCTATTGGTCTACCTAGCTCTGCAATATCTACAATGTGTGGGTCATTCTTATCCCTACCTGGAATTGCCGCCAGGGATTGAAACTGCTGCCTTCTGCATGCAAAGCAGATGCAGTAACTGAGAAATTGCTGCCATTTCATACTAATGAAAAGCTACCCCTGATCTCTCTGCCTCTAGGTGGTTCTGGCCCTGGAACCAACCGATCCTCTGCTTGGCTGATCCACTGTGAACATGTCTAGGAAATCTTCCAAGGCAGAGGCTGTCAACCCCTTGCTGTCAAAACTCCTTGGAATCAGCTCTGGAATTACAAATGGGTCCCAGAAACACATTAGGCACCTCTTTACAAATGCCATGAGGCAAAGAGCGGATAGCAAGAAGAGGGAAGCCTTTTCCTGGGAGTGCCTGGTCCTCCTTAAGTTATAGCCTGTGTGTTACGGTAATGCTGATTCATCAGCACATCGAAAATATGATAGCTGGGGCCATGTGGGGATCTCGCAGGGGCTGGATTTAAAGCAGGGGGGTGTCAAATGAGAACACCATCTATTACAAGGAGGAAAACCGTGTCCACCATTGCGAATGACCAAGGAAAGCAGAACGAGGAGGGTTTTTTTTGTGGCATGGAAATTTTACTCTCTCGGCACTGCAAATGTCACACAAGGAATCGAGACGCTGCCGCACAGGTGTTTATAACAAGATCCCAGACCAGATTTCCCCCCATCGTTCCTCACACCCATCAATTCATAATTTTCCAAATGCAATTTCTATTCTCATCGAAACATTTTGCACATATGTTTGATTTTACTTAAGTTGCATTGTTTTTATTTTATTTGTTATTCTTGCATGTCAATGAGGTGTGGGTTCTTCTTAAAATTGGAAAAAGGGAAGAAGATGACATTTCAGGGAAATGGGTGGGGTGCCGGAGTTTTTGTCGCATTTATGTTTGAGGAGATGGAGAAGGATTTCTGTGAGAGTTCTTTCTTCCATTCCTCAAACCCAGCTTGTGGGCTTCCCAAAATGGGCTGGCCACTGTGAGAACAGAACGCTGGGCCAAATGGGTCCCTCTGGCCTGATCCAGCAGCCAGGCTCTCCTTATGTTCTTACCCAGAGCATTTGAAACAGCAGCACATTTATCCTGAGAAATGGCGGGACGCAGGGTTCAGAATGATAAAGACAAAGCAAATCCACAGGCATGATCTCGAGGTCTAGGTCCTTCACTTCAGTGAAAATAACAGCCAGCAGACTCCATTTTTTGCCTCCACCCCCCAATTCATAGTTGTTGTTCCGTCAGAACTTTCTGGAACCAAAGCCTGACTTACTAACGTTTGGGTGTCCAGACACCTTCTGGAGTATGTCAATTTCTTTCAGAGTGGCGTCCCTCAACTCCTTGACTTCTTCTGGAGACAGATTCCCAGCTGTGATATCTATGATTTTCACTGCATATTCTTCTCTTGTAACTTTATGAATGCAGCGCCGGACAACGCTGCTCACTCCTCTGGAAGGGCAGAGCAGACAAAAGATGTTTAAGGCAAGAATTAAACCCTATATCTACACTCTATCTACAAATATATAGATACTAGGGCCAGTGTGGTGTAGTTGTTAGAGTGTCAAACTAAAATCTGAGAAAACAGGGTTCAAATCCCACTCCATCCTCAACCAAGAAGCTCACTGGATGCCCATGGGGGCCATCCACTGCCCCTCCCGGCCTAGCCCACCTCACAGGGTTGTTGTGGGGACTAATTCAGGAGGGGAGGGGGAGAACTATGTGCTATGCCATCTCCTTGGAGAAAATGCAATGAAAAAATCAATCCTAATATTACTACATTTGTGTCCTCCTTTTCCTTCAAGGAACTCAATGACAACCATGGGAGGTAGGCTAGGCTGAGAGACAGTGACTGGCCCCCAAGGCCATCCACTTTCAAGTGGGGATTTTGAACCTTTTTGTATTATGCCATACCCTCCAAAGCAGCCATGTTGTGCTATAACCCCTGCCCCCAGCTGCCATTTTGTGTTATGGCACACACTCCCATGGCAGCCATTTTGCATTATGCCCCGCCACAGGCAGCCATTTTGTTACTGGCACTTTCTCAAATTGCCAACCGGTCCAAAAAAAGGTGATTGGCAGGATCAATAGGAGTCCCCTGCACCTGTCAAAGTGGCTGGCCCAGGAATGGGGGAACTCAGGATTGGGCCCATCAGCCAGATCAAGCCCTCCACCCCATGCTATGAAAGATAATATAGTGCATCAACAGCTATAGGCCATGGTAGCTGGATGGAACCTCCATGTCCAATAGCAGTATACTTGAGAACTACAGTTGCTAGAAATAGGACTCTTGTGCTGTGTGTGTGTGTGTGTTATATTGTCCTGGCAAAAGCTTTCCAATTGCCACAGCTGGTTGATTTGACATCCATATTCTGGTTCTGAGGGACATGCAGCGTATTAACCAGCAAGATTAGTCCCATATATTTCATTTTATTTCATTACCTCCCCAGGATTTCCTTTGGCTCATATTTCTCATAAAATTCCCCAGACGTATGGCTGTCCGGCACTTCTTCAGTCTTGGTCATCTTGGCCTGATTTCCAGCAACCTTCTAGAGGTTTACTTCAAGATGACTAAAAGCTGTAAAGAAACAAAGAAGCAAAAACACCCACAGGAAATTAGCTGTCTTCTCCAATATATACCAAATCTTATTGCAGGAGAGGGGATCCAGATGGCCTGGCAGTCAATTGCGGCCCTCTACACTTCTCTAACTGGCCCTCAGGACTCTTCCCAATCCACACACCCCCTTCACAGACCATGCCCCTCAACAGCAGTAATCTGCATCCTCCTCAGGTGTTTTTGCCCGACTGGGATGTGCCCTTGAACTCCGATCATGGCACTTGCCTTACCTGGACAGTGGACAGAGAAAGGGTATGTGTAAAAAATTGCCTGCTTAAAAAGTTAAAATTCACATTCCTTGCTCTGCCCACTATTGCCACTGGCCCAGCGCACCACAGGGCTGTGGCCCTCAAAAAGTTGCTCAGAAGGGAATGTGGCCCTTGGACTGAAAATAGGTTTTTATTTCAACTTTATTATCAAAAACTCCTTGTGTTGATCTTGTATTATTTTGTTGTCACTGCTTGTTTTTTCCATTGTGTGTATAGTCTGTTTTTGTTGCTAGATACAATTTCCAAAAAAAGGTCCCCCATTCCTGACATGGGATGTTGCCCAACGTTAGTCAAATCCACAGTATCCTGAAGGTGCAGTTAGTGCAAAATACTACAGCACAATTGCTGACAGGAGTGGGGTCTTGTCAGCATTTAACGCCTGTGCTCTAAGATCTGCACTGGTTGCCGATTTGTTCCCAAGCCAAGATAAAGGTATTACGATTAGTATACAAAGCCCTTTGCAGCATGCAATATTGCCTTATCCTATATACAAGCCCACTAGACTTCTTCCATCTGCGGAATTGGCATTATTACACATGCTAGGTTGGCATAATTGGCATAATTACACATTACGTTTTTGCAATAAATCAACCTTCTGGTGTGTGGCACCCACACTTTGGAACTCCCTGCCAATTGACACCAGGCAGGTGACTTCACTGCACCCTTTTTGGCACTTACTAAAATGTTTTAGTTTAGGCAAGTCTATCCAGACATGCAGGATGTTGGTGTATGTTTTAATTGGATTGTTTGTTTTTTAAAAGTTTTCAATAGCTTCAATTGCTGATAATTTTATTGTTGTTGTTTTTTTAACTGCTTTGAGGTCTATACCAACTTATCTTGCAGTAATAGGATTGTGTCAAATTGGCCATAGCTGTCAACGTTTCCCTTTTTCTGAATAGGATTCCGCGCAAGAAAAGGGAAAAGTTGACAGCTATGAAATTGGCTTGTAGTTCCCCTTGAAGTCTATGGGACGAATGAAGCCAGTGAAGTCTAGTGAGAGCCATAGTAGTGCAGTGGTAGTGCCGTTTTGGACTAGGACCTGGGAGAAACCGGGTTCAAATCCCCACTTAGCCATGAAGCTCCCTGGGTGACCCTTGGGGGTCAGTTGCTGCCCCTTAGCCTAACCTTCCTCACAGGGTTGTTGTAGGGATTGAGGAGAGGGAGGACCATGTACACCACCTTGAGCTCCTTGAAAGAAAAAGGTGGGATATAATTGCAATAAACAAAAATACATACATCTGAAATCTCATTGGTTTCAATGGGCTCAGCCTTCTATGGGAAAGGAGGGAATCTTCATTCTGCGGGCTCACCATCTGCCTGTTCCTCACCCTTCTCATGCCCTGATCCCCCATACAATTAGACTTGCTTAAAAACAAACAAGCCATTAGTGACAATTGAAGCTTTAAAAAAGCCTGTGGTCACAACTGAACGGCACAGAAGGGGAGGGTTAACCTTCCCCTCGTTTTGTGCTGTGACACAAAATCACACTCCCACCCGCAATTGTGGCATGAGGCATCAAAATAGCCTGCCATTGGCTCTGACAGCCCAGTCCACCTCAGGACATAATCCTTGGAGGCATGCGCGGAGTACAAGCCTCTCATTCCTCTGATACCCACACAGGCAGCTCATATGCATTTGGGTTTTAAAGCAAGCAGCTTTGAGAGCTTCAGGGTCTGACCTCGGTTCCAGATGTCTCGGGGACTAACTGTGATTTCCGAGCAGCGAGGAAAAAGCCACACTCTGGACAAGCTGTGCTCTGCTTTAGTTCAAGCTGAACCCAAGTGCAAATTCAGCTCTGCTTCCAGGCATACTCAGCCCCACCCCAACAAACACATTGTCTTAGAAAGTAATCATTACACCTGCATAAACGTAGGATGGTCTCCAACTAAGCCCTACTCAGAGTAGGCCCCCTGGAATTAATGGGGCCGTGTATATCATGCCCATCATTTTCAGGGAAGGCTGTCCTGAGTATAAGAAATGCCTTGTCCCCCCCTCCTTAAATCTCTTTGCTGAACAGGAACAATTTCTGGACGAAGTAAACTGGTACTCACCATTATCTTCCTTTCTCTCAAACTGTTCACTTAATCCGGCCTTAGGAAATGCCTTGTGAGAAAATCCGGCAGGCAACTCCAGAAACAAATTGCCTCGATTATGTTGAGGCTACTACAAACCAGCCTTCTGCATTCTCTGTTAATTTGCTGTGGGCGCCGTTCCGCCGCTGCGGGAACACCAATGCCCAAAATAAAAATGGTCATGCAACCTGGGAGCTGGTCCAGCCCTCCGGTTTGAGCATGCTGAACTGCTGGAGTGTTTATTTAGGAGTGACCCTGCTTTGAGGTGAAGGAGCAGCTCAGCAGAGGCAACAACACTCTCTGAGTTGCTGGAGTGACACTGAACAGAGTGGTCAAATCCTCACCTCTAAAAGGATACTGTAGAGTTGGAAAAGGCTCAGGAAAGGACAACTTGATCATTCATCATGGGGATGACGTGGGTCCCTTAGAAGATTTTGCAGCATTGGGACTTTTTTAGTTTAGAGGAGACATGATAGAGGTGTGTAAAGTTACACATGGCATTGAGAAAGTGGGTTGAGAAAAGTTTTTCTTCGTCTCTCATAAGACTAGAACTCAAGGGCATTTAATGAAGCTGAGTATTTCATAAATGAAAGTTCATGCAGAGCATAGCTAAACTATGGTACTTGCTCCCACACGAGGCAGTGATGGCCCCAACCGAGTTGCTGGAAGCCACAGCAGAGTTTGTGTGCTTGGATCCTGCTAGTGGGTTTCCTGCAGGCACCTGGTTGGCCACTGTGAGAACAAGATGCTGGACTGGATGGGCCATTGGGAAGGCTTTTCTCACGTTCCTAGAGGGTCACCCCAAGGAGAGAATTTGGCACACAAGGTAAGCTGGGCGATGCACACTGAGATAGCCAATGATCAAATCTGGGACCATAGGGACTCACATTCAGAATGACTTCTGAAGAAAACAAAACTGGACCCAAATCACATTCAACCAATACACACATCTTATTGACTCGTCTAGTTTTTCTTTTTGCACATTTAAATATTGCCTTTCTTCTGCCAGGTGGCATCCAGGTCATCATCCAGGCACTGACCGGACCCCAAGCTACATGTAGCAGTAAAAAACCCCCAAGGTGGCGCAGAGCTACATTTTGTTATTTCATGGTCCTCCACACTTCCGGGTGAGAGATGCAGAATGTCTCCCTTCAGTCTTTACTAGCAATTATTGAGTGCCTAGCTATGTAGCTTCCAAAGGGGGCAGTGGAATTACCTGGGGGTGCTAAGAGGCAAGTGTGGGGCAGGGGTGTGTGTGGCGGCAACAGAGGCGTAAGCGACTATCAGACTTCAAAAAGTTAGCATCACTGGATCCAGTTCATCCATGTTATCAACTTAGAACTTAAGTTTTAATTGGATTTTGAATAAAGGTGCAATCACTGCTGTTTTGAATTTTATCATTATCTGCTTTGGCGGGTTATGCAAACAGCTATTCTAAATTGTGCTTTTATAGGGTAGGGTACACTTGGGGTGAGTTTATGGAATGCAAGGGGGCGGTGGCTTGAAAGTTTGGGAACCACAAGTCTTTTAGTTGCATCATATTCTACACGGTGTAGCCACTGGTGTCAAGGCAGCCTTGCAGGAACAATATGGCTGTATCGATTTCTGTAGTGCTCACTCCCATAAACAATGAGCAGAAATAGCCACGTGGAATTTGCCTATTAAGGAGGCTCATGCATGACAAGCATGTACAGAGGGGTTGTGCCTTGGCAGCTGGTATCGCGTTGTAAGATAGCTCATGGCTAGTCCTGGGCACTGCTGGAGAACAGGCCCTACCTTGGCTCACAGGCAGAGATTTATTTCATTTTCATAGCCTGCTGTTCCTTTTTGGAAGGATGCCCACTTTAATTTGCACTTGCTTCCATCTTCAAATAAGGCCTCTGCACACATAGAGGGCGAGTGTGCAGAAAGGGGCTATATATTTGGCTCCCCCACACCAATGTTTAACTCCTCTCTCATCTCTACAGATTCTGGAGTAGAACTCCTCCTCCAAGCATGATGGCTTTCTGCATGACTGAGAGATCTGGGAGATCAGGGCTGTATATAAACCAGGCAGGAAGCTCCCCCTCGTGGAGAAGACACCCTGTTGCAGTTCTTACACTCCATGCAGAGCAGTTTTTGGTCAAGCCCCTTTTCACCACTCCTCTGAGACATGTTCACCACCACTTGGCACAGTGCTGGCATCAAGACACTCAGCTGCAGCTGACTGTCATTACTTTCTTTCATCAATTTGTTTGAGCTGCAGAATTTGGATTCCCACCCAGCGATACTCTGCTTCCTGTATTGCAGAGGGCTGGGCTGCATGATCCCTTGGATCCCTTCCAACTCTACAATGCTATGCTTATATTCTACCGTGACACTGAACAGCATTGGGGAAAGGATGCCATTCATTATACAGAGGGAAAATGGAGACTGCCAGCGATGCCACCACCTTCTGTTTCCCAGCTCAGCCTTACTCATCAGAGATCCATGATGTGAGCTACAGAACAGGCACTTCAAAACATGTTTTCTAGAGAGAAATTGACTTTTATTCAGAGGTGCATACTGGTAAATGCAAGCAGGGGACGATCACAATCCTAGCATTCTGTGTGTCTTATCTCTCCCCACGCAACAGATGTCCCACACTCTTGCCAGAAGCATCCTTCCTGCTGTAAAAAGCATTCCAGGTTTCCTTCCTCGGGAGACGGACAAGTGGCCACACATGAAGGAATGCCAGGCAGCTTTTAAGATGTTAAAAGAAGAAAGAGTTTCACTAGCGACATGTCATTCAACGAGGAGGGATGAGATTCATCTCGCAGAGCTCGTTAGGCTAAACCTGTGTATTTGAAAGAGAAAAAGAGAGAGGAAAGGAAACTGATTACTATCAAGACACACATAAAAGCCAAATATTCAGAAGAGGTCTTGCTGTGTCCAGCAGACCCCTGGCTTCTTAATGTGTCCTCCAAAGACTGCTTCTGCCCCCTCCCCAGCCACCCCAAGCCCCTAATAACATTTCTGATTTTTCCACAAGAACCTAAACACAATCCACCTTGCTGAAATGGAGCTTCAGAGCAGTATTATTCTATTTTCCGGCATGGTGGTGGTGGTGAAGTAGGTAGGAGAGTTCATGGATTTCAGTACAGAACCTGCATATCACAAAAGGGGCCCAGGATGGAACCCATCTAACGCAAATATACTGGTGTGGCCTTATTTGTAGATCAGCCTTCGCTAACCCAGCACCTTCCAGATGCACTGCTAATGGAAGCTAGGTCCTAAAACATCAGGAGGGCACACATTTCAGATTATAGGAAGTGTCTGTTCCTCACACCTCAGAGTCTGGCGCTCTGAAAGCAAACAAACTGGAAAACCAGCTCCTTCAACTGATCTGGCATCAACCATTAATGAGAAACTGCCACAGAGGGAGAGGTGGGAGGCAGGTCTCATTCCATCAGCCCTGCTGGAAAAACTGGTTCCACTGAACTCTTCCTGTCCCTGAACCGCTTTGACAACAGCTAGTTCATGATAAGCACCGCCTTTTAACTTCAAAAATTGGTGGCTGAGCTGGGCTCCCCCTCCTTCTTTCCTCCTCATCCATTTTTCCTTTTGTGCTGTGATTTTTAGACCATTAAGCAAGTGTGCAGGAACTGTCTTGTTTGCCTTTGTGGCTGATACAGGGTACAGTGGTGCCTCGCAAGACGAAATTAATCCGTTCCGCGAGTCTCTTCGTCTTGCGGTTTTTTCGTCTTGCGAAGCACGGCTATTAGTGGCTTAGCGGCTACAGGTATAAACTCGTTCCCGCAACTGCAAGCCTCGACTCCTAGGGAGCATCTGGCCATTGCATAAGCCTCGTCTGGCCTCTTAAGCAGTCCCTCCTGACGCGCTTACATAACACAAGCCCCGACCGCCGCCATCCCAGCGACCCCGGAAGATAAGATCTGCAGCAAGCACCCCGCACCTCCGATCCCGGGGCGCGCTCAGCCAAAGCGTCCCCGGACACCTGTCCTGCCGCACCTTTGCGCAGCGCTCTGCAGAGCGGAGCGATGAGCCCGGCCGATCGCACGCAGGGCAAGCGGCGGCGAAGGCGGAGAGAGCGAGGCTGCCGACTGCCTTAATTTTGCTGCAGGAGCCTCCTCTGCACCGGGATCCTCGCGCGCTCCCTCCGTCTCTCCATGCCTTTTAGGTGAGTGGCGTGCTCGGGCTGACTTTGGACGACCCACAGCGGGGCTTCCCTCGGCCGCGCGACCGGAGCTCGCCTTTGCGGTTACTTTGAGAAAAAGGGAAAAAAACTCGCAAGAAGTTTCGTCTTGCGAAGCAAGCCCATAGGGAAAATCGTCTTGCGAAGCGACGCAAAAACCGAAAAACCCTTTCGTCTTGCGCGTTTTTCGTTTTGCGAGGCATTCGTCTTGCGGGGCACCACTGTATAAATAAAGTTGAGTCTATGCACCAATATTTCACCTGGGTACAATGCACCCAATAAAGAGGACCTAATCCAAGACTGTGGAGCAACAACCCTCCCCCATAATCTGTGTGAGGCTCCCTCAAACCCTCCCCAGCAGAATCTTAGGGCAGGAGAGGAGGTGGCACTGAATACAACTCCGTGTCAAAACAGCTTCAGTGTGATTGGGAGAACGAAGCCTGTCTGGGATCCCACTTTGGTTCAAAGAAATCACAGCGCCTATTCAGAGGCCATATATTCTGCCAGGAATTGCAGTATATACTTTTACTGCAAAGTATATTAGCAGCTATCTAAAACATGTACAAAGGACAAGGACTAAAATAGCACACAATTATGCAAGTCAGTTTTATATTACTCTCTCATTTGCTCTATACTGACTGGTACAGCTCCTTGTTCTCTCTCCCTCAACTGGCTTAAGGTTTACCTGGCAGGGTCTGGAAGAACCAGAAGCACCTCCTCAAAAGTGTTACACTGGCTCGAGACCCCTCAGCCCTGATCAATTGCAGCATCCAACATTTGCTCAGACCTCCGGGGAGGCCAAAGGAGCTACGCACCATTTGCAAACCGGCATTGCTTCAGCACCTCGCTAAACCCCTCGCACAGCTTCAAGTCGGCCTGGTTCTGGGCGCACTCCAGGAACTGCTTCATCTCGTACTGGCAAGGCGTGAACTGCGACTGCTGCATCGCAGGCTGGGCTGTCTGAGGCTCCTGAGGAGGAACAGTAGCACAATTAAGATGGGAAAATGTTTTTTAAAAGATTACATTTGCTAAGAACCCCACCCGCCTTCAACAATGTTTTCAGGGTGCCAGAGTATGGTGGCTCCCCAGCAGAAAGGGGAGGCATCAACAGGCACAGCAGCATCCTCATTCCAAACTGGAGGACAAAATTTCCAAATCTCAGGGGTGCCAATAATTTTCCTTCCTAGTCAGTTGGCTAAATCCTCCAGTTAATAAGGACCGCCAACACTTTTTATACCTTATGCATTCAGAATTAGCTTTCAATGTTTGTTGATTACATTTTCACCTTAAGTCCAACGATATCATGCTGTTGTACATGGTTCTCTCTCTCCCCCCCCATTTTACCCTTACAAACAACCCTGTGAAGTAGGCTTGGCCCAAGATCATCGAGGTTCCATGGCCAAGTGGGGATTTGAACTGTGGTCTCACAGGTGATAGCCCAACCCTCTGATCCAGGGGTGCACAACCTGTGGCCCTTCAGATGTTTCTGGAGAGCATAGCCAATGATCAGGGATGATGGGAGTTGTAGTCCAGAAACACCACACTGGCACTTATATGCTGCTAATACAACTGAGGTCCAAGGGAGGGGGGAGTGCTATAAAATGATTCCTTCTCTTGATGCCCAGCTGGCTTGTTAGTTGGATTTCTGCATTCAGTTCTGTCAGGTGTCAAGGTTATTTTATGTATTATTTCAAATTTCTAACCAATCCTTTCTCCCCAAAGGAAATCCAGGGTGTCTCACAGTAATAACATGACCCACAAAAAATTAGAATAGCACTATAAAATACTGCTGAAAGCAGTTGTGTGAAAAGGTTCATAAAAACTATTGTCCAAAATCTTGGATAAGAAAGCCTTTACGTTTGTCTTCCTGAATGCAGGGCACTGCCTGATCTTCACTGGGAGGCAGTTCCGTAGTTGGGATGCCACCACCAAGAATGAAATTTTGGATTCTTTGTGCAATTCCTACTTGTAGGAGACCATAAGCAGCGTCTTCTTCCCAGGTAACAATGTTCTTATTGGTGAAGGCACCCTTTCAAGTACTTGGGTCCCAAGAGGCTTAAGGCTTTGTACACTCATACTAACATCATCAAATGGGTGTGATTCATCAATACACAACTGCACATTATCTAGTCTCTTGACTTTCAGAACTGATGCAAATCCATAACTATACCAGATACAAATATATGCTTTACTCCTGGATTGGCAGGTGCTCAAATGGAACACACGTTGCATGTATTCTTTTGTTCTTGAAAAGCTTTTGTTAAGTTGCATCCTGCCAGCAAGGCTCACTCATAAGCCATGTCTGAGCCGACTTCTTTGACTTGAGGGGAGGAGGCACAGCTCTGCCCTCATCACCTATCAGCCCAGAAAACTTGACATGGGTTTCATCAGCCAGGAGGAGAATTCTGTATGGCTCAAGGTGCACCTAAAAAGCTCAGATAAACAAAAATATATCATTTTCTCTCTCACCTGGTAAGTGATGTCGGGCCTTGCCGCTTCAGAGCTTCCACCTCCAAACCCTCCGGTCATGGCGTGCCCCAGAGTGTGCCCCACAGCAGAGCCCACGGCCACGCCAGCAGCAGTGGTGGCCATCTGGGCCATTAGGCCAGGCTGCCTGGGGGCAGGAGAAGCCACTGCAGAGGCAGGGGCAGGGGCTGGAACAGGGGCATGAGAAGCTGGTGGTGGAGCAGACCTCATAGGAGGCGCACGGCTGCAAAGGCAGGAGAAGAAACACATTGAAAAGCAATCGTGGATGCAAACATTTGTTACAGCGGCCCAGTGTGGGATATTTTTTATTTATTCTGCCTGTGTTTATTTATTTGACTTCTTACCAGTCCTTCAGCATAAGGTCCCCTGATGCATTTCGAAAATACAATCATGCAAGTAAAAATAAACAAGTATAGCAATTACAAACCAAAGTCCAGACTTTCCTCCAACCTGGTCCCCCCTCCAGAGGGGGTGGGGGATGCTGATTCTAGGGATTTGCTGCCTCAGTTTAACTTTAACACATCTCCCTACAGCATGGTCTGAAGCCACCTGATGCAGCCATTTTGCTGAAATCAGAGCTGTTATGTGAAAAATGCTCAGGAACAATGACTTGGAAAGCAGTACATATGTACCTTTCTCCTGAACGCTGATCCTTTGAATGCTTCGAGGGTAAGAAAAATACCCTCCTATACTCTCCTTGAAGAACGTTGAGCCCCAACAATTGGGGCTATGCTTCCTCACCACCTATGTTCATGTGAACACCACCTACATCAGCCTTGAACCTTTCCCCTCCTCCCCCATATGTTGCTGAACTACAACTCCCATCAGCCCCAGCAAGCATGGACAATGACTGGCGATAACAGAAGTTGTAGCTCAGCAACATCTGGGGGAGGAGGAGAAAGGTTCAAGGCTGATGTAGGTGGTGTTCACACACACACCTGATACATAAGCTTTCATGGGCAACTAGCTTTCCAGCCCACACACTTGTACCTGCAAGCAGGCTAGTTCCTGGTCGATAGTGCTCCTGTTCAGAGAAGAGTTGCTAAAATGCCCCTGATGCAAGAATCCAAAGTTTCTAAATCTTTGCATGCACAACCTTCTTGCCCACCTTTATCCCCAAAGAATATAGCCCTCACTTTCCACCAAAGAATGCAGCATTAAACATATTACGTACTAAGAGCTAAATTGGAAGCTGGGCGTCAACACAAAACATTACAAAACTGAATTGGTCCTTAAACTGGCTAAACATTCACAGAGGAAGACACAGCCTCTTATGAAACCTGCCTTGTACACAGAGGGAGTGAAACATGATACTGCTGATCTTTGGTCAGAGCTGGTAGAGAGCCAGTCTGGAGCAGAAGTGGGGGACCTGTGGCCCTTCAGATGCTGCTGGACTACATCTCCCTGTATCCCTGACCACATTGGCTAGGGCTGATGTGAGTTGGGAATCCAGCATCCATCTCTACCTGTCCCAAATTTGAAGGTGGGATGGGATCCTGGTTTTTGCAACATTTGGGTTTTGCAACTGAAACATAGACTCTTTGGTGACTGACTGCCTGCCAGTCTAGTGACCTGTCTGATGGAACAATGTGGTTTTTTATACTTCTGTGGTAAGCGATGTATACATTTAATAAACCTATCCCAGTAAAGCTGGGATAATGGACTGGGGTAGTACGGCATAAGACTCTTAATCTCAGGGTCATGGGTTTGAAATTCATGTTGTGGTTGGACTAGATGACCCTCGTGGTGCCTTCCACCTTTACAATTCTGTCTAAGCTGCTTGGAAGGAAGCAGCAACCACATTCTAGCCTCTCTTGGTGGTAAGCAAAGGCCAACTTGTAAACTTAGATTTACAGACTTGATGTACATAATAATAAGAAAGGCAAAACCAACTGTCACTGCTTTTGCAGTTCCAAAGTCTGGTCACAGCCACCCTATGCATTTTAAGCACTCTGGTACTCTTAGTAGCACCCTGAACAAGCTACAGTTCTCAGAATTCTCAACGACTGCTAAAAGCGGTCTAAAAGTGCTTTACATGTCTGTTGTGGAAGTGCCGCATTCGCAGTGCTTTGCCAATGCAATGTGGATCCCTCTCTTAGTCAGAACTTTTGTTCAATAGAACGCCAAGGTTTTTACTTGCTCAACTGCCTGCTCCTTGACCCAACAATTTCACTCCACGAACTTCAACTGTTACTCCTTCCCCAAACTTAACCTGCCCCCTTACCCACCTCTTCCATTTCTGCTTGTGATCTGCCCCTCCTCAGCTCTCACTTTCTCTGGCCACACCTCAGAGACCTCTGCCTTACCCCTAGGCAAGAACCAGGCCCAGTGAGGTCAGCCCTTGCCTAAGGTAAGCCAATTAGTACTTTTCCAGCTTTAGCATCAACTTGCTGTCTGAATAGAAACTCTTAATCCCAGAAGCACCAAAGCAGTGCTGGCTTTTACAGCACATGGTCTTCTAGAATATTCCTCCTGTGGAATATTCTAGAAGGTCACAGTCCAGTCCATCCAAATCATTTGGCATCCTTCAGTTGTGGTGGGAGCACTGTACGCTGTGAGGTTTCTGAAGTTAAGCATTTGATAAACAGGACTCTCATTTAGACCCTTAAGTCACATTCAGCCTATTTACAAAGAAGGATGCAAACGTAACACCAGAAATAAGCTCTGATTTACAGATCCATAACACAACTTCCATTCCACAAGTGAAATGCAAGGCACGTATTATACTTTGCAACCCACCGATCTGTCTCTTCATCTTCCATCACCTCCACGTGTACTGCTGTAATCCTCACCCGAACTTGCCACATCCGCATGGAGACTTTGGATTCCCCCATCCCATCCCTTTCCACCAGCATCTGCTCCTAACATGAGATTACAACTCTCTCTCACTCTTTATTAATAAAGGGTAGAGACTCCCCGCTTACTACTACACGTGGCAGGGAGATAATAACCCCCCTTAATACAGCTGCCCCCTGCAATCTCCAACATCGCCTTTGTTTTGATCCCCCCCTTCCTTCATCACCCCAAGTTTTATGGCATTTCCCTAATATCTTTCCCTCCCCTCCTCATCTCCACTGAGTTGGCAGCGCTGGGGGCGAAATTAGGAGGCCATAGAGGCGTCACGTGGCTCCCTCCCAGCCCTCCTGCCATGAATATCTCCAACCACACCTCCCCCTCCCGACCCTTCCCAGATCACCCTCACAAATCGCCTCGTCCCACCCCCTTACCTGGCAGGGGGCGCCATCCGGGACGTTCTGCTCCTGCTTCCCCTCGGCATGGTGGCGACAATAATAAAAGCGGCTCTCGAGTTGCTGTTGCTGAAGCTGCTCTCTCTCAAGGGCTCCGCACTCCGGCCTTTTTCTACTTCCGCTTCCGGCTCTTTCTCTAGTTCTCTTTCAAGGTCACCGCTAGAGGTCGCCTGTCTCCCGCACTACGCATGCGCAAATCATTCGTACTGACGACGGGGTGGCGATGGCCGAGAACGAGTCTTTTGCAGCTGCCCCCGCCCCCTTATCTAAATAGGGCGGAGCCAGACCGTTACGTCGGAGAGGGAAGCGCAAGGTGGTTGTGCTTAATAGGTGTGGCCGCGGCTAAACCAATGAACGAGCGGGGGGGGCGGAGCCAAAAATAGGCGAGCTGTATAAATAGGCGAACCTTAGTGTAAGGGTACGCTAATTCTAAGGCTTTGTAATAGGTGCGGGGTTGGCATTGCTGCTCTAGAGCTAGAAATAGGCGCCGGGGAAGCGTGGTCGCCATTTGGGGGCTGGGTGGGTCAGGGCGGCTTGTACATTTTCTTTATAGTGAGCTCAAAATAGGCAGCTTGGCAAGCGGAATTAGAGCCTCTCTGCAAGAAAAAGCTTACCTATATTTAGTTTTCTTCTGTCTGGCGGCTATCGACAGAGGGGAGGGGAGGTAGCGCTGTTTTTTGTCTTTTCCCCCCTTGTGATTATTTTTCCTCGGGAAACCTTTTTGTTTTGTCTTTAGTCTAGTTAAAAAATACCAGGGAGTCCGAACCAGAAACGAAAACATGGGTTATGAACAGCCAAATTGTAAACTGAGAAGATGAAAAAAGTAACGGGAGAAATGCAGCAGGATTTATAAAATGCAACAGGATTATAATGGGACTTAATACTGTGGAGAAATAGGGAGATAAAGGTGCCTAGTACTTAAAAAAAAGTTAAGTCATTTGTTGGGTAACTTGATAAACAGAAATGAGGATTTAAGATGAGTAGAATGTGAATGTAGAAATAGGACAAGTTTGGTGAAAATGAGGGAATGGAATAACAGGGTTAACTAAGTTTTAGATTTGACTGAGCTTTTTTTGTTGTTGGCCACATTGGGCTCCTCCAAGAAAGAGAAGCAAGATACCGTCAATATTAACATGGGGATGTAATGAAATGTGTAATAAAACAGCATTGTTCTCTACCACTCAGTTTAAAGAACTGTTACTAGCTGTTCCAGCTACCATTTTAGCATTTAATTTCAGATAGTACAATTAGTTACATTAAGGTGGTTCCAAATCCACAGCTTTTCAAAGTAAGACATGTTCTGGTGCACATATAAAGAGAAATTACTATCTGCTCCCAAAAAAATCCCACTTGTGTAAAATCTACAGACAGTTTGTACCCAAGTTCTCAAGAGCAGACCAGCTGAAATTATTTATGCCCGGTTAATACGACACTGGGTTTCATTTACGTGAATTTTTAAGTTTCTTGTACCTAACAGTTCATAAACATAATGGATATCGATTCCAATAAAAGGAATGCGGTGGGGAAAATGGTTTATATCATAATAGAGAATTGATTGGGAAAGGGAAGGGTTTTCAGTCAGGAAGAGGGGGAAATGAACTTCATTGGGTATGTGAACAAAAATCCAGCTCAAACTGTTAAGGGCTGTTAAGTAGTAGGGCAAATGCTTTGCATGCAGAAGGTTCAAGGCCCAATCCCTAACACGCCTTAGTGGGGGTGGGAGAAAACACGCCTAAAATCCTGGAAGGCTACTGCCAGAGTAGAAAGTAGGTGGTTGTCAAGGATTAGGGACACAGAAGCCCTCTCCAGACCAGGAAATACAAAAATTAACTTGCAGTAGAAGGCAAACACAGTACAAGAGAATGGAGCAACTTTGAATTGACATCCCAGAGCAGTATATATTTGAATAAACCAAGCTTTTCAATCACAAACTTCTAATTGAGAATGTGAAACAAAGGCATTCTAATTAATTGTTAACACACATAGAAGCAGGGTTGCAAAGGAGAGCAGAAGTTTTTGAAACTTGAGGAAATAATGATAAAAAATAATTGGGATAAAGTTTTTAAAAAGCACTCCCCCCTCCCAACAGACATCCCTTTTGTGAAATGGTGGAAGTACCCAGGAGTCAGAAAAAATTAGGTATGCTGCTAAAATGTGTGAGTGAGGTCCCCAATAAGGTTTGGGAATTGAAAACTACTGAATATGCAGAGTTCTTAGGTCTAACAAGTAAAATAAGAGCAAGATGAAGTATATAAGGAGTGGGAAAAATCTGTCAAGTATTTGGAAAATAATTTTAAACAAGTGAAAACGCTAACAGGATTAAAATAAATTCAACAGTATAATATACTAAATGGATGTGCAAGAATGCAGGAGTGGTGGGAAACTCAAAAGGAACTGGGGAAGGGAAGATGTTGAGTGTTCTATTATAAAGAAATATCACAACTGGATTAAAAAATTCAGGAGTATAACAACCAAGCATGTTGAACTAATAGGGTTGTGTTGTCTAGACCCTATCACAAAGAATCTAACCAACAGCACCTGGGCTTTACTAATTAGGTCAGGACAAGGCCAATTGGACCTGGACAATAACTTCTTATTAGTGGTGTCTCTTATTTACAAGAGACCTTTAAAATGTGCTATAGGTTCTAATATAAGTTTGAATACAGTGTTTGGGAAACGGATAGTGGTTGGCAAAAGTACGTAAAAGCTTGGCAAGCATTGTGGTGAAAGCCTCCAATTAAGGTGATAGTTTTGTGAGCACTATTCACCAAAGAAAGCAAGTCAATGATGTCAAGGCTTTTGGCAACTTGGACTGGGGTTACTTGAGGTTCTCAAATTATAGCTACTCAAGTGTTCTATAGAAGCAGTCGGGTCTGTAGTATTTAAAATATGGTAGTTTAGCCACACAATGTTTAACAGGTTAAAGCCAAAGGTTCCTTTTGTCACCGATCTTCACGTTCTTAGCAAATATAGTTGTAAATCTCAAAATTTAAAGGCACATAAAAGTAGGGGTCAGTTTCAATTTAGTAATTTTCTATTGATAACAGCTCTTGCTGGGTGAAGCGTTGGGTTCTTCAATGGCTGTGACTAAAGAATATTGTGAAGTAGCCAGCCACCCCAGTATGATGCAACCCTTAAAGGGCTCTGGCTGCTCTGAACCTACTTTAATCTCTAGTTCCATGATGTTGGCAGTTGCCTTAGGGTCCCAGTAAGCAGACTTGGGGGGGCTAAGATGGGGGGCAACACGAGTAACAGGGCCGGCTGTTGAGTGTGTGAAGACGCCAGCCCCTAGAAGTGTAAAGGGCCTGCCAGAGGAGGCTCCATATAACACTACAGGACAGGCAGATGGTTTGAGGGTGTGATGGGTTACATGAACAAGGAACCATGAAGGGAGTTGGGTCTGAAATGCTTTGAAGGGCAAGCCAAGCTGGAGCAGGAGCGTTAATAATTGGTGACTGATGAGGAGGTTGTCCTTTCTTCATGAGCTTCCCAGATGGGGCTTGGGGATCTTGTGTCTGGGAGAGGTCCTGGTCCTGGGTGGCCACTCTGCCTGTTGGGAGATCAGCGTGTTTTGCAGCTTTAGGGGCCTCTGTATGGATTGGGTCCTCCACCTCCACCAAAAGTAGCTCTGTTTGCCAGTGAGATTTTGAGGGATCTTTGAGCTCCAAGTGGATGCAGGCTTTTCACAGTAGACTGGGTTGGGGTGGCATCTGCAACACTTCAGCCCTGGTAGTCATTATTGGAAATTGAGGAGGAAAATTGGCAAGAGGGCCTTGGATATCTTCCATTATCTTCTGCAAGGGCAGCCTCTGCTGTGTAGCGTCACCATCCTAGTCTGTGGAAAAGAGGAAACAGCTTTCACCTCTGTCCCTAGCCTGCAGGAGATAATCAGTCCAGCAATTCACTTCAGCAAGGTTGGGGGGGGGTCATTGTGTCTGATGATAACCACAGCAAAGAGGGAGAGAAAAGGATGCAAGAGGTGTGTGGGTGGGTGGGGGGGTAATCACGACTAGCAGGGCAGGTTGTTGGGAGTGTAAAGACCTGCCTGCTGCCCCTGGAAGTGTCACTCTTGCTTTTCTGCACTGAACCAGGGCCAGGCAACCCCTTCCCCCCTTCTGAGTCTGACCTACCCCCTCCCCCTCGGCCCATGCAAAAACCTGCACAGCAGACCTGACTTGCCCACTGTCCCCACTTGCTCTCCTGCTCCACTCACTGCCCCCACTTAAGTCAGATCAGCCCTCGCTTCCTGTCAAAGAACTCAGTTGTTCAGGGGAGAAACCATAGTGGTGCTTAGAATGCGGAAAGTTGCTTGAGGCTACGAGTGAGGGGAGCCAGTCTTTTGGTTCTCTTCGTCATCACTTTCGTCGCTCTCACTACTGTGTGCATCCTCTTCTTAGCTTTCTACGCTTTCATCATTTACCACATCAAGGTAATCAGGTCACATGGGGCCTTCAAACCACTGAAATGGTGGAAGTACCCAGGAGTCAAAAAAATTGTGTATGCTGCTAAAATGGTGTGTGAGTGAGGTTCCTAATAAGGTTTGGCAATTAAAAGCGATTGAATATGCAGAGTTCTTAGGTCTAACAAGTAAAACAAGAACAAGATGATGATGAAGTATATAAGGAGTGGGAAAAGTTTGTCAAGTATTTGGAAAATAATTTTAAGCAAGTGAAAACGCTAACAGGATTAAAGTAAATTCAACAGTATAATACACTAAATGGATATTTAAGAATATGCAGGAGTGGTGGGAAATTCAAAAGGAACTGCGGAAGAAGGGAAGTCGTTGAATGTTTTATTACAAAGAAATGAACAGTGGAAATGTATATTTATGATTTTGGAAGATCCATGATGCTGGCAGTTGCGGTAGGGTCTCAGTAAGCAGACTTGGGGGGGGGGCTAAGATGGGGGGCAACATGAGTAACAGGGCCGGCTGTTGTGTGTGTGAAGACACCAGCCCCTAGAAGCGTAAAGGGCCTGCCAGAGGAGGCTCCATAACACTACAGGACAGGCAGATGGTTTTGAGGGTGTGATGGGTTACACGAACAAGGAACCATGAAGGGCGTTGGGTCTGAAATTCTTGAAGCCAAGCTGGAGCCAGGAGCGTTAACAATTTGTGACTGACGAGGTGGTCCATTCTTCACGAGCTTCCCAGATGGGGCTCGGGGATCTCTTGTCTGGGAGAGGTCTGGAGGTGATGGGTGAGGGGAGCCATGGAGAACGTAAGGCGTTGGGTCCTGGGTGGCCCCTTTGCCTGTTGGGAGATCATGGTATTTTGCAGCTTTAGGGCCTCTGTATGGATCAGGTCCTCTTCCACCAACAGTAGCTATCTTTGCAAGTGAGGTTTTAAGAGGTCTTTGAGCTCCAAGTGGATGCAGGCTCTTCACAGCAGACTGGGTTGGGGTGGCATCTGCAACACTTCAGCCCTGGTAGTCATTGGAAATTGAGGAAGAAAATTGGCAAGAGGGCCTTGGATATCTGCCACGATCTTGCGCAACAGCAGCCTCTTTGGGGCCTCATCAAGGTCTGAGGAAGATAGGAAACAGCTTTCACCTCTGTCCCTAGTCTGCAGGAGATAATCAGTGCAGCAAGTCACTTCAGCAATGTGGGGGGGCCATTGTGTCTGATAACCGCAGCAAAGGGGGGGGGGAGAGAAGGGATGCAAGAGGTGTGTGTGTGGGGGGGGCATCACGACTACTGTTTTGAGTGATTTTGAGAGGTATTTGAGTAGATGATTGGTTGGTGTGGCATCTGCAACACTTCAGCCCTGGTAGTCATTATTGGAAATTGAGGAAGAAAATTGGCAAGAGTCCTTGGATATCTTCTACTATCTGTCGCAAGGGTAGCCTCTTATGTGTAGCGTCACCATCCTGGTCTGCTGAAGAGAGGAAACAGCTTTCACCTCTTTCTGTAGCCCACAGATGATCAGTGTGGCCCAAATAGCAATTGCCATCAGGAAACTGACATCCTGGCCAGTCTGCCAGTACTGGATCAGATGCCTTTTGGAAGCACCCACAAATAATGGGTATTGAAGAGCACTGAAGCAGATCCAAGGCAGGGAAGACTTTCCTCTATCATGGGTCTGTGTGAGTTCCATCTGCTTGGCCCCAATTCTTTGCCCTAGAGAATCTCAATGGGTCCTGTGGCCTAGTAGGCAGAGACTAAAAGACAACACCAAGAAAGAAGGCAGGAAATGTAATTACACTTTATAGAGTTGTGTGCTATTTGCCCCAAGTTGTGTGACCCTTTTTAAGAGTTATTTTCCCTCTAGAAAAAACCCACGCAACACTCAAGTTTTAAAAACAACATAGGAATTTTACTTGCTCTTGTCCAATTTGAATGTACAAGGGAGGTAGGCAATACTTAAGTTACTGAAGAATATTTTCATGAATTTATGTCGGAGACAAATATTTTCAGACTGGCTTTGAGGCATGCCTAACTGAAAACTGCCTACTGTGGTGGCAGCGTGAACTCTATACTACATTAATTCTTTGCATAGCATTTTGGATGCACCACTCTGACAAATTGCCTTGATTTCTAGGACTGGCCTGGCAAATTCTGGTGTCTCTAGCAGCTGAGGTTGGATTAGAGTGACCTCTGATCCAATATCCCTTAATTCAACTACCACCTCATTCAATGCCACAAGTCTGCATATAGTTCCACTTCGGCTGGTCTCAGGCTGACTATTCAGTTTGCTCAGGTTCTGTGGACTGACTTGTGACAGGTTCCACTAATTAAAATAAATTTATCGCTTTTGGTTGAATCTTTATTTTTGGGGATTGCCTTTCTGTAGTTTTGGACAGTGTAAGGCTTTGTGTATCCCTTCCTCCTGACAGTGGAAAGCAGACTTCTACTGTTGATACCACAATGACCCGATTGTCAGGGTTATCTGGATCGATTCCCCCCCCCCCCCCCCACGTTTTGAAGGCAGATACAAGCCGCATGTAAAAAGCCAACGGGTGTTCATCTGTATCTTGGGCACTGGTCTGGATCTTGGTCCAACCTTGATTCCCCTCCGCCGCCAATTTAATTGCTTCCAAGATGGTCCTCCTGAGGCTCCAAATCCCAACCTCAGTGTTACTACAGGACAGTTTTATTTTGGAGGTTTTGTATGTATGTAGTACCGTCTGCGGCTTCCCAGTATGAAAATTGGGTTGCATGAGTGCTTCACCCACTTTTAGTACTGTCTCTCCCCTCTGTGTCATTGAACAGAGCACCCAAGAGCATGTGGACATGAGCCCAAGACTCGCCTAGGTAGCCTGTGAGTTTTCATTTCTTAGTACAGAAAGTATAGAGATCTTTCCTATTCTGATTAGTTCAGGAGTGTTCTAGAAAGTTATTTGTATGTGAAAGAAACAGGAAGGTGTTTTTGTTGGGCTTATATTTCTGCTGGGAAGCTGAGTACAGCTGGTTTAAACTGGTTAAGTTTCTGTCAAGGTAAGCCAGGAGGAGCTTCTGTCCCACTTTCTCTTTCTATCTCTGTTCTGTATGCTTAGTGTTAATTTAAGTCTATAAGTGCTTCAACTGGATTTTTATGGACTTGTGCCAATCCTGATTGTATTGGAATTGTGTTCATTATGCTCATTTATCTTCAGTATCCGTAAACTGCTGGATGAAGTACATTTGCCTCTGGTCTATCTTTTGGAAACACTTCTACATGTGTAAAGTTTCCTGCTCCCCCTTCCATGGGCAATAGTCTCAGCTTGCACAGTCTGCTCAGTGTCAGATGATGTACACCTGTGTAGCTTTCAGTACTGGCTACACGCAAATCATTCATTAGCCACCCCTTCCCAATGCCTCACTTTCTCAAAACATGTCAAACATGAGAGACTGTACCAAGCACTATCCTCCAAAACTGGGTAAGGCAGGTGGAGGGAGGGAGGCTTCACCTCAACGTTCCCAAAACACCTTAAGACTGTTCTCAAAACATTCATATTGCAAGCTTGTGATGAGAAGCCAGAATACATTCCATCAAAAAAATTAACAGAAAGGGCTCTGTATCAGACCACTAACTCGATACATTTTGTCTTCCGGATAGATTTCCCATGCAGGGTCCAGGTTGGAGAAGTTGAACACAGTGTCCAGGGATGCCCAGGAGCAAGGCAAGGATTTGAGGCTTGTTCTCCTGGCTTCAAATTCCGGGGTGGAGGTCCGCTGGTTGTCCATTCTTCACGAGCTTCCCAGATGGGGCTCGGGGATCTCATGTCTGGGAGAGGTCTGGAGGTGATGGGTGAGGGGATCCATGGAGAACGTAAGGCGTTGGGTCCTGGGTGGCCACTTTGCCTGTTGGGAGATCATGGTATTTTGCAGCTTTAGGGCCTCTGTATGGATCAGGTCCTCTTCCACCAACAGTAGCTCTCTTTGCAAGTGAGGTTTTAAGAGGTCTTTGACCTCCAAGTGGATGAAGGCTTTTCACAGCAGACTGGGTTGGGGTGGCATCTGCAACACTTCAGCCCTGGTAGTCATTACAGTGGTGCCTCGCAAGATGAAATTAATCCGTTCCGTGAGTCTCTTCGTCTTGCGGTTTTTTCGTCTTGCGAAGCGCGGCTCTTAGCGGCTTAGCGGCTATTAACGGCTTAGCGGCTTTAAGAAAAAGGAAACAAACTTGCAAGAACTCGCAGGACGTTTTGTCTTGCGAAGCAAGCCCATAGGGAAATTCGTCTTGCGGAACGACTCAAAAAACTGAAAACTCTTTCGTCTTGCGCGTTTTTCGTCTTGCGATGCATTCGTCTTGCGAGGGTACCACTGTATTGGAAATTGAGGAAAATTGGCAAGAGGGCCTTGGATATCTGCCACGATCTTGCGCAACAGCAGCCTCTTTGGGGCCTCATCAAGGTCTGAGGAAGATAGGAAACGGCTTTCACCTCTGTCCCTAGTCTGCAGGAGATAATCAGTCCAGCAAGTCACTTCAGCAAGGGGGGGGGGGTCATTGTGTCTGAGAATAACCACAGCAAAGAGGGAGAGAAAACTACTGTTTTGAGTGTGATTTTGAGAGGTCTTTGAGTAGACGATGGGTTGGTGTGGCATCTGCAACACTTCAGCCCTGGTAGTCATTATTGGAAATTGAGGAAGAAAATTGGCAAGAGTCCTTGGATATCTTCTACTATCTGTCGCAAGGGCAGCCTCTTCTGTGTAGCGTCACCATCCTGGTCTGCTGAAGAGAGGAAACGGCTTTCACCTCTTTCTGTAGCCCGCAGATGATCAGTGTGGCCAAGGCGGTTTCTCCTGAATCGTGATTGCAAGTGGTTCAAATTGTCTGCATCATCCAGACATGCCTGGAGTTGTTAAATGACGATCCGCTAAATCATTTTGAGAGTTGTAGGATTTGAAACGAGTAAAACTTGACAATTTAAAATAACCCCAACCCCATTAAAAATGTTAATCCTACCGGGGGACAGCCCCCACCTTGTTCCACCAGTGAAGTCCTGCTCCCAAAGGGATAGCCCCGTTAGTTACTTATCTACTAGTTCCCATGCAGATAATTTTTTTTCCAAAAATATCTGGGGTGGATCTCCTCTTTACCACTACCCCAACATTTACCAAATTTATTCCCGTTTTAAAATACAGTTAATCATTCTTTAAAAAATTAATTTAGATTTTTACATTTTGGAAAAGTTGCCACTGTGATGCATGGAGCTTGAGGCTTCTCGGTGTGGAGCTGTGTTGGATGATGACACTTTCGGCTTGAACTTGCCCCACCCTGTTATTTTCAGAGCTACACGGGGGCACAAAAGATGGAGATTTGCACTTCTGGACCCTTCAGAACCCCAAAAGACCTTTGGGCTTTCTTGGGGGTGCATGGCGCCCTTGTGCTTCCCCCAATTACCTCACAATGAGCAAGCCGTTCACAGAATTGGGCTTGCCATTCGATGCTGTTCTGCAATAACCTGGAAGTCGGAATCAATATGCTGTTGTGGAGGTGGAGGGATGATTAACAAAACAAAATCAGTCCTCCTGGCAAACTGGGAAAATCTCCTCACTCATGCAGTTTAGGATATTCCACACTTTTTCTTAGCAATTTCTTTCTAGGCTCGCCTAAATATAAACTAAGCTTTAATAAAGAAAGCTTAAAAAGTAACAATGAGAAAAACTAAACGTTTTAAATACCTTGATGTTACAGATATCGCAAAAGCTTTGATGTGTGATAGCCAATCAGGGGGTTAGCTGCCCCGCCTAAATCTGTTTCCCCTAACAAGCCTGCCTGCCCCCTGGGCAAAAATCCTGGTTACGCCTGTGGAAACTTCTCGATAACTTCATACGTGGTTGGGTGGGGAATGACCCACATAGGCACAAAGAATATAAGGAATTTGGTGTCTGGCAATGCCAAATCTGCAGATAAATCAGTGCCTCCTGTTTTAGGTTCTTTACCATTGTTCCAAAGGTGGTGTGGTCAGTCTGGATCAGTATGGAAAATCAAGATAGTCTGTTAAGTGCTTGTGTGACCTATATTTGGTTCAGCTCTCTGAACAACTAGATTCAATTGCAACCCCTTTGTAAAATGTGACTTGACTTTTTAATTTTTATTATTTTCAACTAATTCACATTACATGTTAATTGCCATTCACCTTCATTATTGTACATAACACGAATATATTCTGCAAATTCCCTACATCGAACCCTGCAACCAACCTCCCCTTATACCCAAATGCCCGTGTGACTTCCTTCACCCACATGCGTGAACCCAACTTAATAAAAACCCTCTAACATGGTGTTCATTTTTAATCCTTACGATAGTCCTTCATCTATTAAAATCAGGGGGGGGGGGAGAGAGGAAAACAACTTCTTAACTTAATGAGTTCAGTCTATACTTACCCAGAGATTTCTAATAGAATGATTTTGTACAATATATTTTCCGACACGATTTCCATTCTTTAATTTTTATTTTAATTGCAATCTGATTGATGCAATTTTGATTGCAATCTGATTGATTGCATCTTGGCTAGTTCAATATATTCGGGAAGAAATGAGGAAGTAGACAGATTTAGAATCTGTTTGGGTAATGTCTGCAGGAGGGGAAACTGTTCTTTTTGTATTCTGCTAACTTGCAAAATGATGTAATCTCGCTCTGCACATGCTCTTGTACCCGTGTCTGGAAGTTGTTTGTGACACACTTATAAAAGTGAGCCCCAAATAGCAATTGCCATCAGGAAACTGACATCCTGGCCAGTCTGCCACTACTGGATCAGATGCCCTGCTTGCCTGTTGGGAGATCAGCATGTTTTGCAGCTTTAGGGCTTCTGTATGGATCAGGTCCTTTTCCACCAACAGTTAGCTCTCTTTGCTACTGTTTTGAGTGAGGTGTTTGAGCTCCAAGTGGATGCAGGCTTTTCACTGTAGACTGGGTGGGGTGGCATCTGCAACACTTCAGCCCTGGTAGTCATTATTGGAAATTGAGGAGGAAAATTGGCAAGAGGGCCTTGGATATCTGCAATGATCTTCTGCAAGGGCAGTCTCTTATGTGCAGTGTCACCATCCTGGTCTGCTGAAGAAACAGCTTTCACCTCTGTCCCTAGCCTGCAGGAGATAATCAGTGCAGCAAGTCACTTCAGCAAGGTTGGGGGGGTGTCATTGTGTCTGATGATAACCACAGCAAAGAGGGAGAGAAAAGGGATGCAAGACATTTTGTCTTCTGGATGGATTTCTGGCTGGAGAAGTTGAACACCGTGTCCAGGGATGCCCAGGAGCAAGGCAAGGATTTGAGGCTTGTGCTCCTGGCTTCAAATTCCGGGGTGGAGGTCCGCTGGTTGTGCATTCTTCACGAGCTTCCCAGATGGGGCTCAGGGATCTCTTGTCTGGGAGAGGTCTGGAGGTGATGGGTGAGGGGATCCATGGAGAACGTAAGGCGTTAAGTCCAGGGTGGCCATTTTGCCTGTTGGGAGATCAGCGTGTTCTGCAGAAGGGATTGGCAGACCATTAAATGCATGGCTCTTTTCGGATAAGCAGCAGGAACTACACAGGGAAAAACTTGGATGCCGTTTAACCAATTTTCAAGTTTTCTCAACCCTGGGGGACTTAAACTTGTGTTTACCAAAACCATGCTTCCTTTCGGGTTTTTCATGGGACTCATCTAGCAGGAACAGCTTGAAATTTTTGAAGACAAGTGGTTACCCAGGATAATGTCCTTGGGTCTATTAGTAGAGATTTTAACATCCTCCACCAGGGCCCCATCTTTACACTCCTAGGTCCCCCACAACCTCTGCCTATGGGAATTGGCCCTCCTATTCCAAGTCCATAAAGGAAGACCAGGAACCCCTTCCCCCTGGCCCCAGTAACAATCCATAGACTCATCACTATCAGAATCAGATCTGAATCTGAATTCCTGAACTTTTTGCTCTTGCTGGAATCTTTCTTATGATGGCGCTTCCTGAGTGCTATTGCAGCCCCTGGAAATGGAAGCAATGCCGCCAGATGCCGCCCAGCAGTAGCATTGATAGGAGGGGGAGAAACTGGCCTTTCTGCGCCTCTAGTAATCCTTCGGCTCGTGCGCCGAGCCTGCGTCACCCCAACTTGTGGTGGATTCTCATTACTACCCCTGTGGCGCAAGCGCGATGTCACAGTGAGCTTTGTATTGTGGGGCCGGGATGCAGGGTTGGATAGGTGTGAGTCGCTGAATAGGGCCTGAGAGGTAGAAGGCATCTCATCCCTGTCATAACTGGCCAAAGACATACTAGAACAACTGGCTCCAGTGTCGGGAATACAGTCGGGGGTAGATTGAGGGTCAGAGACTTGCAAGGCCTTCATCCCTTGGCCTAAACCATTGCATCATTGTATCAAATTCATTTAAAAAACTTGGTAATGCGTGTGGATTCCTGGCCATACCCGCCAAAGTTGTACCTAACTGCCCCACTGCCTGCCCCACCAGTGAAGCACCCTTGTCTGCCTGTGCCAATTGGGATCAGGTAATGGGAGCGCAACGAGAAAACAGCTTGGAAAAGTTTTGCCGCAAATGCTGGGCAAAATATTCTGTATCAGCTGTCATATTTCTAGTCGGATTTGGGGGTATGCGCAACGCCAGCCAGCAAATAGCTTCCTAACGTGGAAAGTGTCACAGGAGTCTGGCTGCTACAAACAATTACTGAAATAAGAGTGCAGACTTATGAAGGCTCATGATCTTAAGGGCCAGGCCTTTTTGTTTCAGATAAACCAAATACTGTTTTTCAAGACATTAAATTCCTTAGCATAATGCCCATAGTTGGAGCAAAACCTGGCTCTGACCCTTTTGAAATAAGACTATGCTTTTGTGTAAGCCCTCAGTCTGGAGGGTGCAAGGGCTCTCAATACTCCCTGCATCACTTGGCTTGTGCAATCTTTCTTTTAAAAATGATAACTGTCAGTATCAAGTGCACTCTCATCATTTACTGGAATAATCAAAACATGTTGCTTTAGCACTCCAAATCTCAAACAGTACTTCAAGGTTTGCACTGACAATCTTCGACACATCATGGTCTGTATGAAGTGGCAACTAAGTGGGAAAATTGTTCCATTGTGACCTAACTCTCTGGCCATGATCACCCTGGAGGCAAGAAATGCATCTATTGTGTGGTCATTTATCCAGTTTCATCCTCTCAGTGTGTCTGTGTCATAATCATACACAGAAATGGTTGTAGACATGAGTGTGGTGAAGGTACAGTTGTGCCATGGGGGAACTGATGTACAAATCAGTGATTTGCCCAAACGCTTCTCACTTTGTGTTAAGAATATGGGGCTACTATATGTCATATTTTCTTTTATTGCTTCGCATGCTGTGAATTTCCAATTTTCCCTCCAAAGCTTCTCCCACTGTGTTACTTAAATGTTATTTACCCAGATCCATAGCCCATTTAATCATCCTTGATTTGTTCATCCTTAATTTCCCATTCTAATAATAATCCATACATTTTGGAAATTACCTTAACATTACTTGTTATTTTTATCTAATAGTGAGAGTTCTGTCGCAAATCCTTTGTTTTTCTTGTCTTCGTTAAATTTACCATATAACTAGTGGTATTGAATCCACCCTGCCAGGTGATCCTTTATTTCTTTGTAATCCTTTAATTTTAATTTATTAACCCTTTCCTCTAGCAAACTGTATGTAGCCCAGTTTGTTTGCATATTTTTCTTTTTAATCGTTATGCTTCAATGGGAGACAGCCACCAAGGTACTTTGAGTTCTAAAAGTTCTTTATATTTCCCCCATAGTTTATATAATGATTTTCTTATAATATGGTTAAGAAAACCCCTGTTTACCTTCACTTTTTCATACCCTAGGTGTGTGTGCCAGCCAAAACGATTATTGAACCCGACTAGGTCCAATAAATCTCCATTGTTTAGTGTTAGCCATTCTCTCAACCACATGAAACAAGCTTCATCAAAATATAAATTTAAATCCGGTAACGACAATCGGCCTACTTTTACTGTCTCTTAATACTTTATCTTTAATTCATGGTGTTTTGTATTGCCAAATAAATTTTGTTAAATCTTTTTTCCATTGCTTAAAACATAGCTTTCATCTTTCTTAGGCTGCAGAAGTTCTCCCCTTTGTACAAGATCCATGATTTGTGATGGATCACAAGCTATATGAGGAAAGACTATGTTCTGGTGATCTTGAGTGCCGGATAAACTAAGGCTGCAAATGAAGGTTTCCTGTGTTACATAGTCCACGAAAAGTTTCTCCAGTAAAGTTTTTGCATTGCATATATGGATAACACCATTGCTTCAATCATCATTTCTTTCCATTGTGAAAGTTTTTTTAGAGCTACATGAAAACTCAATACACTTTTTTCATTACAGTATATATGTTCAGTCTCTTTGAAATCCAGGCCCCAGCATGAGTTGCTATTGCTTGGTGCAGGTCTTCATTAAAGTAGTCCAAGAACACTTTGCTCCACCTTCTACTGAGTTTATTTAATTTGAATGTGTAGTCTATGCTCAGAATTTGACCTCAGAAGATAAAAGTCAGCAAGGTATACCTTGGTCTCTTCTGAACTGGCCCCATGTTTTTTCAACCAAAACACGATCTCTGCGGATGTGATTCCAGCATTACCATTCTGTGGGTCGAGCAAAAACATTATCCAAAGCCTTTTCAATTCCTTTTTCTCTGTCAGACACTGAGACAACTTTATCTGAATTGAGCAAAGGACACTGCTTTGAAAGGGTTTCCAAAAATATCCTGTGATTGTTCTCTCGCCTGCTGTCATGTATCATGAACATTACAGGAACCAGTGGTGATTCAGTGAAAAGCACATTTTGAAATAACAAAATAGATAGGTAGTAGTCTCCCAACTTGTGTTGTAGCAATTGGTTAGGCCAGTCAAACGACCACGCAGCAATCAGAGAAATAAAGCAAAAATTTTTTAATTGTTTGCCGGCAGCAAGCAATGGCACGGAGGAATAAGTTTCAAAGTCCAGCCCTTCCCAACAGGGAAGGCTTCCCTTTACACATTCTTTAATGAGGTTTTTATCCAATCAAAAGTTACAGCATTGCACATACTCGGATACAATAGATTCTGCCTTCCATGTCCCTATTTGTTAATCCTTATCAGCCTATCTGTGTGTCTCTGGGTAGTGGGTGTCTGAGTGTATGTACTGGATATGGGGGCCTGGCGGAGATCAACAAAATGGCTTCCTTGCTTAACATTTTTAACTGTCAAAATGGCTTCCCTGAGCACATAGCCACAGTGTCTCATGAAAAAAGCATAGGTATATCTGTCTTCAGTGATACTACTTTCCCAATTTCAGATGAAATAACCTGTAGGCCCATAACAACAATCACTGTAGGACACAGATATGGATGAAGCCTTCAAGGAGTTCTGTAAATTCCAATATACTGTACTGTCTTTATATATTTCTTATAATTGTTGATAGTGCAACCAATTCTGATAGTGATCTTTTATCTCGTCATAGTCTCTTAATTTCCATTTTGCACCGTGATCCTTTAACAGATCAGTATATGCAAGCCATTTTCCTTTCTTTCCAAGTGGTTTGAGCAGTAACGCTTCACGTGGTGAGAGCCACCAAGGAGTTTGTTGTTCTAACAAGTCTTTGTATCTCTCCCATACTCTCATTAATGACTTCCTAATTATATGGTTGTAGAAACTTCTATGAACCTTCCCTTTCCCATACCATAAATATGCACGCCAGCCGAATCTGTTAACATACCTTTCTAATTCTAATGCTGCTTGTTTTTCCAACCTCATCCAGTCCCTGATCCATATCAGGCAAGCAGATTCATAATACAATTTAAGGTCTGGGAGGGCAAACCTGCCTCTATCTTTTACATCTATAAGTATTTACATCCATAAGTATTTAATATTTTATCCTTGGCCTTTTGCCCCCCCCCCCCCCGATAAATTTTGAAATCTCTTTCTGCCATTTTTTAAAAACATTCATCTTTCAGGAAGACTGGGATTGATTGCAAAAGGAATAACATTTTTGGTAACACATTCATTTTAATCGCCACTATTTTTCCTAACAATGAGAGTTTCATTCTACTCCATATTTCTAAGTATTTTTTTACCTCAAGCCAGATTTTTTCATAATTACTTTTATATAAATTTTTATTTCTTGATGTCAACCATATCCCTAAATACTTAACAACGTTTTTATGGACTTCAATCTCAATGTTTTGTTCTAACTCCTTTTTTTCTTCAAGTTTTTAAGTAATAATTTTTGTTCCTATTTAATTTTAAATCCTGCCACTTCCCCAAATTTCTGAATCTTTTCTATTATTTTAGGAAGTGAAGGTTTTGGCTCTAACACTGTTATCACTAAGTCATCTGCATATGCTTTTAATTTAAACTCACTTTCCCCAGTTTTAACACCTTTGATCTCTTTATCCGCTCTTCTGGCAAGTACGTTTCTGGCAAGTACTTCCAGTACCAGTATTTCCAGTACCATCTAGTACCAGGATGAACAATAATGGTGATAGTGGACATCCTTGTCTAGTTCCTCTTTGAATCTTACAATCGCCCGTTATCACCTGATTTATAATTAATTTTGCTTTTGTTCTGAATAGATTGCTGCTATTCCTTTTAAAAATTTAGAACCACATTTAATTTGTTCTAATAACTTTGTCATGAATTTCCAAGACACGTTGTCAAAGGCTTTTTCAGCATCTATAAACATCATTGGCGCTTTCTTTTCGTTTTTGGACTCTAGGTTTTCTATTTAGAATATTCCTTATATTCTCCTTTATTTGTCTACCTGGTAGGAACCCTGCCTGATCTTGATGTACATACTCGTTGAGTATATTTTTAAATCTGTTATCTAATAATGTTTGCAAACAATTTGTAATCATTTAACAAAGAAATAGGCCGCTCCCGCTTTCCTAGTTGTTGCTCCCTCCTTGCCTGACATCTCTTACCAGTTGGTTCCCAGTGTTGTATGAGTTGTTCAAGGTCACACCTGCAGGTTCTGAGTCTGTTCAACTCTTCCCCCTCCCAGATTTTTTTTCTAGTTCCCCTTTCTCTTTTTTCTGCCTTCTCCCTCCCCACCACAATACATCATACAATTATATAGCAAAAGAAGAAAAAAGGCAGAAAAAACCAATAAATCAAAGTATGAAATGTGCAATTTAAAGAATGAAAAATAAAAAAGGAAAGTAATGAAGTAATTTAAAAATCCAAAAAGCAGAGGGAAGAGAAAAGATAAAAATGTTAGGCCAAGTCATTTTCAAGTTCATGTCTTTAAAGGAAGAAAAATGAAATTGTTCATTGAATTGTACTTGTCTCCTTATAAATGTCTCAAACAGTGGTGACTTGCAGTAGTTCCAAAAGTTATATTTCCATTTTATTATTTGTAATCCCATGGCATTTATGTTGTAGTTCAGTTCACAGAAGTGTTTGGGTTTCAGTTAGCAAATCTTTCTTGGTGAGCTCTTTCAGTCTTTGGGGTATCAAAGATGCTTTAGAAACTGTTCCAGGCTCTTTCCACTTTCTGGGGTTACCCCCCCAGAAGAGTCCCCTGGCAAGCTTCCTTCCTTTCCCCTTTTACTCTTCAGCTCCACCAATTTTAAAAGACTGTTCAGATTCCTCCAGCTGTCAGTAGCTTTTTAACTTTGTATTCCAGTAGGTAACTGAATACAGTTAATGTATAAATCCGTTAGAATGCAACCATCCACCAAGTCACGAGTTAAACGTTGCAACTCTCCTTTGCTGTAAGCAATGTCTGAGTCCCATTCACAAAAAAAGTTCCCTTTGCAGAGCTCGTCCACAGAAATCGGAAGCTGACTTCCTGTTTTGCTTCCGTTTTGCCAAATTAAATTTTTAGACTCTTAATTCAAAGTTCAAAATGTTCTATTTGACTTTTACCTCTAATTGGAAGATCTACTGCTTCTGGTGACGGATCGTTGCTTCGGCAGGAGGCTGCGTTGGTGCCGAGAGCGAACTTGAGCCTCTTCCCCTTCCCTCCTGTGCGCACAGCAGCAGCCGGGAGACGTTTGCAGGGGTGTGTGTGTGAGATTTTCCGCTCCGCTGGAGCCCTCGGGTCCCCACTCTCCTGGGGGGGGGGTTAGGGGGTGCGCTGATCTCTAGCGCTGCCATCCAATCCTCTCTGCCGACTCTGTGTCACGGACGACACTTAGCACACCGCCATTGTCCTCCTTAGCCTTGACCAGTAGCAGGAAGGCATCTCGGCACATCCCACGTCTTCCATGACCCTCAAAATGGCCCAGTGAACGATGCTGTGGCCAATGATCCAAATGTTTAAACCCAGGAACCTAAGATGAACAGCAAAAATCAGGCACAGGAAAACTTAACCACGCAGTCTGATGCATCCTTTATAAGCCTCTGATGTCCAGCGTTCCATTTTTAAAAAAAATATTATTCTGTCCAAAGATTTTTGAAGGCTTAGCACTTGTATCTGAAATCTTTCCTATCAAATTTCTCTTTCTGTTACCATGAGGAACTGCATGGAATTCCTTCTCATTTCCAATATAGTGTAACAACCATTTCACAAGAAGGTTGTAGCAGTGTAATAACTGTGCCTTCTGAAGTTGCCTGTACTTGAACCAGTTTTGATTTTATGGTAACATTTTCTCAACTCTGGGTCCTTTCTTTGCCTTAGTTGGGCACCACAGTTGATCCAAGATTATTGATCACAGTGCCAATTGGGTTTTTTTCCCCTGAGGAGAACCTTTGAATGGATACAGGAAGACATCACCACCAAGAGGCTTGCATGGCGGATCATTTACAATCTTCTGATAATCAGGATGAGTTAGAATATGAAGGGCTTTTTCTGTTGGAATGTTCAGGGGGGCAGGAGAGGATATATTTTTTAATTATATCCTTCCCAACTTGTGTTAACAAGTTCTATAATTTAGCAGAGTAGCATTCCCCTTTTAAATTTGCACAGCAGATAATGTCCATGCCAGGCTTGCATAAGCTTCTAAAATAAGTTTCCTGGTAATTACCTTTTATTCCCTCTTAAAAGAATAGACACGACAGTCTTGTATAAAAGTATATAAAATAGTTTACTCAAATTCTGTTCTCAGAAGGATCCCAGAAGGCAGACTTAAGTTGCTATATATATACACCTGGAATCTATCCCATAAGGAGATAGTTCCTTTGTCCTCTCGAAGCCAAGAGAGCATCTCAGGCTAAGGAGATGACGCCTAGTGTCCTTTACTGGGGATAGCCCCCTGTTTATTATGCATTGCCTGAAGCCGGGTAAGGGCCCCCTTCCCCTGTTGATCGGTTTTGAGTGACGGACATGCAGAACTAAATCGAGCAGGATAAGGTCAGGATTCCCAGGCCGCAGAATCCGGCTGGCCCTCGCAAACCACCTCACCAATGCGCAAAGCGCCAAAGGCAATGGAGTAAGCGGCAGAAAATAATTGTGCCTCAGATTTGTGTGTGTCTGTGTCATGCTTGTGCTACATTCATTGTGAGTGTCAACTCATGGTGTGGGGGTGCTCCAGACCCCTCCCCACCATGTTCGATGTCAGAATTACTGTAACCTTTAGCGGCTTCTTAGCATTTTCTTAAAGCTACAGGTTTCTTAAAGTTACAGGCTTCTATAAGTTCCTTTTCCCAGTCATGTGATGGCACAACGGCACTTTCTCACCCTAGCGCCATTGAGCCAGCCCTCAATTAAATTTAGTGCAACCACCTCACGGTACACCAGTTAGACGAATTTCTACATTTTACCCCAAATTGTGGGAGACTTCTGTGAGGGAAAACTTAATGATTTAGAGTGTCAGGCAGGAGTTGACCAAACAAACATGAAAAGTTTTTATTAAACAAAGGCAGTTTATGACACAAAGTGGGTCAGGAAACGAGTTCTTCAGGTAGAATTTAACTTACTTTATAAGATGTCTCAGGCTTAAACACATAATTATAGGTACAACTCTTCTTAAACTTCAGTTACTAAACATTGGTTAGCACACCGGGTAGATAAATATTCAGGTTTCCAGAAAAAATGTTAAAATGTTCAAATCAGTGTCTATCGCAGCTTGATGCTTTGGTTCATGAGTAAGGGGCATTTTTCTTCAGTTACTCCCTCTCTTAACAATCCCATAACTGAGGTATTATAAATGGTATTACAGACCCAGGGGATCCCCTCTCCCCTTGTTACTGGGTTGGGAGTCTTCAGTACCTAGAAGAATTCTCCCTGGCTAGACTGAAACCCAGGGAGCCAGAATTCCCTCAGGATCTCTCTCTCCTGGTTCAGACTCAGCCCTCCCAGCACACTCCTGTCTGGATCTCTTCCCCAGACTCTCAGCCTGGTCTCCCTATCCCAGCTGTGAGGCTCTGTCCTCTTCCTATGGATAGTCTCCTGAGTGTGTATCTCCTTTCCCTCTCAGAACCCCTTCACCCACTCTCCCAACCAGAAACTTGTCTTAACCTCTCCAAACCAATCATATCCCTTCCCTGGAACTCTGGCCAATCAGACCCTATTGCCAGTCAATCATTTGCTGGCAGGAAAAAAACCACTTGGTGACCCAAACTGCCCAGCAAACAAACTTTTCCGTCACAGGCCTTGGGTGTCAAGGACCTTTGTGGGCTCGATAGAGGAGTCTAGCTTTTCAAGGATAACATGAAAGACAGCCGAGGACAGAGGAGAACAGAGGAGAACAGTCAACCTGTGGACATCAGGAGGACTGCTCCAACCCCAAACAGTTGGCACAGGGTTGGATCGCAACAGGAATTGGCAATTCCATGTCAAATACCCATGCAAGCTTTCCTTCCACCCAAAATCATATCCCTAGACCTTCTGCCCACCTCACAACTGGATATCTCATGCAGCTTCTCAATCTCCACAATTAAGTATGGCAGCCATACTTGTTGAATATTTTAAGGATCTTCATGCCTCTACAGTCTCTAAAGTGGAATATTGGCATGCCAAATAGTTAAACAAAGCTCATGCTTACGTTCAGGATTGGGAATCTTCATTGCATAGACTAGCTGCAAAGGGATGCTGCTGGTCAGCTGATTTCTGTGTCTCATGTTTTCAGTGGCAGTGTAACATCTCGGCTTCTGTGGGAGGAAGCAGCATATCAGAATCACGGGGCTGGTCTGGACCAAGGAGGCAGAGCACAGCTTGTGGCAAACCCCCTCAGTGAAGATGTGTCATAGAGCTCTGTTGTCCTTATTTATGCCAAAGGCACAAGGCCGCCTGTGAGATCATCGTGGGCTCTCTGAAATGTGCCCTCTTTCCATGATGTTCAGAGAGAACCAAGGAGCGGAATTTAAAAGTTAATTCTCCTTGGACATCAGGACACAACAGGCTTAATTTTTTTTTTTATTGAATGTTACAAAAAAAAATGAATAGAAAAAAAGAAATAGAAACAATACATAACCATACATAAAAACATTTTATCTACACAATTTTCCAGAATGCAAACACAAAAGACAAAAGATAAAAGAAACAAGAAAAAAAATGAAAAGAGAAAATACTTTTCATAATCAATTATTCCAAATTCATACTTCAAACATTACAATATTTATACCCTAGTTAAAATATTATAAAAGACTTCCACCGCATTCACTACACGTCTCTTGGTTATCTAGTTAACTTTTACATCTGTTCTTCAGTCACTTCCTTTCCTTAAATTCTTTCATAGTAGGACACAACAGGCTTATTTGATTCCAAGTACCCTTGGCAAGTCCGTGCCAAATGTCCTCATTAGCCATTGTCTCAGCCATACCCGCAGGACGTCTCCCCAAATTCTATCCAATCTTCTTGCTTGCCAGAATCTCCTGGGCAGCGAGACCTTTTCAATAGGCAAGGCTTTCCTTGCCCTCATAGCAGGTGCCCAGGACACTGGAGAAATGCCTCATCCCAGGACAGTTGCTGAAATGGGCAAATGTCAGGCTGTCACTTCAGGGAAAGCGCTTTTCAGCTTTTGGGACTGCAGAATGGAAAAAAACTAGGAGAGCAATGGGCATTCCAGGATCCTGGGCGTTGTATAGTGGGAAAGATGGGTGACAAACACAGCTCTTTTAAGCAACAGCTCTTTATTACAGCAGTTGGCACTGCTCTAAGTCTCTTGAACAACATTGAAGCTGGCTGCCTTATATAATGCTCAATAACTTGTAACAGTAACAAATTCCAACTAACTACCCAATTGGTGAAAGCAGCTCTCAGTCCTTCATTTGCATACTGGTGGCCCAGAGTGAGAACGGCAGCCAGTCTGAATACATAACGGTGAGTAACACCATGCGGCTTGGGCGACAGTCATGTGGGTTATCCTGGTAGATCGTGGTTGATCGCGGGCAAGTAATGTCCCCTTATTCCTCCCCCAGTGCTCGGTTCCTCCGTTGGTGCTGCAGCAGTAGTGAACATTATGTAATATGGAAAGCGAAAGCAAAGTTAGCTGTATCGCTACGTGCGAGTGGCAGTGACATGTATTTGAGTGGTTTTTTAATCCCCCCCCCCCAAAGCTCAATAACTTCGATCAGGTCCCTGAAAAGCAGGTGATACGCTGGGCGCTTGCCTGTCTAGGCAAGTGGGGGGGGGGGAGGACAGAAAGAAGAAAGCCCATTTCCTTTTCCCCTCCTTGTAGCGCTCCCTGCCGTGGAGGCGGGCAAAGGCAGGGGGTGCGGCCAGCTCGGGTGGGCGTTGAAACTGGGGCTTTAAAAAATGGAGCGAAGTCGGAGAGAGCATGGTTTCCATAAAAACTGTCTTCCTGCAAAGAGGGGAGGGGTTGTGGGCGGGATCCGATCTCTGCCTCAAGCACCCATTCACCTGGCTGGCGCACCACGCCCACGGGCAAGCGCCCAACCAGGTGGCTTGGAAGGGATGTGGACGGCAGCTTAACTTGCTGCTGCGCCAGCCACGCGGCCTCACTTTTCGCCGTCCCGTCGCGAGTCTGGGGCTTTAAAAAATGGAGCGAAGTCGGAGAGAGTGTGGTTTCCACAAGAGTCTTTGCAATCAAGCACCTGCTGCTTGCTCAGCCACTTCTCTTAAGTGTGCAGCCAGCTGGATTGTGGCTAGTGGCCCCTTGTTGGAGATGAGAAACTGCGGGTCCATGGCTCCAACTTTACACTCTTACGCAGCCTCTGGTCCTGCAAACTGGAGACCTGTGTGGAACAAATTTCCTGTTCTGGTTTGGCGGGGTGTCTTCAGACTTCAGTGTGCCTGTTACTAGGAGCTACTCGGGTTTACAATAAAAAAGCGACGTACTTTATTGAAGAGGCTCAAAAAGCGTTGAGAAACTCTGACTGTTTGGGAAATGAGGGGGGTTGATTTCCCTGGAGTCGGAGAAGCCAGTCACAATGCTATCGCCTTACAAGAAATCTCCGAATTTGAGGAGCCGTTGCCGGAGCTAAGTGAGGCTGAACCGAAAAGGCAAGAGGGAAGCTGGGACAGACGGAGAGTGCCAGAATGCTTCCTACTCGATCTTCCTACCGTGGACCATGGAGTTCTGGCCGGAAGTGCCCAATGTCAACCAGCTATCAGGAAGCCTGTTCTGAAGGCACTAGGATGATGCCGTGACCCATCCACCCAAGCTAACCTCAGTGCGATTTGAAGCAAGCTGCTGCAGAAGCGATGCCGTAGTCTTTGCTGCCCTCTCCATCATTGCAGAAAACTCCATCATTGCAGCTCTCGGTTGACTTTCCCCAAGTGGCCCCCAGGATGAAGAGGAAGGAGAATTGAACCAGAGCCCCAAGCAAATGCTCCATGGTCTTCAGGATGCTGTTGCCACAGCTGGAAAGGAATCCATCAGCTTTTTCAAAATAATAAAAAATGTAAGCCACAAGGAAGTAGCAGGAAAATTCTACTGTTTGTTGGAGCTAGCAAATCTGCAAACTATTGACCTGAAGCAGATAGACCCATGCGGTGATATTACTATAACGCTTGGTTCCAGATTCCATCGTCTTTGAATGTTTGGCTTACTGCATGTTAGCACAATTAGTGCTTACCTACAGGAGAAGAAAACAAGTTAAGTCTCCTAGCTCTTAGGAAACCAAAATGGAGAGCAAGAACAGAACAGAACATGGAGGCCGGGTGCTCCTCTGTCCAAGAAGAGGCCACACCCACATTAAGTCACATGCAAAGGAAGTCTGTCCCAGCTCAGGAGGAACTAGCAAGTTTTCTCCTGAGTGATACAAAGCATTCCCCAGCATGTGCATTGTAGGAATGTTGTACTTGACTGCAATATGTTTTTACATCTCACAAATACTACCTCTGGACTTTTGGCCAGCTTTAACCCAGTGATTTATGTTATCTCATTAAACATATTTACACCTCCACCACATGTGAACATAGTACTTGGTTTCCTGGCATCCCCTTCAACATAACGCCGAATATTCCTTATTTGTTTGATTTAATCTTACTGGTGTTAAATACCACCTCCAAGCTAATTTATAATAATTTTCTTTTATTCTTATAGACATTTTCAATGTACGATTCTCCCATATTTCCTTCTCCCAGCTTTGACTATTTGTCCTGTTGTCTCCTATTCCCACACCTCTTTCAATTGATCATCCTGATCCTCCATTTCTACTAATATTTTATAAATTTCACTGGTATTATCCTTTTATAATTGTATTTTCTTAATCCCCCCTTTTTAAAATCATTGTTTTAAATTTTGTTTTAAATTCTTTGCAGTTTTCCCTTAACTACTTCTTTGTCCATTGCTTCAGTTGTATACAGTTAAACAAAGTTGTTTTAGTTCCTGTTAGAGCGTCTGTCACTTGTTCTTTGCTTCTCATTTTCTCCACCCAATTCTTTAGTTAAAAGTAATTTCTCTTTTGCTTCTTTTTCAATATCCTTTAAAACATTTCCTGGGAAGTCTTCTATCACTACCTCCACAGTTATTTGGGAATTTGCTGGTATCAATTTTCTTTTATATTTCACCCATATTGTTTCACTTGATTTTGGGGGGCAACTTCACCCATGCTTCAGGCAATTGGTTTTTGAGCATTTGCTGTTTTCTTTCACACTTGGGGAATCTTGAAATAATATTTGCACCAATCTGCATACTGCAATTTGACAATGATGGGTTGATATATCCCTTTAGCCATTTCCTAGACAGGAAGGTTGACTACAGAGAGCAAAGGGTATGTGCTTGAAGGGATAAGGATGCATGACTTTACGTCTTTATATACAGGTTATTGATTGCACTAATTTGTTTAACAGGTGTATGAGGTGTTAGGGGAGGTGGCGCCCTGTACTCAGCTCTCACCTGTGGTTCCTAGAAGTTGTCAGCATGCAACAGCAGCCACACCCTGGAAATGGCTTGGACTGGCCAGCTAAACCACATGAGGGTAGCTGATGGTTCTCAAACCCTCTGGGAGTCCCTTTCTCTGTGAAGAGATCCAGAGTTGGGTATAAGAAGCTGCCTTACATTGAGCCAGGCCACTGATCCATCTAGCTCAGTATTGTCTACATTGACAGGCAGCTGCTCTATAGGATTTCAGGCAGACGTCCCTAGGGATTGAGCTGTGGCCTTTCCCCATGCATTGACCGTGTGGGGCATTCGGAAAAAGTATTTCACAAGTGATTAAATACCACTGTGCTGGTCCCGTGGGTTATCCGAGAGGTGAGGCCCAAGTCTGGTCCGTGGTCAGAGGTGCAACGTGGAGGCAGTCCGTAGTACCCGAAGCTGGGTGCAGGGCAGGGAGTCGGGTGAAGTCAGGAACAGGCTTGCAAGCAGGGTGCCAGGGCAGGGCAGGAGCTCTAGCAGGAAAGCAGGGCAGGCTTCAGGCAGGAACTAGCAACCAACAATGTTGTTCCCACAACTTGGGAGTGGGGTTGGCCGGCTTGTATCTGCTCCGAGGCATAGGGTGGCCACGATCCTCTGGTGACTCTCCTCTCCTGGCCTGGAGGCGAGCACTCCTCCTACGGGAACTTAGTTCCCTCTGCCTCTCTGCCTTGAGCCTCTGCAGCTCAGGAGAGGCTGGAGGGTTACCAGACTCAGAGGCAACCTCATCTTCCTCTGACAGGGCTGAGAGTGGAGCACCTGCAGACAGTGGGTCCTCCATCACCTCAGGAGCCAGAGCAGACTCAGCTGATGCCTGCACCTGAGGACCCAGCACAGGTGGTGAGGACCCTTCAGGCTCATGCCCCAGCCCCGGCTCAGTTGGTTCTGGAGGTGGAGAATCCTGTGCAGGCTGGGATCTCTCAGGTTCAGCATCCAAGTCCGAATCCCAGGCCATCACAACCACTTTGCAATGATTCCTGCTGGAATACCTTAACCAGAGACAAAACACGTCGCCATTCTTCTACGCGTGGACACGCCCTTCCTCGCCATGTCAGGCTATTTCTGCCGAAAGCATCATGCAATCGTAGAATTGTGGAGTTGGAAGGGACCCCAAGGCTCATCTTGTTCAATCCCCTGCAATGCAGGAATCTCAGTTGAAGCATCCACAGCAGCTGGCCATCCTATTAAAGGTCACAGTTCATCACACTTAAGCTGCGTGAGAATACTTGCGTGTAGGCATCTCATTAGAAGCTTTCGTCCATTTAGCAGACTTTCTGGGAAGCAGTGATCAGCGATTGCAGTTACACTTTGAGATGAAACACTCACAGGCGCCGTAAAACTCAGTCAAGTGATTTATTCCTTGAACCAGTCATAAACGCATCACGGTAGTTAGTACTATTTACAATCATAGCAATAGCTGTAATTGCATACTTGACTTTCACTCCCTCTTTCTCTTGAGCAACGATGTAGGAAGACACTCCATCGGCAATCATGACAGAGCAGTTTGCAGACAGCATTTGTTGCTCAGTTGTCTGCCGTCCGCTCTGTAAAGTGTTCACTAAGCTCAGTCAGCTGTGCAAAAAGATTTTTGTTTTTTCACTTTTTTGATGGACAGTTTTATTTCCAACCATATCAAAATTCATTGGAGTTTAATCCATATTTCCAATACTACTTAATGCATAGCCATGTTTTGTGCTCTGTTGTATTACGTATCGATGGAAACTATTTACTTTGCTATCAAGATCTGCAGGTAATTTTTGGGCAATTTTCATCTTTTAGATCACTGCTAGTAATGTCATATTGTAAAGTTAGCTGTATTGCTATGTGCCAGTGGCTTGTATTTTTTGGAGTGTTTTTGCCACCCCCCCCAATTTCTCAACAGCTCAGTGCCCCACCCCCCAAAGCTCAATAACTTTGATCAGAAAGGTGGTTCATAAACTTATTTTTTTTTTTTAATGCCTGCTCTAAAGGTCTGGTCTTGCAGCTATCTAAAATTTCATTAATTTCGTGAGGTAATGCCTTGTTCCCCCTCCACTGAATTGAAATTTCAGCCTTCATGACATAGGAAAACAGCCAAGTAAACAGCTGTTTTTATTACTTTATGACCAATTCAGCTTTATTTGGCATGAATTGCTTTTTTTTTTAAAAAAACAACACAGTAAAAGATGCTGAATACAGATTGATACTACAAACAGCAGTACTTTTTTTTAAAAAAAACTTTTAATGATGATAGTATTGGCATTTCAATCAAAATGTGACTCATACGATCCTACAATTATTTTTTCCACATTTAAGCAAGTGGATATGTGAATATTGAATACCAACTTTTATTATGACTTAATACTAATAATGACATGCAAAGTTACATTTACATTACTTGAAGAACAAATAAAAAAATGAAAGCCGTGAATGTGAACTATTTTGGGACAAAATTCTTCTTTGATTCCTGTTTCGGGTATTTGGCCCGATTCTCCATTGATTTCTTTATAGTTAATATAGACCATATATATAGTTTATATAGACCAACTTAAAGATTTCTACATACTCACCATTCAATATTTTGGCCCTGGTTTTTGAGGACAAATGATTACCCAGGATAATGTCCTTGGGCCTGTTGGTAGAGACTTTAACGTCCTTTAGAGAGGCCCGTTCTTATACTCTTAAGATCCCTCCAAACCGTTTTCGATGGGAATTTGCTCTCCTATTCCAAGCCTATAACGGTAAACCCTGACCCCTGACCCCAGTAACAATCTAGTGACTCATCGCTATCAGAGTCAGAGCTGGAAGAAGAGGAGGACGTACCTGAATCTGAGTCTGAGTCGTCCTTCCTGGACTTCTTGCTCTTCTTGGAATGCTTCTTATGACAACGCTTCTTGGCTGCTATAGCTGCATCTGGGTATTGAAGCACACTTTTCTCAGAAAGCGCCTGCGGTTTGTGACAATGCATTGCTCGGCATGCAGCTGGAAAATGACACTGATGGCTGCCTCCCAGCCGAGACGGGAATGGGAGGGGAAGAAACCCGCCTATCTGTCTTCCGCAAGGCCTTTCGGTCTGTGCGCCGAGCCTGCTCCTCCCCCCCTTGGGGCGCGATGGCAGAATGAACATTTTTTCACGCGCGCGATGCAGAACTAGGTTGCTTGTTGCAGGACTTGGGTGTGGGAGCCCCATGCTGCGGTGCAGCATTAGTTGACTGCAAGTTACCGAAAAAGGCCTGGGACGTGCCAGGCATCTCTCCATCACTCTGAGACCCACTAGAGCCACTGGCTCCAGTATTGGAAATGTGGTCAGGGGAAGACTGATGGCCTGAATCCTGGCCTTCATCTCCTGGTCTAAACCTTTGCATCATAGAATCAAACTCAGTAAAAAACTTTCGCAGTGCCCGCGGGTTTTTTGCCATTCCTGCCAAAGTTGAACCCAATTGCCCTTCCGCCTGCCCTCCAATAGAGGAACCCTTGCCTGACTGAGCACGCTTGACAGGAGCACTTTTTTGCCCGGAGTTAGCAGTGGCCATTTCCTGATTTTTCTTGGGCGCCATGAGTCCACCGAATAAGCTCTCGCCCGCTTCAGTTAAAAAATCAGCACCTTCAAGGCTAGCTCAGTACTGACTACACTGCTGACAACTTTAATGATATAGAACAGAATCAAGGTCCTAAATATCCCACACTACAGAAGCAACAACCAATTGTGAAGTGAACTTACCGCAATACAGTCACAAAGACACCAAACACAAAATTAAGCCCCCGGTATTGTCCACTGTTGTTGCACAATAAACAAGCAACCACCAATTGAAAAGTAAACTCACAGCAAAAACAATTTTAACATTCACAGCAATGAAGCAACCTGGCCCCCAAATTCACTTAAACCACCAGCATTAAGCCCACAGAACAAGTTAAAATAATAGTGATGGTACTAATTGTACCAATACGCGTTTGAATGCACAACAATGAGGCTGAATACAGGAACTCCAGCACCACCGATATGCCAAACACTAAATTTAAAAAACTCCACCGCAGCTGACCCCCGTGCCTATGGGTAAACTACGAAAAATAAAATTAAGAACCATAGGGTCCAATAGCAATCCTAATTATTATTTTATGTGTGTGAGAGAGAAAGTGTGTGTGTGTGTGTGTGTGTATTATTTATTTATTTCAATTTAATTATTATTAAATTTATTATTAATTATTATTTTCTATCAATTTATATTCTGAAATTATAATAAACGTCTGACTTATGACCTTGAAATGCAAACAAAGGGACCAGAGGCCAGGAGAAACAGCCCAATCTGTTTATTTACTTCCTACTGCCAGCCAATACAAAATGGCTCAGAGCACGTGCCGACAAGCACATGGTCACTATTCAATGCCTCACCTAAGATGGCGACTACCAACCCAACCACGTGGTCCCTTTCTTAAATGGCCGCCTTTGCCAGCCACGCCGCTAGGTAAACAAAGGAGCCTGGGGTTTAAAAGGCAAAAACCAGAAGCCACAAATGACCGGGAATAAGGTTATCTGAATGCGCTATGGCGAACCAGAGACCATTCAGCGCAGGAGCCTCACAATAAAAGTCAAGGCTTAAGCCACCAGCTGCAAAATATCCAAAGGGGAAGCAGCCAGCTAGCGCCGCGTGCAAAGCGAAGTGCACATTCCTCAGCTGAAACCGGCAATAATAATCAGTAATAAGTTGTTTCCCTCCAAGTTTGCGTCACTGAATGATTAAAAGGAAGGATCCAATGCTAAGGAGCATCCCCTTTAACAGCCTCACTTAAGATGGCGACCGGCAGCTGCCTGTGCACGTGGCCAATTCCAAATGGCCGCCGCTGCCGTCCACGTGCTCCCAGCCACCAATGGGGACCCACAGGCACCAAACAGGAAGAGTAACACTAAACAACTAAACACACTGCCCAGATCCGTCTCTGCTCCCCCCCCTCAAACTGGCGGGCTTCTCCCTCACTGCACAATCTCTTTAACAGCAAGCCCCCCAGAGCCCAGGCGCTGTAAAGAAGCTGGAGGCTTGAGCCGGAAGAATGGCAGTGAGAGGCACGATAAGACCAGTAAATGAGGAGCTTTTAAAGGCAAACCACCACCTCCTAACTCTCTGTCCCGGAGCCTTTATGGAAGCCTTGCCGGGGGGGGGGGGCAGCTGAGAAGGGAAACACACTGCCATGTTGTGACTGTGACTGGATGGGGAAAGGAAAGACAATTATTGACCTGCGAGGGTACCGACAAATGCAGCCCGATGTAGGCTTGCTTCGCGAGATGAGGTAAAGCCTTAAGCAAAAGTGGCTCCAAAATGGCCTTCAAAAGAAAACCAGCTTCCTGCCCAAGAAGGATAGAACTTTCTTTATGTATGCTACAACAGCAGCAAGAATACTTATCACAAAGCACTGGAAGACACAAGATCTACCCACCAGGGAAGAATGGCAGATGAAGTTGATGGACTACATGGAACTGGCGGAAATGACTGGCAGAATTCGAGATCAGGGAGAAGAGTCGGTGGAAGAAGATTGGAAAAAATTTAAAGTATATTTACAGAAACATTGTAAAATCAATGAGTGTTAGAAGGATGCTGGAATGAAGCTATATGGTTTTAGTAGAAATGTAACAAAGAATTAAGTAAAAGCTGATTGATAACGGGCCAAAATGAAAAAAATTAAGGTTAGACCGTTAAGATAAATTATAGAACAAAAATTGAGAAAGATGGAAAGAATTTGCTGAAATAGTGAATTGAACTAGAATACAAAAAAAGGGAGGTGTGAGGAGGTTGATGAAACAAGTAAAGGAAAGGTAAAGATATGTAATATTGGATGTGTGTTTTTTCTTTTTTGTTTCTTTTTGTTGTATTGTTGAATTGCTTTTCTATGTTTTCTTTTTCTTTTTTATTGTTGTCTTTATTTTTTCTGTAATCTTTAAACTTTTAATAAATATCATTAAAAAAAAAAATCAAAAGAAAAACAGCTTCCCACGCTGCAGCACTGATGCCCCGGTAAAAGCCGCCACCAGACACAGTTGCAAAGCTGGGATTGAGAGCGGCACACAGGAAAAGAACTCCGCCTTTTCAGGAACCGGGTGAAGGCTGCTTTGCAAAAAGCTGCAGCCAAAGTGTGCGTAGGGGGCAGAACTGCCGCTGCAACTAGGGAAGGCTGGAGGCTAGCGTCGCGAGGACTGCTTAAGAGCCCAGCCTGAGTGGCAAGCGGGAAAATTGAGGTGTTCCCAAAGTAAAGGAAGGATTGAACTCTGATTAATAAGAATACACACAGAGGCTTGAACCAGCAAGACTCTGGGAAGGGTGTGTATAATAATCTCTGCCTGTCTCTCCACCCCTCGGCCCAGGTCGTTTTATTCACAAAAGAACTTTTACAGAGTGTTCGTAAGAACCAATTAGATTTCTTCTGAGCATTTCAACAAACCCCACGTGGGGACAAAGTTAAATTACCAAAACTAATTAAGCACACATATTTCTGGGGTAAACAAAACAGAACTACAAAGGAGTGCGTTTGGCAATCCCAGAGGTGATAAACAAGCAGTATACATGATAAGAATGATGGCCAGGAGGACAGCGATCATTATCACCTTCAGGTGAGATCTGTTTCCTAGCCCTAAGATCAACATCCTAAGATTAACATATCAGAGAAGCTACATCAAAGAAACTGCCCACTGTCTTTGATGACCCAGGATGCCTGCCTGGCGAAGCAACTGGGCTGTGTACGTGACTTGCGTGGTGAGTTCCCGCCCCCCACCAAGGATAAATAAAGACACCGGACACCAGACTTAAGGTTAAATGGGCGAATTAGGCCACAACTTTATTGAATTCGGGAATGAGAGGCATTGGCTTAGGCATTGGTCCTATCGACTATCCAGCTCCAGCCCATTTGCTGAAGACTGGGAAGGCTTAGCACCATAGTGGGGGAGTCTCCTGCTGAGGCACGTCAACTAGGAGCTCCCCCGGGTCACCGCTCGGGGGCGTGCCTTAGGCCCACACCTCCATAGGCTTCGGACAGGGCCATGCCCCCCGGAGTCCTTTATCGGACCACCCTTCGCTCTCTGGGGGGAGGTGATGGTGTTCCTCCCCCCCCACATCCTCTTAACCCCTTCTTACCAATGCCTAACCGCCACACGAGCAACTGCTCGCCGCCAATACTCTCATGCCTGAAACCAATCCCCCTTATCCCCTTTGCTATATCCATCAGCCAAATATCATTTCCCGCATCCGAAAGATGCACGCCATCAAGCCGGTAGAGGGCCTCGCAGTTGAAACGTATGCCCGGGTGGTCAATGACCCTCCCACCCAGGGCTGCCACTCTACGCACCACTGCCCGATCCAAGGCTTTCCTAGCCCTATTTATGGCTATTGGGCACCTGCTATCTCTCCAAACCCGCCTTTCCATCAACAAGGCCCAAAGAATGGTGATGTTTGGATAAGAGGCCTTAAGTTCCTCAAAGTCACTAAAGATATGCCACATCAAGTCGACTGCCTTTCAGTAAGCTAAATCATTTTCACCTAATTGGATAACTAAAGCATCTGGGGGGCCCTCCGCTGCCGCTCTGGCCCTAATTGCGGGCAACATTTCGGCCCAGCGCATTCCCCTCCAAGAGATCCAGGATATATTGATGTCAGACGGTAATTTAAGTTGCGGCCCGAGACCGGAATTGATGGCACGGACCCTGGCCCAATGCACAATGCTGTGCCCAATTATCCAGATGCGCGCCCTCATAGCTCCTGCAAGAAATTGAAAGAACAGGCCAAGGTCAGGTAACCCCAGGAAAGCAGTCATATTTTTTTTCTAACATAGCGCTTGTAAGCATCCGATTTCCAGCGGCCCAGGTCCTTAATCCTCTCAGCAGTCAGGCCCAGGTGCATTGCTGTGGTGGCCGCTCCTATCCTAAAAGAGTGCGCCGCGAAATCCGCGGGGGGTAAGCCACATGCTGCCACTGTTACGTGCATAACACGTGTGAACTGGTTCCGTGTCAGGGGTGAGCCATCAGCATGGATCAATAGTGGCCCAGTGGAATTAGTCCTCAGAAATAAGAAACGCCTAGAGTCCTTAACTGGACAAGGGCCTGATTTTCCGGTTGCCAAGAGCCGAACCAAAGCCCCCCTCCCGTACTGATCTGTTTTGGAACTGCGTATCCGCAAGACTAGATCCTCCTGCGATAGCGTGACATCGCTTAATAGCAAACCCCGGGAGGAACCTCGCTGACCCTCTTGGTATACCACCTCACCAACACGAAGTGCGCCGAAAAAGGCGATGGAGTATGCCGCTGAGAATAAGCGGGCCTCGTACTTAGACCAGCAGACAGTTCTCGACTTTTTATGAATCTGATAAAGCAGGGGTGTCAAACTCAAATTCATCGGGGGCCGCATCAGCAGTTTGGTCACCCTCAAAGGGCCGGTTGTATCTGTAGGACTATGTGTCCACTCTTTATTTTCATAAATTATTGTCACTGCATTCAATTATTACTGTTTTTTGTAATAATGTAAGTAATAACTAGCTCTGAAAGCAGAAACATACTGTAGTCAGAATAATGGCAAGTAGATATTCAAATGTACAATTATTGTACAATTTATTGAAAAATGATTTTTGGTAACAGACAGTAATTTTTTTTAAAAAACATACAAATATTGCCAAACACTGTTCATTACACATAGAGGAAACACAAGGCATTAACTTTTTTTTAACTTTTCTGACTAGATGGCTGACATCGTTTTCCTGAGGTCAGTCCATCGATGTCTGGCGTTAGGTCTTGTGCTGTAGCAATCCGCAAAACAGCATGGAGGTTATCATCAGTGATGCGTGATCTGAGCGTGGTCTAGTTCAGATTCATGACTGAAAACATCTGTTCACATAGATAGGTGCTCCCAAACATGGACAGAACACGTGCAGCTTGAAGTCGGAGCTGTGGCATCAAAGCAGCGGGGAGGAGACTGTAAAAGTCGTTGACTGTTGCATCCTGGAACTTCGCTTTCAGGCTGCTGTTGCACTGAAGTTCTATTAATTCCATTTGAAGGTGATGTGGTGCACTGTCAACATCGATGTTGAAGGGATTGGCAAAGCTGGTAAAGGTTAAGTTTTGTTCTTTAAAGTCAGAAAAGCGTCGATTGAATTCATCAATCAGCCGATTCACTTTGGTACCCAATCGAGCACATGAAAAAGTACCTGGGAATGAGGTTGAGATGCTCTGGCAGATAGGAAAGTGGGCAAGACTGTCTTTTTCAAGCTGTGACTTCCATAGGCGCAGTTTCTCCTGGAAAGCTGTTAGTGCTTCATACATTGAGGTTATGACTTGTTTGCGGCCCTGCAGCCTCAGATTCAGTTGGGTGAGATGCTCTGTTATGTCACACAACATGGCAAAATCGCACAGCCAGTTTGGATCTGACAGTTCTGACAAGGGCTTCCCTTTACTTTGCATAAAAAGAGTAATTTCTTCCAAAAGCTCAAAAAATCTATTGAGAACGGTGCTCCTACTCAGCCACCTTACTTCTGTATGGTATGGCACATCTGTATGTTCCATGCCCACCTCCTTCAAAAATTGTTGGAACTGACGATGATTCAGACCCCGTGCACGCAGAAAATTCACTGTTTTCGTGACTGTGGACATTATGTTATCCAGTTGCAGAACCTTGCCACACAGAGCTTCTTGGTGGATAATGCAGTGATAAGTTATCAGCGGCGTGTGGCAATTACTTTTTTTCATTTTCTCTTTTAACAGTACAACCAAGCCATTTCTCTCTCCACACATTGCTGAAGAGCCATCAGTAGTAAGTCCCACCAACTTTTCCCAAGGTAATTTCATTTTATTTACGGATTCCTCCACTGCATTGAAGATGTCCCTCCCAGTTGTTGTCCCATACATGGCGACCACATCCAAGAGCTCCTCACTGACAGACAAGTCTTCCTTCACACCTCTTACAAAAATAGCTAGATGAGCTGTATCAGTATTGTCAGTGCTTTCATCAACAGCTAATGAAAATGCCAGATAACTGCATGCCTCTTCAGCCAACTTTGTTTTAAGATTACAGGCTAGGTCCCTGACTCGGTCTGTGATGGTGTTTCTTGACAAGCTGACACCTGTTCACATACCTTCAGCATACACTGCTTTACAAATGCACCTTCTGAAAAGCACTTTGAAGCTCGCGCAATTTCTTCAGCCACAAGATAGCTGGCTTTCACTGCTGCATAATTTTTTGCTGTCATTTTGCATATATATTCCGTTGAGAATGCAGGCTACCTTTTAATTCTTGGACCTTTTGTTGCTTTTCCTGGTGGCTAAGGTTAGCAAATGTGGCTCCATGTTTGGTCTCAAAGTGCCGGCGTAAATTGTATTCCTTCATCACTGCCACTGCCTCATAGCAAATAAGACATACCGGCTTGTCTCCATTAATCACAAACATGTATTCACTTTCCCATCTCTCCTGAAATTGCCTTCCCTCTGCATCAACTTTTCTTTCCTTGGACATTTTTGGGTTATTTGATTGTAATTTATGGTCCCTATACCACTGTAAAGTGACACGGAAGTGGTCAGTATATCCAAAGTTTACCGCTCAGACTTTTAAGCAGAATAATAAGCAGACCCCCCCTAATAAGCAGACCCCCCCCCCCACATACATCATATGTACTTACAGTACAGGAGAGAAGGGTTCAGGCAGCCGTTGGATCTGTCACATCACAGGATGGCATGCGCTCAATATAAAAACAAGTGGAGGTTTCCTGAATGCATGTAAAGTGGAGGTTTCCTGTGTAGAACGGCTGGCGCCGCTAGAGGGCAGACGTTCTCTGGCTTGTAGGCTGCCGCGCATGCGCTGAAGAGGCGGCTTTCTTGTGTCAAGAAAAAAAAGCGAGAATAAAAGGTGAAGGCTGGCGGCGGCTACACGGGCCACATGACGAGGTCTGGCGGGCCGGAATCGGCCCGCGGGCCTTGTGTTTGACACCCGTGTGATAAAGGATGTCAAATGATATTGGCCTTCTCGTATCGCAGCTGGAGGGCTGCAGCCTGCGCCAGCCCTCCAAGGCCTTCTGCACGACAAAGTCGGCACATGGGTCAGAGGAATAAACTGACTTGCAAAAGAACGATATTGCCGGTGCCTGTAAGTTGAGGGTTTTAGGGGCACGGCCCAAGCGTCTCAGGTGTACTAAGTAGGAAAGAACCTCTGACTTGACAGGAGGGGAATTGATTCTAGCGACGTAGGATTTACTGCGAAATTTTAAGAAATCCGACCAAGCTTTCTTATAAGATTTTAAAGTGGAAGGCGCCACTGAGGCTAATACTCCCTGCATCACTTCTAGTTCCCAAGGCTCCATAAATGCTCCAGGAATGGTTGAGGAAGCTGTTGTGCGTCCGGTGCTAACGAGTGGAAGCGGTCCATCTGAAAACGAGATAGGGCATCCGCAATGTCATTGTTAACACCAGGCACAAATTTGGCGGAGAAGTGGATATTGAGCTCTAAACACAAGAGAATGAAGGAACGAAGAAAGGCACCCCCCCTTGGAGACCGGGCAGCCTGCTTGGAAAGGACTGCTACTACTGCCTGGTTTTCTGTGTGAAAGCATACCCTATGGTTGCTAAATTTCTTAGACCACAAGTGCACCGCCACTACGATCGAAAAGAATTCTAGGAAGGTTAAATCTCTGGTAATGGGGCCTTCCTGCCAGGCTGCAGGCCAGCGCTGGGCACACCATTGCCCCCTAAAATAACACCGAATCCAAGAGAGCCTGAAGCGTCTGATTGTACCTGGAAGTCAACTTGCAGCGACGTGTTATCCTGCCACAAGGAAATTCCGTTAAAATTTTTCAAAAAGTTCAACCAGACTTCCAGGTTGGATTTTACCTCCTTTGATAGGCAAACCCTGTGATGGGGGGATCGCAGGCCTGCTGACATCCTCGCTAGGCGGCCGCAGAATGGGCGACCAGGGGAAACCACATGGCAAGCAAAATTTAAATGGCCTAACAGTGACTGAATCTGCCTGAGGGTAACTTTCCTTAGGGGGAGAAGTTGTCAAATAAGGTCTCCGAGAGCAATTTTTCTTTGGGCAGTCTAGAGGTCTGGGCAATAGTGTCCAATTCAATACCCAAGTAAACCATAGTTGTAGCTGGGCCCTCAGTTTTGTCTGCAGCTAGAGGAACACCCAACTCCCCTGCTAAAGAAATGAAGGCTTCGAGAAGTTCCTTTTTTTTTTTTAATGATATTTATTGAAAATTTTTCAAATTACAGAAAAAGACAAAGCAGAGAAAGAAAAAAGAAAAAACAGAAAAGGGGGAAAAAAGCAAACCACATCCAACAATACAAATTCAAAAAAACAAAAATACACCACAAACATACAAAAATAAAACCAACATTCTCAAATCTTCAACTTTCATTACCTTCTTTCTTTGACCTCCTCCTCCCTTTTTTTGTATCCCAGTTATTAATTATCGCAGCAAATCCTTTCCATATTTCGTAATATTCTGTCATTACATTACCTTGATCTATTTTCATCTTATCTTATAAAAAACCTTAAAACTTAAATCTTATTTTTACCCACTTCTCATGACCATAATATTCTTGCCTAATTCTTTAAACATTTTTGCTAGAGCCAAGTAATTTCGTTGCAACATTTTTCTAACAGTCATCAATTTTATAAAACAATCCTAGTAATAAAAAAATGAAATAGAAACAATCCAATCTTCATCCAGCGTCCCTTCCTCCTGGTCCCGGGTTTTGTCAGTCCTTTTTATCCCATCGATCTAGCGCATTAACCTGGTAACCTTATATCCGAGGCCCTTAAGTCCCTTCCATGTCCCTTCCGCAGCTCTTCTTCATATTCACCTTTCACTCGTGGGAACTCCAGCTTGGTAATGTTTTTGATCCTTTTCAACAAATCAGCCCCTTTTCCATAGTCCAGACTAAACTCCATGTAGTATTTAAAGTCATACTTCAGAATCCCTCCAAAATTGAGAGCCCCCACAGCTCCAAACATCTCGCGGCCCATTGCCAGACTCGGAAAGTCCAAACATCCCTGCATAGGGGGGTCTATCCAACCCCCCATTTCCAAATCAGTCCAAACTTTATCTTTCCTAATCTGGCTTTTTCCGAGTTCATTTGTCAAATCCAAAAGCTCATGTTCCTGCTGGGCCTCAGCTCCCTCCATCTCTGGCGCCCAAGATTCCGCAACATCCTCTTCTCTCATCTGTTCTGTCAGGGCACACTCCTGATTTAATTCCTGGGTGGGCTCCGTATAGTTTCCCACTGCCTGTTCAAAAATTCTGACCACATTAGTCATCAAATCTGTCTTCTCGGTTAACTGTTCCAGTAGGGCATTTGTTTTACAGAGAGCACACAACAGAGCTTCTGAATTCATTGTCCTACAAGGTCACAAGCCTTTTCCCACGATTGTAATCTGTGGCAGCTGCAAGCTCCCTGGAATTAGTTACAGTTTCCCAGCCTCCCTCTAGGGGGAAAACTTCTAGTTGTTCTTGCAACAAAGTTTCTTTTTTAAGATATTTTGTCAATATTTGTTCCTTTAAAATGCGAAAGGAAACAGTGGAATCACTATGTTTCTCTTCTTTTAGCTATCTATCAAAAACGTTTGTCTCTGGTCAATGAGCTTCAAACGTCAGTCCTGGCACCCTGCTCCAGGATCAGGACGGTGGAAAGTTACTTTACTTTAAACTCACTTCTGCAGGTTTAAACAGTCCGAAAAAGATCCCCCTTCTCCTGCTGCCGAAGGGGGGTTCGAGGATTTTAAATGATGAAAATGACGAGGGCAGGGATGACGAGGGCCTGCTCGTCACAAAAATAAATCAGTCTCACACCAGGATGCTTTTTGTAAAGGGTCTAGCAGCCTCAGGAGAGAGAGAAAAAGAAGAACTCTCTGGAGCTGCAGCCCAGCATTTTTATTAAGAACAGTACAACAGTGTATCAATCATCATGCAAGGCAAACACCAAATATGGGGATCACCCCATTATCAAGCCATACAATAAGAACCAATCACCTTCCTTGCATGAGGCGATCACGCGCTCATCATGCCTAACACAGCCTGCAGTATCAAAAGGTCAAACTATAGTAAATTCCCATCCTGGCATCCATCTTGTCATGTAGGTACAAACAACCATTTTCCTACATGCCCTCTTTTCTTATTTGTTTTATGAAAAGTAAAAAATAAAATTTAACAAAACCTAATCAGAATCATTTGTTTCATTTCCTAAACGCTGATATCTTGCAATGTAAATTCCTCTTGTGACTCCAGTGGTAGGTCTTGGACGATACCACCAGGTACTACATTGAGCAAACAAAGAGGGTAGGCATTGAATGCAGCAACACAACACAATAAATCCTGCAACAAGCAAAATTACAATTAGTAAAATTTTCCTTAACCACACTCTATTAGGCAACCAGGAAGACAACCATTCCCATGGATCAAAACCTTCGGGAGGATTCAAAGGATTATGGGCTATCATTTGTTCCATATAATCAATAGTAGCAGAAATATTGGCCGATTGATCAGATATATACATACAACAATGGGAATGAATTAAAGCACAAACTCCACCTTTGGAAGCAAGGATTACATCTAAAGCATAACGATTTTCAAGAGTCACATCTCTCATTTCTGACATTTCTTTGTTAATTAATTTTAAGGCCAAGATAGTAGAATTAAACAAGGCTTCAGTCCAATTAGCCAATTTGTGCAAATCACGGTAATTCATGCCTGCACCTAAAGAGGGCAGGAGAGATCTAGAGACGGCTGTCCCTGTATATTGAGAGATAGGTGATCGCACTTCCCTTTTGTTACGCAAACGAACCACTGGGAGCTTGTCCAGTTTATAGACCAGGGGTATGACTATTCCTAAGGTGCACGTTCCAGAAAAGGCAAAGGGGATTTCTTTGTAGGCTCTAGTACCACAAAATAACCATAAATCAGATCGAAGCAAACATGTAGATTTGCTGCTTTTCTTCATCCAATCAAACCAAACATAAAAATCTCTACACATAGCCTGTTGTTCATAAGTCATGTTGGTCGTGACATTATTAACTAAAACTTTTGGCCTACCACTCATAGTGGTAACATTAAGAAAACAAGAAGATCCATTAACATACTCATAGGTCCAATTACAATATGGATAATGACCTAAAAATTTACTACTATTACGATTGAAATGAAAACAATGAGACGCTGTTTCTACAAGCGACAAAAACACAGGGGGTGAACTAGTACGATTATCTTTCATATTATTACTAATCTTATATGAAGCATTTACAGGAATACCATGCAATAATATGCCAGATCTTTTTGATTGAGGAGGAATATGCATACACACCCAACATTCGGAAAGATTAAGTATAGAAGCAAAATTATTTATGTCCCTAACATATGTATTGTTGGTCCAAATCTGATGATAAAGTTCAGGCTTACGAGCCTTCTGCAAAAGAGCAGCACGACGAGAGCGGCGCTTCACAGTGTCCACGGAGGGTAATTGGTAGTCATGGTGACTTCCCAGGGGAAGGGGGGTCAATGAGGTAGGGACGAAGATGACCTTTCGACGTGCCAGGAAACACCGGAACAGCTGTAGAAGGCGACTTTATCCAGGGTGCATCAATATGGCGATGTCTCCAACTGCAACGCGGGTTGAAGTCAGGTGGGAGGTCATCACTGGCAGACAGCGTAGAATATGATTTCAAGGCGTTGGTGTCTCCTTGGGCGAAGACGAGGCAACAGAAGAGCGCCAAGGTCGAACGCACCGAGCTGGAACCCATCGTGTTTCTCCGTCCACGTCAATGGCAGCGAATCCACGACCCCAGGAAAGCAATGAAGTTGGACCCTTCCACTGTGGATCTGGAAGCAACCTGTAAGACACTAGAGGGCGCTGCAGTACTTCTTCTTTCCTGAAATGAAGTTCAGCAGGCGTAAAATCCTTATTGTGAGGGTACAACAAATGATTTAAGGTAAACAATACTTGATGCACAATATTAGGTATTTCAGAAACAGTAGCCGAGCGGCCTCCCAATTGCTTGTTGAGAAGAGTCTTAAAAGTCAAGTGGGAGCGCTCGACGATTGCTTGTCCTGTAGAATTGAATGGAATACCATGAGTCAACCTAACATCCCACAAAGAACAAAAATCAGAAAAGGCCTGAGAAATATATGCAGGGCCATTGTCAGTTTTCAAAGTATGGGGTTTTCCCATAACAGCAAAACAACGCATTAAATGTTGAATAACATGACGAGTAGTCTCTCCTTTCAAGGGCGTGGCCCAAATAAAACCAGAGGCAGTGTCCACAGTGAGATGTACTTTAGAAAATGGAGCCAAAGATGGCGTGTAGGTGACATCCATTTGCCAAATTGCCAGGGGATGCAAGCCTCTAGGGTTGACTGCATCATAAGGAATGACTGTGGGTGATTTGGAACACACAGCGCACTGTGACACAATGTCCCTAGCTTGAGAAATTGGTAATGAAAAGGATTTAGCTAACACCTTAGCATTTTGATGAAACACTGAATGACTCTCGAATGGGTCAGAAAATAAAGAAAAGATGCCATTCTTCAAAGCTTGATCTGCCCGGTCGTTACCTTCTGCCAAATAGCCAGGGTGACCAGTATGTGATCTAAGGTGTGCTACATAAAACTGACAAGTCCTAGCTTGTACCAAGCTCTGCAAAGTGGAGAATAATGCAAACAAATTATCATCAATGGCAGGAGTAATATACGACAATGGTAACACATTCAACAGATTATACACATACTGCGTATCCACAATGAGATTGAAAGGGATATCAGCAAATTGTTGGAAAGCTAAAATTACAGCTGCCAATTCAGCACGTTGTGCTGAGGATTGCTCAGTAGTATATAAACTTTTCCATTTCCCCTCCTCATCCCACACCACCACCCCCCTGGACTTAGTGCCATCGGTGAATACAGTGAGAGCGGAGGGTAAGGGTAGAGGGGACAAGGCAGTTCGCAGGACATAACGTAGCCCTGTAAGGAAAGACAAACGAGGGTCTCTAGGGGGATTGTGAATAATTTTTCCTAAGAAATCAGCAAAAGCTATTTGAGTAGGAACGGCTGTCATCATTAAATGCATGAATTCTTCCTGGGAGAAGGGCAAGTACACTGACTGTAAGTCCATTCCAGAGAGGGCAAGGGCCCGATGTCGGCCCCTGACAACAAGGTCCATGACGCTGTTGGGTGTAGCATACACATTACGCGGAGGAGTATGAGGCAGGTGAAGCCACTCCACAATAGACACAGTCCCAGGCTTCTGGCCTGTGGTGTACAATATAGCTGTTGGAAGGAGTGGGGTGGCAAACACTGCAAGAGATAATTGTGCCATGGAAAGGGAAGGGATCCTGTCCACCATACATCTGCGGAGATGGTTGTTCACAGTTGTCAAAGCCTCTTCCATAGCAGGGGTAACTGTGATCTTGCTTGCTGGATCCTTGTGGCCTTTAAGGGCAGAAAATAGTGGAGACAGAGTGGAGGTGGGCAGGTCCAAGTAACTCTTTATCCAATTTAACTGTCCAAGGAGTTGTTGCAAGTCCACCAATTTAAGATGATCAGGGAACTGTAGTTGAGGCGCAACTGGAATGGCAGCAGCAGCAGACAACTTATGTCCTAAATACGTAATAGGCAGGGTCCGCTGGATCTTTTCTTTAGCCACTGTCAATCCTGCTTGCATCAGAGCATGGGTCAAATCCTCGAGAAGAATATCAGAAATGTGCGATGAGGAAAGTAAAATATCATCCATGTAATGATAACAGGTGACCACAGGGTGGCGCTCACGGAATGGTTGAAGTGCCTTATCCACAAAATACTGGCACAAAGTTGGAGAATTTCGCATTCCCTGTGGGAGAACCACCCATTGAAAGCGCTGGGTAGGTTGGGAGTTGTTCAGGACAGGCAGGGTAAAGGCAAAACGCTGTCTGTCTTGTGGTGCCAGAGGGATAGAGAAAAAGCAGTCTTTGAGATCGATGACAGCAAGCTGATGGTTTTGTGGTAGCATGTTGGGATTAGGAATGCCGGGTTGCAAGGTCCCCATCGGTTGCATTTGTTCATTAACCCTTCGAAGGTCTTGGAGAAGACGGAATTTTCCAGATGCCTTTTTTCTGATGACAAAGATGGGCGTATTCCACGGGCTGGTGGAAGGTTCAATGTGCCCCAGTTCAAGTTGTTCTGAAATTAACTGGGCTGCCACTGCAAGCTTTTCTTTAGGCAAGGGCCATTGGTCTACCCACACGGGGGTGTCTGTGGTCCAGCAGAGAGAAAGCGCAGTCCGGGGCATGGCAGGGGCAGCCCTTAGCATAAATTTGTAGAAATGGTGGTATCCGCTGCAGCAAGCAGATCTCGCCCCAAAGGGAGACAGGAATGTCCAGGATCAGTGGCAAAATAGTCATTTCAAAGCCTTGAGAGCCTTGAATCAAAATAGGATTCCTGCTGCGGCGGGCCGAGGCAGAGCCTCCAACGCCGACAACAGAAGAAGCTGGTTCGGTGGGCCAAGCAGGAGGCCAATCCTTGGAGGCGATCACGGAACAATCCGCCCTGTGTCCAAAACCCCTTCAATCATGCGGCCTCCAAGGGTCATCTGGATCTTTGGGCGCTCCTCTGTGACTGAAAAAGTAGCGGCAACAAGAGGATCATGGTTCTGGATCGTCTCCGGAGCGCACACAATCTTGGCAATAGGAGAACCAGACGGCAAATGCGTAGGGCGATCAGAAAAGACAGTCACATAAGGGTCATTGTGTTGTAATCCATGTAACACATCTGGAACAAGATGGACCCCTTGCTGCAAAACCTCTGACAGTGGGAAGACAAGGCACTGTGCTGAAGAAGAAAAACCAGCCCCTGTTGACACTTGAGCCTGTTGTGGTACATAGGGGACTGGCAGGCATAAGTCCTGGGTTAGAGAAAGGTGAGGTAGTGCCGGCGGTGGAATGACCGGAGAACATGCTGAATCCCCTATTGTTGTGCCTGGGCCCGGGTGGGCCCGACTGCCGGTTTCCCGTCAGTTGGTTTTGTTGATGTTGCTGTTTTTGTTGTTGTTGTTGACTTTGTCGAGGCACGGCAAAACGGCACTGGTTAGCCCAGTGAAAGCCTTTCTTACAAATAGGGCACTTTGTGCTAGGGCGGCATTGCTGCGTGATGGATCTGCACTGCGCACGAAAATGTCCCATTTTTCCGCAACCAAAACAAGTTTTGTCCTTGGCAGGATTCTGGGATACTGTAGAGGATAGAGCTGCGGCTAACAGACGGGCTTTGTGCGTCTCAGTGCCCACTGACTGGCAGGCCTTAAGCATATCTGCAATGGCAATATTTGGCGTTGTCATCAAAGGGCGCAGTGCTTGCTTACAGTCCTCATTTGCATTATCAAACGCAAGCTGGCGGACAATCACTTCTTGGGCTGCGACGTCCTGAACTTGCCGCTTGAGGGTGTTATACAAGCGATCGACAAATTGTCCATAAGGCTCTGCAGGGCCTTGCCGGACGCTGCCCCAACGTCCATCACGCTCAGTCTTTTCATCAGGCACAGCGGACAGGGCCTCCTGAGCGGCAGCGGTAGTGGCTTCCCAATACATGGGATCAAGGGCTAGCTGCTGGGCGATGGTAAGAAAATTGCCCCCACCTGTCAGGCCGTCAAAAACATCAGTATGGGTCAACATAACAGGGGCTGGAGGTGGAGCGCCAGCGGCGGCAATCGCGGCTTGGTGAGCTGCCTGCGCAGCATTGTTGAGATTGTTGCGAATGCCATCAACGCGACGTTGGCAAGCCCAATGCCAAGCTTGTATAAACAAAATCATTTGATGAGGCTGCATAACAGTGCGGGCTAATAATTTTACATCCTCTGGTATTAGATTTTGCTGAAAAATAGTGCCAAAAAGTCCCAGGGTATAAGGAGAATGTAAGCCATTGTCCCTGACAGAGGAATACAGTTCCTTTATGAATCTTAAATCAAACTGTTCGTGGCGGGCTGGGCCTCCCCCCACGGCGGCAGGAACAATTACAGGAAAAAGATTTGGTGTGGCAGAATCAAAAGCCAGCAATGGAGCAGCGGCACGGAGAGACTCTTGAAGAGGAGTGGTAGCAACGTTGGGCACCCCTGGTGAAAAAGCTGGAGGAGGGGCAGAGGGAGGCGGTGGCAGGACAGTAGGAACCGAAGGAGAGAGATCCGGTGGTTTAGGAGGTACATAAACTGGTGGTTTCGAAGAAGGCAACGGTTGGCATAAAATTGGAGAGGGAAGAGGCAAAGCAGCAGGCGAAGAAGCCAAAAGGATATTAGCTGGTGTCAGGCAGGACATCGCTTTATAAACTTTAAACCATGCAAGCAGAACCTTGACATTAATTTGAGGATGGTTATGGAAAAAATGTCCTATTTTCTCCCAGTCTTTTAAATCCAAAGTGCCATCCTGAGGAAACCAGGGGCAATGAGTGTCCAAAGCTAGAAGAAGTGCCTTAAGATCGGCATCCGAAACAGCAAGGTTGTTACTGGCCAGAAGAAATTTAAGTTCATCAAAAAACTTCTTTTGTGGCGCTGAAAGAGACTGCCCCATGATAGCAAGAGTAGTGAAAAAAAAATCACAGGGATCCACAAAGGATGAAAAGGAGCGAAAAAAGGGAGCACCCACCGGGATCCTAGGAGAGGATGAGCGGTACCTGAAGCCCTGGCCGGGCGTGGTGGACGCTGAGAAGGCCGCAGCGACGCGAAGTCCGGAATCAGTCGAAGTCCAAAGGAAAGGGAGCGCTCACCGGGATCCGAAGCGGATGAAAGACGCGTGGCGAGCGCTGAACGATGAGAAACAACGAAGAGTCCGAGGGTAGTCACACGGGGCACCAAATGACGAGGGCAGGGATGACGAGGGCCTGCTCGTCACAAAAATAAATCAGTCTCACACCAGGATGCTTTTTGTAAAGGGTCTAGCAGCCTCAGGAGAGAGAGAGAAAAAGAAGCTCCCTGGAGCTGCAGCCCAGCATTTTTATTAAGAACAGTACAACAGTGTATCAATCATCATGCAAGGCAAACACCAAATATGGGGATCACCCCATTATCAAGCCATACAATAAGAACCAATCACCTTCCTTGCATGAGGCGATCACGCGCTCATCATGCCTAACACAGCCTGCAGTATCAAAAGGTCAAACTATAGTAAATTCCCATCCTGGCATCCATCTTGTCATGTAGGTACAAACAACCATTTTCCTACATGAAAGCTGATCTTTTAGAAGCGATTTTCTAAGCTCTAGTTTACGTTGTCTTTGCTTTGTTCTTTCTACAAATAAACGGAAGGCTGACTTCCTGTTTAGACCTTCCCGTTTCAGTACCAACTTGAAGTAAATTTCTTTCTGCTCGCAAATCCTTATTTAAAGTCCAATTTGTTCAAAGTTTAAGTACTCACAGGTGCTTATTTTAGAAGCCAAATTGTCCCAGGAAAAAGGCAGCGCTCTCCGGCAACGGCTATGCGGCTTCGCTCCACGGAAATAGCACTTGACTCACAGCACCGCGCCACTTCCCCCTCTTCGCTTCGGAGCCCGTTAGTGGGTTCCTTTGCGGGTTGGGGGGGCGCTAAGGGTGCCCGCCGAGTCCCATGGTCACAGGTTTCATCTGCCTGTGATTTTTTTTTTTTAATTTAAATCCTTTATTAGGCATAGCACACCACACACTATCAAACAAACATCATACAGACTGTATAAAATACGGGCTCAGCGAACACAATTTATCCCAGTCCTATTCTTAACTCCAAGAAATAAATCGATGTACGTAGATAATATAATACAACAACACAGCAACATCACCTACCATTAAAAACCACTAAGTCTCTTTATCATGGCCCATTCTTTATTCATGGCATCACTTAAAAATTCAGCCGCTATTAAAGTAATTTGATCATCGCTGTCCGCCAGCAGGTCCTGAACAGTTGGTTGTGTAAAAATCTGTCTATTAACTTTTAGGGCCTCAAATAATTGTTTTCTGGCATAACTACCAAAATCACAGGAAAAGAATATATGCTCTAGAGTATCGGGTTCCTGTTTTCTGCATTTGCAGAGACGCTCTGATTCTGGGATAGCTAAGTATCTTTCTCTCACTACCACCGAGGGAAACATGTTGAATCTGGCCAACATAAACAGCCTACACAATTCATGTTTCTTCAGATTTGTCATGTATCCCTTTTGGAAATCTCTACACAAAGGGAGATTTAAGTGGATAGGAGAGCAAGTGCTGTGCTTTGCAGCCTCAAGCATGGCGAGAACACTTTTTCCGGTAAGAGTCTTCCTGATAATTTCCCATATGTCTTTGGGATCAGAGATTACAAAATCAATTAGAGTGAGCCCTGTTTTCTCCTACAAATCCATGATAGATTGTAGATTGCACTATCACTTAAAAGATCGTAAAGTAGAGAATTAGGGGATAGGGCTCTATAATGGAGGAAGATCCAATATTTCAAGGTCCTCAACCATGCTCTTACTGATAAAGGCAATATTCCCAGCTCACAACATATTGTTTCATATTTTACAGAGTTTGCAAGTCCTAATAATGACCTCAGAAGGGATGCGTGGAATTTATCCAACCTCTTGAGGTCACCTGAAATCCACACTGGTGTGCCGTATAGAAGTTGGGCACAAAGTTTCATGTCAATCACTTGCAATACAGCTGGAATAAATCTGTTTCCTACTGAAGAAAAAAAGTAGGATTTAATATGATGGGCTGTCACTTTGGCCTTAACTATTGCAGCACATATATGTGTATTCCAATTCATATTATTTTTAAATGTGATTCCCAGGTAATTGAAGTGCTTAACTTCCTGTATTAAATGTCCATTAATTATACAGCCTTTTGGGTTCCCTCTCTTTCCAAATTACATAATCTTTGTCTTATCATAATTAATTTTGAGGTTATTGAGAGAGCAGTAGTTTGAGAAACTCTTAAATAATTTTTTTAAACCTAAAACAGAGAGTGAAATAATTACAGCATCATCTGCATAAAGTAATAAGAAAAGTGGGCTGTTGTTTAAATAAGGGGTATGAGTGGTTGTGTTTTGAAGAAATAATGGTAGGTCAGATAGAAATAAATTAAATAAGGTAGGGGCCAAGATACAGCCTTGCCTAACTCCTCGATTATTCAGAATAGGACCTGCAAGTCTACCATCTTTTGATACTTTAACATATATTTGGTTATTAGAATGTAAACTTTGAATCAGTGTAAGTAGATATGGGTCGATACCAAGGTGTTCTAGTTTAGTCCATAGTTTGTTACGGTCGACCGAATCAAAGGCACTTTTTAAATCCACAAATGCCACAAAGAGTTTTCGTTTATTTCTCATGACATATTTATCCACAAGATGACTTAACACTAGACACTGGTCAAGAGTAGACGCGCCTGCCTTAAAACCAGCCTGCTCTTTACCAGGTAGACCTTTTGTCAGCATCCATTCTTCCAATTTAATAAGCAGAGATTTGGCATAGATTTTACTTATGCATGGTAACAGATTTATAGGCCTGTAATTCTCTTGACAATTCCTATCACCTTTTTTAAAGATCGGTACCACTATTGAGTTGTTCCACGACTTAGGTACAAGGGCTGAGTGATAGATAGAATTATAAAGCGGCACAAGTTTAATGGCCCACCATTCTACATCTAATCTCAACAGGTCTATTGGAATGCCATCCATACCAGGTGATTTCCCTTGCTTAAACGAAAAAATTATCCTTTTCATCTCCTCAACAGTAATTTGAAATTGTGTGGTTTTTGCCAAAGAAAATTTAACATTTTCCTTTTTACAAACTTGGTGATCATAAAAAACATCAGTAAAATGTGAAATCCAAGCCTCATCGCTTATATTAGGGAAATCAGTGATATCTTTTATTGAGAGAAGTGACCAAAAGGTTTTGGTATCTTTGATTTCTAATGCAGTAACAATTTTAGACCATTTGGCTAGTGCAAACTCAGATTTTTTTTCCAGGAGCATGTTCTTAAAAGCATTTTTCATTTCAAAATAAGTCTTCCAGAGACCTTGAGAGTTGGTAGTATAGGCTTCTTTTAGACAAATTCTAAGTTCTTTCTTATAGTTAATACAGTCTTTATCAAACCAGTTATACTTATTTAAAGGTTTGTTGCTGAACTGAAGGTCTAAAAAAGAAGAAAATAATTCCTGGATAGTCTTATAATAACAATCATTGTCCTCCAAGGGCAACAAATTTTGGTTAGCCACAGGTTCGAGAATAACTGGGTTATTTTCAAATACAGCCAATAAATCCTCCCTATTTTTATCACTTATATAAATTCTTTTGGCATAAATAGTCTTATCAATACTAATAGGAGGACTAATATCATTATTTCTAGGATTCCTGTACATCTCTAAAACTATTGGAAAATGGTCACTCTCTGAGCGAGGTACAACTGTAAAAGAGGCAACTTCATTTAACATTTCAACGGAAACTAGAGAATAGTCAATTACGCTCCTACCCCTTTTGGAGCTGAAGGTAAAATTTCCTGGAATATCCGGCCGCATTGAGCCATTCAAAATGAGAGGTTAAATTCTAAAACCAATTGTAAAAGTTTTCCTCCCGCTTTATTAATAATGATGTCCTTTGAATTCCTCCCTATTCTCAATGGAAGTGGGGCATCTTCAGCTAGATTTGAGACATAGCGTTTATAGAGAGCTATATTATCTGATCCAATTCGAGCATTGGTGTCTCCCATTACAATCAAAGGAATATTTGGAGATTTACTACGTATTAAATACAGCTCTTCAGAGACTATATTCCAACCATAATCTGGTCTAATTTCCAACTCTATGGGAGGAAAATATATATTTAAAAGAAGAATTTCCCTGTAAACAATGGTAAATGATAACAATTGTGCATACTGTCCAATATTTCTGATATAATTAATTTTAAGGTTAGAAGACTGTTTAATACCACAAATCAAATCGGCTTTAGGGCGACCTTTTGTTGACATTTTAGTAGCGGGTAGATTGTAAGTAATAAAATTAGGGATATTTAAAGGTTTAAGAGACCAGGTTTCCTGCAAAAGTATTATATCATAAGACTCAAGAAAATTTATAAAATCAGAATCAGCTAATTTACATGAGAGTCCAGCTACATTCCGGACATAATAGAAAGAGTTTGGAGAGATCTTTGATTTAAGGGTGCTAGTGAGGTATGCGTGGTGCATTCCGTATGTCACACCAAGATTCTCTGGTTCTTACTATTAGCCCTTTCAGCGGGTTCAGATAGTTCAGATGCTAATTCAATGATGTTTAAAGATGTATTCAGTATGCTCACATTTGAGGAGGGTGGAATGCTAGGGTTGCAACCTGGCGCACCCATGCTGGGCACTTTATTTAGGGAGCCCAATTCAGTCTCATCTAATTCTCTCATTTTATCCCATGCTAATGTAGTGACCAGGTTTGCCTCTGGGATGGATTGCATGCGAGCTGGATTATAGGAGGGGCGTTTCGGCTCCAAGATCTGAGAGGATGGATTCATCTCCGCAGTAACCAATTGGCCTGGGGTAACGGAGGGTTTCCCGACCCATAAATCCAGCTCGTGACGATAGAAGCATGAAGCCTGATCTGGGACATAATCAGATATATTTTGGTTGTGTGGTCCCGGTTGGTCCTTCGTCAGATTTGTCAGACAAGAGCGAAGGTTATTCAGTCTATAAAGTATTTTATTCTGAGTTTCTTGAGGGAGAGCGCAATAGGAGTAAATTAAGTTACTTTCAAAACTTTTGAACCCGTTACCTTGGCTCGCCTCATATAAAGTCCCGGGAGAGTCTGGTCTTTGAGGCTCATTAGTAAGTAACTCTGGGTGGTGATTAGGTGAGTCCTCAGTGGCTTTTATATCAATTAAAGTGTGGTATTCAGCCTTTTGATGAGGTGCTGCAGTCGAAGTTGCAGAACTGGGGACTAGTGGGATAGGAGAGGCCTCATTTTTAAAGAACCTTGATATTTTTACACCACTTGTCTTTAGGTGTTCTCTGTGTTTATATATCAGTTTTGCCAATCTCCGATCATGGAATGTAGCCACCGCCCTGGCAAGCAAGCCATCAAAATATAGATATTCCACTTGGTCCAACTCCGAGGGATTACTCGTACCTGGCATGTATGCCTTAAGGAAGTTCAGTAGATGTACTTTGCGATCCTCTTGAGATAAAAATCCTGGAGGCTTAGGATAGCTTGAAAAAACAAGTTTGTTTTGAAGCAACACCAGCTTCCAGTTCTTATTTGTTGGAATGCTCTCCTTATTGGATTTGGAGTTATCTATGGTTAAAACGTAGGACCATGGATCTTGGGGCAATAAATCTTGCTTAGAGCTTGGTGGTGGAGCAAGCGCTGAAGGTTTTAGACAATCCGGAGCTTTATCAGCACAGACGTTTGGGGGCAAATCCTGTTTAACTGACTTCTTGGCTAGGGACTTCACCGGGTTCCCTCTAGTGCCAGAGGCTGTTGTGCTCTCGAGTAAGTTAAAAAGCTTTTTAAAAACCATTTTTTTATAATACACTGTCTTAAGATTTTTTATGTTTTTACTTTTTTTAACATTTTTTACAACTATGAATCTCCTTTTGCAAGCATTAGCTCTGCAGGCTTTCTTACCCTTCCTTGATGAGCCACTCCTACAAAGGGTGGAGGCGAGGCCATGATTACTTTCCAATTCTGCAGGCATTCCGGGTTTTCTCCAGAGAGTTTTACAGGAGTCAGCCATGATGGTAAGAGTTTTTGTGCAAATGTCCAAGTAGGACTTTATGGATTCAATGTCCTCAGTAAGGAGCACTAGCCATTTGATGATTGAGAGACCCTCTTCATTTGTCTCGTGGGAATGAGAATAAGAGTCTTTCGAAGGTTTAATATTTCCCGAGGCCAATTCCGAAATTTGTTTTAACATTAGTTCCTCCATTTTTTGATCTAACGATGGTTCGAGAGGAACTTGGGATTTGGCTTTCAGTTTCGGGGATGCTTCATCGGCTGTATCGAGGATATTTTGTGTTGCTTCCAATATATTCAGGCTTTTATCACTGCTTTTAGTACACTCCTTTCTTTGCATAACCGGTCCTTCACTATAGCTGTAAGAGAGATTGGTAGGAGAGAGTAGAATTTCCCTTCCCTTCTTGTTCTTGTTCTCATTCATTTCAGTCGTTTCCTCATTTGTTCCACATTTTGCTCTGTTCATGTAGAAGCGAGTGATTTTTGTTTGTGCTTTCTTTAGAGTGGCTCTTTTAAAGGTGGGTCTTACAGCTTTCAGAGAAAAGCCTGAGGTTTTGCAGCCACTCCTGGTCGTCACCATTGTTTCTTTAAAGTTGTAAATTATTTCTTTATTGTTGTAATAAACACGCTACAATGCGTTGACTGAGATAAATAGATAAGAGGTAATTGTAAAAGAGAAGAAAGACAACGTGGTGGAGAAGCAGGGGTGAGTTTACTTCTTCAATTGCTGCAAAGTGATTACCGCAGAGGCTCTGGTGCTCCCCCGGTAATAATCAAGATGCTTAAAAAGGATATATATATATAGATACACATATATATATATATATACTTTCAGGGTCTCAGTACCTTAAAACTTTGAGTTAAAAACTTAATTAAACTAAACTAGAATCATTAGCTCCGTCGCAGGGCTCTCCACAAGTCAGTTTTGGGTAAAAGGGAGAGGTTCCAAAGCCTCCCCCGGCCCTTATCAGGTAAGCAATTTTTCTTTCCTCCCAAAGATTTCTCTCTAGTCACATTCTTTTCCTTTAGGGAGTTATACTCACTCGGCTGCATTAAAAATTCACAGCAGGTTTCCTTCAGCTTTTTAATGACCTCTCCTGCCTTTGGTTGCTGAAAAGGCTTTTTCGATCTATGAAGACTTCAGTGGCTCAGCGCCCTAAGGAAACTCTCTTCCCATATGACCCTTAGGTCATCAGCAGAGGCCCTCTTCAGAGTACCCTCTCTGGCAGTAAGGTGGCAACAAGAGAACCTTTTCAATTGTAGGTCCCTGACTATGGAGTGCTCTCCCCAGAAAAAACCACCAGGTGGCAGCATTACTTCCTTTTTTCCCCCCTGTGATTTTTAAGAGGGTCCCCGCTTCGCCGTAGCGGAAAAGACCCGTTTCGCGCGGAGCTAGTCCCTCCAGTTCAGAGGGAGTCCGCCATTGCCGATGGCGCCACCCCGGAAGTAAGGCTTCGCGAAGTTCCAAGCACTTAGGGTTACTATCAGCTGCGAGGATAAAGTCCAAGTAGTGCGACACATCCTCAGAGCCTGTTCTAAAGCGAAGCGCCCAGTCCAGGAAGGTACTGAATGCCTCAAAGGCTGCACAGGCCACTGAGCAACCCATGGGCATTGCCTTGTCCACGAAATAAGGCCCCCTCAAATTTAAAACCCAGCCACCGGAAATCTTCCGGGTGTACTGGCAGGAGTCTGAAGGCAGACTCAATGTCACATTTAGCCAGCAGCGCACCTTTTCAAATTTGCGAATCAGTTTAACCGCTTGGTCAAAGGAGGCATACCTCACAGAGCAAAGTTCGTGGCGTATCACATCATTGACAGACCCTCCTCTTGGGTAATAAAGGTTGTGAATCATGCAAAACTCACTGGGCGCTTTTTGGGGGATGATGCCTAAAGGGGATATGTGAAGACCCTCTATGGGAGGGACGGAAAAGGGGCCAGCTACCCTCCTTGCTTTAATTTCCTTACTAATTTTCTTTCCGGCAACCTCAGGCATCTCTCTCACTGACTTTTGATTTGGTGGGTCACCTGAATTGGGGGGGGGGGGAAGCTACTGGGATCCTAAAACCGGAACTAAAACCTTCCCGTAGATACAATGCAGCTTTTCTGTTGAGATAAAGATCTAAAAGGGTTTTTAATGGGGTCAGCTTGATAGGGGATAACGCCAGGCCGAGATCGAAATTACTGTCAGTTTCCCTGAGGTCCGAATGGAGCTCCATGGCCACCTCTGGCTCCCTGGTTGAAGAAGCCTCTCCCGCCCCGAAAGGGCTGCCTCCCTTTAATGCAGGCAGTGGCTGGGTGGTTTCCGAGGCATTTCTCGCACTCGTGGCTATACTTACAGATAGGCCGCACACAAACCCCTTTGTTGAATTCCCAGCACAGCCGCTTCTGTTTCGCATTGGTCTTCCAGGATTTAGATGACTCCTGGGACTTCTTTTCTACATAGGGACCAACGTGCTCTGACCAATAGTTTTGGTCCCTCAAGTCCCAACGCGTAGAAGATAACAGAGAAGCGTTTCTGCGGAAATCTTCATCATAATTTAGTGCTGCGGTCTCCCCCGCTAATTCTCGCACCCTCCTAACATGGGCCAGGTAAGCAATTAGATGCATCACGCGTTTGGGATAAGCCGCGCTGACCACGCCCATGAACACCTGGAACCCGTCCAGCCAATTTTCAAAATTACGTTCGGCTCTGGGTGTTCTGTACCTTCACTTCCCATAGCTATGCTTCTTTTACCCCTTTACCCGTCAACTTAGCTGGCGGTAACAACGTGAATATGTCAATAAAGTCACCGTTAAGAATCTTATTTCTCCTTTGAGATAAATGATTCCCAAGAATAAAATTGGTAGACGGGTTTGTGGATGTTTTTACATCCGGAACTAGTGCACTGTCCTTCCATTCCAGGGATCCATTAAAGGACTTGCAGTATGAATTAGCCCTCCTTTCATGCACCCACAAAGGGAGACCAGAACTATCCTCCCCGTGGCCCCAGTACTCCTCCATAGGAGTATCGCTATCTGAGTCAGATGAAGAAGTACCTGATTCATCCTCTGATTCAGACCGCTTACTCTTCTTGCTCTTCTTCGATGTATGCTTCCTCTTTTCTTTCCTCTTCCCTGATTGGCCATCCAGCGTAGGTTGTGCCGGAACGATGGGTGCCTGTGCGTCTTGCTGGTCCTGCGCTTCCTCATCCGAAGAGGAACCTGAGGCACCCTCAGCTGGTGCCACTTGCAATGGTGGGTTCTGAAAAGCACTAGGAAGACCTGGGTCCTTCTGTGGGTTAGTAGTAGCAATAGAGCCCTGATTACTTGCCTTGCCCTTTTTGGCACCCTTCTGACCCCCTTTTGACTTGCCTGAGCTGGAGGACTGCTTTCGCGTATTGGGCTGGTCTGTTGAGTCTTTGCTTGCCCTCAGCGCTGCTGCGCTGGCCGCAGAGGTGCCAGGGCGGTCCAAATCGCTAGGGGGTGTATCTGGGATGCACTCCTGCGTGAGCGCCGCCGGCGCTACCGGCACCTGGCCTGCAGGCTTGCATTGCCTATAAAACGCCTCAAAAGCGGTGAAAAACTGGGCGAATGCCTGTGGGTTACATGGCATTACCAGGGCCTGAGACCCCTCCTGGTTCCCTTGTGCCCCACCAGATACAGAGGAATTCTGTTGATTTTCTTGAGCAGACATGTTCGGAGTTTGGCACCTTCAATACCTAGTCCAGGAATATCAACACTAACTGATTTAGATTTCAATGCACAAGGTGCAAGTAAAGCGGGACTAGTTCAGTAATATCTGCACTGGCAAGTTTAAAAGGTGTGAAGATGCCTATCCAATCCTATGCCTATCCAATCCTAATCAATTATAATTAGAACAAAGAATTTCAGGCACAATGTTAATAGAGATGACAATGTATTAGGATCCAAGTGAGAATAGAAGAGTATTTCCAGTAAATAATAACTATGGACCAAGGCTATAAGTTGAAACTATAAGGTAGACTATTGGGTAGGAACCAAACCTCCAGCAATGAAGGAAAGCTGTTTAATTAGATTCTATTATTTATATATATATATATATATATATATAAAATTTTATTTTTATTATTTAATTTTAATTGAAATACCAGGAGGAGAGGATCACAGAAGAGATGTGAGCTATTTACTCCAGATTCCCTATAAACCTATATGCAAAGTTCCCAAGAAATTGCAGGAGAAGAAGCACTGTAATGAATTAATTTACCTTAATTAAATCCAACTGATGAATTATTCAGCCTGATGATGCTAAATGAAATTAAATAAATGCCCTTTTGCCAAAATGAGAAGCCCCCTGGAACCCTTGTGCATTTGTATAAATGCCTTCAATTAATTAAGTAGCCGAATGAATTAACTAGCCAAGACTATAATTTACTTATTGATCCCAATTAATGTAATGAATTGCATAGGAAAGCTATCTGCCACCTGAAAGGGTGAAGGACTTTTAAACAAAAGCCACGTAATGATCTGTTAAAGCGGCGCGCAAATAATGACACGGGGACCCGGGTGACGTAAGGTTAAATGAGCAACTTGTATCCAACGCCCTTAAGCCAAGCACGTAACACAACGAGATTGTCTGTTGTTCAATAAACTGCCGAAAAGGAAGCCACCCGCTTCCAAAGGCCATCCGCTTCTAAAAGCCGCCCGCTTCTCAAGGGGACACGGCAACCACCAAGGCGTTATCTGGCTGTGTTAATAATCGCATAATTTTTTCCTTGCTGTGTCCGCTTTGCTTAAAATGGGCTTGCAAAGAAACACTCCCACGTGCAGTTGCCTATTCCTTCCCACGGGAGAATGCCTCTGGTAAAATGGCGGCTGCCTCCCTGGGCCACGTGGTCTGATATAATGGCGGCTGGAACAGGCTAGTATCCAAGCAACGGAAGCTGCTGCTTTAAACGAGAGCTCCTGTAGGCAAATGAAGCGAAAACCGCCCTAACGACTCTCCCGCCCGGCAATTCCACTGGAGCGCACGGGTAGAGACAAAAATCAAACTAATAAACAGTGAGCGGCCACTAAAGCACAAAACCCCCGAAATACCAAAGCCGCCGACAGACAAAATCCCCCAACGCCAAAACCCACCAAAACAAAACAGAAAAGGCGCCCCTGAAGTCTCCCTCCTTCCGCAGCACATGATTAAAGTTTAAAACCCCCCGCAACAGAACCTGATCAGTCGGGTTCTCCACGTCCTTCTAAAGACCGAAGAAATCACAAAGGAGGCGGCGGTGTGGACGCGCAAAGCTCAGCTGACGAGCGGGCTTAAAGGGAACAACTGAATCGCCGCGTTGAGTCTTTCCTGGAGAGGCGTTTGCAAAAGGAGGCTGGCAGGCGTCTGAGGAGGCTCCGTAGGAATGGAGGTCGCACTGAGAAGGAACAGTAGTCCAATCAGCAGCGCTATCCGGAAAGCGGGAGAAAGGGGGGTCAATCCCCGCAGCTGTTTTGCTTCACGACCTAGTTCAGTTACCGTTATTGGACGGCTGCGCCGGGCGCCGGGAAGGGAAAGGCGGATAGTCAGCCCGATCGCAGAAGGCACGAAGGATACCCACGCTGCTGCCGACCTATAAAAAAAACTAACCTAAAAGGAACAAGGTAAGCAGGAGGAAAAAACCACTACTAACCCACCAAATACAAACCTAGCCAAAACGTGGGGGCTAGCCGGCAAAAGAAGGCAAGCCCCAGCCGCGCCGGCCCTAAGTAGTGCAGGCCACACACCCTCAGCCACCCGATTGGCTGGCTGGGTGGATGACGCTGCCGGGATTCCCCTGCTCTCGCGGGGGCTGGAACCAGCCCCCGCTCACGTGGGGTAGGCATGCAGCCCGCAACCCCACCCCCTGGCCAGGTCCGGAAGTGGCTTTGTCAAGCAAGAGAAATGGACAGTAGAGGAAATGGCCAGAGATGCAGAGGGAGGTGGGATTTGGTCAGAAATTATTGTCAATGAACTAAACCCAGTCAGAACAATGCATTCATTGTGGACACAATGGCTTGATGCATATTTTATATATTTTTTTTAATAAAATATTTATTGAGATTTTACAATAAACATAGATTTAAAGAGTTAAAAAAAATTAAACCAGAAATTACACATAGAGAGAAAAAAATACAAAAGCTAACAAAAAAGTACCAAAAGAGAGACCTAAAAAGGAGAATAAAAAGAAAAAAAAAGGATGCTACAAAATACAAAAAAAACAGATAGCTAAAAAATAGAGGAGAAAAAAAAAGAAAAAATATTTTAAAAAAGAAAAAGTCCATTTTTCAATGTCTTTAGGCTCATTTACTTATTTCCTTGACCTCCTCACACCTCCCCTTTTTGTATTCCCGTTTAGAAAATCCTTTCAGCAAATCCTTACCCTCTTTCATTTATCTTTACTCTGTATCTTAACCTATTATAACTGTATATTTTCATCCATATAACTATCAATATTTACATATTCTTATTAACCTTATTACCAAAACCACTTGTTTTCAGTCCAACATCAATTTAACATTCATTAATTTTACAGTATTTCTGTAAATAGTCTTTAAACTTCTTCCAATCTTCTTTTGATGCATATTTTATAATTCCTCATAGTAATCGCACCTGACCCCACACTCTGGATATTTGCACTCCTACATCTCACCGTTTTTTATTTAAGTTTTATTTTAAATTTTTTTAATTTGTTTTGGTTTCTTCGTAAGAAGAGTTTAGGATAGTAGAGGTTAAGGTAGCAGGGGTACAGTGTTCTCTTCATGTTCATGTATGTGCTCTTATATCACAGAAGGATGTCTAGCAGACATACCTAAAGCAGTGCTCAACAACCTTTGCCTATTCTTTTCGAAAACTGAGCAACTAGGGAGGACCCATGTCAGTATGCGGAGGCAGCATTGAGCATCAGATAAATTTGCGGAAATGTAGTTATAACTTCTTTGATTACACATGAAAAAACAACCATCTGGCAAACTAACCTGAGCATAATTAAAAGTAATCTGTTGAACATGTGAACAATTCCAGGTTGGCCTTCCTGTGTCCAGAGAAGCGAGTTGCTTCCTTACTGCAATTCACAATCTGAGCACAAGAGGTGTCTGGCGGTTCAACTCTAGGTGTGTATAATGATATTGTTTCCAGAGGTAACTTTTGTGTCACCTTTCCCCAATCATGGAGATGGGTATAACTAATGATACCTTTAGAAATCCATTTAGAAAACTACTTTCCTGTGTGTGCGGCATATGCCATATGAAAAGGCTGTGTACAAACAGGAATCATACAATTTCCTAAGGCAGTGTGCATATCATATGTTTCACCCAGACAAAAATGAGAGACATAGCAACTTCAGCTAAATGCATCCACATATTATAGCTATGACTAGAAGAAATGTCAGGAGGAAGATCGATACACTGAGTACTAGGTATCAAGAAAACAAATAATATACATGTTAAAATCAGCATAGGGTTCATATGTAGCTGAGTAATTAGAGCTACTAAAAAAATCTCTGATTCCGCTGGAACATCATGATGCTGAAATTGTGTCCTGGCATCAGAGGTCAAGGTCTTCAGCATTCCCCATGTCACTTTCGGGCATCCCTCAGCCTTTAAAGGATGAGGATGGGTGCAATGGACTTTCGCACGGGGCTGCTGAGCCTGTAGAGGGGAAGTCAGGGTCATGGTCCTTGCAAAGTCCGGAATGGGATTCTGCAGGCCTTGGTGCCAGCGCATGTCTTGGCCCATAGGGATGGATACAGCGACTTGGAATCCACACAGGACCTGAGGAAGTAAGAACAGTAGGGCATCCTGCCCCCAGGTAATTAAAGGAACAGGTCCCTCTCACTGTGGGTTGGGGAGCTGCTGGTACGTCACTAGAGGGTGTTCCAGAGGTCGTTTCAGAGGTACCTCTTCCCTACAATGGCGTTCCATAGGAGAAAATTTATTAGGAAAGGAAACGATTGATTTAAGATAAAGTTAACAGGAGTTAAAGCACAGGAAGGACGTCCATCAACAATATCCTTAGCTTGTGTCAGAAGAATGAAAAAATAGTTTAAAAACAGCTGCTTAGATTCAATCAGCTGCTCAGATTCCTGGTGAAAAAATGCATGGCTGTCAATTGCATTAGAAAATAATGGACAGAAGTGGACACAGTCCCCCGCCCCCGGTGGGGAGTGGGTGGCCATGCGGTCCACCGCAACTCCTCCCCACTGGGAAGTGGAGCGGATTTATAGTTGCATCACGTTGCTTCATACCAACTACATTCTGGCTTCCTTTTGTCACCGCTTTGACAGCTCTCTCCGCCATTTGTGTGTGACACTTAATTTTGGGTACAATAAGAGGTTCCGTTACTACAGAGTTTGGTATTTGACAAGTTCCTAATTAAAAGAGGTTCTAATGTGTCTGTTACACTCCACTTCATCGTGAACTGCCACTTAGTTGCTTTAAAATCCAGTGTAGGCACCCTAAAGAGATGTACAGAAGAAGCTACATCTTGGTTTATAGCTCTGGCTGCAATGATAGTTTCCACAGCATCAATGCTGTCTGCTTTATGGGAAGAGGCTAGTTCAGTCAGCAGAATGTTCTCTGGATGGGCATAATAAACATTCTGTTGAATACACCACTGTGTGATTTTCTTAGTAGTTTGATCTTCCATTAACTTGGACCTTTGCATTAAGAAAAACAGATTTTGTTTTTGTTTTTTTG